CGCAGCGAGAAGCTTGTGACGCGTCAGAAGGAGAAGCAAACACAACAACTTGCTGCAGCATGAATTGAATTCATGGAACAATGCACATTTCCAAGGTTCTAATCGATTCCTTATCGATAAGCGTGCGCCCGCCCATCATGCAAGCCATTGTGGTGTGACCTGAGGCGATCAATCTAGTATCACATGCTGTGACAACCGCCAGAATCATGCGACCTCAGGGTCAATTAGGTCGGTCACTCAGTCGAAGCTCCTTGCAGCCCCTGCGCAGCCAACCGATTGAGACCCCCTTCCATGGTTCTATTAGGAGAGAGGACGCTTTATATTCTATAAGGCGCTTACTCTCGGCATTGGTGTCGATCACCGATAACCAACTCCGCGGCCCAGTTCACGTCATGTTTGGCACGGAGCCACCCGGGCAATTTTCAGCGCTGGACTGGGCCTTTGGTCAATGGATCGAGCAATTGCTCTACAGCTACGAGTCTTGTCCACCTACGCAGGATAAGCCAATGCGAAATCGCGATCATCTTGGGTTTGGCAATGGCCCAGCAAAGCATCGAAGCTGAACCGATGTACGAACATGCAGAGAGGGGGAATCGAAACCACAAGATCAACATAGCAAAATACATGAAAACAGAGCAAATACAAATGAAATGTTTATCTGCGCCAATCAAATCAAGCGAATCATAAAAAATCTTCCATCATCAAAGGTCGTCGGAATTGGGAAACGAAAGCGGAGAGATCGTGGAATAAAACAGCGTAGTAGAATAAAACAAAAAACCTCTGCGCCGTCCATATACTGCAAATCTCGATTAAGCCGCAGGCTCGAGAAGTCACCGGGACCGAAAGTGCCGCGAGGCATATAAGCAGTTCTTTCAACCAACTGTCGATTATTGAATGTGTCAGACAAACAAGAAAGGAAGGTAAAACACGAGGCGTCGCCTCCAAAAAAGCCAAAGGGTGTCCGCGAGGACTGAAGTCGTATATATTCTGTTTTGGGGTTGTCTGTTTTGGGAGAAGTCCAAGAGATTCAGGGACTGGGTGATATAACACGGTTGTCAGAGATGCGTCTTTTCGCATTCTGTTAACGGGGAGTAGAGGGGGACTGTAAGTGCGGCGGATTGGAGATCATGATTCGGAGGAATTCTGTCCTTGCGGAAGAGAAGTGGTGGTAGGTTGTTGGAACAAAGGTGGGGTCGGTACATCAGCGGCGGCGACGGGACTGCTCCATACGACGATCTATGCCCTCAATTCGACCACGAAAGGATTTTACAATATCCCGAATGTGGCCGATTTTAGCCAGCTCGTTCTCCAACTCGTCCGCAGACGCCATCATCGAGCGCGTACGGGCCATCTCCGCTTCCACATCATGAATGGTTTTCAATGCGCCGCTGCGACTGCGTTTAACGGAATCTGTAATTTGTTGCGAGAGCTGTATCTTGAATTAGCAAAGAGGACCCTGGAAAAGAGGAGGGGAAAAAGACGCTGGTAGCCCCTGTTCAAATGTACTCCTTAAGGCTAATCGAAACACTCACATAATCGATCTGGCCGCTGATGCGACGCTCCAAGGAGCCCAGCTGGTGTGACAGCGCGTGGAGACTATCGGGATCCAGCAATAAGCGGCCCTGGCTGCTGGCGGCACTGGTTGCGCGCGAACTAGAGTTACTGACTCTCCCCGCGCCGCGACCTCTGGAGGCGCCATTGCCGGCATGGCTGTTCTGGAGGGCAATCTGTTGCTGCTGTCGGAGGATCTGGATCTCGGAGGAGGTGAGGCCAAGCGAGGTGTCGGGGATCGAGGCTGAGACGGACATTTGGTCCCGGCAGAGACATGCTCCGACGGCGACGGACAGTCTACGAAGCGCCGATCAAACTCGAGGTGAGACCGAGCGGCCCGCAGGTCATGGTGGACAGGACAGGGGATGCGTCTGGGCGACTCTCGGGGAGCTATGAGGAGAAAGGGAGGCGGAGAAGAAGAGGTGTGGGAGCCGCTTGAATTCGGCGGCAACTGGCGCGGCTCGAAAACTTCCGTTACACCAAAACAGGAGTTTCCAGGGTGGGGAGAGAAGTGGAGGATTATATATGTTTGGATGGTGTGGAAGTTTCTTTTTATTTTGCCTTTTCTTTTGGAGACCTCGAGATATATATTTCAAATGTTCCAGGTTATGGTGGGAGCACAGGCTTTTTTTCCCGGAAAATATGATACCTCGGACGGGATCCAGAAGAAAAGAGAAGGAGGGGAAAAAGGTTCTTTTTTTTTTTAGGATTGATTTTTGGCTTTGGTGAAGATTGATTGGGCAACGGTCCTTGATACATGGGTCTTCAGGGCTGTATACTAGGGGCAAGGTACATGGCCATAGAGAATGACATCAAGGTTATAGACCTAAGATATGGTCATAGTTTCCAACGCAGATGAAGTTCAGTGGAGAGATTCTTGTTTCGGGCGTGATATATTATAGTTCCTATATAGACCACCGAGTACCTAGGGTACCCGTTGGCTGCGCCTCTGATCGGGGAGAAGACGGGGAGAGAGGCTAGCCTTGTTAAAATTCAAAGTGCGTAGTGTATGTGGATTTACAATAGAAGAATAGAGGAGTATACGGTCCCATCTCCAGGGCTGTCATATCGCTATCGCTATGGATCCATCCCGAACCATGGAAAGCTCTCCGCCCACTCCGCCTTAGCTTCCAAACCGCTTTTTCACCCAACGTCAGTCCCTTTCACGCCTTACTCTACCTCACCCCGCGCAACCCAATTTTCCAACCCAATCCAATCAAAGATCGTCCTCCCACGCTGCCTAAATCGTGAGGCTGAATTCAACTTTGTCCCCCAAAAAGTTGATGATATTACCACTTGATTGGCACAGACGCTACCACCGAAGAGGCTTGCAGCTACCTCAGACGCGAGCCCCATCCCCCCACGCAGAAGCCATAGCGCATACCGCCTCAGCTTGTGAGCTTCGCCCATTGATTGCTCCGATCCCCAAGGGCGTCCTGCATACGGTCTCGACCTGACAGCCCGACTTGACGCGACTGTGACGAGCTTGTGAAGCGGCGCTGACGCTTTGGTCACGATTTGCTGCAGGCTAAGCCCGCTACTCAGTCATTGGGTTTACCCGTGATCTCTCGTGCCATACAAACCCCGGAATCCCGTATTCTCACCGCAATCTGGACTACTGGTGAGGCTCTGGGTCTGAGCTGACGACGCTAATTACTTCTGATTGGTGTCTTCTGCCGACGAGTGAGGCATTGCGACCTACAATCTTCTTGGGCTTCTAGGGTCTCGCCCTGGTAATAAACTTGCGACGAATCAATACCACTACACCTATAAAAACATTTCAGTATGGCCAAGGACAAGGAGCGGTCCGTAAATCCGGCGGCGGCGCACAGGAAACAAGAAAAGCAGAAAAGTCTGAAGAAGGGAAAGGCTGAGCAGCTTGCGCGACGCAATGAAAAACTTGCACGCCGCAACCCAGATCGCATTCAGCGACAGATTGAGGAATTGAAATCGGTCGAGCAAACGGGAGGACAATTGCGACCACGGGACAAAGAAGTGCTTGAGGCATTGGAAAAGGATTTACGGGCGGTCCTGAAGGCCCGTGAGGCGCTCGGCGATAAGGCACCTAAGTTCCACCCTGCGCGTGGAGGGGACTATGGACATGATGGGCGAGACGCTGTGCTGGGGAAGCGGAGGCGAGATGAATTTGCCCCGCCTGCAGACAGTGATTCTAGCGAGACAGATGAGGATGTGCGCCGGATACCCATGCCCCGGGATACGCCCCCGCCAATCCCACGGCAGCCGCGGAAACGGGGCGAGGCTAATAGGGAACCAGAACGGCGTGGGCCCCATGCGCTTCCATCTAGACCACCAGCTCCTGAGGCAAAGAAAGTCTATGAGGCACAGCCTGAGATTCGGGATCTACGACAGGAGGCTGTCAATAAGTTCATTCCTGCTGCGGTACGGATGAAACAAGAATCGATCAGAGGCCAAGGGAAATTGCTTGAGCCGGAGGAAATGGACAAGCTCGAGAAGGCTGGGTATTCAGCTGGCACACAGCAACCTACTACTGAGGAGCAACTATCATTGGAAGAGGAAGAACGAAGGTTTAATAATGAACTAAAGACAGTTCAGATTGAGGAGGTTGAGGATGAAGATGCATAGACCCAAAGGTCTCCAGGATCATTGAGGTCGAATGGAACACGAATGATTCCGAAGGCATATACCCAAGATGTACTATAAATGACCATAAACCCAGTTCAAAATTGAAATTAAAAAATTGGCAATTTAGATGTCAAATGTATTAGAGCTGCCAAGGTTCATTAACAAAATGTTAGTATTCAACAACCCCGGGTCCAAGCGTATTCAAGGTGAAGACTGGAGATTGCTCGATATGCAATATATACACCAAATCAAATAGACAATAACAAATTAACCAGTACCATATTAAATGCAGAAAAGACGCGAAAGGATAATTCAAGGACGAAACGAAAAACTTGAAATAGACACGAGTCACCATTGTACGACCGATGCAACCAAATAAATGTACAAAAACTCCTCTCCAGAGAAATTAGGAAACGGGCATCAAATCATAACAAAAGAAAAACCAGTCCGGTCAGGAATCCTCGAGGAGGCCCACGTAACTAAGACGAAAGGGCAAAACAAAATTCAGATCATATCAAATCAGAACTCCAAGGCTTGCATGGTAGGCAAGCTCCCGAACCGCATCAAAGCCAACCTGGCTTATCAAACTCCGGAACAGAAATGAGAATAAGAAAGCAAAAAGCAAAAACAAAGAGGTATGCGCAAGAAGCGAAATGTAGTCAAACGATGGACGATAGTCAAAATCACAGGGACGGTCTATCAGGTGGAAATCCATCCGTATCCAACGCCTTTGCACCGGGAGAAAACCACTCCAGAATGGGTGCGAAAATGGAAATGAGAAAAATGAAATGAAAAAGTAACCGAGATGGATATGAATGGGTGAAATGGGAGGGAAATAAAGGCATCTACCGCAGGTTGCGGATGATCTTCTTTCCACGCGCCAAGAAGGGACTAGGCATCTCGTCACGCTCCGGGTCCCAGGTGGCAGGGGGGTCACGCGAGGAAGATTGCAAGGACATGGTAGTAGCGCGCGAATCGCTAGCGCATCGCTTGACTTCGTCCATGGGACGACCACCAGCGCGAGCCTGGGCAAGTTCAACTAGGGTACGACCACCCATGTTGCGTTGCATGACAGCCTTGAACATTTCGTCGCCACCACTGGGCTTGGTGGGGCTTTGCTTGGTGCTGTTCTTGCGGGTAGGAGAGCCAGCATCAGCGGCAAGGTTGGCAGACGAAGGAATCTTGGACAGGCGACGGTGAGGCGACTTTGAGCGGGAGCGGCTGTCACTCAGGTTGCGGCTTTCAGACACCGAAGAGGAGGGTCCACCTGACATTTGGGGGAGACGAGAGCCATTGGATGGGAAGAGGGGTGGTTGAGTGCTAAGCTTTTGCATGAGAGCCGCAGTATTTTGGCGCAAGAGAGGTCGCGGAGCGGCCTTGAATGGGTCTGGCTTCACCTTGGGTCGGGTGGGAGATGGGAGGTCGGGTGTGTCGTCTTCATCGTCGGAGTAGGCCAGTGTAGGTTCCCACTTGGCCTTGTTACGCTCGGCCTCAGCGAAAATGTTACGACCGGTGCCAGTGCCGGATGTACGACGAGGAGACAGGGAGAGTGAGGCAATGGAGATAGGGGAGGGCTCGGCCATTTGAACATCCTGGGGGGAGTCCACGACAGTCTTCGAGCGGCAGAAGGGGGTGCGAGCTTCCTTCTTTGGCTTCTTGCGACCATTGGAAGTTGGTGACTCAGGCATGGCTTGGGTAATATCGGCGGAAGAAGGCGCATCGCTATCATCGGTGCTGTGACCTGAAGAGCGAGAGCCCCGGCCGCTGGTACGAGACGAAGATGATTGAGAAGAGTTTGATCCCTGTGTGCTTGTGCGGAAGAGTTCGCGAGGGTTGCTGTTTCTCTTGGTCTTCTCTTTCTCCAACTCTACGGCAACACGACTCTGGACCTCAGTCTCAAATCGTTTGCGAAGCTGGCTAAGTTCCATCTGAACTTGTTTGTCAATCTCCAACCGAGCCCTAACCTCCCACTCGCGCCGAAGGGTGCTCTCAATATCTGCCTTGATTTGCTGCTTCTCCTTTTCCATCTTGGAAATGTTTTGCTCCATCTCGCGGACCCGCTGAACGGCTACGTCCTCACGTCGGCGAAGGGTGCGGCCAAGGTCAACCACCTCCTTCTCCTTGCGCATCAGACGAATAATGGGAAGATTAATCAGCGCAGCAGTGTCTGGCCGGTGGTCAGGGTTAACACGCAGGCAACTTCCAATGACATTCTTCAGTTCGGGAGAGTAGAAGTCGGGGAGAGGAGCGAATTTGCCCTCGCGGATTTTCTGGACCAGTTGGATATGGGTGCGGGCGTTGAAAGGGGGCTCTTTGGCGCACAGCTCATACATGATACATCCGACAGCCCAGATATCGGAACGAAGGGTGTATTTCTCCGCGGCGCAAATTTCAGGTGACATGTAGAAAGGTGTGCCGACATAAGTGGAAGCAAAATCGTGGGACTGCAATTGCTTAGACAGACCAAAGTCACCAAGCTTTACGCTGTTGTCACTGCCAAGGAAGATATTTTCGGGTTTGAGGTCGCGGTGCAAGATGGTGACTGATCCTTGCTTGCCCTTGAGTCCAGTAGGCTTGGGGGGAGGGCCAAGAATATTTGAACCAACTTCGGCAGGGTCGGAACCATAGTGGCAGCGGAACAGAGCCGTAACCAGTTGGGACAGGCATCGCCAGACAAAATCCTCCTCTGCATACTTGTTGGCCTTCTTGAGGTTCTTGATAACCATGCTCAAGTCTCCACCACCGCAGTATTCCATGTAAAGATAAAGATCCTGGCTAGCCTTGAGGTGTTCGCGGTGGTAGTAGGCAACGATGTTGGGGTGTCGGAGGGAGCTTAGGATGTTGAACTCGGCCGTGAGCTGTTCGCGCTCCTTCGCAGACATTTTGATGTAGTTGATCTCCTTGCGGCATAGGATCTAGGACTGTTAGGGATGTCACACACCACCATGCAAAGGCCACTTACGAATCCATCCGATTTCCGCTTGACCTTGCGAATGATGCCGAAGGAGCCACAACCTAGCGAGACCATCAAGATCCAGTTCTTGGAGAAAGCAGGATAGTATAGGGCACATGGGAAAACCTACCAATCTTCTCCAGGATCTCATACTTATCCGCCTCAGCCAAAGCAATTGCCATGGCTATAGATTGCGAGACAACGTGAACAAAACAATGGAACAGAAAGAAACGAGACGGATGTTCAAGAAGAATACACGCTGAGCATAAGCACTAAGATATTCAGGTGTCCCTGTTTTGTTAGTAAAATGGATTGAAGAAGTGGAGGGAAAAGTTGTCTGCAATATGGGGTTTAGAGGTCGGAGATCCTTTGATGTTTGGTTGATCCGTGTTGCTCAGCAACCAACAAACTATGACACGCTTGCCCCACTTCGGTAAGCGGTCAACGTAACGTTCATTTAGCCCCAGTGACGCCAATAAGTAGGGATAGCGTCACCATTAACATCATAGGTTTTGCATAAATGGCCATTCAGGATATTTACGATAGTTTCTCCACTCAATGTCTGTTACAACCCTCTTTTCTATTCAATTATCTCGGTCGCAAACAGCACTTTGGGCATTGGTTGATAACCACGTGACGTACCTTATCGATAAGCCCTCCGAGTCCCGGTCCCGCATTCCTCCCCTCCCACTTCGAGTGGCAAGCTTCATCGGTGGTCTATAAAATGGCGGAACTGGAGGAGCGGGCTGTCCTGCGAAAGGACCAGCTGGAAATTACCCTGGGCAATGAAAATCTTCTGATCAAGGAGGGTACCATCAAGGATGATAACCCTCTAGATCTGAGTGAGCCCTTCCGGGAACTCTGCAGTGCTTGCCGTAAGGGCGACCTGAAAGTCTGCCAGGAAAAAATCACCGAGGGGGTCAATGTGAATGCCCGTGATGCATATGATTACACTCCGTTGATTCTGGTGAGTTTATAGAATGATCGAACCTTGTATATAGTTCATTTCAACAAGCAGGAACTAAATACTTTGAGGCCAGGCGAGTCTCTGCGGGCACTATGAAGTGGCGCAATTGTTATTGGAGTCTGGTGCGCTCTGCGAGAGAGACACTTTTCAAGGCGAGAGGTATCTTGAGCCCCATTTTCTAGACTTTACATTAGCTAATGCGTGTCTATGATCCTAGATGTTTGTACAATGCCCTGAATGACCGCATACGAAACCTCCTGCTCGAGTACGACTATTCGAAGTCAACCGATCCGCTGCAGCCTCTTGCGGCACATATTTCGTCGCTTCTTACTCGCCCTTCACCGGTGACCACAGATATTGAGGTGGCGGCGTCTGACGAATCGGTCCACTTGCATAAGTTTATCTTGGCTGCTCGATCCCCGTATTTCCGTGGAAAGCTCGCAGCCGCCCCAGAATCAACATCTTGGAAGCTCCCCAGCAGTATTTCTCCAGATGCCTTCACTGCAGCAATTAGATACCTTTACCTTGGAGAGCCTCCGCGCGAGCTGAGGAGTGGACCTGGTACTGGGTTTACTGAGTCAGAGGTATTTGCGGCGATCGATAAGATATCCAAATACCTTGAAATCCAAAGCCTGATGGACAGTATCCTGGACAGTGGAGATAGGAGAATGGCCAGACAGCGAAGGACTTTAGAGCTTGCAAAGGGCCGGGATCAAATGGAAGAGTGGTTCCGTGCCAACGTTCTCGGAAACAAGGTGGTTATCAAGACATCTCAATCCAGTCAGGTGAAGTGGGATCGGAACAACACAATCTTTGCCGATGTTCTTCTGCAAGCAGACGAGCTTCCTGATGAGGTCGAGGAGGGTCAAGCTCCGAAATCAGTACTTTTCCCATGCCACCGTGCAATGCTCCTTCGCTCTGAGTTCTTCCAAACGATGTTCTCGTCATCGTTCCGCGAAGCCCAGATCACAGATCATTTGCACATTATTGACGTCGACTGCGCACCCGATGTACTGGAGATCGTCCTCACATTCTTGTACACCGAGCGGGCCGATTTCCCCTTGGAAGTTGCAGTAGACGTTCTCTTTGCGGCTGACATGCTTTTCATTGAGAAACTGAAGACAAAGGCTGCCGTTGTAATTAGCACTTTGGGCAGTGGTGGCATGTCTCAGGCTGAAGCTGCGAAAACCCGGGGCAAAGATGAGGATGATATTGATATCTATGCTATTATGCGTGCTGCCTGGTTGACCCGTGTCCAGCGCCTGGAGGAGTTTGCTGCCCGATTCCTGGCATACCGATTGGAGGCCCATATTGATACTCCCGAGTTTGCGGAACTGATCGCCGAGTCAGCATCGCGTATCAAGGCGCGTCAGGAGACCGACTCTATTGAATTGCTGGATGATATTCGGTTCTATCTCAATGAACGCTTCCGGTTGAGATTTGATGATGCAGGCCTTGACGAGATGATGGATGAAACGCCGAAAGCTGCCAACGGCGATGAACCGGAGCTGCAAGATGTTGATAAGATTATAGATGGCGTTAAAGCACTCGACGTGTCGAACGGTAACGTCAATGGCAAGGATGAAAGTGACCAACAGCAGCACGAAAACATTCGTGGAATCCGCACCCTAGACGGTGTTATGGTCGAAGACGAGTTCGACGAAGATGCCATGAACTATGAGATTTTGATGGAGAAGCTAGATGCTCTTTTGGTGACTTTGAATCTCGATGCTTAAGAACCTGGCCTTGTGGTACAGCAATGACAGGCTATATTGCAGAACCCCGCCATGAACATATGAAAGGAAAAATCGTCATATATACATATTATTTATACATTTGGGATATCAACATCTAGAAATACATATCAGTCGGAGTATGAATACTTTGAACCCAGGAAGCTGTTTTCATCATTTGACGCCTCGTAGTGATCACTGAAAAGCAACTCCCGTTGAAATGCACAAAGTATGCCTTCAGGGCCCCGCGGGCATTTTCAATGCTGGGCCTTCTTGGCCATAGGGCACGAGGAATGGATCATGCTAGCTTGGTTGATGACAAGGCGACTGTTGAGGCTCGTGACCCCGAAACCTCTGGGTACTGGGACAAGTAGGTGGTATCCCCTAATCACTGTCGCAGTTCAACGAGGAGTTTCAATTGATCAAGAAGCTGATCTTAGAAAATCCGACGGGAGATACTGGTTGAAGACAAGCTACGGCCTGGACGTGCCACCAAGTCAATCACCGGCCTTCTTGCGGTCGGTCTTTGTTGCTGCCATCTGCATTCCTTTGTTTCTTTTCTTGGATCCTGGCGTCCAGGTCTCGGATTTGGGTTTCGATCATTCCCCTTCGGGCTGTCAGGTTCGAGCGCATGCCTTGTAGAGCTGCCATCTGCTCATCGAAAGTCGCTTCTTGGCGTTTTTTGGTGTTCTATGATACCATGGGAAGCTAAAGTTAGCCATAATTCTGTAACAAACCATATAGAATATAGAAGATCCTGAATAGATGCTGCTTGCTCGGGGGGGTCGATACAACCATCGCTACTCACCTCGGCGATCTCCTCACTTGTCTTTATGCCAGCCCCATACAACGTGCCTGCAATAGTAACGGAGGTTACGGCAGCTGCTAAAACCGCCCGACGTATGTTCTGAGGGGACGGCATCTTCGAGAATTGAGATTGACGTGACATCAAAGAAACCTTGACAAAGAAATGTCCGGGGTTGCCTCACCGCCTACCTAGACAGGACCCACTATTGAGTATCAAAGACGCGTCGCGTTTCCCATTTTCTCCTTATCAAGGTTTCATTTCCACTTTGATGGGATTACCCCCCACCATCTGCGTGAGCGATGTCGTCCCGCAGTTCGATCCCCCGTCGTCGAAATCAAAGCGAAAGTGCTGGTAGTGATGTCGAATCCAGCCCCACCCCACCAGCCAGCAGTAAACGCCCTCGTCTGAGCCCCGCACACGAAGCCGAACCCTCAGGTGATGAAGAGGCAAGCGAGACAGGTAGTGCTTCGGGAGACTCTAGTGAGGACGAGTCCTCAAATGGCGAAACACAGGAAGATGGTGCGGTTGGTGAACGCGAAGACTCGATGCCACCAGCTCCTCGGCAACCACTCAAAGCCCGCGCAGGATTCGACTCCAATGGCTACAAGCCCGGCGCAATTTTGCGTATCAAAGTGATCAACTTTGTAACTTACAATTCTGCGGAATTCTTTCCCCGGCCCCAAGCTCAACATGGTGATTGGGCCCAATGGAACCGGCAAGAGTACATTAGTTTGCGCCATTTGTCTTGGACTGGGATGGGGAGCTCAGGTAATACAAATGAACTCGTTTCTCTCTAAGCTTTACTGACTTTTTTCACTCTATAGCATCTCGGACGTGCCAAAGATCTTGGCGAATTTGTCAAGCACGGCTGTCGAGAAGCAACAATCGAGATTGAACTCGCAAGACACCCGAACGGAACTCGGAACCCCGTGATCAGTCGTACTATCAAGCGAGACGGAAATAAGAGTTCATTTACCCTGAATGGGCAGGCTGTCTCCAAGCAAGCAGTGCTGAAACTAGCTCAGGAATTCGCCATTCAAGTCGACAACTTGTGCCAGTTTCTACCCCAAGACAAGGTCGCAGAATTTGCCGCTCTCACCCCTATCGACCTCCTTCACTCTACCCAGAGAGCAGCTGGTGGACAGGACATGGTAGAATATCATGACCACTTGAAGAAGCTCCGATCTCAGCAAAAGAAGATTGAAATGGACAACCGTGGTGACAAGGATACGCTACGCAATCTGGAGAACCGGCAGGAGAATCAGAGAGCCGATGTCGAGAGAATGCGACAGAGGGCCGTGATCCAACAAAAGCTCGACAATATGGAATTCTTTCGCCCATTTGTCGAATACAAGGACTGGCATCGGGGTTTTGAAGAGCTGAAGGAGAAGAAAAACCGAATTGAACAGGAGCAAGAACAACTCAGGCTCGATCTTGCACCTGCACTAGAAGCAGTGAATGCCAAAGTGACCTACAAGGATAAAATTGGCGCTGTGAAAACCGCGCGGAAAGAGCAGATCCAACAGTTGCAAAGGTTTGCTCAAGCCCGGGGAAAGGAAATGGAGGATTTAGAAAGCAAAATCAACAGTTTCAACGCCGAGATTGAAGCCGAAAAGAAGTCCGCCCAGAAACACAAGCAGGAAGCCGGCTTGGTGCAGCAGACGATCAATAGGCTGACACGCGAGCAAGAGAACGGTGCAGTGGAGTTCAATCCTGATGATTACAACCGGCAATTGGTAAGCCACATATCATACACGTGGAAGAGCCAGCACTGATTACTCAAATAGCATGAGAAAAAGCGCGAAATCCGCGAAATCGAAACAAAAGCCAAGGCAATCCAAGACAGCAAACGGCCATTAGCGGAAAGAGTTGGGCAGTTGAGAAGCCTTGTACAAACAGAAGAGGACAAGTTGAAAAGGCTGGATTCGCAGCTGGGTCAACAAGAAAACAAGCTGGGAGCTCTTTCAAAAGACACCTACACAGCTTACCAATGGGTTCTCCAAAACCAGGACAAATTCGAGAAAGAGGTTTTCGGCCCTCCTGTGGTAACCTGCTCGGTCACCGATCCTCGCTATGCTGACGCTGTCGAGTCCGCGATGCAGAGAACCGACTTCACCGCGTTTACGACACAGAGCAAAAATGACTTTCGCACGCTACAAAGAGCGTTGAATGGAGAGTTAAAACTTTCGGATATCAGCATCAAGACTATTACCATTCCGCTCGAATCGATGAGAGCTCCGCTTTCACCCGATGATCTCCAGCGGCTGGGATTTGAAGGGTTCGCCAGGGACTTCTTACGTGGCCCCGACCCTGTTATCGCTATGCTTTGCGCCGAGAAAGACTTGCATAGGACACCTGTTTCCTTGACAGACATTTCCGACGAAGCTTACTCTGAGCTCGAGAGCGGAAACATCGCCGCGTGGGTTGCTGGAAAACAGTGCTACAATATCACTCGACGTCGAGAGTATAATGCTTCATCGACTCGCGTGCGCCCACTTAGGCCTGCGAGCAAATGGACATCACAGCCTGTGGATGTGACAGTCAAACAAAAACACCGGGACAACATCCGGGACTGGACAGCTGAACAAGAACAGCTTCAGAAACAGATGGACGAACAGAGGGCCGATTTGACAGAGCTCTCAGACGATAGGGCTCGACTCACTCGAGAAATGGTATCTACTACTTATTCGCTGGCTTTGGTCTTCATATTAATGTTTGCCTACAGAAAGATGTCGAGAATGAGAAAGCCGAAAAGCAAACTGCATTCACGCACTATCGTGCAATTCCTGATAAACTGGGTATGTCCCATTTCTTCATATTGTTTCTGTTTCGTCTGAAACCATGCACTAATTCACTTCAGCCGCTCAATTGGCCAAAAAGGAACATTTTGCGAACCTCTTTGAAGAAATGCGAGAGCGGGTTCTTGACACACGTAACAAGATAGACCTGGTTTCCATTCAGAAGGCTAAGGCTAGTGTTGAATATGCTGTCAGTATTCCCCTCTATAGCAGGAAGCATCCATGCTAATACATCATAGAACGCCTTTGGCAAGCTCCTCGAAGCAAATGTAGAATACTGCAGAGTTTGCATCTTACACCAAGAGGCGACTTCTGAGCTTCAGATCCAGAAGCTTCGTCACAGCGAACACGCCAAGATGTTTGAACAAAAGGCCGCAGAGACGAGACAGGTAACGCAGGCATATCAAGAATCGCTGCAACATGGCAAGACAATGAGGCGGACAGCAAAACGCCTCTCAGATGAAATGAAGGAAAGACCTGGAGGTGAGGAGATCATTGAAATGATGAGTCCGTCCGACTACGGCTTGGATCATTTTAATGCCGATCTGGACTCTGCAAGGGCACAATTGGATTTGAACCAGGGTGGCAGTGCCAACATGATCAAGGAGTTTGAAGAGCGCGGACGGCAGATCGAGAAATTGCGCGACAAACTTTCAGCATTCCAGGCCGATCTGGCAGAAATTCAAAAGGGCATCGATGAAATCCGTGCAATTTGGGAGCCCAGGCTGGATACGCTTATTAGCAAGATCAGCGATGCCTTTTCAGACTCGTTCCAACGCATTGGCTGCGCTGGACAAGTCTCCTTGGACAAGGTGGAAGCCGAGACTGCGAATGGCGAGCCTGGCGGCAGCGAGTTCGACCAGTGGTCCATTCAAATCTGGGTCAAGTTCCGCGAACACGAAAGCCTGTCCATGTTGGACTCCCATCGTCAATCCGGTGGCGAGCGTGCTGTCAGCACCATTTTCTATCTCATGGCGCTGCAGTCGCTCTCGGCTTCACCTTTCCGCGTCGTCGACGAGATCAACCAGGGTATGGACCCGAGAAACGAGCGCATGGTTCATGGTCGCCTAGTGGATATTGCCTGTGCGCCGACCGAGGAAGAGGTAGACGAAGAGGGCAATGTCGTCGGCGGCGGCGGTGGCCAGTACTTCCTGATTACACCGAAACTCCTGAGTGGTCTATCCTACAAACCTGGCATGAGAGTGCTCTGCATCTACAGTGGCGAGTATATGCCCGAAAGTGGAACGGTCAACTTCCACCACGCCATTGATAAGATGAAGAAGATTGTCGCTAGGGGTGGACGGACCACTGGCACGGCCAACGCTCCGGTCCTTGAGAGTCGAAGTCAAGTCAACGTCCGCGCCTGAGGGATTTTTTCCTTCTCGTGACCGATGATCACGGCTTTGATCTACACCATACAGCATAATGACTTAAGATACCAAATTTTGCTTTCCTTTCCTTGTTTTGAGGATCATGTTTCGGAGTTGGGGATCAAACTTGGTGGAACCGTTGGAGCGGGGGCGCACGATGTTGGAGTTCCACTTATGTAGGTAGCCTGTAATTTGATATGCATATAACCTTGGAAGGACATTTTAACGAGCAATCAACGACCTGCCCAAGCGGGTATCGTTGCAGTGGAGGTTGTATCCACTCTGGAGGACTGATTCTTTGGGCTCCATGCATGATCGGACATGCCGTGTCTGTGCCCGTTTTCCTATTCGTACCCCCTTGCCCGGTAGTTGGCATAGCGCGAACCGAAATTAGGAACCAACCAGATACCCGGGAAGGAGGTGGATGTAAGCAGGTCTGGTGTTACGTCGATCAGGAATGGCCCTTTGCCAATACTGACGGCGGCTTCCGATGGAAACCTCCCAGGCTAGAGAAGGATTCATATCCATGCTCTGATCGGACCACTGGATGGAAAAGGAAAAAAAAAGACCAGGCAATGTGTCAATAATCATCAGCACGTATATTAATAACCTCTAGGTATATCGAATCGGTCTCCCTTGCCTCTTTGGCAACCGTCAGCAATTGAAACCCCCCAACAGTGTCATGCAGATCGACCACCGGGCGTTTCCGCCGCAGATCACCGGCTCCATCTCGGAGGTTTTGCATACCAATCGTTGGGCGACGTTGGGCATCCCCTCGCTACGGCCAACTCTATTTTGTGGTGTTTGTGGCGGGCTTGGTCCCCCTGTTCGACCCCTCACCGGCCACCCTCCGCTGTATTTCTGTGGCGTTATCGACTCGTTGGCTAATGTATCATGCAGCCCCCATCCTGGCGCATATGTGCGTACCGTACAAGGCTGATCGACATTGCGCCTCATCTGTGTGGTGGAGAGGCTGGGTGATTGGTTCGATATTCCACGATCCGCATGGTCGATCCTGCATACAGACCAGGCTTGTCGACCTCATAGGGAGTACTGTATGCATGACCAAATAACAAATGAGATGCACAAACACGTTGCATTTCATCTTGCATGCCTCTGAGCTGTTCTACGCTTTGACGGTACCGAATTAGAATTTCATGAAGCTAAGCTCCCAAGAAAGTTCCTGGAAACTTTGCAGTGCACGACCACAAGGTTCTCCAGTACACCGCTTGTCCGTCAACTGGATGACGCACATCGCCCCTCGAAAGGTGCATCTATAGAAAGTCAACTAAGATGAAATGTGAAATCCAAAACTAAAAAGTGGTCAGTTCCAAAAACCAGCCATGACGCGCGGACGGGAATCCGTGGCGCTGTTTCGCTGTTCCAACGTCCAGGATCCTGACCGACGCCAGCCACCGATCGGTAACTAGTATAGCACCGAGACTCTCATAGTCGACGCCTCTCTCTAACTAGGCTTGATTGTTGTTCGGGTCCGGGACCCCGGGGATTGGAGGTCTCCCAATGGAATGGCTCGGGCTCAAACCCAGGTGATGCGGAGTGGATGCGGATGTGGAAGCGGAAGTGGAGGGCGCTTGGAACAGCCGAAGTTTGCTGATTCGTGCATTCGCAAAAGTCATTTGCAACACGGACCGCTCTTGCGGTGTAGATTAGATTACAGGTACACCAGAAACCAAAGTAAAATGGAAAATAAAAAGGCGCAGTTCGAGTTAGCTAGCTCACAGGTCTATGGAAACTATAGGGGTGATAAACTTCACTTAAACTAAGTTTGAGCAACATCGCATTTCGCCCCCAACAAAGTATAGTCTGGAAAATCATAACCCACTCTCAATCTTATCCAACGGCCCCCAATGTTTCGGACATATATCTCTAAACACGTTAACTTGGATGCCGTGTAACCAGAACCTCGGTCAGGATGGATTCACATCTGGCCGACCAGATCTGAATCCTAACCGTCCAGTGTTTCGGGTGCGGGTTCGCTTAGGTGGAAGGATGGAGTCATGTAACCCCATGTCTTACCGTTGCATTTTGAGTTGAACTCCAGACTGCTTGTGCAGTTTATACTCAAATGAACATGCAAAGGTTACGAGTACATCACATTCAATGCCCGTTTGATTTTTGATTTTATCTATTTTTATTTATTTTTACATTTTTTGGTAATTTTTCTTTTTATCGCATGGGTCGATGCAACCGTGGGATGATCTACGCAGTCTCATAGCAGCGTGAACAAATGATGCAACATGGAGAGTCCCTAATGTACATCCCAGCCTGTATACCCCGTTCACCAACAGGTCTATAGAGAATTCCCTCAAATCCTGGGGCAATCCCAAACCTTCTTTACGAGCTACAATCCATACAGATCCCTGCCATGGAATAATTCATTCCCGGGAACGAGTATTACTCGAATCAATGCCAATTGATCATCTAGGATCTGCCTCTAGTGCGTGGTGTACGCCAGTGCCACGTCTCCTACACCTATGCACCCTCCACACCGGATCACCTGCATCAGGGTCTGAAACGATCGCCAGGCTGGTCTGGGTCTACTTGAAAGAATTTGCTTTTCCGGTGGAGAGGTCAGAGGGTGCATTTGCGTACACACGGGGCCTTTGCTGACTGCAATTAGATGACGACCCAAACTGCTGGTACGTATCCTTGCACTAGACTACGCCTATTAGGGTACTATGTCCTTGGTGCTATCAAGTTGAGTGCGAGATATTGTAATGCTTACCAACGATGGCAGGGGCCACTTTAGGCATTTTGCAAGGTTTATCAAAGAAACCCAAAACTTGGTCTGTCAGGGTGTACAGGTACATCATCGTGCTTGTGCATTAAAGGTGATACGGGGTGATACGCTGTGGAAGTTGAGTCAGACCTCGGAAATCCCAGATCCTAAAATATCGACCTTGCTGTACCTCAGTGTAAGCACAGATCGTTGCAAATCATGTGCTGGACAAAGTACGTACATGTACTGGATGATCTACAATGAGTCCCAACCACCGAGGACGAAAGCTGGAACTTCCGGGGCTTAGCCTCAGAACCTTGGAACCATTGCCGAAGGACCAAATTAATAATCAAAAAAAATTCATCCAGAATCCGGATCCCCCTCACCTCCCCAATTTAGTTACTACCGCCTCCCCCGCTAGAAAAAAAGAAAAGGAAAGAAAAAAGCCAAAAAGGGAAAGTAATTAAAAGAAAAAAAGAAAAAACGCAGCGGCCGATCGGCACACGGGGTTTATGCCCTATCCGGCTTAGAGCGATATCGCTAAGATCCTGTACAGCTTGGGGCTTGGACCGAGGTGTCGATCCTAGCTGTGACGAACAGGTCGTGTTTCAGCGCGGCTGACACATTACTTTTTCGGTTATCCCGAGATCTTTTGTGTGATCGTCGGTCGATCTCAGGGGCGCTACACTGAGGTTGGGTTCTGGATTTTGAGCTTTTTTCATCCTTTGTGTCACTCAAGGGATACGGATTATACGTACGAGACAGATTGGTTTGCTTTTGATCTTGCTTTTGCTTTTGCATGCGTATTCTATACGGGCGCTTGCGACGATTTTAGATGCATTTGCATTTGGACTTGCATCAGTGATCTTTTAATTTAGATAATGTATGATATATATTTGAGAATAATGCATGTATTTTTGTGGACGTTACACAGGTACTTTAGTTGGTTTGCTCCTGTAGTTGGTGGCATCATATGTAGTTGATCCCCCTGAGAATCGAGGCAATACGGATACGCATGATTAGGTATGCGGCAAATCCGCCGCTGTCCGATGCTTTCTAATGATGTATTCTCTAAAGTTAACTAGTTAATAATGAAGATATACAGTAGTATTAAGTAAGACCGGAGGCACTGCCCGAATGGAGCTATGGCCAGCAGTTGCCTAGTGATCCACCGGGGCGATCCGCCGGATCAGGAAGGAGGTTAGATGCAGAGTGACAGGTCCGCTTCCGCGTCAGTTGGACACGTCAAGGGGTCATTTCCACGTGTGAGAGGGTCTTGAGGGTCTTGGAAACCTGAATTCAGACATTGGGATCTATGATTAGATTGAATTCGATAGTTGCGGCTATTTGGATGAAAAGGGATCGGATCCGGGGTTAGTGATCCTCATGCACTAGACGTGACTAGTCGCTGCACTTGAGTCGCATTCAGGGTAAAAATATTCTAGAATGCAATATTGTTCTTAATATTGATTAAGACCGTTTTTAATTAAATTAATTAATGCGGTTAATTTGGTCATAATAAATTATGCAATGGGATTCCACGGGTCGGACAGATGCTATGCCGACTTTTCACCTTCCCAAGATGGTTCAAGGTCCCAAGTCCAGGGCCCAGTCCATTGCAGATCGTGGGGAACATCTGAACCCACACATCTCCCCTACATTGTACTGTGCTCCGTAACGAAATTAAAATTTCAAATCTCGCTTCGCTTCGGTCGCTCACAATTTCTCGCAAATGAAAATCGCCAGGTCAGATGCAAAGGTGCATGCAGGTGCCATGTGTTCGCCAACCGCGTGGACATGTGCATGGGGGTGTGTGTTGCCCCACACATGTGATATGGGAAAAAAAGGGGTGAGACAAATTCTCGCGTGGCCATGGGGCCATGGGCCGGGATGATCCCCGATCGATCACTACCCGGGAAAATGGCTTAATGGGTATTAGTACGCGACACAAACAAAGATCTACGTCAGGTTCGGCCGTTCGGATCGGCTGATTGTACGAATTCGTTGCCGTGCATCCGTACAACGAAATCTGTCAAGAAATATAGCATGAAATGTAAGTGTAATAAGTTAGGTAAGTGTCCATTTCACCCACGGTGCCGGGCCCGGGCCACCTTTCTGCCGCAAATTAGGTTTTGTCCTGGAAAGGAATGTCTTGTCGACAGAGTTTCATTTCAACCAAAGGAAAGAAGATTGGAAAGAACCTTCCACGCTTTTTCCCGTCTGATCCAGTCTGTCGGGAACCTCGCACTCCAAGTACCGTGTTTATGGAGATTTTGGGTTTTGGTGTGGAAATGAAGAGCGTCAATTAAAGAGTAAAAAAAAAATTAAAAGACCCAGCCCCTTCTATTAACGAGCCGCAGGAAACGCCAATCAAGCCTGACGGAATACTAACGCCGGGACTCGAGAGACTAGTCGATCCCGAAGAGAAGTGCCGTGTGCGGTGAATGGGTGGGGAATGAATTGTTACTTTTCTCGAAAGGGCCGATCAGGAGGATCGCCGTGGATCACGCTCGAGCCTTTCCACGCGCGTTTGGGGGGGGGGGGGGTGGGAGATGCATCGGCATATGTCTAGATTGATCTTAGTGAGTATGGGAGTACGAGGTCAATATTTTGTTTTGCGAGTACGAGGGTTTGCATTAAGATCTGATTCGGAATGCTTCCGACAAACAACCCAAACATTACATCTCAAATACCTAAATGATGATACATACTCAAAAAAAAAGGCAGCTGACGAAGGTCTTAGTAACCTACAGGGTATCGACAGGGAATAAGCAGGGAATTCAACTGAAACTCCCTTGCTTCCCCTAAAACGGCCGCACGGAGCAGGCGATCCTGGAGTGGACTAAAGCAGTGGAGCCTCGCTTCCACGAGGTCGGGACGGAGGATCCATGACTAACGGCCAATCCCCGATCTCGCCTGTGCAGAATCGTGCACGGCCCCAAGCAACGGCCCCGTTCCAGAACGCCGATCAGATCGTTTCTACTTTAGGATAACTCGGGATCTTCAGGAGACCCTGCGATCGACCTTTGGCACCTTCTTAACTGGTAAATGCGGGCCCTCGATGGATAAAGAAAAAAAGTCTGGTTCATTTTTAGATTTGGGTCGACACGTATAGCAGTGGACCTTATAGTTAAATTCTATTGAAAAAAAAAGGATCTGTATACTTTGGCGATCAATCGTAAGGTTTGTGTAAGCGAGGCAGTCCCGAGCGCTTAGAGCCGCCACCGCCGTCATTTGGTGTACGGTATTTTTCATTCTGGCCCCAACGGAGGTTTGCACTTTTTGAGTTTAGCGTAATGCGGGTCCTATTATGACCTTCCCTTTTTGCTTCCACGCGACATGAATCCGGGGCCGCCCCTTACTGACAGCCACTCAAGAGTATCTGGACTAAGGTGATTCGACAAAACTAAACAAAAAAAAATTATAATTATATACGAGTATACGTAAATATGTAAATGTCAATATATATACAGTCATCTCTTCTGCATACTCGCATGATCTGAATAAAATACAGATCGAACCGTTTATGGGGCTATGTGACAGGTAAGCAGGATCTGCACTAGTTAACCGAGGTTTCCAACGGGGACTTTCCGGCCTCCCATATCGGGCCTAGTGGCTTCGGACGCTAGGCACATCGCCAACGCGTGATTGGCCCGCCCGTCACATGTGGAGCTCGCTTTCTCTTGATCCTTTGTGTTTTCTTTTTGTTCTGCCATCGTCATCTTCCCCACTGGTTAATCTCCGAAATGATTTTTATTATATATTCTATTTAATTAATTTAAGCTTTCGAACGGACTGTCTCACCATTTTTGTACGAGATTCAATCAGGAAACCCACCCTGGCTAATTTGCTTTCGCTTTCCCCCCTCGGCATCGTCGATCATCCACGCGAGTCCTGACTATAAACCCTCGTGCCCCCCATACTTTGCTTCCCTATATTCATTTCCCCTCAAATCATATACCCCATTCATACAGGTATCTTAATCATGGATCTCGCCAATCTGCTCACTGGCGCTCCCAAGCCATATACCGAGACCTACCATAAGCGTTCTTTGCAAGCGCCTCCCTCCCCACCGGTTGAGGATCAGGTCAAATGCTCCCTGCCTTCGATCTCCAGTCTGTTGGAAGGTGCCGATGGTCAGCACGCAGCTAGTATGTTACATCGTCGATCTACATCTACATATGAACAACTTCTAACATCCATCAAGAGCGTCAACGCCTCAGCCCATCGCTGTCCCGGGATCGTGATGTCCACTACGAGACCATCCACCTCCCACCAACTCCCCCTCTGCGCCCAGGCTCTGGATCAGGTCTCGCTCGCTCCCCAGAACTGAGCAAGCCCAACCACCCCCACCGCTCCTCAGTCTCCAGCACCGGCTCTGCACCCATCTCCCGTAGCGGTCCCTACGCCTCACCCGCTCCAAGCGTCTTCTCATACTCTTCCCCCGTCGACGCTCAAGCACCAATGTACTATCCCCGCCCCCCAACTGCCCAGAGCTTCCAGCCCGCGACGCCTGTCGCCGCGCCGCAAATGCCCCCTCAACAACCTGCCCAGGTTCACCACCATCACCAGCACACTCAACAACCTACTCCTCGCTCTCCCACTCTCATCTCCCCCGTTACTCCTGCTTGGCAACACCACCACTACTTCCCGCCTTCCACTACAACTCCCTACCAGCAGAACCATGACCGCTATATCTGCCGCACATGCCACAAGGCCTTCTCGCGCCCTTCTTCTCTTCGCATCCACTCCCACTCTCACACGGGCGAGAAGCCGTTCCGGTGCACACATGCCGGCTGTGGAAAAGCCTTTTCCGTGCGCAGCAATATGAAGCGTCATGAGCGTGGCTGTCACTCTGGCCGCCCCGTTGCGCCCATCGCGGCTGCCGCTCCCACTGCTCTCGTGTCATAAGGACACTCGAACAGTTCAAACAAAAACCAAAACCAAGCCGGCCTGTTTTGCGCAGTACATACCTTTCCCTCCACATTTTCTCACGGGGGAACTGGATGGGATGGTCGATTGCATGGAGGATTTGAGAACCTCGAATCTTGTTTATTTGCATTTTCTTTTGTTATTTACTATGTCATTTTATGGGGGCGCTGGGATCTGTTTTTGGCGTTGGATCTGGGATTGTTTTATCTCTACTTATCGCCGTGATACCCTGGATTCTTTGGAGATTTTTCTTTTGGGACGGATTAGAGGATTCTGAGAGATCAGATCGATAAATTTTAAAATTATGAGAAATGTATTATTTATGATTGATATTCTTCCTACTGTATCCTGGTTTAGACCTCTCAGTTTGGCCAGTATTGTATATGATTTCATACTTAAATAACCTACAAGGTATAGATAGAAGAATACCCCCTAAATGAACTCGACTCTATTCTTCAAGTTACCCGTAATGCGACCTATCCGCTGCAGCCATCCATCTTTGACACATTCAGATTCCACCCGGGTCCTCCACTCCACCCCATCCCAGATAAGTAGCAATGCTCCGACGCAAACATTTCTTTCTTGACCGTTTGGAATTCTCCTAAAATAAGGCGCATGTTTCCCACGTATTGCGATCATGCATATACGATTGGTGCATTACGGCCAGTCCCGAGGTTTGCGCGATATATATTTTCTTTTGGGCAAAAGGGTACCAGCCAGCCCTACGGGACAAGACTGATAATTCAGAACTCTCGCTTTTGATGATTCTTTATTCTGACCTTCCCAAATCGGAAAGACCTCTTCTTACTAATAGACTCCATTTCCACATTTTGAGATTGACAGCTTACGTATATTCCGGAAGCGAGTTGAGTCCAGTCCACGGGTCCTACATCCCGGATGTTCCCCGGACCCAGAACTAAGAGCCGGACCCGGACCCGGATCCGGGCCGTGATTCAACTCGACTCGTTTATGAGATGCGATACTTTAGCCGTTCAACAATACACCCGCACCAAGGTAAATATTAATTAGACTTCGAAAGCTCCATCAGTTCAAGGGAGGTTTAGGAATGCGTGTTTCAGGGGCTCACATGCTAAAGCTAAGTTCTATCTATCCATCGCCCTGCAATGGTCCCGTGTAGATCCTCTTGGCGCTGACATGGACCTGACCAGGTGCGATCTTCGGTTCAGTTCGGTCATCTACCGAGTGATCTTCACTGGGGGTTCCAAGGGTCCAGAGACACTTCCAGGGTTTGTTTCATATTTTGAGGTTCCCGTTTGATGGCTGTGCAAGTTGAGATTGGAACGAAATAGTCAAATGTGATTGATGTCTGTCGGAATCTACGATCTATCCAATTTATATCCACTTCATGCGCGATAGCCGTATCTAACCGGTCCGAAATTCCAAACCAAACCGAGATTATATCAAACCCGAAAATATCATAGATCCCGTCATAAATCATAGCTTCATGCAGAATCATAGATCCTTCACTCCAATTGTCGTGCATCACTCATCCAATACCCCCTAACCAGCGCAGCGAGGCTAGTCTCATACCTAGCCGGATTATGATCACTTAACATCCCCGACGCAAATCGCAACTCCCCAAACCAAGCCTCCACATCTCGAATAAACCTCATCTGCACACGAGTGGCCGGTCGTCCAAGTCTCGGGTATCCATCAGACCCAAACTCCGGCTGCGGCGTGAACGCCTCCCGCTGCAGGACGCGCATCGTCTCGACCACAAAGACCTCGCCGGGCGGCATTAGTTTTGGTGCTCGCATCGCGTCTCGGAGGAGGGCGAGGGTTTTCCAGGCCCAGGCGTCTTCGCCTACGCCGTCGCCGGCGTTCACGACTAGCGGTGGCTGGTTGACGTAGAATTTATGCACGATGCTCTGTCGGAGTGTTTCGTGGAGGCGTTGGCGGATATGTGTTTTTGCGTGCGATACGTCTGTTTTGAAGAGGTGAGATGCTGTGTGCATATCGTGTAGGATGCCGAGAGATAGACTTGGGACGATGTCGGAGCCGTTGACGATTGTTGTGATTAGGCTTCTTGTTGCGAGGCGGAGGAACGGGGACATGACGGATGGGGGGCCATAGGCGTAGACATGAATTGGGCGGCCGGGGGGTAGGTCGTAGTGTGGAGGTGTCGATTCTGGCGTTGAGCTTTGTGTGTTGCTGTCGGTAAGAAGGCGAGGTCGAGAGGTTGGGTGGTAAGGTGCCGTGACAAAGGACGGACCGATAAGAGAGCTGCTGGGTTCGGAGATCATGGTCGCGAGTAGAGCGGCTACGCCGCCGCCGAGGGAGTGGCCGCAGAGTACGACGCCGTAATCTTGAAACTCTTCTAGGGCTGCGCGAAGCGTGATCATTACTCGGCCACCGCCGCCTTCGAGTAGTCGCTTTGCGGAAGCGTGCATTCCTTTGTGCACCTTCCAATTTTTGCCTTGCCATTCTAGGTCGTCGTAGTCGCATGTCATGTCTGTGAGGATGTCTTCAAAGCCCCAGGTGCCTCGGAGAGTGAGGACTACTGCCTTGGACTCGTGGTCGATGGACAGATAGTGCACTAGTGGGAATCCGCTTTCAGTTTCACCGGCTGCGTTCGAGCCTCCTGCTGGATCCACGAAGGAGGAGAGTAGAATTGTTGACGGGGGAGACCAGCGTTGTGCTCGAAGGCGCTGTGCTCGTGGCTGTCCGACAATTTATGCGGGATGCTTTTCGCATCTTTGCGTACACCCATGACCTTCAATGCACTGTTACCGTATGAAGCAGAGGAAAAGCGACAGAACCGGCGTATGTTTTGAACAAAGTGCCTCTTTGGGAAGATCCCTGGTATCATGCCGTCGCGGTTTAGTGCTTGAATGGTATCCATATCTTCATAGGCGCTTTTGCGCGCGCGATGGGCCAGCAAGAGCGAAGTCTCGGAGCCGGCAGTTGCGACAGAGTACATGCTAGGTGTATACGACTGCGATCGTCCGTGTAGTGTTGATGAGCCCGGGCGATCATTGGGTACAGGCCCATCCGTTTCAGATCTTGATATCGACAAGGAACTAGTGCTGCGAACATGTGTTCGAGATGTGGCAGAAGATCCCGGGCGCAGGTCAGCAGCACGACGTGAGAAGGCATCTGTGTGTGTAAGGAGAGACTCTTGGCTTCTTTCATGCGCAACATAGTGCCCTGCCCGGGAATTGCTTCTATCATACACACCATGCGCAGAAGCATGTTTGGCTTGCGACCGTGGAGAATGGGCTTGGGGAGAGTTGGAGAAAGGCGACCTTCGTAATCCACTATTCGGGCCAGGGGTTGATGGCCGATGGTCTGCTGTTTGGTTTGGTCTGGCTGGGAGTGGCCGATTGGCCTTCTCTCGCGCAGTCGCTTCTTTCACCGACGCCGCTCCTTTCGCAGGCTTGAGAGGCAATCGACTGGTTGATGTGCCAGAAGATCCAGAAGTTTTGATAGCCGGTCTTTTGGGGAGCGGTGGCTTGACGTTGCTAGTCTTCTCCTGGCCACTAGGCCTGAAGCGCTGGGCAAATTTAGAGCCTTTGGCCGCTGCCTTTTCTGTCTGGCCAGCTGAAGACCTAGAAATCGGGGACTCATCTCTGATAGTCGCATCGCTGGATGACCCTTCCGACTGGGCTCGCTTGAGCTGACTCCTAGGATGTCCAGACGATGCCGAGTTTACTGTTAAAGGCCGCTGGTAATCAGGTTCAGTGAGATCCGGGGTAGATGAAGGGCCCTGTGGTCGCAGCTGTGTGCTCTGCGACTTGTTGAAGGCAGTGCGAAACACCACGGTGTGCTTCGGGAGTTTCGAAAATTCCGGTACACTAGGACTCGCATGGTCATGATGGTGAAATCGTTCTTCCACCATTGTAGTTCCAGGAGGAGCTGCGATTTCAGCCATCTCATCATCGAAGATATCCACGGTTATTGTTCTTGCAGTCAGAGCCTCGGATTTGATGGAAGCATGGCAGCCTGGTGGTAATTGGCTCATGATGTACGCCCGAATATCTTCGTCCGAGACCTGCTGTTGGCTGTCTAGTGGGAACGAAAGACGAGACCCTGCAAACGAGTCTGGGATACTCGAGCGTCGCTGGACGGCATTGAAGGCTTGATCGCCAGTGCCGGGCATCACGAAAGAAGCGCCCTCGTGCTCGTTGGGTCCATCTTCACACGCTTCATTCGGGAATTGTAGTTGATGTGTCCCGACAACATCTGCGCGGGCTCCGTTGTCAAGGATGACGGTATCCCAAATGACTTCATCACCGCCATTCTCTCGCAATCGTCTTTCGGTATTCCTTTTACCCCAGCGCTGCAAGAGTGCAAAGCCCACTGAGCCTATCAACAGGTCCCCCACACCGATCTTCTCGGTACTGGCGCCAGTATCAACGGACCTGAATTCACGCCGAATAAGGGTAATAATAGCCGCAATGGCTCGAGAAGACTCTGTCGACCCTAAGATCGCATCTAGAGTCGACAAAAGTGCCTGCGAGAAGTTCGCCACGGACGCTAGGGTTGTCGACGAGAAATGGAAAGTAGCTGCGGCGAAGAAAGATGCCGAGGTCACGGTTGTATGTAATGTTGCCAACTGGCTTAATGTAAGCAATAGGTCTTTTTTTGTAATGCGATCACTTACACTTCGTTCTAACAATGATTCGGCCTCCATTCGTCCATGTTCATCCCCACTACGAATCGCGACATCGCGACCGGCACGCGTTAGAATGCCTTCGACCACGGCGCGGCCCAATTCTAAGCTCGTTAAGGTTGTCGCTCGTGCTCCATCCAGGGCAACCCCACCGAAAAATGACCCGATGCGTAATGTAAGTGAGGTGGATTGGGTCAGCAGAGATACCAAGGACGCGACTGGACGTGGCAGGAGTGTTGTGCCCGACGTTGCGGGGACATGGTTTGTTAACGCATTAGATTCCTCTGGTTCATCAGCTTTTGCAAACATAATGAGCCATGAGTAGATTTAATAATAATGATGGAAAAGATAAAGAAACATATTGAAATCAACATTGGGCATCTAATAGAATCTAGACAATCAGGGCCTTGACATGTGATTCCCACTTTGTTGGGAATGACGTAGTGACCAATCGTCTATCATGGGTATACCTTCACTTCTACATCATCACCTTCGCATCTCCTCCATATGTGACTCGGCGCATCTGTTGCTGGTTACATTCTTTTACCAAGCGGATTCCTGAAAGCGTCATATTCTGCCACATATCACCCAGCATGTTCTTAATCACTTGCCGAGCGCCTTCTTTCCCATCGATGCTGAGTCCGTAAACAATTGGTCGCCCCACCATCACGGCTTTAGCTCCTAGACATAGTGCCTTGACGACATCCATGCCTGTTCGGATACCGGAGTCGAACAGCACTGTCATCTGGTCGCCGACTGCCTCAACAATCTCGGGGAGAACGTCCAGCGAACCGATCGCACCATCAACCTGACGACCTGCAAAATGTCAGCAAATGTACACCTATTAAGTGCGAGAATGGAACATACCACCGTGGTTGGACACCACGATTCCTTCACAGCCATACTTAAGAGCCAACTTCGCATCCTCCACATGCTGAATACCTTTCAAGACGATGGGTCCGTCCCAGTGCTCCTTCAGAAAAGCAATGTCTTCCCAAGAATGAGGCTGACCCATATGCACATCGGCCAACCATGCGACTGCCGCACCAACAATATCTTCTTCGACTGGCTTTCCCGCCTTCTTCTCGAATTTGGCCCGGAAAACTGGATCGCTAAACCCAACCTGGCACCCGGTTCCCTTGAGGAACGGGATGTACCCGTTGTCAAGATCAGCCGGTCGCCAACCTTGAGTCCAGCAATCCAGAGTGATAACCAAGACTGAGAAGCCGCTAGCCTTTGCGCGTTGCAGGATGGAGACGGTGACATCGTTATCCTTAGGCCAGTAGAGCTGGTACCAGCGCTTACCATCCCCACTAGCTTCTGCGAGTTCTTCGATAGAGCTGGTACCAGCGGTGCTCATAGTGAAAGGAATGCCTTCCTCTGCGCAGACCTTGGCCAGTCCGGTGTCTTTATCTTCGTGGAAAATGCGCTGAACTCCTAGTGGGGCCACGATCAATGGAGTATCGTACTTCTGACCGAACAGTTCCACAGAAACGTCCTGGTCTTTGACCTAGAAGAAAGTATCACTTTGGTCAGCTAACAAAAAATAGCGAGTAGCCAGGCAGTACCAACATCGGGCATCATTCGCGGAATCCTAGATGAATTAGTCCCAAGCTTCATTTACATGCCACAGATAGGTCGAACGTACATCTTCCACTGCCGAAAAGCCAATCGGTTGCTATCCATAGTCGCCTTCTCACCGGCTCCCCCAGATACAAAATTATACGCCTCCTCACTGAGAGCCTTTTTTGCTTGTTCTTCCAGCATTCTTGGGTCAGTCGTGACGGTCGGCTTGATACCCATCAAGGTACCCTTGGCAAAGATAACATTTTGGTAACTTCCGTAGTTCGTCGCCATGATGCTACTGAGAATTGAATGTTTCAAGGAAATGATTAAGAATGGAAATTGTGAACTAAAATACTAGCAATTCTGACTCAACACCAGACCGCTTTATATTCTACCGACAAAATTAATATAACCTAATTTGGGTCTATGAAACAGACCCCCCAAAACTTACCATTTCCGGAGTACGTGATAGTTAGACTCCATCTATGTAGCTTTCCCATGCAAACTAACGTAAGATCCAGTGGATCTACTAGCATGACAAGCTTAGAATTCCCACCCCTTAGAATGGGGCCGAAAATTAATCTCGCTTACTACTGGGGCCAAAAATAGCCTAGTCAGAATACCACTGGGGCTAAAGGAGTAACGCAACTTTTATTCAGGACGTTTTTATACGCACTGCAGGATCGTATGCTCGTAGCATATTTCATTGTGCCATCTTTGTCTGAATTAGACTTACTTACGGGGCTAAAATAGCAAGGAGGCTTCTGATGCATGGTTTCATGTCTGGTGGAAGATTGACATGTCCATGTTTAGACTTGGATACAATTAGCCCCCAATTTTCACCTGAACGCGTATCCTAAAATTCGTGCTGCCAAGGCTCCAAGGTACGAAGCAAAACCAACAGGATGGAGCTGGCCTTTTTGAAAAAATTTTGGCTTCGAATTCCTCAGCTATGTATCAAATGCTTAGTACACATAGCGTGGCATTCAGTAATCGGCAATTATAATATAAGATGGCCCAATCCGTAAAGAGTTAGCCCTTGGTTCATGCACAAGCGCCAAGACACCAAAATAGTGCCTTAAGTGATCATCATTGCTTAAAATGGACTATCTGTCGAGAGGATATTAGTGGAGAGGTAATGCCCAGGTGCGCGCCAGCCATCATTCCAGTGTAAACCTGGCAGGGCCGCTGTTTCCAAGGTTGGGAATGGAGATAGGTAGGTACTTGAGATTGTGGAACCTTGAACCCATGCATATGCTACGTTACAAAATTGCTTGAGCATGCTTGACCATCCCCGGGCCTTGTAAATCAAAGAGTGTATAAGACACATATCTATGCTTGCTGGTTTTCCGCCGTGAAACCGCCCGCGCTCTATATATATTCATGCCGTAGAGGAGTGGCGGAAATACAGAATCTCAAGTTATGGGATCAGGTTCACTCCAAAAGTTCATTATCCAGCTTTTCATGGGTGGAGGGTTGTTCTTTTGAGATAGTACAATACTTTTAGACTATAAGGCTTTAATACACATGAAGAGATACTAGTGTTTGATTTCATGGCCATTGAGATGGGGTTTGAATATTCACTGGAAGTCTTGAGTGGGGCAGAAAAAAAAAACAAGACAAAAAAGAAAGGTCCCTGCCGGGGTCGAACCGGCGATCTTTCGGATCAAAACCGAACGGAGTAACCGCTGTCCCAAGGGACCGAAAGTGTGAAGTGTTGCGGCGATGGTACGAATCACAAAGGTTACAATATACAGGATGGCAATTCCTTCACAATACTTAGCGACGCAGTAATAGGAATGACATTAATGTCAATCTCAACAACTTCAATATGCCCAACAAGGCGAAAACGTGGGATGCTAAAGTTAGACTTGGGTGGTATTAGAAAAAAATCCAATCTACTTTGAATAATCGCGTATATCTTATTCACTGAAGATTGACAAATTGACCGTTCATTTGTCGCACTAACAAATTATTGCATATTGCTTTTTGATTCCTGATTTCATTCCATAATCCAATCGCCCAATCACCGCCGATAGCATGCCGGACCCTGTCTTGGCAACCTTAACTTTCGACCTTGAAGATCCCCCAGTTCTGCAGATTTTTTTTCTTCACATTGCGAGACCGTCTATGTACCTCAATCTCGAGCATGAGGCTGTCATTTCCGTGAATCAATCGGTGATCTTGTTTACCGTATTGTCGCAGCAATCGATTCCAAGGGATGGAGGGGCACGTACGACCCGAGAAGGACGTGGGTCCACCCCAGACAAACGACCCCGAGCTTCTTCACGAGATCAATTCAATATTCAAGGCCGAAGAAGAGAGGCTAGAGCAGACCTTGACTCGGAAGATTGATTTGCACATTCTTCCCTTTGTCGTGTTAATATACCTGTTCAGCTTTCTAGACCGAGGTACGTGTTGCGCACTGACAAGGGTGACTCAATTGCTGATAGCTGCAGTCAATATCGGAAATGCTCGCTTGTATGGTCTAGAAGAAGACTTGGGCCTAGTGGGCGACCAATACCAGGTTGCCGTATCCATTCTATTTGTGACTTATTGTGTATGTGGTTGTCACGTCCGCTGTCTGCCGAGGACAAGCTAACCCTCTTGCTAGTTCTTCGAAGTGCCCTCAAACCTAGTGATAAAAAAACTGAAGCCGTCACGTTATATCGCAACTATCGCTGTACTGTGGGGTATCATTGCCACTCTTACAGGTGTTGTCCAAAATTATGGCGGCCTCATTGCATGCCGAGTACTACTCGGAGTCGTGGAGGCGGGACTCTTCCCAGGATTTTTGACCTACCTCACCATCTTCTACAACAAGCGTGAGATCGCCCTACGAACGGGTTACTTATTTAGTAGTGCCGCCATCGCCGGCGCGTTTGGCGGTCTCCTCGCCTACGGGATCGGATTCATGGACGGTATCTGTGGGATGCGCGGATGGCGCTGGATCATGATTCTCGAGGGCATTCCGACCGTTCTACTCGGGATCGCGACCTGGTTCTTCTTAGCAGATGACCCGGATACGGCATACTATCTCAACAAAGAAGAGCGGGCGCTTGTTGTGCGTCTTCGCAGCCGTTATGTTGGTCAAACGGAATCGGCACAGAAGTTCCACTGGGCCGATGTGAAGGAGGGTGCGCTTGACTGGAAGATCTACGCATTTTGTATTGGTCAGTTTGGTGTTGATACCATGTTGTACGGGTACAGCACTTTCCTTCCTACTATCATCGAGGGGATGGGAGATTGGTCTGTTCCTCAGGTCCAGGCTCTGACGATTCCTTGTTACGGATTGGGTGCTATTGCCTACCTTTCTGTGGCTTGGTTGAGTGACAGAACGCAGCATCGTGCGTTATTCACCTGTCTTTTCAGCGCGATCTCCGTGGTCGGATATGGGATTCTCATCTCCGATTCCTCCTCCGGTGTTCATTATTTCGGTGCGCTGATGGTCGCACTGGGACTGTATGTGACTGTCGGATTACCGCTTGCCTGGCTCCCTACCAACCTGCCTCGATATGGTAAACGCACGTTTGCTACAGGTTTGCAGCTTACCTTTGGCAACATCAGTGGTGTCATGTCCCCATTCTTGTATAAGAATTCCGAGGGGCCGCGATTTGTCAGAGGCAATGCTGTCACGCTGGGCTTGGTAGGATTTGCTGGTGTTCTATATGGTGTGATGTGGTTCTGCCTTCGTCTCATCAATAAGCGTCGTGAACAGGGACTCGAGGATGACAAGATCACTGGCCTGACGGAGGAGGAAATCCAGGAACTTGGAGATCGGAACCCTCGGTTCCACTACAGCACCTGATGGAAATATAAACCCGAGGACAAGGCCGACAATAGAGTTTATCGCTTTCAACGCAATCAATGACTGAATATCGAATTGTGTACAGTTAGACCATAGATATGCGACTAGACTGAATTATCTTCACGCTTTCCTACGACCTCGGAAAGTAATCTACCCGATGACGAAAACGACAGGTCTAGATTCAACAATTTTCCAATAGTTCAAACTTGACTCTCGGAACTTGGCATTCCCGCTTCTTCGACGTCAACGTCCATGGTTTCTCGCTCGCTCTCGCTCTCGCTCCCGCTCTCGTAACCGTTCTCGCTCTCAACCCCACACGAACCCTTCGACTAGTCTAGTTATACCTCCCCCAAGCTTGCTTATTTACCTTTCATGAAGAGCTATGATCGAGCTTTTGCCCTCTTGGGCAAGATCGTCCTAAGATTTGAGCTCACGCTAACCACGTTCTGACTTGAAAAGTGTCCCTGCATTGTTAGCTCCGGGAGTTCGTGCCCCTCCAATCCACGACGATATCATTTTCCTTTTCTCCGGCCTTGCATGCAATATTGTCTCGATATGGAATGTCGATAGATGATCGCAAACAGAAGGCTATTGACCAAGGAACAAAATGCGACTTTTCATTCGAGCAGGTCAAAGCAAAGCGAAGGCCATGACATCAATAATTAAGATTGGTGTCCCAGAGAACCTATAAGTATCTCTCGTTTTCCTGCACATGAGAAGAAGAGAATTTTCAGGATCAGTCTTCAGTTTGTCAAGATTTAATACTTAATACCGCGTCCATAATGAAGGTCACCAATATCGCTCTGGCTAGTGCTGCCATCGGTCTTTCTACGGCCAGCCCAGTCACCAAGCGTGCAATCAGTGATGGTAAGCATCTCAAAAGATTGTTCATTAGAAATTTGGGAAAAAGTCTAACGTTACTCTCCTAATAGCTGATATCCTTAACTACGCGCTGACACTTGAGCATCTTGAGGCCTCCTTTTACCAGGAAGGTCTCATGAACTACACTCAAGCAGACTTTGTGAACGCTGGCTTCAAGGATCCCTTCTATGCCAATCTCAAGGAAGTTGCTTCCGATGAGCTGACCCACGAGAGCTTTCTGACCCAAGCCCTGTCTGGTAAGACGAGTTCTCAATGAAACCAAGGGAAAGAAAACATATTGACTCCTTCTCTAGCCGCCGGTGCATCCCCAGTCGCGCGTTGCAACTACTCGTTCCCATCAACCGATGTGAAGAGCTTCCTGGCCGTTGCCAGTGTCTTGGAAGGCACGCATACACTCTCTCAACATTTGCATAGACGAATACTAACAGCATTCTAGGCGTCGGAGTCAGTGCTTACCTCGGTGCCGCCAGCAGCATCATGAACGATACCTACCTCACTGCCGCAGGTAGCATCCTGACCGTCGAAGCACGACACAGCGCATACTTACGCGCTGCATTGGGCGAGAAGCCATTCGCCCAGCCCTTCGACACCCCCCTCGACTTCAACGAAGTTTACACACTTGCCGCGCCCTTCATCACTGCTTGCCCATCCAGCAATGGAAAGCTTCCAGTGATGGCATTTCCTTCTCTTACAATGAGCTCCATGAAGACGCTGATGGCCGGATCAACCGTCCAGCTTACAGCCGGAAGTGGTTTCAACACCTCCGATACCAGCAGCTTGTACGCTGCTTTCATCACCGTCACTGGCCCCGTTTGGGCTCCATTGAATTCCAGTGGTGATGGCATGTTCACTGTCACCATCCCTAATGGAGTTGCTGGACAGAGCTACGTTGTTCTTACTAAGGGAAACACCATGGCAACTGACGATAACATCGTTGCGGGCCCTGCTATCGTCGAGGTATCTTAAAAGAAATCGTTAATCACCCTGTACTTTATTGTTGTCGCAAAACTGACGTGCGAATCTCATTTGTTAGATTGGAATGGCTATGAGTGGTATGGGTATGTCTATGTCCTCACCATCGATGACTGGTGCGATGAGCAGCACTTCGGCTACAGCCCCGGCCTCTTCATCCCCAATGTACAATGCTGCAGTCCAGAGCATGTCTGGTAATATGTTTGGTGTCTTGAGTGCGGTCGTACTCGTTGCTGTTGCGGTTGTTTAATCGTGTGACTTAAGTTTGCAAGATTAGCTCGCAAGCCAGCGGACTGATTTTGGATGGAGGAGGGGATGTACCATGTGTTTTTATCTTTCTTGCAATAATTAATTTAGGATTTACTCCAGAATGGTGACCAACTTTTCTCACATCTTGGCTGGGTTGGCTTTTCTGTTCCAAGAATATACGCACTGAATAATCCTTGGCTTTGAACAATGCCCCCACCAGCTACGTCGTGTAAGACGTGTTGCGAGAGGGATTCGAAGGTAAAGAATGGCCCCCACACTCAACTGAGTTGCAGGTGTGACGATCGCCAGGGTCCAGACAGGAAAGGGGCGAGGTGCTGATCATCAGACCAATCAGGTGTCCCGAATGGGTACCCGTACCTTGCCCCAAAGACAAAAATTGCTCCACTTCATTTCTTCTCCCCCAGTCTTGATACTTTTGTTAGAATGCGCGCTTTCTTTCTGTTTCTTGGCTTGTAGCATGAGAGCCTCTTGGCGGACCAAGATCAAGATCGTCGAGCTTCGGCCGTAAGCTTCGGCCATAACCCTCGATGATATGATCATATTGATGATCAATGTCGAATAAAGAAGCACAGTTTTGAAGCTATAGTGCGCTAGCATAGGATCAAACAGCTTTCCGAAGACAATTAATATAGGGTTGAGACTACTACCTACAGCCAGGGTGGTACCGTTGTCCCTTTTGAGGTTTGCCTGCGATCTGCAGTCGAGTCATCCACTTTAGTTGTAACGCCTACTCCATATTTGAGCTGAATTTGGACCCCTAATGAGTGGAGTATACAGATCCCCCGAACAGAGTATTTGCCTTTCCATTTACTCCCCCAGGAATGATCTGCTGTTAGTTCTTTACCGAAATGTAGATCGGTATACTCTTAGGAAGGTGCAAACCTAGCGCCTTGATCCATTGCTGACAGATTCCACCACAGCTCAATGTTTTCCAAAGATATCAGAGTTTATTGATGTCATAGTAGCATTGAAGGAGTGTAAGATTCTTGGCAACAAATCCCTGAGACTCGGAGGCGATTAGAAGAAGTATAAAAGACCTTTGAACCGCAACATCAACATGAAAGCATCCAGATCAAGATAAACCGCAGCCCACAAACAAATCCTTCAATCCACCAGAACTCTCAATCTCTACAACTCAACCATGCCTTCTCTCCGCAACACTCTTCTCTGCCTGATGGCCAGCTCTGCAACCGTTTACGCTGAGCATCTGAAGGTCGTCTGGTCCTCCGGCGACTTCTCAACCATCTCCGGACCCTCCGGCGGAAACGAGAACGGCCATTACTCTGGCTTCGCTATCATCAACGACGCGGGCGAAGCTATCTACGACCAGGGCTTCCCTGATGACCACTCGCCTTGCTACAACACGGGTGATGGTCGTGAGTTTACTATCGAGGGTGACTGTTGGAGTACCCCTCGCAAGTTCAAGTGCAAGTCTGACTTCGGTGGTCACCCTGATACCTGTGAGGTCAAGGATGGCGATGGAAACAGTCTTGGCACTGGACAGGGAGAGACGGATACTGATTTTATTGGTATTGCTATTGGTCAGGATGCTAGCTGTGTGGTGGAGTTTGATTCTGATAGCGATGGCTGCCCTGTTGATGATGGTAACGGGCCTCTTCATGTTACCTCTGGATAAATGTATTTACGGAATCGATCCCAGGGGTATGGCTATAGATGTTGAAGTTGGGCTTTGTATCCAGATATTGCGCAAGTTGGTCCTCTGATTTGACTCGTCTTTTTTTGTTTATGTTCCAGGTTGTATGATGGAAGAATAAATGAATGTGCTTAAAAGTGGATTTTTTGTAGCAGACTCACGACCGTATACGGTGCAGGGATCAAATAGGCTGCTCTGCTTCCATCTTCTCGGAGTCTAAGAGTTGGGCAACATGATCATGTCCATTCTCAATGGCCCACGAAAGCGGAGTACGGCCAGCATAGTCCTTGGATTCTTTATTGACCTTCCCAGTGTCCAGAAGTAGTCTGACCATGTCATCATGGCCATTCTCGGCAGCGAATGATAGCGGAGTGCGACCACCCAAGTCCTTGGACTCTATATCCACTTGCTTAGTACTCAATAGTAGTATGACCACAGATTCATATCCATTCCCAGCAGCCCGTGAAAGCAGAGTACGACCAACCGAGTCCTGTGACTCTATATCGGCTTTTCCGGCGTCTAGAAATAGTCGGACTATAGCGTCATATCCATATGTAGCAGCCCATGCAAGTAGGGTACGGCAATTAGAATCCTTAAACTCGACGTTCGCGTTTCCCTTGAGAAGTAGTCTGACCACAGCATCTTGTCCGTTTCTAATGGCCCAAAAAAGCGGTGTTTGGCCAAATCTAGAGCCCTTGGTCTCTATATCTGCATTTTTCGAGTCCACTTCAATGGTCTATGCTTCTTAAGGCGCGACCAAGGCATAATTGTGCTCGTGGGTACGGTTTTTTCTGTTTTGCGATCGAGAGATATAGGGTCGAGAAATTCCTATCTTCAGATTCACCAAGAAAAGCGAAGGTTGCCTGACGTGGCACTCGGCGCTTGCTTACTGTATGCATGGAAGTAGAGTGGCTTTTCTGAGGGCTTTTGATTCGTCACTGTTGATTGTAACTAAATTAGCCTCTTACTTCCGGATTACTAATCACACAAGCGAAATGTCGTCTTTGTTTTGCGAGTCTTTATCATGTTCTACAAAGCTATTTATAACGCAGGGACAAAATTGGGAGTCAATATAGATTTTACTTTGCTTCAAGTTACTAGAAGATGCTACAATAGTTGCTGCTTGATTATCAATTGATGAGGGAATGCTCATGGAATTCCCAAATGCCTAGGCGGATGAACAAAAGGAAATAGATATCGCTATGTTATATAAAAACGACTAGGCGCCTGATTCCAAAGCCACCCATATAAACGTGAATATTGCCCATGAAGATCGTATTTTATAACGACCTACCATGCCAATTTTAGCATTGAAAATCATTGAACCGATGTGTTTCTAGCCATGTAGAAAATATCCCAAACAAGTGAAGCTTCTCACGGGTCCCTGACGTAATCCGTCGATCCCTCGGATCATTACTTCTTCCATCAATTACCCCAGCTCCCTTGACAGTGACTGTCACATCTGACAAATCGTCTAAGTCAATATGTCAATATGCCCCCGTTGAGACCGCATCGGAAATCTCGGAATGGGTGTGACCGATGCCGCGAAAGGCGGGTCAAATGTGACGAAAAGGGCCCACCCTGCTCCAATTGCACCAACCGCCAGCTAAACTGCACATACCTGAAAGTTGAAGCAGCGCGATGCCGGACGGCCACCAATGCGCGACCAGCAAAATATCAAGCTGCTCCACTCAGCGAGAGTCCCGACGCGCGATTCACGCGATCGCGCAACGGCGTCGGATCGCCCGTGTCGGATCTATCCACTCCACATGAAATCGACAACTTAGAATTAATGCATAAATTCTCTACTGATACGTACAAAAGTCTATGTGTGAGCGACTCTGAGAATTCCACCTGGCAAATCACCATCCCTCGCTTGGCGCTCAAACATCACTACTTGCTGGATGGCATTATGGCCTTGGCTTCCATGCATCTAGCTACAACTGCCGAGCCTGCTGAGGCTCTCATTTACCAGGATAGAGGCCTTCAATATTATAACCGCAGTCTCAGTCCATTTCGACACGCAATTGACAACATCACACCACAGAATTGCGATGCCGTGTTTGCGCATTCCATCGTTATGATCGCGATAAGCATCGCCTCGCCCCGTCTCACTGCCACAAAAGACGAAAGCTCAAGCATCACAGAGAATATCGTTGTTTTGTTCGAGTTGTTACAGGGCGTTAAGAAAATCCTCCAAGCTAGCAAGCCATGGGTTAAGCTGGAGCTGTTTACCCAAGGTGAATTCTGGAAAAAGACTACTACTGAGCTCAACGCCGACGAAGATGCCGCCCTTGCACATGTTGCTTCATTGAATGATCTTGTTATGACGGGAGTATATGCAAAACAGCATGATATTTGCAAGGATGTGTTAGCTCACCTACGCCACTGTTTCGCAAAATTTGCCCTTTCGCCAGACCCAGCACCTGTCATGGCCTGGCTTGCAGCGGTAAACAAAGATTTCGTGGATAATGTAAGATGTCGGCAGCCATTTTCACTGCTAATACTCATGTATTGGGGTGTCCTACTTGTGAAACTGGATGGAAAACGGTGGTGGGCTCGAAACGCAGGAAAAGCATTGGTCTCTGAGCTACTGGAGGCTTTACAAGATGGTGACCCTCGGTGGGAGAGTGCACTTTCATGGGTTCAACAACAGATTCCTTTATGAACCTTGTTTATAAAAATAATTTCTAATTTCATCAGAGTTTCTTTCACCCGTGGGCTGCAGCTAAGATCAAACCTTACCAAAGAACTTCAAACTCGAGATCTGCCGAACCAATGGGATGTGCCTCGGGTCACAGCCACGTTTTTTCCAAGGGTCATAAGAGATCCAAAATAGACTTGATGTCTATCGCACTAAGTTAAATCGACTTACCAAGCACGAAAATTTGATATCCGGCCGCATGAGACACATAGGCTAGACTTGAGACTGGCCATGCTCAATAGCATCCTGACCTTGTTCGCAATATCACAAGATTTGCGCCAAGATGGACTTCTCATTACCTCTTCCAGATTATCCACTGGGGTTGATCGAAACCGGTGGCGCTATGATCACACAATCAGTCTTGATACTGGCATTTGGCATACACTACTTCATCACAGCCCCTAATACAAGATACCGAAAAGTTCTCCTCCTCCCAATCGGCACCCTGATTCAAAATTCCATAATAGTCTACACAATCCATATCATCGCCTTATCCCTACTCGGCTGGTGCCTCGGGTCCAAACCACTGGAAGTCTCATTTTCCGAGATAATACCGACCTCCCGACTTCCGACCGGCTTCTCAACGAGTTAATCGGCGCCATAATTATTTTCGAGATCCTTTTCTACACAGGGCACCGCTTCATGCACCATCCCCGCTTCTACAAACTAGTCCACGAACGGCACCATCGTTTTGAGCAGGCAAGTTCCGAATAAGTTCCATTTGCGATGTTCTATGCTCATCCCATCGAGGCGCTTTATACGTATAGCGCTGTTGTGACTGCTGCCGCTGTGCAGCATAGTCATATTCTTAGTTCTTGGTTATCGGGGGCGGTCATTACTTCGTCGATGATGTATATGTATACTGGGGAGGATATTGCTGGTATTATGTCGCGCGACAGTCATCGTGTTCATCAGAAATTTAATTTTGGGGCTGTTGGGATATTGGACTGGATTTCTGGGACTTTGTGTGCTTCCAGGGGGATTGCTGGCTTATTCCAAAATTGGGCTTAGAAAATAGATTCTTGATATGGTGGATATTCTGTTGATTGATGACTCTCATGTATAACGTTGATACAAGCCCTGGGTGTTCAGATAATCTACTACGCTTGTTTACCGGTGAGCCAAATAGAATGTATAAAACCTTGAAATTTGACTTTTTGATATTCCGAGAGAAACGACGAATGTTACTTAAGATCTGAATATTTAGAACTTTCGATCCTTCACAGTTGCGATTCGTCATGTGGACTTGTACGACGATAGATCTCCCAGGGCGCGTCTTGGCGGGGATGAGGAGCTTCCCCCTTGAGTGAAACTTGTTGATCCACAACGCCTGTCGCGTGAGCACATGAACTCCGTGCTGAGCTATGAGATCATGATTTTGAAGCGACACTTACTGAAGATCATTATCGCTTTCGTTGCAATTTATCTAGCCGTGACGGTTTACAACAATGTATTTGTCGCCCCGCTAATTCAAGACCGTGGACCACAAATCGAAGTCCCCAGAGCCGCGACGCCCCACAGCGCGAGCTGGAAATCATGGTTCCATCCTCTCCAAGCCCGGCCGAATGAGACCGGAGCATCAAGTGAGGAATGGCATCTGTTCCAGCACCTGGGAGGAAACGGTCCCTGGATTGAGAAATCAGGATCTAATGATGAGTTGTCTAACCTTGCACCTCCCGAGGGGTGTTCGATTGACCAAGTACATATGGTAAGTCTCTATCAAAGTGTTTGAGTCCTATTATTAATGATATCCAGATATCACGACATGGAGAGAGGTACCCGACACCATCTGCAGGTAACCGTATGTCAATCTGGAATTTTGATTTCCGGGCGCCAAAGCTCATACATTTTCATGCCAGATCATCTACAGCTCCTCGAGCGCATAAGAGCACTTGAAGCACCTCTGAATGGCTCGCTGTCTTTCCTCAACAACTGGACCTACTTCACTGATGATCCCTCGAGGGACTTTGGTCAACTCACCAGCACCGGGCCGTATGCTGGTACCCTCGGTGCATTCACCACGGGGGTCAGATTCCGCACCCGATACGGCAATCTATTACCCAAGGGCTCAACGACCCGTTTCTGGGCTAGTGACTCCCAGCGGGTCATAGATACAGCCCGGTATTTTGCCTCTGGGCTGTTCGGTCTCGACTGGGAAAGCCGCAGAACTGCAGAACTACTTATCATTCCAGAGACGTTTGAGCGAGGCGCAGATACCCTGACGCCGGGCGAGACGTGCCGTAATTATGCCGAGGACAAGTCGCGTGGCCATGATCTAGGTGCTAAGCAGTTGGCTCTATTCCAGAATTGGTATATTCCTAGTATCGCTCATCGCCTGCTGCTAACTAACCCTGCGTTGGGTACGCTGGCCAATATGGAAGTTTACGGCATGCAGGAGATGTGTGGATCTGAGACCATGGTTCGTGGGTCGAGTCCGTGGTGTGATGTGTTTACGAGAGAAGACTGGGATCACTTTGAATATGCTCGTGACTTGTTGCACTATTACCGCGCTGGACCAGGAAATGCATATGCTCAGGCGATGGGATGGCTCTGGTTGAATGCCACGTCCACCTTGTTGCAGACTGGGATCGAAGCAGGAACATTGTTTTTGAGCTTGTAAGTGCAACTGCTGCGATGCTCTCCTGAAATTTTCCCTCCAGCTAACCAGTTCTAGTGCGCATGATGGAGATATTGTTCCCATTCTTACGGCTTTGGGCATTTTGTCTAACCCTGGGGAGACCCCTCTTCCGCCCAACTATTTCACGGCCGATAGACTCTGGCGCACTTCGTCCGTTCTGCCTATGGGTGCACGTATGATTGTGGAGCGATTAACTTGTTCGGACAAGAATGACGAATTTATCAGGATCAATATCAATGATCGGATAATGCCATTGCCATTTTGCAGGTCGGGCCCGGGAGCCTCTTGCCTGCTGGAACATTTTATCAAATATGTAGATTCTCAGAGAGATTCTTTTGGAGATTATGGACTTGCGTGTGGCTTAGAAGATCATGCGGAGAAAATCACATTCCTTCGTCAGGGTTGAAAGCATAGTTCACGGATATGGTCCATGCCTTCAAAAGCTGATACTCCAAGATTATTCTCTGTTACTTTGTCATCAGATAGTTGAAATTATCTCAAAATCTACAAACTATAACCCAAGATTGGCCTAGAAAATTAGAAGACGAGGTAGATCGAGCATTGATCCCAGTGATGCTGATGGTCATGTGACCCGTATCCCAGCGAACCACTGTTTACCAAAAGTTTGCCGTTTTTCGTTGCTCGACTCGAGCTTTGCCCCATCCCAGGCGGGACCATTCAATCACCCATTTACGCCTCATTTCACCTCCTTCAACCACTCTTACAGCTCCATACTGCAGGATACACCTGCGGAGTACCTTTCGCAATGGAGTACCATGCCGTCCCTCCCGAGGAGCGCGCCAGAGATGAGCAGGGCAACCTTTTGCCCTGGGGTTACGTTTACAAAGAGTGAGTTGAGAACCATACCGTTTGGTCATATATCCCTTGTTTCACATAAACTAACAACCTCAGTGAATCCCGCAATCCCCGACGACCACCAGAGGAATCAGGACCCTTCGGCAAGAGGAGAAACGCACGATATGAGCATGCTCGATCCCGAACACGAACAGGCACCCCAGCCAAGCGCGAGAACCCCAATGTCGCCGAATTTGGCCGCTTATTCGCCCAGCAAGTCGACGAAGAGAAAATCAGCGGCCTCCCCAAGTCAAACTCATCCTCCAGCCTCGACAACCCACGCAAGCAAACAGAAAAGGTCGCGACCGAATGCTTCTTGTACGGGTACAAGGCCAAGGACAGCGAGTGGAAGGTTATTGATAAGTACGAGCGCATCTCACAAGGCATGATCTGTGAAGATTACCCACGAAGCGACCCGAACTCTACATCTCAGTATGCACAGCTGCTGAGCGGCGGCGACGTCGTCATCCGCGCGAACCTGTCTGCCGATGCGAACCGAAAGTCTAAGCGCTATGCTGGTGGTTTCCACTGGATTAAGGTCACATTCGACTCGGCCCAGGCTGCGGATCGCGCATGCTTCTACTCACCGCAGGAGGTCGATGGCCACTTGGTTTTCTGTGAGCTGTACCACGGCCACGGCCCTGCAGAGGATTCCGCTATTCCCGCAGACTCAAAGGATGAATCATTGCGCACTCGTGCGCCACGTACCCTGACCTCCACACAATCAGCCTCTTTCCTGTCCAGCAAGGACCAAGACCGCCTCACCCTGCCGCGGTCTTTCGCCATGAACAATCTCTCCAGTGTTATGGATGCCCCCGAACCAGAAGAGGGATCGTCCTTTGACTCGTCAACTGCGACATTCACTACGGGCACTGCCACTGGAACAACCGTTACTGCAACCGGCATCTCCACAGGCCTTGAGCGCTCTTCATCGTTGCACCAGCGCAACGTTCCTCCTACTCCCGTAGAGCCAAAGCCGGAATCCGAATACATGACACACATCCCTACCGTCCGACGCACAAAACTCCGCCCTCTCGCCGAGGCCCTACCCCCTCAACCCACCGTGACCGAGCGCGTGCTACGATCCATCCCTATTCTGAGTTGGTTCACTGGTGATATTGTGGGTGATGGACCGCAGTTCCGCGAGGACGGTGCTTTCGACTACGATAAGTCGAACTCCTACTGGCGATTCTGGTACATGGTGGACAAGGTTCTCGGAACAGATATCTGTGGACTGAAGGAGGAGTCTTGAGAAGACTGCCACATTGACCTCCAGTCAAAATCTCTCTAGGCTGTATTGGGGAGACTACCATCCTTGTCCCAGGTATAACTAGAGCCGGGAATGAGCACCCACCAGCGAAGTACAGCAGATCAACTACCTGCTTTTGCAGGGCGCTGCTGGAGCGGGAACTCAAAGTGCATTCACAGGCGTCGTGGTTGGATTTATTTTTGGTGTACGATAGTTCTTGGGTATTTGACGTAGACATTATGAACCGTCCTACAAGGACTCTTTTCACGCTTCAAATTTTCCAGCTATACCTACAACCCTCCAAATATCTACGTATTCATGAATCTAACAAAAGCCCATAAATCCTAAGGTTGTGGATTTCCGCACCGATAGAAAGAAGTCGATACCGATCCACTCAATCCCGGAGAAAAAAAAAGCTCAACAGGAGACACAGAATAGAGCCAGACAGGCTTAACCCCGCTCGCATAAAGAACATCGAGGGAAAAACAAATGAAACAATGCAAACAACCGAATAGAACGGGATGAAACCATTTCATTGATCATATTGATTGATCATAGACCAAAAATTTTTGCAACGTTACTCTATTTATTCGGCCTTGCTCTCGAAGTTCTCGCCCTCAACAAGCTCGGGGATATCATCCTCGTCGTCGTTCTTGTCACCACCCTGAGCCTTCTGCATGTTCTGGTAGCTCTCAGCGAGCTTGCGGAGGGAGGCAAGGGAGTCGGGACCCAGCTGGTTCAGGATACCGGGGACGAGCTCGGTGAGCTCCTTCTCCTCGCCGTTACCGTAGAGAGCGAAGGTGTTGGAGGGGACGGAAGCGTGGACTGATCGCGTGAGAAGAATCTGTTAGTCGTTTGCACGGGTATGCGCGGGAAGTGGTAGGCTTACCGCGGGGGTTGGCGAAGTGGATGACGTTGCCGTCCTCCTTGAACATGTTGACCTCCTCAATTCCCTGGATGGGCTGGACGTTCATCTTCTTAAGGGTAGCCTGGAGCTTCTTGTCATCGGCACCGGAGTTGCGGGTGACCTTCTTGACCTTGCGGCGGGGGGTACCCTTGCCACTGCGGGGAAAACATTGTTAGTTGGACTGTGTTGGAATTGCGATTGTGGGTGGTTTGGAGGTATATGTGATGCGGGTTGGTGGTGATCGGTCGGCATGGATTCGGTGCAGGTTCGTTATCCCGTTGAAAATCACATAGTCGCGTAGTCCCCATCAAAACATCAAGTCTCGAGACAAAGCGGGTGTTGAGAATAGTGTAGTCGGGTTCAAAGTGTGGCAACTGATTCGAATGTTTGTCGCACCGAATCCATGCAGCGAAACGAAAGACTCGGAATGGAGGGGTCGGGAAGAGTTCTGGATTTAGAGATTATACGTACCCTGTCAAGTCAACAACGTCAGCAACTCGGGTCCAAAGCGATTGTAGGGAGTTTGAAGGAGCCATGGCACTCGGCTGACATTTTTACAAGTCGAGTTGCACGAGAGAGCAAGAGCTGGCGGCGCATATCGTCCAATGTGAATTGCCCACCAGCTCTTAGCTTCATCCCAACTTCGACTCATAACATGCCAACCGACTTTCCAGCAATCCACGAGATAATTTCACATACCGGTGCGAGCGCTCGCCTGCATTCTAGCCAACTTTGCTGTGTCCATCTTGATGGTTGTGAGGGGGTGTCTTCTACAGCGTCGGGTTAGCCGATGATCACCGACGAGCAGCGGGAAATGGCGACTAAGCGAACGTCCCGGGTGGAAAAGACGACGCAAAATTGAAATCCGGCAGAAATTCCGACGGGAATCAGGGGTATTTGGTGTGCTTACCGGGATAGAAGGTGAGTGGTGAAGGTGTGTAATCGGATTCGAGTTCGAGAGGGAAAGATGATGATGCACTATGGAGAGTTTTGTGTGGGGTGTTACAAAAACGGAAGATTCGCTAATGCGATACGAGCAAACTCCGCGATAATTCTACGCGCCTACTGAAGAGATTTGGTTCCTCCTAATTCCATTATAATTTCGCTATATACGTTGCATCTAAGTGATGTTCTTTAGTATTCTCGTCTGCAGTGGAATTGATTGTGGGCGAACACAAAACTGAAGCTCGGCTAAACCCTAAGAGTGATGTTCCCCCACCGCCCTGGGGAGAGCTTCAACGTCAATGTCACGGCAATGCAAATCCTAGAATGTCTTGGTCATCATAATTGGTATTTGACTATAAGGAGCTCGCAACTTCTACAGGAACAATTGCCGAATATTAGGAACAAAGACACCTTTGCATATGCCCGGGGAATATGGCCTGCGTCTGATAAAAAAGTACATTGTATACAGGCACATGATGAGCAAGGCGATTCGGTAGGGTGCTATATGGAAGCTTGAGAAATAAAATTTCAAACAGAGACATGATATTAGAGCTATAGAAGGATGAAAGTTAATATAAAAGCCCCGAGGTCAGTGTTTCATCGGTGTTCTGGAGATTCCAACCAAGCTCTGGAGGTTGGTTAAAGCTTCTGGGGGCTATTGCAATAGTTCAGACCGGAAAAGCACTATTAAGCACCACCTGTCGAGCCAATGTATATTGTATATCTCAAGGCAGTGAAAATACAAGAAATGGAAGAAGTGAAGGACTGAGGTCTTCGAATGGCCCAGAAACAGTTGAATCAAGCATGTTTACAAGCGGGGCAAGCTAATCAATGCTCAACAATGTATTTTCAACTCCCGATCAATTCAAATTAATTGCTATTTCCACGCGCGGTTTCCAATGATACAGCAGTCTAGTGATAAGATTCACTTCGGAATGGCCCGTTTCTTATCCCACATATTAAAGTACTTCTGCCACTTGTGTTTCTCTTGAAACCCAAGCAACCGTTTAATCTTCGCATTCGTCAACGGCGCCTCAAACTCCTCCAACTCCCGCGTGACAGGTGTATCAGGATATAGCTTCTGCAACAGCTCCTTAGTAGGTTTCAGAGTCGTAATCGTGTCATTTGTCGCATTGAAAACCTGGAACCCCAACCCATCCTTCTGCAAAGCAGCCTCACACATTCCACCCAGATCCCGCGAATCAACATACGCCCACCCATGCACTTTCCACAACTCCGGCTCATGGACATAACTGTAAAAGATATCCGCATTGTACTCTTCCGGCCCGATAACATGTCCAATACGGAGAACATAGATGTCAGCATTAAAGCGGGCTGCAAAGCCACGGGCTACACGCTCGTTGCATAGTTTCCCAATGGCGTATGTGTCCGTCGGACAGACATCTTGATCTTCCTCGACGGGGAAGGATTTGTAGTTTACATCGCCTTGAGCAAATGCCACCCCGTACACGGTAGTGCTGCTTGCGATGACAAGCTTCCGGACCCCGAGCTTGCAGGCTGCTTCACAGATATTGTATGTACCCAGCGTATTGGAGCGGAAGGTCTCATTATCCGGCACGATCATGTTGCGTGGGTACCCGGCCATATGGATTACGGCATCAGGTGGAGGAGGCAGGCCTTTGGGGAACGGCTCGGTCAGTGCCCATTGTCCGGAGAGTGCGTTGAAAACCTGGCCGCTGTCGGCGAGATCGGTCTTCAGGGTGTGCACGCCTGGGCGGGACATTGGGGCCAGATCTAGATTCAGGATCTGATGTCCGTTTTTGAGGAGTTCGGTGATGATCGATTGGCCAGCCTTGCCGGAGCCGCCGGTCACGACGATGCGACCTCTCTTCGCGAGAGTAGCCCTGAACATCTAATGGAAGCTGAAAATGGGAATGGAGGCTCTCTTTGCCTGGAAGTCTAGGATGATGCAGGTTTTCAGAGGAAGAGGCGAGAGTAGAAAGGTGTATCATGACTGCTATCGAGATCATCATGATGACATTTGCCTCCTGGAGTTGTCGACGATGGTGTAAAAAATCCCAAACGGCCAGTCATATAGAAATAAAATGGGACGGATGGAATGGCGTTCTTAAGATATGATTAGGTATCTTGTTCAAAGACGTGCGGTATTGGTATATCAACGAGGCCAACAATGGAAGTTGGTGTAGATTGAAACCACAGGCTGCTTTGTGGTTGAAGGAATCTATCCCCGAGTCATTCTCTGACGTACCGTACCGTAGAACTGTCTACTTGACTAAGGCTTATCCCATATGTATATTGATCTGAACTGTTGCATTCCGAGTGATCGCATTTCTGATCGATTCATTGACGGTAAATGACAATAGCGTACGTAATATGGCAATGGCAGCATATAGCACCTTGAACGTGAAATTTCACATTTCACGACCAGGCAATCTTAGCCCAGGATAAGATAGCTTTAGATCTCGAACTTAGCCGCACTTGGAAATCTGCGCCTCAGTCCAGTCCCAAAGCTTCTCAGGGATATCCGGACTTTGAACAAAAGCAGTACCCGCGCAGCGATTTCCAACAGGAATGTAATATGCGCCGTTAACCAAGTTCTCTTTAGCAGTAGTAGCAGCCCACAAGGAGTTGAAAGCACCAGTGGGAGTACTCCTAAAGAAAAGACCCACAACCATCCCTACAGCATGCTTCACAGATGAGCCAAGAGCCTTAGTATGCCCATATAACTCACTGTTGACAGCACCGGGATGCACAGCAACCGACATAATCTCCGGATACCTTCTCGCAAGTTCCTTTGCAAAGAAGATATTCGCAGCTTTAGACGCACCATATCGGTACCATGTACTGCCCGCCAAAAGTGATTCGGTAGAAGTAATCCCTTCAAATGAGGTCGGGCTAAGCACATGTGCGACAGACGCCAAGCTCAGAACGCGAACATCAGGCGTGACGCCTTGAGCGCGATCCCGCGCAACAGTCTCCTGCAGCGTAGGAAGAAGTAGCTTCGTGAGCAAAAAATGACCCACATGGTTCGTACCTAGTTGCACCTCGAATCCCTCTTCTGTTCTCGTCGCCGGGTTGCCCATTGTGCCTGCATTGAGAATGAGGATGTCTAGCCGGTCGCTGTCGGCCTGGAACTGGGCCGCGGCCGTGCGGATAGATTTAAAGGAACATAGGTCTAGTGGGAGGTAACGAATATCGGCTGGGGAGGAAAGTTCTTTCTGGATGGATTCGATCGCTACGCGGGCTTTGCTTTCTGTGCGCGCGGCGAGATAGATTCGGGCTGGGTTGTGCTTGGAGAGCTGGCGGATGGTTTCTTTGCCGATTCCCGCATTTCCTGGAGGCGCGAGACGCGTGTTAGCTTGGTTGGTTGGGTTGGAAATTGGGCGGAGCTTGTTTACCTCCTGTGAGCAAGATCACCTTGCCTTCTAAGCTAGGGATGTCGCGATCGGGGTTGAAGGAGGGACCGAGGAGGCCGAAGGTGGCCTCGTTGAGTGTCGGGCCGACGCTTGAGAGAGAGTCCAGGGGGTGCCACAAGCCGTAGCTTAGGAACCCGCTGGCGGCAAACATGTCGCGAATGTCCATTTTGTGAGTGAATATAAGTTAATATAATTTGGAGATTATTTACAGGTTGAATTCCTTGTCACTGCAAGCCTACTTGAGCTTCCCGGATAACAAGCTAAGGGGTTTTATCGACATTATGCCCGATAGCTTCTAAGAAGGCTATTTTGTGATGGAAATATGCAAATGAGGGTGACCAGGATTACTTTTCCTTCCCTTCTTATTTCGCCTGTCTCATGAGCCTCTGAAGACATCGATTCGTGTAAAAACCGCGTTTGAACAACTATGTAAGCAATTCAAGGAGATGATTTATACTTTGCCGCGGGAACCTTCATATAGGGAATAGTGGAGCATGTTTTTGTGTTCCAAGGGTATCTCGTCAGGTAATGTGTAGCGGGACAGGCTCCACCACATTTATGTAGACGCCGACCTCTTCCCTTTAGTAACGTAAATTCTTCGATTTGATCACCAACAAGGGCCCACAATAATGGACGACGAGGTGTTATACCCCCTTGTCTGCATATAATTTATTCCGCATTATGCAACAGAGACCCTTCTCCATGCATCTTGTATTCTTATCTGATTCAAGTCAATAGATCCTTACTCATATCATCGTCACGGCCTACAGAAGAAGCTTTTTTTCACCGCACTACCTCTACGTCCTTGAAGATGAAGACAACATTGAAGGCGACGCATCAAGCGCCGTAAACGCGCACTGTGAATACGACACATCTGCGTTCCACGGGAAAACTATTGATGATGTTATTTGTCTTCTTCGAGAGAGGACTACCGGAAACAAAGTAGCAACAAACGCGTTCTACATTGCGGATGACCAGACGATCAGGGATCACAGCTTGCTCCTGATTCAAGTTCAACCTGGAGAGAAGGATATATCATTTCTTAGCGTCCGACTCGCATGTGAATTCGTAAACCTAATGGCGAAATCTGTCTCAAATCCCGAATGCCCAGGATTGATCCAGGATATTCAGAAAGACATCGATGACGGTGGCGTGTATCGGGGTGGGAGAAAAGACCCTTACACATATTGTGGGACACGGACTTCCTATCTGGACGAACATGATGCGTTAGAACAGGTTATTAGCCCCATTTGAGGACTATTTGAAAGACTTGTAGCAGGAATAATATATATGGGCAGAAACCCGCATCATTATGTACCACTCTATCCATTGTCACACGCATAGTTATTTAGTTTGTGAATTGCAAAGCAAATTACAGTATTGTAACAATGACTCATTCATCGTTACCAGGGAATACAATACTGTTTGACATGAATCACGAAGGTGTGGCTAAAATGAGACTAGCGTATTCTGGGCTAGGGTTCGGGAATGAAAGTCAAAGAGTGTAGAGATTACTCTGGTTTCAAATGCTACTGTATATATTTACCCAAGGTATACGGGCCGTCCACGAGCCAGCCCCCAACTAACGGCCCACGAGAAAGTCTAGTTGTATATTTTTAGTATGCTTTATCTCGTGGTCATAGGGCTTAGTCCTCGAGGAATCATTGATGGGTAAGAGCGGGTTAAGCCGAAGTCAAGAGATAGGAAATGATTTCGAGGCTAATGGCAGCTTACTTCTCAATTATGGGAATCAAAATACTCACATCGGCATCGAAATTCCTAGACCAGTATTATGTGCTTGTTTTGAACTCACTATGAAGACGTTAACCAAACCCTACTTCCCCAATAGGCCTCTCAGAACCAACAATGAAACTCTCTCGAGTTTACTTCGTCACAGAAAGCTGAGTTGCCGCCTTTGACGGCCAGCTGGTTCCTGGCCCGGACCCGCTGCCGTAACTAATCAGCATCGACTTAAAGATATGCAGGCACCCATCGTCCCCTAGACTCTTCAGCAAATTCCTTTTGTTCATAGGAGTGTGGCTTAGGCAGGATGATAGAGAAAGCTCATGCGGGAATAGGTATAACTTGGTCAATATACCCTGATTAATCCAAGATGCTACATTGCAAAGGCAGTTCACTGAGAAATATCATGAAAAGGAATCAAACCTGATTTTGAAGATTCGAGGGTCTCAGGATCACTGTAATAGTAGCTTGATACGAAGCCAGCTATGGAAGTTTGGTCGGCGTGGTGCAAGAAGTCGATGTGCCCCACTGATCTTCAGCATTAATTTGTCGGACCACATTCAGCGGAACTAAACTCCCATCCAACTCTAGCTTCTCGGACATCTCAAGCGGATCCCTGTGAGTACAGGCACAAGTTTCGATTAGATGGAACTTATTCTGCAGTGTTCCCCACACGCCCTGCAAGCCTGCAGCTCTTCAGGGCCCATTCTCTCAATCGAATAAAATTCCGTGCAGAGTAACCGGTGGGAACGCGTCGTTCATTCCATAGATCATCGCCAAAACATGGGTGAAATTGCGTCTTAATCTGCCAAGCCATTGTACATGTCCCCGCTGCATAATCCTTGATTTCCGACATATCATCGCTCGACCACTATGTGGCCCTAGCCAAAGATCAAGTTTATATAAACCCACTCTCCCTCAGCCCTAATGGATGGATGTTTGAGCCTAGACCATCACCGTCTCATTTTTCTTCACTACCAAGAAGATGAGAATCGCCGGAGACCTCGCCCGAGGGGCCAGCATCTTTGCTCTACTTGCCGTGGCAGACGCAGCACTGTATGAACAGCCCATCAAGCTACCCCAGGGAAAGGTGCAAGGTGTTGCGGCCTTCAATAGCAGCAGTGCCCCATCTACAATCTCCAACTGGAAGGACATCCCCACTTGAAAGGGGTTTCCCTATGCAGCCAACCCAGCGGGAGCAAATCGCTGGAAGCCGCCTCAGACTGCCCATCCTGGAACGGAACCTTGAAAGCCACCTCCTTCGGTCTGACTTGCCCCAGCACGGCAGCTGGTGATGACATCGGTGAAGATTGTCTGACTGTGAACATCTGGAGCCCGGCCACCTCAGCTGATGCCAAACTGCCCGTCATGTTCTGGTCGTATGCCGCTGGTTCGGGATCCTCTGCGTCGGTCTATGTTGGTGGTGGTATGGCTGGGAAAGATATTGTCTTCGTTAGCTACAACTACCGTGTTGGAGCCCTTGACTGGCTCACTTTGTCCGAACTGGAGGAAGAAACTGGCGTGACGGGCAACTATATCCTATTGGATTCAATCGCAGCTTTGAAGTGGGTCCATGAAAACATTGCCGCTTTTGGTGGTGACCCTGATGCAATCACTGCAGCTGGCCAGTCATTTGGTGCCGGAATGAGCTACCATCTTCTTAACAGCCACCTGTCCAAGGGCCTCATCAAGGGAGCTATCGCAGAGAGTGGTATTAAGGACCCATATGATCCGAACCTGTACGGATATGGCAGCGACTACCACAACATGAGCACTTTGCTCGAGTTCAGCAACACATTTGTTGACTCATTGAACATCTCGAGCCTGGCCGAGCTAAGAGCAGTGAATGTCGAGACTCTTTTGACTGGAACTGGGTGAATGACTTCAGCGGTTTCGACCCTGCGCTGAACTACCATGCTATTCCGAACAAGTACATTGTGAGCCTAGAGGAGGGTGCGCCAAATAACGTCCCAGTCCTAGTTGGTAACGCCGCAGCTGAGAATGGAATCGATCTCTCCACCACATATAATGTATCAGCGTACGAGGAGGCAATCAAGTCTCTGTATGGAAAATACGCTAACGAGCTCCTGGATCTCTACTTGGCCAACACCACAGCCGAGGCCACGAATGCATACAATGAGATTTTGCGTGCCGGATTCTGTACCTCCACCTGGTCCTACGCTGACCGATGGAGCAAAACCTCCGACAAGGATATTTATTACTACTTGTGGACCTACTCGCCCTCGAGCGGCAGCGGCCCCACTCATGGCTCAGAGGTTGTGTTTGCATTGGATAACTTGTATGCTCAGTCGTCAACCTACAATCAGACTGACTATGAGGTTGCAGCGAAGATGTCGGCCTACTGGGCGAACTATGTCAAGACTCAGAATCCTAACAAGGGAGGCTCGGCCACTGAAACATTGCCCTACTGGGCCCCTGATATTCCCTCGGAAAATAATCAGTTCGAGTTGGGCAACCTCTGGAAGAAGATTCCCATTACTCCTTTCGCCACGGAGAAGAACATCTTCCTGGACTTCTGGCAGTGGGCGATTCCTGACCCGTTCTAATGATATGTTTGTCGGTAGCCTTTGATTGAGCCCTTAGAGATGTGTGTATTGATCACCCATATTATGTGGTATTTATTCAAATCGCCTCATCGTGCTAATATGACAAAATTTGCCCAATGTGTTATTCAAATTCATTATTCTATTGCAGTCCTGTGTAACAATGGACTTGTATTTGAGTTCCAACTCTAATTCCCCTCGAAAAGGCTGAACAATGACGCGTCCCACTCGGCAAGATCTCGGGCTACAATCTAATCTCGATTTGATCAGATTACTATCGCAACATCTTACTCGACAATTCCTTCAATTTTCACATAGTTCTTGGCAGCCAATTCGATTTATCCGATTCGATCCCGCATTTGCAAGTCCCATTTTCCGCAGGGCTAGCCCAATTGGCCATTGGCCCCCCTGCATGCACATGCGATTATTGAAGATCCACTAGTTCAGCCCTTTTAACTCCGTAATCGCCCCCATGCATTCTGCAGAATAGACACGAGACCGCAGCTGCCCAAATCTCACTTTCTGTCCGACACCTCCATCCTCTTCTCATTTGCGCATCCATCCTTTGACTTGATCTTTGCAACATCCGAGCTTAAAACAATAAACAACCGCCATGAGATTTCTCTGTTTGCACGGTGCGAGCACCAACACTGAGGTACGTGCACTTGCGACGAACGTACACGCCAAAGCTGACGCAATTCTCAGATCCTCGAGATCCAAACAGGTGGCTTGAGACAAAAGCTCTCACAAAAGGGTCACACTTTCAAATTCATGAATGGAAAATTCGTGGCGCCAGTTGAGGGGGGTACGAAACAATCTCCAAAACAATTCCCCACTTGCCCCCGCTCGTGAAGATACCCAAACAATAACCTTCAAAATTGACTCATCGACACCTGGGAAAATAAGACAATTGGCTAACAGACACAGAACTCGAAGGCGTAGTGGACGGCCCCTTTTTCAACCATTATGACCGCGACACAACCCCCGGCTCAACAGTAGCGCAGGCAATCGAGCATACCCAAAACATAATCGCCAAGGAAGGACCCTTCGACGCAGTCCTAGGCTTCTCGCAAGGCGCCGCTTTGGCCGCTGCAATGATCATCCAGCATGTAAAGGCGAAGCCCGATGCCCCACCTCTCTTCCGTGCAGCTGTCTTCTTGTGCGGAGGTGCGCCCTGGGAGGAGTCTGGTCTAATGCAGTTTAAGTCTGCGCCAGATTTTCACCCGATTAATATCCCTACGGCAAATGTGGTGGGCAAATTGGACCCGCTGTATGAGAGTGGTATGGAGCTTTATAAGCTTTGTGAGCCGTCCAAGGCTGGGTTTTATGATCACGGCATGAAGCATATGGTTCCGTTTGATGCTGTTAACACTGATGCTATTGTTCGTGTTATCGATGAGACTATTGCAAAGGCCTTGAGGTATTAGGGGTATGCATCGGATGTTGAGCATCTGACATTCAAGCTGGGGTTCTAGTATTTTATATTCATTCATGCCGCAGGTTTGCTGGACTATGGCCGATTTCTATGGAAAATGCATTTATATGGACGAAACCAGAACACAAAAATAATAGAGTATCAGCAAAGACCCATCTAGTGAGATTTTTCCAAATGCTCAGGTGATCGAGATGGGGATTTAAATTTGGCCCAGGCTAGTGCAGCGAAGAGAACTGCAAGCCCAAGAACCAGCGTGGGCCCCCAGTGCCCATTGCCTGTAGCAGGACGTTCATCAATTCATAAACCAGCGGAGTCCTCAACGGGGAGAACCTTCTCCAGGAACTTCTCGAGGTCGTTTATCTCATCCGGATCCGCCGAGTGTCCGAGGCCCCTAATTATCAGTTAGTATATCGCAAACCCCAAGTCAAAGTGAAAACATACTCATAAGAGTGGAATGAAACATCCTGCACACCCAAGTCCTTCACCATCTTGGAAGAAGTCTCGCCGAACTCAAACTTCACAACGCCGTCGTCCTTGCCGTGCGCTAAGAAGAATGGAGTCTCCTTGTTCGGGAATCCCTCGGGAATAAGGTTCTTAACGCGGTCGCTAAGCAGCAGGTAGCACGATAGTCCAAAGACACCGCCCAATTTCTCCTTGCCAGTCAGACCGCTGAAGACGGACATAGCACCACCTTGCGAGAACCCGCCCAGCACGATGCGCGAGGGCTTGATGCCCTTGTCCATTTCCTCCTTGATAAGGTTGTTGAAGTAATCGCGCGAGCGGAGGATACCGGTTTCATCTTGAGTGCGGACGGATTCTTGGATATCGAGCTGTGGTAGCGGGAAAGGCACAGGTCAGCGGAAGGTTACAGGCAGGAAGGGAATCGGGGAATCTCACATCACCGCCAAGCTTGGCGATATCATACCATCCCGGCATGGCCATACCGAAGTTCTAGGCTCCATCAGCGATGAGTTGTATGTGGGGACATAAATCGTTTCATACCACTGTAATGGGAATGTTGGGCGCATTAGGGAAGATAAAAGCCACCTCGTCGAACTTGTTGCGGCGGCGCCAGTTCTGGGCAAGGGCCATCCTGGTTCGAGAAATCGAATGTCAATATTTGAGCCTAAGGCTTTGGGTTTTGGGATTTGAGGCATACCATCCTTGACCACTGTTGAGAGATTAAGTTAGCTGGAGACGCTCTAATGGAGGTGTGGGGACATACGAGTCGCCCAGGCCGTGGGCCATGATCACCGTCGCGGTGTGCTTCTTCAGCGCGGGAACAACGAAAGGGGCGCGTGTTGCCATTTTGCCTGTGATATCGAAGTGAGATATCTAAAGAGTGTTAATGGGAGGGAGAAATGTGAGCGCTCGGTGCTTATTGACTCCGCTTTTCTGCCACCGAGGTTATTAAGACGGTACACCGCCTGCGCAATCGATAAGATCGAAGGATGGATGGACGTACGACATACACACTAGTCATATTTGTGGCATAAGTGTATATAGAATCGTTCGGTATCTACCATAGAAAGATGATCTTGTAAATGCGTTAACATGGGATTATGCCTGATGGGCATGAATTGCATCATTCCAATTCTTTGAATGGACCACGAGCCCTGGAAAGTTCAGCATTTAGAGACCTTGTAGAGCAAAGGTTGCGTCAAGTTCTAATGCTATCTAGCCAAAGCACTCAGGGTATTAAATTGACCCTTTTGACCAATTACCCTTGGCTCTGATCCGTGGGCCATATACATACAAAAGAAACGGAATCGGGATAAGAGCAACAGCAATAAATCCCAACAGACTGGATGCCCAAGGAGTTCCTAATTAACGAAACATTGCATTCGCAATAAGTGGGAGACATCCTGCAAAGACACTCCGCAGGAACGTGTTGACCGCAACAGCACTGGCAGAGTATTTCTGGAAAGTGTCAATCAGGTAATTCAACGCGGCCTGGAATATGGTGAAGAAGCCAAGTCCTGTTGATTCAGCACCGCAGATGGGACCAAACCAAAAAAATTCGGTCCCCTAGTCCAACTCAAGATAAACAAACCAGCAGCAAAAAAGATCGAGCCGATTATCATTGGTGGAAGTCGGGCTTCGGGAACAGGACGATTGTTATTGTCCTGGAATCGCCGACTGTAAAATCTTTGGTTGATTATGTTGACCGCCGCACCAAGCAAGATACCGAAGAGAAGGGCTAGAAACGGCAAAGCTCCGACTAGCGCTTTCTAACCGCGAAGTTATTGAAACTCGATCGGGGATGAGGCTAAACTGAGGTAGAGTATGCCATAAACAAAAGAAGCATATAGAGCGACGGCAAAGCATATTGGTGTCAATAATAGCTGAAATGGGCGGACGAGATATTTGCTTGACAGCTCGCTTAGAGTGGCATCCCATTCTTCATGCTGGGCATGAAGCGCCCAATTTCCTGACCGTAGACGGAGTTGACGGCTCTTGTAGACCAACAGAACCGGCGGAAAGCTTTCGTCCAAGAAAATCATGCCCAAGATGAGCGAGAGTGCCATAATCATTCCAGTAATCTGCGACATATTTAGAATGGATGACCTTTGAAGTAGCTAGATCAAAACTTGCATATTCAGTCCACCTCCAGTCAAGATTCGTCACTTCAATGGCCCCACCCACCACAGGCGCAATGACTGTTCCCGAAACCAGGGTGAGTGCGTATATTGTCACTGCAATGGCGCGGTGTTGTGAAGTCCAAATATCGGCCAGAACACCTCCCACATTCGTGATAGGAGCGGAGCAGAAGAACCCAGTGAAAAATCGGGTAATCAAGATAGACTTTATGTCTTTGAGACGGCTGTGGCAAATGATAGCGCAACGGAAATGGCGTATGGAGCTAGAAATGCTTTCTTCCTTCCGTAAACCTCTGAACAAGGGGCCCACAAGAGAGGACCGAGTCCAACCCCAAACAAGGACAACGATATACCCAGTGTCCCAACGTCTTCGGAAGTTTGATACTGTTTATCAATACTTGAGATGGCTTGCGAGTATCTATATGAAATCAGCATAGACCTAAGGAGAAGGGAATCATTAGAACGTACGCAGAACTTGCCCATGCAGAGCCTAATGCAGAGCCGTCAGTACTTCATTGAAAAGAGTCTTAGAACTTTCAAGCATGAGACTCACCCATTGTGATAAGTCCATATAAGACGGTAGTAATAGCCTTTTTGTGAAAGCTCCAGTTTAATGGGTTGTAAGGATCATTTGGCCCTTCAAACTTCACCAGATGCCGCTCATCTGTTTTCAAATGCTCAAGATCGTGAGTATGAGTTTCTGACTGATCTGTGTGTCTGAGCCTAAACTTGGACAGCTTTGACGGAGTCGCAGCATCTAATGAATTGCCCAGAGCAGGAAACCCTTCTTTGGATGCCATCTCTTCAACATTCAACAGGGCTCAGATCGCCTAAGCCTTGATTAAATTGATTAGCAGTCCAAAATTATGAGTTCCTGAACGGCATTGGAATTTAAATACCAATTATTCCGAATGCTTCAAAGTGTCGCGGCTTTCACCAAGAGATAGTTATTGTCATTCTTTAGCTAACACCTTGCATTATGTATTGTTTGTCTCGGATTTAGAATCTATGGACTTGTTGAAAATTAAGTCAGGCCCTGATTGCCCTGGACTTGTCTGCTTGGAAACCGCTCAGACAAACCAGAACAGGAAGAATTTTCAACGCCGCAGATCTACGGCTCGGCTTTAACCCCTACCCTACTTATCATACCGAGTGTATCAACGGTATCCGATAGGCTAAATGGCTGCTTGGAAGACGATCTGAAATTATTGAACCTGGAGGTGGCGGGTGGGACCAGGCACCATCATTTTGGAGACGGATGCTTGACGGTCAATCAGGTAAATTCAACTCGAAACAGTAAAGCCGAAAAGGCTTGTCTAGATAAAGCCGTATATCATTCGGGATTCAAATGGATCTCCGAGGTACTGCTGCCGTAGCCCGAAACCTTATAACGAGGGATTTCGGCGGAAGAACATCGCCGAGGAAAGAGATCTCGGAGAATAAAAAGATCTCTCAGTACATATAGGACAGGCTCAAAATTACGGACCCAAACGTTCTCTTACTCATATCTTCTCTCCCTCGATTAACAATTATTTTGCCCATTGAAAATGGGTGATAGGCTTCGTCTGACCTTTGCCTGCGGGTCTTATGACCGCATGGATGCCCTGGCGAACAAGGTGGTCGAGCCTGTCGGAATTGACCTCAACTACATTGCTATCAATTGCCCACGGGAAATATTTGATCGGATGATTCCAGGCATGGAATTTGATATTTTGAAATGTCCAGTTCGGAGTTTATCTGCCGGTATGCGGCCGGTGAACGAGACCTAGTTGCAATTCCTGTGTTCCCCTCTAGGGCATTTCGTCATAGTTGTATTGTGGTCAACTCGAGCATCATCTCTAAACCATCCGATCTCAATGGAAAAAAGATAGGTGTTCAGGTCTACACTATGACCGCTGCTGTTTGGGTCCGAGGGATACTGCAGGATGCAGGGGTCGACCTATCTACGATTACTTGGGTTGAGGGAGACCTAGTCCAGCCTGGTTCCCACGGAAAAGCAATGCCAAAGCCACTCCTCCGACCGATTGAGCGAGTCCCGAATCAAAGCCCAAAGTCGCTCAGTCAACTACTCGAAGATGGCGAGATTGCAGCCACAGTCGGTGCACACGCTCCACCGTGTCTCGGACATGCACCTCATATCCAACGTTTATTCCCGAACATTCGTGAAACCGAGAAGGGGTATTATCAAAGAACTGGAATATTCCCTATCATGCACCTTGTTGTCATAAAAAGTGATATTGTGGAACAGCACCCATTCGTCCCGCGCAGTATTTTTCAAGCCATGAATGAGTCTAAGAACATGGCTCTGCGCTCGATGAGGTTCCTTTCCACTTACCGGTATATGTTGCCGTTCCTCACGTCTGATATAGATGAGATCGACTTATTATTTGGTGGCGATCCATGGCCTTATGGAGTTGAGTCTAATCGCACGGCTTTGGAGGCACTTGTGAACTTGTTGTATGAGCAAGCCATGATTTCTCGCAAAATTGCGATTGATGAAATATTTGTTGGCTCCTATGAATAAGGCCTTGATCTGCGGGAAGTGAGACGGGTGGATCGCTACACCACTCTCGGCTGGCAAGGTGACGAGGTTGATTTTATACTCAGATACCAAAAGGAATGTAAAAATACAAAACTACATTGCGTTGGAAGATATTGATTCGAAAACATTGAGATGAATTTGATTGATGAAGTATTCCAAGACTAATAAAGATATACAAACTCATCATTCTCCCTATCAGTGATATCCTGGTTAGCGTGCGTACCAGCATGAGTCACACCATCCATATTCCCTTCTTCAACACCATGGAAGTGGGATTGCATGGAATGATCGACGATGATAGCGCTCTTCCCGTTTCGAACGCGACGACGAGCTTGCTGCTTGTTGAGGAACCACAGATTTCCCCACTGAATGAGTACAACGCACGCCAGTGCACTGAAGATGCCCAGGCAGGCCCGCAGACCCGGGTGATAGGAGGGAGCATCCTTCGAGCTGAATAGCAACGGACCCACAATGTTTCCAGCAGAGGTCGCTGCGTTGAACAGACTCATAGCGACTGACTTCTTGGTGCTGCCTGCAGTATTACCAACAATCCAAGTCACGATCAACGGATTTCCACCAAATAAAAATGCAAGCAAGTAATAGCCTGCCAGAAGAGCACCTTGATTCGCATCCGTCCGAGGAACGGCGTATAGAATGGCTAGGCCTGCGACCACCGGAAGCATGAATGTTGCGAGAATGGCTCCTTTGACCCGAGCAGTCTGAGCCAGCCAACTAGCAATCAGGATAGCGATGAATTGCATGGCTCCGAACGGCATTGTCAAGAGGCTGGTGCGGTATGTATCGTAGCCCAGGCCATCAAGAATCAGTGGACCAAATGTGTTGGTCACACTGGCACCGATATTTAGAAGCATTGCCATGCCAATCCACAAGTATGTTTTGGGCTCAAGGACGGCTTCATAGACGTGACTGAGCTTGAATTCTGTAGTTCCGGTACCCGTTTGGTTGGCACGGAGGCGCTCCATGCCCTGGAGTTTTTCGGTTTCGTTCAGGAATCGAGCAGTGCTAATGTCGTTGTCAAGGCGCCAGTAGACGATCGGGGCGGAGACAATGGTCACAAGGCCTACAAATAGGAAGATTCTGGAGCATATTAGTGAGTTGTTTGCTGCACCTTGGATTGTTTTGGCTTACATTTGCCAAGATTCTAGAACATCAGAATTGATGTGGGCTAGACCATACGATAGAGCAGCTGCCACAATAGTCGCTAGACCATTGGTGCTGTACCATGCTGCGATACGAACAGGCTGTTCTGATCGGAGGTACCATTGGCTAGTAATGATACCGAAGAGCGGCAGACATCCTGCCTCGAAGAGTCCAAGAAAAAAGCGGGCAGCCATCAACTCGCTGAAGTTGTGACAAGCGGCCATGCACGCCTGCGCAATACCCCAGCCAAGACATAGAATTGGCATCAAAATCTTTGGGGGGAACTTTGACGATGAGGTAGGAGGAGAATGGCTGCCAACATAGTTGAGCGATCGGGGCAATGGAACCAATCAACGAGTATTCATTTCCTGTCAACCCTGTATCGGTCTCCATTCCATATGTCGCTCCATATCCAAGGACGGTCTTGTCAAGAATCTGTAAAAAGTAGACCCAGATGAGAACGAGAAGGATGGTACGGTCGGTCTTGTGACAAATGCGCTTGTTTTCCTTCTCGGTCAAGGGTACGTGCGGTGGGTCGACAGGCAGGTCATCCTTCATAGCCTGTGGGTCTTCATCATGAACGGCGTTCGGCTTCGACATGTTGCTGCGCATGTAGTCTGAATATTTTGCGCAGAAACCACGCTGTAAACCAGATCAAGTCAAGATTCCGGGGTTTTATCTCTGGATCCCCCCACGCTGAAACTAAGTTTGTGGGGGCATGTTTCCCCGCGTCCCCCCACGCCTCCGCATTGTCCGAGAGAATCGATGCGGTCATCATTCCTAGATTGATACTCGTCTCGGGCTGATCATTGGTGGCTGTAGTTAGCGATAAATGAATGCTGCAAGCAAACTTACTTTCCTCCAATAATGTTCGGTCCACGGTGATCTTTCTCCGCTACCCCGGCTCGCCGTCCACTTGCCAGCTCCCGCGGTGGCTGACGGATACGAGATAAGATTGGGTAGTAGCGAAATCACATGGTGGCCGGCTAATCTCGGTCAGATACATCGAATCAAATTCTTTTGTTTGCATGAAGTTCATAGGCCGAAAACGTTGTGCCGAGACGGAAATGGGCCGACGGGAATGGCACCACACCACACCCTTGGATAAATAGCTCTCACCTTTGTGTCTAGCCCGCTGCCCCCACTCTCTTTCAGATAAGACATCGGTATGAAACAACTGAATGTTGCCATGAAAGCGCTCCAAGATTACGTACCAGGAAGAAAGGGGCAAAAATAGGCTTTCAAGGATGTCATAGGAGAATAGGAAAGAAGAAGAAATTACATAAATGACTTAGATGTATAGAAAAACTTCAACTTCCTAACGTAAACCACCACTATTCCAGCCACACCAATAAACAAGCCTCATCACTAGCCACCTAATTAGATCTCGCCCATATCCTGGTAGACTCAACAATCCGACCTTAGATTGTGCTGAAATCAACCCGTTGGGTACCTTGACGCATATAGAAATTCTCGTGACAAGTACATATTGCACTTCTAATGAGGAAGTCAGATCGAGGATTATCTTAGGCGCTAAATATGCAGACTTTGAGATATCTAGAGATCAATAGGGATCAAAATTTGTATAACATCACAAGTCCTGAAGTTGGGGAACTAGCTCTAGGTTTGTTTTTTTTTTTTTTTTTTTTTTTTTGGTAACAATCTGATTCACCTATGATGGGCAACAAGGCATTTGAAGTGGAGACAAAACCAGACAAACCCCTGAGAATCACCATTTTCATCGGCATAACACTTAATCTAAGTCAAGGGTACAAAAACAGTGAGTGATCAAATATGAGCCCCATTAGTCCATAAAAACCACGAGAGTCCACCGGTCGAGGTCAAACATTAGAGATATTCATTCCCATATTGCCGCTGTTAGTCTCCAAAGTATAATCTGACCATGCTTGACAAGTCTGGTTCAAAGTATTGAAATCAATCAGATCTGCAATCTCATCTTTCCTTTCCAAAAACTGCAGTGCAAATCCTTCTTCGGTGTGCCAGCCAATATGGCAATGCATCAACCACACACCCGGATTGTCAGTCTTGAAAGCAATAATCAAGTATCCATAGTCATACAGCAATGCTGTATCGCGTCGAGGTGGGTTGATGGTCTTCGTTACACCATTAAATGTGCCGGTTCCTTGTGCAAGGATATAAAAGTCATGACCATGCAGATGAATAGGATGGGCTTCTTGGCCGGCTGTGCCTGAAGCACTGATGATGTTGACGTAAACCCATGTATTCTTCGTGGGAATATCGATTAAATTAGTAGCGCTTTGGATGAAAGTGCTTCCATTGCTTGTAGTATCGATGTAAGGGCCAATGGTGTCATTAAAGACATGCTGGTTGTAAAGTTGTAATAGAGTGGGATTTGTCCAATTGGCATGCATCGTCGAGCGGTTCAAATACCAACTGTAAGAAGCGGTATCATTACTCTGTAATAGGTCTGTAGTCAGAGACCTGTTCCAAGAGGAACTAATGGGAGGTGGAACATTTTTCGCAACGACAGGTATTAAACTATCCAAGGGCTCATCTATATCAACGGCTTTGATGGTAGGGGTCTCTTTAGTCTTTGGATCTCTTGGTGTTGCTGGTATATCGCCATAGTAGAGAATGCCTAGAGATGAACGAGCATTCGAGTCCTGAGCGAGTGAGCTGGTATTCAGTCGTATCCAAAACTCTTCAGCCACTGAGGCCTGATCTGCGTGAAGTATGACGTCGTATCGCTGGCCTAAAATTGATAAATATGTTAATTCAGAATTTGAGGCTGTGGTAGAAGCGTGGTGATTTGATAAGCTGACAGTAGACATACCCATTGTTAGATAGATCCAGGATGTGTTATATGGCTTGATTGGCACAAGGTCCATCGAAATGACAGTCAAGTTATGATTATCAATTTGGAACAAATAGTTTTTGTTGATTGCGGAATTGACAAGCCGAAGCCGATAGGAGGTTCCCTGGGTTACGCTAAGCTCAAATCGTTTCCCTACTGAAGTGTCATTAGTGACTGGATAGATATTCGTGCCATTTATTAAGTCATTGTCAGGGTTGGCAGTCCCATTTGTTCGTTCAATATCAAATAGCTGATCAACAGGTCGATGTGTCCAGTCGTTAAGGAACATCATCCCTCTGTCTTCATCGTAGTTTGCACTGGCGGGTCCGCGTATAACTATGCCACCAAAGACGCCTTCCCAGGCTTGGAGCCCATAGTGAGAATGGTACCAGGAGGTCCCATACTGAACAGCTCGCCAGCGATAGGTCATGGAGGACTTAGGAGCAATAGGGCATTGAGTGAGCGAGCTCACGCCATCATTGGGATTGGTGAAATTCTGACGAATGCCGTGAAAATGAAGGCTCGTCCCATTGATTATATCCGTTAGGTTGTTTGTCACATGGACAACTACCTCGTCACCCCAATCTGCAAAGAGTGTGGGTCCAGGAATTGTACCGTTTGCAGTCATGACGTCTCGAGGGTACCCATCTGGGCTGAGCTTGGTGTTATTGATAGTGAGCCAATACTCTCGGGTCATCCCGGTGTAAGGTGCAGTCTCTTCATAGTCGGTGTTGATAGTATAGTTACACCATGAAGCCCTATCACTTTTTGCTTCGCATGAAGTACTGGTGGAATTTGCCGCTGTTGTTGAAGCATTGGTAGGAGTCGGAGGACTTTGAGGAATTGCGACAGCAAAACCGACAATAAGCCCCCAAAAATATAATGATATCAAGTTCATTTTCCCGGATGTTCTGAAGCGATACTGGCCCAAAGCACTGAAGATTCTTTGTGATAAAGGGAAAGGAACGAATAATCGAATGAGTAGTAGATGAACATGACGGCAATGAACGAGTATTTATGGATATATCTAGATAGGCCACTGGAGGGTAAATGCCCCAGGGACCTATAAGCCCTACATGACTTTCGGCCTTGATGTTTCGAATCTACAAGGGAATGCTAGTTCGGAAATACAAATCTGAGAAGTGATAAGAACTTCACCTATATGATATCCACTGAACCATCTCCCGGCAACTATTTTGCAGGGAATCGCATACGCCTAATATTGCAAATCCCCTAGACACAGCCAGGCTATAATTATAGATTCCCACTTATTAATTGTGTGGTGAGCCTGGAGGCCCTGGTGGCCTCAAACATCATTTTTAGTTCTAATGGGGGTAATTGTTCGGTATCGAAGATAATGTTCAGCCCATCAACTTCAAGTGAGGGGCCACAGTCTGAACACGAATATCCCAACTATAGCCTGACTAAAAACATAAATTGCGGTATCATACCTTTCAAATAGCAAAATATCACCTGGGTAGATTCCCAGGTGAGCTACAGCAGGCCGTGGTCGGGCGTCGACGCGTACTTGTGTTACAAATGAGAGCTGAGCTCAAGAGCCGAATGACCCAGCAATATTTGGGATGATATCACCTAGCGATCGCTGGAATATCTCTCGCAATAAGGCTTCCGGCCTACCCAGATGTCTACCTGGAGAGTTGTCAGCGTCGTACAGGCCCTGAGTGGCGCACGGGTTACCTGGGCATGGACATGCATTAATCGAGCGTGCAGAGGCGCAAATGCCAAGGGCCACCCCAAACTACAGTTTCAAAGTTATTCTTAGCCCAGCTTGCAGTGTAAGTAACTGGTGTGTCCTGCCTGAATGGCAGGCTTTTGTTATGGGAATTATATAAAAGAGGGCGAATGTGACAACTACCATAACAACCAATTTTTTTTTCTCCAATCAAGTTCAATAATTTGCTCTAAACCCATAACTTTTCTTTTGCAGTCCATTATCCATTCAATCTCCATAGAATGATGTTTCTCGGTGGTATTTTGATCGCTATCTTTGCACTTGCATGCCAAGCGGTCCCTTTGGTCGAACGCCAGTCCAATGAGAGTACCTTTGGTCTGTATGCGTACGGCACCAATATCAACGGTCTACCCGTCTTTTATGCCGATGGTAAATTTCGTCACCAGCAAACATATATCTCGAAGCTAATATGACTTCACAGGCCTAGCACAAATCGGCGACGCATCGCACTCCTCCGCAGCGACCGCTAGGAATGTGTACTGTAAGTGATTGTCTCTCAAAAAAGATGATATAAACTAAAATCTAACAAGTTACATCTAATTCCACTGACTCTCACACATGGATTGCCCACGTCAATAACACGCTGCCCGATATCGTTTATAGAAATATCATTGTTAGGGCTTTCGATGTCAGTGCGCCAGATTTCGGACCCACAGCAGAAAGCCTGAGTACCCAGCTTCTATGTCTCACCCAGACGAATTCAACATCAACGACTGATCCAGTTGGTTTCGTTGCTCCGGCTGACTCTGGGGGCAAGATTGTCGACACTTTCACTCAGTACAGTTACAATGTCATGCTTAGTGAACATAACGCAAGGTTCTATGCAAGGCCCAATGGCAATGGTACCTATGACTTGCTATGGAGTACAGTTACAGACAATGGAGATATTCCGTTGCTATTGAAGACAATTGGAGTGTGGGAACAACCAGTCTCGGTGGCCCCTGGCAAATAAACCTAGCTAGTGCAGTGATCTTGCGAAGTGCGCGCGACAAATAGACCTTTGTCCCGCAGAATCACCAAATGATGAATTATTATGTGTGGACTCTATTGGGATTCTTAATTTCTATCTGATAGACTTTGACATTGGGACATTGGTTTGACACTCCTTGTGAAACAATTTGCTAGGCTGGCCCTTAACATTCTGTGCAGCGATCGGCAAAGAGCGGGTGGACTAATTAAATCCCTCGGTATAGTAAATTAAATTATTGAGAGAATGACCCAATCAGTTGCTTAAAACTAGTTTCTTAAGCAAAAGGTGAACAATGACAGTGCGCCATACAATTCATAGACACCGAGCCCTCGAGCATCAATATTTCCCAAAACCCACTAGAGCATGTCATTCATTGTCAGACATGCAATGACATCGCATCCACAAAACGTCTCTGGAAATGTAGGGGGTTGATGAACATGACGTCAGCGGATCTAAAAAAACGGATCGTCACCAGGCCCCACAACTGGGGTCCATCGATCGGCTCAAACCTGTTAAAATGCGGCATGTCTCGAAAGCCCTGGAAGTCCACCCTTTGGAGCCCACCCGAATTGACTTTCTGATCTTGAATCCAGACGTCAAATACTATGATGTCATGAGTAATACTCTAGCTTTAAGCAAACCACCACCAGGTACACGCGCTCCAGGCTGGGTATCATGTTGCACGTGACTATCAGATTATCATTCACATCACTATATTCTTTGACGCGATCAAAGTAAAGTGTTATGATCATTCAATGGCGCCAGGCGCAAAGACGAGAGGCCACGAAGGTCCCCGCAAATATGCCTACAATATCGATGCTGCCCGCGAGCGGGAAATGCACCTGTATGGAATCTCTACCTCCGCGCTTTGACACTATACCCGACCATTCTAATAAGACCTTCTTTATAGATATCTTCCATATTGGGGATTCTCGCATTCCGAAAAGTTCGCGCAGCAATCAGTCGGCCAGCAGCCCAATGTCTCACGCGATAGCGTGTTGACGGCATTCGCGCAGCTAGCGAGTCTACGACTAAATGCTAAGTGCGCACTCATCTCCCTCTTCGATCGCACAACGCAGCATGTCGTTGCAGAGTCAACGCCAAGGCTTGGTTTGCGCAGTACAGAAAGTGGAGAGGGATCTGAGTCATTATGGTGCGGTGTGCAGCAACTGCCACGGGAGACCATACCTATGTGTAATTGTGCGATGCATGCTTTCACTGGTGAGGGAGAGCAGAGTTTCATAGTTCCTGATCTTTCCAAAGATTCTCGGTTCAAGGACGCTTCTTTCGTGACAGCGGCACCGCACCACCGATTCTATGTTTCTGTCCCGATTCGATCCCCAGAAAACTATATCATTGGCAGTGTCGCGGTGCTGGATGATCAACCTCGCAAAGATTTAAGCAAGCAATATACAACGCTTTTGAAGGAGCTCAGCGAAACCGTTATGGACTACCTGATTTCGCAGCGGGCCATGCGCGAAGAGAATCGCGAAGAGAAGATGGTACGCGCATTAGGATTGTTTGTGCGCGGCAATTCAGATTTGAGTCAAGGAATTGACGGTCCAGAATTTTCGAATGATAAGCCACACGGGCTTGCGCATGTCGATAAGAAGCTCGAGGAGATTCGAATATCCACTGAAAGTAGTGACAACAAGCACAACGCTGGGCACGAAAATGATCGATGCAGACAGTCTCAGCCGTCTTCTGTAGAACAGGAAGCGCCGAATAGGGAGCAAAGTCGAAACCAATCGCCAGTCCGCAAATTCAAAAACAAAGAAGATGAGCGACACGAATCGGCGGCAGAAAAAGAAGAAAACGACCAGCGACCTTCACTCACGCCTACTACCGAGCGACTGCAGAAGTCTTTCGCCCCATCAAGTGTACAGTCAGTACTCAATAGAGCTTCTTGTCTCATGAACCAAGCGCTGGAGATAGAGGGTGCTATGTTCATCGATGCAAGCGTATATGCCCGACGACAAATGATTGGAGTTGACAGTGACTCACATTCCAATACAACGTTCGAAGAGGATGAACAAATGTATGATACTGAACCAAAGCTAGATGAAGGGATCCATGGTCCCAAAAGTCTAGTTCTGGGATACTCTACTTCCTCTGGTTCGGGTAGAGACCAAAGCAAGCAAGAAAGCCACTATGTTCCTCTGCCAGGTGCTTTTGTGAACCATCTCATAGATCGGTATCCACGAGGGAAAATCTTCCATATAGAAAATGATGGCAGTATTGCACTGAGTTTTGAAGGACTAGCAACGGAGACGAGCCAGATTTACACTGGGAAAGTGAATGCTGTCAAACCTGGATCTCCGAAGGAAAATGAGTATCGACAAGAAACCATGGAAATAAAGTATTTCCACAAGATCCTCCCTGACGCTCGATGCATTGCTATCTATCCTGTTTGGGACTTTCACCGCAGTCGATGGTTCACGATCAATCTGGCTTGGACCAATGACCCTGGACGTGTGTTGTCAGAACCAAAGGATTTGACATATATGGCTGCATTCAGCAACACTGTCATGGCAGAGGTATCGCGGATGGATATCGAAGCCGCCGATCGTGCCAAGGGCGATTTCATCTCGTCCATCTCGCATGAGTTGCGGTCTCCATTGCATGGTGTTCTTGGGACTATCGAGCTACTTCAAGAAACAGTCACAAGCTATACCCAACAAGGATTAGTTGATACAGTGCACAGCTGCGGGCGGACTTTGTTAGATACGTTGAACCATTTGCTGGACTATGCCAAAATCAATACTCTCACGGCTCCGAGGCGATCCAGCCTGCAAGATGGAAGTGAGAGCATGGGTTCACAGCCAAAGTTAGCTGTTCCCGGCCTCGAACAAAAGGAGGACCTGAGCTGTTTGGTGCAAGAAGTTGTGGAGGGTCTGCTTGCTGGTGCCGAGTTCTATGGCCGAGAGGCGACCAACGCTGCCAATAACCCCAAGCACGATGACTGGCGACTCTCATCCGGTCCGCTGAAGGACAAGAAGGGCCGCATCATGGCCATTGTCGACATCGAATGGCAAGATAACTGGAACTACTCCGTGTATGCGGGAGCTTGGCGTCGTGTTGTGATGAATCTCTTCGGTAATGCCCTCAAATACACCAAGACAGGTTATATCCGGCTCTTCATGAGGAAAGACACCATGGGAACGAAAGACAACAAGACCGTGCCAGCGGTACGCCTAACGATCAGTGACTCGGGCCGTGGCATGTCTCAAGATTTCCTCCTCCATAACCTCTACATTCCATTCATCCAAGAAGATACACAATCCCCTGGTCTGGGTGTGGGTCTCCACCTGGTCCACCAAATCGTCAAGTCTCTCGGTGGCCAAATACAGTTTAAGAGTGAAAAAGACCGCGGCACGGATGTCGACGTGCTCTTTCCCTTGAAAGAGCCACAGCCATGCATGGAGCAGCCATCGTCATATCACGGATTGAGAGAGCAGCTCAGCGGGAAGAGAGTCTCGTTTTTCACGAAAAGCTTCCAGCGCGGTGATCTCGGTATCCGACCTGAAGTCTTTAACAATATTCGGATGAGTTTAGGCCGCATGGTGAGTGATTGGTTCGGGCTTCAAGTTTTGAGCTCTGAGGAACTTGAAAATGGAGAGGTGGCAGACTTTCTCATTGTGACTGAACATGAATATCGAACCGTGATGAGCGACCCCGCGGGATCAGATATTCGGCGCTTGATTGAATCAAGGACGAAGTTTCCTTTGATTGTTTTGAGTGACCAAGCGAGCAGTTGGAAGGTGGTGAAAGAGAATGATCGTGACCATGCGATCTTTTTGTCTCAGCCGTGAGTGATAGTCTCCCACCTTTGCGTATCGTCTTACTGACAGGTTGAAAGTGTGAGCCCAAAGACCATAGCAAAAGTCTTCGAAAATTGCTTGCACCCAGAAGGGATCGCCCAAGATCTCCAACGTGCCGGATCATCCCTCAAAAATGATAACGAATCCCCACGGAAATCAATCAATGCAGAGATTGAGGCAACAAAGCAAGACATGATAAGTGCTGAAAAGAAAGTTCTTTTGGTTGAGGACAACTCGGTCAATTTGAAGGTCAGTGGCTCTTTCTCTTATACATACGACCCTAACTAATCTTAAGATTAGATCATTGAAACCTGTGTTAAAAACACTGGGTTGGCATATAAGACAGCAACAAACGGAATAGAAGCAGTGGAAGCATTCAAAAATGAGAGGTTTGATGCCGTCGTAATGGGTAAGTCCAGGCACCAAAGGTTCTTTATGCTCTCCCACTGAACAAATACAGATATTTCTATGCCACACATGGATGGTCTCTCTGCAACTCGAGAAATGCGACACTTCGAAAGAGCAGACAAACTTGAACCCGCCCATATTGTCATTCTTACGGCCGCCCTCTCTTCTGATATACAGAGGGAAGCGACCATCAGCGGCGTTGATAAGTTCCTGACAAAACCTACACCTCTTAAGCAGTTGACCCAGATGCTCCACAGTCTGCCACAGCTCAATCATTCTCAAGAGGTTCAGTGATGTCAAAGTGTACAACAATTTGTATTTTTAGTATACGACAGCATGATAAAGCCACGAGAACACGACTATTGACGTTTTAATTGAATTTCTTCTATTTGATCATATTACACGGGCGAATTGGCGTAGTTAGATTATAGATATGCGTAGCGCTTAGCCGTGAAGGGTCAGACAGGATGCCGCAGGAGGCGTGCGCACTGTGCATAAGTATTCAATGTTGCTCAATGGAAGTGGATAAATGTTGTAGCGACAGTCGTATGTACGAACACTTAATTGGCAGACAGTTTGCAAGCTTCATACATGAAAATGTACATGGGAGAAGATACTTCCGCGGCCCGAAACCTGATGGATGTGTTCGTAAATCACTATATGAATCACGACACCCATATGTATAACTATGAAATTTCTCAAAGGATAATTCTTGCTTGCCTCTATGAGCGCGGCCATATGTTCTCGACCCTATCTCACCCCGTGGAGGCTAAGAGCATAGCGATGCCGGCGATGTGGGTACCTCTATATCCCGAAATCTTCCGGCCGTTATTGCGCCCTGAAAAGCTCCTGCAAGGAGAGAGAATATGAGAGATAGTCCAGACTCAAGAGCAATCAATATACAGGTAGCAAGGATACTCGAGATTATGCTAGCTGGATATAGTAACGCTAAACAATAATAAACCAATATTGAAAGAAATGACCGTTTCCGAAGACCTTGCATGGTACGGGCGCTAGGGTTGACATCACGAACCCAATTGTTTCTCCAAAAGGCGGGGAAATAACAATGAACAGCTAAGCATCTCCATACCTTGAAACACGCATATATCTTCCTGCCAACTACAGTACATACAAGCCAGTTTCGAAGCGTTGCCAAGTTCCACAACATCCCGTTCATGCCACGCCAAACCTAATGCGGATCCCGGCACATGACATCATCCAATCCATCTAACAAGCTCCTCCCGACTCATAACCACCAACTTTCCACCTCACATCACACCCCATCAGTCAACACAACCTCAAACCGCCAAAATGTTCCGCTTCGTAAGGCATCCCTACCTAAGTCTTAACAATTGCCATTAACAAAACCTACAGAGCAAAACCCTCGACCCTGTCACCCTCTTCCACTCCCCCAGCATCCCAAACAGCACCCGCGTCCTCACAATCCTCAAACAAGCCTCCACAGCTGCTGCCGAGACAGCCACAGAAGACCAAGCCAGTGACTACAGCTCTCATGCCAAGCAGCAGCGCGGCGAGTTCGAGGTCGAGGTTACCACCAACGATCCCACCACCGATCAGCTCCGGAATATCCTTGATTACATCAACCCCGTCTCCGGAGTTGGTGGTCAAGGCGATAAGGCTACCTATGCTGTATCGGAATTGATCAAGGGAGCTAAGGATGCAGAGGATGCGATCAAGAAGTTCAAAGAGGATAAGAGTAGTTTTGTGCGGCCTGTGGTATGTTTACTTTCCTTTTGGTGGTTTAGGTTTGCGTGACGATTGCTGACTTGCTCTTTAGACCGTTGACTGGGTTAATGGTCGGGCTGTTATTGGAGACCAGGAGTCTGAAATCTTGAAGATGGTGCGCCAATTGCCTAACCACTAAGTTCGTTTGGTTTGTTCCGTCCGCTCCGCTGTATACCCGAGACATGAGTGGAGATAGTACGTCGGATGAATGTATCAACATTGGAATGACGGGCTCACTTCCACTGATTTAGAGTTATCAACTTGAAATACACAATGTACACTGGAATGCTACGGCATGGTCATTGAAAAACCAAATATAGATATTCAGTAAAAGTATTAGTGTCCACGTATCATGTACCCAATGACTACATTTACAAGAATGTGTAAGTTGACATATCCATCTATTGATATCTTCTACTTGGTAACGCGTAGAGTTCACACCTACTCCCCCATGAATAATTGAGAACAAGAATCACTCGATTGCGAGTTTTGAAAACATAGAGAAGAATGAAAAAACATGCACCATTAAACTCATACTCAGACCATACGCAGGCGTCTACCAGGGTACCAGGAAACCAAGATCCAGCTTGAGTTCAACGCGGGCTCCAGTGCGACGAGAGAAGAGAAGAGATACAGAGCAAGACGAAAAGAAAAATGAATCGCCTTCCACGTTGAACATCAGATCAGAACATTGTTCCGAAGCTGCCATCAGTCGCAATAGGTTTGCGGGGAGAACTGCGGCCCGAGCTGTCGACGGCAGGTTTGCGATGACTGGAAGAGTTAGTATTGGACGAAAAGAGTGGAAAGCGGGTAAGTAGTACATACCGGAAGGTGAATCCAACAAACAATCCCTTGTTCATCTTGTCATCGCGATCGGCCATATCCTCCAATGCGCGCTGTTTATCATGAACTTCCTTGTACTTGGCCATATCGGACTCATTGCTGAAATCATCAAAGTACCCAGCATCAGTCTCTGAATCCAGTTCCGGGACGAAAGGAGCACGCTGTTCGCGGAGGTGATTAAAATCGACCTCGGCGAAATAATCATGTGCGTGGATCTCATTGATATTCTTAAATCGGGTTTCCTTCGCCGCCACGAGCTTTGTGATGAGATCCCACGTGCGCCGGGAAAGGAAGTAGTTCGGATCCTCGTAGACCGGCTTCCGGAGCACCTTCTGCCAACGCTTCAGGTTCTGCCATGTCTCGTCGACGGTCGCACCGGCAAAAGGTGGGTATCCTGCCAACGCCTCGAATAGCATACATCCCAGGCTCCAGTAATCGACGGTGAAATCGTATTCTTCGCCCTTCAGCACCTCGGGTGCCATGTAGTCAGGTGACCCGACGATGGATTTGGCATAGTTGACTTCTCGCTCCCGAAGAGTTCGGTACCCCTGTCGTCGCTCGGCCATTGTACGCTGCTCCATGGGCCGTCCGAATGGAACGGGTGTGTTGCCCACTTCTTCCAGCTTCACGCGCATTGACTCGATCTTCCCGGGACTCAACATACCAGCCGCGAGACCGAAGTCGGTAAGTTTGACGTGACCGGTTGAGTCGATGAGGAAGTTCTCGGGCTTCAGATCACGATGGATATAACCCAGGATATGCAGAGCATCAACACAGCTGAACATCTCTGCGATATAGAATCGCGCATGACGGTTGTGCAGGACACCGGTGTTGTTCAAGAGCGTACGGAAATCTCCACCGGGGACATACTCCATCGCCAAGTAAATCTGGTCATCATCCTGGAATGCATACAACAATCTGACAAGCCATTCGCTCTTTGCAGCGGTCAGAATATCACGCTCTGTGAGAATGTGTCGGATCTCATCGAGCTTGAACAGCAGTCTCTTGCTCATCACCTTCAACGCACAGACCTCCCGGGTATCCTTTTTCTGGGCGAGGTACACCTGTCCATATCCACCCTGGCCGACCTGCGTCAGTATCTGGAAGTCATGCTGGCGCAGCCGTGTGCGACGCTTGCGCAGATGCGCCCGTTCGCGACCGAGATACTTTAGGAGCGCGGGCTCATATTCTTCATTGGGGGTTCCAGGAGGCTCCGGGTATGCGGCTTTGAACTGTGAGTGGCGAGTTTGACGATTGTGAACGTAGCTGAGGAGATCGAAGTAGTGGTCGAGGAAATCTGGCGCGGGGTTCATTAGTAAATACGTATATAGGGTTTCAGGGTGAGACATACAAAGTTGAGTGACATTTGTTAGACGTTTAACACGGGGCTGTTGGAGTTTCTCCATTTCCTCCGGTGTCAGGCCGCGCAGCTGGACCTGCCGCTTAGAGGTATCCGCATCGCGGGGCTGGTATGGTTCATGACGAGAGATAGCTGCTGCGGTCGGCTTTGGTCCCAGGTCCTTGGGGGCGCGGGTGGTAGGGGGGTGTTTTCCTTGTTGGACTTGCGTGTTGGGCTGGTCGGGCGCTGATGGATAACGCTCTCATTAAAATCCTCAATGCTGCTCCTGTCGGCTGTAAACATGGGATGATTGAAGTGATTATGGGTTGATTTGGACGGAGATGTGGGCGTGAGTTTCATAGCATTGTCGAACACATTGGGCAGGTCCAACGCGCCCGGCGGCGCCCGCGACTTGCTAGGACTGCCGTGAGGGGTCTGTGGGGGACTTGTGAATCCATGGCCCGACGGGGTAGAGGGGCGATCGAAGGTTTCAGAACCGCGAGTGTGTAGCAGTGGTGGGGGGTTAGGGAGACGGAGACCCAGACGGTCATCAGCGATATCGACAGCCATGGTTGGAGTACGGAGTACCGTGGTGTAGGATGGAGAAGAGCGATAGAGGGGTTTGAGAGTGGCACCCCCTTGATAAGAAAAGCCTAAGACACGCTAACCCGCGAAATCGGAATCAAGAACCAGAGGGCTTTGCTTCGCTTTTAATGCTTCGTACACGACGATCGCCGAGCTCCACTGATCGAATTGGATCTTGATTTTGGCTTTTTCCCTCTCTTGTTTTTCCAAGATGTGCTAAGATGTGCTATCCACTTTTGCGCGATCCCAAACTTTCCTTAATTAGTTTCAGCCTGTCTGCTGCTCATTACCCCTTGTATAGAGTTGCCCTGGCAACTCCCTCCACGTCATACAGGCTGTGCAAAGCTCGCTAGTGTTGGTTATGGAGAATGGACAACCCGGCTGTCTATCGACTTGAGCTGAGCTCATATGGACTTGATCCACTGGGATCGGACTTGTGCCGCCCTGCAGGTCATTTTTGCTCGAGGATCGGCTCCAGAAGCCCCAGTTGGGACTGTTGTCTCCGTCCCAAATTTTCCTCTCCGTTTCAGGGCTGGCTGGAAATGGACCTGTACGAAAAGCCACCGACACCGACACACTGGTTTTCTTTACCAATGATTTGTTCCGTGAATCCCTTGTCAATGGTGTCGTTAGCTGGTTCAATAGCGCGGCGGCCCCAGAATATGCTAGTGATGAATTGACAGAAAATCTCCGAGCATGCAAGTGCCGAGACTATTGAATTGTTTTCTTTTTACCAGCTGCAGACGAAGTTTAAATCTTGTTTTATTGATATGCAATCACGATCGCAAGGGAGTCACAATATGTCCAATATTCCACCGCTCCACTCGGGTAAGCAAACTACCGCATTGGGACTGGCCGAACAGTGGGGGCGACATCGATCCATGGATCTGCTGTCACGGCATCGCCGATGATTTGATATCGGAAATTGTCACTTGCAAGAACACTATCACATTCACGCCGCTCCCTCGGCACGTTGCCCCGTCTATACGTTTTAGTCAGTGCTCATCTTGAAAACTCAACCGTTGTCACTCACGTAGAACGCTAGCCCATAATCTTCGGTTGTGAAGGTAATCTTGGCTCCCTTGGGGAAATAAAACACATCCCCCGGAGTCGCTGTGACCGTCTGCCCTGTCTCATCGGAGATCACGAAATGTCCTTCCAAAATAATCTTCATCTCGTCGTAGGTGTAGGTATACACGAGCGGGGTGCCCTTTTCCAGGCGATAAAACCCACAGGAGATGGGCTTGTCGGCGTTGTCCTTATCACTATAATGATTTGTTAGTCTTTAGTATGAGTTGTCGCTGCTGATCATAGCACTATACCTCGAGATGACATCGCCTAGGTATGCATTCTCATTCGCAATGAGCGGAGGCTTGAATGTGGACTGGGCCTTGGCGTGGTAGGTGAATGCAGACGGCATGGTATAAGATGTACTGAGCCTCAATACTGCGGAGAATCTGGAGACGGAGAGGAATTACAAGTGCCAGCAACCGCTTATAACTAACCCATCACGGATATCCAGATTCAAGATGAGGGGAAGCTGGTAATGCTCTTGGTTCGAGTAGAGGCAATTCGATCCTTGCCAAAATGTCATCGGGTTCGTTGTCCAGACTAGGCAATCCAGAGGAGAATGATAAGGCTCAATTATAGTTTAGCATGGCGGGGAATTCTGTATCTGGTGAGGGGAAGCTTTGAAGCTTGCCATGGAAGAGCTGTCATAGCTACACTACAGTTTCGCTCGGTCGGGGTTGTGGGGGATGATTATTGGTGGTCCCCAAGCAAGGCTTGTAAGATCGTAAGCCATTGAAGAACCTTTGCTTTATCGGTCGCATCCGAGGGTCATGGTTGATCAGATATCGTTGCGTTGGTCTGGGGAATGCCTGGCTCCGGGAGAGTGGATGTTTTTTCCCGAAGCGGTTAGGTGTTCCCTGACTATACAACTACAGAACCTCAACATAAACCCAAACATTCCGTATGCGCAATAGGCGTGAATGGAATTGATATGGGAATGAGAACTGAAACATTACGCTGGGTAGATAATATAGCTCCTTGAATGCTGTATGGTATTGGTAACATGGTGAACTCCAGAAAGCGTGTTGAGGAAGGAATATCATAATGGAAATACATGTACAAAGATCGAAAGTAGGATCTTTGGGCCAGTAGAAGATCATGGGAAGGGTAAATATGCAAATAGAGCAGAGTAATAGAACAGAGTAGGTTTGAATGTGTGGTTTCCTTCTTGACTTTACTAGTCTCTGCCCAGGCTATTGGCCATCAACCTTGTGCCTATGTTTGCAACAGCAGAATAAGGTGGTTTAACCATTACAAACTTCGAAGGTGAGCCTTGATCTTTAGAAAAAAGACTTCATATTCACCATAACTGACAAAAACATAAGAGAGATCATGGATTGTCTCCTCCACGTACTTCTCTCTTCCTATCCATCTCCTCCCTTCCATCTCTTACACACACCATCACGGTCTTCACTTCAAGACTCAACCCTTTATAACTCAAGCCTTTACTTCCACATTGCATACTAAGGTACAATCATGCCTAAGACAGCCATGTCTGAGTCCTCTCCATCTGCCCCTACGAACATCGACTGGGCTGTACACGATCTCTCAGCTCTCCTCCACTCGCAAGGTGTCAGTAATGCCTATGTCGGATCCTATGCAACTGTTCTTATTGGAGGAAACTGTGTGGTGTCACTACGTATTCCGCAATCGCCTATTGGAGGGACAGTCATAGAATTGCAGGATGTAGGACCTGGACCTTATTGTCTCCTGAAATCCTGCCAACGTATAGAAGGGGCTTCGCAAAGATTATCGGTTCAGGCTCAACGGTTCAAATTGACTGTTTACCACGGCGAGGCTAGGCGCATTGAAATCATCATATTTTAAGGTGGTGGTTTACGTGGTCATGACCATGTACGGCTCCCGGACTCGATCCATTGTTGAATGATGGCCAGCGTATACAGAACCATTGTAATCCTACCTACAATAACTTCCTTATTTGATTCAAATAGCTGGCCTCTTTGTTTCTTAGGCCTATTCCTCGGCTTTGACTGTCATGGAGATATCGCTTCCCGTATCTTCTCCGCAAAAGAGATTTTCCTGGCACCGGTGGATCCATTAAGCTTCTCCGCCCCGGATTAAATATCCTTCAATCTTTAGACGTCAGACGGTTTTCTACTGTAATTTGTGGCCAAAAGAGAAGCCCATAGGTCTTGAGGTTATGTGGTCCTGATCATAATCATTCGCAGGTGGGGCTCGACCACTGTCTTCGCCATGCCCCTCCGAAAGAGCCGGGCGGCAGCAGCCTGCAATTATTGTCGCGACAAAAAGGTAGATCCATGGGCTCACCCTGTGAAACAAGCTATCTCTAATTGATGCCCGGGGTTTCATAGCTCAAGTGCGATGCTCAAAAACCCACATGCGGTCATTGCGCAGCTAAGGGTATCGATTGCCAACAGGGCCCAATTCGACACAAGCCAAGGTAAGCCTGCAAGTACGACAGGGACTGGAACTGGCTGACGTTTGATTAAGGCCAACTAATCGTCGCATCGCGCAGTTGGAGCGTGAAAATGCGTTACTTCGTCAACAAGGGGGTCGGATTCCAGAAGGCAATGTCCTCCTAGGCGATGAACCATCCATGATATCCACGGATGCTTCTTTCACAATGAGCCCATCTCGAGGTCAAGTGGAACTCTCAATATCTCAGGCTGATTCCTCGCCGATTGATCGACCAACCGTTTTAAGCAATGGTTCTTCTCATCCGGAAGCACCCGATAGCGATCATCTCAAAAGCGCTACGTCGCTCTACCATGGTCCGACCAGCGCTGTTTACGACGACACGGAGATTTCTGGAAATAACAACGATTCTACAGAGTGGTCCAAATCACCAATGAGTGAGGAATGGACCCGGAGCCATTTGTTTGCAGAAACAGCAAAGCAAAGTAAGGATAGATTCCAATCAATAAGAATGTCCACTAATGCACGACTCAAGGACAATTAGAACTGTTGAACTTCTCCGCCGGAAAGCTCGATTTTGATGGGTTTGACCCGGAAATTGGAATGCACCTTTTGTCAATATACTGGTGTCGCCAACTCTATACAGCGCAGATCATCTACCGCCCGGCTTTTATGAGAGATATGGCTTGTAATGGGCCTTATTTCTCAAAATTGCTTCTTAATGCCATTCTCTTCACCGTTTCCAAGCACTGTGCGCGACCTGAACTCCGCTCGGATCCGGACGACATCAAAACGGCCGGGTGGAGTTTTCGCCAAAGATTCACGGAGCTTTTACGGGACAGCTTCGACAAAAGCGATATCACTACACTCCAAGCACTGCTTATCATGTCCAACTCTCTATTTTCTAGATGTGACGAACGAAGTTTATCTTGGTTATACGCGGGGAATGCATTCAATATGATCATCGATCTGGGGCTACATGTGCTTCCTTCTCCAAGCAAGATGTCGCCGGAAGACCTTGAAATTCGGAAGCGTGTTGTATGGGGTGCATACTGTGAGTTAAATTATTGATATATCTAGCGGTACTGTGAGCTCATATTCTCATCAGCCATCGACAAAATTCAGTGTCTCTACCAAGGGAGGCCACCACTTCTTCGCTACATGAACTTCAAGGCACCATTGAACTTCCTCGACGACTATGACGAGCTCGATCCCTTCCAGGAAATAACATATACTCCGTTCAAGCGGCAGTCAGTCATACCGTCATTGAATGTTTCCTTGTTAACAAAATTATGCGAACTATCAATCATCATCGATCGCATCCTTTGCGAACTCTACTCCGAGTCACAGGAGATGAGCCAAAGCCAAAGCCAGATTATTTCTGACGACATCAACTCGGAACTTGGAAGGTGGCGACGAAATCTACCACCCCAGCTTGATTATCTTTCTCATCCCAGTGAATGCGTTCTTCTCCCCCAAGCATTCTGCCTCTTGTGAGTATCCCGACCGCTGTAGTTATCCATTTACTAACATCCGATAGAGCCCTATTTGATGTCCTAATAATTCTCTCACAACGACCGTTATTCACGGGAAGTTACGGTCAAGCCGCTGGTCAGGAAGCAGCCTACGAATCCGTGAACGTGTGCACAACAGCCGCGAATCAAATCGTTCAGATTCTTCGTGACTATTCCCAGCATTTCTCCATCAGCAGTGCGCCGTATATGCTGTCATACGCAACGTATATCAGCGCAACGATCCACGCCAGAGTTGTAGCTCAAAAGGGCCGAAACTCAAATTCTTATCAATCGTTGCTGCTTTGTCGGACTATCCTCAAGGAGCATCAGTGTCTGTACGCGGCTGCGGGTAAAGCCCGAGCTAACCTGAACAAGCTCGTGCAGCATCTCAAGATCAGTATCACTGAAGGTGATGAGCAAATATCTGCTCCTGTGGGTAATAGTGGCAATAACCAGTTCATTATACAGGAACCCTTGCCGGCCTTTGGTGCATCTAATCTTGCACCGCAGACTATGGAGCTACAATCGCCGCAGTTGAATTGGGAACTCTCAGATTTGGATCTTGAGGCTATTGCCGAAGGTTTCCGTCTTGGCGGTGAGCTGGATTATTTGATGCGACCATCTGGAATATGAACTCCGTGTATGATATGGCATGTTGAAGCATGGGTCGTACTCTTGATGTGAACCAATCGGATTGTCCCATTCCGGGAACTCCAACCAAAAGTGGGGCATTCACCAGGCGCCTGCATCACTCCCACATAAAGCCCAAGTATAAGTGACGAACAGCTTTGCATTGTGTCTAAATCACTCATAATACTTCTGCCAAGGATGGTTCTGTCGAAAGCCCAACAACTCCTTGATCTTCCGATTAGGAATAGGAGCCTCCCTCGCCCCCATCTCCCTCGTAAACGGCGTATTCGGCGCAACACGCTTCAAAAACTCCGTAGTAGAAGGCTCATAATTCGTGATCTCATCATTCACCGCATTGAAAACCTGAAACCCAAGCCCAGCCTTGTTAACCGCAAGCTCACAAATCTGTCCCAAATCCCTCGTATCAGTGTACGACCACCCATGCACAGCCCATTCCTCCGGCTTCTTAACATAAGAATCAAACATCTCCTCCTTATACTCCTCCGGTGCAACAATACGTCCAATCCGTAAAACGTAGATATCGGAGTTATACCTCCGCGCAAAGCCACGCGCGATACGCTCTCCACACATTTTCGAGATGGCATACGTATCCATCGGGTTTGCGTCGACGTCTTCGTCAACAGGGAAAGAGGGGTACGCGAGATCGCCCTCGCCATATGCGATTCCGTAGACGGATACCGAGCTGGCTAAGATGATCTTTTTGATGTTCAGTCTTGAGGCTGCTTCGATAACGTTGTATTGGGCTGTTGCGTTGCAGCGGAAGGTTTCTGTGTCGGGGACTAGCATGTTGCGCGCGTATGAGGCTAGATGGATTACTGCGTCCGGGACTAGGCCGAGTGGTTCACGGAATGGCTCTGTTAGGTGGAAGTGGGAGCCGAATGCGCTGTATGCCTGGCCTGCGTCTGTGAGGTCGACGCGCATTGTGTGGACGCGGTCGGCTAGGTGTGCCGGGAGGGGGACTAAGTCCAGGTTTAGAATGTCATGGCCTTGGTCGAGAAGGTATGAAATTATGTGTTGGCCGGCTTTGCCTGAGCCGCCGGTGACAATGATACGTTTCCCCATGTTGGATTTTGGGAAGACTGGGTGTTGGAAGTGAGATGTCAGGTATAGAGAGGGGATATAGGGATGCTGGGGATAAAAAAAAAAAGTTAATGTCGTTCAATCGGTTTGTAAGATATAACTCCACTCCTATAATCGGCATTTATATGATGACGTTGCTGGGAAAGAGTATTGCGGGGGGTGGAGATGCATCGGAAGATGACCTTCCGGATTCGCCGGATCTGGTTGGCTGGAGGAGGCTTTAGCCGTCGACATTAGCCATGAACAATAGCTATGATAGCAAGCATAACGAGTCGGACTTGCTCCGTACCGCTAAGCATGGATTCCTTAGTGACCAAAGTACCAAAAGTCATCCATATCTCAACGAATGCGCTCATCTCGATCGCATATAAATGAATGCACCAGGCCTCTTGTTAATTTCTTGAATCCCTCTAGTTGAAGGCCACAAATAATCCATTGTTCAAAATAAAGATGACAGTTGCGTCATCAGTGGGGAGAAACATCGGAAAGTCACAATCCGAAATGGACCCCGAACCGCGGGAACCAAACCAGAACCGAGACCATTGGCCCACGAACTTTGAAATCCGAAATCAAAAGTTGGTCCCCATGTTGCGGGGTCCCCCAATGGGAATCTCGCGATCCGAAAAGATCGATGATGCCAATACAAAAAGAACCCGAGACCCTTGCACAAGCCGATGAAAAAAATCCCCAACCCCCGCATTCTCCAACTCTCACCAAAACATGTCGTGTGCCTCCAAAAAATCATGCGACGGCTGCTCATGCAGTGATAAGCCTTCCACAACCCCAGTCCAAATTGAAGACTGCATTGAGGAGCTCAGAGCCCTCCGCAGACGCAATCAGGAGCTAGAAACACGACTAAGCCTCGCGGCCGAAAATGGCTCGAAAGCCGTTATCCGGCAACCCGGTCGAACGCTGCGCTCGTCGGCTTGGTTCGACTGTCGCAGTGATCCCGGTATGACAGCTATCTACATGGAGCGGTATTTCAATTACGGTATTACACGCGAGGAACTCATGTCGGGTAAGCCGATGATTGGAATTGCGCAGACGGGGTCTGATATTGCGCCGTGTAATCGGCATCATATTGAGCTGTCAAAGCGGGTGCGAGAAGGCATTCGGACTGCTGGTGGTATTGCTTTTGAGTTTCCGACACATCCTATTCAGGAGACTTCGAGGAGGCCGACGGCTACGCTGGATCGCAATTTGGCGTATTTGAGTATGGTGGAGGTTTTGACGGGTTATTTTCTTGATGGGGTTGTAATGTTGACTGGATGTGATAAGACCACTCCGGCTTGTTTGATGGCTGCGGCTACTGTGGTATGTTTGATTTGTTTTGGCTGTATGACTGGGCACCGCTGATCGATATAGAATATTCCTGCCATCTGTCTTAATGTTGGCCCGATGTTGAATGGTTATTCGGAAGGCGCATTGGCTGGTGCAGGTACCGTGCTCTGGAAAGGGCGAGAGCTGTATGCGACTGGCGAGATTGACGATGGTGAATTCATGGACTATATTTCCAGAGGGTAAGTTTTCGTCTGCACATGAGACCCGTGAAAAATCTAACTGGTTTAGAACCCCCTCCGTCGGTCACTGCAATACTATGGGTACTGCGTCAACTATGAATGCTCTCGCAGAAGCCCTCGGCATGGCACTACCAGGCTCAGCCGCTATCCCAGCTGCGTACCGCCACAGAGGCCAATGCGCCTACGAAACCGGCAAGCAGATCGTGGAGATGGTCGAGTCCGATCGCAAACCTAGCGACTTAATGACCCGCGAAGCTTTCGAGAACGCCATCGTGGCAAACGCTGCATTTGGCGGAAGCACCAATGCTCCCATCCATCTCCTTGCCATCGCCCAACATATGGGCGTCGAGCTATCCATGGACGATTGGGATACTCTCGGATCACACATTCCTCTGCTGCTGAACATGATGCCATCCGGCGAGTATCTTGGTGAAGAGTATTTCCGTGCCGGGGGTCTTCCAGCAATCATGGCGGAGCTTTTAGATAACGGAAAGATCCACGGTGACGTGTTAACGTGTAATGGAAAGACAATGGCTCAGAACGTCCGTGGGAAACATTCCTGGGATCGTCGCGTGATTCGTCCGTATGATGACCCTCTCATGAAAGATGCAGGATTCATCCACTTGAAGGGAACTCTGTTCGACTCGGCGATTATGAAGACCTGCGTCATCTCGCCTGCTTTCCGGGAGCGATACCTCTCGAATCCGGAGGATCCCATGGCTTTCGAAGGATCGGTCAGGGTATTTGATGGTCCGGAAGATTACCACAGCAGAATAGAACACATGCCAGAAATCGACGATAAGACGATTCTAGTCATGCGCGGCGTCGGTCCGCTAGGCTACCCCGGTGCGGCAGAGGTTGTGAACATGCACCCTCCAGGCAGACTTCTGAAACAAGGAGTGGACGCGCTCTTCTGTATTGGTGATGGACGGCAATCAGGTACATCGGCTAGTCCCTCTATTTTGAATGCCAGTCCCGAGGCTGCTGCGGGTGGAAACCTGGCCATTCTTCGCGATGGAGATAAGCTGCGCATCGATCTGCCAAAGCGCCGAGTGGATATTCTTATCAGTGATGAGGAGTTGCAAGAACGAAAAAAGGAGATGCAGTCGAAGGAGTATCCTCTTGTGCCAAGTGCTACTCCTTGGCAGGAGATCTTCCGTCAAGAGACGGATCAGCTATCCAACGGCATGGTGCTTCGAAAGGCTGTGAAATATCAGCGCCTAGCGCAACAGCACGAGGCCCCGAGGCACAATCATTAATAGCGTTGTCGTATTGACCTTTAGAAGTATATACCATGAATAGTATAAATCCGAGATTTTCCTATCCAGACTCATCCCATCGTCTTAGTATTTGAGGTAAATCATGGACACTATCCACGGATCACCGCAACATCTCCTCCGGATGTGCTTGCTAAGCGGCGCCTTGAATTCATCCGACATCCGTGTCTCAGAGCTAAGACCCCCCACAATCTAAATCAACCTTGGGATCGCAATGACCAGACCAACCATAACAGTCATAACAGCGGATCACAAATATATCAGGGGTATATCGGCCTCTCGGAATCCGTTGTCCAGACTTTAAGGCCGAAAGATTACAGTGATATTGCCGGGCTAGTCCACGACCCTTAAAACTCTAGCAAGACGCGATGTGATAGGCAAGTAATTTGGGCGACAAGGCTGGCAACTGCATCAGTCAACATTCTTCCTGGCTTACCACTTCTGAGGCATAGCAAAAGCGCCACGGCTCACGATCCTTTGTCCCAAATCCATAGATTAAAGATGCTGCTTACGAGGAGAGAGAACCTAACAAATTAATTTGTCATCCTGGCTGAGAATGTATAAGGACCATCTCACCCCCGAAAACAAAGTAGACAAAATCCATCTTCCTTTATCCTGACGTCGCCCAAAATGGCCGAGTCAACTCTCCAAGCAACTACCAAGAACATTGTCATCCTTGGAGGTTCCTACGCCGGTGTCTCAACAGCCCACTACCTCCTTAAACATGCTATCCCAAAACTACCAGACTCGTCCACCTACCAAGTCATCCTAGTCAGCGCTTCCTCTGAGGTACTATGTCGTCCCGCTTGTCCCCGCGCAATGATATCAGACGATCTCCTCCCACAGGACAAACTCTTCGTATCAATCCCAGAGGTCTTCAAGAAGCACCCCGTGAATAACTTCCAATTCGAGCACGCACGCGCAGAGCACGTAGACCATACGAAACGTACAGTCTCTATCCGCTACGAAAAGGACGAAGAGGACGAGAAAATCATTCCTTTCCATGCGCTCGTCATCGCAACGGGTTCTTCAACTCCGTCGCCTCTATTAAGCCTAAACAAAGACTCGGCAGAAATTCGCGCGCAATGGGCGCTTTTCCGGGATGCAATGAAAAAGGCGAAAAGCATCGTTATTGCTGGTGGTGGTCCGGCTGGGATTGAAACTGCAGGTGAACTGGGCGAGTACCTTAATGGACAGCCGGGTTGGTTCGCAGGCAAATTGGAGAACCCCAAAGTAGAGATTACGGTTGTGACGTCTGCATCTCAAATCCTTCCTTTGTTGAGATCCAGTATTGCGGAGAAAGCTGAAGGGTATCTCGCGCGTGTAGGTGTGACTGTGGTCAAGGGTACCAAAGTCACAGGGGTGTCCCCGGCGGAATCAGGGACGGATCTTGCTCTACCAACCAAAGCCACAGTGTCACTGTCTGATGGAACGGAGCTTGACGCCGATATCTATATTCCGGCTGTGGGTATGACGCCTAACACATCATTCTTGGATAAAACGCTACTAATGTCCGATGGCCGGGTCGAAACCAATCATTCTACTCTTCGGGTGGATAAAGCTGGGGATCGGATCTACGCTGTCGGGGATGTGGGTTCTTATGCACGACCGGCTGTTCATTCGATTCTGAATGCTGTGCCGGTTGTGTGTGCGAATATCAAGCGGGATTTGCTTCTTGCGTCTGGAGAGCGTGAAGCTTCTTTGGGAGCTGAGCGTTCATTCAAGGAAGATACGCGGGAGACGCAAATGGTTCCTATTGGGAGGAGTAAGGGTGTGGGTGCAGCGATGGGGTATCGGCTGCCTAGTTTCCTGGTTTGGTTGATCAAGGGTCGGGATTACTGGCTGTGGACGACAGGGGATTTGTGGAGTGGGAAGCAGTGGGAGAAAGAGTCCTGAATATGATTGAGGCTGGGGCTCTTTGTTGCTTCTGGCATTGACTTAGTCGCGTGATCATCAGGGGCATTGTGGCTGGTTGGGTGAAGTAGTTTTTTAGTGATGTCCGGAATAGTGTGGGTGCATAAGACTTTGGCGATTTAATACCTAGAGCTGGCAGCGTAGTAGTCAGATAATAACCACGGATTTCAGAAAAGAGAATGGGTTCGATCAAAACACTATCGAGAATCACATGAAGGAAAAGATCCTTGGACGCCGCGCTAGACTGCACAACCGGAGTTGAGCTACAAAGCACAATTTAAGCAGCAGTAGACATAAAAGAATAAAAAACTATCTGTGTCAGTCAATTAGTACGGTAAGCTTGACTTTTCCAGGCTGAGCGCTGGTGGGTAGAAAAGTGGCAATCTGAGAACCCAATCTTGGTTTGATGGCCATCCGAGGATGAACGGCATTACCCAAGGAAAACTGTGGATAAACGATTAGTACTCGCCATATTGAATAGGTGCGGGAAGATCTTACCCTCCCAGCCCCATTCCCCCATAACATTCACCCAATGCAATCTGCTTCGGACTGTTCTCTCAAATTCAATATTCTCCAAGGGCGACAGAGCAGAGCCGCGCCTGGAAGACCCATGTTTTAAGGCAGGAATCCTTGGTATCCCTAGAGTAGATTTCTCGTGTTGGTCAACTGAATTTCCCCGATTATGGAAGCTTCTCCCGCTGTTTTTGCTCTCGGGTGGTCCGAACTTGGGGTCCTTTTTTCCTTTGCTCTCGCAGGAGAAAGATCCAGCTCGTGGGGTAGCGCCTTTGCCATGTTGCTGTTGCCTCTGGGCATTAAGCTTGTCACGCCGGGCCCAAACCTCTCGTACAACATCGAGGCAGCGATCAATTCCGCCCAGCATCAATCGAGATTGAATAGTGAACCATCGGTCCATAACCCACCGCCGATCATCCTCATCGTCGACTTCAGCCCCAGCGGCGATAAGAGGGAACATTTGGATGATGGTTGTCCGCGATGTAGGAGGTACCGTTGCTAGCAATATCAATACACGCTTCGCTAGTTCTTCGGCCGGTTCCGATGGCATCTCCGGTACAGCTTGATGAAGATAGAGTAGCGTAGCCCAGCGGTAAGCATGTGCCACTTGAATACTGTGCTGCACTTCAGAGGTTGGATCCTCTGGTGGTTCAAACCAATGCGGAGGCTCCCACCGCTCCACCAGTGATTTAAGCTCCATTCCCTGCGACACAATAGACACAGTATTTGAGGAGCATTTTCGTACTCGCTGGACCAGTCTCGCGACTCGCCCGATGAGAGGGAATAGGGTGGCTGCACATCCCATCAAAGGATCTATCTCATGGACAGCATCACCTGGTAACTGGAAGATATCCTGATTGAGATCATCTTGGCCCGACTCATCCAAAGAAGTAAGTCTTGCAATAACATCCATATAGGTCCAGGTATTATACAAAAAGCGAATGCGATCAAGTCTCTCGCTATTCTGTCCACCCTGGATGCCCGCATTCAGAACCTGCTGCATCAACACCTTTGCCCCTCGCAGATGTTGAACACAGGTACGAGTATTCTGGTCCCAGGTATCGGCAAACGCCAACGCTAGACTAGTCGCCAGCGCCGTATCAGCCCGCATACTTTGAATTTGTTGTCGGAGGCATGCCATGCTCTGTCGCATGTGCTTGACACCTTGAACTCGCAGAGAAGGATTTTCCTTAGCAGAGTGGAAGGCGGATAGCGCGAACAGAGCATGATATAGAGCGGGTGTATCCTTAGCAAGGGGCCAAATCAGCGTCCTCCAGGGGTTTTCAGTCCTGCCATCTTTGACTGACAATATACCACATGTCAACTTATCAAAGCGCATGGCTAACATTTCTTGGCTTTCTGGTGCCAATGATGGCTGTCCCGGTAGACGGGAAAAATCAAAGATATTATTATCCTGAGTAGAGAATGGAAAGCCCCACGGATTCGAGCTAGAGTTGGACTGTCGGATGATTTCTTCAATTTCTCCATTATCCTCGTCCAGTAGCTGGGAAAAATTGAAGTCTAATTCAGGTGGCTCTTGGTATGCCGGACCAAACGTTGAACCTGAAGGATTCTCGACATTCGTCTCTAGCATCAGGTCATCATCAAAAGGTGCATTCTCTTGAAATGGCTCAAGAAATGAAAGAAAATGACATGGATCAGCATCCATCGAGTGTGACACAGCGATGTTAGGGACTATATCCTCGGCTACGGAAGAATGTTCTGTTCTCACCGCGAACTCATCAAGAGAACGAGTATCGCTAGATACATAGCTTTTGATACTGCCCGGTGAGCCGAGCAAAGATGATTCTCGAGGTGATATGTTGGCAAGATTTGACTGCGCTCGGTTCGGCGAGGCAGCAAGTTCGGTAGTCAGGGGAGTAGGGAAGTCCTCCGGGTTTGTGAGGGAGGTTAGTAGATGAGACGAGTTGTTGACTGGGGAAAAGATTGTATCAGACATGTACTTTGGATTTTTGTCTTGGTCAAGGTACTTTTGTCGTTACCTTTCTTTGTCGGTTTGATGGCAGTCGGACGGCCAACAGCCAAGTTGGTCTCTTCGAAGGGCCGCCACTTGAAGTCCTTCTTGTACCCACCACATGACACCTTGCGCCGTTCGCACTGGGAACAGGACGGCTTCGTCTCATCGCACTTCAACCGTTTTGCCTTGCAGGTAATACAACCTGGGCATCACGAAGTAATCGGGTCAGCGTTCTGCGCAGACAGTTGGGCACGATGTGCCCAGTTTAATTGTATATGACATTTCTTCCGATCAGGTTTAACACCGTACCATTACGACTCTTTGTCTGCCTTGGTTTCTGAGTTGACTTGGGGATCCGCTTTGTTTTGGGCGAGACAGGCTTTCCCCGCCCTGACGCCGGGGCCGGATCGGGCGAGTCTAAAATCGTGGACGGCGATGGGATTTTAATTGTTTCCATACCAAGGCAATATTGGATGTTCAAAATAGTCCAAAGAACCTTGGAAGAGAGATGGCGAATAGATGGGTTTTGAGATGACGAAGATAAGACGGGGACCACAGCGAATGACAGAGAGTAGATAGGAATCGAGGCGAGCCGGGAGGAGTACAGTGATAAGGCCCATGCGGGGGCGCCGATCTTGGAGAAGGCCGTGAGGGGTTAGTCCGTACGGAACATTGCAATCTGACCCGAATGCGTTGTTCGAGATGGCTTGTCGCCAACTCGGAGGTTTTCGATGGTGAATAAATATATCAGGAAGTTGTGGGGCTGTGTCGACAGGAGATAAAAGTTGGAAAATGTTCGAAGTTCGCACAACTCAAAAGCCTTCCGCATAGAACATGAAAGGGCTTTGCTTTGTGTATATCATCAAATAGACGTCATTATTGGCTGCGACGCAGCTAGTAGAGGTCATCGCGACCCGAATTCTTGGGCGCCGATGCACTAACTCCAAGCTTCAAGATTCAGGGGTATATCATCAGGAACGGGACATCGAAAGAACATTAGAACTTCAAAGTTGGCTAAGCAAAATAAATATACACTGTGCAAAAGATTAGGGGAAATGATAATATTAGAAAAAGAAAAAAAAAAGAAATGCCCCCTACCCGGATCGAACGAGTGATCTCTTCATTACAAGTGAAGCGCCTTACCGCTTGGCCAAGGAGGCATTTGATGCTAATGATGTCAGAACCAGAATACTTAACCACCAATTATCTATCTGCCAATACCTCGTCTATCTTCTTTGAATTCTTGGAAATGCGTTGTCAATCAATTTTGATATTTTATCTAATCATGGCCAAAGCATCGGCTGTGGTCCTCTTCAATGCGGACTCTTCTTTCGCCCAATCTGATCTGTTGCTCATTGGTTGGGAAGTACATATATATCTAGCCTACCGTCCTACAAGCCAACATGCTACAACGAGAACTACTAGGAGAATCACTAGGAGAATTACTAGGAGAATTACTAGGAGAATTACTAGGAGAATTACTAGGAGAATTACTAGGAGAATTATAAATGAAAAGTAGACTCGTCAACAAAAACAAACACAGAAACCAAACCGAAAATCAGAAGACCAGGATCCGAACCCGGATCTGGACACACAAAGACGATCCCCTCTAATTGAGACACCATCGAGAATGGGATCACCGAGTCTCGCGACTTGATGCCCCGGCGGCGGAAGGTCGAAAGGTCGAGGTCTGGTATTCGGCGCAGTTCCCGGGCACCCAGCCAAGAACAGCACCCAGCCTCCTCGACGACCTCTCCTCGGTCTCGATCTCCACCTCCGCGGATCTTTCATCCCGCCTATTTTGCTTTGATTTCATGGGAGGAGGCGGAAGGTGGATGATTGGTGGAGCCGCAAGCGGCTCGGGGAAAGTCGATGTTATCGGGGTCGAGGCCCGGTCCATGTCGATGTCCTCGGGGTCTCCCGTCCCCACGGCGATGTTGTATGCGGCGGGTGGATCAACCCGCAGGAACAGCTCCATAGCTGCCCTTTGGGCGACCCAACTCTCATCGAATGAGAGGTTTGTGGTGAAGTTGCCTGCGGCAACGAGAGGGCAACACCGACAAATGTCGGCAGGCGAAATGTTTCCGACCTCCATCAGACCTTTGAAAATCGGATTGTTAGTTGATTGAAGGGTTTGAAGTTGAGAGCAATGCTCTTGGACTGAACTTACTGAAGGAAGTCTGATGGAGGCCTAGCCAGAGGAACTCTGGCGTCAGCACCATGCGGAGGACCCATGCCGGCATGAGTCCTCCGGTGCTGACAGCACAGATCAAATGTGCCAATAAGGGAGAAAGATTGGTCGCCAGAGGGATTATAGCGAGGTTGCTTTGGGGGTCTTCACCCCACAGTTGTTGAAACAAGTGGGATTCGCCCCATGCACGAGATTCGAATTCAGCGCCGATGTAACGGCGCGCCAGCAATCGAAGGCCGGCTCTTGTGATTGGGTGACGACCAGCGTCAGAGAGAACAGGGGCCAGGAAAGAAGACATGGTAATTCCGGGAAACTACAGAACGAATAAGACAGGGGCTATGTGTTTATTTTGATATACCTTCAGTCGTAGTGAATGGGATTCTACGTGTCTCAGGGTCAATTGAATGTTAATATTTCATAAACGGAAATATGAGGGCACGTCCAGTTAGAACAGTAGTAGGCATTCACCATAGAACAATCAGACAAACGGAAGATCAATAAGTATAGACACCACGGCACCTACAATCCGAGTGAAGCAGCCATCTAGCCAAACAAAACCATATTCAACACGTATTGACTTCAATTGAGCCCTTTTCAGTTCATTTCTCCATTCGGAGCTAACCCAAACATTATTCACTTATTGCTTCAATTGGACACTTATTCACCTCATACTCATTTTCTTAGTCAAATCCACCTTGAGTGGTTTCCACTCTTTTCTCTGATCAAAAACGTCCTACCTCCAACGTTCATTTCCCTTATTCCGCTAATCAGTTTCCACAAATATTGAACAATTATTCATTCCCTTACATAATTCACTACGTCTGTTATCCTTTTACCCACTCTGTCAACAAGAGAAGATGCGGCGCAGATGCTACAGTGTAGAGAGATTCCAGGTCACAGGCAAAGTGGTGTGGGGCATACGGGTCTGGAACCGCCCTAGTGGAGCTTCCGACTAATCAGAAGACAGGAATACAGCAAAACCACAGCTACAATATGTACAGTATGTAAGTCAATGGGGGATTGATGGGGAATTAGAGACTTGTAAAATTGGTCAAGTTCCGGTTATTGCGGACGTTGCGGTTATCGGACTTGGTTGTGGATTTGCCCCAGTCAGCGGCCCGAGGTTCAGCGGAGGCGGAGAACGATAAACATACCCCATCTCTTCTCCTTCTCTTTCTCATTTCCAAATTTCGCGGCAATCCTAACTGGCCATGATGTTTCGCTCCATAAGCCGACTTCCTCGCCAGCTCCCTCATCGGCTCCCCCGCCCGGCTGCGCCATCCCGTCTTGCCCTGCGCTCGTTCACATGCGGTTATCCTCGGATGTCGTCACCACCCGATCAACCAGTGTCCACCACGCTGCCATCCGACGCATACCAGTTGCTGTCGACCGCCGAGAAAGCTGGTGCCGCAGAGGATGCGCTTTATGAGCAGCAAATCCGCGATGTGCAAGCATGGTGGGACTCTCCTCGATACGAGGGTATCAAGCGACCCTATTCCGCCGCGGATGTCGTGAGCAAACGTGGATCGCTGCAGCAGAGCTATCCCAGCTCACTGATGGCGCGGAAATTATTCAATTTGCTGAATGAACGGGCGGCGGCTGGCGAGCCAGTACACACCAGTGAGTTGTGACGTGGAGCTGTTTTGCGAGCTGTGGACCCGACCGGCTAATACGTGGGGTAAAATAGTGGGTGCCATTGACCCTGTCCAAATGACCCAGCAAGCTCCCAACCAGGAGATTTTGTATATCTCTGGCTGGGCATGCTCATCCCTTCTTACCAGTACCAATGAGGTATCCCCCGATTTCGGCGATTACCCCTATAATACGGTGCCGAACCAGGTCCAGCGTCTGTTCAAGGCACAATCGATGCACGATCGCAAACAGTGGGATGCTCGACGAAAATTGACTGCGGAGGAGCGCAAAAAAACCCCTTATGTGGATTACATGCGACCGATTGTGGCGGATGGTGATACCGGGTACGTTTGGTCTTATGTGGTGAAGAGCCTACATCGCTAATTAATTGGCATTTACAGACATGGCGGTTTGTCGGCAGTTTTGAAGCTGGCCAAGTTGTTCGCTGAGAATGGTGCTGCAGCTGTGCACTTTGAAGATCAGCTTCACGGTGGAAAAAAGTGCGGCCACTTGGCCGGCAAGGTTTTGGTCCCCATTGGCGAGCACATTAACAGACTGACTGCTGCACGATTCCAATGGGATATGATGGGATGCGAGAATTTGGTGATTGCGCGTACAGATTCAGAAAGCGGCAAACTTATTAGCAGCGCGATTGATGTGCGAGATCATGAGTTTATCCTCGGTATCACAGAAGAGGTGGAGCCGTTAGCGGAGACTTTGCAGGCAATGGAGCGCGAGGGTGCTTCACCAGCTGAAATTGATGCGTACGAACTTGAATGGGTCAAGAAGCACAAGCTTGTCTCTTTTGATGAGGGTATGTGACAATACTATCAAATATTCGAGCACCGATACTAACATTCCCAGCTGTCGATGCTCACCTCGAGGCCGAAGGTGCCAGCCACTCCACTCGAGATGCGTACAAGGCCCAAGTCGAGAAAAACCCGAACCTCTCTTTCTCTCGTCGCCGCGCCTTGGCTGCCGATTATACGAAAACCCCTGTGGTTTGGTCATGCGACAGCCCTCGCACCCGTGAAGGGTTTTATCATTACCGCGCAGGTTTCCCAGCAGCCACCAAGCGTGCCAAAGAGTTTGCGCCGTACGCCGACCTTCTCTGGGTTGAGACCGGTGATCCAGATGTCGAGAAGGCAGGCAAATTGGCAGGCGATATTCGCGAGGTCTACCCAGGCAAGAAGCTGGTTTACAACTTGAGTCCGTCCTTCAACTGGATGAGCCAAGGATTCACCGATGCTTCTCTTAAATCGTTTATTTGGGATATTGCCAAGCATGGGTAAGTAGCTTTTGGAACTCTTTCAGTGGTGCGATACTAATTTATACAGATTTGTCCTGCAATTGATCTCCCTGGCAGGTCTCCACAGCAATGCCACTGTCACAACAGAGTTATCCCGTGCTTTCAAGGACGAGGGTATGCTCGCCTACGTTCGACTTATTCAGGCCCGTGAGAAGGAAATGGGTGTCGACGTCCTTACTCACCAGAAGTGGAGCGGTGCACCGTACATGGATGGCATTCTGGGTGCGATTCAAAGCGGAAGCAGTAGCAATAAGAGCATGGGTGAGGGTAACACCGAGAAAGGTAAGTCATCTGAATGATTTGAATATGCCGATGCTGACTGTGATCAAGGTTTCTAAACCCTTCAAGGATAGATGAGCTAAGGACCAAATGTATTCCATTCGATAAGGAGTTTATAAACATTTTGCTCTCATGCAAAGCCCTATAGGAGTCCCATACATCAACACCGGCACGAAATGAATCGCAAATTGAATTTCCAGTATATGTTACATATCAGATTACATACAGTACTCGTAGCAGGGGTCAACCTTGTTGGAGCTTATGGTAGTCAAGTGTTTCATTCCGAATTGGCTATGGATAGATCATATTCGATGACTCGGAGATTTTCAACGGTTGGCCAGATAGGGCACAAGGGGAAACTACAAAAGTCGGGAAATTTAGCTTTAGCTGCTGGCCTTTTGCCTCTTGGTCCATCGTGAAGGAATCAAACTTCACAACCTTGAAATCAGCGTAGTATCGAGATGAAACTCCACTATCCAAGATTATCAGAAAGTGATCGCAAAGGATCGAGAATAGCGCAGACAATTATTCGTGGCGATTTGGATAGAACTTTATTAAAGTTCTGCTTCTTTCATGTTATCTATATCTCGGTCCTTCAACTTTTGGTGTTTCTCCCCCGCGTTCCGCCCTGAAAACATGGCTTTACACACAACACTCATAACTTTCCGCCCAAAAATCAGCACAGGACTATACATCACTCGGCACTGAACTGTTCCCAAAAGCAGTTCCAATGCATCTCAGCACGGCCATTGTCGACCGTGGACCGGCCCCATGGCATCTTTCCAGGAAAGCGGACCCACTCAGCATGTTTCAAGTTGCTCTGATACCTCACTCGATCTAATGCCGGGAAGACGAGCTAGCACGCAATGATTGCACAGTCCGTCCAGACAGGTCTAGACAGATCGAATGATTGAATCATGTATCCGATGCCGGGAAGTGGCCCCTCACGCATGCGAGCCACGGGGCCGAAAACACGAGGATCTGCACGTTTCATTACGCTAGCCGACTAAACCTGGATTGGGCCCTTGTCACCAATTATCAAAGTGCAGAATCCATGATCTAAGCGTGCGTCAAATTTCCCGCTTGGGAAGTGTGAGATGAGAGGTCACACATGGGGCGGGTGGTACAGCAAGGCGCCCACGAAGCGCCGATCATTTTGGGGTTTCGGTGATTTACCTCTCTTAGATCTCTACGATGTAACTCAGCTTTCTGCTTGAACATAACATCTCTTCGACCGTCTTGGGCTCTACATAATTGCAGAACCGCTCTCTAGCAGAAACATGGCTATATCCGCCATGGAGAAGGCTCAAGACGATGGCCCGGTGATATTGGCTGTTGGTTGGATACTGATCGCTGTTCCCGGTCTGTTCGTTGCCCTGCGATTGTATTGTAAGATCATGCTGGCGAGGGGTTATGGATGGGATGATGCTGTCTGTGTTTTTGCTTGGGTTGGTCACCAACTTGGCTCTGTCTTACGTGCTGTTTGCTGACGTACATTCAGCTCTTACAACTTATTTACACAAGCCTGGTCACCAAGGGTGTGCAAATGGGTGTTATTGGTAGACACGTTGACGCCATCGAGAACCAAGATATCATACCCCATGCACTCAAGCTCGTCTATATTGGCTTTGTGATCATCATCTTTGGCTGCGTCTTTGCTAAAACCTCATTTGTTATCACCTTGTTGCGAATTGTGACCAATCCCTGGCAGAAAGCAGCGCTGTGGTTCATTATGATCAGCATGAACGCCATAATGTGGCTTTGTGGGATCTGCTATTTGGCCCAGTGCAAGCCCACCGCTGCACTTTGGGATACGGCATTGATTCCTACAGCCAAGTGCTGGCCTTTTAGTGTTTTTGAGAACATTGCATTAACAGCCGGAGGTAAGAGACGAGGATGAACCTGACATGAAATGGAAAAACACTAATACGGGGTTCAGCATACTCCGGGTGCATGGACTTCATCCTCGCTGTATTTCCCTGGGTCATCCTCTGGAAGCTTCAGATGAAAAAGCGTGAGAGATTTGGTATAATTATAGCTATGAGCATGGGTGTCTTGTCAGTGCAGCACCATCATACAGATGCCCCCGACTGACCCAGCAACAGTGCCTCGATAGCAGCTTTCATCAAGACATCCAAGCTTGTCAACGTCGCCGAACTCATTGACTTTACCTGTATGTAAACGAATTCCTGCCCCATTATAAAACTATACTAACCAGGAGAGACTATTGTACCCCCATCGTCCTCTGGGCCTCTGCCGAAACAGGCTTAACAATTTTTGCCGCCTCGATTCCAGCCCTCCGCATCCTCTTGTTACGTATGCGCTCTTCAAGGGACGACACAGACCCCTCCACAAGCTACAACTTTTCGGGAAAGGGGCGCAGCACCACACGCAGCGGAAACAACGATGATCGGTCGGATCCGTATTATTATATGAATGGTGATATGATCACCCTCAATGACCGCAGAGATAATGCAAGTGATGAGAACGTCCCGGGAGAGACTGGGATTAAACAGACGAGAGAGATCTCAGTTACATATGAAGCTGGTCAAGATGGGAGGAACGATAGCTCGTTGGCGAATCGAGTGGACATCTTTCATCATTAACCGAACCCAATATCAACTTGCCCTTGTCATATTATGTGACTCCCCTATCCAATATACCGGCATAAATCCTAAGCGCCTGACAGAAAACTCGCATCATGCCAAAAACATGCTCTCCTTTCAAAATCTCCGAAAGCAACCGCACAAGCACAGCACCCATCTGCCTCAATTGCTGCCCTCCGTCTCCGGCAACATCAGCAGCGTTAGGTGTCACCAGATCAGCCTCTCGCAGCACACTCGCAATAATCCTCAAAAGCCTCTTCGTATCAGCATGAAGATCCCCCGGGTCTTCCGCCAAAGTCTCAAGCCATTTGCAGAGGAATAGTGCGCATTCCAGGTTACAGAGCGAGTGGATCGTGCTCCAGGTCAATGTCTGCGTCCGTGCGACGTATTCGATACCCAGTCGGACTGGAATGGAAAGTGCGTGGATGGATTGGAGGACGGCGTGGTATACCTGCGGTGATTGTGGTGGCTTAGGGGCATTGAGGAAAGCATTTGCGATTATTTCTGGATTCCATGTTCCCAATTTACGGTATGGGCCTAGGTTCAAGTGGAGGCGGATGCAGGCGATGCGGAAAATGGCTGTTGCGTTGAAGCCTAAGGGCCCTTTGGGGGATGAAGGAGTTATTGTTGAGGGATCTGAGGATGCTTCCCAGCTTCGTTGCCAGCGCCTGAGTGCTGTGTGGAATTTTGAGAGCACGTCGACTGGTAGGGTTGTTGGTCTCTCGGTTGGTGAAGCCGTTGAATAGGCTGTCTCCCAGGCGAGAAAGATATTTTGGAAGATGCCGTGGATCAGGATGAGATTTCCGAATGATGATAGGCTTGGTCTTCTTCTTTGGGTCTGCTTCGATCGGAATAAACGGGCATATGCAGTGCCGAATGGGACGCAAGGATGTTGTTTTGAACGGAGAGCCCTCCATTCAGTGGCGCTGGAGGCTTTCCAGACTTCTTCGGAAGAGGGCAGATAGGTGGTGGCCATTTCGCTGTTCAAGATCTTTGGTGGCATGTTGTATAAGATTGTTTGGTTATTTGAAAGCATGTAAGCTGTAAATATAGTGCGTCGCTGTCCCTCTTTCTGAATCCATGCGTTCCAAGTTTCACAATCAGAATAATCGTCATTGAGTAGAGCCCCGTCTCGAAATGTTTGCGCCATCTGTGTGGTCATTGAGATGGAATCACTCAATAGGCCATGATGTCCCCAGATACCCAGGGTCGAGAGAATAATTTGCGATTGCAGAATCTCCATTCCAATCCTTTGGGAGCAGGTCACTTCGTCAATATCAGTCCCAGGGTTGGAAAACGGGGAAAATGGCGCATGTACAGAGATAAAATTATCAATCAGAGATTTTGATGCTCTGCAGAAGCACACAGCCCGCTTGCTTTCAAATCGATACTGTGCACCCATGGCAATAATTGCTAGAATCAATGGTGGACTCAAACGCGCAATGGACACTGTCGGAAGGTGAAGAAAAGGCAAATGCCCATGGCTGCCAGTAAAAAACCCCTCGATATATCTGCATAGTACATATTTGGAGGGGAAGACGAAATCTGCGTCAAGAATATGCCGAACACTGTCAAATAGCGAAAGAATAGATTGATACTCCTCTTTTCCGATACGCCAGGGGTACAGCATATGATTCTCTGTCTGCTCTGTGGGGGAATCAGGACGCTCGGAAAGATCCTCTGCGTCCTGAGAGTTGATCTCATCATGTTGGTTCAATGATGGAAGTTGGTAATCGCATAGTGATGCATCATCATCGGAATGAGGACAATCGGGTACCGTATCGCCCGAAGTCCCACCACTTGACGGCCCAGTCAACGAAGAACTTGCCTGTTCGTGATTATCAAGTCCAGTAATTGAAATCAGATCATTCGGAAACTCGGCACCTAAAGGAAAGTATTCTTCAAGTGAAAGGCTCCCGTCCATGCCGCCCCACAAGATATTGAGATCTTGTAGATTCTCGTCGAAAAGCTGCCGTGTCGTACCTGGAGAAGGCATGGAATTACTTGGAACTTGCATCAAGTCTGCTTGATGTATCTCGGTGGACGAATTGATCGGAAAGTGAAATTGCATAGCCTCGGTATGGTGTTGCATGGCCGTGGCTTGTCTTTGCGATCCTTCTTGTAGAGGTTTCTTCGTCATACAGGTCGCTAACTGGGATTCCTGGCCTTCGGACCCCAAGGCCAAAGAAGTTGACTCTGTTTCATCGTCATGTGCATCCTTATCAGGTTGCACCTCTTGGTGGCATGAAGGGTCATTTTTGACCTTTAAGTGTCGAGAAAGCAGGTCCCTGTCACTTGTTATTTTCAAATCCAAGCGAGAAGCAGAGCCATGCTCACCGTCTCGTAAATTTCCTGCTGCAACGACAGCTGAAAGGTTTCTCACGTGTATCTTTAAGCGATCAGTCATTTAGCCCCGGGATCAGCGATTCAAAGTCTGCAACGTACGGGTGCGCTCATGGCGAAGCAGATGTTCTCTTCTTGAGAAACGCCTCCGGCAAAACTTGCACGGCGCGACTTCAATACGGGGTCGCATGTCATATACAGGACGAATGGCAGGTCTGGTGAGGGGATAGATAAGCAGCCGCGTGGATGTTCCCAGTTAACTCTCACCGCTCACTGCCGGTTTACATTCTTTTATCTGCATTTTCTCTTCAACGAGAACGAGGTCTTTCTTGGAGATGAGTTCGGATTCATTGATTTATAGCACGATATGCGTTCTCAAAACCAACCCTGCCGTCGCTTGTGCCTATCTTGCCATGACCATCGATACACGCCAGATTTAGCTGTCTGCAGATTCTCTCTCACCAACCCAACAAGAAACTGAACACCTATAGTCACACCATCTAATACCCGAACCTCAGTCTCTAATAAAGCATCTTCACAAGCCTTCCGCATCTCAGCCATGCCCGCACAGCCCAGTAAAACACAATCCGCCTTTTTATCGTCCACCAGTCGACGAAGCTTTTGTATTATGTTGGCATACACGTCTTCCTTCGGCTTCGAGTCGAGCTCCAGTACACCTAGCTGAGCCGATTCACATCCAGCAAAGTAGTCTGAGAACCCATACGCGGAAACGGTGCGGGAGTGAGCCATCACAGAACGGTCGGATGTGCAGATGATTCCCATTTTGCCTCCAAGCATGCGTGCAGCGTACATTGCAGCTTCCATTATGCCGAGTACGGGGTGTGGGTACTCTTCTTTCAAAGCACTGATGAGGGGGTGATCTCGGAAGCATGCAACGAGGAATGCATCGTAACCCCCCACATCAATGTCGCTAATTGCCCTGATACAATCTGCGGTGGAGAGTACGGCATCTGTTTGGGATTCGATTGCTGATGGTGCGGGATGTGGCGCGGTGAACCCATGGACTGTGACGTCTGGGGATAGACTAGGTCTAATAGCGTTCAAACAGGCCATTGTCATGTGTTCGGTGGAGTTTGGGTTTATTAGCAAAACGTTGATTCTGCCATCTCTGGGCAAGCCTGACACATTGGGAAGCACGGCATCCATTGTTTAAGAATGCCCTATAAAATCGCCTTGATGGTGTAATCATATGGTCTGTACCGGTGTAGAGTAGAGGATCATATTTGATGTGTTAGGATGGAAGGAAGGAGGACAGACTCGATACAGGAGGATATTTTTATAGTTGCCAGATGGTCCCCATGACTAAATGTTGAAGACTTTAACTCAATTGAAGTTGGGGTAGAAATGTATTAAAAGGGCACCCAAAGCCCGTGCTGATTGAGCGCTAGGAAGCGGGGTATTTTCTCAAGCGGATTATCCAAGGTTGCTGATAAGTCTGCTGCCCATGCTTCCAAAATACTTCTTGTTGTTTTTAAATCAGCCATTACTATATGCCGATCTCGTTTTGATCTGGAACAACCAGAAACAGCGTCAAATGACTCCCAAAGGTATCGCCGGCCGAGTGGTTTCGACAGTCTCGATAATGCACCGTTAGCTCTAAAGAAAAGAAGGGTATAAAGATTCATGGGCTTCAGGCACATCTGAGGACTCAGGAGAGATTGGGCTCATGTTTGACATGTCATATCACGTGAGGTGCATCCTGTCTCTACAGAATACGGTTCTAGGGTTGAGTCTATCAAAGTCCACAACGGAGAGCAGACCGTTGCGGATTTGATGATCTGAGAATCTGGAGCTTCACCCAAATGCTCTTATTATATCAATGTCTTGGTCTTGGCTGCACAGTTTTCTCTTGAATTCCAAATCATACATTCTGGGGAAGCCAAAAGTCCCGCTCTCCTTCAATCATGCCAGCCGGAAGCTGTCCCGTCTTTCCAACCAGCACTCCCCCTGTCTCCCGTTTAATAAATTGCCCATACCCTTTCACACCACTTACAGCATTCTCATCCGCATTCCAAACAATCTGACCACGCAACATCGTGAAGCGAGGCCAGTTCCTCACCCCCATTCCTTCGAAGGGTGTATAATCAACATCATGGTGCAAGTTGACCTGGGAAATCGTTCTCGCCCCAATATTTCGCGGATGCCAGATCACCAAATCTGCATCAAATCCGGGCAAGATGAATCCTTTTTGCGTCAATCCATATAATCTTGCCGGATTCCCAGATGTCAGCTGCACGAAGCGTGCAAGGCTGAGTCTTGCTCGTTCCTTCGGGAGACATCCCTCTGATTCGCTAAAAAGAAGAGAGAGTCTGGTTTCAATACCAGGGATTCCCTTAGGGATCTTGCTGAATTTTGGAATTCCGTTGATGATGCCGGCTTTTTTTCCTTGTGGGTGATCATATTTGGTTGGAGCATGGTCGGAGGAGAAAACGGTAAATGTATCGTTGGCAATTCCCCGCCAGAGAGCTTCCAGGTCTTCTAAATTGTGGCGAAGAGGTGGGGAACATACACCCTTCGCTCCGTGAAAATGATCATGTTCTTTGTTGGCTAATTTGTCGGAGAGAAGAAAGAGGTAGTGAGGACACGTTTCGGCATGAATTGGAAGAAGCCGTGTCTGTGCGTCTCTGATGTGCTTCATTGCTCCATCTGCGGATACGTGAACTAGGAGGATTGGGGCGTCGACTAGTTCTGCGAGCCGAATCGCTCTGTAAGATGCTTCGTCTTCTGCGATCTTTGGTCCCGCGATAGCATGGAAGAATGGTGCTGTGTTGCCATTTCTTTCGAGTCCCTCAACCAGGAATTGTATCATGTCACCGTTCTCTGCGTGAATCATAGTTGTCATTCTCAAGGAGCGACAGGCGAGCAAAGTATCCAGAAGCTCATGGTCAGATAGTTTGTATAGCTCGTAAGTCATGTATAATTTCACACTTGTGATTCCTTCCTTGATTAGTAACGGGAGCTCTTGTTGCAGGATCGTTGGGTTGGGCTTTGTGATAATAAAATGGAATCCATAGTCACAATACGCCTGTCCCCGGGCTTTTTCGTGATATTCCTCTAGAACGGGAAACAAGGTTGTCATTTCTTTTGTCTGTGACGTGAACGCCAATACTGTTGTCGTGCCACCTGCAACGGCACTGCGGGTACCAGTCTCCCAGTTATCTCCTGTTGGAGCATTTCTCTGAGCAAGGTGAACATGTGAGTCCACACCCCCGGGAGTGATGTATGCCCCTTGTGCATCAATTATCTTGGTCTCAGGGCCTTCGGGCAGCTCATATCCTATGACGGATATCTTCCCTTTCGAAATCCCGATACTTTGGCCGGCAGGAAGCACTCCACTTTCTGTGACCTGCTTTAGTCAGTCCTCATGCTCAGACATGTATCTTTACGCTATACCATATGGTAAGCTTGGAAAAAGAGAGTAACGTACAATTATCCCATTCTTCACGATTGTATCTAGTCCCATAATGATTTTTATGCTTCAAGCTTCAATTCTTTTCTTGTACGTCTTCGATACTCGATAAATGTGCTAGGTTGTCAGGAACCTTATGCTAGATAATGAAAGTCTTTTCCATTTGGTTTACTGGTCCGCTTCACGCTATTCCCAAAGTATCTACCCCGATTTCATTTATCTCCAACCCCTCAACCTTATCTAACAAGAAGATAACAGTGCATTACATTCGAAAATCAGTGTCGCCACGGATACTATCCGATCACTTATCGAACCCTAATTGACAAAAGAACTTTATTCACTGTGACTTAACCCGTATCCCTGTCGAAAAGCTCGTAATGCATTTCGCATAGTGACTGGTGTCTATCTTGTGGCTTTACAGGAATATCTTTAGGGAAGTACCAATGTTGGTATTAGGTTACTTTTTATTTTAAAATCATTCCCTAGTTCAAGTGATAATATTTTGTTCCAACCTAATCACTGGACAAAAGCTCCGGCTCAACAACTCCGGCACGTTCAACAATAGTGTTATAATGCTCCGTCCTCCGATGCTTCTCAAAAGCAAAAACCGTACTTTTCGGACGATCACAATCCGACAGATCGATAGTAGCCACCACCAATTCATCCTCCTTCGTTACTGCCTCTTTAATAATGTGTCCAAGTGGATGAACAATAATAGTCCCTCCAACCAACGGATTTCCATCTTCCGCACCAGTCTTAGCAACGTTGATACTGAAACAAGCATTCATATAGCTGTTTCCTTGACAGGAAAGCTTGTGATGGAGCATCACTAGCTCCTCAGCTGCATCGGGGCTCATATCGACCGCATGACCGCTACTAGTAGTCTGGAAAGCAGTGGTATTGTAACCGCAACACATGATTTCCATCCCTTGTAGACCGTACACGCGCCATGCTTCGGGCCATCGTCGATCGTTGCAGATCAGCATTCCGATGATAGGATCGCCTTTGCCGGTAGCAGTGGAGTTACCCACGTCAGCAGTCTTTTTCAGTGCACCATCGACGAGACCTGGAGCTCTGAATGCAGGAAATCCAAGATCCCCGGGTCTGAAGTAGCGTTTTTCTAGTTGTTGGAAGGCACCTGGTTCGGTCTTTGGCTCCATGGAGCCGGGAAGATGGACTTTGCGATATTTCCCCACAATCTTATTCGTTTTCGCTGAGTAGTAGACGCTGGAGTTGTAGTCGATGTGAGAGCCGTCACTTTGGATACTTCGCTCAGCATATCCGACATAAACGTCGATCCCAAGATTTCGTGCATGGTCAAATAGGGGCTTAATTTTGGGCGATTGTTCAATGCCGCCTTTGCTGGGATCCTCAATGTCGAAGTATTGATCCAGGTCCTTTCCTTCTAATAGATATCGGGGAAAGAAGGTTGTAAAGGCAAGCTCAGGGAAGATGGCTAATTTGACGCCTTGTTTTGCGGCTTGGTCCAGAAGTGTGATCATGCGCTTCAATACATCTTCGCGGGAGTCTGCAAGATGAATGGGACCCAATTGGCAAGCGGCTACTGTCACTAGCCTGGGAGATACGGCACTGTCTGAACCCATCGTGAGTACCTGGAGCTAATTTTATTCGAATCTCTGTGAGGTTTTCGAGCCGATTGATGTGATTATCTCAGTTTCAATATGGGAGAAATCCGGCACCAAAAATAGAACTACGAGTGAACCCCGCAGCTCGTTATCAGTGATCGGGGTTTCTACCCCAATATGTATTTCTCAGTGTGTATTGGAGTTGAGAAGTCCCCGCTCAGTGGGGTAACATGATAAGAATCCTGTTGCGGTGGGACAGACCGTTGATCATCGTGTCATATGCGTTCTTATCTTTTCTCGGATCCAAGAAGTCCTGTGGTTTCAATTGTTCTTGAACTAGACGAGCTGAACTTTATAGCTGAACGTGAGGAATTGAATGAATATATTGAATGCAAAAGTGGTCTATGTTAGAACAAAATCAGCTCTGCGCCCTGGAATGTTTCTCGCTTCATAGTGAGCCAACTGAATCAACATCAACGTCTGAATTCGGATGCCGGCCGTACATGGCTGTTACTTTGAACATCTGCGGGGAAAGTACCAGCCAATGGACTTATAGAAACCATTGATATGCTGTTATCTCTAGCAAGCGAAACTCATTTACTCGATACCATTCACTAGTCTGTAATCGAAGCGATATATGTGCAAGTATTATGTTTAAATACGCTCACCTCTGTCCTCGATGTGATCACAAGCCCTAGCAATTTCAAATTCATTTTATCCTTCTATCCAAGATGAAATCAAGTCAAATATCTCAAGATGAAGAAAAATCAATCAAAATCTCTTCCTATCAGCGACAGGAAACTCTCCCGGAGAATTCCTCAATCAGAAATTATGCAATCACAAGAGTGACATCCCTAAAGCCACCCATGGCAAAGGTGGCCAATCCTTTTAAACTGCTAGCCATGTTAAACAAACAACAATGGGCCTTTTTTCTAGTCTCATTTCTCGCATGGTCCTGGGATTCCTTCGATTTCTTCACCGTATCCCTCACAGTCGACGACCTAGCCGAGACATTCCAAAAGTCTACCACAGACATAACCTGGGGCATCACACTAGTCTTGATGCTTCGATCCGCCGGTGCAGCACTATTCGGTCTTGCAGCAGACCGCTACGGAAGAAAATGGTAATCATCCAGAAACCCACTGACCTATCCATTATTCGAAGTTAAACTTGATATAGGCCATTTATCGCCGCCCTTTTCCTATTCATAATCCTCGAGCTCGCAACAGGATTCTGCAAAACCTACAAACAATTCCTCGCCATTCGCGCACTACTAGGAATAGCAATGGGCGGTCTGTATGGCAACGCAGCCGTAACTGCACTAGAAGACTGTCCCACCGAAGCCCGCGGTTTAGTCGCAGGGCTAATGCAACAAGGCTACGCATTCGGGTACCTCCTCGCAACGGCCTTTGCACGCGCACTGGTAGACACAACCACGCACGGCTGGAGACCCTATTTCTGGTTTTCGGCTTGTCCACCCGTTTTCATCATCATATTCCGCCTATGCCTACCCGAGACGAAGGCTTTTCAGACTCAACAGACTCGCAACGGTGAACAGGAGCATCCGGCACGTATGTTCCTTTCCGAAGGACGCGTTGCATTGCGAAGCCATTGGCTGGTATTCGTGTACCTTGTGCTTTTGTCTAGCGGGCTCAATTTCATGTCGCATGGAACTCAGGATCTATACCCGACCATGCTAGAGAACGAGCGTGGGTTTTCGGCAACTGCTGTGACTGTTACGCAGGTTGTTGCTAATCTGGGTGCGATGGCTGGTGGGTCAACGACGGGTTATTTTTCGCAGATCTTTGGGAGGAGATTCAGTATGCTTGTCGTTTGTGTTGTTGGGGGTACGGTGTTGTATCCGTATACGTATGTAAAGACTGAAGCTGTGACGGCTGTTGCGTTTTTTGTGCAGTTTTGTGTGCAAGGGGCTTGGAGTGTTATGCCTAGCTACATGATGGATTTGGCACCGGCTTCGTTTCAGACGTTTGTTGTTGGATCTGCATATCAGTTTGGTAGTCTTGCTTCGTCTGCTTCGTCGACTATTGAAGCGACACTTGGCGAGCACTATCCGCTTGCACCGCTTGTGAAGGCTGATGGGACGGTTGTTGATCGTTATGACTACGGTAAGGTAATTTGTATTTTCATGGGGGCTATATACGCTTATACTGTTTTGTTAATTATTGTTGGGCCTGAGAAGAGAGGACAGAATACGGATGCGGAGTTTGATGCTGATATGGATGAGATGATCCATGCAAATGGAAGGCATTAGTGTTAGTATCTGGAAAGCACTAAATATGATTATACCTCTAGCCCTCGATATACAAAAATTCGAATTCTATAGTCAGTGAGGTAGGTATTTATTTCTGTAATTTTTTCCATATCCTTTCTTCCACGGTCGCGCAAAGGTCTTAGTGAATGTATTAGCTAAATTCACAAGATCATCGTGGGTCCCTGGCATGAGATTTTTCGCCTGCCTTATCTATCTTAAAATACCAATAAAATACCCAGCCCTGACATGCGCAAGATCAGTAGAGTAGACAAAGATTATGGTTTACTGAAAGCAAGAATATATATTTCGTTAGATCCACCCCGCGTACCGGACACTAAACCCGCGTATGTACGGGGTACTCGATACCAGAGTATATCCCAGTATGGGCCCGGGAGTACAGTGGAACATACACAAAAGTACCGGAGAATTGAATTGTGGTAAGATAACCAAAGTCTGCTTAACCATGGATAGAAACTATATGAAATATACCAAAACAAAATATACTTTCTGATTTGTGTTGGTAAAAAATTATGATGTCCCTTGAGCTTTGTAATACCTGACCTTCTGTACGCATGTTCTGTGGAGACTGTAAGATCTTCAAATCTAACCGTAGTCCGGGGTAAAGACGGATTACAGAGTACACATTTGAGCGTCGGATACCAAACGATCCGTTCATACTATACGCGTTCATTTCCAGGTAAAATAAATAACAAATCGATCGTCATTCTAAAAGTATGCAACAAAATCACAGCCAAGCTAAATTACTGAAATCAAGGAATCAAAAACGCGCAGCGCGGATATTGCATCCAGCTAGAGTAGGAAAAAATCAGTCCAGAGATAAAAGTGCTGAAATAAGACAATTCCAAAATGGCAGAGATGGGAGCCTTATAACAATAAATATCACGATATCCGAGACCCTAGATAGCCCGTATCACAGTCACAATCTCAAAAAATCGTAGAAAGAGATACATCAGAATGAAAATTGGGGAGTCGACATAACACGGTCAAGTGAACCACGCTTGGTTCAGTATATGGATCGCGATAACCGTCAGCAGCCCAGGATACAAATTCACCCGCACAAAAGCACTGATCATAAAGCGCTATGAAAGCTTTGACTGAACAAAACACCATTTTCCCGACACAAAAAAAAGAGAAAAGAGACACGCTCAAGAACGACAAAACATCGACATCGAGATATCGTGTTGGTTTAGTTGACACGGAATGCATCGAAGATAACTGTATGACGTGTTAGTAATTAGTCATACCAATTACATTGTTTCTATACATACCTTCTTGACCGCGGCGGCAACCGCTACCAATCCACATGAGGGTATTAAGGAAGGTGAACCGTTCGTCACCTGTCTCCATGGACAGGTTGATACGGTATTTGTAGCTGCCGGGGTTTATACCATCAGCTTGGCCCTGGTCATTGACCTTCTCGAGAATGTCCTTGGCACCGGTGAGCCAGCCCTCGGCCTTCACCATGATGAAAGCGGGAGGGTCTTCGGCAGTCTGAAGCAAGTAGTTCGCACGAAGGTGGGTTGTCTGGTCCTTCGTCACGATCTGAGTGTCTTGGCCACCGGGCTATTTTAAAAGTTAAAATTGAACAGTATAATGTATTAGCTGAAAAAGCTTACCAGAACAATACCCTTGCCCCATCGACCAGCCCACTGACCACCGATAAATGAGACCCACTCGCGGTGGCCCCATATGCTTTGGCCGACAGGAACCTTGGGGTTCATCTTGATGCTCATGCGGAAATCCAGCTCGAGGGTCGGTGCAGGAATCTGGAGGGATCGCGCAACATCACCCTCGGGGAATGTGTGCAGGAGGTTGTTGGCAGGAATCGAATCCTTCATAACACTGAGATAGGTGGGGCATTCCAGCAGATGCTGACGCTGGCGACTGGTGTTCTTCGCGCGCACTTGCTGACAATAAATACATTGCACAGATAGACACTAGCCTTGTTAGCACGAACGTTCTTTCAAATGTGTACTTCCGACAAAGTATTGTAGGAAAGCAATCGAAAGCATACCTTATCCTCTTCTTTGGCGCGGAACTCAACAAACGCAGCGTGCACATCATCAAGCGGCGGCGCAGGCAGACTGGAAGTGCTCGGCTTGGACTTGGGTTTTGGGGTCGAACGAGGTGGAGGTAGCGAGGAAGGCGCGGAGCCTGGAGGTGCGCCGACCGCTGGTGGGCCCGGTGTGGCCATCGGCGGTCGGTTCTGCAAGGTGGACAACGGGGTGCCGAGCGGGGTGGCATGAGGATTGACGCCGTTGGTGATCATGGAGCCATTGGGTGTAGGGATGGTAGGGCCAGTTGGGCCCGGTGCAGCAGTAGTTGGACCATTCGGAGTGCCTGGGTATCCATTGGTAGGACCGATACCATTGGGGGCCTGGGCGGGCTGGGCAGGTTGGGGCGCGTTGGGATGACCGCGCAGACCGGGACACTCGAGGAGATGTTGCTTCTGTCGCGAAGTGTTCTTTGCGCGAATCTGCTGACAGTAGATACACTGAACGGAAAGACACTAGGAGTAGAAACACCCAAAAACCGGGTTTCGTATGTTAGCCTGGTGTTTGTGGTGGGTTTGAAATATTACGAAATACGCAGTCACGCACCTTGTCATCTTCCTTGGCGCGGAACTCGACAAACGCCGCGTGCACCTCCTGGTCGACGGTACGACCCATGATGCGAGCACCAGAGAGGACGATAACTGTATAAACGACGAATACGCGTAATAACGCGAGGGGGATGGGGGACGGGGGTGGTTTCGATGCGGGTGGGGGGGTTGGTTTTGTGTAGGGGAGAGAGGGAGAAAGAAGAAATGGAAAGACCAAGACAGAATACGAGTGGCGCGGGAAATAACGCGCCTGCGTAATTATGAGTCCGGTTCGGAGTATTTCAGACTCGTATAATATTCTTTGATTCCTTTTGTGCTCCATGTATGAGAGATTTAATATATTACTATTTATTCAATTGGTCAAGTTATTTATTCTTTCCATGGTAACCTTGGTTTCCAATCAAAATGTCCTTAATTTTTAGTGTGATGTTAGAAATGGCCGAAACGCCGGTTATTTGACGATTACGCGCCAACACACCATCCATGGGCTCGTCTAAAAGACTGACCAGTGTATCTAGATAGCAATTCCATTCGGCGGACCTAGTTTGTCAGTAAACTTAGTCAATCGCTTATAGTTTTCAGTGAGTAGATTAAATATCAATTTTGGCTGGATTGCTGACCTCGTACCGCGACTATCACATAAGGAGTTTCCTCCTCACCGAAATAATGTTATATTGATATACTATGTAGTTACTATGAATTAACATTACCAATATTGCTAGGGTCTAAGCGATATATAAACTATCTGAATTGTGACCTTCATCGCAAAGGATTATGACTTCCCAGGAAATTCCCAATCCTGTGGAAACATGCTATACTGCACATCATCTCTGCCCCGGTAGATATCATCATAATGAGCAATCAAAGTCTCTGGATCCTCAGCTTGCCGATAATACTTAGCGCCCAATGCTTTGAACACGGGATCATTCCACATCGTCGCCATCCAGGCCAGAGCATCTGGGCTTGCAGTGTCCAGAGGTAAGCCATAAGAACGGAACCGCCAAAGAACGGGCCAGAAAAACGCATCAGCGATAGAGAAGGTTCCGAACAGGAATCCTTGATCTTTCTCACCTAGAGCCGCAAGACGCTCCTTGGTCCCTTTGCGGGCAATATCCCACAGCGACAGCACACGCTGGATCTCTTTCGCTGCGTCATCGGGGATTGGGACATTGCCTGTGTACCGTGCAATGAAGTTCGTGGAAAATGCGTTCCGGATCGCTGAGAATCCAGAGTGCATTTGTGCAGTTACAGAACGAGCCAGAGCTCGAAGCTGACGATCACGGGGCCAGAGAGGCAATTCGGGGTTGGATTCGGCCAGAAATTCGCAGATAGCGAGCGAATCACAGATTGCGATGTTCAGGGACCGGCATTTCAGTAATGGAACCAGGCCTGTTGGAGAGACGGTCTTCGTCTATTTAGATGTTAGGGCTCGTGGGTATACACGTAATGGATGAGTTGAGCCATTTACATCGCAAAGGTTCACGAATTGGCAGGTGTGCGGAATTTGGAAGTATTCCAAAACAGCCTCCACCCGAGCCGTCCAGCCTGGAATCTTTCAGCTAATGCTGGCAAAAATGCATAAGGGACTTACTGGAATAGCGGGTGTGAAGGCCAATAAGATGAATATCGGGGGTTTGGGCTGCCATTGTATATGCGAAGATATCAATTGATGCTTGCAGGCGGGAAGAGAGAAAGAAACGATGAGAGAAATGATAACTTTATGAGTCATCTGTACTTGGGTGCTACTTAATTATCTCATGGCTGTTGCGACGGTTATCCATGGATATTGGCGCCAAGCGGGCTGCCCAAGGCATCTCCGACCGGACACGCTCGGTTAGAGAAAATATCCTAAGCGCACAGAGGGGCAAATGAAAATCGGGAGGGAGTGTAGAAACGCGGTCGGAGACCGGATGATCTGTCAAAAATTGAATCTAATAACCTCTCTGTTAACACTGTAAATAATCAGTTCATTTTTTATAGATCTAGGTATGTGAGTATTATTACTGAGTACTGTTCCAGAGACTCCGACCCCGTTCCCGTAAGGTATCCTGTATCCCGTACGCGATACTGTCAATGGTCCCGATCCCTTACAGGTTCCTGGTAAATTTTACAGAACCAACGCGAGTAAACATCTAGATCTATAACTGAAAGATCTTTAGAAATATTGCAATTGCTCATTCACCATTTGCCATTGGATCTGCTCTATTGACCTGAATATTCCTATCGCCTCCCACCACCCACAAAGATAAAAATTAATAAAATCCCGAATTTCGAACAATCGGAGTAACGAATTGCAAAGGACAAAAAAGGCGCACGTCATAAAAGTCATAAAACATAAAATGCATAAATGATACCAAAATCAAGATCAAGAAAAAATGAAAGGAACACCTCCCGCAAGCAAACCGAAGCAATATCAAGATCCATGAAATCACATGTCCATGCCGATGTCGCTCTCCCTTATCACTGCATCATTTCCGAATTAGGTAACCCGCATATTAGTAGATCTCAAACCTACTAACCAGTTCACACCCCTTCCACACGCATGAAAATCTCTCCATACTCATATTTTGTGCCCCAGTACTCAATACCAGCATCATGAGATGGCTCCTGCGAAATGGATAATATCCCATGAGTGGCAAGTGTAAGCACATTCATCAGTCCCTGCGTAGCCACCGTCCGCGAAGTCTTCCCAGGCGGAAGAAGATCCGAAAACGCCAGTTCGCTCTTCCCATCCTGACCATCCATTGTATCCTGGATGAAATCAAAGAAATTCATACTCTCCTGATCTAGCTGTGATGCGACGCGCTGGGAAGCCGATGCCTGCCGCGATAGCGTCGTGATATCTTTCTTGTCGGCTGCAAGCTCGGCTGCCAGGTATCGGGAAATTTCCAGGTCTTCATCGAGCCCGTCGAGGCCGTCTCCACCCTGTAGGGACAGACTACCGAGTTGTTCGGGGTATCCTCGTCCTGCGAGCGGACTGGCACTGGTAAAGCGGCCTCGTCGTCCGACTCCTCGTAGACCAGTCGAGTCACCGGGTCCAATTTTCGCGGAGAGTTCGCTCAGATTTCCCAAGCGGCCGATTCGGGAACTTTGAGCAGAGTTCAGGTTCCATGGCATTTGGGAGGAGTGCTCTTCCATTAGACTGGGTGGTGCGTGACGACCGATTTCTATATCTACGGAGTTCATGCTTTTCTCGTGGCTGCGGCGTTGCTGGTCCGTGTCTGTGTCTGTGTTGCTCTCTTCCTCGGGCTTGCAAGGCTCATTTTGGATCTTGTGGTGCGAGGTATCGCCGTATAATGCGTTCTCGAGTTTTTCACCAGAGAAGCATTTCAGTGGGTGGTCTTCACGCTGTGCACCTAGTCCCATGCCCACAGATCCGATGCCTTGACCGAAGACCCAGAATGCAGCGTTCTTCTTCGCAGTAGTCTGTACTCTGTTCTGTTGTTTCTGCTTCGATGCATTGGCCATGTTAGTGGTATACTCGTTGTTCCATCGTGCAAGGTCTGTATTGCGAAGAGTTGTGTTGGTGTCAGTATTGATAGGCCTGATCACCCGGGTGTACTTGCGGCGTGCTCTTTTTTCCCCGACAAATTGGTTTTCGTCTTGTTTAGCTGATCTTTCCTCATTTAAATCATTCTTCACAGGGAGCATAGTCTCATGATCCTTGACGCGGGTATCGATCTCCAAGGCCCCATCAACTTGGGCTAAGGCCGCATCCTCAGTGAGATCCATGATATCTTCGGTCTGACCACTAATGAAGCCCTCGCTCCCCACTCGTGCCATGCTATGCTTCCGTCTCTTCCTTGGTGAAAGATGAGAGGCATCAAACTCGATGATATTGCCGTTCTCATCGAACTCAAAATCCGGCTGAAGCAAAACACCATCTTCACCCCCTAAGCGCTCTCTGTCCATCTCCTCAGAAAGTCCATGCTTCTGGAAAGATCCCATTCCCCCGTCATTGAAGCCGATCATTGTTTCCTGCTGAATTAAATCATCGGATTCCAGCTCCAGATGAACACTGAGACGAGATGCGCTCGACTGACTACCGGCGGGTGACTTTGACCAGAGACTAGACCACTGGCTCGAGCTTTCATCATTCATGAGATCTAGGATATTGAAATCAATGTTGAGACCTGGAAGGTTGGTCTCTGGAAGGAAAGTTGGATCGTATGGTAAAAGGAGGTTACTAGGTCTGCAACGAAACTTTTTAGCAGGTCCTCAATTTCGGCTTTCTTCAAATAATGCGGTATTGGTCAACTTACTTTGTCTTGCCAGCAAAAGGGTCCAGTCCCCCACCAGGTAAGATCTCCAGTGTCGAAACCATTTTGTCATGCATAGACTGCGCGTCGAGAAGGGCATATCCGCACTGCTCCTGGTACACCCTTGAAACGCCAAACCTGTATCGAAATTTGGTGTCAGTTGTATCGAATGAGTATATGATTTCAAGAGACGTATTGGAAGAAATACAGTAAGTTCCCTTGGAGTCGCAGCGCCATCGGCGCCTCGGGGTCAACAATCACATTGCATGCCCCAGGTACATCAACCTCGAGAATGGCTTTGCGATTGAATCTTCTAGTGATGGAGCGTGATCCAAGTGTTGCGACGAGCCTATGCTTGTTAGATTGATTGAATAACACAAAAGTTTTGTCAACGCGACTTACCAGATTGTCGCGACGCCATGCTCAGGTGAAGTTAGAACTGTTTTAGGAAACCAATTTTAGTTGGTTCTGGCTCATTGGCCCCGTAAAGAAACGTGATGGAGTAGCTCACTCTCATGACTGTAGAACATGATGGCGGCTTGGTTGATCGAGATGAAGATTTCTCTGTCGGAATAGAGACTTGATGAACAGGATCTAATCAATCTTGATACTCTTGACCATTATCCTGATTCGAGGCTTCAGATAATGAGTCAAGTCTCTCGAATAAAGCACTCGTGTGAGGATATTCGTGCTTTCAGAAGTGAGAATGGTTCGGGTTGGGGTTATCAATGTAGGGCAAGGTTGTAAATCAGAAAGAGATCATTAAGGTTCTTTATCACAAGAAATTAATAAAGCCAAGAGTTCCTGGGGAAGACAGGTCGATGCTAGTATGAAATTGTAAGAAGGGAAGTTGATGAGTAGAGGGCGAAATGGTGAACAGTTCCTGTCAGTTCGTATAAATAGACCAGTAGTATCACTCAGTATTCTGTTGCCATCAATTCAGCGAATTATTGTAGTCACTTTTCCTTGCAACTCCTCTCTAGTCATTGAATTCTCAAAAACGAAGAGCATTACGAAGAGCATCAGTGAAAACTTTGGTCGTTGATCTGATATATTGCAAAGGAAATTTACTTTTCAGTGCTAAAATAGGGGCTCTAAAGCTGGAGCACCATCTAGTACCAAAGAACCATGGAACAAGAGCACAATATATAACCGAATATAGGAGACAAAAGGAAAGAAAAAATCAAGAGTCCATGGAATCTAAACAAGGCAAAATGACAAGATTGAGACAAGACACCAACAGCCACAGATAGCGGCTCTTTCAGCGCAGAACGATGTAAACAGACACAAACGGGCAGCACCGGATAGATCAGGCTGGTGATCAATACCAAAGAACATGGAACCAGTTTCAACCCCATCGTGGCCTATAGATGCACTCGGGGTAGACAACGGGTGAACTGGCAAGAGCACAACACCACACAACACCACATACACACCACACAACGCTCAACCTATAAATTTGTTTCGTACAAGTTGCTTTAGTCAAGCATTTACTCCAGGGGAATACCCTCGTACTCGGAGTAACCCAGAGCCAGGTTCATGTTCTCTGTGAATACGTATTAGTGGTAGGTTCGTAGGAAGTTAAGGGGCAATAAAACTTACGGAGACACTGGGTGGCGGCACCCTTCAGCAGGTTGTCGATAGTGGCACAGACAACAACACGCTTGCCGCTGGAGTGGACAGCAAAGCCACCAATGTCAACCCCATGGCGACCGGCAATGTCCTTCACAAGGGGAGCCTCGCCAACAATCTTGACGAGCTTCTCGCCAGCGTAACGGTCCTGGTAGATATTGCGAATGTCACGGGAAGTCATCTCCTTGTTCAAGGGGATGCTGATAGAGTGGCTGATACCCTGGAACCAAACAGCGACGTGGGGGATGAACGCAACGCTGGTGCCCAGCTGAGAGCTGATCTCACGCTCGTGAATGTGGTCAGTCAAGCTATAAGGGATGAGGTTGTTGGTAAGGAAGTTGACATCGTTCTTGGGGCTGGGCTTGGTGCCAGCACCGGAGTAACCAGAGACACCGAAGGTGGTGGGCTGGCCACCAAGGAAGGGAACGAGGGGAGCGATTCCGAGCTGAGCAGCAGTGGCGTAGCATCCGGGGTTGGCAATGCGGGTGGCACGGGCAATCTTGGAGCGGTCAACCAGCTCAGGCAGACCGTAGGTCCAGGAGGAGTCGAAGCGGTAGTCGGCACTCAAGTCAACGATGACGTTGCCCTTGGAAGCACCCTCATCGACGGCGTCAACGAAAGGCTTGCAGACACCATTAGGCAGAGCCATGACCCAGCAGTCGACGTCGCCGTTGGCGGACATCTTGCGAACATCCTCGGGGCTAAGGTTCTCGTAGATAATCTCCCGCTTGGTGTAACCCTTGAGCTTCTGGCCGGCCAACTCACGCGACGAAACGTGGCGTAGGTCCATGTTGGGGTGGGCGTTAAGCAGGTTGATCAAAGCCTGACCGGTGTAACCACGGGCGCCAATGAGAGCAACCTTGGCGGGGGAAGAGTTGGAGGCGTTCTTCTCGCCGAGGGGAGGGTTAGGGTTGGTGGTGGAGTAGGTGCGAATACCCTTGACAGCAACGGCGGGGCGCACGGCACGGTTGGCACGCAGAACGTTAGAGCTGGTGGAGAATGCACGCTTCTGCTCAGTAGAGGCAGCGCTGGCGCCAAAGCCCTTGGGCAGGGAAGCGGCTTGATGAGCACGGTGAAGGCGCGACTCGAGGTTGATGTCACCGAACATCTGGCGGCCGTTCTTGGTGAACTCCTGGACCAGCTGCTTGACCTCCTCGCCCTCCTCAACGCCAGACCAGAACAGAACTTCGCCGTCGCGGCTCAGGCTGCCATCGGCCTTGTCGAAGAACCAGGTCAGGTTCTCATCGTCCTCCTTGACAGTCCAGGCCAGCTTGGGGAAGTCCTTCATGACGCTGGAAAGGACGTTGTCAGCAACGTTAGTCAACCAACCAGACTTGGTGATGGTGAAAGTAGCCATCTGGGCAATGACAGAGCCGTTCTGGGGGGGCAGAACAACAGCCAGAGCCTCCATGGGGTCATCGTAATAGATCTTGAACTGGTGCTCCTTGAGGCCCTCGACGTAACGATCAACAACCGCGCGAGCATCAAGGCCTTCACGGTCACGGATCAGAACATCCTTGAGCGCCTGCAGGTCCTCGAACTCAGAGAGGTCGGTCTTGACATGGATCTTGTTACCGCGGCGGATCAGGGTACCAGCACCGGAGTCGGTGAACAGCTCCTTCTGGAGATCAGCAGGGTGGATGATAGCCACGCTAGAGGAGCGGGGTAGATCGCTCAGGAGCTCCTTCATCTCCTTGATCTTCAGGCGAGTACCGTGGCGCACCCACCACTGAGTCATCAGGTGGTCGTACTCCTCATCCAGGTTAATGGCGGAGATCTTCTCGCCAGTGTCACCGTTGAAAAGACCACCCTTCTCAGCAAGGTAGACGATCTTCAATGGCTGCAGAGCGCGGGCCAGCTCGCCGGCCGCGACGTCTGCGTTAACGTTGAGAACCTGTCCATCGGGAGTCTCGGCCATGGAGGTCAGAATAGGCAAGCAGCCCGCAGCGATAGCGGACTCAATGGGCTTCTTATCAACACCATTGATCTTACCGACCAAGTTGTACTTGGGCTTGTCCAAGTAGTCGGCGGAGAAAACGCCCGCGGTCAAAGGACGAGCGCGCACACCCATGCGCTCCAGCTCCTCGACCAGTTTCATGTTCTCCTCCAGGAAAAGCTTACGAGCCAGAGCCAGAGTCTTACCATCGGTAACACGGATTCCATCCTCGAACTGGGGCTCAACGCCCGCCGCCTCCAGCATACGGTTCAGTTGCGGGCCAGCGCCGTGGACGACGATCGGGTAAAGGCCGACATGGTTGAGGAAAGCAAGAGCGGAAGACAAGGTCTGCAGGTGCTCAGTAATAATAGCGCCACCAACCTTGATAACGGCGAACTGCTGGGAGGAGACCGAGGTGAAGTGGGAGAGGTACTGCTGAACCTCACGCTTGGAGCCAATGTTGCTCAACAGCTGCACGACAGTGTTGCGGGTAGAGCTCAGGTGAGGGTCAGTAGCACGAGAGTAGGCACGGCCCTGGCGCAGAGGAGTCGACACCGGGGAACGGGCAGCCACACTGCGAAGGGGGGAGACGGTGTGTGGTGCGGAGAAGGATCGGAGGGGCTTGGTGGAAGCTCTCCGCACAGCGGAGCGAAGAGACAGCATCTTGCTCACCAACATGCGGCAGCTGCAATTGAGAAACTTGCTGGTAAGCAGGGAGTTGTCCCCCTTTTTAGATAGAAAGCGAAAGTGGGTGGTGGTAGAGGTGAAGTCGGGGAAGTGTGACTAACTTGCAGATTTTACAGATACCAAGGTAATCGGCCGGGCCTCGGAGCCACATCCAATGATGGAGAGAAGGCGGTGGAGCCACATTTAATTTTCTAGCGAGCGCGATTTACCGTTGGCCGATAAGATGACTTAGCTCCTCGCATATATGGTTATTTTTACGTTTGGATTTTACTCTTATTTTTGGTCTTTCCCCTCTTCAAGCGCCATATTTCCTTGCGAATCAAATGATTATTATCTCCAAGAAAAAAAGGCAAACAAGTTACAGCCTTAGTTAAAGCCCCTCTGTGTGCGTAAAAAATAAAAGTACGCGAACCATGCACTTGACACGCCAAGGCTCTTTGGGGTCAAAATTCTTCACCAAAGATCGTCGTCAAATCTGATCCGTGTCTCCAAGCCTCCAAGCGAAGTCTAGCTTCCATAGTAGAAGAGGGAACCCACTATGGGCCTCCGAGATCCCTTGAAACGTCATCCGAATTGGATCTAGTCCCAGTTATCTGATCCTCTCCATTAATCTTACTCGTCGTATCCCGCCACGCAACTATCCACTTCCTCCACATCTTGCCTTACTTGGCCTGGATTCGCTTCGTCCCGCCGGTTCAGAATATCAGAACACGAGGCCCTGCCAATACTGTTCTGCTTCGGAGCCTTACCGCGGCCCAACTGTGGCTTAGGCTAAGAGCTTTCCCTTGAGACCTCCACGAGGGCGGGTCCATCAATTGAAATGGTGCAAAAACCGGGAAGAACGAGCCGGACATACAGACATAAATGGAGACATCAGACCAGACGGAGACGGCGGAGACTCCGGATTTTCTTAGAAGAGAAACAACTCCCGACACGAGACACGAAAAAAATTCCAAGTGACATAATAATGGTAACATAATCAAACACAGCATCAGAGGCAATATCATTTACATCTTTACCCCTGTATAGAGTTTTTGATCATGAAAAACTCTGCCTTGCACCAAGGGGGGGCACCCAATCGCGAGGAATTGGGAGCTCAGTTCATTTCATCGCTGAAACAGGAAGAAAATGAAGTCAAGAAGCATATTGGTCATTCAGAAACACGCCCAAAACAAAACAGAAGGAGGTATTAGCAGCTGGGGAAGAAAACGACAGAGCTCCATGGCCTCAACGACAATAAAGCCCAGTCAAAAACAAGATCCCATATTCCCAGGAAGAAAAGAAAAAAGCACAACGTCCGCGCATGGCACATTCATAGTGTCCCACCTCTTTAATGCTTTGTTGCGACGACAGCTACCGATCGATGTTAGCGTCCCACTCGTTCCGACATCCGATGCCTTGCCCCGGAGGAGGTCGGATGTAGCCATTGCACCAAACACAAGACTTACAAGGCACAATGATGACCACCAGTAGGATAATCACACAGATAACCAGGCATACACGCATCTTCATATCCTTCCACCACATTTGCTTGCGCACGCGATTGGCACCCCGGCGGAATCCCTGAGCTGATACGGCCAGGTTGTCGGTCTTGTCCTGCAGGGAGTCGAGGCGCTCACCACGCTGGGAGACCTTTGTGATGTTCTCACGCATAACACCGACAGTGTCGTCAATTTGCTGGAGGAAAAGTACATGTTAGTCTCGTGCTTTACTAACAAACCCTCTGAGTCTCTTGGGCGGGATCAACAGAGAAGCGCATATCATCGACCACATCAAAATACATGCGACGTCATATATGATTGTAATTTAGGAGGCTCAGTTTATGAGGCAAAGAAGTAGACTAACCGCTTGCAGCGCAGCGGTGCGCTGGTTTCCATTCTGCTGCTGGGAGGCACCGGCAGTAGGCGCACCGGTTTGGTTTGCAGGGATATAAGGGTCGTAAGGCTGCTCGTTGGACATCGTGATGATCGGGACTATTATAAAACAGGTTAGATATCGTCTGGTACGGAAGTTGGTGGCAACCAGACTAGTCAGGGACCCTTTGTTTGGACGGGGGTAACGCACCAGGTTCGTTACCAAAGGGACAGAAATGGAGGTAGAAGACGTGTGTGGTGTGAGAGTGATCGCACGCGAGTACAGATCAAGGGGTTTGAAGGGCGTGAGGAAGGGATTTGGATGGACTGGAGACTGCTAGACTGTGAAGCTGACAAGTTGGAGTTGCCGCTGATGGCGGGTTCTTTGGTCACGTGATTGTGGCGCTGTCTCAAAGCGATCAGAAGCAGGCAAATTCTTTTTTTGGTTTACTTTGAGAATTCAATCCCAGGAAACTATTGAAAGCATTTCAATAGAACAGAATCATAGGCGTATGAATGGTGGTATTGGGGGGGGATCTACGGTCATCACAAAGCTGGGGAAATGAGCTGCAATTTACTACAAACATGCCTCGGAACAACCCTCCATCGCATATTGCCAAATCTTCTTGTTCACAAGACTGCCTAAATTATTATTTTAGACTCCAGCTCTCCATAATCTTTAACAAGACATAACTTCGTGTAATTCTCGTAGTCTTTGTGGGGTGGAATTAATAATATATGGCTGCCTACTATTAGTTTCCCCCAAAGTATACACGTTGCTCGAGGAACGGGTTGCGGATGGATGCTAAACTTAGTAACATGCCCCGGGTTCCACGGATAACAATTGCCGCTTAATATCCCTGCAACAAGCGCAAGCAACGGCAAGATTGGCTTCGGGTTTATGCATAAATAATATCTCATGAGCCTCACGTCATTTTGCAGGGGCAAAATCTTGAAATATGCACCCCTCGATGGGTCGATCTGCCGATCCCCCGAGTGTTAGAATACTACCTTATGTGATTCGCCGATGGGAAGAGTGGCAGAGGAAAGTACTACACGGTTGAAAAGTGGCATTGAGAAAGAAAAAAAAGACTTCGTCTGAAGTAACTTACTCAAGTCTCAAGCTAAAATGTAACTAGACCCGAGCTGTTTTCTGGCGACTGATCTTCAGAGCACACTCAGCCTCAGGCACACAATATTCTTGGGCCCCTGTTTTATCAATATCTCGAAAAAAAAAAAAATTTCTTTTTATCTGAGTAGTTGGCGGGCAATCGCGCATGATGAAATTCATGTGAGCTTACGTGGCTATTTGAATATGTGGGGTCTTGCTAAAGATGATTTCATCAAGTTATATTCCAATACCCCTTCGCTTCCTCTGTTATACCACGTGACTGTATATGTATATCGTTTGCTGTAATTTGAAGGGCTTCCCCTAGGTTCCACTGCACTATGTATTCATGAAAGTCTAAGAAAGATTTTCTTCTGCAGAATTGGATGCGCGCACGGCTATCTGTATACGTGATGGGGGTTGCAGATGGGATAGGTACTAGCTTTGTAAGGACGAGTGTGTAGCAGAAGTATGGTGCTGACTCATGTGGATTGAAGATTCCAAGGATGATTTTGCTAGAAGTTTGGATATGTTGTTTTGGTTTGCACACCTTACAAGCTTCAGGCCCCAGATTTCACTTGGACTCCAAGCCAAGCATAGACAGTCCCTCCAGTCTAGAATGGCGACTTCTCATATAGGGCACCAGTCGCCTACTGGGTGTGCGGCAAAGGCTGGCCACCCATATATCGTGGGAATCCTTGGTAGCCGAGCCACAGCTCACCGGATCCCTGCGGGCCACCAACAATCTCCTTCTTGCGACTCTTGAGCTCACCAACGTCCCAAGCAGCGAAGACGATTTTGTTCTTAAGAAACTCTGCTTCGGGGGAAACAATCCAAACAAGGAAATCGGCGGGGAGAGAGACTTTGAAAGAAAATGAAGAGAATGAATCGTCAGTGACTTGAAAACGAAGATTTTGGCCAAAAAAACAACAAGATCGATTTATACTCACTGTCATCAAACGCAAATGGCAATTTTATTGACTCTGACAGCTTGGCAGACATAGCCGTGTCCAAAAATCCGGGGTGTACATTATGAAGACGCACTTGCGGATTTTCGGCGGCAAAGGACTCTAAGACCTTGACTGCAGCCATCTTACTGCTCACATATGCACCCATGCCGGCGAACGGGGGGAAGATGATGCCAGCGGTGGTCAAATTGATAAAGGTGACTGGCTTATCTTCGTTGGGACTGATTGTCTTATTTGCCAGTATAACAGCCTGTGCCGTCACCAGAGTACCGATCACGGTAGTCTTGTAGCCGTTCAGAAAAGTAGTCGGATCAGCCTCCAGGAGTGGACCAACGGGAGCCAAGACGCCAGCACAGTGAATGAGAATGTCAATGCCGCCAAACTCGGCAGCAACCCTGTTCATGACCATTCGTACGCTCAAAACATCGCACAGCTCAGCCTCTTGGGTCTGGACCCTTATCGCTGCGTGACTGGCGTGAACAATCGCGACGGTTTCCGCCAGGGCGTCCGCGCGTCGACCGAGAAGGATGAGGGCTCGGGGACCTGACGCGGCAAAAGATAAAGCTGTGGCTCGGCCAATGCCGCCAGATGCGCCAGTTATGAATACAACTTTATTCGCAGTAGAGAGGCTGGGCTGGCCTGGATCAATGCCAGCATATGTGGCGGAGTGAATGACCTTGGTATACGAGGGCCATGGCGGTGCCATTGTCTCTATAGGCTTAGTTGCTGTGCGTGTAGTATGGGATAGCAATAGTGAATAGTCAAAGAGATCACTTTCTCAAAATGGATTAGAGATTCGCGGGTAGCAGTCAATATGGCCGGCCACAACGTGGCAGAGGAGGGTTTATATAGGCAGACCTGGGGGCTTACGACTGAGGGAAGCGGCACCGGGGGCCGTCCCAATACCCATTAGCGTATTTTGCATTGATTCTCTAGCCTGGTCACTAAACAGCAATTTCATTCCTAGTGTCATGGCACTCGTGTGTACTTCGTAGGCAAGGGGATCCTCAAGGCTACAAAGTGGAACCGATACAGCGGAAGGATCTCGCCCCACTTCCTGCACTAGTCTTTTCTGGGTAATTCGCACAAGGTACGGACTCCGAACGTGCAAATCGGCAAGTTCGCAGTTGTGCATCAATACCACATGGCACCAATAGGAACAAAGAAGAGGTTGAACAAATCGCTGGTCCTAATTCGAGGAAAAATTGGATGTTTAGAGAAGTGATTATATCGAGAACATACCCAGATCCTTCCTTGATTCCAATTCGGTATATGGCCGTGCTAAGCTATTATGTGTTTTTACAGTAGAGCTGATTTGTGAAAGCAAATCAAGCAAAAAGCAGCGGGGGTACTGGTCGACCAAGGCCATCCCTAGCATGCAAACAATCCTTGAAGTATAAGCGGGTGCCGCCATTTAGTACTAATGTAGAGTTCTCGACAAGCAGAGTTGCCAAAAAAAGAAACTGCTCACGTCCAGATTTGAACTGAAGACCTCGGCATTACTAGTGCCGCGCTCTACCAACTGAGCTACGCGAGCTGTTATTGGTCCAAATAGATGATGCACCCTCTATATGCCAACGTGCGATGGCTTATATTACATCTTATTTCATGATGCTCCACTGATTACATATGTTAGTCAAGTGACCCAGGTGCCATCCTATCCCTTTTCTTTTAGCAGCTTAGACTTCTTCCTACTGTACGAGCTGAATAGCAAGGACCAACACGAGGCCCAAATATACGTAAGTATTGTGGAGAGAGAGCGACAAGGGAGTGAAAAGAGATACCCCAAGGTAAAGCCTAAATAGTGCAGGCGTCATACCTTCTCCACAATCATAACCAATATCTTATTGGGCAACAAAGGTAACATTATGAGAAGATTCAGCACACTCTCTGATCTCTAGTGCGGACGAGGCAAGAGTTGCAAAAATACATGCTTGAGATAAATATACTTTCTGCCTTCAACTCATCGATCCCTTCCATTGTAATCCATTTGGATATTCAAATGTCGAATTAGATGTATGACCGATCAGCTTTCTCAGCGAGAGTATGGCCTTTGCATGTTCATTTACCCAAGAGCGGTAAACATGACAGAAAAGGGCAACTCACGTTCGCGCAGCCCGGCTTCTGTTGCAAACAGCACCATGCAACAAATTCAGTTTGTTATCGCTATTGCGCCAGTCTCAAGACCTGTCTTCCGAAAGTATTCAAAGAAAGACCAATACTCCTAATCCGTCTACATTTTGTCTCACCCGGAATTGTCCCCTATGGAAGATATTCCCGATATTGTTCGCAAGGTTGGTCGATAGCAAAGCTTCAAGTTATACTACCACATGTGTATAGTCACCGTACTGCAAGACCTGATGACGATGTCGGCGATAGTCCTCTAGGTATTGTAGTAGTCACAAGATCAGGGGGGAAATAACTACTAATTTTAGAGCTTGTATTGTCGATTGCTATTGCTAGGTATCCGAGCTTAAGTCAAACCTAGTGAATTGAGAAGTGGTAAGGGTAGCAAAGTTTAACGTCATCAGTAAACAAGCCGCGCAACTGCCCATTTTTCCTACATTCGAATGCATATATTTCAGCTAATATCTTCCCAAATACATAGTTGTTTTATGCCCTATGTCATTGTATTTACCACATTAAGGTAATGCCTGCATCTTTGTGTGTCACGTAGATTACGTAGATTCTTCTTCTAACGCTCTTCTTACCTGATTTTATGCTCCTCCGTGGTCGTACTCGCTTTACAGAACTAGCAAATCTAACTTGATTGCTAAGCAAATGAACACTGCCGGTGGTTAGCTATTCTTTGTACATAGAGACAGATCTGTGATATATTGTATACTAATCGTCGATCTTAGCAACCACGCGAATGGAATTGATATCAGCTATTCAGGTGTAACGAAGTTCACGGAAGTCGATCTTTGATTCTGTGAGCATCATCAATATAAAGCCAGTGGTTAAGTTCTCTTGACTTTGACAAGTCCAGGAAAATCTTTTTCCACATATTGTAGATTGCGGACGGCCGCGGACACAAAACGGATCAGCGGAAAGTTTAACGACCGAAGCCGAAGCGCATGCTCCACTCGTAGTGGAGTGAAGCACCTGTGCCGATTCCAAGGTTGTCATTTTTGCGACTGCCAATACGTTTAGTGAGGCAATTTCTGGGCGTGTTGTGGCGTGATGCGGCGCTCGGCTATCCAATGCCCATTGGACCTTCCCTAAAGTGAGAGACCGTCCCATCGGGGTTAAGCATTTGTTAGTGCCGTTTCCGATAAATTCGTTAGATATGGATCCATTTATCCTTTTATCCTTTTATCCTTCTATCAATTCACATCCGGTAGTGTTCGTCGCGCTTCCTTCTTCATTTCGTTACTTCATTACTAAGAGTCGCTGACAAATCCCAAGCACCTGTTGATCGACTACATAAAGATCACATAGCCGAGCTTATAATGGCTCATCCAAGTACAGCCAAACCAAGCAAGCCGTCACCCCAAAACATACAAAATGGCATCACGCAAATATGTCAACAAACTAAGCGGGCAAAACGTCCTCATTCTCGGAGGAACCTCCGGAATCGGTTTCTGCGTGGCAGAGGCGGCGCTTGAAAATGGCGCCAATGTCGTCATCTCTAGCTCAAGTTCCGCCAAACTCGAGCGAGCGACTCAAAGACTTCGGGAAGCATACACTGATCTCATGTCCACACAACGTGTCTCTGGATATGTTTGTGACCTAGCCAACACGAATGACTTGGAAGAGAACATACGCCGTGTCCTCGATGAAGCGACCGCGACTGAGGGAGGAAAGCTCAAATTGAACCACGTCGTTTTCACTGCCGGGGATGCACTTTCAATTATCCCCTTGGAAAATACCTCTATTGAAGCTATTCAAGCATCCGGTGTTGTGCGGTTTGTCGCGCCACAGATCCTGGCCAAATTGCTCCCAAAATATATGGAACCCTCCCCTGTCAACTCGTTTACTTTGACCGGAGGGTCTGTTGCACACCGCCCTACTTCCGGGTGGTCTGTCGTGTCCGGCTACGCATCGGGAGCTGAAGGACTTGCGCGTGGACTGGCACTGGAATTGAAGCCTTTGCGAGTCAACATGGTGATGCCAGGTCTGGTACATACCGAGCTGTTCTCTGGGTTCCCAGATGAGGCCGTTCAAGCGCTTTTGAAACACTCACGGGAGAAGAACTTGACCGGGACTGTTGGCCGCCCGGAGGATCTTGCAGAGAGCTACATTTATCTCATGAAGGATCAGTATATCACTGGCTCTATTGTGGCATCGAATGGGGGTGGATTGCTGGTGTAACATGTCATAGAGAATGGAAGCAAATATAACATGCAATTGAAGGAAGTTAGCAAGATGCTGATATGGTTTAAACTATTTGCCACCCTTCAGCAACCAAATCATCTAGGTGTGCAGTTAAACAATTGGTTTCATCAAATAAATGGAAGAAGCCGCCAACCCCACCTGTATCGCAATTCACAATAGGTGCGCCACAGATACCCTCAGAAATAGCGCTGTTGATACCCCCGAATATCGAACTGACAGTATAAGACCGCCAATTTCTGAATTCGATCGGTGGATGTCCAGGGGGGCGCGTCGGCTTCATATCCATAATCCCATAGGCCATCACGGTGACTAGGCCTGAGCTCATTCCATCGAGCTCGCTCCATGTACCCTGCTCGATCTGATTACCTTCCAATAAAACTCGAGGAGGTTCGGCTTGAAAATATGAACTGTTCTTGTAACTTTTGGTTGCCGCTGGTGTAAGACTGACAAGGGAGATGTCAAGTTCAGGCCTTGTGTCGAAAACTTCACCGATTTTATTTGCGGTCGCACGAGGATGGTAGACCTCATTTGAAAGTAAAAAACCATGATTTACAACTGTAAGGGCATACTCACCGTGGGAATTGACGATCCTCACACCCGAAGTTGTCGCAACATTCGCAAATTCGTTTGCGGATCCTGGATCGCCAAACCCACACTCTAATCGACAGCCTGGTGTGAGGAACGAATCTCTGAGATAATTTGCGTCGTCTTGGGGCAGAGGCCGACTCGCATCCATGTGCTGTTGAGGATCTACGACTCGCACTCGGCTCTTATCTTTCATCGCCATATAAAATGGCTCTGGTTCGTGGTGGTATAGGGTCGTCCGACCTGCGACAACACCCGGAAGTGACATTGGCTCGTAGTTGCGGCCATCCCCATGTGTTAATTCCACGATTGTCCAGTTGGGGAGATAAAGGATTGCTTGCACATCTGCGAGTGGTGCCAGGGCGACTAACATGGCAATCCTTTGTTCCTTTGTTGGGAATTGCATTTTGGGCCAGCGTAAAGCAGCAGGATATGGGTCCAGGACCCGAGGGTTTGGATAAGGGGCGCGTGGAAGGGTTTCAAAGTGGGATTCGCCAGGCCCAACAAAGTACACCGGCATGCAACCGACAGTAAGGGGTATAGGCTGCGGTGGGTTAGTAGTCTCAATCCACATGAACCAGCCAGATGCCCCTCGTCTTCCATCTCCAAGTTCGTTTCGGATCCAGGCCGATTCTTCCTGCGTCGGGAGTCGAAATTTTCGATTCTGTGTGTCCCAGAGTGTAAACGGCGCTCTATCGTTCATGTGGCGCGCCCCCCAACCGCCAGGATTCTGCCAGCGTCTTGGCTCCGGGTGAGAGTGTGTTGTTGGCGCTAGGGGATTCACAATTGGTCGTGAACGTAGAGGATTGGGCAATGCTCTGGTGTAGATATCAACGTATGGCGAACTCGTTTGCAGCCGCTGTACCTGTGGCGATAAGCGGACTGAAGTTGCCATGGTTTTCGAAGTCCAGCAAAACAGGGCACACAGATCAAGAAGGCAAAAGAGTGAAAAGATGATAGAGTATGATGGAGTCGATTCCAGGATGATGCTGATGAGTAATACCAACAGCGATCAATGGGAAATGAACTGGGCTCGGACAAAGGTCAAAACTTGGTAGATCGAAGAGCAGGGTGAGTTTCAGAATCGAATGGCGGAGGAAAGTATGGTAAGTTAGGGAAGGCGGCGCCGTCGATTCTTTTGGAACGGTGGGATAGGCCAAATCGAAAATAAACTTAAACATTTGTCCTGAATTTTTCACGGACCAGTTCCATCTAGATATTAAGATAACGTGAGCATTGATCACGTTACAAGGAACTAAGTAAACACCATGTCTTATACCGCGATAGGATGACATTCGTGCAGCATTCACGCTAGTATAGTTCAAGTACAGAAGCAGTACAGTATGAGCAACAAAATCGAATCATTTAGTCCATAAGTAGTATGAGATAAGCACTTAGTGATATTAGTGCACCATGAAGTTACTAATTACAGACTTTACAAGCCCGCACTACCAAAGCTCCTTTCATGTTTTCGCTCCTGCTATATAAGAAATTGATAGAGTCAGAATCCGAGTAGTCCGACTTTATTACTAATAGGTACTCTGGCTCTTTTAACCTAACTGAGAATAGCGTGGCTCATGGTTTGCTAATTACAGATGTGAAGAATAACTAGCCGAGGCCAGACCAAAGAGTAGTGACTAACAACGCACCTACATGGAAAAGGTCAGCACGGGACGGAAAGGCCACGTCGGCGCTTCAGGCACGTGTAGGATAGTGCGGTGCAAAATAGTGGTGCTCAGGGCATTCAGGTAAATGGCCTAAATGGGGTAAAGAGTAAGGCAGTAAGAGAGCTTTCGTAATGAAGCAAAAAGAAACACAAAAACATACAACAGTTAGGATTCGCATGTGGTCACCCACCATACTACTAACTAACCGGCGTGTGGCTTAAGTACGGCTGAGCGGACGGGAAGCCCTGTTCTCCACACCCTATGGTCGTATGTACTAGTATTTGCAGTGAACAAAATGATATAGTATATTTCAAAGACTGAAGCACTGGGTCTCCGCCCGTGCTGACGCGCCCTTGGTGAGTTTAAGCCCGGGCGCCCGCATGAACGCGGCGACAGCCTAGACAGGAATGTCCCGGTAGATAATATTTTTGTCTATATAGGCGCATACAGATATGAGATATCATCATGTGTTAGCTTATCCGAAATTCAACGCATCTTTGCGGCTTGCTTGGAATTGCCTTCAATTTTAACAAAGACTCTTGGTCAGTTTCCCGCTGCTTTGTAGGCTCTACGTTTTACATTTTGATCATCGAAGAGCATATTCAGTGTAGATACGTTCAGCAATTGCTAAACTTGATATTCATTCATGTCGTGCGTGTATTCATATAACGCTTCATGACCAAAGAAAAATGGGAATCTCATAATAAACAAAAAAAAATGATCAAGCAATGTTTATCCAATATAATATATACCAACGGACAACCTTATTGGGGAAGTACTCATTGATGAGCTCCATGTAGTAAGGCTTCAGAGGTATATCTAGAATTAAATCACAGTCGATATTACCACAAGTACTAGAGGAGTGGAGACATACTTGATGTAATTCTAGTCAAGGAGTTGTTTGTTCTTTATCTCGTGTTCATAGTCATGAATAGACTAACTAAACCCGGGATGAGTAGGCAAATAAATTTAGAACGTTGAGAATTCCTTAATTTTATCCGTGACCTAAAAGCTGCGTCATATTTCCTTTCAAAACAATTCTTTCATCCAATGGGGTGATGGCGCAATGGTAACGCGTCTGATTCCAGCTTGGGAAATCCAGAAGATTGGGAGTTCGATTCTCTCTCGCCTCATTTCTTTTTGTTTTTATCTAATTTTTTTTACAACGAATTTGGGGAAATAGAAAATATCACTTTTCGAATTCTTGATAATCGAGTCAACTAATCTGTTAGGTAGGTCTAATTTTCCTTTATATTTCCCGAAGACTGTTCGTAGAATTAATTCATGTGCCAAAAATGCACGGCCGCCAACCTCGGACCAGGCGCTGTAGAACACTTGAGCAACAAACACCCTGCTATCTAATTAACTCGGCACTATATGTTAATCAACTCTTCGTCTGCGACCCTCACTTTGCTAGAATTGCACTTTTGCATGCTGCTTCAACCCAAACTTTATCTACCTAGTCTTAATCCGATTCGAGAAAAAAAAAAAAGTTGCATCCTCGAATCAAATATATATCTTTGTAGTTTGTCCTTAGAATATATGTGCGCTGCATGGGAGCCAATTTCTGGGTCACCAAATAGCAAGATAGAGCCCCATGCTAAAAACCACCAACACTTGATATAATATTGAACAGTGATCGGCATTAGAAGGAGCGGTAGCTGAGCATCCCCGGGTGCCACTTCCTTGCAATCAAGCCTTGATGGGGGTTTTTGAAAATCTTGGAAGCTCCGAGGTCCCGAGCAGGTCAAATACATACAAAACTACCACCTCCAAGGTTCCCGAAATCTTTCAAATTGGGGCATTAAGAGGCCTGGGAGTAGGTAATTGTATCATCCTGAAGAGGCATTTCTAAAGAGGAGTCGATTCCCACTAATAAATTACAATATACAGAGGCTATCGCTGAGAGCCTTGAAGATACTCTCGTCAAATAATGCCAACAGACTTATCGTACACACCATAACGATCATACAGGTCGACCCAAAGCGCCTATACCGTAGCAATGACGGTACTTGTTCCCAAAGAAAATGATGCGAAAGATTAAAGCGTCAAAATCGCAACTCAGCCACAAAAGAGTGCATGAACTAGCACAAAGAGCAGTCTGCTCTAGTGGTATGCATTGGGATATGTCACCACTATTTCTTCTCCTCACCCAGCATCTCCTTGCGCATCTCCTCCCGTTGTATCCGGTCCTCCTCCTTCGACTTGGCCCGTTGAGCCTCGATGATCGCACGCTTTTGATCGAGCTCTTCCTGTGCAGCGTACCAAACTAAAAAGTAAGGAAAGTATTAGTACCGAATTATCACATGAATGCCCAATTCGGGGACGAGGCACAATCGTCAAAAGAAGAAAATAGAAAATAAAAAGACTCACTGGACTTGTCAGACTTGGACCACTCCTTCAGCTTGGTAACATAATCGTCAAACTCCTGTGCCCGACGCTCTCCCTGTTCGGCACTGCGCTTCTGGAGTTCCGGGTTATACCGTTTTCTGAGCTCCTCGTCGGTGGGTCGGATGTATTCGACAAAGGCAGGGCCACCAACGGAGATGGCAATACCGCTGTAACGGAATAGTGTCAGCAGACTCGGTTCTCCATATCCGTCCCATTTTTACTCAGAATTCACATGCTGTTCAGCTGTTCAGCACTCACCCTAGGATAACCTTCACCCACAATCCAGCGCGAGACATGATGTGGCGTGTTTTCTCCGACGCGGAGAACGGGGACTGGTTGTGAGGTCTCGGATAACTCGGGGCGGACGGTATAGGCGCGTGAGCAGAATCTGCCGTGACCGTTCGGAAGCAGCAGATAGGGTGGTGGGAGTTGGAATTCAAGGGTGAGACACCGCGTGCACGAAGAACATCATCTGCATCATCGCGGCTCTCACTTGCGGGATACCGATGTGGCTCAGTTGCGGCTAGGGAGGGTGGCGCAGCAATGTCTCAAGTCGGGAATCACGGGAGCTTCCATTCTTCGATCGTGATTCTAAAGTCTTTCAAGGTTTCTTCGTTGTTCTCCACACACTAGTGTTCCCTGTGACGTAGAATTCTGGTGCTCTACTCGTTGATGTTACTCGATATTGTTCTGCCTATTCCTGGATACTGACACAGGGTCCATTTAGTCACCCATGGATCCGATCAGCATGCAATTTTCTACTATAATTCGTCCGTTGAAAGTCCCGTTGGGCATGAAATTTTTTGTCGGGTCCCAGCTCGCAGTGGGGGGCCTTGTATCCCGATCCTATTGACCAATGCGGTTCGATCATCATAGCAAGTCGAACCAAAGATTGGAAACAAGTGTTTTAGCCAGTTGAATAGATTGAGTAATAAGCCAAGGACGTTACGACAAACATGACATTAGCAAGTGACGGGGCTTGCATTGGTATTGGACAGCCCCGGCTGATTGACTGAAACTGGAAGTACCGCGTATTCGTACTAGTACGGGCCCCTGATCGTCAGGTACATTTCCTTCAAAAAGAGACATTGCAATACCCGCGCGCGTTCTTGCAGATTTCAGAAGGAATACTGCAAGATGTCTGTGTCTCACCTGAAACTCCACTGGACCGAACCGTGGTTGCCAAGCCCCGGTTCTAAGTCCTTTATACATAGAAATCATAAAGCAAACTTAACAATTTAAAGACGATGACGGCGCAGAAGTGGGTCACCGGGTTTTATTAAAGTCACCTGGTTCCTTTCCACCCCATCAAATTCCCGCGTCCCCCGCTTAGTTCCTTGAAGGCATTGCAATTCTCAGGAAATTCAGAGTAAGTTGATTGTGGACTTGAATTGTCTGAATACTTCACAGGGCACGTGCTCCGATTTGCGGGGAGCCCTGTAGTTCGTGGTCGGTTACCAACTGACCGTTTTGGCAGCCATTTAGCCCTCCTTGCATGCGACCTGACGGTTGTGCCAACAACACAACTGCCCCAGGGAAGAATTCCCGAGAGAGAAAAAGAAAGAAAGAGAGAGAGAGACGTTCAAACTTTCACAAGCCAGAGCCATGGCGTATCCTTCGCAGGCAGCCCAGAGACCCCCGCCTCTGAGGCAGTACAATAATTCTGCGCCATCTCCTGCCTCGGCCCCTGGTGGTTATGCGCCTGATGCCATGTACGGCATAGATGCTGGCCACGGCCCATCGGACTCTGGCTATTCGGACTCTGGATACAATGACCCTTCATATGGCTACCAAGCGGCCGCCCCGGGTCCTCCACCGCCGCAGTCGCAAACCCGTGCAATGCGCCCACCGGGACCCCCGGGCCCAGGACGGCCACCTGCCGGATACGACGATCGGCGCGGCTATCCTGGTGGTAGGCCACCTCCACAGAAAATTTCCAGGCCTCGTAAGTAAATTGGGAACCCTGTTGTTCGGGTCAGCATCTAACAGACACTAGCCGGATCTCGCCCTCCGCGACAAGGCGAGGGCTTCGATGGCCCTTTCCCTGCAGTCCCCCCAGGCCGAGACCCTAGAGATCCAAGAGCTAGAGATCCTAGAGACCCGAGAACTAGAGACCCGCGAGACCCAAGAGCTAGAGATCCTAGAGACCCAAGAGCTAGAGATCCGAGAGACCCACGAGACCCGCGAAACCGACGACCTCCCCCTGACGGAATAGAGAGGGGAATGGCAGCGATGGATATTAATGGCCAACCACCCCGACCACACACATCAAATTCGGGAAGACCAGATCCTCGCGGACCCCCCCCGTGGGATGGCGCCTCGCGGTCGAGGAGGTTACTATCCAGGTCCTCCACGATCTGGCCGACCACCCATGGACCCCAATAGTCCGATGGCGCCGCCATCACGAAGCGCAACCATGCCATTGCGAGACCCGCCTCCTGGGGCGGGATACGGCGATTATGATTACCCCGCGGCCACAATGAGCGGAGAAATGCCCCCACGCCCCAACACCGCCGGTAGTATGCGACCTCCGCGGGCTCGGGCTCCGCCTGGTGCGCCTGGTGCACCTGGCAACGGCCTTGGTGCAGGGTTGATGATGCCTCCTCCTGACCCGACCAATCGAGTTTCATACGCGCCTAAGGATTTCCTGGACACCTACTACGATAGTAACAATGATGATGAGCCCGATATGCCCAACTTTGATGCAATCCCGCATAGCAATGGCCCGGTAGATGAGATGGGTTTGGAAGCACCGAGGCCTAAGATTCAGACACAAGGCTCTCCAGGCTCTCCAGGTAGCGGCCAATATGCACCCTATTCTCCGGGTGGTCCAGTAACACCCCAGTCTCAACCCCATTCGAATCTTCGACAAGGCAATGCGCCTAACGAGTTTGAAAATGCCGGCTTCAATTTCGGTATTGGTGGTGACACTTCACCGGCTGCTTCTGGATATGGAAACTCACCCAATGGGTACGATCAGTCTGGTGGCTACTTCCCTCATGAAGCTGCGCCTGCATATTCTGCAGCTCCTCCGGGTTCTGTTCCTCCCGGCCCCCCCGGCCACCAAGGATATCCGTATGAAAAGTCACCCGATGCTCAGCAAAATCTTGATACTATGCCCTCTCGCGGGACACCCTTCCGACCAGGCCACGACCAAGCCGCAAAGCCCGCACCAGTTCGAAACTACAACAACGCGCCCGCGCCCACGCAAACCCCAGCTGCTGCTCCTCAGCCAGCGACTACAGATGGTCAGACCCCCATCACACATGATGAGCTTGAGAGATTGCAACAAAAGGCCCGAGGCAATCCTTCAGATCAGGCGACTCAGCTTCTACTAGCAAAGAAGTTAGTGGAGGCTGCCACTGTTCTTGTGGCAGAAAATAGTCGGCTCGATCCCAAAACAAAAGCAAAGGCAAAGGAGAAGTATATCGGCGATGCACACAAAATAGTGAAGAAACTATCCCAGGCCGGATACGCAGACGCACAGTTCTACCTCGCTGATTGCTATGGAGAAGGTCAGCTGGGATTGGAAGCTGATCCGAAGGAGGCATTCAACTTATATCACTCTGCTGCAAAGGCTGGCCACGCCCAGTCAGCGTACAGAGTGGCTGTCTGCTGTGAGATCGGCTCGGAAGAAGGCGGTGGAACAAAGCGGGATCCGTTCAAAGCTGTGCAATGGTATAAGCGTGCGGCGGCTCTGGGCGATACACCAGCGATGTATAAGATGGGTATGATCCATCTCAAGGGTTTACTTGGGCAAGCTCGCAATCCTCGCGAGGGTGTTTCGTGGCTCAAGCGTGCAGCTGAACGTGCCGATGAGGAGAACCCACATGCCCTTCACGAGCTGGCTCTCATGTATCAAACCGCTTCCGGCAATGATTCGATCATTCGCGACGAGGCATATGCCAGTCAACTCTTCCACCAGGCTGCCGAATTGGGCTACAAATTCTCTCAGTTCCGTCTCGGTACTGCATACGAGTATGGTCTGATGGGATGCCCCCCTGATAACCGCATGAGTATCATCTGGTACACTCGCGCTGCTGCCCAGGGCGAACACCAAAGTGAACTTGCTCTTAGTGGCTGGTACCTTACGGGATCAGAGGGAGTTCTGCAACAGAGCGACACAGAAGCATATCTCTGGGCGCGGAAAGCAGCTACGGCTGGACTTGCCAAGGCCGAGTATGCTATGGGTTACTTCACCGAAGTCGGAATCGGTGCCGCTGCTAATCTGGATGATGCGAAGCGATGGTACTGGCGTGCAGCGGGTAAGGAAAACGTGATGGTGTTTTTATCAGAATTTCTGCTGACCATGTTTCTTTTATTTTACAGCGCAAGGTTTCCCCAAGGCAAGGGAACGTCTTGAAGACCTCAAGAAGGGTGGAGGCAGAATGCAAAAGACCCGTCTCTCTCGCGCCGCTTACAACAAGCAAAGTGATGGAGACTGTGTTCTGATGTAAATCCCTCTTTTCCCTGTTTAACCTTGCCACAATCCCCAATTCTAAATCCCCTTAGCTCAATTCACACTTTCTATACCCGGGATCTCTCCCATACATGTATCTTTCTAATGACTCCCCAATGCTTTCAATGACGACATTTATCAGTTATCTGGAACAGAACTCGCCGTTTGGCTTGGGCTGTACAATTCTTTTCTTTCCCTCCACTTTGTCTAATTTACCTCATTGTCCTTTTATCCAGGGGCTTATTCTTGTGCTTGTTTCTTTTCTTTGATTCTCGGTATTGGGGTGCTTGATGCATCTTCACGGAGGTGGAAATGACTAGTACGGACACATTGGGCGAATCCCCTGGAGCTAGGCTTAGCTGCATTTGCATTGGAATAGAATGGACTGCATTAAAACGTCAATAATTCAGCTCTAGATAAGAATTCTCAGTCTACTAAATTTCACTGGTTCACTAGTATCTTCAAGAACCCTTGCACAAGTATCAAGTTGTGAACAAAAGCAAACCCCGTACTCATATCCGTATTCCCGAGCGGGCCCATTCCGCGCTGACATACGCCATCGGCTCGGCTTATACAATCGGCTCAACTTCCGACGCGAATTTCTAATACAAGTGCCGAATTCTAATTGGAGTCCTGACCAATTATTGCACTTTTCAAATCAAATCCCTTTTTAGAGCCTTAATCTCGAAAGTTCCGGAAGCTCTGCTTGATTCAAGTTTCCAAAGCCTAGAGCACATCCAATTCATACATGTCTTCCGAACCTCACCACGACCCAAACAACAATCCAGCAAACAACACAAGCGCAACTGGGCTCCAGAGCAATCAGAAAACCCTTGTAATTTCGCTCGTGACACTAGTCATCGCGGCTCTGATCGCGCTCTTCGCTAACGACACCGCCAACCTGTCTGCGTTCCGTCGTCTATTCGGATCTTCAAGTGCTGCTCGTTCAGCGGTCGGTCCTTTATCTGTGTCTGCATCGGCTTCTGCGTCTATTGCTGCTGGTGCATCTACGAAAGCGAAGATGGCTTCGGATGATTCGACGGTGCAGATGAAGACGCCGGTTTACTTTCTTAGCCATGGCGGGGTAAGTGCATGCTTTGATACCCTCGCATTTATGTGCTACATACATAGGCCAAATATGGTGTTGTTATACACGTTAAATCTGAACATTTGTATTGACGCTTTCTGTTCTAGCCTAGCGTCATGTACGACGTGGATCATCCTGCCTATACCAAGCTTGGTCAGATCGGGCGTGAGATTACTACCAAGGTTAAGCCTCGCGCGGTGGTGGTTTTCTCGGCGCACTGGCAAGGTGGAAGGGATACGATCTATGTGAATACGGCCGAGATGACGGATTTGATTTACGAGTATGTTTCTGTTCTCGACAACATCCAGAAGGGAGTGTGGGCTGACATTGATTATAGCTTTTATGGTTTCCCTGACCATTACTACAAAGAGAAATACCCGAACGTCGGAAGTAAGGAAGTCGCGCACAAAGTACTCGACTTGCTGAAAGAAGCGGGTATTGATGCAAAGGGCGTAAAGCGGGGACTTGACCATGGTGTTTGGGCGAGCTTCAAGTGTGGTAAGTCTACGAAAGAGCTCGAATTTTGACGATAGGGATGATGGCTAACAACGTACCGTGTAGCCTTCGAACCAGAATCTAATGCTCTCAATGTCCCTATTGTCCAGGTTTCACTCTTTGACACCGAGGACCCGAATCAACACTACCGCCTTGGACAGGCTGTCGCCCGTTTACGTGAGGAAAACATACTGATCATCGTCTCGGGCATGGCAGTGCACAACCTTCGCGATTTGCGGTTTACATTTGGGAAGCCGCAGCCCCTGCCTTACGCTGTCAGCTTTGACGAGGCGTTGAAGGAGGCTGCTACGACGAAGCCTGAGGAGCGGGAGGCTGCTATGGCGAATTTGTTGAAGAGGCCGGATGCCAGACAGGCGCATCCGTCTTTTGAACACTTGCTGCCTATTCATGTTGGGGCTGGAGCGGCAGGAGCTGATATCGGGAAGCGGCTTTGGAAGTTCCCTGAGGGAAGTATGAGTTGGTCGCAGTACCGGTTTGGAGAGATCGGAAACGCGAGTGCTTCGTTATAGGGCCAGCTGTTAGATTTGGAAGTTATTTTGGCATTTAGAAGCATTTTTAGGAAATTTCGGTAAAGTAGCGAATTGAACCCAAACATTGTTCGGAATAGATGTTTGAGTTGAAGTTTTCTCAATAACGAGGTGTGTGAGACTCGGGTTCGATTTTCATCTATAGGTACACAGGATTGTAGAACGGCAAAACTCGCGATTGTGGCAGGGACATAAGACAGGCGGAGATGGATGGAGGGGAAGGGGATGATGAATGTCGTTATGAGGTCTGCTTCACCAAATGGGTGATGCGATCTTCGATCTGCGCGTCGGAGAGACCTGTATTCACGTTAGCGACATCCGTCTCGGATCTATCCGGGGGTAGAGAGAGGATGGCCTACCAGACAGCGCTTCTTGAGTCTCCTTTCCAAAGTCTGTAGTTTCATGTCAATTGAGTTAGCGGTCCAATTCTTGCGGTGCTGTGGGATCAAATCGCTCAGTATTCGCTGCGGTGTCGTACCGTATCGGGCGAAGACTCGTGGCACGGTGCCAGTGGCCTCGCGCATGAGAATCGGGGTGTGCGGGTTATGCTTCTTCATGGTAGGGTAAGCGCGGTTGAGGAAGGTCCTGTTCAAGTGAGACGATTGAGTTAGTCAATGGATTCGGGAAGCATGTTGCCGTTAAACTGGGATCGGATCTTCTGGCTGGCGTACCTTGTGGCAGCGCTCTGCTCCGAGGTCTGGCAGAAAAGGAAGCGGAGCTCCTTAAGGCCCTTGGTGAAAACGTATTTGCCTGACATGGCGTAATGGTGTGGAGTGGAGGAATAGAGGAGGGGGTATCAAGAGTGTCTCTCAAGAGAACGAGAGCATTATTCACAAGCCCCGTGATTCGCTCGAGCAGAGATGACTGCCGCTATACTGCATATGGACTAGCGCATATCATATTAGATAATCCGGAAAAGAACCGCTTACCACGATAATCCATAATGGAAGAAGTCTAACGTAGCTTTAGAAATTGAAATTGAAGTGGTCTTAAGGCTATTTGTACTGTGTCTATATCTCCTAACTTTTGTATATCCTGGTGGTGGTGTGATACCATCATTTTGACCTTATAACCGGCGGAAAACTCACCTGCCCCGACCACCGGCCGATCCCGCCCTTCTTCCCTCTTCACTTCCCCAGTCGTCATATCTCAAAACGCCATCATGTCGTCTCGTGTGGGATTCCGCTTCCTCAACAACACTCGCTTTGCTTTCCGCAATGCCACTGGTCCCTTCCGCCGGCAGGCCGGTCAGGGCTTCCGTTTCCAGAGCTCCGAGGCCGGCGCCGCGGAGCAGCAGAGCTTCTTCCAGCGCATGTGGAACAGCCCTGTTGGTGTGAAGACTGTGCACTTCTGGTAGGTCATTGGCCTTTAAATTCTGGTTACTTGATTGGAATGAATCTTTTAGCTAACTCTGGTGTCTCACAGGGCCCCTATGATGAAGGTACGGTTATGACTCCATTCACCCTGCCCCGATAAGCGCTCGTTTCGTCCGAAGTCGTGATATTCGACAGTTTTTGCGACAAATAGATAATATTTGGGATTGGGGATTTCACGAGATCAATGACTGACATAACGTGTTTGCGCAGTGGGCTCTGGTCATCGCTGGTATCTCCGACTTCAACCGCCCGGCTGAGAAGCTGTCTCTTACCCAGAACGGTGCTCTGATGGCTACCGGTGCTATCTGGACCCGCTGGTGCTTGATTATCAAGCCCCGTAACGTCCTGTATGTTCCACCTTCGTGATGAGTTGATTCGACTGGACGACGAACAGTTCGCTGACTCAATTTAAATAGGCTTGCCGCTGTCAACTTCTTCCTCGGATGTGTTGGTGTTGTCCAGGTCACCCGTATTTACAACTACCGCCGCAGCCTCGATGGCTCCGCTACGGAGGCCGTCAAGGATCTCGAGAACGAGGCCGCCGATTCCGTCAAGAGTGTCGCTTCTGCCGTTGAGGGTGCCGCCGAGGGTGCCGTGAAGACTGTTGAGAAGAAGGCGAACTAGACTGATGAATCTCTTGAGTCAAGTGCGTTCGGCGGTGACGGTTGCGGGTACTGAAAGATGTGGAGGGACAGGACTGCACGTAGATTGGCTTTTATAGAGGCTCGGGCGTCCACTCGGCCACTTGATACGCTCTCAAAGATGGGAGCGTATCGGGTTTATTCTCCTATTTCTGCTGTCCGTACATTCTACGGGACCCGCTGTACATATAAATATGGAAAGTCTTTGTTTTGTGCTCAAATTTCGTCAACATTTGATGACCCATATTCCTAAAAGCATAGAATCTTTGAATTGGGTAAACAAAACAAGTTCCCTTGAGACATTTCCCCAAGGCATCCGGGGAAAAACTAATTAGCTTGACAGTCAGTTGCTAAATTCCGTAGCACCATGCACGATCGACATTTCCCCGGATTTTTCCTCCCAATCGGTGAAATGCAGGTCAAACTTTCCTCCTATCGGACTTGTGCCAAGTTCTTTCTTCCCATAAAACATAGTACTCCAATTTCCGAGTAGCTCGCTAACAAGACGCCAATCCAACCTACACCATATTCACCCCCTAGCTTCCCCACAACACATGATGCCGGTTCCCCGGATGTCGACTGTGCACCTTACCTTACCCCACCTCACCCCCATGTAAGGAATAGCTTAGCGTGGACGCAAGTTTCGTCATACGGGTAATGCTTTTTGCAGGATGACTTTGTATATAAGAGAAGCAATACCGCCGATCTTTCCTGGCCCGACAACAGGGCTCCAAGAATTTCCTCTGCTTTTTTGCCTTGATGCACAGAATGAGGATCACCAATACTTTGATACAGGCTGTAGGCCTTTTATTGTCGCTAGGCATTACCACTGAGGCGAGATCTGTCAGCCCAGTTGCGAAGGGCTACTCGCGGACTGAAAAATGCAAGCCACACCCACCGTTCAAACCTCTTCCTCCAAGTCAATTGCGGACCAAGACGTGTCATGTAGCCACGTATGGAGATGGACGTGATGACTCCAAGCATATTCTTTCCGCGATCAAAAAATGCAACAATGGCGGAAAGGTTGTGTTTGATGCCGACAAAGTTTACACAATCGGCACAGCATTGGATCTAACCTTCCTCAAGCATGTAGATCTTGGTATGTCTTTTGATCAATGTATTTCTCCAATTGAATCTTGCTAATGCGCTGGGACAGATATCCAGGGATATGTCCAATTCACCAATGACACGGACTACTGGCAGGCAAACGCTTTCAAGCAGGTCTACCAGAATGCTACAACCTTTTTCGAATTGGGAGGTGAAGACGTCAATGTCTACGGTGGAGGTACGCTTGACGGAAATGGTCAGGTTTGGTATGACTTATACCACGAGGATGCTTTGATTCTGCGTCCCATCTTGGTCGGAGTTATTGGACTCAATGGTGGCACGATTGGTCCTCTGAACCTCCGCTATTCCCCTCAGTGGTATCATTTTGTTGCAAACTCTACGAACGTTGTATTTGACGGGATCGACATCTCAGGATATAGCAAGGACAGCATTACTGCTAAGAACACTGATGGATGGTGGGCTTTCTTTCCACGAGCCAGAGAACTTAACTAACGAGAATAGGGACATCTACCGTTCATCTAACATTGTTATTCAGAACTCTGTTATCAACAATGGCGATGGTATGAATATATGGATATCTCTCTGCAGCATTATGTTCTAATTGTTTCATAGACTGCGTCTCTTTCAAGCCCAACACCACGGATATTATTGTCCAGAACCTTCACTGCAATGGCTCGCACGGTATCTCAGTTGGCTCTCTGGGACAGTATGAGGGAGAGGTCGATATTGTTGAAAATGTGCTCGTGTATAACATCTCGATGTTCAATGCATCAGTGAGTATCCTTAAAACTACCAAATCATGGATACTAATTATAAGTAGGACGGTGCACGCATCAAGGTCTGGCCTGGCGTTTCATCGGCGCTCTCCACTGACCTGCAGGGCGGCGGTGGCTCTGGCATTGTCAAGAACATCACTTATGACACGATGTATATTGACAACGTCGACTATGCTATTGAAGTCACCCAGTGCTACGGTCAGAGCAACTTGACTCTCTGCAATGAGTACCCCGTATGTCTACTTCCCAAACCTTATACATGATGTGACTATCTAACTCTTCTGTTTGCAAATACAGAGTAGTCTCACAATCTCCGACGTCTATTTCAACAACATTCATGGTACAACCTCAGGCAAATATGACCCCGACGTTGGCACCATCGTTTGCTCAAGCCCTACCGTGAGTTATCTCAAGTCATTCGTATCTCTGATTCAATTTTAACCAACCCGTTTAGGTGTGCTCAAATATCCACGCAACGAACATCGATGTCACTAACCCAGATGGACTTTACGCCGATGAGTTTGTTTGCACAAATGTAGGTTGCCTGTGATTCTGAAAACTGAAGATTTGCTAACAGTATCCCCAAATTTAGGTCAATACCACCCTACTAGATGTTAACTGCATTTCTAGTTAAAGGAGTGGCACTACTCTCTATATAGCATGTTACTGTTTGAACCAAAAGAAGTTTTGAGTATGAACAATTTTGAACTTTGTCGTATATATGAAAATGGCCACCCACCAAGCGAAGCCATCAGAACTTTCTATGAAAGAACAGCTTCAGTAATTCGTAGAAAATGCTTTTGATAATTCCAGCAAGTCTGAGTAGATCTCAGTCCCAGCGGAAATACTAGGGGATGTTTCACGGAGATAGACGGGAATAAAGACCTGGTATCTTAACTCCAATCCCCTAAATCCGACGAACATATATGCATCTCTGCAAAGAAAACAAAAAGACGATGACAAATCATAACAGAAGATAAATAGCGACTACGAAATAAGAAGGGCATAAGAACCATACATAATTGAGCCCTCAAAGCAAAGCCAAAGACAGACCTCTCAAATACCCGTGAAAACACCAGACCAATTTGCCAGCTTAAGACCCCAAGCTTCAATTCTGAGTCTCACAAATTTGCAATGGAAGAGCTTTCGGACTTCATTCGATTGAATAATGCACCCCAAATTGGAGCTTTCGTTCCAACAAGCCACGATGACACCTATCCATTCATCACGCCCACCGGCTCAGAGCTCACGGGAAAAACCATCGTCATTACCGGAGCATCTAAAGGAATTGGCCGAGCAACAACAATCCGACTCGCAAGGGCAGGCTGCAGCAGAATTGCGATCATAGCCCGATCAAGTCTCGAAGAAGTAATCGAAGAACTCAAATCCGAGGTTCAGAGATTCAACCTCTCCCTTCCGGCAATCCTGCCATTAAAGGTCGATATCACATCAGATGAAGCAGTTGAAAAAGCCGCAAAGGCTGTTGAGAAAGCTTTCGGAAGTATAGATATCTTGATAAACAACGCGGGTTATCTCCCCGAATTCCTGCGCATTGGAGAAGCTGATCCCTCAGAATGGTGGAAAGGATTCGAAGTTAACGTTAAGGGGACATTCCTTTGCGCACACTATTTCCTTCCACTTTTGTTGAAGTCAGAAACTAAGATCATGGTCAATTTGACTTCTATTGGTGCGCATACATTGACGTTGGGCGGATCGTCATATATGGTATCACGATTTGCGAATTGTCGGGTTACGGAATTCTTAGCGAGGGACTATGAAGATGAAGGACTTGTTGCGATCTCGTTGCATCCTGGTGGGGTTACTACTGATATGAAAACCAATTTTCCAGAGCAATTACACTTTACTTTGCAGGATAATGTGAATCTGCCGGCGGATACGATTGTATGGCTTGTGAAGGAGCGCCGGGAGTGGTTGAATGGGAGATACGTTTCCGGGCCTTGGGATATGAAGGAGATAGAGGCTAAGAAGGAGGAGATTGTACGGAGGGATCTGTTTAAATTCAGGATGACTGTCTGAAGAACTGGTTACCTAGGCAAGCTCTTCGAGCTTCAATTTCGGTATATTGCATCCCGAGATTGCTGTTTGCGGATTCTTCACAGTCGGTCGGCCACTCCACTCCGATGAACCCAGCTTCGAGCTCGCTTTCCAAATATGTACCTGTTTCGAATAAGTTAGTAGAGCTTTCAGGACTCAGAAGTGTTCGTAAAACTTACATCGGAATTGTGAAAAGGGTAATACCCATAGTGATCCCGCCAATTGTGAAAAAGCAGTTGCGAACCCCTTGGTTGGAAATCCAATCATTGATATAGAAAGAGAGGCCAAAGGCAAACATGTTCTTAACAAAGTTCATCGCCGCAAAGGCCTCTCCAGCCTTTTCACGATGACAGTCTACCACATATGTAACCACACCAGTAGTTCCAAGCTGGACCCCAAAGTTGATCAACCCTAGACAGACAATCACGGGTATGGGCCAGGGATATTGTGCAGCTGAGGATTGACCCCAGGCAAAGAAGCCTGTTGATGTAAAGAGCAGATACGTTACCATGATTGGGAGACGGAATTCGGGTTCTAAGAAAAGTCAACAATTTTTCAAATCCAAGTTGTTGCATCAGGTCAATCATACCAAATATACCGCCGTTTTTCATAGACATCTTGGTGACAAGACCATCGATCAGAGGCCCTGCGACTATCGTGCCTAGCACTGAAGCTACAAAAGAGGATAGGTTGGTTGCCCCCACGCCGATGACCGAGAAGTTGTACGGAGCCGCCGAGAAAATTTGCGATAAAGTCAGAGAGATGCCCACAAGCCATGAAATGCACGTAGTGAACAGTAGTACAGCCCATAGAACAGGCGGAGATGCTAGTAAATAGAACGGTCGGATCAGTGTATTCCAGAATGGGACATGGTTGACATAGCCACTATAAGGCAACAAGTCTTTGAGCCATGAGGCGCGGGCTTCGGTCGATGTAGGGGTTGTGCTCGGTGTATGCTCGAGCTGTTTGAGACTCGCTTTGCCTTCAATAACCACCTAATTTTTTTTTTTAGAAAATTCTTCGACCACACCAATTAGATCACAGAACTTACCTGTGATTCCCCAGTGTCAATATTCAAAGCTTCTCGCTTGAAAGCAGACTCAGGCATCCAGAAAAACACCAAGATGAAGGCCAGTGCGAAAGCTCCTCCCATACCATATAATGCCTCGTGATACGAAGCATACTGTATGATGACAGCGGCTGTGAATGGTAATATTAATAAGAGGACCAACAAGAAAGCTAACAATTAACACACCGATTGGAACTGCAAGATTGATACCACCCAGTACACCAAGGTTGAATATCGCCGTTCGAAATCCTCGCTCATGCACAAACCTGAAGCCTTCGTTAATTTGAATAATTGACTCCCAGCACAACACAACACTTACCAGATATCCGATATGGATGCTGGAACCAAAGCCTCCAAGGGTGCCATACACAATCCACAAAAAACTCTCGAGGCAACAAAAGACTCAAAGCTTTTGGCTTCAGCGGCCCAAAAACACGAAACCATCAAACCGAGCGTAGTGCCCAAATACACAGGGCGTTTTCCGTATTTTACAGCCAAAGAATTGAATATCAGACTCCCCACTGCGATCGCGGCAATAGCGCCACCCTGCACGGCAGAAATGAAGGTTGTCAACGAGACGTCAAATTGAGCTGCTAGAGGAACGAATGCACCCCCAAGCAGAGGACCGACCGCTATACACGGGAAGGAGTGGTTAGCGCTTTTGGTATTTCCATACTGCGTTGACACAAGGTGAGTAGCTTACCCCCGACACACCCACAGCCCCATCCGTAGGCAATTGTGAAGAGCTCCTTTTTTGTTCGGGACCAGTTGTATGGATCGTTGGGCGAGTCAGATGGCTGGGGCACGAGTACTATCTTGCCCGTGCGATCGTACTTGAGTAGACCAGGGTCGATGCCGGAATAATTGTCTGTCTCGGAGTGGCCATGGAGTGGAGCTGTTCCGGGAATATGCTCCAATTTCGTGTCTTCGAGAATTCCGAATGGCATGCTGAGTGTTGACGGACAGTAATAAGGGAAAGGATTTGTGGTGAGATTTGGGGATGGAGGAGTGGGATCAGTTCTTGAATACAGGAGCTAAGGTGAAATGAGGAGAAATTAATGTTGAGCGACACTGACGTGGGCTCCAGAATGGTCTTAGCAAGGTTGTTGCAGATCTTCGTTGTCAGCTTTACTAGTGACTGTGCAAAGTCTGGACACTCGGGTTCTTTTAGGCGTTGTGGACGCTTGTTATAAACACGCTGGTGTACGATTACTTCATATTGAAGCCGCCTATTATTTCCTTCTCAAGATACGAGCTATTGTGGCTTGTGTCTTTTTGGAGGAACTCAATGAGAGCTAGAGCCTTGCGGGACTAGGATATGGGGCTTGCTAGGCCCCATTATGGGATTATGGAGAAACCTAGTTCTGGAATATGGGGTTCCCCGCGGGGGTTTCCCGGGCTGAATATTGTGATCGTCTCTTACGTAGGATTCTTAACTCATGTTATTTAATTCTTTGTGTTAGAACCATATTTTCATGCTTGAATCGGTGTTTGTATTAATGCATTGTTGTTACAAACCATACGCGTGGACACTGATCCTCCAAGTTTGGCTATAGATCGATATTTGAGTGCGAAAAATGAACATGCCAATCGGAGAGAAATCCGAATATATTCATAAAGGAACCTCCTCCCCCTCTCGTCGCCAATCCCCCTCCCGAAATTCTTCGGTCTCTCAAGCAGAATCCTCGATCAGGATTTGCTTTACTTCAATCTGCTCCCGCGACCCAGATAAGTGAAAATAGGCAATATCTCCACCGGGAACATACACAATCTCCAAGTTGCAGATATCATCGATAATATTCTGGAGATATGTGGGGGCGTGATGAGCCTTAGTTTCTTCCCGGAACTCACTTTCAGGTGGTTCAAATTCATCAATGACTCAAATGATATCCAGTTCACGTTAATTTTATCCATGGTTGATCTGAATTCGAGGGGAATTCAAATGTACTTGACTTAGTATCCAGAATAACCGAAATCTCACATTCTACCAACAAGTCAGCGCAACCTCCCAAGGTCGCAAAAAGTCCTTCCTTAGCTCGTCATCTCGGCTTCACCGTTAATTCAGGATCGCGGCCGCACCTGATTTCTTCATCAGTGAGGTATCCATAGGCATGCGATTGCCATGTTAGACCTCTGGTAGCCGTCCATGTCGTAGGGTGGGGGTTCATGAAGGACATTACCTCCGGAGTGAGATGGAGCGAATGACATAGCTCTTCGTTGAAGCTGTGGGCACCTTCTGGGGGAAAGTTGACGCAACCAGAGGTGCAATAGCCCAGCCTGAGAAGCAGGTAATAAAAGGTAATAATTTGGGTGATTATTGTTTCTTCAATGTATAGAGGTATGGAAGACATGGTTTCGGTACTCCTAAACTAGACATAGGCCAGAGTGAACAGGATGAAGATAATTTGGGTTTACCGTGGCATTGAGAATGCCATAAGTGAGAATTTTCCATTTTCTATCTTCTTGCGCGAAGAACGTGCTAAGTCACGTAGATTGACCCACGAGTATTATGAACAGAAAGAGTCTAAAGCTAATATCATCTCCTATCGCTAACTCGCTAAGCAGAGACTTTGGAAGGCGAACGGACCGCGCGAGTTCCATGGGACGCGAATATGTCTTGATTCGTCGGCTATGAGCTTGCCCAAGCATGATTCTCTTTGTCACCGAAACCAACAACGGAAGTGAGAAAGACGGGGGCAACGAACACGAGAGAAGAGAAACGGGCCGGAGTTCAACCAAAGACTGCAAGTGGGGCCCGCCCGGTTCTGTTCCAAGATCAGCTTCTTATCCTTCTCTCACAGCACTCCGCAGGATCATTCCGTTTTCACAATTCACCATCAACGTCATGGATGATTTCGCACTGAAGAAAGCGTTCAAGAGACGAACATACACTGCTGGGCAATGCACTCAAGCTATTCGTGGCCTTGGGATTCCTCAATCGCTGGGCTCCCCGGCATCCCGTGCTTGTGTTGCGCGCGGAATACGCTACCATCCAGGATTTGCACTTGAACTCCAATGCAAACATGATCAAGATCGATTCTTTACCCGGGCCATAAATGCTCGACGCATCATGAGCAATGAAATTCCCAATTTGCAGAATGCTCGCGAGATTCCATATTGCATCTGGTACCCGGAAACTGCCAATGAAGCCACGTACCGAGCCCTGGTTCTTCAATATCCCTCCCTTAAATACCATGTCGGCAGAGCGTGTGCTGTAGCAGGATATACCGATCTGTATCGGGAGCTGGATCTGCTTCCTGAGGCCCATATCGCCGAGGAGGCTCGCGACAATGGCAGCAATGCTATATTCGAGATGATCATGGCGAGTCCGGTTAGGTATCGAGTGATGAACGACTACACTCGCACAGTCAATTTGGAGAATCCTCCTGTGGGTGGTCTCAATGGAGATACCGCCGTCCGGTCCTTTCTAGAGAGAAAGCAAAGACATAGCGGTCTTGCTAACCGTCCAGGACTGAAGGATTTATTATGGAATATCACCGAAGATATGAACGTGGATGAGTTTGACTCGGAGCAACCACCTATACAGGATGTGTCGGAATTTCTTTATACACCCCTACCATTCGATTTACCAAATATTGATAAAGACCTTCTTATTCTAATGGCCGCCTGGAATGGCGATGTGGATCGATACAGCCGTTTGCGTCGCCATGTCATGATCGATAAAGAGTTCGCATGTGTGATTCACGGAATCTGCCACCAAACGTTGTTCGCTAAGTGGTGGTCAATACAAGCCCCATTGGAAGACAAAAGGAAAAACAAGCGTCTACAACGCGCGATCACCGCACGATTTATCATGAGCAACGACTTATCGCGCATTCCGTTAAGACCGGCCTTTGAAATTCCCCCACCCCCTCAACCTCACCGGGAGCCTCACGACAATGCGTTCTCTCAAGAATTTCCATCCTGCATTTGGTACCCCAATCTTGCCGAACCAGAGACCTATCGCGAACTCGCCTATCGGGAGCCTCGTATGGCATTAACGGTAGCACGTGCCTGCATTATTGCGAATTACCAGGCTGTCTATCAAACTCTCGATTTCTTCCCAACACGTGCTCTCATCCGTGAAGCCGAACAACAGCCTAGCACCTTTTATACCAACGATCTCAAATGCCGGGCCGAGCGACATGGTGGAATTCTTGATACTGCCGAAGGCAGCAACTGGGAAGAGCACTCAATGGTCGAAAACATGAGACTGTTCAATACAAAGTTGAGCGAGGTGACTACAGCTGATGACATAGACATGTACCCCTCTGGAATTTTCAATGGAGAAGAGGCACCCGACGTAGGCACTATCCTGCTGAACGTGTGCGCCCCTAGTAGTGTCAAATCTGGATATACAGCCACCCCGTTGAGTGAGGTTTACACGGCGGCGGGGGCGCCGCTGAAGATGCCATTGGGTATTGATGCAGATTTGCCAGCTCGTGGATACCTTGGAACAGCCCTTATCTACAATAATAGGCCCTGGGTCCCTCACTCGCCTGACGAAGAAAGGGATTCCGAATGATCCTTTCTCCCTTCACATTCATCAGTATGTATCTGTTATAACCAATTTGCTTTTTGTCTTTCCCATGTATATTTTGTATGCATTAATGTCCATCTAGTCCTAAAGCCAGAAAGGTGTTCATGGTCAGGGCACTTAGGTGAATGGGCTAAAGAGTAAACGGCAAAGGGACTTTCCGAGGAAATTGGAAAAAATAAAAAGACAAAAACATACAACAGTTAGGATTCGCATGTGGTCACCCACCATACTACTAACTAACCGGCGTGTGGCTTAAGTACGGCTGAGCGGACGGGAAGCCCTGTTCTCCACACCCTATGGTCGTATGTGCTGGTATTTCCATTGAGCAGAATCATATAGTATAATAATGAAGAAGTGAAGCATAGAAAGTGCAAGTATAGTGGCTTTTAGCAAATTTCGGGGGCGACGCCTCGAGTTCGTCCCGATGGGCTTTCCTTCACTGCTACGCGGCAATGAGGGACCGGGATATACAGCTCACCTCGAGGGATTGCAGCAACAGAATCCGGGAGACCAGAATCGGGGTCGGCATGGGAGAAAGAAGGGTGGAAATCGGGCTCAAAAGTAGATCAGATGTATCATGCTCCTGTATTATTCTCATGTATTATTAGAACACTAATAAAAGTTGCATATCAGCCATATTCAAAAGACCCAAATAATTCATGTATAAGAAAAACAAAACAAAAGCCGCGGAGCCAGAGGCGCGGAGTGGGAATGTCAGTGGAGGGAAGACTAAGGTCATGATGGCTTTGTGCATGGCCAATTTGTGGGGTCGAAACAGCGTGTTAGGGAAGAGACTTGGTACGCGAAGAATACGGACGTGGGTTATTGTTGACGTCCTGATTAGGACTAGTACCTTCCATCCTGCACTACTTGAGGTTCACTTTCGTAGACTCTTCTTCTTCCTTGTCGCATTCAATACAGTCCATTCGTACTTCTTTGTTCTGCTTCCATTCTCGATTTTTGCTCTCATTACATACACACAACACAAGGGTATTTCGTCACGAAGAAATAGAAACCAGAGTCTTCATCATCAGTGAACAATCCCTCCGATATCTGCTGTAAGCCACTATACTGGCCGTTTCTATGCTTCACTTCCTCACATTCACACTATATGATTTTGCTCAATGGAAATACCAGCACATACGACCATAGGGTGTGGAGAACAGGGCTTCCCGTCCGCTCAGCCGTACTTAAGCCACACGCCGGTTAGTTAGTAGTATGGTGGGTGACCACATGCGAATCCTAACTGTTGTATGTTTTTGTTTTTCTTTTCTTCTTTTCTGATTCGTCGTGACCAAGTGCTCTTGCCCCACACCCTCCAGTCCTTCAAATCCCCTCACCTTAAAGCCCTGAAGCCCCCAATCCTACACCTGAAAGCCCCTAACACATCCCAATACGCCCTGGGCACCCCTCACTCAGGGAGAGTAAGATCTGTTATTGAGTCCGAAGCCTTTTCTCCCCGCAATATATGCTATAAGCCACTGTGACACGCTGGATACTTGGCTCGCAAGTCGGTGGTCAATCTCAAATTCTTGATCATTCCATTGTGTGGCATTCAAATCTATAGATCTCTCATTCTATCTAAAGCTGAACCTCCGCGTTGTGTATAGGGTATGTACCTCCGCATTTTGTATCACATCGGAAACTCAAGACAGCAGGTGGCCTAATGCAGGTGAGACTTTCCTGCCTTCTTGCTAGCGGCGAGGGCACCAGCTAGTCCAAATTGCGAGCAGACACCGTTGATCCGATGAGTCGAGTTAAGGTTCTTGATGACAACCATCTGGTAACAGGTCGCCATGCCTTCGCGAGAGGCAATGACGGACCAGGCGAGAAACAGCTCCCATATCTAGAGTAGGTTAGGCTTACTGAAAATAAAGGGGTAGGGTAGGAAGACAATTACCCTGTACCATCTAGGTCCATATTTGGCCTTGATTGCTTCCACATTTCCAACCCAGTTACGATACCACCTCCAGAGCGTACCAGAATAGTGAACACCAACGGTATCAATCCTGTCTATCATCAGTAATTGCACCAGCGGAAACAAAAATCCAGATCAAAATTACCCTTTCAGTTCGAAACCAGCTTGTTCCAAGCACTTCACATAGTACCATAGCGGAGTCGAGGCATCCGCGCCACGGAATATGTACTTGTTCAAATAGAGACCCCAAATGAAATCCTCGTACTGCCACGCCTGACGTAGACCCGAGAGCTGAACATACATAGCCCCATCATCATTGAGCATATCATAGCATTGGCGGAAAAACCCAGTAAGTTTCCGAATACCGACGTGCTCGCCCATCTCCAACTGCGTGATCTTGTCATACTTTGTGCGTGGAATATCGCGATAGTCAAGACATAGGATGCGGCTCTGCTGCTCAGAAACCCCGGCCTTTCGGAGAGCATCGTTGCCCCAAGCGGTTTGATTCTCCGCAATGGTCAGTCCAGTAACTTTAGCGCCGTAGTTGAGACTGGCGAATTTGGCAAGGGTTCCCCAGCCGCATCCGATATCTAGCATAGTCTCGCCTTCTTTGAGGGCAATCTTCTCACAGACAATGGCCATCTTGTTATCCTGCATTTCCTCGAGGGTTTCTTCCTTCTCCGGATCTGAGATAATGCCGGAGGTGTAAATCATGCGAGGGCCGAGGAACCAGGCATAGTGATCGTTACCTCGATCGTAGTTAGGACGAATCTGCTCCTCGTCTTGAGATTTGGTGTGGAAGATCACGTCAATGAAAAAGGTAAAGATGATAAACTTGAAAAGATCTAACGTGAAAGCAAAGTTTGCCCAGTCGTGGCGGTATTCCATGACCTCGAGTGCGTCACCGTTGAAATCCATCAAGTTGTCCAAGTACATTTCTGCGAATGATTGCAGAGGAATCTTCTTGTTCCCATGCCACATTGCTCTATCCTCCTCACGCTTAAAGGTCAAGTAATACTCTATGGGCCGTCCGGGAAGTTTGACTTTCTCGTTGGTGCGCGGACTGCAATTGGCTTTCCATGACCAAAAGACCACCAAGAGGGGAAGAACGAAGGTGATGAAAAGAAAAAAGAATGTGGTCTTTCCTCCGCCGAGGAGGTATGTTAGGGTGGCAGGAACTCCGATGAGAATGCCACCTAGGAGGATATTCGAGAAGCTCTCATTTCCAGGGCCATCAGCTGGTAGCGGGGCATTGTGGATGGCTGAAGACTTTCGAGGGTTTAGCGAACTTGAACACGGAAAGGAGGACAAGAGCAAATACTGACGTTGGTTAAAGTGATTCCACAACCCTCTCCGGTCTCGAGTTCCGCAGGTCTGGCTGGAGGAGTCTTGATGAAGTCAATATCGCTAGATAGATCGACCTGTCCAACCTTTTTGGCGCTCATTGTTGATTATACCCCCGAGATCTTGGAAATTTCCTTTGTAGGGATTGTGGGTGAAAAAGTGAGGTCTTGCAGTAATAAATTGCAGCTTCCAAGGTTCATTTGCAAGTACCATGCAGAAAGAGAGGTGTGGGAAGTACGGAGAAGGAGGGGAAAGAGGCGAATCACGCCAGTGATGTGATAATGTTGGCTGTTGCTAGAGGCGTTTAACAGCCTTCGACCTCCTTGATCAACCTTGAGGATCCTTTGGGGCCCACATAACCCACTCTTGGCATGGCTGTAGCCTGGATGCCTAGAGCGATAAAGGGTTGATCCTTATCTGTAGCCGCGGTTATCGATAGATCGACACTAATTTGAGAAAACCGGCCCGGGGATGACGGTAAGCCATATTTAGCACCGGGGTAAAACGCCATGAAAGTGTTGATTTCATGAACAAGACTAATGCGATACATGGTTTGTATTCATTCTTCCAACAGAAGATATCAATGCCTAGTATAGTGATTTCTAAAAAATAATTCAGCGCATTGGTGCATATAATTATAGCATGTAAATTTGCTGTAATTGACTAAACCTCTCTCAATAGCAAAAGAAGAGGAGCTAACACTTTTTAAGAATTGAAGACTGTTCCGGTTTTGGCGACTAGCTCTTAGCAACGATGGGCGAAGGCTTCGTAATCGCCACTTTGTCTTGACTAACTTCATTCCGGGGAAAATGTGCACATCATTGCATACCATCCTGGACGAAAGTAACTGATTTTGTAAAGTTTGAGACCTACGTACAGACTGGATGATAGAATTATTAGCCCACCCCCAACTCTGGTGTCAATGCTGTGATGGAGGGTATTATGATAATGTTGGCTACTTCACGGTGTGATCAAAACGGAATCCAAGTCGTAGTCGAATTGTTCATCAGAAGATTTTGAGCTATCAGGCTCAAAAACGAAAACAATATACGTGTATGAAACTCTGCAAGTATCAATGAGTTCTCTAGTCAGAAGCCTTGTCCAAATACAGTAGGGTAAGGCCAAGAGCCAGAAAGTAACTCTAGTTGCCGGGGTTGCTTTTCAGCAGCTTATCTCCGATAGTAGCGCGGCTTAAGATTAAGATACCAAACGCCGAGATTCCATTCAGTTAACTGATTATGAGAATGTGCAGAAAGCATAAAATCCGGATATGGAAGATGTATCGCGGTCGCACCATAATTACTTACCAGAGTGAGACTTTCCTTGTTTGGCAAATCTTGCGAAATTTGTATGACTAAAGCAAAGTGAGCTCTGTGCCCAAATGCAAGGTTAGTCAAGTTATGGACAGGGTAAATGACGCAGACATATAGCTTTTGAGATCAGGAATTCAATGGTCCTTTATCCCTACACCGCCAACATGAGGCTTTATAGTTAGGCTACATCATTCCTACGGGTGAAACATGAAACTTTGATTCTTGCTGGCCATACTCATTGAGGCAAAGCTTGCGCCCGCCACTCGGGATGAGCATATCTTGTCCCATCTGTGAAGACATTCCAGATCTCGAATTTGAATAACGGACCGTGCCATTTTACAGCTGTAATTTCGTAATGTGACTACTTCGTTGCCTATTTCACTATGCTACACTGCCGGGAAACTATTTAAACCCCGCGATCGCCCGTCTTCAGAAACTTTCTAAGTCAACATTCATTGATATTTCCATTGCTGACGAGCAAAAATGTCTTCATCTGAAATATATTGCAACTCCTTGACTCCAAAGTCAGTCGACGTGGTGGTCATTGGTGCGGGTTTGAGTGGTCTCCGAGCGGCCTTGAATATCCAAGCCGCAGGGTTCTCCTGTGCAGTGGTTGAGGCTACTGACCGGGTTGGGGGGAAGACACTCACTTTGCCTTCGAAGAAAAACGGTCCCGGTGTTAACGACCTCGGTGCTGCTTGGATCAATGACACCACGCAAAGTGAGATGTTCAAACTCGTCCAACATTATGGGCTACAGACAGAAATCCAGATAGACAGAGGAAACGACATTTGGGTGCATGATGATGGTGTGATCTTAACCCCACACGGCATTTTGCCGGTAAGGTTTTCTCTTTTCTATCATTCATTGATGACGACTCGATCTCTTGTGCTGATATTGAATCGGTGCTGGTACTTAGTTGACTGAGGAAGAGCAGGCTGCCTTAGGTCAAGTGATTACGAGGCTTGCCGAACTATCTGCCAATGTAAATCTGGAAGATCCAATGGCAGGACCTGGTGCCAAGGAACTGGACAGCGTTTAACTGCACGAATTTTGCCTTCGAGAATTCCAGTCTGAGATAATTGCCACTCTCCTGAATACTATCAGCCAGTCTCTTATTGGCGTTGAGACCAAGGAAATCAGTGCATTGAGCTTTCTACAATTTTGCAAATCTGGAACTGGCCTTCAATTTATGATCTCTGATACGAAGCATGGAGCTCAGTACCTTCGTGTCAAACAAGGTAGGTTATAGGAACAACCAGGTTTTTCTACCCTTTATAAAGGACTAATTCTCGGAAGGAATGCAGACCATCTCTCAAAATATGGCCAAGGAGCTTAAACCGGGCTCACTCTGGCCTTCAAATCCGATAACTCATATCGAGCAATGTACGAAGACAGGCGTCTGCACGGTCCGGTCCGCCAACAAAGCAGTGTTCTCAGCAAAGAAGGTCATTCTGTCTGTGGCTACTCCTCTCTACAGAACAATCAATTTCTCGCCTCCTCTGCCGACCGAAAAACAGCATCTCGCTCAAGAAAACTTCCTGGGGTATTACAGCAAGATGATCTTTGTCTTTGAAAAGCCGTGGTGGCGCACTGCGGGACTCTCCGGAGAGATCAAAGCGCAGAGCCAGGGACCTTTCCTATTCTCTGTGGATACTAGTGTCTCTGATGACGATCAGTGGTCAATCAGCTGCTTCATTGTCGGCAGCCGTGGCCTCGAATGGTCTAAATTGCCCCAAAAGGAGAGACACTTATCCATCTGGAGTCAGTTTCGCTCCGCGTTCGAGAACGTTAATTTGAATCTGGAAAGAATCGAAGTTCCGAAGCCAATTAAAAGTTTGGAGTTTGAATGGACGAAGCAGGATTTCTTTCTCGGTGGCCCTTGTCCGGTGTCACCACCTGGCCTTCTATCATCTGTTGATGGAGACGCCCTCCGAAAGCCATTCGAGAACATTCACTTTGTGGGTACAGAAACGGCATTGGAGTGGAAGGGGTATATGGAAGGTGCTATTCGCTCTGGAGACAGAGGTGGTGCCGAGGTTATTGGGAAACTCCAGGCTAAGCACTAAGGTACCTCCTCTAGAAAGCAGTATGCGGAAATGCTTTTCTTCGCTGTTAGTCTTCATATTCCTAAGCGAGCTGAAATTTCATCAATACTGGTCTGATCAAAATGTATAATAAGCGGCGCGAGATGACGAACGCTGGAGTTGGTCAAAGATAGGTGCTAGGGATGTCTTTGCCCTAGTTTAATTTCCTAGCTACACCACTTGCGTCATAGGTCGTGTTATATTAGGATTTTAGTCTTGGATTTCGCGGACTCCACAAATTATGTACAGTACGGTTCTCCCATTGCCACACGCCACATTTATGTCCTTCAAGTTGAGTTCATTCTTCGAATGGGACACCTTTCAGTGGCTTTTATGAAACACCTCGCTAGAGAAACTCTGTACAGTCATTTCGCATTAAATTCTCACATGGAATTTTGTTAAATGGGAATGCCCAAGAGACAGATGGAAGGAAGAATCGGTAAGAGACTGAACGAGAAACCATTGGTAGCCCTGTTCATGCAACACCTAGATTCATCCCGTTGCGCCGCATGATGATCGCTAGACCATATGGCCCGAATACACGCCCACTAGGATCATTCCAGAGGTGCTCAAGAAGTGAAGCAGCCAGTAAGCAGTGCTGCATTTGAAATCTGTTAGACCGTAGTCCGGCCAGGAGTAGCTGTCGTTGTTCTGGCTGCAGCATACAGGAGCCGGCGATTAGCAAAGGGCCCAGGAAAATGGTCTCGTAGGGGGATCCAGCGGCTTGCTTTGCGTAGAATATGATGTTATCGAGGTAATTTTGGATCTTCGCTAACGTTTGAGTGTCGCTCAACGTATCTGGAACCATTGCTGTCTCAAGGTATAGAAAAGTAGCCTCGCGGCAGAAATTGAGGGCCATTTCCCGTTGAAACTGCAATTTACGATCAGGGATTGTAGATGCTGCAGGTTTCCATTCCGTTATTTGGACATGGAGTTCTTGGTACATCTCCAAGCTCGCTTGCGAGACTTTTTCTTCTGTGAGACGTCGGGCGGAAAGAATCGCTATGCTAGGAATAATTCTGAACAGCCCGTGGCTGTCGCCGAGCATGAAACCCCATGTATCGAAATGGCTCATTGTGCCGAGTATGTCGTCAAGGAATAAGTCCAGGGGTACGGTTCGGCAATCTAGCGAGCCGTAGGGGATGATATTGTTGCTGAGAATGAAATAGCGGTAAATTTCCAAGATAAATGCAAACAAGCGTCCGTTATCATTAATACTGGATGGAAGTGGACTGTCAGCCAACCGGAGAATGATTTGGCGGCTCGCGCGAAGGTGGTTGAACATCGCTCCTTGGTTGTCTCCAGACAGCGTCTAAACATTTCATTAGTGAGCCTGTTGTTGATGTGAAGTAATGAGTCCATAAAATTACCTCAAAGAATGAAAGCATAATAAGTGCCAATAACATTCGTAGTGCTCGGGGCACATCCAGGGTGGTGTGGTTGGATATACAGTCCCGAACCGTCCTTATCACAATGGAGTAGTGTCTGTACGTCGCCAGATACACTTCAATTCCAGAATTGGTGCACTTCATATGGGCACCACTAATTGCCAGCAATGAATGCATGAGCAAATCATCATTGCAGCAAAGCGGTACAAGTAAAGTCACCAAGGGATCGTTACTAGCTGAGGAAAAGGTAGACAGAATGTTAGCCGTTTTGGTTATGTAATGTGTAAAGAGAACACTTGATATCTCTGTGAGCGTGGAAGCCCTTGTTGGAGACATGAATGAGCTAGTGATAATTGACCATTGAGCCGACGGGTCGAGTTGATCTGAACTAGCTTTACAATCCTGTGAAGTGGCACGTGGTATCGAGTTGTGTGTCTTGCGAGTTAAATAAGTAGCCGGCCAGACACATTGCAAGCTGTTGCGTGCACATCCAATGCATTTTGGTTTCCTCTCATTACACTTTTTCTTGCGCCGACGGCATGTGAGGCAGCCTGCCAAGGAGCGGAAACGGTGTTGTTTCGTAGGAATTCCGCTCGTCTGGGCTGGCGTGGGCTCCAAGGCATTCGAAAATGGGGCCAGCATATTGCACACACCAAATACCACTAGGAGGCGGTAATAACGGCGAAAAGCTTGCTGATAACAAGCTGGTCTAGAACACGAGGTATGAAGCCAGGCGGAAGAGTTCGGCCACCATTGAAGTCTGGGTCGATCGGCCTGAGTAATAACGCACCCCTTATCTTATCAATTGCCGTGGCATTTCCAATTTTAGCACCCTGACGACGGACAGTGAATCAGAAGCACAAATATAGTCTCAATGAACCCCAAATACTGCATCCATAATACTATGAACAAGGGAGCCCCAGGGGTCTTCCGTCCTCTTAAATAGATATCAGACTCTTGTTGAAGTTGAAAACTGCTAGGGGGTGGATGGCTAATACAGGTATGAGTGCAAATAATGCAAACTCGATCCAAGGGGTAACCGTTCAAGTCAATCGCACCCCATTCAGCGGTGATACTCTATTCAGGATCCAGGCTAACTTTCTTTGGTCTGGACCGTCCCGCGGGTCAACCCATCAACAGCCCACGGACAAAGCGGCCCACAGGCTTGGGGAAGCCCGCCCAATCCATGCAGACAGGATTCAGTGATGTAGGTAGACCTATTCACCTCTGGCACCCGACTCCTGGAAGGTAGGAACAGCTCGAATCTCGGGTTCGATTTTGATTGCCTGAGTACCCTCAAATTTCTCCTCGACCTCCTGGCGTGCTTTTTGCAGCTTTGCTAGCTGGGCCTTAGCCTCGTTGGCAAACTTGGAGTGGGAGCGCAGTGATGAGCCGATCCTGAGAAAAATGAAGGGTAGGGGAGCAAAGGCCAAAGATAGGAAAGCAGGGATAGACGAGGCCCACTGCGTGCCCAGGTTTTTGTACATGTACGTGGTGAAGAGGGGGCTATTTGGGAGGAATAACTTTAGCTAAATGCATCAGAGTAAGAGCAGCAAAAGCAGAATATAGACACTCACAAGGCGAACCCGAATAAGGCACGAACAATGGAGTTGGTAGCCGCTGCTGTGGCGGCGAAGAGGCTATATGTATCAATGATGTAGTTGGTGATAGCTATGAAGACAAGGACGTTACCCAGCCCAAAGAAAATGGTACCCACCAAGCCGACAGCCCAATGAATGCTCTGGTAAGATGTCCAGGCAAACCAGAATAGACTAACAGGGAGCATGACGGCACCATATAAGGCCGGCTCAAGGCGCATCTCTGGATTCGACACAACGCCGGGACGGGCGATTTTCTTACGGTATTTGATTTCGAGAGCCATATAGAAAGGCACACCTAGGACCTGGCCTATCATGATACCGACAAAAGCCAGACCTGACTCGCTTTGACTCCAATGGCGCTGGTCAATGAAGATGATAGGGAAGGCGGCGAAGATGAGGTATAGGATACCGTAGATGATGGCTGCGTACAAGGCCATGGCTATCGAGATTGGTTCAAACACTGCCATGATCATGGGGCGCACGATGGCCGTTCTTAAAGTAGAGCTGAGAGTCTTTTGTGGAAGGCCAGCGTCAAGTTTGCTAATGTACGTCTTGCCTGTCTCCTTGCTCATTTTTGTGGCCCGACGTCGCAGAATATAAGGTCCGTAGGTCTCAGGCACAAATAAAAGGCCGAGAATGAACATTAGCGTGAAGAACAGCGTGCACAAAACATCTACCCAACGCCATCCGGCGCCAGCGGCGAGAAAGTTACCGCATATCGGACCGAGGGTAGGGCCGAGGAAGGGGAACATTGAGTAAGCCATGACGGCAAGTCCCCGTTCCGCCGGCACGAAGATGTCAGCGACCACTGCGGGTGAGTTGGAGACGGCCGCCGAGCTGAATGAGCCTACAAGAAAGCGAAGGACTAGCAGTGCGGCTATGTCCTGATCATTACAGGCAATGGATGTACCCGCAAACAGAATTGAGGCGCCCAAGGTGATGAGGTAGATGGCCTGGCGACCGTATAATTCTGATAACGGGCCCCATATGACAGGGCCAACAGCAAAGCCCAGCACAAAGAGCGACACAGTGAGAATGGAGACTTCGTCGGAAATTTGGAAGTAATCCTTGAGCTGGAGGATTGCACCGGAGAAGATGGTTGAGGCTAACGAGCAAGCCAGGGTGTTGAATGCACAAATCATGACGATGACCCATTTCATGCCCGGTGACATGTTGAAACCATTCTTGGGGTCATTGGGGAGCCAGTCCACCACATATGGATTCTCTGTCGTACCGCTACCAGGGTAGCTGTGATGACGGACTTTATAGGTGAGTAAAGTCTTGTCCACGACAATTCTAAAATGGCTGGGCGGAATTGGCAAATTTGCTGGTGGGTCGCTCAAGGGACTTGACATGCTCATGTTGTCTATGACCCAGGTGTGCTAGTGAGTCTTATTTGAAAGAACCAATAACAAATATATGTATAACAAAATCCTGCCTTCCAAAATTCAGAACTAACCTAGGCAAAAACTCTCAGTAGGTAATAGGAGAAGGTCCAAGGTCAAGATAGTCTTTGACACAAAATGACAAATTCCATGGATGGGATAAATTGAAGACACATTGGACCGAGAAGACGGATTTCCAATATATAGACAAATGTCGATGTATAGAAAGGCATAAACAATGATGCTATAGATGATGGAAATAGCGAACGGAGGTAACGAGCCCCAAAACTTATGAGCGGACTTTACTTTCTTTAACTCCATTACAAGCACTAGTCATCTGGGGGCTGGACAGGGATCATCCGGGAGCTATTCCCAATTTAAACATCTGACCCACCATATATTCTTTGCGGTTAGTCTCGCTGGGAACATCTAGGCTGTCTTTGACCTCATAGCTGCTTTCGAGAGGCTCTAGAAAAGTATGAAGCGGGGAATGCCTTTCCAGCCTGAGTATTATGCCGGGTTTGATTCGGATATAAGAGTCGATACATCTATATCAATTCCTTTCACTCGATAGCTCTCGTCCGAATAGCATTTAAGCATGGTAGAATTATTCTGCAATGTTCCCCAAGCATAGATCTAATGATTCAAATAATAGATTAAATTCTATATTATTCCGCTTTATGTGCTCGACAAGTAAATCCCCAACAACTATTAACAAATATGTACGTACTAAAACGGATATGCGATGTAAACCAAGGGTAATACCGGGGCGAAGAATTTCAAACCACAAGCTCAATCCCTCAAACTCCACAAACGACCGTAACTGCAAATTACACACTTCAACCTCCGAAGACGGTCCAACCCATTATACCGACCCAGCCTCCGACGAAAAGTACCGTTAAAATCCCTGCGCCGGCTCGATCGCCACTAGTGACTTTTGTGGTGGTTTTCACCGAGCTCGTATCGTTTTGACCAGCAGTAGTGTCGCTGGTACTGTTTCCACCCGTTGTCGAGGTAACAGGGGCAGCTTGGGTGAAAGCAATCAGATTGGCGACAAAAATATTGGTGGCGCTGATTTCCTCTTCCATGCCAATCCAGCCATCATAATTCGACTGATACCAGCGGACGCCGCAAGTATTGTTATTGTGGCCGGTACAAGATAGAGCGGCTGCTTTACCGGATGTTTGTAGCTTTGGCAGAATGGTATCATAGAGCGACGGGACAATCAACGCTGTAAAGGAGAGCCAAGAGGAGACAAGCCCCTTGAAAAGGATTTCGTTGTCGTTGCACGCCTCCGACGGTTCGCAGACGACTTCTTCTAAAATTCCGCCGTTGCTCTCTGGGGCGAAGTGGGTGAATGTTTTTGTCAATAAGCCGTTGACTGCTGCTTCCCATGTGGCCTGCTCCGTGCCGTTTGTCTATTTCGGGTTAAAACTAGTGTGAATGAATGCTGGATCCGACTTACGTAGTTGTACATATAGGCCGCACCCATGAGATACGTGCCGTAGTTATACGACCACTGTGTATTTCCCTGACTTGTACAACCGTCTTCCATCGCTGTCGAGTCGGCAACATTCCAAGTCGAGTTACTCAAGAGCGGAGTGGTTATTGACCAATCCCAGATCTTCCGAGCCCAATTGCCGTATAATTCGTTTCCTGTGTAGCGGTAAAGTCGTGCAGATAGTTGGAATAATCCACCATTGGCGATGGAGTTTTTCATCGTATAGCCAGACTCCCACCACCAAATCTGCCAGCGCAGTCCACCCGAGCAAGTTGTAGTATCCCAACGCTCGATCTGGGTGTTAAAGACACCCTGGGCAAGTGCAAGCCAAGAGTATCCAGTAGAAGAATCAGCAAATTTGAGCTCAGCGGCTGTGATAGCTGCAAGACCCCAGAACATTTGATCGTCATTTCCCTTGAGTAATGATCAGCAAATCAGAAGTCGAATCGATGGACTGGTAGACCTCTTACTAGGTAGCTACTATAGTTTGTGGGCATATAGTCTCCATCACCGGCTTGCCATTCTAATCCGACGCGCAACTCATCATTATAGGTGGTGTCACCCGTGAAATGCCAGTATTGGAGCAGGGCCAAGAAAAGTGCAGCTCCCTCCCACCATTTACTCGCAAAAGCACCAGGAATATGGCCTGTCTCGTTGCCTTTGTAGTAAGTCATCATGGCATAGGCGCTGGTACTAGCGGCATCTTTGATGGATTCTGTAGACCGAGTCAGTAAAAAGTTCTCTCGAATACTAACTAACGCATGCGGATCCTGCGGATAGCAGGCGCTTTCACATACGTTCATCGCTGATGTCCAAAGTAATCGCTTCTACTCTATTGGAAAGGAGTAGCGTGACTAACGCGCCCTTCCACGAAAGCCAGTCCCCCAGAAAACGCATCGCGAAAGCGAACAGTCAGCCTCCAGAAGCAGAGCTGAGCTGTTTGGTATACAGTGCACGGTGATTATCATGTAAAACGGCGTGAACCTTGGCACGATTGATCGTAGGAGCCAAGAGCGATCATTGATCACAGAACCTCGAAAAAAAACCTCCCTTAAATGCAGGACCTGAAATCGGGCCGCCGGGAAAAGGGTAATTAATTATAGCAGCGCTAATACATAACTGTCTAAGTGGAACCCACTATTTGGTTTAGGAGGCTACAGCATTAGAGGTCGCTTTTTTGGTCTAGTGGCATTTCTGATAGAAAGCGCGGCGCTAGCGTCGTCACTTTATGAACAGTGGAAATTCGCCGGACCTACACAAGCGAGGAAGCGGTCCAATGGTTGATGGCGATTGAGGTTTTGTGTGTGAATGGGCGGGAGAATGCATTAACGAGGGAAATAAGCTACTCCACTATGAGACGTGAGCCCCATCCAGCATTATTATTGTTAGAGTTTATCAACGCGAAAAAGGAGAGAGCACCAGAGCAATGAAAAAGCAATTAAGTCGTAAAAGAGACGAACGGACTCGTTTAAGGAGAAAAGGAGTAGAAAGTAAGCTTTCCACTTAGGGACCCACTCACGTGACGGGAACCGGATCGATCCGAGTCAAGGGCATGGGATACCCAGACCCTATGGAGACCCCTTTTGTGAGACCCCTGTCCCTGAATGAGAGCGCATTTTGGCTCGGCCACAATTGAGACCCCCTCAATGCTCTGTGATAGTATTGCAATTTGATGCTTCTGTGAATGAGCCAGCGCCGGTATTCCAGATAAGTAGACACATGCCTGTTAGGCTTTGCAGGATCAATGTTCTAGGCGCCGTAGACCATGCAAAGGCCTGATACCGCAGCTATTTTTACGTTTTATTCCCAAGCGTACTGAAATACGGAAATACTGAAATACTGAAACACTGCTTACAGTAGAAAGGGGCTCAGGGGAAGGCTAACTATAATAGGCATAGCGTGCTTTGAGGGATCAAAGGATGTCAGGGTGTGACTAAGGATGGAATTGATCTCGATCTATGTTGAATTACTCTCTGCTTAGGATTATGTATATACTTCAAGAATTCAATTTGATATGGCAGACAGTCTGGGAAGTTAAGTACTTTTCGTTATCTCTTCATTTTCTGGAAGGAAAATTGTCGATATGCCCAGGTGTCCTACTTGACTGTAGAAACACGCAAAATTTTTCAACTGAACTCAGCTGAAAGGTGAGGTCTGAATTTTCGTGATGCGTGAGACATAATTAGAAGCTACATGAACTTATCACAAATTCCTGTTTCGATTCCAAGGTTGAGTAAAGTATACTGCGGAGCAGAATCATACGATTATTCTATTGCTATGGTAATATGTGCAGCCAAACCATTAGAGTTCAAGCGAGCCCCCAGAGGACACAGAAATATGGAAATTGAGCATACATTAGATGGATCATAATCCACAAGCCTCCAAGCCACCGGAAATCCCCCAGTGCCAATTCCACGCCAATGTGGGGAAACACAAAGAGGGGTAGGTGCATACGTATTTGCCGAACTGGTCCTCAGGTCTACAGACTACCTCATATAACACCAAGTACTAAAAAACCTTACCATTCCGAGGAAAGCACATTCGAATGTGAAAACAAAACCCGCGGAGCTCCATGTCTCAAGTACGCAGCGTAATCGTCACAGGTAGGATACATATACACGATCCCAATTCCGCCAGAGTACTCAATTATTGAACCAATATCTAGGAGGGGCGTCAGGAATAGGACTGGGAATAACCAGACACTTCATACAAGATGCAAGTACACATATAACGATCCTAGATATCAACCCCCAAACCGGTGCACAAACAGTCGACCAACTTCGAAAAGAGTTTCCATCTGCAGAGATATCATTCGAAGAATGTGATGTCTCGTCGTGGGAGAGTCAGGCGGCTGTTTTTGAAAAGGTTTTCGCTCAGCAGGGACGGATCGACTTCGTCTTTGCAAATGCTGGAATCACGGAGAAGGGTAGTCTGTTGCCGCAAAACGAAGCAGAAAATGGACCTCTGAAGCCAGACCTGGCGACTTTAAATGTGAATCTTGTTGGTGTTATCTATTGTGAGTGATCAGATCATGCGAGTATGTATGTATGTTTGAGGGACTGGAGGCTAATGACTAGAATTGCAGCGGTGCAACTTGCCATTCACTATATGTCTAAGAATGCATCCGGACATGGACAGGGCTCGAATGGACTTATTTGTTGCACTGCGTCGAATGCCGGCTTATATCCTTTTCCTATGGCGCCTATGTATGCAACTACAAAGCATGGTGTTGTTGGATTGGTACGTTCGCTAGCTCGAACATTGATCCCTAAAGGCATCCGTATTAATGCTTTGGCTCCTGCTGTCATTGGTGAGTTGTTCTCTCTCTTGTTTCTCTTCCTTTTTATTTTCAGTTAATCAGAAATTTTGATCTTTGCAGAAACAAACATTGCCCCCCATTCGGACTTGTTCAGATCTATGGTTATCACACCCATGTCTACTGTATGCAAAGCCGTGGCACAGTTTGGAAATGATGAAACCTTGACAGGGAAGGTTGCCGAGCTACATGGGGAGCATGTTACTTTCGCGGAACCACCGGCGTATGTAGATGAGGACACTGGGAAGAATATTGAGACGTTTTGGAATCTTGGGTATGCTTGAGGTTTTGTTAGGATTAGGTTGATAGAGTAAGTACAATGTGTAGGACAATAGACTCATTTGGAAAGCGATTTTGCATGGTTTAATTTGGCTTTTAGATGCATAAGATCATGGACATAAGCAACTGCCAGTAGTGAAATATTCATCGGTAGATATAGGGGAAACGTAGGATATTTCCTATCCTCAAGTGAAATGTACCCATCCAGGATACCAAAGTCCCAAACCAACGCCTCCTCTAAGCCTTAGTCATTACCACCCGAGCGCCGGATATGGTAGAAGCATTGAATACACAGACGAAAAGTGATCTCAGGAAGAAAGGAGCATCACTGGAATTTTGTTATGTATAACCGGCCAGCCAATAAAAAAGTTTACTCTTTCTCATCCTGTAACAAAACCTTTAACTTCTCCAGCTTATCTTCGCAGCTGACCTCCATTTGCATAAGGACATCGACAGCATCCTTCTTGGTAACGAGGAGATGTGAGACAAGCCAGAAATTGTAGCTGTTTTTGTAGAAACCCATAGAAGCCCACTCGTCATTCGAGGTTGAACTGCGCAATGCAAACCAATAATCACGCCAGCGATTCAGGGCCGTCATAATAGAGGATAGAAGCGAGTCTTCAGGGATTATGCTTTTGCCATTGGAAGAATTTTGTTGCAGCTGTATGACTTCGCCGTGGCGTCCTAAAAATCCAACAAGCATCATGTGGGTATTTATAAAGGCGAATATAACTGAAAATGCGATTAGTATAGCTTCATCCAAACAGAATGACGTTTGCATACCATGAATAAGCATAAACATATCAAAAACAGTCAGATCCATCGGGTTTGAGTTGGGGATATGCCCGGGAGAATCTTCCGGCCGAGCAAATAAATTTTGGAATCCTTCGTATAATGTGAGATTGCGAGAAAGACGAAACTTTGGTTCTGCGAATGGGTGCTCTGCTTGGAAGATAGATTGTTCACAAGGGAAGTCGTTTTCCATTTCGGAAGTTGTAAGACGGTAAGGGTAGTTTTGATAGAAGTAAAATGCACAGTCCATTAATGAGATGATGGAAATAGTCCTGCTTATTATTAGGAAGCGTTTTTGCATCTGATTTCTGATACTCACCGAATGCGGCATTCTGTCTGAATCCAAAGTTTTTCATTTGATCGTTCGTGCGGCATATGACGGCACTTTATGAGACGAAGACGTCGGGCCAACTTGATCATTGTCAGTATTGCATGTTCTCCGATGTTGGGATTGAACTCACTTTCACAACTTCGCTAAAGCGATTCTCCATGGCGCGGGCTCGAGCCGTTTGATTTCCCGCCCAATATTGGGCCGCAACCATGATAAATCCGGCTTGGAAGTTTTGAAACTTAATCCAATCATCTCCCTCATCGACAGTATTCCGGTTTCCAAGAAATATACTCGCAATCTCGCTTTCGGCCGAGTAGACTTGACTGGAATAAACAAACATCTCGGCGAAATCAAGGACTCGTTTGGCCATAAAAACCTCCCTTTGGTCGGTGCTATACATAGCCCCCATGAAAACAACCGCAGCCAAGAGCGGCAAAGACACCGTCTCAGGGTCAAAGGATGGCAAGTGAATCATAGGGCAGCTGGGTTGCCAAAACTTGAAGTATAATGCAGCGAATTTCCTTATGCGCGCGGTTGTCAATAGGAAATTGAGATTGGTCGATATCTCTTCTTGACCTTTGCTATCCAACGGTGCGGTCCATGCTCGAGCTAAGATCGATTGAACCAGGGCCATTGCAAATGGGCGCTCTGACTCAAAGACAGCTTGATCAGATATCATGGTCGAGTGAGGTTCTTGTACGGGCGGAAGCACTGTCGGAAGGGCATGCGCAGTGTATGGGTCCTCGAGTGGCTTCTGTTCACCGAACGAGGTGTTGAAGAAATCGAGGAATGAATTTGGGAAATATTGCATCGTAGCCGGGTCGGGGTCCACCATGCTCGGGGTATAGGCTGATCTGTTGCCTGACACATCATATGGAAAAACTCCAGCGGTATCCTGCTGGAGCTCCTGGTCTTTGAAAATGAGGTTACGAGCTCGGTCATTGCGTGGAGGAAGGCGGAAGTGCTCCGTGAAGCTGTCAAGCCCCCCATTCAGGAGGAACTTGATGGACCCGCGGTCGGATTGTTCGGCATACTCGGTTCTGGTAGTGGACGATTCTGCATGTTATAAGCTAATCAGTTCAAATTGAGATATCTCATATCATACCTTCTTCTAGACCAGGATGTTGCGGTCGGCCGATTCGTTCATTGTTGCAGTCAAGGTTCCGTTTCACGCAGGCCCCGCAGGGACTTTGACCATCGCATCGTAGTTTCATGGAGGTACACTAGATGTGACAGAGAATTAGTAAGCCATGTAGGTCCTTTGCGCGCAATGAGTACTTACCGAAAGACATGCATGGCGCCGGCGACCCCTCTGGCCAGTCTCGGGGATTTTGCGATCTCCTCGCTGGGCGCACTCCGCATAGTGATCGCGAAGGTTATCACTAGAGAATGAAGGCATGAGATGAGAGAATTGTGTGGTAGATTCTCGCGCACGTACCATCGGGCAAACGCCTCATTACAGAATACGCAGGCGTATGGCTTCTGGCCGGAATCTGCGCAGGCATAAGCATAAGCGAACTGTTCAGGATACAGGAAACAGTCCATACGTCTCAAATGGTGTCTTTTCAAGTGATCAATGCGTGTGAAGCCCCGCTGACAGATCGTGCAGCGAAAGTGCTTCTCGGCGGGCTTCATGGCTGTCCATCGGGGAGGAGATCTGGGGTAATAATAAGAGAGAGTGATCGAGTCTGGGGAGGAAAAGGTGCAGATCTGTCTGGTATTGGTATTATAGGCTGAAGTACCTCATTCGCCAGTCTGATGCTGCGCGTGTACGTGACATTGATACAACGGGCTGTATGGTACGGTAATATGTATGATATCATCGTTAACTAATCCACCAGCTGCGACGTTAGACTCATAGCTTATTCACTGTTATGATTTCTAACTTGACCAGTGAACCACCCCTTCCCTCTGTAAAGCTGACATCAAGTGGGAAGGTACGACCCATTGGTTTGTTTTAGCAAGGCACGACATCTCCAAACAAAGAAAGCGCGATTTCGAGTATTACCCCTCTTCGTCGTATTTCAATCATTCTTTGCTTACCGTTCTCGCTTCAAAAAGATAAAAGAATGACTAACAAAAGACAACAAGCCGTATTATTTCTCTTTACCTTGATTTAGATACAGGATTGATAGACTCAGCTCCACGATGGTGGATTTTCGACACATTTGGTTATCCTACTCCGTCACTCGAGGGAACCCTATTGGTGCACCTTCGGCCGATCATTCTAAGTTTGGGCATTGCTAAGCGATTTCGCATAATTGGTTCCTGTGCTTTGGGCTCGGAAAAGTATATACATTGCTTCGATATAATCTATTTCCACCTCAAGCCCAAACTTAAGGTGGCAACTTGAGCTTTACTCCGAAGCGAAATGGCCCCCAGCCGGCCTCGTTGAGCCTTCCTTATCAAGTCCGATGTCGGACTCGATAGATAACCAAGAATTGTTCTCCCCATAAACTGTAGATTGCGGACTAGGATATAAAACCGTTTAAGTGATTTTAGTGAAAAGAACGAGAGAAAAAGTATGCGCTAGATGTAAGAGGACAGGCGGGTGTTAAGCCACCACTCAAGATATCCAGGGCGAGGCAAAGCTATTCATACGGGCAAATATGAGTGTATCTAGAAAAGTGTATACCCGAAGGGAATTGCGATCATATTGAGTTCAATCTCGTTATACACAATCCAACAATCGTTTATGTAACACTTACTCCGTTCCATTCTGTACGACCGGACGGGGAAAGTCGATCTGGTCATCATCCAAATAATCAACATTGATCCTCTTGTACTTTTCATTTTCAGTCCACCCATCACCAATCCAGCCCATCGGGTTATCATTAAGATATTCGTACTCAAAGTCCTCCCAACGAGGATTGGAAAATACCTTCATGGAGTGAATTGATGAGCCTAACATGGCATAATTAGCAACTCATTCCCCAAACTTGCAAGACAGAAGAAAAAAAAGGAATACTCACCCGGCCAAACACCCGTCACACGTCCATCTTCCTTTCCTCCCTTATACCAACTGCGGCATTCACTACTATAGACAGTGTTCTTGAAATACTCATCACAATACCGAGTAAAACGCTTAACAGATTTAGGTTTCACACTCATAGTCCGGATGTTGTCTCGCTGAATCTTGCGTAAGCACTCAGCGAAATATTCGATCTCCCTCTCAAACAGCATAAGAAGGTTTCCTTCACCCAGTCCTGAGTTGGGCCCGAAACAAATGAAATAGTTCGGGAACCCGTCGGTCGCGATCGAGAGGTACGTTTCGGGTGATTCCTTCCACCGTTCGGCAAGGGACAATCCATTGATTCCCGTGATAGGAAATCGGGGTGTGTAGCTGGTATCAAACCCCGTTGCACAGACAATCATGTCGACGGGTCGGTGCTGGCCATCTGCGGTGAGAATACCGGTCTCGTCGACCTTGACAATTTCGGATTTGATGACGTCCACCTTTGGGTCTGTTAATGCCTCGAGGTAGCCAGGGCCGGGGGTTAGACGACGGCAGGTTGGTGGAAAAGATGGTAAGAGTTCATCTAATAGCTCGGGCTTGTTTTTTAGGCGTCGCTTCATATTCTCGGTGAAGAATGGGATTGCACCCAGTTGCATGGGTGTGCCGTTAAGCGTGGCTTCGTGGGCGGACTGCATTTGGAGTTCAACCTCTATATATTTTGTTAGATTAAGCAGCTTTAGATGAATTATGGGTCTTGCCTTTGCGGAATTTGATAAAGGCTGCAGGATCATTCTTGAAAGTCTCAAGCTCCTCGGGGGAAAACGAGTCTAAATAAGATTAGAGGATGGTTAGAGCATTATATTATAGATAGGATTTGTAGACTCACAGTTATCAGCGCCAATGCCATGCTTATTAAGTACATCTTCAGCAAATGGCGGACATATCCAAGTGCGACTGCGTATGTAGTGATCGATATGTGCTACCTTTGGCAAGGTTCCGGGCACGACCTGGATGCCACTCGAACCATTTCCAATGACGGCAATGTTTTGGCCCTATTCATCAGTCAGAAGGTATGCTATAGAAAGGGCCAAGTATACATACCGTATAATCATACTCTGTATCCCAATCGGCGCTATGCATTATTTTGCCCTTAAAGTCATGAAGGCCCGGGATGCTCGGCCATTTCCAGTTGTTCAAGCAGCCGGTTGCCTGCACCAAAACATCGCATTGATCTTGGTACTTTGAGCTGCTCTCAACATCTTCGACCTAGGATGATTTGTTAAACCTTGTTCAATTCCAATGGGTGATCTTCGCTCACCTCCAACCGCCACTTAGCATCATTCTCATCCCAGCTTGCTCCCAGTACCCGTTGTTTCAATTTCATGTACCTCCGACAGCCATATTTATGCACGACATGCTTCCAATACTGATGAATCTCTGGAGCAGGTGCGTAAAATGCGGACCACTCTTTGTTGGGCTCGAAGCTTGCTTGGTAGGTGTGGGAGGGGATATCTGCAGGATCAACAATTAACACAAGGTCCCAGAGGATTATTAAATCAAAGCAAGAGTGCCCATATTTTACAACGTACCACATGCACAGCCAGGGTATTTATTCTCAAACCAAGTGCCCCCAATATCGGCGTTCTTATCGTAAATACACAGGTCAATGTTAGGAACTCGCTGGACAAATCGAATACAGGACAAGATGCCGTTAATTCCAGCTCCAATCACAACAACTCTTAGAGGTCGCGCTTCATCCACCGAGCGGTTCTGAATAACAACTGCGGGGTGGTCTGCCTGCACAGGAACGACCGTCGGGCTATTGAAGACTCGAGAGCGTGACATGACGATATGGTGAGGAAGGAAAAAGATCCGTATAGATTCAGGCAAAGTAAATTGTCGAAGATTGCCACGACCGGGGGGTTATTTCCTCTTCTTAAGCTTCTGAATTAATCATGATGGTGGGAAAACTGCTGGCTCCGAGATCCGCAGTCAATCCTCCCAACTACGGAGTAAGGTTTCATGGAATCCAAAGAATTCCGGTCCTCGAATGCTAAAAATGGGTCCAACGGCAGATTTCTAGCGGAATGCAGTCCAGCGGACCATCCTTGAGCGGAATTTAGTTCATTGCCACTTTTCCCAATGGACGGGTCCTCAAAACCCCTCAAATTCCTTTCTACTGGAGAAACCCCACGGAGATCCACACCCACCGCTCAAATTACTGTTTGTTGCGGAGATTAACACCCATAATTCTAAGATCATCAGTGACAATGTCGTAGCACATCGGATAAAGACTGCGCCGCTTAATATGACTGGCTAGCCCGGAAATCCCCCGGTTCACAACCCCACGCGGCTGAGATTGTGGGGTCGCTTCTTCCTTTTGGACAAGGTTAAGACAGGGCATGTATCAATAACCGATTTCTCGGAACCGTTTCAGGCCCCAGTCTCCACTTAGTTTTTTCCGCTTGAGGCATGGTTTGATGCATAGTTTGCTAGTTCAACGCGCCTCAGCTAAGGCCCCTCGTATTGTCATTGAATGGCTGCACAGCACTCATTTGTGTTGCATTTGAGCCTTAAGCACGCAACTACAGGTGCGGAATGGGAAATTTTGGGGGCTTGGATGCGCAACATATGATCAAACGTGAGTGTTTAGAAGAATGATCGAATGTCCAGTGGCATGACCCCAGTACTGCATCTGACATTGCATGCACTAATGCTCGCGCGATCCAGAAGCGTCATGGACTTTTTGTACTGGTTGACAGTTTCGTCGACTCTCCACTGTCAATTCTAGTTGGGAATCATATATCAAGGCGTCCAGTGGCCCTGCAATTCACCATTGAGGCTCTCAAAATTCCCATGCCTTGATTGGTAACGGACCTCGTTAGTTCTGGGACTATGCGTGTATGAAACTAGTGGCAGGTCAGTCTGCCATGTTTGAATGTAGTCAGTTGAGGGGCGAGTGCACTTCAATTTACCACTTAAATATAATGCTATCCTCAAAGATTCCAAGGCCCCCAACCAGATTGCCGTCTAGTAGGAAGACTACACATACATCATTCAACCATTAATCCACATTGCCTCGTGACTGCCACATGTGTGCGGTCCGAACAATACACTTCTTCCTCCTTCGGGGTCACAGCTTACAACATGATCAATGAGCTACCCATGATGGAGATATAATTTGTTTTCCAACAGGATTGGGCACTTATGTTTCAATTGAATGCGTCTCAAGAGCGTGCCGGTTTACCCATGACGTCATCTGCTCAGAAACGATCGCAAACACAACCATGGTGACACCCCCTGTGGACGTGCATGCACGAGATCCATATCTCCGCAATTCTATTTCCGAGATACTATGGACTGGTTTGTATATCCGAACCTTGGTCCAAATTTCGGCAATTCCTAGTTCCCCCACAAACGCCATGACTGTTGATTACTTGAATCTCACCAATCCACAGTAATGGATCGCCCGCTAGTTCTGACTGGCTAACGTGTAATGCTAGATCCACCCGACCCGTTAGCTAGAACGAGTTATCGTTCATCGCGCATTTACCTTTCCCCTCGATTCCCCGCTATTCAACAATTGTTGCCCGCAACACGTCTACGTCGCGTTCTCAATGGATCCAGATCAATGCTCCATTGACGCCACGGAATATCGACATAAATTCTCACCCTGACTTCGGCAATCCTGAACCGGAATCGCGTACTCTTCACATATCCAAGCAACGATCTCAGAGCTTACCAGCGCGGGTTCACTCCCGACTCACCATGCCCGTCTTTACCGAATTTTCCGCGGCCTCGCGCGAACTCCGCGTTCTGCCTTCTTTTGCACCTCCACTGCCACGCCTAGCTCCCTCCGTTTGCCTGGACAGCAAGACCGAAAAGTATGAGGTTGTGATTGTAGGAGCTGGTCCAGCAGGACTGATGCTGGACCTCCTTCTCGCGCGATATGGACTCACCGACGACTCCCTTCTGTGCGTTGACTCCAAGCCAACAACACTTAAGTCTGGACAAGCCGACGGCCTTCAGCCACGCACCCTCGAGACATTGAAATCACTAGGGCTAGCAGACGAAATCCTGACTGAGGGTTGTCAGATGTGGCAGGTAAGAATACCTTTTTATACCCTGCTTGACGGATCCCGTTCTGACAAGTAGCACAGGTGGCCTTTTGGAACCCATCTGCCGATAAAGAAAAGATCATCGAACGCACCTCCATCGTGCCCGATGTCGCCGTTCCAGCCCGCTTCCCGCACGAAGTCACAATCCACCAAGGTCGAATTGAGCGCATTCTGGAAACGGATCTGCTCCGGTACTCAAAGCGAGGTGTTCAGCGAAACACAAAACTTGTCGACGTGAAGATTGACGAGGAGGGCGACCCCGAATACCCTGTTTTAGCGGAGATCGAAACAGAGGGCCAGCGTCGCACCGTGCGCTCAAAGTACCTGGTCGGTGCCGATGGAGCGCATTCAATGGTCCGTCGTTGTATGGGACTTACACTCGAGGGCGAATCACTTGATCATATCTGGGGTGTGGTGGATCTGATTGTGGACACTGATTTCCCGGATATCAGACGCCGTTGTGCTATTCACTCTCCTGCGGGGTCCGTGATGGTTATTCCGCGTGAGCGTATCGCGACTGGTGATTACTTGACGCGTTTATATGTCCAAGTCCCCGGGGATGTGGACCCAGATAATGAGCAACAGCCGGAAGATACCAGAGCGCGACGGAGCAAAGTGACTGAGAAGACTATCTTTGATAATGCGGCTAAGGCGTTTAAGCCGTATTACATTCGACCGAAGACGGATGGTGCCGTTGACTGGTGGGCAGCTTACCAAATTGGACAGCGAGTTACTGATAACTTTTCGGTCAAAGATTCGAAGGGTGTCAATCGAGTATTTATTGCTGGAGATGGTATGTGCTTGCAATGCATGAGCGATATTCGTGTGCTAATATCAATTTCTTAGCTTGCCATACACACAGCCCGAAGGTAAGCAAAACAAAACTTATTCCCATCCCCACCCATTTTTTGTTTCTTTTTTCTTATAGATCTCTGACAAACTTTGTTCTACAGGCTGGTCAGGGGATGAACGTTTCCATGATGGACTCATACAATCTTGCATGGAAACTCGCATATTCTATACATGGCCTCACCCCCGCATCTGTCGATGGACAGCCAGACCCTATTCTCGACACATACCAAGCCGAGCGTCACACAATCGCCCAGGAATTGATTGAGTTTGACCGCGCCTTCTCTTCTATGTTCTCGGGGCAGATTGGGGCATCAGAGGACGGCGTCGGAGGGCTGACCCATGAAGAGTTCCTCGAAGTGTTCAGTCGCGGCAATGGATTCACCAGCGGATGTGGGATTGAATATCCTGAAAACATGGCTGTAGTCCGGGATTTGAACGGTGGTAGAAACCCAATCAGTGGCACTGACTACCTGTCCGGACTCCTGCGCCCAGGCAGAAGGCTGCTGAATGTGCGCCTCGTTAGACATGCCGATGGATACCGCCGTGATCTACATGATGGTGAGTCTAATCCCAAAATATGATTTCACTGTTATCTCTGACTGTTATTAGATTTCAACTCGATTGGTCGGTTCCGTATATTGTGTCTGACATCTTCGGACCTGCTTAACCCCCAGGGTACTTCTGCTCGTTCGCTCGCCGCTCTTGGTGCTATCATTCCTCAGTTCCCACAGTCGGTGCTTGAGCAGGTTGTCGTTCACCCGAAGCTTGAAAGAGACTTCATGTGGAATGATATCCCAAGGGAATTGAAGCAGTATTCTGAGATGTCATTCTATAGTGGATATGAGCTGGATGATGTTTACAGCTCCTTTGGTGTTGATCCGGCTCAAGGTACGCTGGCTATTGTTCGGCCGGATGGATATATTGGTATTGTTGCAGAATTGGGCGATGTCAAGCGTGTAGAGCAGTACCTGAAGACATTGATTCGCACAATTTGAATATTGCCATCTAGTAGGGCGATATAATTGCACCTACAAGGTGTTCAGTCCTACGATATACGTTTATACTTATTGAAGCTACATTTGAAGCATTCATGTTTATGATTACCTCCCTGTAGGTATACTGAAAGTCATTGGAATGATAACATTGTCACTTTAGGTGTCTAGATTGTGACAAGGCTAAAACTACTCATCTGTATTTTTTTGTGGAAATCAGCGAGACCACACGTTCTTTAACACCTGGGATTTCCGATATAATAATAGCATTCTGTCTGATCATCAGCTGCGGTTTCATGCCAAATTGGTTATTTTGGTGATATTCAGTCTCTCTAGCACAAACTTTGGAACGAAGTTTGACTTGGATGTAAGATTGCCCGTGTGGATACTTTTTTGAATTTGTGAGGCCATGATACGCTTGGATGAGATATGCTATCTTGATTGAACTGCTTGCTAGTCAGGTCATTCTCTTACCAAATACGAGACCTCGGGACGAGCTTATGCGGGCAAAAGTTCCTCCGCCCCAGGATACTCCTTTCCCCGGGAAATCCCATTGTCTCATGTTTTGGAACTAAGGATAGGGAATCGGAAGAAATAATACTCTAACTGTCCCCTAAAATGGCTCCGGTAATTTCGGCGCAGAGACTTGAAACAGTCCGGCGTGTCCAACGAATAATGTCCATAGGATATTCAGGCATGGGTGCATGGTAAGTAAAGCCCATAAATTAAAGAACGGAGATCGCTACCAGTTCAGACCGTTAATTGATTCTGCTCAGGTGTCTTTTCCTTCCATCAACAGTCATTGGCTTGTCCCTCACCCCACAATATGTCTCTTATGACCGCACGACATTACTTCTTATGCGTTGCTTTGGCGCGCAGGCCATGACTTGTGGTCTGCTTCTGGGGACGGCTACCATGACCAAGCGAAGCTTCACTGCTTTTGGTCTCGCCATGATCCCTTATCTTACATTCAATGCTTGGTTTGGTATTGGTCCTGGGCAAGGCATGTTTACGCCATTGTTATGGCTCGACTTTGTTGGGAACGTAACATTTGGCTTAGGTTCATTATACTGTGCTAGCCTTTTGACAGAGACCAAAAAGGACTGAAGAACTGCCAGACCTAGACATACTCCAGGATTGGCTTGGCAAATTGAATAATAATCTTGATCAATACATCCATTTCCGCCGACGGGAAGAGTACTGTGAAGAAGAGCGGTGGGTATTGAAGGGAGTGATGATTTGCATCCCTTTGCCCATGATCCGTGTGGCATACTCCTTGATCTTCATTATAACGGTAAATATGGCTCTCAATGCTATCAAGGGCAACTCTACTGCTTTTTTTATTTATGACTATGCTGCCTGGGGTGACTATCATCGGCGTTTGTACATATGTCATCGGCATAAAGATTTCACCGATACGCGAAGGCGTAAGGCAGTTTCCGCAAAGAGATCAGGAAAGTCAGCGAGACCCTTCTATAGAGGTGAACCTGCCCCTTTTTCGTTGGTAGGGCAGATAAGCAGCTTCCATCGTGATGCTGTGTATACATGTTTAGAGCAACGTTTACATAATAGTATTGCTAAAAAAAGGACTGCTAAACCTATGTATCTCACCTTATCATATCGGCTATAGCATTGAGTACAAACAAAATGAAATGCATGTCTCTGTCAGAGGCGGTCGATCTGACACGGTCGACTCGATGCGGAATTGATCCACGGTATTAAGGTTTGTGAGTCGGAAGGTCTGCTACTTAGTTCCGCTTGTTCTTCTAACCTGAATAGATAGTCAATCATAACTCTACCCGAAGAATAGATAATGGCATAATAGCTTCCACGTGGTTCAAGATGAATCGAAAACACTAGTTCTCAAGAGATAAAATATACATGCCCAGATAAAAGGCTGTGATGAATTTGGTGTTCCGGCTCAAAGGGAATGCAAATTTGTCAAAAGTGAAGATCAGATCTTAAGGATTATGTCCAATCTTCCAAGATTTTTGCTTTCATTCGTTGGCTCTGTTCAAAGACGCAACAGCGGCCGTCCTGATACGAGATACAGTTAAGCTTCCAAGCAGTCGTATGAGTTTGTTGAACTTGAGATTCAGATCATTCTAACCAAGGCATGAGTGATACATGTGGGGCCCAGAGAAAAAACCAAGGGTAGACTTCCGTGCCCCAGACTTTTCCCCGCGAACTAGGTACTTATGCGGGGTAAACTCACGGTGACGCCAAGCTAAAATATCTTCGCCGAGCTTTTTAGCCGTCGGCAATATATTTGAACGAATAGTAGAGGGTATATGGGGATCACGTTGTTTCTGAGGGACGGAAAGGTCCCGTTGCCTCCCCGAGGCTCATCTTTGCACCCTCTGGATAGCTGTGAATGTATCTTGGCCTAGGCTTTGCTATATTTCAAACCGCGGCATGTTTCCGTCTGACTTTACTTCCCATATTCTTCTCCCTCAGCAACTCTGGTGAGAACGAAACATTATTGACTTCCCTAGCCCAAAAAAAAGATGTCAGAGGATATCATCACCGAGAAGAACGATGTTAAGCATGCCGAGTTCGCAGAGCTCGATGAAATAGATCCAGCTGCAGAGAAGAAACTACTACGGAAGGTGGATCTTCACGTTGTTCCTGCTCTCTTCGTTCTGTTTTTGCTCGCCTTTCTCGACCGCGTCAACATCGGAAATGCCAAAATTTTTGGTCTCGAAGAAGAATTGCGAATGACTGGCTCACAGTATAGTATCGGACTGATGATTTTTTTCATACCGTGAATTACACCAATCAGCCACAGGGAATGTCGAACACTGACGCCCAGAATAGGTATATTCTTTTAGAGGTCCCAAGCAACATTATGATACGGAAGATTGCACCTTCAACTTGGCTCTGTGGTATCATGTTTCTCTGGGGTGGGTTCTTTTCAAACAGATAATCGAATGAAGTCTGATCACTGAATATCAGGGATCGCGACGATTGGCATGGGTTTAATTCGGAATTTTGGTGGCTTGATTGCCATGAGACTTCTACTGGGAGCCTTTGAAGCAGGACTTTTTCCAGGTAATGATGATACACATTATCTCCAAGTCATCATTCGCTGACTTCAAGTAGGATGTGTCTACCTTATATCAATGTACTACAAACGTCATGAGCTTCAATGGCGCATGAGTCTATTTTTCTCGGCTAGTATTCTCGCTGGCGCATTTGGCGGACTTTTGGCTTATCTCATCGCGAATCTGGATGGCAAAGGTGGCTATGCTGGTTGGCGCTGGATCTTCATTATTGAGGGTCTTTTGACAAGCGTGGTTGCCATCTCTCTCAAATACTTTGTTGTTGACTGGCCTGAGACTGCAAAGTTCTTGACTGAAGAAGAACGCGTTCTGCTCTCTCGGCGGCTGACCGCAGATGTCGCAACAGCCAAGATGGACCGTCTTGACCGTGCTGCGAACAAAAGAATATACGGCGACTGGAAGATATGGTGCGGGTGAGTCGACTTTGCCATTAATCTCCGAAAATTAGCAGCATCCCAATACGTCCCAAAAATACTGACCAGTAGTAGCACCTTGATGTACATGGGAGCATTGACAACAGGATATGCATCGTCATTCTTCCTTCCGACAATCATCAAAGAGCTTGGGTTTACTTCTACGGCTGCTCAAGTCCGCTCAATTCCGATATTTGTTGTTGCGGCTGTCCTATCTCTCACTGTAGGCTGGGTTGCAGACCGTGTTCGTCATCGATATGCCTTTATCATGCTCGGGGTAGCATTTGGTACGGTCGGCTACTCTATTTGTCTAGGCCAAAATGGTCTACCGATTGGAGTGAAGTATATGGCCTGCTTTTTTATCACCAGTGGTGGCTACATGGCACAGCCTGTCACTTTAGTGTGGCTATCAAACAATGTTGGAGGTCACTACAAGCGATCGATATCCTCGGCATTGCAGGTTGGCCTTGGGAACTGTGGAGGAATTATCGCGTCCAATGTCTTCATATCCAGTCAAGCACCTCTCTATCCAATCGGATACGGGGTAAGCTTGGGTATGCTTCTCATGACGAGTATCACAGCGACGGCTTTCTTGTTTGGCTTGATTCACGAGAACAAAATGAGGGATCAAGGCAAAAGAGACTGGAGACTGAGAGAACCAGATCGAGAGATTGAGAATATGGGGGATGATCATCCGCATTTCAGATTCACGATGTAATTCAACTTTCTGGAAGCAAGAATATCCAGTCTACGTAGGAGAAACATGATGCGGGAAAGATGTTAAAGGGAAGATTGGACAGTCGAGCCGGGCGGTAGTACGGATCAAGATCTCAGCGCAGGGATTATGATTACCTAATGTCCATCAACTTGACAAAGCCATGTGACTATTAGAGCAGGCTCCGTCGCCTGAGTGCTGTTAACTGGGAAGAGATTGTGGGGTCACCTGTACGAAGGTGGATCTGGCAAGTATCTATATCCTTTGAGTGACAGGAAAAGAAATCCGCCGGCCTTATTTCGCAGCAAGGCCTCACACGTGAAGATGTAAAGCTTTGCAGCCACACTCTGACTTTCAACAAACTCTAGACCTTATTTGTCCGAAATACAACGCTTTTTAAACATAATTTACATCAATATTATAAGGTGAACCCTTTCAAAACAAGAGGAACGGCGGAAAATTTGCAGAGAGATTGTATGGTTGCCAGATGAATCATTTTGGGGCACGAGTTCTAAAGGGAAAATTACCATCTGGCAGATAATGTGTCTTAAATTAGATCTTCCTTGCCCCATGTTTCTGAATTATCAAAGAGAAAATTGCTCCAGGGCAGATTATAGTGGTCGATGATTGGTAGAAGGGAACAAACCACACCCGGGTTCTTTGAATGTCTCAGAGCTCACTCGCCTCGAGGCGCATTGTTGCACATCATGCGAAGTTTCAATATTGAGCCAATAGAAAAATCACCACTGTCATAAGTAGCCACGTTGGTGACTGCCAATTTGTGAAACCTACTCGTCAAAGAATTCGAGTCAAGCCTTGGCAAAAAGTGAACAAACCTGACACCAGCGTAACAAAGGGCTTTGGTGGAAACCGGTTAAGCAACTCGAGAATCTTCGAAACTTGTTTCAAGTGGCAGAATATAAGATGAACTTTTGCTAGTATACACATGAAGAGATCGTCAGTGTATTTATTTCGGATACGCGAATGAGAAGCGGAAGATTAAGAACCATGGCATGTCAGATGGCTCCTAGAGTAACACTGGAAGTGATTCCTTCAGTTGAGTCGACCAAATCTACCTATTCGTAACAAGGCCCCCTTGCTATGCCACAATAAGTTAAATAGAAAAAGAAAAAGAACACAGAAGACAAAGGCCGATTTTTAATCTGCGTAATTCAAGTCTCACGAATGGACATGTGCTGCCTTTGATGATTCATAAATCTATTCCTCTCTTCTTCTTCAATTTACTCCACATTAACACTTGCAAACTTCTGTATAGTCAGCAAGAAGCCGAAATGCGGGTCCCAAACCGGTTCTTGCGACCACTATCGGGATCGCTGATTGCGAAAACATGGGTAGCCGCACTAGGAGTAATAGTTCACGATGGAGCTGAGGGCAGAAGCGAATCTACCACGGATGCCGACCCAGGCATCATGCTTGCAGTTTCTGCCGCGACTTCAACTATTTCAAGTGAGACTTCTTCTACAACAACCACTGTCTCCTCTTCCGATTCATATACAACAACGAGCACCTCCACAACTACCACATCTACCGGAATCACCACTCACACGATTCAAGTGGGACCAAAAGTCAGCCCCCACGCCTATGTTCCGCAAAACATCACGGCGAACCCGGGTGATATTCTGGTGTTTGAATTTTATCCTACAAATCACTCTGTCGCCAAAGCAGATTACCTTGCACCCTGTGTCCCAGCGAGCTCTGGTGAATTTTGGTCTGGAGAGTTTAACACTTTCACCGAGTCTAATGGTGAACTTGTTGGTCCAGTAAGTCAAGGATGTGGAATATATGATTGCCTTGTGGTCGATTAACATCTCTCCCGCCAGGCTCCCACCTGGTCCATTACCGTCAACGACACAGAAGTATGCCTCCCTCGTTCTCAGAAATACAACCCAGCACTAACAGGTGATAAATCTAGCCTACATTTTTCTATTGCACTGCAATAGGATCATGCAAAGACAATGGAATGGTTGGCGTCATAAACCCAGTATGTATGGCCTGGTAACGGATCAGAACCGATATCTAATAGTCCACTCCAGAATTTAAGCCATACTTGGGAAACACAGTACAAACGAGCACTCACATACCCTTACATGTTACTCCCTGGCCAACCTATGCCTGCCGAATCATCTGACTCGGGCTCAAGCTTCAGCTCATCTTCTAGCGATTCCACTGAGCACGGTCTCAGCACAGGCGCAATCGCCGGAATAGCAGTGGCATGCATAGCCTTCGTCGGGATCTTAATTGCATTATTCTGGACTCTGGGTCGCAACCGCATTTATCAAAAATGGAGGTCCTCAGAGGTCGGACGGACTGAACAAACAGCCCGATGGGCTCTATTCCAATCCCACGGGACTGGTGATTCACCAACTCAAAAGAGCGAACTCGACAGTAGTACTGTCCACATAGCACCGCGAGCTGAGCATAGCCATTTTTCTAGTTCCAAGCCTAGCCATTATAGGACTCCTGATCCGGATCATCGGGAGGATTCGGAAGCTACAAATACCCGCTCCATGTATGGAGCGCTGGCACTGCAGCGTGGCTCTGGGCAGTGGAACTGGGATGCTGCACAGCATCCTCGTAACCAACGGGGGCCGAGTGAGTTAGATGCGACCAGTTTGTCTCCGCCACAATATCAGTTGATCAGAGATAATCGGTGATGTATCCTCTACTTGACCAAAGCAGTGGTAAAATTTTGGAGCTCTCATTTTGGATGATTTTGAGTAGATCGGGGCCTTCTTGGCTATTTCCTATATTTTGTTGTCTTGATTTTATTCACATATCTTGTTATAGTAATTCATTGAGATATCCTGTCACGGGGGAAATTATATAATTTCTCGAGGCATGCGAATACTTTGAGTTCTTCTGTTTGGATTTTTCATGATCAAAAGATGAAACAGACTGTGCCACAGAGATAAGGGACTGGCTACTTCACGCGACAAGGCAGAAGGAGGGGTGGAACCACGCAAAGGAAAGCCTTGCGAGTCATGTAGGAAATACTTCAAATTTCTGACCAATACGATTCTCTGATTAAGCAACAATATGACGTGTCGATTTACGCGCTGGGGCTATGTACATAGGTTCCTGGGATAGGTGCAAATGAAACTGGCCCAATCAACCAATCAACTACTGCAGCTGAAACAACAAACCAACCTTCGGGAAGGACATTAAATGGGAGCATGCAGCCACTCCTTTTCTCTTTTTTTTCTCAATACATACCTCCATTCGCGTTTTTTTCATTCACCTCGCTTTTAGCAGTCATTATTATTATCAAGGCCTGAATTGGAAGCCCTTCAAATTCCTCTTTTCAAACCTTACGGCACCCGGACCACGCATAATCACGCCAACATACATCCTACAAAACCATGCTCGACTACATCCGGGGCTGTATTTTCGGAATGCTGGCTGATGAGCCAGACCATCCCGTCGAATACCGTTCTCCCGAGTCCATCGCTTCCGATATCGTCACTAAGATTCTGACAGCCGATACTCTCGAATCACTCCACAAACAGCTAAAGGAGGAAATCTCTATCGATAGCTGGTCCGAGGCCATCGCGAAGGCTATACTGCACGGCTTGGAGACTGCAATCAAAGTTGGCACGGAGATGGCCAAGACAGCTGCTGACGCAGCAGCTAAGAGCAAGGATGCTGCTATCGGCTTCGCGACCGATCATCCTGTGTACGCTACATTGATTGCATTGGGAATTTTGGCCCTGTTGACGCCGTGGGCTCTAGAAACCCTCGGATTTGGGGAGTTAGGTCCTATTGAGGGCACTTTCGCGACATGGTGGCAAAGACGATACGCCGGGTATGTACCCAAGAGGGCTTTGTTTGGATACTTCCAGAGACTGGGAATGCAATGGCACTGGACTTTCTGAATGAGTTGTAGCCATCGGCGTCAGCTCATTCCATTTCATTTACATCGCACATCATCTTGAGGACATAGATTCATGAACATCTTTGGAATATGAATATTCAGCCTAGTTCGTAACTATCAGTCCATCCTCGTTCACTTTGTCAGCCCACTCCATCCAGCTACCATCATAAAGTTTCATTTTCATCTTGTAGCCGCATACGCGCAGTGCTAAGCCTAAGGCAGAGGCAGTCACACCAGAGTTACACGTCAAAACAGCAGACATGTTTTCATCCACTCCGGCCTTTGCAAAAAGATCCCGGAGCTCATCCACTTGTCGAAGACATTTGTTATCCGTCAGAAAGGAGCTTAGCGGAATGCTCACCGCGTCCGGCATATGACCCGGCCGCAAAGATGCATATGCGGCTTTATCAAGGCCAGAAAATTGGTTGAAAGGCCTGGCGTCGAGAATCTGATAAGGTCTTTCATTGGATTGCGCAACGATGTCGTCACGCAGCTCCTTGAAGGAGATAATTTCTCCTGGACACAATGATTCACCAACGAAAGCGGTCATTAAATCAGGAGATAAAGTGCTCGAGAGCCCTCGTAATTGACCACTGGAAGTTGGGAATCCTTGTTGAACATATTGAGGAAAGTTGTTCAAGACATGCACATTCTTGAACCCGAAGTTGAGGAATGTCCACGCGACGCGCGGCGATGAATATAATCCAATTTCGTAGGTATCATAAACAACGATAATATCTTCCAAGCCAATACCGAGGTCTTTCATGCAGTTGAAGAAATGTGAAGCTGTCGGCATCATTACCGGATACTTGGAACTGGTATCGCTGATGGAGTCCATGTTAAAAAAGCTTGATTAAGGTTGTCAGCTGCAGGTTTCAGATGAGGTCAATGCCAAAGATCGGCGTACATAGAGTTTGGGATATGTTTTGACACGTAAGAGGCCAGTGTTGGGCTTCGGCCAGCAGCAATTGGAACAATGCGTTGTTTTCCCGGGCTCTTTGACACGGCATCGTGAAACGCGGATGGCGAGATAAATAGTGCCCCAAGGGGGGTCTGAGATGACGCTCATCATGTTGGAGAAAACGTCATAATACACTCTTGTGGAAATAATCAGAAACAATTGTATCTGACTTTGGTTTTCGAACAAGAGGCGAGCGAATTAGGTGGAGAACTTTTTGCGGCTCAGGTGGGGTGTTTTGCCGACATCGGGGAAACTGGCTGAGGTGGGAGTTGTTCTCCACTAGACCACAAATTTGAGTCGCGCGCCAGCACGGGTCTTTATCAATAGACTCGCTTAACCTTGAAGCCACTCATTATGCGATAGGTCCCTGTATTCTGGATACAGGGTCAAAAAAGCAGGATACAATCGTGGAATTTGATATACCGACAAAAATAGATAATCCACACTTAAAGCTTCATCTTAGCATGCTGATACCATGATCCCTCGCCACGTAATCTCATCTCTAGCTATTCCCTGCTCTTGAAAATCAACTCCATAGGTGCCGCAACTAACGTGAATGCGTCACGCTTTCCACTCCAGAAGGATGCTTCACTAAATCCAGATACGAAAGAAACATCGTATCGAGTCAAGATCTCGGCGGTGACTCGGCGGATTTCAATTAATGCCAGCTGTTTTCCAACGCAAATATACGGACCTGGAATGCATTAGTCCTTGTTGGTTTTACATAGTAGGAGACGTACCAGCTCCGAATGGAATAAAGGCCGAGGCGTCCTTAACGAGTTCAGGTTCCGAAGTCCACCTCTCTGGCCTGAACTCGTCTGGAAAACCGAATACTCTTTCATCTAGTTCAGTCCAAAGAGTTAGAAGTGGAATTCATTGGAGTTTTGAATGCAATTACCTCTGAATAGTGCGTGCATAGGCACCGCGACCATCACGTCGCCGGGGATGTATGTCTCGCCTATCTGGAGACCTTCGGGGGGAGTAAGTCTCTGCAGCCCCGAGGGGATTACTGGATGCAGACGCAGGGTCTCATTTATAATAGCATCGAGATATTTTAGTCCTGTCAAACGATCGGTGGATAAATCTGGTAGCGCATCTAATTCTGATTGAAGTGATTTTTGCAGTTTGGGGTCCCTTGCCAGCTCAAAGAACACGTTGGTCAAAGTCGCTGCAGTTGTGTCACTAGTGCGTGCAATTAGTCTCAGAAATCAGCATTGGCAAATTAATAATGTTCTACCTTCCAGCAACACTGATGAGATATGTGTCCCCGTGTAGGTTAAGATGATCTTGATCGGTCTTGGCGCCTTGTTCAAATGCTTTCAGAAGCCACGAGAAGACATCTGGGCGGCTTGGGGGATTCTAGATAGTAAATTAATGAACGATACTCCGCGCTTCTTCAAATATTGTCGTGAACTTACCTTGATGCGATTTTGGACTTTGTTATCAAGCCACCCCCAAAATTTGAGGTAGTCTGCATTGATACCAGGGATACGCTTAAAGAAGGGGAACAGCCACATCAAATGACTGAACAGTCCAATCATCTTCATATCAGCATGCAGTTGGTTAAGAAAGTACTTGTCCTCATTATCTGCGAGCATGTCAAATGACTTTCCGAAGGAAAGATCCCCCATCACGTCGATGGAATAGAGGTTGAACCATTTGGTCATGTTCATCGGTTTGTTCAGATCTTTTTCAATGGCCTGAATGAGCTGTGCGGTATAGTGGGCCACGCGAGGCTCGTAATCACGCAATGCTGTCGATGTTTTTCCGATTAGTACATCGGTCGTATCAACGCTTGGTCCGTGTTACCTTGTGAGCTAAATCCCTGATCCCAGGTCTTTCGTCTTCTTGCATGAGATGCCTTGTCCCGGTCGGTTTGGACTGAAACTCGAGGCTCGATACAGTTGTACCATGGTCCTTTGAGGGTCTTTGCCTGTGAACTGTAGAGTAATTTCACCGCGACTGGATCAGAAATCGAGAGTTCTGTAGGGCCTTGTTCGGCGAGAGTCAGCGACTCTGAATGAATCCTTGAGGGGGACATGGCACTAACCAATCCGCACGTAATCACCGTATTTCTGATGAAGCTTTTGTGTTTCTTCGTACAGACGAAAATTTTTGGCGGACAAGAAAGTGATGTAGAAGTTCGAAAGTCGCGCAAGAAATGGCCCAGGGAAATCATTTAGTCGATGCAATGCGCCTCGATAAATGAGGATGCTACTGTAGACGCCTAATACATGATATGCTATAAGTCTGAGGGACCAGTTTGGGGTTACTGGAAAATCAATTTTTTCCAAAATACCGAGGTACTCCACGCTGACCAATATTGCAGAAACAATGGCGTAATTAATCACGACAGCTGGAGCCTTCGTGTCCCACTCTCCATGGCGGTAAAGTAGAGCATGAAAACTGATGCCGGTCAGGCCAGCGACGACCGGCAGTGCATCAAAGGAATTCAACGACATGGCGGTAAACAATCATTCTAGAGTCAGTGTGGGAGGGGTTAATTAAAATACTCCAGCTTTCATTCCCCTCAATCATAACACATGCAGGACGGCTGATGCATCCTGCAATGCGATATGTCTCCTCCAATCAAAACCGGCCTAATGAAAATTGTGGAGGACTTACTGATGAAGTGGCATTTCTAAGCGAGCTTGGTATTTTTTCATGATAAATCAAACCTTCTGTGTAGTTCCCAGTTGCTTCCTCAAAGAAGTAACATTCTCCCTTGGAGCCATTGAAGCACGGCCACCCGGCCATCGAGCGACTTTCCTTGTATATCCTAACCCCCTCGAACTCCAACATGAGCCATGGTAGGCACCGTTCTGCCCAGACTCCCGCTTTGTCGAGAATAATTGAGCTGTGTGACCGTGTCTTGACAGAATTAAATAGCTTGAGATTTGCCCCAACTAATCATTAATCATCCCTGCTTTTTTCCACGCTTCGGCAACACAAAGCCGATTAATCTGCTCGCTTCTTTCTCTTCTGAACCACCCCCTCAAATTTCGTTTCGGTCTGTTTACTTCCTCGTGGTTTGCCCTAGGTCAAGATGCGTCATCTAGCTCGGCTCTGCCGTGTTGCTTCATTGAGTGACTTCTCGCCGCCCTTTACGATAGAAAACCTTGCTGCTTCTTTTCCTTTCCACATTAACAAAAACATCCATCATGGCTTTTCTTATCATTCTTTCACCATCACGTGTCTTTCTACGCCTGATAGACTCACGATCGGGGTGTTTCATCGCACCAGCTCAAGAAACTCGGCAAACCGAGCATCGCAATACTAATATCGTTATAACGATTAACCCCACTTTAGGATTGCACATTACGTGATCGCTTGGAGAGCCTAACGTGTAAGTTATTGATAAATAACACGTAGATTAGCCGTTGGCGGCAGATTTCTCTGAAGAATCTAATAGACCATATCCCAGAGGTATATGCATCGTGGATCGTTTGGTGGATCTACGTGCATCCTAGATAGGTATCAAGTTGACTGGATTGGCCTGCCCAGGTAGCCACTGCGCTAGTAAGGACCATGACTCTAAGAAGACTTTTAGTGATTCTGCTATTACCACTTCACCTAAGGTTTGAGATCTGTGAACCTTTCACGTACCCACTTCCCCAGCGCGGCTCTTGACCTCGACAAGCTCCTGGGATCATTTGCTGTCATTGATAATGTAGCTTACTTTCGGCCATTTCAAATCATTCGAATTATTCATTTGTACACTGCATAGACCCCACCAATAACAGAGAACAGTTGGCCTTACCGAGCACCTCGGAAGGATCGTGACTCGTGTGCAGATAAGTGGGGTCGATCGCTCCGCATATTCTTATCTTGGCATGAAATCTCCCAGCATGTCCCGTAGCATAGATCTTTTTTGAATGGGCCGTCCCGGGAGGTGCCTTGTTAAATAGAGATTTGTTACTCGAAGGTACTTGATCTATTAATAGAGCAACATCTTGATGGTCAGCACAGACAAAAATGCTCCAACCCGCGGCAAGATTGGCCCACATGCAATAATCGGAGATCGTGAAGTTGGTGAGCGGGGTTCCGAGGGTAAACAAGCAAAACAGACGAGCAGAAGCACAGATCACAACATTTCGGTCTATCACTTTGCTTCTTTCTCAACATCCCAAACTCCACTACAACGATGACGTCCACAACAGCAATCGTGTCTCACGAGCCTAAAGAGTTCATGAAACGCGAATGGACCCTCGACACAGTCGCTCTCAGGCCCCCAGGCGACGATGAAGTTCTTGTAGAGATGCACGCCTCGGGAATTTGTCACACAGATATCCTCCTCTCGTCCGTTCCCACCGGTGCGGTTGGTGTTCAATATCCGAAAGTTGTCGGCCATGAAGGTATCTTCGACACCCTTAAATTCGAAGCTTACCCTGCAGCTATCAACAAGCTCGAGCAGATATCTCAGTAACACGTATTATAGGTGCCGGTATCGCTCGAGCAGTTGGCAAAAATGTCCAGTCTGTCAGCGTGGGAGATCCCGTTCTTCTATCATTCAGCTCCTGCTCTACATGTATTCAATGCCAAGAATCACACCCCGCATACTGCGATACATTCGGTTATCGGAATTACGTCGGACACCAAGAATCAATGTCCATGGATTCTGACAAAAAGGTTTGGTCCCAGTTTTTCGGACAATCCAGCTTCGCAAAACATAGCATTGTCAACAAGTCTAGTATTGTGAATGCTAAAGACCTCATCAAAGATCTTGATGAGTTGAAGCTGTTTGCACCACTAGGTTGTGGCTTTCAGACGGGCATGGGTGTTATTCAGAATATTACCATGGCTGTTCCGGGGGATTCTGTCCTGGTTACGGGTCTTGGTGCTGTTGGGATGGGGTCTGTTATAGTAAGTATCCCCGGTTATTTGGTACCGTATTCAGGATTAAGGTCGCTAATTTAGAAGCCAGACCGCGGCAATAGTGGGATGCAAGACCATTATCGCAGTTGATCGAGTGAAGTCTCGGATCGATCTTGCCAAGAAACTTGGTGCTACACATTCTATTGATACGAGCGAGGAGGGCTTCACGACACTAGACGAAGCTGTTCGAAAATTGATCTCTACAGGCGTGTCAATTGCTATCGATGCTACCGGTGTACCTGCGATAATTGAACAGAGTGTTCAAGCTACGCGTGCTCGTGGTAAAATGGTAATTGTCGGCGCACCACCAACGAATTGGGACTTGAAAATCCGAGGCGGGCAGCACCTGAACGTGAGTCTAAACCTTGGTGTAGAGATGCTGGATGGAGGTAATGCTAATCTTCATCATGTTTTTAGAGTGGGCGCTCTATTATGGGGTGTGTTGAGGGCGATTGTGATCCCCAAACTGTGAGTCTTTTATGATTTATTGAAGATCTCAGGCCCCTTGTTAATCTGGTTCCAGGCCATTCCGCAGCTGGTAAAGTGGTACCGTGAAGGGAAATTTCCTCTTGAGTCATTTGTTCGCTACTTTGATGTGAGTGGACTCATGATTGTTGTCAGTTTATGCATAGCTGACACAAATAGGCTACGGGCTATGAGACCGCTGTTCATGGTTTGGAGACTGGGGAGGTTATCAAGCCAGTATTAGTGTGGAAACACTGAAAAGATTATATGATGAACGAGCTTATGGTTGGACTCTAATTAAGGAAGTATTTGAAATCCAAGCCGGGCGAGCTTTAGACCGATGACGCAAAATGTTATTTCAAAACATAGGTAAAGACTGACTATAGATATGGGAAATCTCGGACTTTCAATAGCATGGCTCACGGTGCTAGCATGTTGGAAAGTCCTACTAGTTGAACAAAAGTAACCAATTATGCTTGGTTAACTCACTATAGTCTCCTAAAAGCCCTGGGTTCGGCTACCTCCGCGAGCAGTGGTAGTAGAAGAACCACCAGGAGGAGAGCCACCGCTACCACCGCTACCACCGCTACCGCCACCGCCACCGCCACCGCCACCGGAGCTTGAGCTATCATTCTCAACACCACCCTCCTCAGTGTAGTAAGCAGCAGGGGTAATGTTAGTGCTTTCTGTAGAATCAATGCCAACAGTAATCCAAGCAAAAATACCATCAGACACATCATCACCAAGCAGCACGTACTCCATGAACGGATCAATGGTATCAGCCTCTTCGGAGAGAATGCTGTCATTGGCGTTGGTGGTCAAATCCTGAGTGTTGGTGGAGTAGGGGGATGTGGCCTCGACTTCAGTGATGAGATCTTGGTCGAAGAAGAGCTGGCCGACATGCGAGGAGTGGGCAGTGTAGAGGCCTGAGAGGGTATCGTTTGCGAGGACGGTATCATCCGAGGAGTGAGTAAGCACTGAAAAATGAAACATATTAGATCTCTTTTGCTAAAGGTGGACATGGTGAGGTGGTGAGTGATGATTTAGTGTCTTACCGTGAATGTGAGTAGCACGGCTGGTGTAGTGACCCGGGAAAATGGACTCAAACTGCACGACACCATCACTGTTGCTTGGCTGGATACCGCGGAGGAAAGTGGCGTCGAGATTGGCTGCGTCGTTTGAATTGCCGTTTCCGTTAGCCTGGATGCCGGAGTACACACCCTGTTACATTCGCAATTAGAATTAAGTGTTTCTTTCTGACTGGCAAGATATATTGGGACTTACGGTAGCGTTGCAGTGCCAAAGATCCATATAGATGTTGGGCAAAGGCTCGCAAGTGTTCGTGTCAAGGACCTGGATGTCCATGTACAGTGGGACACCACTCTGTGTCTCAGCAATGTTCTCACGAATCAACTCGCCAGAGACGTCTAAAACTTATCAGCCAGGAACAATTGGTCAGATGTGTAGGAAGACTTACAGTAAGGACCCTGAGTGACATCCGGTCCCAAAATGCAGGTAGCCTCGGATCCGAACAGGATGCTGGCATCAGTCGACATATCGACGTTGGTCAGGTTCGACTTGTGCGAGGTGTTCACCACGGTGTCAAGGTCGCGGGCTTTGAGGTAGCGAGGCTCTGAAAAAAAAATTAGCTTTGCAATATGACCTCACTGTATGTGAACGAAGTACCGTTATTGAGACCACGGCGGCGACGGATGTGCTTAACAGCGTGCTCGCGACGAGCAACATTCTTGCTCTCGAGACCACGCGCCTTGAGCTTTGCGGCACACTGGGAAAGGCTACGAGTCTGGATGCTAGAGCTCTTCAAGAAAGCGGCACGCTCAGCAGCTTCAGCCCTGACATCGTGGCCGGGGTGAGCGGAAACGAGACCAGCCAGGCCGACCAGGCTGACGGTAAGAGCAGAGGTGAGTTGCACCATGATGTCTCGTATATTGTCAAGAAATTGGGAAAGAATGAAGGGAATTGGACTCCTGCGATAATGATGGGATAGACATGTCTCCGGCCCTTTTATACCACGAAACCCGTCTTCTCTTGGGGTACCCTGTCCACGTAGTCGTACCCAGACCGCAGCAGGGCATGATACATCAAACAAGGCTAAGAGGAGCTGACGAAAGGTATGGGGTTGCCATTACCAGACCGCACGAATCAGAATCTCAACATTTCTCATCTCCAGGGTACTGAATCCCTATTTCATATACCGGACCCGCAGTGGATACCCAATAGGTGGTCTGGGGAGACCTAGAAGCCGGATAAAGAGCCAAAATAGTGTATAGGAAGCCGATAATAGGTTTCGGTATTGAGCCAGTCAAGCAACTCCCGGCAGATGATTGCGAATTTTAGCCTCGGATGATCCGTGATAAATCAGGCCGCCGATCATGATCCACAGGGGGGTGTGCCAAGGGCAAGTTGACGAGTCATGCAGCGCACATCCTCAATGGAGGGTTTTAAGGACGTGATGATCCAAGTTTGTCGGCATAAATGGGCTCGGAATGTGGAGGATGGCCATAGTGATCTGCAGTGATGACGAGTCTTCAGATATCAATTGGTGGTTTTCAAGTCTGAGATACTCCAGAATGTAATATCGGTGGCTTGGTTTGGTATAGACCATATGGTGTGTTTCCAAATTGGTCAAGGGGGGTTAACTGAAGCCGTCCCTTGTTATTAATTCGGGTCTTCTGATATGCTGATCATCCTTGCTGCATGTGCACCAGGGTTAGCTACTAGGCCCTGTTTTAGGGTCTGGTCCCTGATGGCGTCTTCACTTCGCCGTGTAGTATGCGGAAGCATACGTACCCCTTCTTGGCGCCCCCGCTGTTGGCAAGATGGCACCTTGCCAGGCAATCACCTTCCACCGGAAAAGTTAACGGCGCATTTAGTGTTAGCAGTGCCAAGGAGCTTACAGGGGTACGAGGTATTTTTTTTCTCAATCAAAATCAAATTGAGGCACGTGTTGTCAGTGTGTGATGCCATATGTAGCGGTAAAACGTCGGAGGTGTATAGTGCTGCCAAGGCTGCGGAAGCTTGGCATTCGCGTTCGTTTGGAACCATGTAGAATTTATGCTAAATGAGCATCATGATTTTAATCACGAATTAGCGAATAACCAATTTGAAATGAAGCCCATGAGATGGCAAGGGATTTTCAGAATATGATAAAATTAAATATAAACGTATAAGTACATTGAGTCACTAGATTCATCAACCAGAGTAACAGTCAAACATCAACATCGTAGCATAGCACATGAAACATTGGTATTTCCGCTGAAAGTGGGACCAGCCAAAAAGCAAAAAGAAAGGAGATACAGGAGGCGTCGCCGAGTGAAAGTTGCCACGGCTTAGACCTCTTGGTGGCTGACAACAGGAGCGAGGGCAGCCTTGTCAAGGGTAAGGCCCATCTCACCAGCAAAGGTGGAGTGAGGCTTCCACTTGGAGGAAGTCCGAGGGGTAGTCTCCTCCATCATCTTATCGACCTGCTCCAGGGTCAATCCCTTGGTCTCGGGAATGAGGAAGTAGGTGTAGACGAAGGCGCAAGTGCAGAGAGAGCCCCAGATGAAGAAGACCTTGGGACCAAGGTTACCCTCATCACTGTAGACCATGTAGGGGGTGATAACAGCAATAATGCAGTTCCAGAGCCAGTTGGAGGCGGTGGAGAGGGCAACACCGCGGGAACGGATGGGCAGAGGGAAGATCTCGCCGATCACGACCCAGGCACCGGGACCCCAGGTGCTGGCGAAGAAGAAAATGTAGATGCAAATGAAGGCGATCATGGCAGCCACGGCCTTCTGGTTATCGTAGTCGGTGACACCAAGGATAGCGACGATGAATTGGCAGATAATCATACCAAGAGCACCCCAGAGGAGGAGAGGACGACGACCGAACTTCTCAATAGCGTAGAAAGAGAGAGGAGTGGAGCAGACATTGACAATGGTGGTAATGATGGACAGGAGGAAGGGGTTCTGGATCGTGCCAAGCTGGGAGAAAAATGTGGTTCCAAAGTAGAAGACGAAGTTGACACCGGTCCACTGCTGCATCATCTGCAAAGAGGTACCAAGGATGGTGCGGCGGAGGTTGCTGTTAGGCTCCCAGAGGGAGCCACTGAAGCAGGCGGCCCAGCTAGCGAAATATCCACCCTGGGGGGTAGCTTGGAGCTCGTAGAGGTGGTTGGCCTGGATCTCGTTGAGCTCGAGGTTGATGAAGTCGGAGTCAGGGGCCTGTCCGCGAACACGGGCAAGAACATCACGAGCAGCCTCCTGGTTTCCCTTGCGAATGAAGTAACGAGGAGACTCGGGCAGAAACAGAAGACCGGTACCAAGGATAAGAGCCCAGATCATCTGAATAGCAATGGGGATACGGTAAGAGCCAGAGTCGGTGCGGTTCTCAGTAGCATAATCGACGCAAGTAGCCAACATCAGACCAATGGTAATGCAGAACTGGTATGAGGAGACAATGGCACCGCGGACCTTGCGAGGAGCAATCTCAGACATGTAAAGAATGATAACTGCAGACACAAAGCCGACACCGAAACCAGCAATCAGACGACCAGCGACGAGCAGACCGATGCTGCTAGAGGCAGTCTGCAAAGCGACACCAATGAGGAAAACAACACAGCCAGCGATGATGGTGATGCGACGACCGAACCAGTCAGCCAGATCACCGGCCAGGAGAGCACCAAAGAAGGTACCAGCGGAGAGAATGGAGACGATGAGAGACTTCCTTGAAGCAGGAATAACAAAGTTGGCGGGGGCAGTCTTGGATTGATCCAGGCCCTCAAAGGTAGAGATGAAGTAGTCCATGTCGAGCACACCACCAATGTATCCAGAGTCATATCCGAAAAAGATACCGCCAAAGGCAGCAAAAGCACACATCAAGTAAGTCTTGAAGGTGACAGGGGCCTCGATGCGAGCGGCATCGACGCCCCCGATGGGGGAAACAGCACCACCGGGCATTTGATCGAGATCAGATGTAGATATGATAATGTGTGAAGGTATAGATGGGGATGTGGATTGGAAAAAGTGTTGTCGAGTGATCTTAGTCAGGAGAGAGATAGTATAGAAAGAAGAGTAGGTTGGTTGTGATGATTGTATCGAAGGATGATGGAGAAAAGCAAAGTAGAGGGGGAAACATGGTGGTTTATATCCTCGAGACAAACGCCCTATAGAACCATCATCCCCGCAAACGAAAATAGCAAAAGAGAAAAAAATAATTCCCCAGACCAAGCTAGACGGTTCCGATGTTTCGGCCCAAGAGAATGGTCGTCCGAAGCGATGCCATACCACGGACCGAGCTAGAATTAAGCCCGCTAGGTCGAATTGAGCTTAACGTGGACAGAGATTTCCCCGAGAAGCGTAGAACCATGTGGTCCAGGAACCTGGGGAAAGGCCTGGACGCAGGTCACAAAGGTGTGGAAAAGACCCTGCGCCAATGAAAAGCCACCAAAAATAAACTTGGCCAAACAGAATCTCGGGTCCAAGCCGAACTTGTCTCTCGGGCCCCCGGAGTCTGTCCCTGAACCGGACGTGAAGCCCGTGGCAGCTCCACGCTGATTGGACAATCTCCCGGGCTCAACTGCGCCACAACCCGAAATACTTTTTTTTCGCGCTTTTTTTCCCACGGCGTGACCTGCTTTCCTGCGTCTCGGCCTCAATGCTGCTCGGCCCGCGCATTCTTCACTAACAACTTGATTTCGCATCTGCTTAGCCACACCCGAGTCTCGTGATCTGATCGGGTGACTCGACGAACCCACGGCTAAGTCCGTGACTTTTATTTAGTAATCCCTGTAGCAGATCGCAGCCCATCCGGCACTAGCTTTAGCTCTAGCTTCAGCTGTTACTTTACTGTCGCTTAAGGTGGCCCTGTAGCCGACCGCACAGAACAAAACACGGCTGGCGCACGGTTTAGATTCAGTACCCGCCACAATTTAGCGAACCATCTTTCGCCCTGATTATGGCTTGTCACGAACCGTAGAAACAAGGTTTCAATCTGCTCAATAGGGCTTTTTCTGGAGACCCCGCCCCGCATTGGTCCACCCCCAAGGGTGAAGAAGAGTCTACGCGGGGAGATGGACCAGTAAAAAGTCAAATCGCCCTACTATCGTGTGGAAAGAATAGGCGTTGGGTTGCATCCGCTCTTTGCCATGTCTTGGGAGAGGTTATTAGCGCACTCCTTGGCGCCTATAGACTAAACACTGTCCCGCAAATTGAAACGCCCACGTCCCCTTCTAATACGAGCTAGGGAGTTTTGGGAATGAATAGTCGTCCGGCGTGAGCCGATAGGAGGCTTAGGGATATGGCGTAATTAAGACCCTCAAGCTCAGGAATTGGCCTTTTTGGCGTATTGGGCTGTTGGCCTGTATAGGGTTACTTCGATGATTGGTAGAGATATTATTGACTTGGCAACTATAAACCTTTACATGGCGATATAAGGCTTCTCCAAGTTTCTTGAGAGATTTCCGAGGAATTTGACATCGGGTGATCGAGTATTTGCTATGTACCAAGTTCCCGAATCCCGGGGATCCCGGGGTTGATGATTTTCTGACATCGGGATCTCTATCCCCATGTTTTACAAATGAACCGAGGATCCAAGACATCCCGGTGAGAGGTTTCCGTTAGAGGAAAACTCTGCAAAGCCGGGGCCCCAGAGTAAATCATCGGAACCGAAATTCGCCAAGGCAACGATTCTAAGAGTTTGATGGGTCGGCACTTGCCCATATGTTTTTCGGTATACCTTGGTAGGGGAAGAAAGTAAAATATACCCCTAATTTCTTATTTCTGTTTAAGGAATATGCTAAATATGCTTTCTCTCACATAATGATGACTTTTCTTTCACCGGTGCCTCAAACGGCTCTCCTTCTCCGAGGTTTCCACTGGTCACTCATTCCTCCTTGAAAAATTCCAGGAATTTCACCTGGAGACTGCTCACAACGTCCCCTCTCGCCATTTTGCGAGAGTGTTCACGAAGTCCTTCACCCCCGTCCCCCAAATAGAAGCCCGGGCGGCCTTCGCCGCTTGCTCTTGATCCATTTGGGCGATCGACCCTTCCATGTTCATGTAGCTCGGGGTGCAGAGCTCACCACTGGCGAGACCACGGGCTCGGAGCATGACCTCCAGAGCCCCGGCATCCTCGTCAACTCTCTTCGGTTCAACTGTGAATCTAGGAAAACCTGGAGCTCCAGGGGATCGTGACCGGACCTCCTTGTCCACCTTGGACAGAATGCTTGCGACGTGGGTGGCGAGCTGGTCAAGCATGTATGGGTAGTTTGCACTGGTCGATGCTTGCCACGGCCCGGAAAAGAACAAATTCGGAACCTCACTACTCATCACTCCATGAAGAGTTGATATGCCTTCCTCGAACCATTTGTCATGGAGAGACTGACCGTCACGTCCGGTAATAACCATCTTTGAGCAGTCGAACGCAGTTCCGAGATGGTGTCCGGTGCAAAACACAATAACGTCCAGGTCATGTTCGATCTCGTTTGCCATGATGCCTTTTTTCGTGAATCCGCTAATACCGCTTCCTTTGGTGTCAACGAGAGTGACATTGGGTTCATTGAAAGTCTGGAGAAACACATTGATGAAGCATGGTCTCTTGCACCATGAGTAATACCAGGGGGTGAGCTATGCGGCCGTCTCTGGGTCGTGGACGATATGCGAGACTCGGTCACGAATTCTTTTCTGGTGCTCAATGTCCTTTTGGATTGTTTCCTCCAGATATTCAGGCTCAAGGTTAGACGGACTACCAATCAAAGCGCTGTATGACTGCATCTTGGACCATTCGTCGTTGACCAGGTTCATTTCTGGAAGAGAGTTATCGTTGGAGAGGAATGCGTTGAAGTTCTCGGCGCGTTCGCGCTGCCATCCTGAGCCCATGCACTCACTTTCTGCATGAGTAATTTCGTTGTCGCGCGGGAACACAGAGGCGGCAGTGTATTGAAAGACAACAGCTTCCTTGGCCCATTTTGTTAACTCGGGAATAAGCTGAACAGCAGTTGCTCCAGTGCCGACAATTCCGACCCGCTTGTCCTTCAGTTTGATCATCTCTGGTTTCGCTCGATATCCACCGGTGAATATGTAATCCCAGCGCGCGCTATGAACCATCTTTCCGTTGAATTGATCCATGCCCTCCAGATCCGGTACATTGGGTGTATGCAACAATTCAGTTGCGAGGTAGACAAAATCTACCTGCAGCAATGCAGTTTCATAGGATGTGTTCATCTTCACATTTCACATAGAACACATATCATCCCATACCAGATCAGTAACACTGGTCCCGAAGGAAGTCTGTCGAGCAAGGTTCCACTTCTTGGCAATTCGAACAGCGTGCTCCTGGATTTCGATGCCACCGACGTATTTCCCACTAGGCATGTATCCTGTTTCCTCGAGCAGCGGCAGGTATATGTAGCTCTCAATGTCACACTTCAAACCTGGGAACTTGTTCCAGTGCCAAGCACCGCCGAAGTCTATGCCTTCATCCACAATCTTGATCTCTTCTGCAGTGCAGAATCCCTTTTGAATCAGACGGACAGCAAACAAGAGTCCTCCAAAGCCGGCGCGGACGATGAGCACCCGCCATTTGGTCATGTACCAGATTGGATCATTTCCTGGAGAGGGCTTACTGCCGCCCAGCTGTCCTTCGTCTGGATGAAAATCTTCGAATTGGTTGATGCCATCAGGTCGCAGTCGTTTCAGACGTTCAACTCGATACTTCTCTTTCACCTCATCGTCAGACATCGTTGGTCCCAGATCGTGAGTACTCGAGCTGGGAGTTTTCCCCATCGGGTATCGAGTCTTGGCTGAGAAGACATGATGGCCTTCAGGGAAGTCTATTCTTTTGCTTGAACTGGAGAAGAAGATGATTTCAGAAGAAGCAGAGTTGGTTGTGGGAGAAAGAAAACTCCGACAGGACGTGAAAAGGTAAACGACCCATTTAGGCCAAATCGTATTGAAAGATCGTATTGTCGCGATGTCGTCGCACAGCTGCGATGCTCATATACCCTGTGAAGCTCATTACGCTCAAAAGTACGCCGAAATGGAAGTGGGCATTATCAACGCTGCCGTCGTGCTGTCTAGGTCCCAATAGCATTTATTCTATACCTTTCATGCTCCGACAATCCTGTAATCCTCAGGCGATGCAATTTGGTCTATTCTTCAAGCCAAGCCATGTTGCAACGAAGATCAAATGGTCTTTCATCCACATTTTGGAGCTGATGGTTGTTCTTAGTCCCACACCAACCCCATAATCACCAGAGCCGCATCTCAATCGCCGATTATCGGCCGGCATCCGACAAAGAAACAAAACCGCAATCTTGGAGGCAGCTGCCAAGATTTTGATTATTTTATCCACCTTGGTAATACCCCTTGAACCCAATCAGGGCAATATTTGACGAAGGTACAAACCGGATTTCCCCCGTAGAAGTAAGATCGCCAAGCGCCAAGACCCAGCCACGGCAGCACTGGCGCTCCCATTCGACCGGACAACAGACAGAGTAAGCACTAACAATGTAATCTTGGACCCTTCGGCTAGTCCCGAGCAGGCAGGGCTTCAAGCCATAGGCCCTCGAAGTCTTTTACCGCTCATTTTCCGGCGTCGCGAGCCCTTTCTCGTCCGTTTGCCCTGTGCGACAATATCTCTCACGTCTAGAGTAGTTCTTTCTTTCCTGTTTTCCGCCGGCTTGGTAGCTGCAGATGCAGTGGGTTACTTTGATGATATATCCATTTGTCCTGATTCAAAAGGGCTTTCAAAATGTTATGATAAGGTGGAGACTAGCTGGAGTAGCTGTGTCAACAAGAACTGCGCTGAGGGTGGTGCAGACTGCTACAACTCTTGCAATGGGGACAAGACGTGCATGGAGTCACAATGTCCGAATTTAGGGATCGATTGTATGAGTGCTTGTTCGTGCGTTCAGGCTGTTGACCAGATTGACTGTATTGCGTCAAACTGTTGGAATCAGGTCCGAATCACAACTCCAATTCAGCTATGCATAGACCTCAGCTAACCGATTCTAGCGAATACCAACAAACAATCGAAGATGTCCTCAACCTATGTGTAAAGCCAGACATGGACCAGCTCCCTTTCTGGCCCCCGCCTGACGATGCTGCCTCTGGATGCTCCTGCAATATAGCCAAGGTGGATAAGAAGGAATTATTGATTGCGGCGCAAATGACCACGTGCACGAATAATGAGACCAATCTGGACCAAATGTCTTCTGTTGATGCCATTACGGATTATGGCCAGGCTTGTCTTTGCTGCGCAGAAAGTGCGATTGTATCCACGTACGCATATTATACCTTCGACTTCGCTGTCTATCCCAATACTAACATCTTCAAACAGGATCTGGGATACCTGTCCGAATACGAAACCCGCTCTCCTTGATGTCGACGGATGGAATAACACTTTGCTCGAGCCGAACGGCTGGGCCTCCTGTGGTGAATACCTCGATGCGTATGATTGTGCCGGTGATCTAGGCTTTGGTGCTGAGGACGCGGGTGGAACTACGACTTTCTACAAGCCGGGTGGTTTACTGAAGAATGGAACCGGGACGCTCTACAACACCGGTTCTCTAACCACACCCGTCAGTGGCGCTACATTCACTTGGACATTTGGAACGATTTTGCATGCTGTTACTGCTGTCTCCACGGATCATGTGGTTGCCACTGCTACGGCTACGGATTCTCAAGGTCAAACTGCGACCTCGACTCAGAATGGTGCGACTAGTACTGATACTGGTATGGCTAATGCTCAGAAAACGCCCATATGAACCGCCATATCTTGTATGGGTCTGCTTGTCTTTATTCTCGTTTAACGTTGGGAAGTTGGACACATGGGCTCGGAGTGTCTATCGCTAGGTGACTGTGCTCCTCTCTTTGTCCCGAATGGCAGCATATGAATACCCAGATCTTACTACCATTTATTTACTACCAATCCAAGTTCATGCAATATCTAATAGCGATAATCTATTATTCTAAAAATTGAAGCTTTTACTAGGCTCAACTTACTTCAGTCAAGACAGTCACGTGAACCTCTTCGGACGAAAATGATATCCTTTGTCTAATAGCAAATCGATACCTGGGCTTGGAACTTGATACGACTTGTGGATATGGGAGGCAGGACAAGAGAGAAAAGTAAGAAATAAATAGAAAAGAAGGATTATAATTGAAACAAGAAGGGTGGAGGGTTATACTCCAAAATTACGCCTTGTTTGTTAGGAGAATATTCGATTTCGGATTTGATCATCTGACGATAAATGTCGTAAGAACAAATATGGAAGCTTCATACCTTTGGAATCAAGCAACTTAATTTTCACGGGCAATCATGACCCAAGTCTCTGCCATGGACAAACTGCCTCGGATGTTGTCACACGTCTCCACACGAACCGGAGGTTGCCGCAATGGCTCCACATTATTTAAAACCCAGTTAGCTACCACTCAGCCAGACCTTCTCACGGTACCGCCCGTGGCAGCAAGCTCTCCCACCTTATCGTGAATGAAACAATCATGGGTCAGCTAGATACAGCCCTGCTCGGCGCCGCAATGGTACTGGCCATCTACCTATTCAACATATGCGCAACGCCACCAAACCCGTCGCCCCCGCAAAAGGGTCGGCAAAACAAAGATCGCATAGGGATTTTACTAGGTCCAGAGACTCGACTTACTATGATTCGCTATGCAGCCGTCTTCTGCTTCCTGTACCACACTTTAATAACAGTTCTACCGGTCTATGCATCCAAGCACTTAGTGCAGATTTGCCCGAATGCGGAGAACCGAAACCCCGCGATTTTCGAGTGGAGTACAACGACCACCCTTGCCTTGGCGATGATTTACGTCGGTGCTGCAATTCGCATCATGGCATTCGGTGGCTTGGGTCACTTTTTTACTTTTCATCTTGCGCCGCCCGATCGACTCATCACCTCTGGTGTGTATCACTGGATTCAGCATCCTAGTTACTCGGGATTGCTGCTTATCATGGTGGCGACTTACACATTGTTTGTTCGGTGGGATGGGGTGTTTGCATGTTGGATTCCGAGATCTACACTGGCGATCCTGGATGGATGGGGTGTTAGCACCATTACGATTGCTGTGAGCTTTGGGGTGTCTCTCTTTGCTTTGCGGGTGAGGGATGAAGAAGAGATGTTGAAGCGGAAGTTTGGAAAGGAGTGGGAGGAGTGGCATACTAGAACCAAGCGAATGATTCCTGGAATTCTATGACTTACTTCTGCATGTTTCTGCAGGTTTATGCATGTTGCCGATGGCTTTGATGGGCACGTGATGGGCTAGGAAATTAGTGACTAGGATACTGTTTTTTTGTGGTAAAATACCTGTAACCACGCGCTAGATAACTATGAGTACGACTATTAAGTTCTTGGGAATCATCCTTTGCAATATCGACGAAGATAGACACCTATTGATGATCAATACACAAATTTGACGTTTAAAGCCTTCATAAATGTATCTTTGGTCATCTTATAGGCAATTGTAGAGATGCGACCGTGGATGATTAATACAAGGAAGGGGGTTCAACTTTCCCAATGTAGGGGTTCAACTTCCCGAAAGGGGGGCTCAATACGTGATCATACGGTATCTTTTTTTCTCATTCTTCGGATAAGGTTACCCATCTTTAGGACTACAACCACGTTGAATTTATGACATAGCCTCGAGAATAGATAAATTGATGTTATGTGTCTGTTTTTACGATTTTGAATTAATAAAAAGAATTTCCTTTTAGATCAAGTTTGTATTATATATTGAATCGGGAGAGAACGGTGTATATACTCAGAAGCCCGGGAGATATATATATCTTGTACACCACCAGGATACTTAATGGAACTGTCTTTCACATTTTGTATTGGTTTTTGTCTTCAAAAACAGAACTCCGTATGAAATCATAGTAAGAAGCTCATTGGAGGCCCAAAATCAAGCATTTTACATAGTAAAACATTAAACAGAGTCTAAGGAGTTTATCCCAGTACGGAACCTCGTGGGAACTGGATGAAATAGCAGGTCATGCAAATGAAAGGCACAAAGAATAAGGAAGCGAACTCATGATACAATGTGCCAAAGGGTACAAATAATATGGAGTACAAATTTCGACTTCGGGACGGAAGACTTTCAGTGTCCTCATCCAGGCCATGAAGGAATTCTGTCATCACAATTCCAGATGTCCAATTCAGTATTGAAATTCCCAATTTTACTACATAGTAGATCAAAATTGATACACCAGATGTCCTTTGATATATGCCCTGGGTGGGGCGTATCCTGATATTACTCAACACCGAGGTCAATACGAGGACCAGTGTAGTTCTTTCGTCCGTCGACAATCCACTGGAAGACAGATATAATGATAATAACTGCAAATGCAGCAATGCAGTAATCTTACTTCACGTTAGTAAACCTTCATGCAGTGGTTGGAATTTACTTACTCATGCTGCTCCCAGTGACAGTGCTTGACGGAGGGAAAACAAACAATACAGTAGTCAAAGCGATATATGACAAGGAGACCTTTTGTCAATTAGCTGGATGATATGAATTATATCCAAGTTATGGCATCTTACAATGTCGGTAAACCAGCCCACGGCACGGGGCAATTTCCACTTCCTCTCGGGTAGAGCATTCCGTCCCTGGAGGCAATTGATGAGAATGGGAATGCCATACGACAAATCAAGTGCCACGACAGATGCAGAGATAATAGCATTGAATGCACTGAATGGTCAGTAAAAAATCCGTCTTTCAGAGAAATCACATACCTTGAAGAACCTAGGAAAATACATCCAAAGCAGATGACCACTACCACAGTTAATATGAGGGCGTTCAGAGGTAGTTGAAGAGTCGGGTGGACTCTGGCAAAGAATTTGGAGGCGGGTAGACCACCATCCCTATGAATGTCAGCCTCAGCCCAGATATTTCCTTTGAAGGCCATCCTACCGGGCAAAAGCGAAAATCATCCGGCTACTGGTAGTCATGACACTGAGGATAGCAAGGATTAGACAAATAAGGGGCAGCCTAGCCTAAGTATTAGCTGATATCCAACAAAGATAGGGGGAAAATTTACATTAGAAGGCAAATGGCACCCGCTTTGTTCTTGGTGGCATCTATCAAGATTTGCAGGAGAGGTCCGGCTGCCGAAGTGGTAACCTGTTCCATATTGCCAGCGACAAATAGGAGGACAATCAAGAATATGCATCCGGTTACAGTACCAATTCCCACACAGGTCACCATAATCTTTGGGCCTTCAACGGATGGATTTGGTACCTCTGCCAGAATTAGATATGCAATGAATCGAGGATAAAGAACTCATACCTTCAATCATATGGACAACCGCATCCTAGTCCTTTTAGCTTGAGATTCTTGAATTATCAACAGCGTGACTTACAAATGCGGTCACACCGAGTCCTCCTTGAAGGAGCTACAGAATTTGTCAGTCAATCTTGCTTGCGGAATCTGACAAGTAGAACATACGCCAAGTAGCCAAGCAACACCATCAGGCCCTGTTCAAATCAGTACATTTATCTTCGTGATATCAGTTGAGTACTTACATCCTGTTTGATTGACAAAGTTACAGAACACAAAGCTGTCGTAAGTTAGCAAAATATTGCAAGCCACGAAGATAGACTTACTATGCGGTATTGTAGTCAGGTGAGGCGCAAGCCAAGACTGTGATGGACACAATCGCGAATCCACCAATTGACCAAGCAACTGTTCTACATTAGCCAAGAACCCAAAATGGGAACACATTCCATACAAGCACCGCGGTAGATGACAGGCAAAATGGAGTTCATAAAAGCGTTAATAATAAATGCTCCGAGGGTCAGACCGATATAGATAAGAAATTGTTGCCAACGGGTTGACTCATAAGTCTGAACATTTTGTAAGTGAGATTGATAAACACCATGGCTTTTCGATTCCTACCGGATGCATGGCTGAAATCACTCCCACAATCAACTGACTTGATAGCAGCGAGTTGGTAGCCACCAGAGCAACCTAGAGGTTTGTTAGTCCTCCGAATTTTGATGCATTGCATAGTATATTACCCATCCAGCAACATTGATCCAACCCGTGATCCAGGAGAGGATAGGAACCCATTTAGGCCAGGAGACTAAAGAAGTTAAAGTCTGTCAAAAATGATGGCGGCTTTAGGAAACATACTGACTATGGTTTCATTAGTATATCTTCATTTTCTTGAACGCATCGACTTACCAGCAACCCAATGGTATTGTCCACCGGCCCTAAAAAAAAGTAAGTACTCAATTCACGAAAAAGAGAAGTATCCATACGTTGGATAAGCGGATAGGAACTCAGCGAGTGAAGTCGCGATACACAGATTGCAGAACCCCGCAGTGACGAGACCTATAGAGTGTTACCCGAAATCCCCACTTGGTGCCACTGGATCATATTCACATACCCCATATGACGCTCGTGCTACCACCTGAAGTAAGACTAATAGATAAGCTCGCCGATAGAGCAGTCCATGACTAAAACATGAAATAAATATCTATGGGGAACGCATTATGTGCAGAACAATATGACTCACATTGAGTACAGCAAAAGCCAGTCCCAGCATCGCCCTGTTGTATGATAAGCGTCTCGTGTTTAGATTTCTCGGCTCACATGCCGATCTCACCATGTAGAGAACTGTCGCTTTAACTCAGGCCTGTGGCCCATAGCAGCTAACTGCGCATCATCATCCTGTATCGGCCCTTCTTTATTCATGTTCACAGCAAAAATCAAAAGATAGTTAAAGTAAAGCGAGAGAAAAATTAGAGCAACAGAAACGTAACGCAACCTCGGAAGGCATGCAGTCTAAATATCTCACGCCTGCCACCATGCAGCAAGACTATGTTAAGTCCATGCGGATCACTCCGACAGGGTTGCAGCAGCCTAGGATTGCGGGGGAAAAGATCAGTATCAGGGGCGCGCCAATCACGGCGAAACAAGATACAAAGTGGAGACACGCTGTGGATCCCAAAGAACCGAACAGGAGAGGTCTTATCAGCTGCGCTTGCCTTAAATTCAGAGATTGAATTAAGTTTATCAATTACGCCTGGGAACGGCCCGGCTTGTCCTCCCTGTTTGGTCAGTAGCCGCATGGACTTACCCGAATTTGCGTGGTTGCATTAGCGGCATCGTGGCGCCTTCCCCGAACTAGAATCCCTACACACTGATTACGTCGATAGTATGTGGTGTCAAGTGGACATGTTGTTTCCTGATGCACTGTCATAGGAGATATGCCTTACAATAAACGTTTATAAATATTTCTTTCACATCCCGAGGCCATTAGTATCGCTGGTAGCGTTCTTTTACGGGGTCTCTGGCCACTTTATTCTTCCTGCTCGGCTTTCGCTTTTCATTATCTATAGCTTGAGGATGCATTCAAAATGGCTTTTAGCCGCGGCACTTGCCGCTCAAACATGCGGTGCAGCTGTATCAGCTGCTCGGGATGATGATGCGCAATGTACGCAAACAACGGTCGCGATTCTGTAAGTCATTTTATCAAGCTGCGTGTGTTGTACCTTTTGTCTTTACTGAGAGGCTACTAGTGGTGGTGGAATGGCTGGTGTTGCTGCAGCAGTAAGATACCTCCTTTCAAATGTCGTGACTACCGAAGAATTACTGATGTGAAAGTTATAGCAAGCTCTTTCAAACTCCTCCATTGATGATTTCGTTATCATCGAGTATCAAGATAAACTTGGAGGCCGTGTTCACCACACGACTTTTGGCAAGGACAAAAATGGGGATCCGTATACGGTCGAATTAGGTGCTAACTGGGTAAGACGCATCAACGAGTGATGGCCTGTGGAACTGTGCTGACTACCAACAGGTGCAAGGACTGGGATCCCCCGGTGGTCCAGGTGCGTCTTTGAACCGCGAATCAACAAAATAATACTAACTCCACTTTAGAGAATCCAATATGGACCCTTGCAAAGAAATGGGGTTTGAATAACACCTACTCGAATTACAGCTCAATCCTCACCTACAACGAGACTGGCTATACAGACTTCTCTGCCGTCCTGGATGAGTATGAAAACAAATTTGAGACAGCGTCCGATCTCGCTGGTACCATCTTGAAAGAGAACCACCAAGATATGACTGTCCGCTCTGGTCTTTCTTTAGCCGACTGGAAGCCCAAGCGTGATGATATGACTGCCCAGGCTGTGGAGTGGTGGGAGTGGGGTAAGTCAGCCGATAAAATATTCGCGTTTCTCACTAATCCCTTAGACTGGGAGGATGCCTACTCCCCCGAGCAGAGCTCTCTTGTTTTCGGCGTTGCCGGTAGCAACCTCACCTTCAACCAATTCAGCGACGAGAACAACTACGTTTGGGACCAGCGTGGTTTCAACCGCATCATCGTAGGCGAGGCTTCAACCTTCCTTAAAAAGAACGATCCACGCGTTCACCTCAATTCCAAAGTAACTAAGGTCAAGTACTCCGACGATGGGGTGATAATCTACAAGGATGATGGCAGCTGCGTGTCGGCCGCTTACGCGGTCTGCACCTTTTCACTCGGAGTCCTCCAGAGCGAAACCGTCTCCTTCACCCCAACCCTTCCGGACTGGAAGAAGACCTCAATCGAAAAATTCAGCATGGGAACATACACCAAAATCTTTCTTCAATTCAACGAGACATTCTGGCCTAACGACACTCAATACTTTCTCTACGCCTCCCCAACCACCCGCGGCTCCTACCCCGTCTGGCAATCCCTCTCAGCACCGGGCTTCATCCCAGACTCAAACATCATTTTCGTCACACTCGTCCACGAACAAGCTTACCGTGCCGAGCGACAGACAGACGAACAAACCAAAGACGAAGTCATGCAAGTTTTGCGCGAAATGTATCCCGACATCACCGTACCTGAGCCAACCGCATTCATGTACCCGCGCTGGAGTACCACACCCTGGGCATACGGTAGTTATTCGAACTGGCCGCCATCTACCACGCTAGAGATGCATGAGAATTTCCGTGCCAATTTGAACCGCCTCTGGTTTGCGGGAGAAGCTACTAGTGCACAATACTTTGGATTCTTGCATGGCGCTTGGTTCGAGGGTCGGAATGCTGGAGAGCAGATTGCTGCGCTGTTGCAGGACCAGTGTACTAATTTTACGGACACGAGTAAGGCTTGTGGCAACCTTCGTCATTATGAGGCACTGTATGGATCTTCGCCGTTGGCGGATTATAGTGTTTTTGATGGATGGTCGGTTAGTAGTTTCTACTCGAGTGGTTAAGAGGGAAAACTTGAGAGTATGCGAAATTGAATGTGTTCACTGCTCTACCGAGGCTGTTTGAATAATATTGTAAAACCTATCCCAATTTGACAAACCTCCACCAACAAACATGTCGGCCGTTCTTTGAATGAGATGAATGTATTGGATCCGAACAACGTATCACAATCTAGCTCATTGCCTTAATTAAATCTTTATAAAGTCTGGGAGCAATGCTGTAAACTTAGGGCAAGAAAGCGGTGACTTTGGATATACGTACCATATCGTCATCATTAGGTCACCCCCACCCGGGAACCGCCAGATCCGCATATCGGACATCAAGGTGCCCGACAACTATTCATCGCAAGCCTGTAATTGATTTCGAAGGAAAATGGTCTTCGATATAGTATATCGCATCTGGTACGGGTTCATAAATCCACCCACAACCAAGAAAAAAGATGATGCGATCCGGTTTGGACTCCTTGGTGCATCGAACATCGCGTACGTATCCTGAAATACAGTTCCCCCTTTGATGTCGTATTGCAAGCATTAATATTGATAAAATTTCAGCCCAATTGCGCTGATCGCCCCTGCAACTTCTCACCCGGAGGTAATCATAGCAGCGATAGCAGCGCGAGACCGGGACCGAGCTGAGAAATATGCAAAGAGACATAACATCCCAATCGTGCATTCGACATACGAAGGTAATCTCCGAAGTCATATACAAATATTTTAATGAGAATTATGGAATAGAGAATTTCTAACAATTCCATTGAAGATCTCGTTCAAGATCCCAGCATAGACGCAATCTACGTCGCTCTTCCAGACAGCACACACTACGAATGGGCCCTACGATCCCTATCTGCAAACAAGCATGTCCTATTGGAAAAGCCCAGCTGCTCAAATGCCACAGAAGCGCGGTCTCTTTTCACACACCCGCTCGCCACAAAAGCCGGCGCCCCGGTGATTCTAGAAGCATTCCACTACCGCTTTCACCCAGCCTGGCAAACATTCCTTGATCTAATTCACAAAGCCCCCCAAGCGGGTAAAATCAAATCTGTAACTGCGGAACAGTATTTTCCGAAATACGCATTCAGCGCGAGTGATATCAGATGGCAGTATGAGCTTTCAGGTGGTTGTATGATGGATTTCGGCACGTACCCGATGAATATCCTGAGGCAGGTCTTACGGGAAGAACCGAGGGAGGACACTCTTTCTGCGGAGGCAAGACAAGTCTCATTTTTGGGGCTTCCGTTCCGGGAGCAGGTTGATGAGGCTATGAGGGCTAGTTATGTGACAAGTAGTGGGGCTGTTGGAAAGATGGTTGCTGATTTAAGGCTTGCGGGTGGGTGGCCTGTTCTTCCCGGGTCTTGGACGAGGAATCTTCCTAGTTTTGGGTGGCCGAAATGTGAGGTTGAGTGTGATGAGAAAGAAGTCCAGTCTGATGCGGGGGAGGAGGCGGGTGGGGAGCGCTATTTCCTGAAGAGGAAGGTTGTGCTTTGGAATCATCTAATGCCGAGTATTTATCATCGCATTGATGTTGAGGATACTTATTCTGTTCGCAGGGGAAGAGAGATTTTGAGGACGTGGAAGGATGCACGGTATTTGAAGGCTTATACATGGCCTAGTGGCGATAAAAGAGCTGGGGTTCGTGGTGTTGGGGAAGAGTGGTGGTCGTCATATTTCTATCAGCTTGAAGAATTCGTGAATAGGGTTAAGGGACGGTCGGGATCGGGCGTTTGGGTTCATGGAGAGGACAGCATTAAACAGATGGAGGCCATTGACTTGGTTTATAGGAAGGCTGGGATGAAGGCAAGACCATCTAATGGGTTCCAACTATGATTTTCGTGGCTTTATAGCTATATGAACCGGCTTAGATTCAAAGTGGGGTTGCACTCGAGTGCAAAAGCATGTCGCATTTACATAGGTGTTGGATAGTATGTTAATGAAAGTAACAACACCAATCCATGAAAAGACTTGAGCAATCCATAGCAATCCAAATATACAGTGTATTCATCAGTCTCGCATCTAATTTATCTTAAGACCAAGACATAATATAAACATCATAGCTTACTTAAGCCAGGAAACCGAATTATTCCCTTATGAACAATCAGTTTAAATGTACTCCCAAGCAAGGCTGCTGGAAGTAACATTCAAGCCGACAGCAAGGGCATCAAAGCCCAGGCAGTCACCAACGTTACCAGTGGGCACGGTGGCATTCTGCTGAGCAGCATACACCTGCCAAGAAGGAGGGGCAGCAGCAGCAGCACGGCGGGCAGCAGCAGAGCTAGAGTTAGAGGCAGGCACGGGGCAAGCCATGAAGCCGGAAGCGCCCTGGCCGGAGTAAGTCCAGGTACCAAGAGGGTTACCGGAGGCACCGGGGGTGTACTCGAAAGGACCCTGGGACGAGCCGGCGGGAATGTAGCCGGAGTGGGGGGTGGTGAAGCTCAGGGCGCCGGAGGGGGCGACGTAGATGCTTTGGCCACCGGGGACGACAACATCCTACAGATTCGTTAGTTTGTTTGTTGGTTGAGGGTGTAGAGAGGGGATTGGTTAGATGAGATGCTTACAAGAGCGGACTGGCCGTAGATGATGGTCTCGTTGGTGCGGCCCGCGCAGCCCGGGACAACCTCGCTGGGGCAGTAAGTGGAGCTCTTGCCGCCGAGGAAGAAGTGGCTTCCCGAGGCAGTCAAGGGGAGGAAGTGAATGGGGGAGCCGGAGCGGGCGGCTGTGACGCCAAAGGGAGCGTTGGAGTCCTTGGCCTTGGTGGTGCCGACGCGCGAGCCCGGGAGGGCAGCAACGAGGGGAATGATGGAGAGCAGAGCAGAAATCTTCATTTTGAAAGAGTGTGAAGAAATAGCGAATGTATTGATAAAAGTTGAGAATGACAATGAGAAAAGGGAACGAGGAGGAATTGAGCAGGTCTTAAATGCAGCCCGGGTGCAGGATGGATCTCATACTTCATCCTGGATCCATAGAATTCCCCATGTGCCGTCCAGGGTGTCTTGATCGGCAGTGCATTTACTACTTGGCTGCCATGGTCCATCAAATTCTATGTATATCTGTGCTCGGGCTAAGCTTAGCGTACCAGAATCTTCGACGCGAGCTTCAGAGACTCCATCGGAAGGTTCCGTTTTGGGAATAGCGTCGAGCTTACAGGAACGGAAGCCAATAGCCGATGTTGAGTGATTGCCTGCCTGGAGGACTGTGGATATATTCCAGGGTCCGTAATCAGGAATTGTGGTCTCCTATTGGGGAACTACTGACGGGCCCTGAAACATGCTGCATGTTCTCCACTCCGAGATGAAGTGATCGACAGCCACCACCAGGGTTTGGCAGGTTGTTAAGCAGGATTGGGCAGCGATAACGCTTCATTGAGTGATAAGCTCCATGCTGTATGTAGATTCGATACTCAAAAAGTTGAAAATCCCCAACTTTCATTAGACTCAGACCTGTCGCGGCAAATATTACATATCGGGGATTTCTTTTGATGGTTCGATTCAAGCGATCAAAGCGAGGACCCTGACGGGATGGACGTTTCAGGGAAGTCAAGTCACAGAGGTCGGGAGAAGGGATCGACAGGTGTCTTACCGTAACCCCGTGGCAAATATAGAACATCGCGATGAAGGCGCAGACCAGAAAATTTGGAAAAATCCATATCTTGGACGACAGTGTGATCCAAGGCAACTGTCCCCGGTCAATGGTCGGATTGTCTCCATTCAGACCCACAGTGTCTCGGCGAAGACGGTTTTGACATCACACCCGATGCGGGCTCCGATCGCCAACGGAGCTCCCCGTATTCTGCAGAAAAAGTATTGAGATATTATGATCTGGTGGTGGCAACACATCGGGACCTTCATATTGACTTCTCGTCATACATGCAGGTGACAAATCGTTCCAGTGGAACCTTCACGGTCTCGACTCAATCAAAAGCAATCTGCCTGTGACGTGAAAACGAGGTGATCATCTTTGCGGATTCCGTAGGTGGGCCGAAAAGGAGTCAATGCGAATGCTGACACCGCCACATCTTGCGGCACATTTTTCCCGGGTAAAAGCCCGCGTGGAGATAAGAATTGAGGCGCAGTTAGAAGCCAGAAACAGTGTCTTAGCTTCCAAACTGTAGCAACTACCATGGCCTATTGTCAGGACAAGGTTGAGATGTTGTCATGAATACGGAGGTCCGCACATCCAACATGAATCAATTACATATCCAGTACGCTCGGTCCACGAAAGTACCGATGATTCCGTGACCCCCAAGATAGCTAGCCTACATGAAAAAAAAAAAATTATCTATTGTCTGGGCATTAATAGTTATACATGGAGAACGCTAATATCCACAACAAAAAAGGGGAGCCTAAGCACCTAGAATTCAGCCACCAACGGTAGATCCCGAGAGCTTCTTCCAGCCCAGATGCGGAACGATTTCTCAGTTGGAAGAACCCAGTTCTGTTGCCGGACACTCCAATAGCTAAGATCCTTCCGCGTCAACGTCATATTGACAATCTTCGTTTCGTTGGGCTCTAGCGACACCTTTTCAAAATTTCGGAGAACACGGTTGGGGAATTCAATTGATTCGGGGGTTTTGCCAAACCCGCGGGATTCCACGACGTCGGCGGGAAATGAGACGTAGATCTGGATCACCTCCTTTCCAGGCCTGGAGCCTGTGTTTGTGAGCTCGACAGAGAGCTCCAGCATGGGTTCGTAGAGCGAAGGGTTGCCACCGGGGCCACCTCCTGCGGCGGATGGGTGTTGTATGTCTTTATATCCGTCTGGATAGGGGTATGGCCCGGCTTTGGTTCCTTCCCTTGACTTTAGGTAGGGGTAGATGTATTTGCTGAGGATGTTGAAGTCCGATGGAAAGAGGGATGAAGAAGGGCTTTCGGGTACATTCTCATACTCTGGAGGGTCGATTTGATTCTTGGGACTCTTTGCGGGCAATCGTGACTTGTCTTGCAACTGCTGGATCTTAAGCGATCCGAACTCAAAGGTAGTGTAGGAGAGACCGTAGCCGAACTCGTAATGAGGGGTGACGTTGAACTTGTCAAAGTACCGGTAGTCTAGATAGAGGCCTTGGGTGAGGAACACTTGCGGAACAGGTTCACTGGACTCGTACAATATTTGTGCGCCGGGTCCGTAGTCTTCCAATGAGCGGCCAATTGTATAAGGTAACCGTCCGCTAGCGTCAACATCACCGAAAAGAACATCCACTAGAGCGTTTCCGCTTTCTTGACCAGGGAGATTGGCATACAGAACAGCCTCGATGCCAGGAAGATCGATCCACGGGTCTAGAATAACCGGTCCGATGGAGTGCACCACTACAATGGTCTTGCCGCGGCCACCGCCGCAATGGTGAGCCACACCTTCGATCAGACCAGTACCATTTCGCTGCAGGAAAAGGTCAGGACGGTCTCCATCAACGCCGTCCTTCTTGATGAATCCTTCGCCTCCATCGGCATTGGCGAAAACAAGGCAGAGATCTTGTTCGACCAGATCTTGCACCGCCACATTGTTGGTTAAATATGCCTGGGTATCTACTGTCTTGGATGACCATGCGGACTTCAAAGCATCCCAAGGATTGACAAGGTACGGGAAGTTCACGGCACCACTTCCCCAGCCGGAAGCCAGGGTGCCCTGGTTACAGCCACGGTCGGCGCAGAAGTTGGGACCTTGTCCGGGGCCGGCATCTTCACCGTAAATACCAACACGGTATCTTCCAGTGGAACGAGACGAATTGCGTGAAAGTGGTAGAATGTCATTAATGTTCTTCAACAACACGATCCCTTCTGCCGCTACCTTGCGAGCCACATTTCCGTGGGAATGGGGTCCTTTCCCCTGTGCGTTGACAAAGTAGTTAACTACCTCATTGGTGTGGTCATCCGGGCTACCGGGATGCAGACTACCATTCCTCTCATGGGTCCAAGATGAGAAATTTGGACCAATTTTGTCCTGCGTTGGAGAGCCTTCCCATGTATCTTGACGGAAATGGTAATAGGCCGCCACGATACGACTAACCATATCGTTGAGCCGATCCATAGGAACAGAAGTGTTCAAAGCTGCGCGAGTCAGATGGGGACCCCAAAGTGAGTCTCCGTCTTGCCAGTGTAAACCGTCTCCGGGCATACTCATATCAAGACCACTCAGAGCACTTTGAACACCCGACCGCTGAGCAAGCCAATCGGATTGAACAAACCCTTGGAATCCAAGTTCATCTTTGAGAATGCCATTAAGAAGCTTGCTATTCTCGCAAGCGTGACTGTTATTTACCATCTGGTATGAGCACATCACGCTTGCCACGTCCGCTCGAACACTTTCAGCGAAAGGCCACACAAAGACTTCATGTAATGCCCGATCGTCTATATTGGATGACATCGCTGTCGGGATGCCCCATTCAAAGGGCTGACGGAAATGTTCTTGCTCATTGAGCACGAAGTGCTTGGCTGTCGCCATTACACCATTGCGCTGAATACCTCGAATGGTCTCTGCCGCGGCCACGCCTTGCAGGACAGGGTCCGATCCAAATGACTCCCAGTTACGGCCTCCCGCGGGATTCATTCCCAATGCGCCCATGGAAGGGCCAAGAATCACATTGACCCCTTTTAAGCGAGCTTCCCGACCGAGCGCAACGCCTCGGGCTCGCATGAGCTCGCGATTCCACGTCGCGCCAGTTGTGATGCCAGCTGGAAACGCAGAGATATTCTCAGCGAATCGGAGGCCTAAGGGGCCATCTTGTAGGCAAAGGGAGGGAAAGTTGACGCGCGTAGCAGGACCTGCATCAAGAACCTATTAGCATCGAATATCTCAATCACGGACCAAGAATATTCACCAGTATTTCCAACACACAGCCCCATCATCCAACCCGTGCCCGTCGTGACATTGACTTTCTCCAATATGCTCATCTGCTGCACAAGTTCATGGGCCTTCTTGTAACTTTCCTCCCATGCGGCATCCGTGCCACCCAGGGGCGTGGGGTACCAAGGTACAGAATCCTTAAACGGTCAGCATGTTGTACAATTCACGCCGGTCAAGATGAAAACAGAGGGTCGTACAAATTCCGCCACCACTTTCCTATTGAACGACCTTCTTAGTCCAATAGCTGAGAGCCACATCACCACCAACCCAATCGCAAGCAGAGCACATATCTGCCACCAAGGACGCTTATGAACGACTGCCTGAATCTTCGATCGGAAAGTCGCATTTCCACTGTTCTCGTCATCGGTGTAGGGCCGCTTGTCAGCCGGGAAACCATATAGTTCATTATCCTCGTCGCTTAAGGCAAGAAGAGAGTCACCGTCTTCGAGATCCAGATTGAAGGATTCCGATAACGCACTCCTCTCCCTTTGATCCTTTTGTAGAAGCTGCTCGATCCGATCGCCAACGACATGAGGGTCGTCATTGGCAGCCACATCGTCCGAGTCACTTGAGGATATCCTTCGATTCCTTGTAGCTGTATTCCGTCGAGAGCGGTGCGATTTCGATTTAGATCCGTCGTCCGCTTTCATTGGGAGAAGCTTGAGGTTGGCTTCATCCTCGATTGGAAATTCGTCATCGCTCGATAGGAGCGTGTCTGCGGCGTCGTCCCGGGCTCCGACCAGGTTCTTTGTGTGGTCATCGTGGAAGTCATCGTCTGTTTCGATTGTCGTGTGCTCGTTTGAATTGTTGGAATCCAGCGTCTCGTACCCTTTTCGAGCCATGTTTGAGGATCCACGTTTGGTGTGGGGTTGTTTGCAGCTATCGCGTTGGGGTCTTGGCGGTGGAGAAGGGTTCAATTATCGGTGACGCGTAAGATACATCATGAGTTTGAAGTAACCTTAGGTTACTGAGCGTACCAGACAATTAAACGGTTATTTTGATTGGGAAAAAAGACTTGCAGCAACCTGATTGACAGGTCGAGGAACTCAGGCACGGTCACCTGACTGAGCCAAATTACGCGATTCTAAGACTCATTCTTGTCAACAGATGGAACATCGGGTGATACGGTGAGCCCGAGACCGAAGAAGACCAATATTCGGGTGCCAGAGTCCTGGAATAAATATTTCAAAAAGTGGGATATCGTTCACTAAAGAGGTATCTTGGGGGTTCATCAAAGGGTCAACGCCGAGGGCATGGTTCCATACTATTATACTTCTCCATCAATAGTCTGCCCCAGACTACTGTGCGTCATGACTTGTTATTATTCAGTCCGATGAACACTACCAGAACAGCCGCGTATGTTGCTGTTGAAACCAATGTCTCCACATTCGACACCCGGATCACAAGCGAGAGTACTAGCGCAAAGACAGTGACACAGACAGAGACAGTCACCAGGCTCTTGGTCTGCGATGGGTGCAAAATCATGATAATCATGGGGACCACAAGAAATATTCCTCCTGCGAAAGCGAGGATCAACCGGGTTAGCCTATCAACGAATGCAGACACCTCCCTGGGGACCCTTCGCTCGCTATATTCTTTCCCCCGAGAAATTCGTTCTTCTCTTGAGAAGGTCAGCCAAGATGGTAGGTAGCGCATCAAGGCACCGCGTAATGGATCGACTCTTTCGTCTGCGTCTTGAAAATAGCAATAATGGGAGTGGAAACCGTCATTGACTCTGGCCTGGAAGAATCGTTGCAAGAGAAGTCTTCGGCTCCGCGCTTCTCCCTTCTTAAGCGCTTTTTTATTCTTTAAAAACTGATAATTTCGGATTGCTGTAGCTATTGAACGTAAGCCAAACCATTCTGGTTGGTTGGTGATTTCTTACCATAATCCTGTAGCTTGCTTTCGAGCGTGTCTAAATCCTTGACAGCAGCTCGTTTGTCACGTTGGAACTGGCCTTTTAAGTGTACCAGATCAAGTTCAAGTCGGACAATATTGAGCCTTTGAAGGAACTCAAAGCGCAAGAAGTGGAATTCTTCTTCTTCGTCCAAGGATCGGTTGACATACTCAACAAGATCTTTCACCTCGTCCAAATCCTCAGTCACACTGTCCACCTTGTCCGACACCATGATATCAGCTATGGCAAGTGCTGTGCAAGGCTTCTGAGAGTGAATGTTAATAAAATCTCTTGTGGCAGTGCCAGTGGCGGTGTTGAACTGCAGTGGTTCTTGTTGGTGTTAGGCTTACTTGCATAAGCGCGCAGTTGCTGCGCCACCGCTCCCCTTGGTGGAATCATGAGCTGAAGGCTTATAATCGAAAGACATGATCACAGGAAGTCTCCAATTGTTCCTCAAGAATTTCTCTGAACAGTTTCCCATCATGTCTTTGCCCGCAAGCGTCGACCTTAGCTCGGTCCAGCGATGGCGTAATAGCTCTTCGACAGATAGCAAAGCGCGCGAGCAATGGCCTAGCCAGCTTCATTCACACCTACCAGGGACTAAGTCTCGGTCAAGCCAGGCTGTAGAGAATTATCAGCAGCTTCGGAAAGCAGACAAAACTCTCTCGGATGAGGCATATCGACAAGTCCATGATGGGGATGCGCCCTCACCTGAGTTTCAAGAAGAAATGCGCCAACTCAATGATGAAGATCCACCTAGCACCCCCGAGACGGCATCCCTGGTAAGCTTCCAGATCTCCAAGACAAGTTTCAATACCTACGAGATGTCAGGCAAGAAACGTCGCCCGCATCACAGTCGCTCAAGGGCGGAATCGACGCACTCGACAGGATCTCAAGTCTCGGATGCGTCGGTAGAGCCGGGTTATTCTGTTTTTCACGCAATGGTTTATCTGATAGAGGAGAATCTCAAAGCCAAATTTTTACGGCCTCGACTGATTCGCAGCACAAAGCCGTGTGCTAAGGAATCCTGCAGGCTTGCAATAATGGCTCTTCTACACAAAGTTCATAAACGATACGACTTGTTGGATGAGATTGCGGTCACGAGCAGAGGTAAGAGACAGTTATTAAGAATAGTAACTTTAATTGTCTAAGACGATACTGATATCGCGATGTCCTAGCTCAACGCAATGATGACCTTGTAGAGCTATACGATGACATGAAGCTTGCTTTTAAAGACTTCACTTCAGAGTCTGTATACCGCAAGGGCTCAGACGAATTTTACACTCAATTTACTTCCGAAATCTCAGAATTTGGCTTCAGATTGGATCAATGCATGGGTCTGAACCTCGATGAAGGAGTTGTGTCTCCCGGCGGTCAGGGATCACACCCAGTCAGGCAATCGCAATTGGCCCTCGATAGGAGCAAATACGAAAATGCCAAAGCCAAGATGATGTATAAGTTATCCAGACATAAGTGTCATAATTTATCTCAAAACCGGGTGCAGAGCCAAGGCGGAACAATATTGGGGCGTCTGTTTAATCGAGCCCAATAGTTTCATTGTGGCAGACGCAGATGCAGCATGAGAGAAGCAATCGCTCATGTTTGCAAATTTCGGATTTAATCGACTTTCCTCTAGTGCCGTGAACTTCGGTGCCTTCTGAAAAGCCCCATCCACCACCTTGTCTATCGGTAGTGACGGCATTGTCGCAACTCAAAACCGAAGTAAGAGCTAACTGAGGAAGAACTGAGCAATAAAGTAAGAGCTGATCGAGAACAGGCCGAGGTTCAGATTGCGAGCTTCGTGAGAACAATTTGATAAACGAAGTGAGAAGAACCTCGTTCAGTTGTCGTTGAAAATTGGAGCAAAAAGAAGTTGAAGAGGCAGAAAGAAAAAGAAGAAATAAAGGAAAGACTGAGGATATTTATATCCATACAATAAATAGGCAGCGATAATTGTTTCCTTCCTCAACGTGTTGTCTATACATGATAAATCTCTATAACCACCACCCAACCTTTGCCTGACTGAAATTCATGCTGAAACGACATCCAAGCAGTGTTAACCTTTGTGGAGGTAGAACTATCACGTCTGAGAGCCTCATACTGTCCACGGCGAAAGACAATGAAGAGATCATCTGAGAAACTATACTAAAGTACCGCTTATCCGAAAACCTTATGAGCCAAAAGCGCGAACATCCCCGACGGTGACCAAGCAGGGTATCTTCTTCAAAGCCTCCAATTGTACAATTGCATTTGTTCCAGGCTCTCTTGCCTCAATGAGTACACGTGGTTGGGAACAGTCAAATCCCCCGTTATACAGAGGCTGTCAACCTCGGGAACACTCCCACAAGGAGGCTCTAGTTCATAAGAATCCTTATTATTAGTAAAATTGCACATCACATCTCATACGAAGAGAATCAAAAAGGACGATGTCACGATATTCGGGAATACCAGCTGGGGGATCCTTATTGCACAAAATTATTATCAATTATCACCACAATAGAGCTATATAAAGTGCCCAAGCGGGCAAAAAGAAAGAAACAGCCCTCATTTTACATCAGCGGGTAAGCCGGTCAAGATTGAGTAGGCTCTACCACTTAGTTGGTAATACCGGTCTCCTTCTTACCGTTGACCTATTCAACAAGTCAGCAAAATATCCAATCATTCAGATCAAGCCAAAAAAAAAAAAAAAAAAAAACAGGAGAACTTACAGTACGCGAGTAAGGAATACCAACGTTGTACTTGCTGCGCAGGTCATAGGGGACAGGGCTGATGTAGTTGTAAGAAGGCTGACGACGGTGGTAAGTCTCCTTGACAACATCAACAATACCGTGACCAGCATTGCAAGCACGCTCAGTCTCGGGAATAGGCCAGAAGGGCTCGTAGTCGGAGTAGTCGTTCTCGGACATGGGGCCGGGGTAGGTCTCGTTCATGAGGTTAGGCACGGCAGAGAGGTCAACATCCCAGTTTACAAATCCGGTCTTCTCGGCGACGAGCTTGAGGATGTTGGCACCGCAGTCCCAGCGACCGAGGGAGGGGAGACCCCAGTTAGCGCTGAGGGAGGCAATGATGGAGTAGTGGGTGTAGAAGGTGTCGTCAGTGGTTCCCTTCAGGTGCTCAGGGACGGCACCACCGAGCAGGATGCTGTAGACGCGGTTCTCCTCGGTGTAGTTGCCAGTCTCGTCGAAGGTGACGAGGATCAGAGTATCCTTGTTGAAGTACTCGTTCTTGAGGAGAGGGGACAGGAAGCTGGCAAGGAAGTCTCCACCGACCTCAATATCGGTGTCGTGGCAGTCGTTGGTCATGTCTAGGTTGGTTAGCTTTAGTTTTGAGAAGAGTGAGCTGGAAACATACTAGGGGTGATGAAGGAGTACTGGGGGATGCGGTGGTTGTCGAGATCATCGTAGAAAGAAGTGAAGTTCTTGATCTGGCGGGGACGAGTGTCATCGTTGGTGACCGACTCGAAGATGATAAGAGGATCGTGCTTGCGCATGTAGTCGTTGGCCATGGTCTTCTGGTTAGAGAAGTTGTATCCCTATTTCGTTATTAGCTTGAGACCAGAGATAGAGGTAGATATAAAGACTAACCTGGTAACCAGCGTAAGGCAGAGCCTCCTGGTATTGACCCCAAGAGATACCCTTGGTGTCGAACAAATCGGCAATGGTGGAGACATTGGCGGGGATTTGGTGGAAATCGTCATTGTCCATACCAAAGTTGTCACCAGCAGCAGAGGCAACGTAGTTGGGCTGCGAAGGGTGAGTGGTGGCAAAGTAGTTGGTCAAGAGGATACCCTCCTTCGCGATCTTAGCAAAGTTGGAATCTTCGGCAGTGGTTTTGTAGTCCTATTTCAAAAGTTAGAAAAGCAAATTAGAACGCTGTTGAATTGACTTACCTGGTTCTCGAACCAGATCTGGTGGAACTTGTCGAAAGCCAGACCCTTGACGTTGGAGACAGGGGAGTAGGGCACAACCGTAGCGGCGGCAGCCTCAACCTCAGCCAAGGAGGGCATATCATCGGTGACGGGGATAGTCCTGGCCGAAGCCAAGGACATGGTGCCAATGAAGGCGGCGAGAGTCTGCTTGTTGAACATGGCGTCTCTTAGGCTTGTCAGTCAACCGATGGTGCACTGGAATAGAAAAAAAAAAAAAGATGATCCTTGGGTAGCGCACGCGATCTTATACTCGCTGCGGAGATATCGATAGCCAGTCGGAGATCGCACATTGCTAGATTACTTCCCATGCGGGGCTCTTTTCCCACGGTGCAACGGTAAACAACCCGGGCAGAAGGCATCTCCACACGGTGGTCGCATGGTGCAGCACGCTGCATTTCCCGTGCAAGTGACTGGCTGAATCTCAGATTCTCGGGGGCTCATGCTCGCATGGGGCACAGAAGGAGTGGGGCATGGAAAGTCGTTAATCTCCATTGCGGTTGGACAAGATATGTGGTGGGGTCCGTTGTGCCTGGCACGTTCCACGCCAAAGCATCTTCACTGGTTCGAGATGTGGATCCGTCAGATTCGCCGGCTATAAATCGCATAAGCGACAACAACATGGCGGGACAAGCTTTACCAAGCATATTCGCCCACCGGCTGTGCCGTCCTTGGCCTTTGTGGCTCTAGACTACTATACTCATTTCGCTTGGACCCCCGATTGGTGGCTTGAACCATACGGCTACATCGGCTTATTTCTTTAGGATGCTAGCGCGTGGTTTCCTGCAATTTTCCCGAGTTCGAAATTGGCTCCGACAATTGCCGTCGGTACCGTATGGAACTTCGTATAGAGAGGAGTCGGGCTTGGTCATTGAGGAGGCAAACTAAGGTCCAATGAAGTAGTCCGACCGACACGCAGGGCTGGTACAATAACTAGCCGAGATATCGATATTGAGAGATGTCGGCATTCAGGGCTAGTGGATCTCTAAGTGCCAAGATATAGAGTGGCTTATGCGCGTCTTTTTCTAGAACCGGTTTGTTGATTTTTATGTAGATTTGCTGCTAATATGCCTAGAAAACAAACCAACCCGATAACCGAAAGCGGACCACCTATGGTAAACCATGAAACTCGTTAAGGAGGCGAGGATTTCAACCTGCAGTGTTGATAAACAAGGCCGAGAGTCAGCCCAAGAGATAGGGCGTACTCTGATGATGTTAATAGTTGGCTCGATGTCTCGAACAATACTAATCTCCGAACTTAGAATCGTGCAGCTCCTTCGGAATCTTACTCGTCAAACACCATGACCTAGAGTCAGCCCTACGATAGGGATTGCGTTTGCGGCTGCTGTATCCCAGTTGCTTGTCTGCTAGTCGAACCATGTCAGCGAAAATAAAACAAGAAGTTGATCTCATTTGGAATGACGTCCGGCCTACCGAGCATACGTTACAAACCATGTTGTGCATTGGCTCAATTGACCTCGGCTAGGCTATCCTCTTCCGGACCAGGATACACGGCTAAACGCTTCAATGGCTTTTGATACTCTGCGGTTTACATTTAACCTACCGCTTTAAGCATTTCTCTCACACTGAATAACACCTGGATTTATTTACACCTGTACACGCCAAAGAATTCATGAATATGGATGGAAGCATGGTCATGAACCTGCGTTTCACCATTGGAGTGGGTAGAAATGGCGGATTTATAGGGCTCGATTTACGAGAAGGATTGTCATGGAAAATGTGCTCAATATTCGAAATCACTTTTGTTCAAGCAACGACTGGCAGGTTTATTCCCAGTCCACAAGCTAAGAATGCATATCTACTAGAATTGGAGAAAGAAATTAACTCCGAGCGCCGTCTATCTAAGTCCCATGCATATCCAAAAACTATGTACCTCTCTGATCAGGCACGCATGCAAGCAAAATAACCAACATGAACATGAACATGACAAAGCCCATTACACGTCAAAGTTTACCAGGTCAATAGCCGGGCACAATTACTCATCATCACTGTCGACGGGCTTGGGAGTACCCTTGGGGGAGTTGAGCCACTCAATGTGACGCAGACGGCGACGGACCTCACGATCCTTCTGCTGAGCACGAGTCATCTTCTTCTTCTTCTTGGCGCGGAACTTGAGCTCGCCCTGATCCTCGGCACCGGAGTTGACAGCAGAAGGGGCGGCGCTGGTGGCGGTCGAGAGAGCGGCAGGGGTACCAGGGGTCGAGGGGGAGTTGTTGGCGCTGTCCTCAAAGCGGTCGAGGCTGATAGCGGTGTTGGTACGGCTGACAACGCGACCATCGGCAATGTGCAACTGCTCGGGGCACAGGGCACCGACGAACTCCTCGTTGTGAGAAATCATGACCACACCACCCTTGAAGTCGCGAATGGCAACGGCCAGACCACCCAGGGAGTCACGATCCAAGAAGTTAGTAGGTTCGTCAAGCACCAGCAAGTGGGGGTTGTTCCACATGGCACCGGCAAGCACGACCTTGACCTTCTGACCACCAGAGAGACCGGAGATTTCGTTGTGGTTGGCAATTTCGGGGTCGAGACCAATGTCCTCGAAGTGCTTGGAGATGGTAGGGGGGTCAAGGACACGGAATCCAAGACCCTCACGAGAAGCCTCGTGATCATCGAATTCCTGGACCATTTTGTAGAATCCAAGCTCAGTCAGGGTCTCGCGGGAGATCATGACGTTGTTCTTTGGGAGCAAGCCAACCCATTTCCTACCCAGGTTAGCAATGATCAATTGAACAGGACTTAATGATAACTTACACTTCGTACTGGAAAGACTTCTTCCACTTCTGGCGACCCATGATAGCCTCAATACGACGAGGACCACGGCCATCGCCAAGGTCAACGGGAGTCTCCAGCTGCTTCTTGTCGGCCTCGGTCAAGATACGGGTCTGCTTCAAGAAGACTTCGCGGTCATCACCGTTGGCGTAACGCCACTGCAGATACTGGCTGGGAGTTTTCTCCAAGTGCATCTCAACGTGCTCAAGAGCGTGCTGCTTGATGTATCCAATACGCAGGTTGGGGTGCTTCTCGACCTTACCACTCGAAGGAACGGTCTCACCAGTCAGAATTTTGATGAAAGTAGACTTTCCGGCACCGTTTCCTCCGATAATAGCGACACGGGAGGAAAGAGTCAGCGACAGGGAAGCATCATGCAAAGAGGGCTTAGGGGCACCCGGGTATTGGTAGGAGACATTGCTCATGCGCATGATGGAGCGGGTGGCAGACTTGATACCGGACAGGATACCAGGAGGGGGGAACTTGAACTGGACCGTCGAGGCAGACAGAGTGTAGTAGCTCTTACCCTCGGGCTTGACCTTGACGAAAGCAGCAAGGTTACCAGGATAGCAGACAAGCTTCTTGCTCTCGTAGTGGTAGATGTCTGTGCAGACCTCATCGAGGAAACCGGAGTCGTGAGAGACGATCAAGGAAGTAATATCGGTGTGCTTCTTGAGGTACTCCTGCAACCACTTGACGTTGGCAACGTCGAGGTGGTTAGTCGGCTCGTCAAGCAGGAGAACATCAGCCTTCATGAGCATAGCACGGGCAAGCGCCAGCTTCATCTTCCATCCACCTGACAGAGATCCAACGGGCTGGGATTGGCGACCTTCCGGTCCATCGGTGAAGCCGAACTCGAGAAGAACGCTGGAAATGGCCTCCTTGCCTTCGGCAGCAATCTGGGGGTCCTTGGAAACATATTCCAGGATGCTGAGGTCGGCGTCCTCACCCTGGTTGTGCTCCACGAAGCAGGTACGGACTTCAGACTGTGGGGGGAAGCCTTCAAGCTTCTCATTGGCGATACTGCGCATAAGAGTGGACTTTCCAGCACCGTTGCGACCACACAGGCCGTAACGGTGACCCTTCAGCAGACGCAGGTTGGTGTGGGACAACAGAAGCATACCACCGTAAGCGAGAGAGAAGTTGGCATTGACGATCTCAATCTCGTTAGGGTCATCGGGAATTGGCTTGCCATACTTGCGCTCATCCTCCGCAACGTAGTGGGCCTGAACAGCGGTGGCGATAGCCTCAAGGTGCTCATCGGCCATCATACCGCGCAGATAGGGAGTGATGCAAGAGGGAATACGATCGTGCATACGAACGTTGACATCCTCACGAACCATGCTGGCAACGAACATCTTGGCCAGCTCGATGAACTTGGCATCACCAGTCAGGCCGCCGTGCTCCTGGAGCTTAGGGTTCAAGATAGACAGGACTTCCTCGGGGGTGACCTTGGAGATCGAACCAGAAGCGACATTGTCGTCGCTCATAGCAGTCTCCATGACATTCAGGGCGCGGGTAGCAAGCTCACGGACCTCAGGGAGAGAAGCACGGTCCTTGACGGCCTTCACACCAGGCTGGAGCTTGGGCAAGAAGGTACGGGCCTCGGCAGGGTCGTGGACCAACTTGGTCAAATTCTCGACGACGACGACAGTTTGACGAAGAGTCTCCTGGGGAGTAGTGGGGGTGTTAAGAGAGCGCTCCAGCAGGGGAGTAAGGAGGGCTAGCACGGGGGACGTGACAATAGCAACGAAGGTAGTCTGCGAGAGGGCGTGGATAGCCTTCTGCAAGGTCTGGGCAGAGGGCTGCTCCATGGTCTTCATCAAGAGGGGAATGCGAGGGGCAACATCATCGTTGGACAGGAGGGTGGTGAGAGCGGTCATGGTCTTGGTGGCCTGCTTGGCGACTTCGGCCTTCAGGTCGTGCATGCCAGACTCGACAACCGGGATCAACTCCTTCAGGGTCTTTCCCATAGCCTCGCGCAGCACATCCTTCTGGCGTTCCTCGTCCAAGGAGCCAGTGCCCATCTGAGCACTGGAAGCCATCTTCTCCAGCAGCTTGAAACCGCCAACGAAGCCTTGCCATTTTCCGGAACCCTTGCTGAGGTAAGACTCGAGGGCCGGGAGCAAAGCGTTGACCTTGGCCTCAGGGCTCAGGCCGTTGTAAAGGGCATCCACGGCATACTGGGCTGCATCGCGGACAACGGTACCTTTGTCGGCGAGGGAGTCCAAGACCACGTTGAGGATGCCTCCATCCTGCAACAAGAAGACGGCCTCACTAAGGGGGAACTCGCGGGGGAAGCGCTCGAACAAAGCGCCGATGATCAACATGGCACTCTCACGGCGGGATCCGCTCTTCTTGTCGGTAGCAGCCTTCCGGGCCTCGGCGAGAACATCGTAGTTCAGCAGACCGGCAGCACCAACGCTCTGAATAAGCAGATTTGTCAAGGCATAAGAGGCGTCCAGGGACTGCTGGGAGCTCTCTGCTGTGAAGATGGTGTTGAGAATAGAGGAAATCTCTTCGGATGTGGGGGCGACCCCGGAAGGAGTTTTGGAGACAACGGTCGGCATAGCGGGCGACTCAGATGGGGAGACCGTGTGTGGCATTGTCTTCGTGGTGAATATTCAAGAAAATAATCTGGTTTGTATATATACCAGATTGTGCGACAAGTTGGCGGGGTGTCCTTAACAAAGGCGCCGAGGGGCGAAAACTTGGAAGCACAAGAAATCAGACGTAAAAGATGCAAATCGTACCAGGCGCTATCTGGAAGGAGCTGTACAAGGTCCAGAGACGGCGGTCGATGCTCCAATCCACTTGACTTGAACAGCGAAGGGATAGAGGGGGGTAGAGGGGGAGGGGGGAATTCAAAAGAGAGGCTATCAGCGATCGGGCTTATCCACACAATTTTTTTTTGTTTGGGCGGCGACAGCGGGCCTGAGCCAATCATAGTACACGCTATTGCCATGGGTCACCACTTGCCCTGATCAGGTTAGCCTTATCAGTCGCCACGCCTCAGGCACCGTTGAAAATTTCAAAAGAGAAAAGAGTAAGGCAGGTTATGTCATACTTCCGCCAATCACAGGCTCGCGATTTGATGCAAGGGGTCTTCCACCTGCCAACTGTACAATGTGTGGCCAGCTTGTTGATAACGTAGAGATATCCACTGCCCTGGGGAATCCATGGATCCTATGGAGAAATCCATGCTGATATACACCTGGGCACCCGCTCACACCTGGGTGGTCCTGGACCCATTCTCTAGTTACTGTTGACCACACCTTGGTTTTGTCACCTGGCAATGCGGAATATATATTCGTGATCAACACTCATGCGCAAACCAAGCCGCTTCCCAGATTGAGATTTCTTAATCGAAAATTGGAGATTCTTTTAGACCTCGTGCTTCCCCAACACCCATGGATTGAGTCAACATTGGCTCGAAGGATTGAAAATCATCTGGTAACTACACCTGAGGTTCTGGCTTTAATGTGACATGTTGAATGCACACCCATGTCCAAGATTTCGCCAAGATATGTGTAAATATCTGGGTGTAGCAATCTAGGACCGGGGCCTAGCTATCCTTGGGACTAAATAAGAAGGTATGGGACTAGACAATCAGAAGGAGATTAAGAAGGTTTCATGGTTGCTTTGATGGTCACTCTATACCGAACTAACCAGCAGAACAGTATCTCGGAGGCTTAGCCACAGTAATTATATGAGATAACTTAATTTGGAATAAAGCAAAGCATCGGTGATTTTGTACATTTCGTGACCAAAGACAGGTGTGCTCGCAGATACAAGCACTTGGTAGTGTCTTCGATTTCAACCGTGAGATGATATTCAGAAATTCGAGGCTTTAGTACTTTTCCGCCCTTTCCTGCCTTTTGACGGATCTTTAGTCCTTATTTGCCAAAGGATACATGTTGTTAGGCCACTTTTAATCTTGGAGTCTAGTTTCACGCTCGTCGAATTCGGGAAAATGTGTCGCTCGGACATGGCCAACCACACGCTAAATAGCGACCAAGTGTTAGCTGCATTTCGGAGCCTAAGAATAGACCACAAAAGTACAAAAGTACGACATGGAAAATTTGCTGAGGACCCCTTAGTGATTTGCACTGTCCAAAAAAATGAGATGAAATATTTTGCAGAAAGTCCGGGGGCCTCAAGAGTACCTGATTTGGTGTCACAAAAATCGGTCATAATGTACTGTTTCCAGACCGCTGAAATGGCCCCACGAAGTTATCTTTCCTAGGCATCATTCATTTGTTCTGTTCACATTGGACATCCTTAGCGCCCATGGAATTGAGATCCACCGATGGTTCGGCCCGCTGTAAAAGGCTTGTTGATTTTTACTGGCCCACCGTCTACTCTGACGTCGTCGAACAGAAGCTAAGGACTAGTTTTCCGTCTTTGGACTCTAGCCACGTAGACCCCTGCAAGCCTCAATGTTTCAGCCCCAATTCACACCCGAGGTATGATTGTTGCCTGTGGCGGTGCATGCCAGGCTAACAATTTTGAGAGTAGTGTCCTCAGGCTGAGCGCAAGGCAGTGCTCATGGAATGCGATGGCCGTACCCATCAAGGTGTATAATAATAGCAGCGTTGCTCAGGGGACTCATGGTAAATCCACAGACTCAAGGCAGATCCAGTCGCCCAGCCTCATTGAGCATTGCCCATTTGACCATCACAATATTTTAAGCTTTCTCTAAATAAGCGTCCTCCCCAATGACAGAACAAACAGTCAAACTTGGCGACATTATTGGTCTGGAAATTCCCGTCAATGGAAAATGGACATGTCTCGCAAAAACCAGAAAGCAAGAGCGTTGCCAGCATCCTGTGGCTATGAGCAAATGCAAGGATGCCTGCAATATCTTGCAACACAAGATGACTTTTCAGATGACGGAGCGTGATCTGATTCAAACCCATATAAAGAAGCTCGTGGAGCTCCTCTTTCTGAAAGGCTGCAAGCACAGCGACATTGAAGATCAAATGAGCGAGCAATTGACGAAATGGCTTGATCTCTGGCTCGCTGAGCTAGAAGAACCTAGCGTCCGCCAACGACACCAAAGCTATGATAGTGCAATTGCACTTGACGAACCTGAGCAATCTGAGCCAGAGGCAATTGTCCCAGACCACAGACCTCATGTAATCACACACATTCCGGCCACGATACTATATCCCACACTTCCGCTCGAAACCTCACCAGTGTCCACGAATGCCCCATTCCTTAGCACGGCCGAACCTATCTACCTCAACCGCACAATTTCCTTGAATTCAACAGAAAATGTCAGCGGCCAGATGACTGAGATTGCTAAAACATCCCAATCCCATGTTCTTGAGCATGACGCGCCACTAAGGCCGAACCAAACATCATCTCATGAGAACATGGGGCTCGGTGTGATTTTCAGCCCTAATCAACTGGGAGTTATCAACATTATTTTACAAATCGGTCTTCAATTTTGCGCATTTTTTCAAATACAACAGGGCTCTATTATATCTCGTGATGGGCCCGGCAATAAACGATCAGAATCATTTCTCCGTTTCAAACTCATATTTGGTGCGGAGTTTATCCCGTCAAAAATCCTCACAACTCCATGGGTGATGATTCCTTTGGTCATTTCATTAAGCCAAATTATGTATATACTTATTGGACCATGGCTAAGTTTCATGTTGTTTGTTTTTGTTGCTTTGGTCGGATCGTGCTCGTCGGAAACGATGGAAAAGGCTGTCGTCCGAAGAACCGAGAGAGCATATTGATGCACATGTGAATAAGAACGGTGATGAAATCTCCTTCCAAGAATTCGAAATTCTACCAATTCATTGTAGGCATTTAGAGGGAAGTATATAGCCGACTTGAAATCCCAACAAAATATCGACCGAGGGAGTAGATGGGAAATGACAAGCATCATATGTCATCGGAGCCTCAGATAAGATCGACCCAGTTATGCACAGTCGCATCCAACCAATTGTGATTGACGATCATCTTTTCACAAAACAAAAGTGTTCATGAAGAAACCAGGTGGGAGATTGCCCCAGGCGGCTATGAAAAACTAGAGCACCACAATATTAGCACTAGTTTCTCAACTATCGCAGAGGTTACCCTTTTAGGATTGAAATAATCATCTGAAAAGGGTGGGCAAGTGCCATCATTGGATGAAATGGTGTAGATCACCTAGGCGAGGACCCATTGCACCGGCAAATTCCTCTTAAGGGTGATCTAAGATCGCGTCGCACGATCGCAAAGCCGAGGCTCAACTCTACCTGCATCTCGAACACCACCTAAATATGCACAACAACGTTGCAATGTGCTGTGAAATCTATCGCTGATGGATTACTCGCATTTTACACGTCATAGAGAGACAATCAACATTACAAAATTCTTCCAATGGCCAGTCGCAAGCCCTCGGCATGTTTGTGCGGGGGAATTTCACGTGGGAAGCGACCGAGTGGATCCAGTTGTGGATACTTCATGGTTCTCTTGATCTACTTCTTCATTTGATGTGAGCTTTTGTTGGGGAAATCAGATCTACCCAGGGATCATCTAGCGCCATGAACCACTTCACATGTGTTTTGGAGTCCGATTTCTATACCCGGGGACGAATTGATATAAAACATGTCCCCCAGCCCACCATGAAGTCCAAGCACGGAATCGAACGCCACCATGGATACCAAACCAGCATCTAAGGACTCTATGAAGTCCACCTGGCGCACGGCTGACCGATCAGAATGGACCCACCAACACTGGGCATTGGAACTTTTAAATGCCCATCCAATTGAATTAGGCAAAGAAGTACCGGTCCACGCCAAAGAAGAGAAGATCCCGTTTATGCCACAATGGTCTCTCCAGCGATGGGTGCTATTTTACTCGGCTATACCCCTAATTCTGCATCAAGCTTATATGACTTATACCGGTCGTACCTTGGGGCCGATCGCTACATTCAATTTTTATTTCCTCGCCTTTAACGCGACTGTCATCTATCAAGTGCACGTCCTGCGACGCTTGGGTCATATATATGGCTTTCTGGATGGTGACAAACACGAGCGAGATGGAGTCCCCGACGTTGGTGTGGGCAAAGTTGTCACCTCGCTTTATAAGACCACCGGCTCCCGACTCGTGATGGCCGTCTACTTGACCTACAACAGAGACCAACTCCCTAGCCAATTGAACTGGCTCTGGCTTCCACTCATGATCGGTCTCTACGGAATCGTACTCGACTTCTGGTTTTACTGGTACCATCGTCTGATGCACGATGTGGGCTTCTTCTGGAAATTCCACCGCACCCACCACCTGACCAAGCACCCCAATCCCCTGCTTGCCGCCTACGCAGACCACGAACAGGAGTTCTTCGACATGGTCGGTGTGCCTTTTATGACATACGTCAGTCTTCGGTTTATGGGATTACCGATGGGGTTTTATGAGTGGTGGATCTGCCACCAATACGTGGCGTTCGCGGAAGTTTTCGGTCATAGTGGACTGCGGATGCATCTGACTGTGCCATCCACACTTAGTTGGTTGTTGCAGATATTCAACTGCGATATCGTTATTGAGGATCATGATCTTCACCACCGGAAGGGATGGAGGAAGAGCCACAATTATGGCAAACAGACTCGTCTTTGGGATCAGATCTTTGGGACTACTACTGATCGAATCGAGTCTGCGGCGAGTAATGTTGATTATTACAATGTGGCAAAAATGCCCTTGTTCTAGATGGCCTTTTATGATTGAGCATGATGCACTATGATGATGACGCACATATACTAAATTGTTTACTTGTGAGATGGAGGTATCTTCACATCGATCGCATAGTAAATCATCTTCATATTATTAGATTGAATACAATCAAAGACAAAAGAACATGGTAGCACTCTAAATCCTCAGACAAAGCCTCTTGCCTACTGGTAGGACAGCTGCTGATCAACAACATCACTAACAATCTTCTCAACCGAGCGCCACTTCAGTCCAAGAATCTGTTCAGCAGCAGTATTCTCAACGTCCCAATTGTCATCAAATGGAGGCTGCAGCTTAGATCCTAATGCGGGATACTTCTCCCTAAAATACTTCGCCGCATCTGCCCAAGACGAAGCAGGATGCGAAAGAATGAATTCCTTGCCACTTTCGGCATCAGTCTCCAAAGCTCTCACATGCGCATCAGCCACATCCCGAACATGAACCCACGCATTTCCGATGAGAGGCTGTTGGCTGAGGAAAGAGTTGTAGAAGAACTTGTTCATGCCCGCAACACCGTCTGCAGTCTCCTGGACCATATCGTCACCGAGGACGAAGACAGGGTGCAAAGTGAGGACTTTGTAGTGGGGATTTATCTCCTTGAGATAGTCTCGGGTAGCTTGGTGAGCTTTGATCTTGGACGCGGCATACATTAGACCGTGGCCTCCAAAGCCTTCGGGGAAGGTCATACTGACATCGACAGGTATGACTTCACCGGTGTTCTCTGTACATCATCAGTAACTAGCCTTGGAAGACTGTATTATTATGGTTGGGCGAACTAACCTTTCGCGACGACACTCTTTGCGATCAATGCATCCACGGGTGTCAATGCGAGCACAGAGGAGACAATGACAACTTTCTGGATTTGCTCATGTGCCAATGCAGCATTGAGCATCGAAAGAGTTGCCTGGACAGCTGGGGTGATGTAGTCGCGTTGCAAATCGATACCACTTCCTGGCATTGGAGAGGCAATGTGGAAGACATAGTCGACGCCATTCAGTGCGGATTTCAGAGCATCGACATTTGCTAGATCTGGAACAACAACGATCTCAATGTCGCTATTGAATTCAGCGTACCGCTTTCTGATGACGGCTTCTTGCTCGGGCTTGCGGATGCTTAGTCGGACGCGGTATCCGGCTTTCAGAGTTACGGCTACAACATGGGCGCCGATGAAACCGGATGCACCAGTGATAAAGACAAAAGATTTGGTCATTTTGGCTGTCAAATGAAGTGATCCTGAGATGAGTAGATGAGATGCTTGGTTGTTGAGATTGGTTTGTGGAGATCCGTTCTTACATGTCTACTTATACTCGCGATTTGAGATCTTGAATTCTTAGAAGATTCCATGGTAGTTACAAATATGAGTATTACAAATGACCCGGTGAATAATCGAATATCTTATTTTGCACTCGCGTTTTAAGGTTAAGGTAGGTATATCTGAATGGTTTATTCATCGGAGCGAGACTGTTAAGAGCGAGATGGATGTTGAATAATCGTTAATTCTAATTTGTCAGACTCGGAATCCGAGATCCACTCATCTCGGCATCAACATCATCAATAATTATATCGTCATTCGCTTCGATAATCATCCGATCGTTAAATGAGTGCGACATGGAGATGAGGAAATAATGATTATATCAAAATCCGATCGGGGTGGGACAAAAAAATATGATCTGGCCATTACGAGACCGACCGGGCTTGTATAAAGCCACACAGAAGGCACCGCTTCCTCTCCAAACCACCATTCAATCGAGTCCCCAAGAAAGCTTCTCTAAATTTTTTATTTCCATCTGATTTGTTCGCCAGATCGAACCAGATCTCCCTACCCGATTCCAAAGAATACCTCCACAATGCCTCTCTGGCAAATCTATCACCCACACGGCACTTTCGAGGACGATGCGTCCAAACAAGCCTTTGCAGACGACATCACCAAGATGTACGTCGGATTTGGTCTGCCAGCCTTCTACGTGGTAACCCAATTCCACAAGATGGAAAGCAACAACGTTTTCGTTGGCGGGAAAATAAGAACTGCCACTGATAAACCATTTGTACGCGTGGTGATAAACCACGTCGCGGTCCGCATTCCCGATTCCGATGCAGCATTCCTTCGCACTACCTCTCGCCTGGATGAGGCTATGAAACCCCATCTCTTGGATAAGGGATATGATTTTGAATATACCGTTGAAGAGACGGAGAGACGGCTTTGGAAGATTAATGGTTTGATTCCTCCTCCTAACAAAAGTGCCGAGGAGCGGGTTTGGGCTGAGGAGAATAAGCCGTTGCCTTATGAGGGTGCTTATCCGCCCAAGTGAGGATGTTCCTTTGGGAATTGTTGTAGGCATAATGACACATGTATGGCTAAGCGTTTGAGTGACCGGAAAGAGTGCAAAGGGGAATAAAATGATCAAAGCTAGCGAAAGCCCAATCATTATCTTCTATGACCAGATTCTATATACAAGTAGATGAAAAAGTACAGACGTCACATGCAAAGAACCGTACAAACATTAACTGTAGCCTCTAAGACACGACTATACCTCAGCATTGCTGGCGCAAGAAAAGCTGTTGCTAGACGCGTCATCGTGAATTGCCTTACCAGACACATAAAGACCAAGACCACACATGCAACCACCGATAAGGACAATAAGAACATTCAGGATGGAGAGGGCGATCTTCCGGGGAGAAGAAAACCACTTGCCTCTGTTAATATGCAGCCAGTAAACACCAGCAAGACCATAGCTGAACCAACTAGCGAAGAGGGAACTGATCAGACTGAGGAGATCGCTGAAGACTGGGATGGCATCGGCAATGATCCAAGCGATGACCCAACAGCTCACGCCGATAGCTACCCAGGATCCGATGGATGTAAGGTCGCGGCGGTGCATGCGGTCAGTTCCGCGGAAGAGACGGACGTAGATGTATTTCAGACCAATGTGGCCGTTGACAACACCGGCACCGACGATCTGGGGAATATTAGTCATGGAGGAAAGGGTACTTAGGGAGTGGATGACATACGGTGGGAATGGCGATTCCGTACGCGACCTTCTTAAGCACAGGGCCAGCAGATCCCAAGGCGGGTGATGTGACGTCCTGCCCAGCGTAATAATAGATAACAACGGCAGCGACGGTATAGAAGATAATCTCAAAAGTCTGCAGCATATACAGAGCCTTAGGGAAGTCACGGGGATCACGCATCTCAGCAAGAAGACCGAAGAAAGCTACGTGCGCGCAGTACGCGAACACGATGTTAGTCACAGCCGTGAAGGCCTTATAGAGATTTGTGTCGACAGTGGCCTGCAAAGTGGTGTATCCGTGGTCTTGGACACCGACACCGATCATGGTGATAATGACGGCAGTCAGGATACTGACGAAGGACATGCACGAGATGTAGGTCATGTTCTTCATAGTACGCGGGAGAGAGCAAACCATGCAGATCAAGAATCCAACTGTGGTAAAAACCATGGTGCAGGTGCCGTGTTCGGTAATGGTGTTCATCATCACGCTGAAAGTGAGAATGTGACTGCCCATGATGAAGATGGAGAACAATAGCTGGCCAATTCCGAAGAGTTCACGACCGAATGCTCCCATCAGAACCTCACCAGCATCTGCGAGGTTCTGAATATGAGGGTAGCGCTGGTGGAATTGTCCGATGACATATCCGGTGTATGTAGCGAGAAGACCCAAGCCGATGATCAGGACGAGGGCCGGAGCGAGACCCAGCTGAGCGAGGGTTGCCGGCAACGACAGAACACCAAGGGAAACAGACTCGGCAATCATGACTGTATTATGTTAGAGTTACGCCCTGGGCTGGTTTCATGTTTAAAAGACACATACACATTCCGGTTTGCCTATATACGTCAATCTTTAGCGACATGTTCTTCAACATACATTATGGGACGCGCATGACCTACCACCACTCCATGGTCTTATACTTGACCTCCGCATTGGACTCATCACCAAATGCATCGACATATTGTGGCATGGAATCATCCTGAACCTTCTTCTCATCATATCCTGACTCCGAATCATGCTGCGAAGTGACACCGTCGAACATTATGGCGGTGGGATAGGACTACCAGGAATGAGAAGAGAGGCAAGGCGAAACAAACGAACAAAAAATAACCAAGACAGAATGCTAGCTTAGATATGTATGTGTGCAAAAAAAATCCTTAGCTAACCAAAGTGGATCACAACGTTGCAATGAGCCAACCGAAACCCCCGCGGTGAACCATTTTTATGGGGGAGACTCTGGGGCCCGGAAGTTCTGGAAAGGCAAAGTCATCTCTTATCTGACGTAAAGAGATTTTTCTTTGCACATCTTATTATGGAACGAAACTGTCTCAGTGATGCGAATGTAAGCTCGGTCAAGATCATCAACATTTAAGCGTCTTTTGGTCCACTATAGCGCGCAGTGGTGGACCCATAACTCCACTGTGCTGTGTCCGTCAACCAATTAGATTCTCGGGTTAAGTATATATTATCTAACGAAAATCCCGGGACCCTTTGTGGCTGGCCGACGGTAGCCGGAGTTTTTTTTCTATGACCATGTTCAAATCTCAAGCTCCCACGCCAAGAGATTGTTCGTTTAAAAGTTTGTTGCCCCTGTGGAATGATATTCGCTTGAGTCCTGTACGAATATATAGGTAATGTCGTGGTGCGTTCATTGCGAATTATATACCTGTACATCCTTTCCCAATTGCAAATAAATGCTCGTGGGGTTCAAAGACGGAAAGTGTATACTCCAACTCTGGTAAATCCCTGCGGCTCGAGGCGCATCATCGCCACCAAGGAGAGAAAAATTTAGTCAGGGGAACCGTTTAAGCTCCCGGCACACTTGCTGCCAAGACATCGCATGATAAAATTTTGTCACGGATACCAATTGTCGTCCGTTGACCAGCCGAACATAATTTTTGTTGAAATTTTGTGGTGAGATTACGACCTGGAGCCGAGATTGTCTCCACACGTCAGCCTTGACTAGCCGGATTTTCTTTGCTGTGGTTCACTATATGACATTTCAAATGCCGAATTGGACCTTCCGCTGCGCATACGAACTGAAGGTTGAGGTACCAAAGAGGGAAATGGTAGGCACTACTTGCAGCAGCCTCGGAAGCTCCGTCGTGTTTCCCGAACTGCATTCTGACAAGAACGATGGAAAAAATTCGAATTATTGATCATCCAACAATGCAAAAGAAAAAAATCAATGAATAAAACCCTGACTGCTCGCTCAACCGAACGCAGCAGGAATTGTTGTTAACAATGCAGCGGGTCCTGGGAGACTATTGGTGAAGATTTTCTTCGCCACACAAACCTAGCTGTACAAGTTCAAATCCAGTAGTACAGCAAGATGGACACAGCCGTGCGAATAAAAAGGGCCGCGGCCCAAGACTTCAATTTTTATGACTATATGGCCCCACTCTTTCTTGTGGGGAAGCTCAAAAACAGTGGGAAACTTGGAGTCGTGTCAGCCTTCCCCAGTCAACGTGCAGGATAAATCTCCACCAAGAGGAATCTGTAATGCTCTTCTCCGTGATCTAGATTCAAACGTCACGGTATCCATGCGGGGTTGGAGGACTCGGGGAATATCGGTTTCATACCCCATATATCATAATTAGATATGCGGTCATTTGTTACATAGTTTTTGGGGACATAATATTAAGTAATAGTGGGTGGACAGTCTTTCTAACGTTGATCGGTTTTGACCGGTATCATTCACAAGGTGGCTTGATTAAGATATTTGCATGAAAGTATATTCGGCTATGTGCACGGTGCGTTATAACTAGTGATCGACGCCAGGTGGCTAAGCAAAAAGAAACAGGACGTAGACAAACGTTAATCACAGAAGTGCAGATCGAAGGAGGCTCTCCAACTCCTGCAATGACTCGGGCTTGGAGGTGACGCTAGACATCAAGTATAACACATTTCCTAATACCCGAGAATGAACGTTGAATTGATTTCCACCGGCGGCGAGCTTCTGCTGTAAGCCCTTCGCAGCGGTGGAAGTATAGCCTAACCTTCGATTAGTTGCATTTCTCTGTGACGAACTCAAAAAAGGACTTACCACCACCTTGTGCATCGCGTAAGGAAATACTCAATACGGTTCCGATAGCGAAAACACTTTCTACAGGCTCCGCGCAGGAAAGGTCCTGCAGGAGGCCATTCGACCAGACACTCCAGACTTCTGGGGTAGAAGCAGTGGATGACGTGGAAGAAGTATTCTGCCAATCTGCACGGTATCCATCCCAGGACCCATCTTTGTCCATTTTAGACATCGCCCGCAGCGAATCAACAGCAACCGTGCAACCTGAAGCATGAGCTGTGTAACTGTGACCGTGAAGAAGTGCGTCACTCTTCTCAGGGCTGGAAAATGTGTCGAAGATTTCTTTGCTTGCGACTGTTGTGCAGAGGGGAATGAGACCACCAGTGAGGAGCTTCGCGTTCACAGCAATGTCAGGGTATACGTCAAGGAAGGACGCAGATGTAGGGCGACCGAGTCTGTAGAGTCCAGTGAACACTTCGTCGAAGACCACTGGTAGGCCGGACCAGGATGGAGAGGCCTTGGCAGGTGTTGCGTTGGGGGAGAAAAGCTCTGGATGCTCACGGACGACGTCGGTTAGGCATCGCTGGAAAAGGGGATCACTGAGTATCTTGTTAGCCTACAGTTGGGATAGCGGGGCAAGGGGCTGGTCACGAACCAGAAAAGCATTCCACCAGCACCAAGGATGACGGGCTCCAAAATGAGAGCACCGAACTTCATTCCGTGGGTTTCCACGAGATCCTTGATCGTGCGGTGGATGTACTTTCTGTAGCGCTGACTAGCATCGGAGTCAAGTCGGCTGTTCAGATCAAATACGGATCCTAAAGAACTGAATTCTGCATCGGAGCCCAGGTCTTGTTGAAGCTCGGCGGGAACTTCCACTTTCCATTTACCATCAACCATTTTAACCAGAGGGAAGTCGAACCAATGACCGCGACCGCGGTACCACTCGACCTTTTTATTGTAGGTTGATGGCTCAGAACAGTCCATCACGCCGATAGTATCACCGTGATAGCTGCCTTTAAGGCCAAGAATGTTAATTTTCTCTTGGCTGGCATCCCAGCCATATCTATCGCACGCAGCCCGGAGACCCATCTTGATAGCAACTTCCATTCCAGTGCTACCGTTATCGGTATAGAATACCTTGCTGAAGCGTGGATTATCGAGAGTCTTCAACAGGTTTTCTGCAAGGGAAAGCGCTGGCTCATGAACGGTGCCGGCAAACATGACATGACCGTATCGGCCAGCTGCATAGGCCGCTGAGAGGGATAGCTCGGGGTTTCCATGACCCAGTCCCTGGGTCCACCAAGATGCGGAACCATCAAAGGTTGGCTGGAGCTCGCCATCTCGGTTGGCAGTGCCACTGGAACCAAAGGTATGGAAATAGTCGTCGTGGGCAGAATCAATGACCGTGATATCCTTGGCTTGCATTCCTTGATGTTGAGTAAAGGGATACCAAATCAGGTCTTGTGCGCGGTCGGTCATTTCTTCCAGCCTCTCAATCCGCTGTTTGTTTTTGATGGTCATTTCCTCGAGGAGACGCAGGATCTCTGACTCCTGGGAGGCCTGACCGTAGTATGTAAGCATTGCTTCTTCGTCCCTTTTTTGAGCATCGGGGTCCGACTGCAACGGCTTCGCAGGTGGAACTGGCAGATGCACCAAAGGTATGCTTTTATTGCGGAAGTAATCGCCGAGATACTCATGGTTCTGATAATACTCATCGCGGAACAATAACACAGATTGAACATCGTATCCACGGATCAACAGAGACTCATATGCGGATATCGACGAGGAAATACCACCTAGTCGAGAGTCTGCGACAAGGACAATGGGCAATCGAAGGGGGCGATAGAGGTCTGCTTGAGAATTGCCATTGGGGCCGGGAGAATGCACGCCGCCGGCGGTCTCGACCAACGCAAAGTCAATGTCCGACCGTGCCCAACCAGACAGCGTCTTATGTATAGATGCTAGGAGATCATCATCCCGTGGAATCTACGAGTGTTAGAAATGATGTTCTACCCGCAATACTATCGCACTTACAGTCTTCGATTTCGCCGCGAGATGCGGGCTGACCGGTTCATCGAACTGATACAAGCACTTGGTCAATGCTCCAGCTCCGTACCTTTCTATATGCCTGCGGTTTCAATCAGCGCCTTTGCTCCCAAACAAACATTTCACTCATCGTACCGATCATCGGCATCATCCAATGCTCCCGTAGACACAGGCTTCAGGAACGCGGCCCGCTGCTTCTGTCTCTGGACGGCATTACACAAAACTGTCGAGACGATAGTCTTGCCAACATCGGTATTAGCACCATAAACCTGATGAGCGCGCAATGTGCGCCAAAGCCCTGAACCGACAGGAGCCATTGTGCGTGATGAATGAAATGGATGGTAAAGTCAACTCTGCGCTGATTGCGTTTACCGGGAAGTTTGACGTCAATTGGCGAATCAACTTCCCCTCACGGATCCACAATTGTTCAGTTTCCCCTTTCACCGAGGACGACCGAGGATGGAGTTCTCCGTTGAGCCCCAACGAACTCCAAAATTGTCTACGTCAGAACAATAATAAAAGACGGAAATATTACTCTGCCATTTTCATTCTCTCCCATGTAATTGGTCTCTGCTGGCGTCGTCTTACAATTGGCTTATCGTGTTGTCCCCGGAACATTCGAATCTGCCGCGGTCCTGGAGCTAGAGGTTTAAAGTGCGGGATGATCATCCCCGTGCCCAAATTCCGTTCTTAGCCGTTCCACCGTCTCAACGCACCTGACTCATTCCTGAGTACACGCTTCTACAGGCGCGATGAGTTCACAACAGCTTACCACCGGGGTATCAGCCACTGCAAAGACACTCGTCGAATCATTCAAAGACGCATTAAAGCGCAGAGAGGCCAAATCTGCGCGTCGCAGACTGACCATCCTACCACAGACGGCAGTCGACTTCTCATCCAATGATTTCCTTTCGCTCTCCACGGCCCCAGCATACCGCAATCGGTTCCTGGCACACGTAAACAATACGCCCAAATCCTTCCCGTTCGCCAGCGGGGGTTCGCGATTACTGGACGGCAACTCAGCTTACGCGGAAGAATTGGAGCGTTTTGTGGCTGAATTCCATAAAGCGCCTGCGGCACTTTTGTTCAATTCCGGCTATGATGCGAATATTGGCGTTCTATCAAGTATTCCGCAGCCGGGTGATTTGATCTTATATGATGAGCTTATCCATGCTAGTTCGCATGAAGGTATGCGTCTCTCTCGGGCTGGACGTCGGGAGATGTTTTCGCATAGCTGTCCTATCAGTTTAAGAGAGGTCTTGAAGGCGCAAATTGAACAGGATTCGAAGGTGAAGGATGGCTCACGAAATGTCTTTGTGGTTATCGAATCCATCTATAGCATGGATGGAGATGTGGCTCCTATTAAGAAATTCCTCGATGTTGTCGATGAGCTTCTTCCGCTTGGGAATGGGTATTTCATCGTCGATGAGGCACATGCGACTGGCGTTTGTGGACCGAAGGGTGCTGGCGTTGTTCAAGAACTCGGAGTCCAAGATCGTATTTTTATTCGAGTGCACACTTTTGGCAAGGCTCTGGCTAGCCATGGTGGTGAGTTCCCCACACCAACTTCATTGGTGCAATTGGCTGACACTCTCTTTCAGCGATGGTTCTATGTGGCCCTGAAACCAGAGACTACTTAATAAATTATGCGCGAAGCCTGATTTATACAACAGCCCTTGGATTTCCTTTCCTTGCCTCGATTAGAACGGCCTACGAGCTCCTGTCCTCCGGAGAGACAGAATCGGTAGGCGCGCAGTTCTTCAGACTTGACATACACCTGCTAATTATTATCAATAGCTGCAACACCGAGTCCAATCATTGATTGGGCATCTGCACAAGTCTTTGGCATCGCTGCAGATCCGCCAATCGGTCATGTTCGAGGTGGATCATTTCCCTACATCTCCTATTTTTTCACTCCGAACTTCACAACCTCGTGACTTGGCAAGTTTTTGTCAGAAAGCCGGGTTCATCGTTCGCGCTATTATGCCCCCCACGATTCCCGATGGTAAGGAGCGCGTGCGGGTTTGTCTCCATGCTGGAAATACCGAAGAAGAGGTCGAGGGACTGGTACGAACAATCCAGTCGTGGTTGGATATAGCCCCGGCACAAAGGGAGACCAAGTTATAATCTCATTCCTTCTCATTCTAAATGTTAACGACTTTTCAATCTTGTTCCTTGTCAACTGTACTTGGAGCGATGAATATGCCTTTACAAGGGGATCGAGTCGGACCAACTTATAGAGTTATCGCCTAGAGAAAAGATTCAAGGGCTTGAAGCTCTCCACAAATAAAGTATAAACGAATTTTAAGAAAGGACGAGAAAAAAATCAGAGAAACTAGCGCACCAAAATTAGAGCCTCATTATGGAGTCCAATGGGTCCAGATTAAGTGGTGAGATAAGGTGCCAAGAACCGTGGGGCAGATCGCGAATGCAGACCCCTTTGCGACTTTGCGACCGTGCTTCTCCCGCGCATCGTGACACTCCATTATCATGGCTGGCCCATCAGGAATCGACACCAACGAGCTTCAATCGGAGACTCGCTACCTCATCCGCCAACCGCGCGCTCTGCAATGGTTCGAGAACGGGAGGCTGGTAAAGCGTCGTGATGAGGAACGACAAGCAGGTAAGCAGAACTGTCGACCTATCTCAGATCAGACGCGAAATAAAATATCGGAAAACTCACTCAGCATATAGGCCGCTTTGAACTTTTCCTGGATTTGCTTTACATAGCAATCCTATCTAATTTCGCCGATACACTCACCGAAGACATTTCTGGCGCAAAGCTCGCCAAGTACATCGTAAGAAATTTAACTCCGCGATAGACAGTCCAGTAAACTGAAATATACGTGCAGCTAATTCTAGCACCATCATGGCATGTCTGGAGCGATCTTCGCGAAGTGATGAACTCCTTCTACAACGACGACCTGCTCCAGCGCGTCCTAATCCTCTGGATCATGGCACTGATGGTCGTATACGGCAATAATGCCCCACTTGTCGACGAAGACATCGGCGCAATGCGTTCAGCAGTTGGGTCATACATGGCTGCCCGGCTCTCACTGACATGCATGCATCTCTATAATTCCGTCGCAAGTTACCAGCACCGCCCGCAGCAGCGTCTCTGGGCAGTTCTATCAGTAATCACGCTAGCAGTGTACATCCCGCTATATTTCGAATCTGTCTCTATCCGCGGAAAGATCGCTGCTGCTGCTGTGGCCGTTGTGCTTGAGGAGATTGCTTGGATATTTTGTTACTCGCCTGCTGCAAAGAAAATGCTACGCGTTAAGTATTCTACTGCTGTTGATATCCCACATGAAGCAGATCGGTTCGCAGCCTTCTATATTATCGCGATGGGTGAGTTTTTGTACTTAATCATTGTGGGAAGCCATGCTGCTGTTGGCTTGAATGAACGGTTGTTGAGGGCGGTTTGGACGTTGATTATTGCGTTTTGTTTGAATTGGTTGTATGTTCATGCTGATGGGTCTGTTGATTCGGCTCATCCTTTGAGACACAATGTCTATACGGCTTTTGCTTTTGCGGTGGTGCATTTGCCGCTCATTGCTAGTCTCCTGGCCGGTGGGCATGTTGCTGCTGCTTCGGTTGCGGAGGAGGAGTTTGAAGATGCCCAGCGGTGGTTGCTATGTGGGGGCTTAGGGGTTGGCATGCTTTGTTTGTATGCATTCGCGTTGCTGCATGGGTCCAAGGATGAGAATGGAGCTTTATGTGTCGAAAAGGTATGTGATTATTGAGGTTTCGGCTTATGGGTTCGGTTGCTGATGTTTTATCTAGCCGGTCCGCTTGATGATGAGACCAATTACCGGGATTATTGTCATTTTGCTTCCTCTTGCTCACCACCTTGGAGCTACGTCCATTCTTTCAATCATCATGGCACTGTTCGTGCTTTGCACGGTTTGGGAGAGCGTCAGTTCCCTGAAAAGTGGGGCCCATTTCTGGGAGCCTTGGACGGAGACAGAGTACCCAGACCAATGCCACAGAGATGAGGAGTCGATGAAAAATGGCAAGACTACCGCTGCTTAAGTCGCTGAACGCACTCCATATTCACGCGACTTGACATACCCATCATGTTAGATTATAACTCCCACGGTAGTTCCACGGTAGTGGGATATCCACGCCTACTGTTTAATGTTAATGCGATTTAGATAGTATATATAGTTCATTTGATCTATGTCTATGGGTAATTCACACGGAATATCTACCCAGCTAATTGTCATACTTATAATGTATCCAACAAGTCCGTAATCTAAATGCATTCAAACCAGAGACTGCTCAACCTTCATATCTCCAGTAGCCTGAGTCTCCGACCGACTCATGGTGGGCTGACGACTGAAATCCTTGAGTCTCCGCCTCTCGCCCCTCGGTGCCTCACCCTTCTTCTCCGCTCTGTGAGCCCGGCGGCGGAAATAAACCCTCTTACACCACTTCCAAGTCTCAATACCCAGGAAGAACAAAATAGTTTCGACAAACACGATTCCCCACTCCCAACTGATAGCGGTATGCTTAAACACGCTATGGTTGATAACTGGGATATAAAGGATCGGGAAAGCCAGCACGAATCCTGCCATGATACCATAGAACAAGAACTGGTTACGCCAGATATCGTGCATCCATTGGGTGAAATAGCGCTTGGAATCGGGCTGCATGCGAAAGAAGCTGCGGCGTAAGTTCAACATCTCCCATGCAAGGAACAAGGCGAACCAGGTCATGCAGGTGAATGTTGTTGCGCGGGCACGGAATACTGTGTCGCAACTGTATGATTTGCTTGGATCGTTGTATTGCGTGTTGCAGCCTTCGCCAAGATTACCGTCGCCCCACTGGAACATGACCAGCGCAAAGGCTGAGAGACAGAGGGCTGCCATCCAGACGCCGTAGACTAGGGTGTCGATGATGATTTCCCAGGTGAAAATACCTTGTTTCTATCGGATGAGTTAGCATATGGTCATGCAAGGGGGGTAATTATTGAAGGTACCTACGCTTTGTGGAGGACGATCCATCACATCCGGAGCTGCAATCTCCATTCCCAAGCCCATATCTGGTAGACCAGAAGTGACCATGATAATCCAGATAATCTCAACGGGAGAGATAGGGAAGACCGATTGGCCGGTATTATCCTTGAATGCCAGTCCAATGAGCAGCGTCAAAGCAAGAGCCACGTTCTCTGCCAGAAGATGCAGAATAAATTTCTGGATATTGTCGAAAATGCGACGTCCCTCCTCAATGCCATTGATCATCGAAGCAAAGTTATCATCCGTCAGGACAAGTTCCGACGCATCCTTTGCAACGTCAGACCCGTTTTGACCCATGGCAATACCGACATCGGCGCGCTTCAGCGACGGGGAATCATTCACACCGTCACCCGTCATCGCAACATAGCGACCGCGGCGATGCAGCGCTTCGATCATGCGAACCTTCGTGTTTGGTGCACAACGGGCGATGACCAATGGTAGAGTGGGCAGGTTGTCGATTTCATCTTCGGATAACTTGTCGAATTCACTCGCCGTCATGACCATCGCGTCAGCGACATCCTTTGCAATGGTGTCCATGTTCGATGGAATGATTCCGACTTGAGCGGCGATGGCGTGTGCCGTTCCGGGGTGATCTCCTGTTACCATGTGTACGGAGATCCCAGCCTTGTAGCACTGGCTAATTGCACCGGTAGTCTCGGGGCGAGGAGGGTCGTATAGACCAATCAATCCGTACAGAACAAGGTCTTTCTCAACTTCCTCTCGGGGAAGAGTCCCATCACTGTTGGAAGTAGAGGTCTGCTCCCGTCCAGCTAAAGCAAGAACGCGTAGGCCTTCTTTTGCGAGCGCTTCCATGTTTTCCAAAATTTCATCTTGGATTTCTTCGTTCAGAGGCACCGCAGGGGAGTCAGGACTCCACTTAATGGTTGTGCATGCCTCAAGAACTCTTTCAACAGCTCCCTTGGTGAAGATCATCTCTTGTGCCTTGCCCGACTCGTCATCCTGTCTGGCAAAAATAACCGACATTTTTTTTACACTGGAATCAAAGGGGTATTCGGCCTTCTGCTGCCAGATGGGCTTCTCACCTTTGGTCCAATGATCAGAGCCCCAGTCAAAGCGAGTGGCGAACACCTGGATAGCAATATCCGTGGGCTCACCACGGGCCTGCCATCCCTCGTTAGGCGACTTGTGCAGATGAGCCAAATTTGCCATAGCAGCGACATTAAGGAATAACTTCAACTCCTCATTATCCTTGAGCAATTCGCTAGGGCTCGCAGGATCACCGCTCTTAGAGTCAGTTTGCAGCTTCACCGGAGGCTCAGCTGCCAAACTCAGATCTCCTTCCTGGGGATTCAAAGGATCATTGGAGGATCCCACAGAGTAAGTTCCAACAGATGGGATCCAAACACGCCGAGCCACCATTCGACCCTGTGTTAAAGTACCCGTCTTATCGGAACAGATGTTGGTAACAGCTCCAAGCGCCTCCAAAGAGTCCAGCTTGCGGACAATAACATGCCTCTGGACCATCTGCCTCGTTCCAACGGCCATGGTAATTGTCAAAACGACAACCAAACAAGCAGGAATCATGGCCAAGCCAGTCGCGACCGCATAAATGATGACTTCACTGTCTCCTCGCCAATCATTTGCCGCAGCAACCACAATAGCAAAGATAACCGCAATTCCAAAGAGAAGCAGTGCGAGCTTGGAGAGCTTGCGCTGTAGTGGAGTGCCAACGTTGATACCGAGGAAACGTCCAATCGCGTCCGTGGTGGTTAGGGTCCACGCCTCAATATACCACCGCTTCTTGGTTTCGCCTTCCGGTCCACGCTTCACCGGGCGACGCTTAGTATCGTTGCCATGAAGTGCGGCAGCGATAGCGCCAATTTCAGTTTGCATGCCTGTGCCGACTACCACACCTCTGCCGCGACCTCGGGTGACGGTAGAAGAACTGTAGGCAATGTTGAGACGGTCTCCTGGTCCAGTGTCGGGGTCGAAAGTGGATTCGGCTTCTTTTTGGACTGGAAGAGATTCACCCGTGAGCAGAGCCTCGTCGGTTTCAAAGTTGAAGGCTTCGACCAATCTGCTACTGGTTAGTTTCAGGGACTTTGGAGTTCGAGGGAATTTTCGTACCTTAAATCTGCAGGGACGGTATCGCCAACTTTCAGCTCTACCATATCGCCGGGAACAATTTCATTAGCGGGGACTGTAGCAGTTTTGCCGTCGCGAGTCACCACTCCTGTTGGCGAACTCAGGGAGCGGAGGGAGTCCATTGTCTTCTCGGCGGCGAAGTCTTGGTACACTCCAACGACTACATTGAGAACAATGACCGCTGCGATGAATCCACCTTCAATCCATGACTGAATGCCGAAGCTGACGGCCATCGCAATAATGAGGATCTACGCATTTGGTGAGCATTTTATGTGTGTTATTGGAGATTGGATACTTACAAGCATCATCGCGTTCGCGATCTGCCGGATAATAATCTTTGCGAAGGAGACGCCTTCGCCTCCCTCCAGCATGTTCTGACCATATTTTTCGAGACGTTGCTTCACATTCTCTGTGGTGAGACCGTCATCAGAGTTTGTGCCTAGCTCATTGATCACATCTTCAAAGGTGAGGTTATGAGGAGGGCTGGAGAGATAGGGGTGGGAAGTAGTATCGCCTGAATTTTGGGCTTTCTCCGAAGACATGTCGTGAATGTCCTGGGAGTCTAATGTTGTGGTTGTATGTATTTCTAAAAGACTTCAAGGAGGGGTCATATAGAAAGTATCTTCAACAGAGTGGGAGTCCATACACGGGTTCAAGCACGATGCAATTCCCGAGATGATAAGAGCCTGAAGATCTAGACTGTAGACTTTGATTCTTAAGTACAATATGGTCTAAATCCCTTGAACCTTTTTCTTTCCTGTTCCAATCCGGGGAAAATTGGTCCTTAAATAAGTTTCCCTACCGGGATTGATGGCAAATTCCGCTCCTTTGAACGGCATCTTCCCCGAAGCTCAGATATCGTCGGGGCATAAAATCTGGGGAACGATAATTCCATTAGCCAATCACATTCCCCTACCAAACATCGGTATCTGGCGGACCAACTTGGCACTGTGTACGCGAGTTCTGCCGAGGCGTAATGACGCACACGACTGGTCTCGGCGTTGGCTCGGCCGTGAGCCGCCACTGGATCATGATTGGTGCAGCGGAATACCAAGAGCGGGATTCTGGGCTCTAGGCTGGGCAAGGAGCCTCCGCGCTCGACACCTCCAACACCGGAGATAATGTGTCATTCTTGGCTGATCTTGGACGCTTCTTGGCATCCTACCTTCTGCGAGGTCTGAGGGTCCACTGCAGAGTTCAAATCTGCTCTCCTCTCCCGTCCAGGTTCCTCTGTTTCTAGTACCCCCTCTGGACTACGTTATCTTCAACGGTGGCGAACTTTGCTAAAGCTGTGGATTCATCGAGTTCTGTACAGACAATGATCCTTGTTTGATGGGCTTGGGGATGTGCTTTTTTTAGCAGTGCTCCGAATATTCAGACTCATCGCTACCCCCGCGAATCCGGGGAAGTTGAGCTGTTGGTTATTGGGCATCTCTTTCTCACCCTGCTCGTATTCTCACTTCTACATCCTTGATCTAAGGCCCGAGACCTCTGTTTCCCCACTATGGCAGATGATGACCTGCCGCGGGGCGAGGTGGTCGGGATCATCATTGGCGCTGTGGCCCTGTTTTCCTTGATCAGCTTCTTTCCTATGTAAGTACTGGGGCCCGGTCGTTCTTGGCTACATATGCCCCTGCAGCAGAATCATCTTGAATATTTCCCGGTGTGACTAGTATTCTAATATGTGAATTCCAGGGTTCTTATGTGGCAACATCGGCGACGTGATGCTTCCCGCCGTGCTAGTGAAACTGCCAACCTCACTTCATCAATGCAGCAGGTTTCTGTGACAAGATGGATCGAGGAGCAGAACGAGCCGAGCGAAAATGCACGCTATGCACAGGATATGTGGTAAGTCACCTTATTTGTGATTATCCCTCCACATGTTCTCGACTCGCACATGTCTTGGCTACGAGGGGTAGAGTGATACAGTGTGGGGAATGCCTAGGCTAGGCAAGGGATTCTCCTGCCTCATAGGGCGGGTTCCATATTGTGCCTTTGATCCTACTCTGGGCATTTCGTACTCGAGCACTTCTTTGTGTTTTCTTTACATGATGCCATGGCCAACACATGTCACAAGCCAAGTGTTCATGTCTTGGCCTTCATTTTTCACTACCCAAACAGCACTCTTGACTCCCGTGGCTACTCTTGGCTTGGACTAATATTTTTCTAGCCCCATATGCCTCTCATCTCTATCATCACCCGCCTATCTCTCCTCTCCCGAGCCGGCTCACCTACCCGGCAGTCCGCGCCATCTCTCTCTAGTAAGGTCAGATGACGCATCCATACCAGACACAGAGAATGAAAAAAGCATCATTGTTTTGAATCGATGCCATCATGCATTCCACTCAAGCTGTCTCACCTCTTGGTTCGAATACAGGCATTACAAGTGCCCAATATGTCAAGCTTCATATTCGCCTGTTGAATCAGTTTAACAACTGTCGCTCAGATATTCAAGATTTTGCTATGACGATGATTCTTGTATGATTTATTTTCTACTTGCACATATCTTCGAATAGCATCCTTGTATCATTGAGGCAATTATTGCGCCATCCAATCATGACTCTTCTTGGCGTCGCTAAAACTTTGATTCATCGAATTCCGTCTTCCCTTATACCTGCATCCACCGAAAAAATGCTTTAATCGATATGACAGACGCATATGAGAGATATCGTAAGTTCAGCCTGAAATCAGATATCGTGGTGAGATTCATTCTTGGTGGATTCATTACTTTCCTTAACAAAGAATAAATCAAATTGCAAAGTGAATATAAATGATTCATAGTGTACCTTCAGTTTCCGCCTAAACGGGGGAGGGTACTTGTCAGAGTCATACCTTCCGATGCTTCTTGCACTAGTTCAGCTCGAATGTTTGATTTCGGAGTGTTAGATTTTTCAAAGTTTAAAAATTGGGAACTAAATTTAGATCAATTCGCTCCGTTCCCAGGTGATATCACCTAATAAAAGAGATTTCGCGCGTTGGTTAGTTATATCATTAATAAAGACGCCCAAGTACACGATATACATATCACATCCAAATTGAACAAGTATTAACAGAAATAATGGATACCCAGAGACTAAAAATACTTAAATAGACCAATCATAGTTCCAAGGTTTTTCAATAGCTCTCATCAATCCAGTCCCCATATCCACTACCAAGAACCGTCGTCTTTGTGACACCTGCCGAGATAGACGTCTCGTACAAACGATCGGAAGTGTCCGATCCATCACCAGTGTTATCATATTCATAATAAAGTGGAGTCGCACCATCCGCCATAGTCGTCCAACCAGCAGCATTGATCAAAGAGCCCAACTCCGAGTTTTGATAGATAACACGCGCAAGAACGCGCCAAGGTCGACCGAGGTATACTTCACCGTCGAGATCAAGACCGGACGCAGCCTTGATATTACATGAATCAATCGCGTACCAGGATGTGTCGGTGGATTCTTCACGCGAACTGGCGGTGATGGCGCCTGAACCATTGGAAACAATGTCGCATTCACCGAACCAAGCGGAGGCGTCGCCAAAAATGTAGTCTACGGCTCCTGTGGCAAGGTTAGAGACTGCTTGAAACCCGACATACTGCCATGGTAAGTTGGAGGTACCTTCAATCATGCAATTGGAATAATATTGTGTTCCAGCTTTAGCATAGAGCGTATCCTGGTATCCGGAGAATTGACAGCCATAGAAGCCAAGCTCATCCGCATTTGCGACGAGACTGAAATAGGTCAGTTGGGAAGCTTACGTTGGACAATGTCGATCTTACTCACGCGACAGCCTGTGCTCCCTTGCCATACCCATTCAAAACATTGATGTTATACACGCTAACGTTGTCGGAGACGATGTTCACTGTAGCGCTCAGATCCAAAGACCCAGCCTCTTCTGATGATATCGTATTTGTGATGGTAACGGTGTTGTACTTGTAGGTTCCAGAGTCGGTCGTTTCACCATAGATGATAAGTGATCCAGCATAGTCGATTTTGATTTGTTCGGCATAAGTACCACTATAGACGAAGATACAGGCTGATGAAGTCGATGAGCCCAATGCAGTCAGTGCCGCAGAGATGGTCGAGTATGTTCCACTCGAGCCAACCGAGAGACATCCAGACGGTGGTGTAGTTCTGCTTACGCTATTGCGGCGATGTAGCTTCGCTGGCGCGCCGAGGACAGTTGTGCCGAGGCACAGAGCCGATGTGAGAAAGGTGAAAGGCTTCATTTCGTCATAGGCTAGCGAAGTGTGATGATCGATTTCCTCGCTCAATTATTAGAGGGAGATTACACGATGAAGACCTATTTAACATGCTCCCAGGAGCCAGGATACCCTACTTCCACAATTAGCTAGACTTGAAGGATTATCCGTCTCCCCTGAATGCGGTGGAAATTTCCTCCTGTGTTTCGTAAATCCATGAATAGGGATTCTTCCTGAGACATGCGCACGGTCTAACCTGGGAAAGACCCTTAAAACCCCGCTTATTTCAAGGTTTCTTTCACAAATCGACTATACCGAGCCGTATCTGCATTTAATTTACCCGGCGAACCACTCTGTAACCGAGCGCTATAAGCGTACGCCTTCTGTCAATAGTCCAAGCCAAACAGGAATAAAGACAATTGGCCGGAACAATGTGCATGTGAAGAAGCCATTGGGGCGTGTCACTGGTTTCATCAATGTGGGGCTGCCGGACCTGCATATGCCCTTATTCGAAACTGGAGAAACAGGGCCAATGCCAGATAGATATTCCTCGAATGGAGATTCAAAGCTCTGCTTTGGTTAACGTCGATCCGGAAAATGCTCCGTGTGTTTTGAAACCGGTTGACAGCTAGTTCCTTAGTCAAAACAGCCACACTTTATCTACATATAATGACTCCGCGAATGCCGGATGTGTCTTTCAAAAGTCACTACTCATAAGAAGAAAACTTGGAAATCTTTACATTACATGAGATCTACACTTTAGAATGCGAGGACTTCTCTCTCTTCTCCCGTTTCTCTCCCTGGCGGCTGCCCTCTCCCCGCGCTCCCCAACCCGCACCCTCAACACTCGTACCTCGACGTGCACACCGGCAGCAGGGGGTACATCAACAACAGACGATGTTCCCGCCATAGAATCGGCACTATCAACATGCGGTGATGGCGGCGTAATCGTGATCCCCTCCGGAACTACATATTACATCAACAGCGTTCTCGACTTCTCATCATGCAGTGGCTGTGACTTCCAGATTGAGGGAACCCTCAAGTTCGCCTCTGATACGGACTACTGGGAAGGTCGCACTGCCATGATGTATGTAAAGGGTGTCACGGGCATGACCATGCGATCACTTACCGGGAGTGGAGTGATCAATGGCAATGGACAAGATGCGTATGACCCCCTTCCATTCGTATATTAACCTCTATATAACCAAGATGTTAACCTCATGTAGATACGATCTCTTCGCCTCAGATAGCAGCTACCAACGCCCAACGCTACTCTACATAACATCAAGCAGCAACATCAAAATAAGCGGTCTTACCCAGAAGAATCCACCGAACGTCTTCAACTCCGTCACAGGCTCAAGCAGTGATATCCACTTCTCAGATCTGACCATGACTGCAACATCCAAGAGTACAAACGCCGCGAAGAATACCGACGGTTTCGACATCGGGTCATGTACAACTGTGAGCATCACCTCCGTATCGGTGATAAATGACGATGACTGCGTAGCGTTCAAGCCAGGTGCAAATTACGTTACTGTCTCAGATATCACATGTACAGGAAGCCACGGGTTGAGCGTTGGATCACTCGGTTCTTCTGGCGATGACACGGTGAAGAATGTGTATGTTTCTGGTGCGACGATGATCAATTCGACTAAGGCGGCTGGAATCAAGACGTACCCCTCTGGTGGGGACCATGGGCTTTCTACTGTGACGAATGTGACGTGGAGTGGGGTTGTGGTTGATGGATGCGATTATGCGATTCAGATCCAGAGTTGTTATGGGGAAGATGCGAGTTACTGTGAGGAAAATCCTGGTGATGCCGTCCTGACGGACGTAGTTTTTGAGGGGTTTAGTGGGACGACTAGTGGGAAGTATGGAGATGTGACTGGAAATATGGATTGTGGTGCTGATGGGACTTGTGGGGTTACAATTAGTGACTACACAGTTCTAGCGCCAGACGGGGAGAGTGAGGTTCTTTGCGCGAATACGGACGATTTGGGCGTAACTTGTACATCTGGGGCTTCAGGATAAGCATCTGGCTTGGGTTCATACGGTAGAACTTGGAAAGAAAATAGGTTCGTAGCAATTCACGGTCTATTGGAATTTTGCGATATATAGCCAAAAATATGTTCATCATACAGATAGGTCGTCGTCGATCTTGGTTTCCCTACTTAGGAGGAAGCAACCATCTTGTCCTTCACGTAAAGGTCAACGTACTTGTCAACCTCGTAATTCTCGAGCTGCTGGCGGTCCCAGCCCACCTTGAGCAGCTCATCGATGCGAGCCTGGTCGAAGTGCGCCTGGAGATGACGCTTGTACTTGGCCAGAATTTCAGGCTTGGCCTCCTCGCGACGGAGACGGTGGCCGAGAGGAGCCTCAACGACGACCTCCTCAAGGACAGTGCCGTCATTCAGGGTGACGGTCAGAGCATTGGGGATGGTACGCTTGCTGGGGTTGTGGTAGTCCTTGGTAAATTGCTCATCCTCAACGCAGCGGATGCGCTGGCGGAGGTCCTCCAGAAGAGGGGGAGGTAGCGGCCTCGGAGCCATCGGCGTAGTCGCTAGCGGTCAGGCGGTTGAAGACTAGCATGGTGGCAACCATGTACTGCAAACAATTAGAATCCATCTTAAAATTTGTTTCGGGAAGCTAAGATACTCACCTGGACGCAGTGGTCACGGTCAGCAAAGTTGTCCATGGCCTTGAACTGCTTGTCAATGATGCGAATACAGGCCTCGTGGGTACGGTTGGTGATCTCCTTGATGTCCTTGGCACTCTTGCCCATCTCCGCGAGCTTGACGTTGATCTTCTGAGCAGCCTCAATGGCAGTCTGGGAGTGGAATTCAGCTAAAAATAGTTAGCTCATAGATCAGATCAAGGTTACTGTCAGTCGAAACTTACCAGGGTAGGAAACCTTGAAGAGGACATTCTCCATGACGTAGCTGCCGTAGGGGCGCTGGTACTCAAACTTCTTGCCCTTGAACAGAACATCGTAGAAGCCCCAGGTAGGAGCAGAAAGAACGGTGTGAAGACCACCCTCGCCCTTCTGCACCTTCAGAACCAGGTTCACGGCACGCTGGCAAGCATCACCAGCAGCCCACGACTTGCGTGACATGGTGTTGGGGGAGTGACGATAGGTGCGGAGAGACTGGCCATCAACCCAAGCCTGGGTGATCGCATCAGCGGTCTGCTTTTCAGTGAGACCCATCATCTTGGAGACCACAGCAGTAGTGGCAACCTTGACCAGGACAACGTGGTCCAGGCCGACCTTGTTAAAAGAGTTCTCGAGGGCCAAAACACCCTGGATCTCGTGGGCCTTGATCATGGCCTCCAAAACATCGCGGATGGTCAAAATCTTGCCGTTTCCAAGGTTTCCGCCCGCACGGTTGGTGCGAGAGATCCAGTCGGCCACGGCCAAAATACCACCGAGATTATCGGAGGGGTGACCCCACTCGGCAGCGAGCCAGCAGTCATTGTAGTCGAGCCAGCGGATCATGGCACCAATGTTGAAGGCGCCATTGATGGGGTCCAGCTGGTATGGGGTACCGGGAACGCGGGTTCCGTTGGGGACCACAGTCCCCTCCACGGTGGGGCCCAGGAGCTTTGCGCACTCCTTGAATTTCAGGGCCTCGAGACCGCAGCCCAAGGTGTCCAAGAAGACGAGGCGGGCGGTATCCATCTAGTACGGTTGCCAGAATCCATCAGTCTCAAGTCCAATTACAGTCCTTTGTTTACGGGGAAAAGACAAACAAACTTACCGCCAGGTCGGAATCCACATTGTATTGGTGGATATACTTGGCCATATCCTGGATCTCTGGATCGTAGGACTTGTCGGCCGGGGCAGCCGGTGCAGCAGATTGACGAGCAGCCATGGTAGAGAATTTAGGAGCAGTAGTGCGAACAGCACGAGGAATAGAGGCAGAGGAGAAGGTGGAGGGGATTCTAGAGACGGGGATGCGGGCCAAAGTGCGGGGAGCCGTGTGGGTCAGCCGTCTCACGGGAAGGGACATGGTGTGTGCAAGAGCAATTGAGAAGGATCAAGAAGAATGATCCAATTTCTATTCAGGGCTCAGGGAAGAATTGAGGAGGGAGGAAGGGATAAATGAGAAAAAGGATGATTCGCAGAAGTCAAGAATGTGGAGAGGTTGGGGTAAGGAAAAGGGTGATCGCAAGCTGACTTCATATTGCCGAGGCGCAGTCGGTTAGTGTCGGTTAGCACGCCGTGATACCTCGTCCCGGATAGCCATACTACAATCTTCACAGAATAACCGTGCGGACCATTTCTCCATCACTCTCAATTATGACCCAAATATGGGTTGGCTTACTCTCATAGTGCCGAAGATCGGACGTACAATCTTAAGTATATGTGAGGAAGGGGTACGCAGCACCAGTACATACGGCCATTACATATTGCAAGAGTCAGGGACTCTGGCGAAAATCGGAACGTCTCATTAATTACCACGGTCATCGGTGAAACTGCTGCTCTTTTGAGAATTTCATGTACAGATCAAACGCCCCTCCCATCGTTTGGTTTTCGAATCTTTGTTTTTGCGACCCCTCGGGCCATCACATGTGGCCCCAATTTCAAGCTCCGGTCCGAGCTTCCTCCAACTCCTTCGCATCTGTTCTCCGCAATGATTTGCGGACTTCTCGGAAAAGCGCCTCGGCAAGCCGAGTTGGGACAGCATTCCCAATTTGCTTGCGCCTGTTTTTGCCGCAAAAAACAAATCCCAGTGGGAATGTCTGAATGCACGCAACCTCGCGAGGCGTCAATCCCCGCTTTCCCGAGGGGTGGTAATTGGCCTCACCGCCACTGCAGGTGATAGTCTTTGCTGGTTGGTGTGGACTATACGGGGCTCGGTGGGCGTTTCTGGTACGCTCCAACAATCCTCTGGTGTCATGGTCCATCCAGCCTTCGGGGATATCACTGATGGCCCTATGGATAGTCTCGAAAGGCTGGAGACTAGAGCCGAATGGACCGTGTGTAGGTGGTGGCATCTGAGGGAGAGTCTCTCCTGGGCTATCATATCTCAATTCCGTCAGTGAAATTCAACATGCAAGGAAGGACTCTCCTTACCCCGCAGCAATGATGATCAATCGACGACGCGTCTGAGGAACACCATAATTCAGGCAATCCAACACCGCCCAGCGGACCGAATATCCCACTTCAATGAAATCCATGATCAGTCGATTGAAGATAGCGGGGTGCCGCTCGCGCAATCCAAATGTCTCTTCCATGGTCAACACTCGGGGGCGAGCCCTTTTGATCAGATTGAGAGACGTGAAGATGCATGCCGAATTTTGCTCGTCACGGACCTGGTTATGAACAGTGTGCGCCGGCGAAAATGGCTGGCATGGAGGCGATGTATGACACACGTCGATGCGCAGATCCTCTGGAGTCTGTGTCATAAATAGGTCGAAGGTTGAATTCTCCACTAGAGACTGTGGGAAATTGCAGCGATAAGTTTGTATGGCATATTTGTCCATATCGACAGCCCAATTCAAGGCCAGCCCAGCTTTTCTGGCACCACAGGAGGCGCCACCTGCACCGCAGTATGAATCGCCAAAGGTGTATGTACGGTTGCGACTAGCATCATCGGAATTCCAGACTTGTGGATCCGGATTCACCAAATCGATTTCCAGTCTTTCAGGCCGAGGCACGAGGGCGACTGTACCGAATGGGGTGGTCTGATTGCGACCTCGCCACTGGTCGCGCAGTTCATTGGCAGGGAGACGAACACTAGAGCCACCAGATGCCTCATTATACGTGAGATACTCGACAGCAAACTCTTGGTCATCTGATCCCCCGGTTCGAGTACCATGTCGCATAACCGGCCGGAACTTGAGTGTGAACTTCAACCGACACGTGAGATCATCTTCGCCATGGAGCTCCGTATCCGAGACATGGTTTTTGCGTCGAAGGTTGGTAAAGCGGATGCGACGAAAACATCTGATCTGGTCCAGCGAACATAGTCCGGCAATATGGGGCATCCAGATCACTTCGCCGACTACTTTAGGGATGTAATCTCCTACGGCCTGGCTGGTTGATGGCACCAAATGGCGACCATGGAAAAATTTCTCACCGCCACGCTCACTGACATGGTCGATATGGAGGAAATTCCCATCATGGAGCTCGACCGATAAGCCTTGACCATAGATGATGCCATTGACAACCACTGATGAAGAGGTGCCACTTGGATGTCGCCGGGGCTCTAAAGTTAGCCGCGCAGTCTGTTCACGGATCTCCACCACAGGGCTGCTGGGAATGCGCGCTCCAACCTGCGGGTATGTATGAGGCTCGTCAGTCAGATCGATGATGTCTTTCGGCGGGTAACCTGTGAGGTCGATGGGTAACTCCTGAGAACTCCCGAGGGGGGGTCGAAACCGTCTGGCAAGAAGACTCTGTACTCCGTGGCGAGCTCGCAAAGGAGGAAGAAGGTCGAGCTTGATCAAAAGACACATTCTGAGAGACGGAGCTCATGATGAAGGAGCCGTCGCTGCCCAGCTTGTCTTTCGGTTTTGCTAGGGCGCCGTCGAGCGAGCTGAGGGGTACGACGTGCCCGACTGAGCTCGCACTTGGCAGATGTGCCCCCAAAACAAGATCTATGTGGATTGAAGGCATTCTGATATCGAGTTGATGAGATCAAGAGAGTCTGAAAAATACCAATATCAAAGAGCTGAGTGATGGATCATGAGATAATATGCTCTTCGACAGAAGCAGGAAGATTTGGTGTGTCGGGGAAATGAAGCTTTCCAGATCAGAGTATATGAGACGATACTTCAATTTGAAATTGAGCTTCAAGCGTTGGAAAATGCTCAGAACTACCCTTTGCAGGTCCATCAGAACAAAGCCTCAGTGGCCAGTAGAGGAACAAAGTCAAGATCATGATCAATACAAAATTCAACTCATTGTCTGCTGTACAAGGTATACTTCTCACAGCAGAAGGCATGATTCTTAACGTTTGGATCACCAGAGAATGCACAATATCGTGGTTATGGTTGCTACTACCATACAGGCCCCTACCATGATTCTATACACAAAGAGCCGATTTAGGGTGTGATGAGTCAGCACCGGGCCGGCGTCGGCGGAAAAAAAAATTCTGTGGAGACTTTGAACTCCTTTGGCGGGACCAGAGCACTGGAAAGAAATTCTCTTCCTTTTCCCCTCCTCTTCTTGTTCCTGGGGGTCATTGTTGACCATTGCGCCCTAACTGACCACATCCTGGTTCTGGTAAGTTGTGTTCTGTTTGCTATCCTAATCTGCACCACCCCTCTCTATGATGAACTTGGATATTTTTTATAGATGTTAGACTTCCTAGCTATTTTTGCGGAGAAACATCCGAACTGATTTGAGAAATAACCCCGCGATGCACTTTGCCACAAATGTGAATCGGAATATGTGCTAATATTTTCCCGACCGGTGTTTAGGAAACCTACCCATCGTCATCATGTGTGGAATTATCGCTTTGATCCTGGCCAACCCCTCCGCGGCCGCCGCGGTCGACCTTCACGAGGCCCTATATCTCCTCCAACGTGAGTGCCTGCGACCTATACAATGAAGACAAGGGAGCAAAGGCTAAAGTCTGCTGTGTAACACAGATCGTGGTCAGGATGCTGCTGGTATTGCAACCTGCGCGTCTGGTGGTCGAATCTACCAGCTTAAGGCCAACGGCATGGCTGCTAAGGTTTTCCACGATGGTGCCAAAATTGCCAACCTCCCTGGTTCCATGGGTATCGCCCACCTGCGTTACCCTACGGCTGGTAGCAGTGCCAATGCCGAGGCACAGCCCTTTTATGTGAACAGTCCTTATGGTATCTGCTTTGCGCATAACGGAAACCTGATCAATGCGCCGGCACTTAAGAAGCACCTGGATCTGGAGGCACACCGTCACATCAACACTGATAGTGACAGTGAACTTATGCTCAACATCTTCGCTGATGAACTGAGCGAGACAAAGAAGGCGCGCGTGAACAAGGAGGATCTCTTTGCCAGCTTGAGCCGTGTCTATGAGCGCTGTGAGGGTGGCTGGGCCTGCACTGCTTTGCTTGCCGGTAAGTCTATCCTCATCGCTGATTCCGATACATCCGAGCAATCCGTTGACAAGGAATTCTAGGTTTTGGTCTCATTGGTTTCCGTGACTCCTACGGTATCCGCCCCTTGGTTCTTGGCTCTCGCCAGTCCCTGGATGGCGAAGGCACTGATTACATGATGGCATCTGAGTCCGTCGCTCTGGACCAGCTTGGCTTCAACAACCACCGCGATATTCAGCCCGGTGAGGCTGTCATTCTTGAGAAGGGCTGTGAGCCGGTTTTCCGTCAAGTTGCCCCCAAGCGGGATTATGCCCCTGATATCTTCGAGTATGTCTACTTTGCTCGGCCAGACTCTGTTATGGATGGAATTAGTGTGTACCGCAGCCGTCAGCGTATGGGTGACCGTCTTGGTGCCCGTATTCTGAAGGTTCTCGGACCCGAGGTCGTCAAGGATATTGACGTGGTCATCCCCATTCCTGAGACCTCTACTACCTCCGCCAGCCATGTCGCTCAGTACTTGAATAAGCCCTACTGCCATGGTTTCGTGAAGAACCGGTACGTGTTCCGCACGTTCATCATGCCTGAGCAGAAGACCCGCCAAAAGGGTGTCCGTCGCAAGCTTAATGCCATGAAGGCTGAGTTCAAGGACCGCAATGTCCTGCTTGTCGATGACAGCATTGTCCGCGGCACTACTAGTCGCGAGATTGTCAGCATGGCCCGTGAGGCTGGAGCCAAGAAGGTCTACCTGGCCAGCTGTGCTCCTGAGATCACACACCCCCATATCTACGGTATTGATCTGGCCTCACCCCAGGAGCTGGTTGCCCACAACCGTGATACCGCAGCCATTGCCCGCCACATCGGCGCTGAGAGCGTCGTGTTCCAAACTCTAGAGGATCTCAAGGGCGCTTGTGCTGAGATCGCTATCGAGAACGGCCAGACAGAACCTGTCAACTTCGAAGTCGGTGTGTTCTGTGGTAGCTACGTCACCCCCGTAAGTGATGGCTACTTCGAACATCTGGAGGAGGTTCGTGGTGAAGGTCGCAAGAACAAGGCTCTGGACAAGGCGAAGGAGGCCGTTGCTCACGGCTTTGCCAGCACCACTGACTACCAGATTGCCGCGAAGGGAGTCGCAGTCGATACCAATGGCAAGATCATCCCTGCCGAAGATGATGTGCAACAAACCCGCCCCAAGCCCTCCCATGAGGAGCACCCCAACCCCAAGGTGGATGACCGCATGGACATCAGCATCCACAATATTGCTGACCACCCATAATTATGACCATTTTCAATATTTATTTTAGAGCCACTCGGGTTTGATTTGCATTCGGAGTCTTCGGAGTTATGTATCGGGCGGCATACCTTAGACGGGGAACAATTCCCTTTTGATGAGAAAAGTGATGTGTGATGTGACAATGCACCTTATCTGAAGTGACCCATATACTTGTGTCGGATTATTTCATGTGATCTCGATTGTTCCCACATGGGAAGCGATACCTTACTACATAGAAAATATCAACATATCATTTACTCGTGTGTCACGTGCCAACTGGTATATAAACAATCGTCTCTTCACTTCCTTTCCATCTTTCCAACCATCATCTGTCTTCAACCCACGCTTACTACTATGATTGCAAGTCTCATCAGATCTCCGCATCATTTCGTTCAAATTCTGAAGCTCAGTGCTTGGAAGAAGCAAGTTACGCACCCTCGATCAGGATCAGAGATTTGACGTCATACCGAACGACTCTACTTCTCAAGATTTTCCCCAACTTCTTTTTTCTTTGACACCCCCCAGTTTCTCACTATAACTTTATAGCATGGCCGATGCTCCTCTCACCCGTGCTGCTGCTCGGGCTGCTGCAGCACCAGCCACACGACAATCCATCACCACTCCAACCGCTGATCCTGTGACTACCCACACCCCAACCACGACAAAGGCCGCGAAAGGCAAGAAGAAAGTTGCTAGGAAAGCTACTTCTCGCACAAAGCCAAATGTCACAGCCCACAAGGAAATGGCCAAGACGAAGCAAACAGCCGCATTGAAGACTACCAAAGCGGCAGCGGGGAAAAAGGCCAGGGCTGATAAAGAGGCTCAGAAGGCGGTGCTTAAGCAAGTTGCCGATGAGGATTTCCCGCACAACATCGGTCCCGATATGGCCCCTTTGTCTGCAACTAAGCCCTTTGGTCTGAACAAAGAAAACCAACTTTCCAGTGATGCAGTCGACAAAGTTACTTCTGAACTGCAGGCTTCTATGGGTGACATGGTTAATGGCAACCTCCAAGGCAACTCAGCTTCCCAATCTCCGAAAAAAGCTGAGGCTAAGAAGGTCCGTTATCGTCCTACTCCAGGCGTTACACCGTTCCCATCTTGGACTCATCCAACCGCCGAGGAGTGCGAAGTTGCGAATAAACTACTCTCTTCGGTCCATGGAGAGGTCATTGCTCCCAAAGTCATCCCTCCTCCATCTCTCACTGTCACTGGTTGTGGCGAAGTCCCGTCTGTGCTGGACGCCTTGATTCGAACTCTACTCAGTGGGGCTACTACAAGCAGCAACTCCGCTAGGGCATTTAACGGCCTTGTGCAGCGCTTTGGCATTCTCAATGAAGGGATTGGCAAAGGAAGCGTTGACTGGGATGCCGTTCGTCGAGCTTCAATGCAGGATGTCTTCAATGCAATCAAAAGTGGTGGACTGGCCACTATGAAGAGTATGCACCTCAAGAAAATCCTCGACCTTGTGTATGAGGAAAGCCAGCAGCGCCTCGGCCCTCTGAAAACTGCAAATAGCTTAACTACCCCGACCAAGGAAGACCCAGACGCACCCAACCACAGTCTGGAAGTGGACGAGGAGTCCAAGCTTACTGGCCCTATCGCATCTACTGAAGTATTCAAGATGCCCACGGAGTATGAAATCGCATGTGCTGACCAGAACTTCCTCTCCCTGAACCACCTCCATAGCCTTTCGTCCGAGGAAGCCATGATTGAATTAACAAAATATCCCGGGATTGGGCCCAAGACTGCAGCTTGTGTCCTGCTTTTTTGCCTTCAGCGTCCCTGCTTCGCAGTCGACACCCACATCTTCCGCCTCTCCAAATGGCTTGGCTGGATTCCACCTACAGGAGTCAACGAAGTCAGCGCATTCAACCACCTGGAAGTCCGAGTTCCGGATCACCTGAAGTACTCTTTGCACCAGCTGTTGATCCGCCATGGAAAAGACTGCCCTCGTTGTCGCGCCATTACCGGTGAGGGGGCTGCAGGTTGGAATGATGGATGTGTGATTGACCACCTCGTGAAGCGAACCGGCAAACGCAAGGGAGCCTCCTCCGCCCCTACCAAGGTCGAGAAGAAAGGGAAGGCAAAGACTGCAGTCAAGAAAAGGAAAAAGAAGACTTCCACTGATACTCGTCCTGCAAAAAGGGCCAAAACCGCCGCTCTGCCAGCTGCCACTGCTGATACGGACGAGACTGAGGATCCTGAGCTTTCTGAAGTTTCGGATACGGTGCTTGATGATGTTTCTGACTGATTTTGTGCGCATGACTGTCGGCTTGCTACGATGCAATGAATTTGCTTATACCGCGAAGGTGTTTAGGGATTTGATTTTAGTGACGTTTGATGGTGCCTTTCTATTCGGAGATTTCTCTTTTGACTGTTTTATGATTCCTATGGCTCATATTCAAGTTTTCATTGCATTCTCGGTAGCTTTATTTGCTTTCAAGTGTACTTTCAAGATAATTATTTGATACCCACTTTCCCCTTTTACCACCGACTTTTCGCTATTCTTTCTCCACCTCCAATTTCATGTGACATCTGCGTGCATCGAGCACCTCCATATGTTTCGCTTCATCGGCCTAGTACTCCTTGTGGGGCGTATGGACGCATACCTAGAAGCCATCTGCTTCATAGAATATGACAAAATACCGATATCACAGATGAGCCAACTTCCGCTGCTGCTTGGCAATCATATCAAGCAGGATCTCTTCACTACCTCCACTTACCACCAAAACCCGCACATCCCGACTTATCTGTTCCACTCGCTGGCCTTGTCCCTGACGAGAGTATCCAAGTCCACCAAAGACTTGCTGAGACTCCCGAGATATTTTCTCCAGATTGTGAGCAGCCTGCACCTTAAGCATCGCAGCCAACGGCGAGAAATTCAGAGAAGGCATTCGAACCGACCGATATACCAATTCTTCCATGAATGCTTGGGTGGGTTCGAGCATATTTGCCATTCGAGAGAATTTCTGCCGGATGACCTGGTTCTCGAAGAGTGGTTTTCCGAAGGTCTCGCGCTTTAGCGCATGGCGGTAGGAGTCTTCGTAGGCAATTCGGCCAAGTCGCAGGGCGGTTATGCCAACCCAAAGGCGCTCATGAGCGAAGGCTGTAGCAAAAAGTCAGTCAAGGTGAATAATGTGCGTTCAGAAAGTTTATTTACTGGACATGATGATTTCGAATCCGTGATTTTCTTGTCCAAGTAGGTTCTCGGCTGGTACGAGTACCTCGTCAAATTCCATGAAAGTCGAGCCTATCAAACGTCAGTCAGGCTGGACTCTTGCTTCATTTTATCTAGGCTGGGACAGTACCACTGGAGCTGACACCGGAGTTCTCGATTTTCCTTCTCGAAATTCCTTCAGTTGCCAGTGGAACGATGAAAACCGAGAGACCCTTGGCAGTAGGCGGGCCTGTTCGAGCAGCGACCAGGCCATGATCGGCCCATTGTCCTTGCGTCACCCATTTTTTCTCTCCATTCAGAATGTAATGCTTTCCATCGGGTGTTTTCTTGGCAGTGGTGGTCAATCCGGCAACATCAGAGCCAGCTAAGATAACTTAGCGTTTTCATTTTCCATCTGAGTCGACAGTTGATGCTTACCGGCAGGCTCCGTGACACAAAGGCAATGTCTCTGCTCGCCTCGTAGCAGAGGCGCTAGGTACTTTCCTTTCTGTGTTGGGGTACCATAGTGATCAATTGGTGGTCCGCCGACTGTCGCACCGCCGTTTATGCCCCAGACCGTTCCCAAACAGGCGCAACGAGCCATTTCGTCAATGATCTAACGATAAGTCAGTTTTTGAAAGACTCAGTCACTCTAAATAACCTGCTAGTGCTTACTATAGCATCGTGAAATTCATCCCACTCTGAATCAAATCAGTGACCGTACCTCTTAATCACAAGATCGGGACTTACCATCAACATTGAGTCCGGCTGGCAATGTCAATCCTTTTATATAATCCTTCGGGAGAGGAAATGCAGAAGCTGCTAAGAAGCCTAAAGATGCATGTCTTTTGAATGCCTGCCTGGGTGTTAGATGAATACTTGTTGAGGCCGGCTAGACTGACAGCTTCCGGTACATATCCTTGCTTTTCCCATTCCTCGACATTGGGAGCAATTTCTCGATTCACATATTCACGAACAAACCTTTGCAATTTGTGATGACTTTCTTTGAAGTAGGGGTGATCATGACGGCGGTGCCATGCTGGGTCCGCGGAAGGGATGTCAGAGGTAAGAGCCGAGGCCATTTTGAAGCAGTGTTTGATGAAAGTTTGACGTAGATTTGTATGAGTATGTATCTAAATTTGAAAGAACAGACATTCAAATGAAATAAATACCTGAACGGAACTCTTTCATTCCGCCCACGGAATTTACGAGTCATCCTTTGTGATGTTAATTTTCCTGAGTCGCGGTTCGGCAAATTCCAAAACACGAAATATTCCGAACTTGTAGATCCCGAGGACAAGAGTGACAAGTTGACAAGGCTACCTTATGAAATGCTTGTCAAAGGACATGAACAAACGGATTTTCCCCTGTACTTGAGATTTTACACGTGCTTGTCTTCAATCATGGCGAATCTCCGCTTGAACCAGATACAGAACCATCTCGTCAGCTCGAGTACGGATCCTGCTCGAGTTGACGGACATGTCATCATCATCACAGGAGCTGCGCAAGGTGAGAGAAAATACTCCAAAAAACAAACAATAATCAGCACTCATTCCAAGTTAAAAAGGCATTGGTCGATCGGCCGCCCTACTGTTTGCTCAAAAAGGAGCCAAGGTCGCAATCAACGATCTTGACTCCGATAAAGCACAAGAGGTAGTTCAAGAAATTCGAAACTTTGGAGGGCATGCTGAAGCTTTCCCGGGAAATATGCTTGATGAATCATTTCCTGCAAGCTTAGTGGCAGATGTCTTATCAAATTGGGGCAAGATCAATTGCCTTGTCAACAACGCAGGTAAATTTCGTTGATGAAACAGAGCCCATGTCCAAGGCTGATAACCACAGGATTCTGTCACGATAGCGCAATCCACAAAATGGACGATGCAAAATTCGACGTGATTATGAAAATTCACAACTACGCGCCATTCCGTCTTCTTCGAGCCCTATCCCCACATTGGATGGACCCATCTGTTCGCGATATGCCCAAGTGCATCATCAACGTTTCATCAACATCCGGTCTACACGGTGCAATGGGCCAAATCAACTATGCTACTGCCAAAGCGGGCATAGTTGGCCTCACAAAAACCGTAGCCGCTGAATGGGGCCGGTATGTATACTCCAAGGAGCTGAGTCAAGTGATTTTGAGCTTACTTTATTTTAGATACAATGTTCGTGCTAACGCCATTGCATATGGATGGATTGATACTCGTATCACGCAACCTCCGACTGAATCTAAGGTCCTCTCTATTGATGGACAGGATATCAAGGTTGGAATTCCTATAAACGCTAAGAAGTGGCGTGATGTTTCTGATATTCCTCTTTCACGGCCTGGAACTGCGGATGAGGCTGCGAGAGTCATGTTTTTCTTGGCTAGTCCGCTTTCTTCTTATGTAACTGGAACGTGTGTGGAGTGTACTGGAGGCCGTTTTATGTGAGCTTCATTAGATCGCGAAAATGGACTTTCGACTTTTTGTTTCCACCTTAATCACAACTAGTGCTCTCCTCTTGTAGGCTGACTCATTGGTAAAATTCTGTTCTGTGATCCCATTCCGCGCTGCACTGTTCTAGCCAAAACATTTCTGAGGTTACTTATCGGCCTAATGTCTTGAATCAATGTCATCACGAGTTTCTGAAAAGTGCTTTTTCCAACAAAAAGAGGCATATACTATGAGATTGAGTTACTGATGCGACGTTTTTGAGAGAGAAGCCGAATAACTATTAAACCTCTGATATCATCCCACACTGTCCTTATTATTCTTCTCTGGAAGGACGTCTGGTTCATGAAGTGCCATCTCATGGGAGGACTCCATACATCGAGCACCAAGTCCAAAGCACTCCACACAAATATCAAAATCAAAGCATGACTGGCACGTGCGATAGACGTTACCAGAGAAAATTTGACGAAGGCACACATCACAAGATCTCAGCCATTTTTCACATTTTAAAGAAGAGATTTCCATCTGTAATTCTTCGTCCGCGATGTTGAAGCCGGCGGTTTCCGCATGTTGAAGCAGGAACTCCACAACTTCAACGTTCCCACTCTTCTTGGCCCACCAAAACAAAGTACGGTCCAGACTATCTCGGGTCTGAATAGTAAGACTTGTGACGGGCATCAATTGCTTCACCGCCTCGAAATGGCCATTCCTGACAGCTGCGAATAGGCATGTTGAGCCCCAGTGGTCTGCAAGGTCCACGGGGACATTGTTGTTAAGACATAAACTAATAATGTCTGTTTGACCCATCGAAGCGGCACGATATAGTACCGTACGACCCCATTTGTCCAGGACTTGAATCGCCGCAGCAGACTTTTCGACTAACAGCTTGACCACTGCCAGATGACCTGCATCTGAGGCATGATGTAATGCGGTGAGTCCAGTATCATCGGTTGTTTTGAAATTCGCACCATTGGCAAGGAGTAGTCTCACGACTTCAACGTGACCGTTATAGGCGGCCGTACTCAACGGAGTGAGCCCAGAGCTGTTAGCTGCCTCGATGTTTGCGCCATTTTCAAGTAGCAACTTAACTATACCCAAATGACCTTGATATGACGCAAGGTAGAGTGCAGTCCGCTCGTCATCAGTGGCTTCAGTCTCTGCACCATTTTCAAGAAGTAATTTAACTATCCCCGAATGGCCTTGATAAGACGCATATTTGAGTGCAGTGCGCCCGTCATTGGTGGCCTCCATTTCTGCACCGTAGTCAAGAAGCAACTGAACAACTTCAATATGACCTCCATTCGAAGCGTTCATCAGTGCATTCCGACCATCATTGTCGGTGCCCTCGATGTCGGCACCCTTGTCAAGGAACATTGAAACTAGCTGGATAAAGCCCTTTAGAGAGGCGATGCATAGTGCATTCCACCCACTTTTGCCGGCACCTTTCATGTCTGCGCCATTATCAAGAAGCAAGTCAACAGCTCGGAGGTGACATTTAGACGAAGCGTGAATTAGTGCGGTCCAGCCATAGCTAGTCGCAGCTTCGATATCTGCACCATTCTCAAGCAGTAATTGGATAACCTCAGTATGACCTTCATTTGAAGCATTGATTAGTGGAGTCCACCCATCATTGTCTGTGGCGTCAATGTCAGCACCCCTGCTAAGAAAGAACGAAACAAGGTCAATATGGCCTCTAAATGAGGCGTTGCATAGTGCATTTAACCCATTATTTCCGGCGGCTTCGATTTCTGCACCATTGTCAAGTAGCATCTCAACGACTTTAAGATGACCTTCATGCAACGCGTGGATCAGTGGGGTCCAACCATAGTCACCCGTGGCTTTGATGTCTGCACCGCTTTCAAGGAGCAACTGAGCAACTTCAAAATGACCTTTATCCGCAGCGTGGATCAGTGCAGTCCAGCCATACTTTGTCGCGGCTTCAATGTCTGCACCGTTCTCGAGGAGCAACTGCACAACTTCAAAATGACCTGCATTTGAAGCGGCGATTAAAGCAGTCCACCCATCATCGTCAATGGCTTCGATGTCGACTCCTTCCTGAAGGAGAAGTCTGACTACCTGAACATGGCCACTAGTCGATGCTGAGTCCAATGCGGATCTGTTGAATCTATCTCTGATGTCGACGTTGGCTCCATGGCTGATAAGAGAAGAAGCCACATCAACATGACCAAGGTAACAGGCACGTAATAGCGGGGTCCACCCTTCGCGGTCAACTGAGTTTTTGTCGGCGCCTTTGCCAATTAATATCTCCACTATCTCGAGCGATCCGTTTCTCGATGCAAAATGTAATGGTGTCCATCCGCGTTCAGTCGCAATTTCGATGTTCGCATGATTATCAAGAAGAATTTTGGCTATTTCTAGCCTCCCTTCAGCCAACGCAGCATTCAACGGGGAGAATCCGCTTCTATCTGCAGCATCGATATTCGCCTGTTTACTAACAAGCAGAGACACAATATCGAGGTAACCATCCCACGAAGCAGTGAGCAAAGGGGTCACTCCAGCGTTATTCTTGACCGAGGCATCTGCCCCATAGTCAAGAAGTAACTGAACAATATTTATATTCCCTGAATCAGTGGCTGCGTGAAGTAGTGTTGACCCATAAGTGCGCTCAGGCTCCCTCAAATCCGCTCCTGCATTAATCAGAAGTTGAACCACCTCTATATGCCCGTTACGTGCAGCGGTAAATATGGGTGTTGATCCGTCAATTGTAGGGATTGTCATGTCGGCCCCCGCTTCGAGCATTATTTTTGCGATTTCCAGATGCCCTCTGTAGCAAGCTATTCCCAAGGCAGTAAAGCCACTATTTGCCCTTTTGTCAATCTCATTCTTGCTGGCATTGATGAACTTTTTGACGACATCAATTAGCCCAAGAAAAACTGCATACCACATGGGAGTTGAAGCTATTTGATCAACTTGGTCGTCTATAATAGCCGCCACATTCAGGTCGAACCATTCCTTCCACTGCTTCCAACTTGCGTTCCCTGTATCGAATAGACCGTGAATAAGTGTTGTTAATTCGTTGTCTCTTTTTTCATCCACTGAAGAGTGCTGCTGCCATGACTCGGCCGCGTATTTTCGGAAGCAGCTAAGCAATTGATATTGCTCGGTCGTCGAATCCCAAACCTTTCGACAATGCAAATAACGGAGACATCTCTTCGCAAGTAGAATACTCTCTGAGGGCTCGGTCGACGATCCCAATTTGTATTCGAGTTGAAGCACTCCATTTTGTGCTGGGATGTGAAGGAGGAGATATTCTTTCACTGAGAAATGTGCCAGATGAATTGTCTTCATCCCAGCAGGGCATTCTGTATCGGGGCTTCGGATCTCAAGAAGAGAACTGCAATCATTCAAGATTTCAATTTCAATAAAATCCTCATCTATCTCATCAGGTATCTCATCAACAAGGACTTCGTCCTCCTCGGTGACGAGCAGAGCTCCAGCCATCTCGTTTACCGTCAGCGGTCGCAGAGCAAACGCAGCCCATCGAAGTATGTTGAAAGCTCGTTGTCGATACTCATTGGGCAACCGCGATATTCTCATCCAGTTACGCTCGTACGCATCCTCAAGCCCTATGGGAGTAGCGTTGATGATTCTTTGCAGAGCTGTTTGATTGACTGTGCTGCGTAGGTCATTCTCTTGTAGCTTGATCCAAAGGAATTGCCCATTGCAACGATCGGCAAGCTTCTGGGAGATATCTTTTCTCACTACCTCTGTCTTCTTTGCTAGCTTTCTGTCAACTATTGATCGAGAGTATATGTCAATGTCCGGTCGAACTAGATCGGGCGTGATCTTATGCTGGATAAGCAACACGTAATCTATAGCGGAAAGAGAATTTCTGATTTCGGGTTCATCGCGGCTGACAATCAACAAGCGAGTTTGTGTTCCAGCAATTGCTTGTGCTATCGTGTTTAGAAACCCGGCAATGGAGTCGGCTCGACGATCGGCCATCCGACTGCATTCATCGAGACCATCCAGGACGAGAGTGCATCCTGGGACAGCTAGCACAATGTCCCTTAAAAGGTCAGTTATATCATGGCGTGTTGCCTTCACTCCTTGTTGAAGCGCCCAAACATCACGGATTAAGGCAAAAACAGTTGGATGCGACATCATTTGAGAAAGCCATGCTCTGATAGCGACATAGTGATCTTCTCTCTCGACGTCGGTCGAAAAGAAGAAATGGGAAACGGGCTCGTTGAGAGTAGAAATCAAATGATCAACCACTCTAGCGCACAAAATAGACTTCCCGAATCCGGCTGGGGCATTTACCCAAAGGATCTTAGGATGACCTGCCGGGAAGTCGTGGGAATACCAGTGTAGAAACCACGGCGTGCTGAGGATCCATTCACACGTCCCCTCAATTCTCCTTTCGGCGGAGCGACCGTAGGTTTCATTTGGCAAATGCCCACCCAACAGCCAGGTATGCATGTCCCGTTTTGCTTCGGCTGTTTTTATTCAGTCTTTTGAGGTCTTTTCACACCATGGGTGAACGTACCTTCCATCTCATTCTGTAGCCTGCTTAGCAGGTCCCCAAACTGTGTGTTTAAATCCTTTTGGTCAAAGACATTCTCTGAACTATATGTAAGCACAAGAAAGCAAAAGGGATATTTCAAATACCGTACCATTCGAGCGCATCGATGAGCCACCGCTATTTCTGTATTTTCCAATTTGAGAGGATTTCTCTTCCTCACTTCCAATCGGAATCAATTTGTAAAGAATGTCGACCAAAGATGCAAATTGTCCAACTTGTGTGATTCGTTTCGCTTTATCTCTCAATGACGAGTTGAATTTCTGCATTCTGGATTCTTTCGTGCGAATATGATTACGGGACGGCATTTGATTTCGGACCATTCTATCTGATGCAAATGCAGATGGGGCAAACATATCATCGCCTAGAGAACAGACGTCTTTCACAGCTGAAAGCAGCTCGTTGACTGTAGACAGAACCCGCGGGTCGTCCAGAGCCTTGTGATGCACATCCAACATTCCTCCATCTTTCAATCCCACAGATTGCCCCCATCTCTCGAGACGCAATTTATGGGCTTTGAACTGAGCAGCTAGGTTCCGCGAGTCTCTTCCAAAGCCTTGCCAGGAATCGAATTTGTCCAAGATATCCAAACAGGTGTTGAATAAACCTGCAAGGCCTATGATGCCGACCGCAAAGCTCACCGGTTCCATGTTTCACGGAGTTTCAGGAGACTAGATTGGCATTCATAGACGTGCGGCTCGTCTACGAGGTTGCTTCTGAGAATGTAGGCGCACAGTCTTGAAAGCTCTTAATTTGGATTGATTTGGGAAAGGATAAGTTTCGAGAATCAAAATGCTGCCGGTCTTCCCGGCTTACAGGTTGACAGTGCTTGGACCCCAAGGCGAAGCGTTGGATGCGGGAAAACCTCCATCACGCCCCCACAGGCAATCAGTCAATGGATGTGAAGTGCTAGGTTTTTTCTTGCTCCAAAAGCGATCTGCATAACGTAGTGGCATCACTACATAGAAAGACTTCGATGCCCACAGGAGGTCGTCCCATGATTGATACTGTTGAGAGGTCATGTGATGCTCTCTGGTTGCCTAGATCAGTGCTTGTCTCTTGCTTCTTCTTGTTTTCCTTTCTTCTCTTCTCTCCATATCACAATACAATTGCTTCCTGTTTGCCCCGTTTTTTCTGCCCACCATCACTGGTGTGCTTCTCTTCTTTCCTCACCTCAAGCGAGTATCCTCTGATCTTTCTCAGCGCTCCGCGCTGATAGATACCATGTTCAGAATTTCTCTCTTATTGTATGAAACGTTCGGTGCTGGTAATATAATTTCTTTTTCGGGGGATTCCCATTCCTACTCCTTTCGTGGCGTTTCCAGAGTGTCCCAGTCACACTTACACTATCGAGATGACGAACAGATGAAGAGTATGGTCTTGAAGGGTTACTAGGGAGATTAGAAGCATTTCAAGCACAGTCCATAATAGTTAAATACATGCTGTGCACAGGTATAACTCAAGAAAGATAATGCAAGGGATTATCCAGTCAATCAAGGCCATCTTTAACATTCAGGACGGTCCATTAAAGATGTCCAGATAAGTATTCCTGTCCAAACTAAGACGTAGCGAGCCGCGTGAATTCGTACGCGTCCATCTAGTAGTAGGCAGAGAGGTCAGAGTTTAGGCCGTTGTTTTGTTTTAGTAAAAAGAAAGAAACAAACAAAATAGAACGGAAGGCTAGTAAATAACCAAAACAAGGATAAAAAGGAAGACCAACCAAAAGAGAGGAGAGTTGGACACGTCTGCATCTCTATTACTAGGGACTGCAGGCTGGTTGAGCAGCCTCCGTTCACTGCAAACTCGACATGCCTCAGCAAAGTCAAGTTTCTGGCACCAACGACATGAACGGCACGCATGAGAATATTTCTCACTAGCCATGAGTAGATATTTGTCTTCAGACATTTCCTCTTTGGTCCACCAGTAAAGTTTTGGAATGAATCCCGACAACTTCGCATAAGCTTGCCAATGTTGTTCCAGTTCAACGTTACCATAGGCTCCAATTCCGATTAGCCAGAGAGATGACCGAAAGCGCTCTAGCTTGGGCATGCGCGCCGATTTACTTCGTCTGAGCCAAATTCGAGAATCATATGTGTCATAGAGCCGAGGTTTCATGTTTTTGGGGTCAACTTGCATTCTCATTGTATCATCGTCTTTTTCATGGGACCAATGGTGCATACGTAGTAGCAATCGATTCCTATGGCGTGCCATTCGTAGACCTGGATCATATCTCAAGACGATATCATAATTTTCGGAAAGATCGGCTAGGAACTGATCCTCGTAGGGCGATTTCCAACTATCGCCGTCCTCGTACCATTTGTAATATCTTTGAAAGCGAAGGGCTTTCCCCGTCGTGCCACCTATAGAATCTAGTTTCGTGTCAAGGAATATTCGAGTAACTGTGAGCCATTTCCTGATGTCCACGATCCCTTCCATATTCATAAGATGGGAATCTTTGTATGCCGGACTCTGGATGAGTTTATGTAGCAGAGAGCAGTGCTTGTATTTTGACCGAGTTTCCAGACTAGTAGAGAGTGATGGTGAAATATGGAGTATGCAACTCGATAGCCGGGTGAAAGGCATGAAAGCAATGTCATAGTCAGGCCGGGAAAATTTACGGAGTCCTGTGCTTTGAAGAGGCTTTCCGTTTCTTTCATGCCATTCGTCGACCAGGGTGACCATCACGTTAGGATTGTAAGGTACGGTATGCAAGATATCGATGAATTGATTAATATCTTGCCACAGCCCCACAATTATACCAGGGTCATCTGGGTGTGGCGGAAGAATCTCGACTAGCAATGGCTTCTGATTGAGTCTCCAATAAGGAAAGTTGTGTAGGTAGTTTTGTATTTCATCAAGGCCTTCCAGGGTGTTCCAGTATGTCTGATTCTTGAAAGACACTTTGACATGAAGCCGATTTAGGCCATTCAAGCCTGAGATTTGAATGACATGTACGAGGTCCTTATAAATGAGGCATGATATCTCTTCATTAAGGTACTGACTGCAATATGAGATAGATAAAGCGTGTGGTGTTCGTTGTCTTTTGGGCAGTCCAAAATCTCGAGCAAAGAAGTGCTGGTAGATAAGATACTCCCATATAAACAAGCGTATTTCAGTTGGTAGCTTTGAAAAGGTACCAAGTTGGGCGAGACATATAGCCGTTGCTTCGATATGGGAGTCCCCCGTGCGGTCCATCATGTTTGACTGTAGACCTGAGAGACTAGAGAGGTTGGAAGCTGTAGTAAAAACGGCGGGAAGCAGAGAGTTGTGAAAGTGAGATGCGGAAGACAAGAAATGGAAAGTTGAAAGGCCAAAATACGAGCAGATACAATCTGAATGGGAATGAGAGGAAGCCCGTGTACTAGTACTAGTTTGTAGGTCGGGCCCTGATCTAGTTCTACACTAAGCCTTTTCTGTCATACTGACTCATGAGTCATGACCACCAAATCATCTCAGCCTAAAACCAAGGGCAGATAGATGTTCATGCAAGACATGCATGTCGATATCGCACCTTCTAGTCTTTGTACCAAAGGAAAATTCAATCAAGCGAGTGGTTTCAAAATATTCTGGAGAGGCTCACACACAGCACTTGGAGTCCACGGGAGGTCACCCCATATACCTAGCCGGTCGCGGCAGACGACCAGAAAACATCTTGAACTAAATATCAAGAATGATTGATCTATAACCTTTGTATGGGAAGGAAGACGCAGAAGATGACCGTATACTCATAGGTACTTTTATGTGAGTCTCGAGATTTCTTTCCAGCGATTCTTTCATGACAGGTTCAATCACCAGTTGTGTACATCATCACTGGCGCATTTGCCATTGCTATCGTACCCAGCTGCTTTTCCTGCTGACATCTGAAATCTCCTTGAGAAGACCCAAAGATGGCATATCGATCTATTCATTCGTATGTTGTCGCGTCGGTTCCTATCCGTATTATCTTCTCTTTATGAAGTGCAGATTTTGCAACAACGGCATTTGGGGCAAAGGAGTCAAATCTGGCCATCACCACGTTTGAACGAACGTACTTCAATTAAGATTATAAGCAAATCATAGGGCTGCGTAACGGAATTCATGAATCAATAGTGGCCTTACGTTGTCAGAAAAGTTGCGGCTATCATGGATTTGAATTTTGTATAAAAACAAAAAAGCCAGAAATAGTAGTGAATATCAAATCGATGTTGAGGTTCGGAACTATTTACAAAGATTGAGCTCAGCTTAGCTTCGTCCATGAAGGACTACTAGACCCCAACACCACGTTGAGGTGCGAACCCGTCGTTGGGGTAATAATAAATGAACATGAAAACAAAAACGGCCAGCTAAAAATATAGAAACGGCCCATCCCCGAATAAAAATATAAGCCGCACACAGCCCGGCCAACACCCCCAGAACAGCCAAATCAAAAACAAAGGCCGCCCTCAGCCCGGCCACTCCCAAACACAAAGATCAAAACAAAGGCCGCACTCAGCCTGGCCAAACCCCCAAGAAACAGTCCAGAATGGCCGCACTCAGCCCAGCCCACACAGCCCCCGATCGTCGTCATCCACCGTGGAACTTTCACTTCTTCTGTTTCGATGGGCGATTGTCGAGGTGTGCCGAGGGAAACAAGTCGTCCATCTTCCTCTTCTTTGTCATGTAGGGCATCGGATCGGACCTCGTCGAATCCCGTGTCCGGGGAGGTATATTGGGTCTCCGAGCCCCTCCATCGTTGTAGAACGGATCCAGTTCTCCACGAAGCATGTCTTCCGCCAGGTCATGCTCAAATTCCTCCTTTTCAACGTCGTTGCTGGGTGCGATGGCGAGGAAACGAGATTGGTTAGTCGAGCGCCTGGTACACTCGTCGTCCAACCACTCCCGACTTTCTTCCCAGAAGTTCACAATCCGCGTCCAAGCGCCGCGCTCTGTGCAATCAATCCCCGGCAGATAGGCACCAAGATACTTCACATCTCTCTGAAGAGAGAGCTGTTGGCCACGGGCACCTAAGGTCTTGACGTCTGCATGGCTGAGTTGGTTCCGAGTAGCGTACACTTTGATTGCCGCCTTTGCCATTTCTGCACTGACCGAGTTGCTTGTATTGCCGAGTTCCGAAATCTCCTTATTGAGGAGATCCAAACCACCTGCAAGTCCGAGGAGGCATCCCCTTCCCCTATGCGCTCCTCTCGCTTGAGCTCCTCAGCGAAGGCGGTCACAGTCGATGGCCAGGGCCTGTGGGCACGGCGGGAAGCGTAGTCGAGGCACTTCCAAAGTCGCCCAGCATAATCACCATATCTAAGGTGGAATTTCATTTGTCGGATGATCTGACTCACCTTGTCCAAATCATCAAGCGGGTTGCTGGGAACAGGTTCGCCGAGACCCAAGTCGGAATCGCTGTCCAACTCGATCTCGAAGAGCGAACTGTATTCGCCAACCATCCCAAGAACGCGGCTGATCGTCGTCGGCAGATCATCGGCGGTGGATGGGCCCTCCCCATCGTCGTCACCGAATTTGGAGTTGGTGTCAGGTCCCGCGTTTGATGCGGATTTGATATCTAACCAACCGTCAGTCTGATCTACGAGGGGGAGGGGCTTACCTTCTGGGAGTGAGCCCCCAGCCGACATCCTGCTGCAAATGAGTTAGAGCTGAATACATAATACCTTACCTTTACTCACTCGGAATCCATATCTTACAAGCCTCCACAGAGGCAGGACGAAAAAAGAGGAGGGAAAGCTTCTGGAACCAAAGCAGAAATGAGAAAATGGTGAGAAGAAAGAGAGAGAAAAAAGAGATCCAAGTGAGAGAAAAGTCAACAACAACACGCAGTGTTATCAGGCAGGTGCAACAAGCAAGTAAACAATACAATATCCTTCAGGGAGCAGGAGCCTATAATTGGGAACTACGAAGTAACAAACCTATGCATAATTTCAAGTAAGAGCAGACGAGAGGCAAGTACGTTCACTCGACTCCTCAACCCGAGCAGGAGCACAGGGTGCTTTTGTTCAGCTTATTACTCGTCAATGAACTCATGTGAACCTGGGCCCTAATTAGGTGTTTTTTTCACCGTCTCTTGAAATAGTGGTCCTCACCGTTCCCAAATCGAACCATTGGCACACAATTAAATTCGCTTTTCAGATTGAAATTATCATCCATCTGCATAAAGTATGTCGTGGGGCTATCCATTGAATGTGGATTGCAACTTCCTCTATCTGACTTCTGTGCATGGTAAAGTATCTTTTAAATTGGTTGTCTGGGGTCAAGATGGTGATTGGAACGGCCCCGGGGCCATCCAGACCTGGTTCTATGAGCTATAAAGTACACATTTGTTTCCACGGTAAATAGTGGAGAATCAAGCCTATCACCCGCAGGCATGCATTAGTTTAGACCAAGTTGTGGGTTGGTAATTGTGACGACAGCAGGACTCGAACCTGCGACGCTCTAGATTGCAGAGAAGAATACTCTCCTTCAACTAGCGCCATTGACAAAAAGACAAAAACAAGCGTCCCCGGGAAGGCTCGAACTTCCAACCTCCTGATTAACAGTCAGACGCGCTAGCCAATTGCGCCACGGAGACAGCAAGGATAAGGTACATATGCTGCGATTTGAAACACATCTGAATCGACAGAAACCATTCCTCTCTCAATGTCCTAGTTGCATTCATGGATAGACTGATGCAGTGGCTAAAACAGCCCCCTGAAAGTTCAAACCGATTCATTTGGTTCGGACTATGAGTTACCGTGGAGGTAGGTCCCCCTTCACCCACGTCAAAATTAGAACCCGAACCTTAACCACGGATGTCCAGATGCAGTATGGGTCAGGCTTGTGCATACTTACAGATGGCCCGCGAGAGCCGGGTTTGCGGGCTTGCCAAGTATTAAAGAGTAGGATTGCTCACCTGGGCATGTAAGCTTCACGTAAACGCGGGGCAAATAAAACCGTCTACGAGATGTGGACTGTAGGCTGGGAAATACATTTTTCACTTTTCCGTGCATTATATCGGATCAAATGTTACGTTTCTTGATCCATTTACTCTATGATGCTTGAAGCTAGGAATTGAGATAGATAAATCGAGCACATATATGAGAGCTTGCTTAGGATATTGAAAGAATTAAAAAAAAAAAAAAATTCACCGCGATGTTTCGGTGTTTCAAGAGTTGCATAGTTCTTCATATGTGGAGTGCGAATAACTTTCGCAATGTAGGGAGAGCCCTACATCAGTTAGCCAGGCCTTTGGCATTTACGAACAGACAGGGTGCCAAGAAAAGAGTGCTGGCTCCACGACCTTCAGACGAAAGTGCGTCTGTTCAAGGTGTAGCAAAGAGCTTACGCTCGTTTAAGAGAATTTAGAACGGAAAAAAGAGGTCCATCACGATATATTGGAATTAAATGAGACCGAGCTTTATAGCCATTAATCTCTATGTACTAATCCCAGGCTGAACCTTGTTAATGCTTACCGCACCCAATCAGTTGTAAAATGTATCACCATAGGCACTGACCGAGACGGCGGCAGCAACCGAAGAAGAAAACCCGAGTCGTTTAGTCGGTATCCGGGGTAAAGGGACATATAGCAGATTGTGCAGGGCGACGGCGCGCGACGGCGCGCGACGGCCAATGCTGTGGGCCGTCTTGGCTCGGGGAGATAACGCGGCCTATCCTCATTTGCAATTTCCATGACGGGCGTAGATATCGATATCGGATAACTTCGGGCTACGAACAGAATTATGGAGGAATATTTTGAATGATAAATATCCCTCTTTATCCAGGATGAGATTCACGGGACTGCACTCCATTTGATATCTTCTTATCGCTGGTTAGTGTACACCTGTATCTTAATTCCCCTTACTTTGACTGACAGCGGTACAAAAATTCCATAGATCTTCCAATGGCTTCAAAATCCTCCATCGGCAGCGAAGAACAGCCTCTGACAATTTCCCAATGGCGTGAACAACAAGAGAAAGCTTCTGAGCCAACACATCTCTTGTCCCTGCTCGAGCGAGCACAACCAAACACATTCAATGCATGGATCTCATTAGCCACCCCCGAACAAATAATTACACAATGGGAGGATATTATAGCACTTCGATCCCAGGGGCAAGATCTTCCACTATTTGGCGTGCCCTTTGCTGCCAAAGATAACATCGACGCGGCAGGGTTCTGCACAACGGCAGCATGCCCGTCCTTCGGCACCGAGCCTGTCACCACCGACTCAACAGTTGTACAGCGGTTGAAATCACAAGGCGCGATTCTCATTGGCAAAACAAACCTTGATCAGTTTGCCACAGGGCTGGTCGGCACGCGTTCACCGTATGGGGCCGTTGCCAACTCCTTCGACCCGAGCCGGGTCAGCGGCGGTAGCAGTTCAGGTAGTAGCGTGGTCGTTGCTCAGGGACTGGTCCCTTTCTCTCTTGGCACAGACACGGCAGGGTCAGGCCGCGTACCGGCTGGATTCAATAACATTGTTGGACTCAAACCCACGCGTGGGGCTTTGAGTGCACACGGTGTGGTACCAGCATGCCGCTCACTCGACTGTGTATCTATCTTCGCCCTGACTCTAGATGACGCTGAATTGGTTCTGCAACTTTCTGAGGGGTATGATATTCAAGATGCATACTCGAGAGATCGTGCCCGCTGTGCGACTAACAGATATCCTCGGGGAGCCTTGGCATCCCAGCCAACATTGGCCATATGTTCCAACCCTGAGTGGTTTGGGCGGACTGAGCAGGCTGCTGCATACCAAGTGGCATTGACAAAAGCCCAAGCGCTAGGGTGGAAGCTAGAGTCTGTCGATTTCACACCTCTATTCTCTCTTGCCAATATGCTTTATGAGGGCCCTTGGGTTGCTGAGCGATATGCTGCTATCGACAAGTTCATCCGCTCTGTGCCAGCTGAGTCCATGGACCCAATCGTCAGGAGCATCCTCATGAAAGCCGAGAAATTCTCTGCTACAGACCTCTTCACATGCGAGTACAGTCGCAAATATCTTTCGCGTGAGATCGAGCAGGTATTCGGACAATATGACGCGCTATTTGTGCCGACGGCTCCCACGTTTCCTTCAATGCAAGATCTTAAGGATGAGCCGGTCAAGGCAAACAGTCAACTAGGCACATACACCAATTTCGTGAACTTCATGGATTGGTCTGCGTTGGCAATTCCTGCTGGTTGGAGAGAGGATGGCCTTCCTTTCGGTATGACACTGATAGGTGAAGCGTGGGAAGAGCCGCGACTGTTGAAGCTCGCTCGCCACTGGATGTCTGATGCGCCACACTTGTTGGGAGCAACGGGTGCAGAATACCAAGAGGCTCTCTCTGGGCCTACTCCCACATCCAATTCGATGCAATTAGCCGTAGTCGGTGCCCACCTCTCTGGCTTTCCTCTGAACAGAGACTTGGTCTCGCGAGGCGCAACATTGATCACTGCTACAACCACAGCCCCGTGTTATCGGCTATTCGCATTACAGAAGCCGGTCCCAGGCTCAGTAGCAAAACCCGGTCTGAAAAGGGTTACTGATGGAGGAGATTCTATTGAAGTGGAGGTCTGGAATATCCCGATTGACAAGATGGGCAGCTTTCTCGGTACCATTGCGGCACCTTTAGGCATTGGGTCAATTGAATTGAAAAACGGGCGATGGGTTCACGGATTCATTTGTGAATCCATTGGTCTCGAGAATGCAGAGGACGTCACCAGCTTTGGTGGATGGCGAGGGTACACCCAGTCACTCACCACTTCGACAAACCAATCATCACGGGCTGCATCTGTTACACCTGCAACCAGTGTCGGTGAGAAGCGGATCAGGAGTGTCCTGGTGGCAAACCGTGGTGAAATTGCACTGCGCATCATCCGTACTCTTCGTGCGATGGGTATTCAATCCATTGCTATATACTCGAGTGCCGATGCACGCGCGCCACACATCACCGAAGCCGATATTGCACTTTTCTTAGTCGGGAACACGGTATCCGACACCTATTTGAACGGCAAGCAGATATTAGACTTGGCTATCAAAGCCAATGCCGATGCTGTCATCCCTGGATATGGTTTTCTTTCTGAGAACGCCGACTTTGCGGCCACCGTTGAGACGGCAGGACTGGTGTGGGTAGGGCCAACTCCACAGCAAATGAGTGACTTGGGCTTGAAACACCGTGCTCGTGATATTGCTCTTTTCGCCGGGATTCCTGTTGTTCCGGGAAGCAAGGGTCTGGTCACCAGTCTTGAAGATGCATTGGAAGAGGCAGAAAAAATTGGTTACCCAGTGATGGTTAAGAGTACCGCTGGTGGTGGTGGAATCGGCCTTCAAAGATGCGCAAACATCGATGCACTCCGCGAGGCATATGATGGTGTACGTCGATTGGGACAGGCAAACTTTGGAGATGATGGGGTTTTCATTGAGCACTTCATTGATCGGGCGCGACACATCGAGGTTCAGATATTGGGTGATGGAGCTGGTAGAGTCATCTGTGCTGGTGAGCGTGATTGTTCTTTGCAGCGTCGAAACCAAAAAGTCGTCGAGGAATCCCCTCCTGGGTTTGTCCCAGCCAAAGTCCGCGCGGAAATGCGCCGTGCTGCCGCCGCCTTGGTTACTTCTTTGCAGTACCGCAATGTTGGTACTGTTGAATTTATCTTTGACATTGATACCGACAAATTCTACTTTCTGGAGATGAACACACGTCTCCAAGTCGAACATCCAGTAACCGAGGCTGTAACAGGCCTTGATCTTGTCGAGTGTATGATGCGCATTGCCATGGACAATTGCACAACTCTTTTCCCACGGCAGATGAATGAGATTTCAGTCCGCGGTGCAGCGATTGAAGTTCGTGTCTATGCCGAAAGCCCCCTTCAAGAATTTCGACCCTCCCCTGGAAAGCTCTTGAATGTTGAGTTTCCATCCGGTGTCAGAGTTGACACTTGGGTCAGTTCAGGTCAAGAGTTGTCCTCCTCTTTTGATCCCATGGTTGCAAAGATCATTGCACACGGCGAAGACCGTTCAGCAGCTCTTCAAAATCTCTCAGAAGCCCTAGAAAGGACAGTCATCACAGGCGTGGAAACAAACCTGAAATATCTGCAGCAAATTGTTTCTTGGGAGGCATTCCATTCCGGATCCTTCACGACAGGATCGCTCAACAGTTTCCCATACAAATCTCAGGCCATCGAGGTTATTGATGGGGGTTCCGACACGGCTGTACAGGACTTTCCTGGCCGTCAAGGTCTATGGCATATCGGTGTGCCACCATCTGGCCCCATGGATTCCTACTCATTCCGTCTAGCAAACAAAATAGTTGGCAATGATGACCATGCGGCGGGACTTGAGTGCACAATCCAGGGCCCGACACTGCTCTTCCACTCCCCCACTATCGTGTCTGTCGTGGGTGCCAATGCCCCTATCGCTGTGGATGGAGAGGTAAAAGAACTTGGAATGGCTATCAGTATTAGAGCAGGACAGAAACTTTCCATTGGAACGGCCACCAACGGCGCCAGAGTTTACCTCGCTGTTCAAGGCGGTATTCAGGTGCCTGAAGTCCTAGGCAGCCGCTCAACATTTGCGATCGGTCATCTCGGAGGACACAATGGACGTAGCCTCCGCAGTGGTGATCTTCTTCCATTAGGATCTATTACGGAGAAACCAAGTCCATCGCTCAAGGCACCAATTATTTCACTCCCGGCAGCTGAGAACCGAGAATGGATCATTGGTGCGATACCTGGGCCACACGGCAGTCCAACTCATTTCACACAAGATGGTCTTCGAGAGCTGTTCAACGGCCAATGGACTGTCCACTACAACAGCAACCGGCTCGGCGTCCGTCTAACCGGGCCCCGTCCTGAATGGGCACGGAGCGCTGGTGGTGATGCTGGCTTGCACCCCTCCAACATCCACGATAGCCCGTATTCGGTCGGAAATGTGAGTTTCACGGGTGATGAGGCAGTTGTTCTGACAGCAGACGGGCCAAGCCTGGGAGGATTTGTCGCATTTGCCACGATCGCGGAGGCAGAGATGTGGAAATTCGGTCAGATGCGACCCGGTGATCACCTTCGGTTGCACCCGATTTCTCTTGATGATGCGCAGGCGCTTGCGAGGGATCTTGATCATTCGATCACTAATCTCAGCCCGCTGACCCAACCTCACCTTGAGCAAACAAATTCTGTCGCCGTGACTAGTACGATCGTGATGGATATCTCGGAAGCTGGCCGCTTCATTCGATGCAGCCAGGCAGGTGATCGAGCCTTGCTGCTCGACTTCGGCAATGAAGATAATTTCTCGCTGCGGCAAACATTCCACATGATGAGCTTCATTGAGAAACACAGAATTTCTCCAATTCCAGGAGTTGAGGAGCTCACGTCCGGAGTTCGAAGCCTGCATGTTCGCTTGGAAGCGAATTTCTCATTGCCTCAAGTCCTTGATGCGCTGATCGCACACGAGATTTCGCTTGGGGCAGATCTTCCATCTCGACTACCCTCACGAGTAGTGAGGTTGCCTCTTGTTTTCGATGATGAGAGGAGCCAAAAAGCCATTGCCCGATATACTGCGACTATTCGCTCTTCGGCGCCGTATCTACCCAGCAATATTGAGTTCCTGCAGACACTGAACGGACTTGACAGCCCTGCCCGAGTGGAAAACAATCTACATGAAGGCACTTTCCTCGTATTGGGCCTTGGAGATGTGTACCAAGGGTCTCCGTGTGCTGTTCCACTGGATCCCCGCCACCGACTCTTCGGAACGAAGTACAACCCGTCCCGTTCCTTTACCCCTCGTGGGGCTGTCGGTATTGCCGGTCAATACCTATGTATTTATGCGACCGACTCACCCGGTGGATATCAGCTAGTGGGTCGTACGGTCCCCATCTGGGATGAGTTCCATATGCCTCGGCTTGGCGAGAAAACACCGTGGACATTCTCACTTCTGGATCAGATTCGGTTCTACCCCGTCAACGAGAAAGAGCTTTCCGCAGCAGAAGCCAATGGAACCTCCTGTGATCTCATCGAGATTTCTGACACTGAGCTGGACCTCGATGAATATGAGAAGTGGTTGGTAGAAAACAAGGAGGATATCACTGCTGTTCGGGAGCAACGATCGAAGGCCGTTCATGAAGCAGAGCTTTTTGATGACCTACTCAAGCCATACGATCCGATCACAATGCGACCAGGCCGAGGACATGAAAAGGATGAATTCCTGACTGGAGAGCGGGTGAAGGCACTTTTGCCTGGAAGATGTTTCCGTTGCGTTGTCAATGAGGGAGACAGGGTTCAAGCAGGAGACGCTCTGGTAAGTACAACAAACGTCGAGATTACCGAGGACAAAGCCGACTGACATTGCTTAGTTTTGGATTGAGTCCAACAAAATGGAGGTCAAAATTTGTGCACCAGTCAGTGGGAAATGTGTGAAAGTGTTGATCGAAGAGGGAGATATCCTTGGGCCCAGTGACGATGTTATTATTATTCAGTAGGTAGTATCACATGTACGAAAGGATACGTTGGCACCAAAGCGCAATTTCGCAGAATACTGCAAATTTTTGAATTTGAACCATCATGCATAAACGCCCCATTTGTGGAGGTCAGTTGCGCTTGTTGGTAGTCAATTCAGTAGGACCTGCTGTGTGACTCGACCAAGAGTAATTCTCACCAAACATTACCGAAGCCCCTCCCGCCATCCATGATCCCTAGGGGAGTTCCTCTCCTAGACCAGTGAAGTACAAGAGCATACCTGCGCTAAGAGTCCCGATAAGTGGCCGCTTTCACAGCAGCCAAATCACCGAGCTCTTCGTGAAGCATTCGAAGGGCTTCGCGAGCAAATGGGGCAGCGGATGCCCGAACCTGCAGGACCCAGCGCAACTTTTCAAGTTGTTCAACGTACCCGGCTGCTTCATCCACTTGGGGACTCGTTGCCCACAAAAGACCAGCAAAGGAACCGACTAAGGCTACCTGGGCGGCGGCCGCAAAGCCCCAAAAGGATTGAATATGTTCAGGTTGAAAAGATTCAATTAAACCCATGGCCGAAGTCAGTCGTGCGCGAGCAGCAGTTCGAATCACTGAACGAAGAGATGGCGCAGTATCCGGACCCAAAACGCGGAGCAATGCGCGATGGATGGTAAGCTCCGCTGCCATATGCGAAAGGTGCAGAGCGCCATTTGTTGACAATCGCAATGAGGGTGTTGATTCTAGCTGGAGGCTGGTGGGCAGGGCAGCATGCCAGTCTCGCAACTCCATGGCCAGGGGCTTGGCTAGATTCATCGCGCCCGACGGTCCAATCCGCTCAAGCAGTCCCCCTTTTCTGGTTGCGCTGATTGAACAGAATGTGGACACGATGCGACTGAAGATTTTCGTTAATTCAATGGATTGCAGAAATGCCCCTTGACCGGCCGCTTCGTCCACACCCCCGTCCGCCTTCTCATCTTGCCCTTCCGCTTCTTCTGGAAAGTCCTCGAAAGTACATGGGGCAACATCCCAGTCATTTGTACCCTTATCTTCATCAATTTGGGCAGGAATAAGAGGTGGTCGGCCGTGCACAAGAACGCCCCACTTGTCCTGCATGTATAGGGCCCAAGCTAAACGTCGTCGTAGACCTTTCTCCCACTCTGGGATTTTCCAATCTGTACAATCGATGTGAATCCCCAAGGTTTGCCCGAGAGATAATAATTGAGCCGGAAGAGTGCAATGAGAAGACCTGATCCTTTGCAATAACAGCAGGCCAGCCTGTAATGTGGAGAGTTTGGGCCGCTTGAGATCGTCGTCCATGGCTCGCATTGCCAGATTCTCCAGGTTTTCAGCATCTGGTGTTGAGGGAGCAGTAGCGAGAGTTCGATCGAAAAGCTTCCAGTCCAGCGCAACAAGGTAAACGGCTGCGAGAAGTGGTGGGGAGAACTCGCGGTACGACCGGGCATATTTCTCCAGAAACACGCCCTTGTCCAGAATCGGGAAAGTGCGATGCATGATGCGAAAATAAAGATTCACTAGAGTCGGTCCCAATGGACGTATCGATTCCTCGATACGATCTAGATCGGCGACGCGTTGCATTTCAGAGGCCGAGTTCTTGTCAGGGTAGGTGATGAATGCAGTGGATTGATTCACACGTCGCGGAAAGCATCTCTCGTGGTCAGCGAGTAAAATAGTCGATGGCCGCAGATCAAGAAGTTCAGGTTCATGATAGCTAGCCGGGCCAATATGCTCTGAATGCAGATGAAGCTCCAGACCTAGTGTACCATCCAGACGTGAGTTTATTAGATTAGCGGATTGCTCTTCGACAGAGCCAACCGTGGATGGCGATAGAGAGCTGCGACGTCTTTTCGTCCTTTGACAAGATTAGCTAAGAGCAGAATGATCCCGCTCGATACTGAGTTCTGAAACATACTTGGGTTCTACTGTGCTTGGTGACTTTCCAGTTCTTTTCCGCGGTCGAGGACCATGAAGAAATGTGCATTCAAGACCATTCAAATTACAAAATGTGCAGTTTTCCTTTCCCGCTTCTCTGATGCATCGCGATTTGCGATGACGACAGCGATCGCATGGGCGTCGCGTAGGGTAGTCTGTCGCTCCAGTCGCAGGCATCTGTTGCAGACCTCTGTCAAGCTTTATGTTCTTTTTGTGTACAGATATCTTGCATATGGGATTCTGAGCTCATTGAATGATTTGATTCATTGATGTTTTTTGCGGATCACAATTAGCCCGTCGGGTAAGATAATGCTGACTGACAATGTTGACATTTAGCTGCGCATGGAAAATAATGAGGTGGTCCCGTGACTTGTCAGGGCCGCTTAAAGACGCTTCTGGGGACCTTATTGGTCAGATAATGCGAGAGAGTACATAACCCATTACAATAACTACCAGAGTATATATTCTCGCGGAATTTGCAGGGAATAATGAAATTGCGAGAGGGGCTCAAGTTGACCTATTATCAGCTCGGTAAAGTGAAGCCCCCATATCAAAACGAGGTGGAAACTGTCATTATTCTGGATTAGCTAATCCAAACGTGAGTTGCAAATTGGTGTGAAGATTGTGGAGATTGTGGCTATCGCGAAGATTTGGTTTCATTGTGATGATTACCATAACGCAATATATGTGAGGTAGCGCATTGAAATTCGGTACGTGCATAAAACGATGAGGATACTTCATGCCGCCTGAAAATGGGTCCAGGTCTATGGTGTTCTTTTTTTAGGGCCTTGGACAGCATCTAGTAAGCGAAGATACAATGAGTTTACCGGGCTGAGTTTGACTAGCGTTAGCGTGCGGCCCCCAAAGGTAGCCCGTGGAATGATTCATCTATTACAACAGCCCTTTCCCCTTTCCCATCTTCATCCTGCTTGGTCATACTCTCTATCCAGAGTCTTTCAAGTCTCCCATACTGCTTGCCAAAGTCACCAGGCCTTTCATACTCATCGCCTATCTCACCCGTAAACTCGACATGATTGAAACACACGTCGAAATTGCGGCTTCATCCGGCCGAGTGCGGGATGTGGTATGATTGATACCCCGTGTGCTACTGTCTAGATATAGCTAATGCCAGGGTGCTCCTATCATAGCTCCTTGACTTTGCGAGCTACCCAGATTGGCAAACATCAGGCCTAGTTCGCCTACTAGAACCCGAGGATTCCACTAAGACTTTGACTACTCTACAACCAGGCGATAAGATTAAGTGCGATATTGACGGGATGAAGTTTACCGCCGAAATTAAGGTTGTCCTTCTTCATGTTTCAGATAGGGATCTATACAACCGCACTCAGCTAATATCACACCGATGACAGGAGAATTCAGAGCATCTGTTTCAATGGCAAGGACCCCCTGTGATGGGTCTAATTGCTGGGCTTCACAGCTTCAGCTTCAAGGAAACAGAGTCCGGGGGTACGATCTTTGCGCAATCAGAGGACTTTTCTGGTTTACTTTCCTTCCTGATGAGCCCTTCTTTGTTGGGGAGAAAGATGCTTGGTCAATATCGAAAATTCAACGAGGAGCTGAAGGTTCGAGCGGAGGGAGGAAACTCCACGTGACATATCGTCGATGTTTAGCCAAGTTATAGTCGATCACATACATGTTTTTGCACATAAAATCCCCAAGATCTGCCCTTGTCAGCCCATGTAATTAGCACTTAGTTATTTCGTGATGTATTTTCTTGATGCCGAGGTCCATCATTGCGCCATTTTTGATCATCTAGGCAAGCTCCTGTAGGCATCGGTATTCTTTTTATGTACTTCCACTAGCTACAACTTTACGTTTCCTTAGAAATGGTGAGCCTACGGTGCCAATTGAATAATATTGGTTTTATTTTGCTACTTCGCTTGGGCCGAACCAACTCTTGATTGTCTTTTCGTCGACCTCATGCTTGTTATTCAACTTAAGTCTCAGGTGGCGATGTCGATACCCTCAAACTCTCGTCCTTGCCTCTTCCAGATATCAATAGGCATGCCTAATTATGAGAAATGAATTATCGTTTAGCTTATTATGATATTAGGTCACGAAGCCAGCAATCTTCCGTAATGTTCGACATATACGGGACTCTCAACTAAATTAGGATTGGCCTCTAATTTCCGATACCTTCAAGCATGAATAGCATTGTCTTCTCGCTGCATATCTTCTGAATCCGCTATGAACTTAGGCAAGTCCCCATATGAACAAACTCACGCCAGTAGCATTGAAGCCAATGGCGAAGCTCTATCCATCGTTCGATTCATGTTTCAGTAGCTTTGAAGTAGTCTCCTTTCAGCGCACTCATATTTTCGCTGATATGACGGTTTCCCAGTGGGATTTCATCCAGATACCGTTCATTTAGTTGTGTATCCTCTGATTTCATCTTCAACTTCGGTCGGAGTCTGTCTTTTTGAACTGACCTCTGGGGTTAGTCATGTAATATAAAGTGGGAGGAGGCTCGAATTTTCTGAAAATGAAGTGCAATTTCAGGTGCAAATGATCAACAGAAGGTTACATTGAGAGATTTGGGATTCCTTCTCTGCTAAGCAAATGATAGTAGGAAGTAACAAGCAAAACATAGCGAAGAATGGTAGGTATGCATACATATCTGAGTACCATTGGAGTGTCTCGTAACGAGTAAGCCGACGCGGAGAAATAACCAAAGCGGGTCTCGAACCCCAGATGAAGCACCGGCAGTGCCTTTTTCGGCCTCCCGAGCCATCACGCTCCAATGTGGGTCCCGAATTTTAAGCTCGCGAACGACCGGATTAACTGCAAGGGGGTTTCGAAGTTCTGGAAGCATATTTGACTTTTGGCGTTGATGTAGACTACCTCGAGACGAGGAAGTTCCGTGGCCCATGAACCTCAAGTAGGGCGAATATCGGCTGTCCCGGCTGACACGATCGGGTCATTTCCACCCTCTATAGATGTTCATGCTGAAAACGGATCGGGTGACGACAATGCTTTCTCACGATAATGGGATGAGCTCCATATATTTGAATTTGGGATGCTCGGAATTACCCAGCTTGGTGAAGTATGGTATTGTTTGCCACATCAGCAGCAATTGATCTCGAGTGTGGAATGATTTATTTAGTGAGACTAAATCATATCAATTACAATGGGATTTATGTTCCTCTTCATCGAATACTTTGCTAGCCAATCATGTCTTCAAAGCATTATTTCCCTTCCACAAGTGCCAATTCGTTGGTTCCGAGAGCCTTGAGAGCTCTTGTATCTGCAAATGATCATTTGACATTTAACGAAGCGGAGAGAGTCGTCGGCAACGCATTCCACGATAGCTCAAAAGTAAGCATAATCAGTGGAGGTGGTTCAGGACACGAACCCGCATGGAGTGGCTATGTCGGCGATGGTCTGCTCTCGGCTGTGGCATGTGGTGATATCTTTGCGTCACCAAGTGCGAAGCAAATCTTGACTGCTATTCGCATGGCACCGTCGAAGGAAGGCATTATTTTATTGATCACCAACTATACTGGCGACCGTCTGCATTACGGTCTGGCAGCTGAGAGAGCTAAAGCTGAGGGACTGGTTAAGAATATTATCCTCTTGCCCGCTACGGATGATGTTTCCATTGAAGTAAGAATAGCCACATGGGTAGAAGAGGTTTGCCGGGTCACATCTTCAGGGAGTCGTTTGTTTCTTGCAAGGTATTTCTAGTTTATGTATACTGACTTTGTCGCAGCGATGAAAATCCTTGGAGCGGCGGCCGCAGAAGGATACTCTTTCGACGATTGTCTTCAACTTGGAAGAGCAGTGAATGCACAAACTGTGACAATTGCCTCGGCACTCGACCATTGCCATGTACCAGGCAGGGATCAGCAATCTTCTCTGCCCAACGACGTGTGCGTCATTGGTGCCGGAATTCATAACGAGCCCGGCCAACTTGTCCTGAACCCAGCCCCGTCAGTTGAGGAGCTTATTGAACGTTGTCTCAACCTTCTCTGCGATCAGTCAGACGTAGAGCGGGCTTTTGTCAAGTTCGAGCTAGGCGATGAAGTGGCTTTATTAGTGAACAATTACGGAGGCCTTTCAGTTCTGGAAGCAGCAGCTTTGACGGACGAGGTTCAAACCCAATTAAGTTCACGGTGGGGAATTTCACCCTGCAAGACATTCTCCGGTGCATTCGAAACATCTTTGAACGCGCCAGGATTCTCCATTTCCCTGTGCAACCTTAGCGCCGCAGCTCGACAGTCGTGTGAATCTGCCTCTACCTTGATACACTACCTTGACGGCGCCACTAGCGCGGTCTCGTGGCCCAATACTACCCGGCCTTTGCCTTCTCAAAGAAAGACTACTGTCGAACATACGAATGGTCACGCAAATGGGCACCATGTCGAGTATGCGCCTATCGAAATGGATCCTTCGCTATTAGAGAAAGCCATCCGAACCTCATGCGAAAGTACGATCATTGCTGAACCAAAGCTGACGCAGTGGGATATGGTAATGGGTGATGGAGATTGCGGTGAGGCCGTCAAAGGCCTAGCCGAATCGATCCTATTCAGACTCAACAAAGGCTGCGCCAAATCAGGCAACGTCCTTGATGTCATTCAGTCGATCTTGCAATCTGTCGACGACATGGGCGGAACCCTCGGGGCAATTTTTGGTATCCTTTTGTCGGCCCTTGCCACAGCTCTAATGAAGAACCTCGCGGATGGAAAGATTCGCCCAAACACGCCAAGTTTCTATGCTACAGCTCTTGCGTCCGCAGTCACATCCTTGAAATCGCACACGGGTGCTAGAGAAGGGGATAGAACTGTGATGGATGTTTTGCTCCCATTCAATGACGAGTTCTCTCGTTCAGGTGACTTTGTATCTGCAGTGGGTGTTGCAGCACAGAAGGCAGAAGCCACAAGGTACCTTCAAGCGAAGTTCGGTCGTGCAACGTATGTTGGAGAAGCATCGGGTCAAGAGTTACCAGATCCGGGAGGTTGGGCGTTTTATGAGATTGTTGCAGGTTTGGCTAATGGACTTGGACTCTTTGTGCCTAATTAAGTAGCACGCGAATAGCCAAGGCCTGTCGGGGAGCACCTGGGTAATTTGTTTTCAATTTTGATAGAGGAATAAAAGTCCCTGCCTTGTCCGCTTTATATTCTAATCGGTCTAGTTTCTTTAGAAGTTGCGCGACCACTGGTGTTTTCATGGAGCCAGTCTCTCCATTTCTGGTCGCTCAGGATTGATCTCACGCGAGCCTCGAGCCACTCGGTGTTTCCCCAGAAGCCCCAAGACGCCTGGAATCTACACCAGTCAACCAGGGCAGTCTCCCAGTGTCTTTCAAAAATATTCCATTCATACGGAACAGATGTTTCATTCTGGAGGAGAGTAGCACGGTACCGCTCCAGCAACTTTCTTTCTCCTTCACGCATCGTCAGTTGATCGGGTAAGGGCTCATGCCCATCAACAAGCAAATGTAGAGGAACCGAGCACGTGAACAGCTTGGCAAGGTCACACACTCCAAGGCCAAGTCCGACGTATTGAAAATCAAAGAATGCCACATCGTCTCCGTTAGTAGTGGTGAATAGATTCTCCGACTTGACATCGCCATGGATATACGACTCAATCGGTCTTCCACACGGAGTTAGAAAAAGTGCAGCCATCTCGGCTACAGACAATGAGGAGCCTTCGAAAGTGGTGCATAGGGCTTCTGACCACTCTGAGTCGTCTTCGACCAGAGAAGCATACTCTTTACTTCGTGTTGCAAGATATGTATATCCCCCATTGAGCCATAAGCTGTTCCCGGCCTTTCCCGTGCTCTGCCTTCTACTAGATTCTTCAAGGGGTGGCAAGAGACAGTCATCAAGGATGTCCGACTTCAACCCCATCGAGCGACCGTGGAATCTGGCAAGCCAGTCCAGTGCCCCCTGTATTTGTGTGCGGTTCAGCGCGCTCCTCTTCCCCCCGGCGACAGGAAACTTCGGGCGCAGATCAACCATAATAGTAGCCATCAGACCTCGAAGTTCCTTCTCGCTCTCACTCTCACCGTGCATGCCACGCGTCGAGGCAAGGCACTTCGCAACACCAATATCATCCTTCAGCAGCGGAACCACATCACTATAGAAAGTTTGTTCTACTTCATAGCTCAGCATTTTCCGCAGGTGTCCCTCATCCCCATTGTTGGCGCTATGCCTTGGCGGCGATATGAGCTTGAGGACGAGAGGGTATACGGTTCCCACGACTGGCGATTTCAGCCCACAAAGCTTGTCGAGTTTCCGCGCTGCATCTTCGGTGGTTGCCCGGGCTGTTATGGCGCAGATGCGTCCATATCCTGCCCATAGTGTCTGCAGGGTGCTGCACGAGACGAGTTCGAGGGAGTGCCATGATAGCATGATTGTTGCGACGCGTTCGGGGGAATTGGTGGGCGGAGGAGCCATGGTGGCTAAGGGGTGGTCAAGTCAATGACACCGGGTACACGAGCTGAATATGTACTTAAGAGAGAGCTATCTGCATTTGCATTGGGACGTGGCGTGCCGCGTGATAGTCAACAACTAACTAGTGCTGGATCCGCAATTTTCACTTATGTAAGCTGCCTCCTCTGTGTTCTGTGTCCTGTTAACCTAATTTGGTCATAACTTCCGATAAACGGTATGCTGCTGCCTGGATTCTCATTTCATTGGCTTTCGTTATCAGATATCCTGCATAGCTACCTACAGGATGATTTATCTCCAGGCAATGCTATGTTATACTGTCATTCGGAGACGTCAAAGTTATGATTAGGTCCGGATTTGCGCCGTTTTGACGCAGAGAAATTATCAAACCGTAGGAAAAAAGAAAAAGAAAACGAAAAGAAAAAGCATTGGCAAGTATTCATCCAGCACCACTCTTATTACGAGGCGTTGTACCTACTCGTTGATGAGTGGTGTGTATACCGAGCCCGCATATCTCACCAGGCGCATCGGTCTGCCTGTGGTTCTCAAAGGATGCAAGTTCTCATCGTCTTTGAAATGACCATCATCATCTTCTCTTCGTGCGCTCTTCTAAGATTGCTTTCTTTCGTGTAATTTGTTGTGGAGTTTGCTTATTATTTCTCTTTCATGACTCACTTTCTCAGATTCCTGCTGCTTTGGATGCCTCTACCAGGCACCCGAATAGCGATTTGTATTAAATGCCGTGCAAGTTTACATCAGTGGATTGCTATATTCTCTGGCACTCTCTTCTATCCACCTTAAGGTCCTCTAATTGAGCTTCCAACATTGAGCTCAACCATAACCATGGCTGCAACACAACCCATCACCGAGGCATTTGTATCTGAACGCCTGCTCTATCGTGCAGTGGAGGATTCGGACGAAGATAAAACATTCTTCCAAGAAGAACTCTAAAATGATCCTAGAACATCTAAGTAATTGTGACCAAATCTCCGTGTAATCACAGTCCTTCTCGAAGTCAAACACAGTTATTGTAGAGTTGTGCCTGTGCCAAGCCTTGGCTCATTAACGCAGCCTCGTGGCCCGTTCGCATCAGGATTTACAGGGCAGCTTCTCTTCATCCACTGACTGTAACACAACACTCAATATATTGGATATCTGGCATGAAAATGAAGCAAGAAACTTAAATATTGAGCTTATTTGCATAATCCCGGCGTACCGTGGAATTCGCATGAGAACTGAGAGTGAGAGCACGTGCACATTTTCCCTGAAAAGAAAATACTTGACGAGGCTGAGTTAGTGTCTTGGCGACATGGGCTAGAAATTAATGAAAGTCCAATAAAGAGTGATCCCATGCTTCTGCCAAAATATCGGTCTGCTCATACTCCTAACTCCGGAAAGATCAACACGTATTCGGTTACATTTGAACACCTTGATTTTGTACCGAGCGGCTGCTCTTCCTTCTGTACAGAACCCCTGATTCGGAATTCCTATTTCAATGGTCGTGGGTATTACTACTTCAAATTTCGGGGTATTCGAATAACCATTCCTTCCTTCTGTGACGAGATAAGGCTTCATAACGACGCGACACCATGTTGTCGGACTCGAGAGACGGCTGGGCCGTTCGTCGAACCGGCAGCTGCGGGCCAGACGAATCCGGAGAGCGATCTTGGGGTAATTTTTCGACCTGCTGCCCGTCGGACAAGAAAAAATATGTGGACGTTGATAACAATTCGGGGTGCAATGATTCTGGTGATCCGCCCGCAACGGCCATAAATCAGTGCGCCAATTCGACCTTAAATTTATGGCAAGACAGTTATGGCTACTTTTGCTGTGATCAAGATCTGTTTGGCTTCTACGTGACTTCATCGTACTGGAAGGGCTGTGCATCGATGGGTGAGATTGAAGGCAACGACACTCTGCATGAGGCGATCAAATTAGAAGGCAAGTGACTGAACCGATTTCCTTTCGATACATAGTGCAAAATCCAAAGCCGCTGACTTAATCAAAAGTGTCAACCACATCGGCTGTCTCTTCAGCAACCCTCACACCTACCGTATCGTCGACATCTACCGTATCGTCGGAACCTACATCAACTCAAGGAGCTTCGCAATCTTCGGCTTCACAATCCTCAGGAGCCACAAACACGAGCAAAGGCGCTATTGCAGGTGGGGTGGTTGGGGGGTTCTGTGGTGCCCTGCTAATTGTTGGAATTGTATGGCTTTTGATTCGCCTCCGCCGCCGCTTAGCAGCAAATAAACTTAAACACGCAGTCGCAACATCCGAGTCATCTTATCTTCAGTCCGAATCACGACCCTATTATACACGCAGAGGCTTCGAAGACACGCCAATCGAATTAAATGCCCAATTCGAGCCAAAAGAGCTACCGGGAAATACTGGACGACATGAGTTGAGTGAGAACAATCATATGGTGCAGAAATCACCTTCTGGGCTGGATTGATGCATGATACCCCAACACATTTTGAATTCATATGTATATATGTATTTGACCATACCGAATACGCTTTACCTAAATTACACATAGATGGGAAAATCTCATTTCCCCTTATGCAACTATGGGGATTCGGGGCGATCTACCTCGTGAGCAACGACACTGTGAGCTTTCCGTTACTCACTAATATACGAACCTTTGAAAGCTCTGATGGATCAGGCCTAATAAAGGGCCCAATCATAATATATGGTGCATCTCAAACTCCATTAGGCGAACAGGCGATTAGCAGAGAGTTTTAAGATGGAGTATACTTTCTACAATATCGCTACCCTTCTGTCAAAGCATACGCGTCACTATATAGTAGTTCTGAGCTTGTCTTCTATCGGTCATGTTGACCACGATCATCATTCATACATCATTCGCGACAACTTTATCGTGAGTAACTAAACTAAGTACATGAAAGAGAGGCCTCAGTGTCACATAACCTTCCTTCTCTGGGGCTTTTCAGCGATTGTAGCCCATGCACATGAATTTTCCAGAAATTAAAAGTCAATATCTCCATTGAAGCTCCAGGCATTGCACCATTAAGCCAGAACACAAGCTACATCAAAAGACTTACGTAGAGGTCAAAGATCCCTTCATAAAACTACAGTCACCATTATGCTACCAGCTCTATGCAAGCACCGTAATTGAAGTCAAAAAGGATTGAAAATACATGCGCTTTGGGTCTTTTATATATGCCATGAGAGCTAACTATACGTACCTTTGGCGATATCGTGCACAGAAATAATTTTAAAAATTATTTCAGCCTGCTTAAAGATTTTGGAGTATGAACAATTAGTAGGGCCATCCATGTTGGACGGCTAGAGAGAGCTTGCGACTCAAAGACTGGAAGACACTAGTACCGATCTGGCATCACAGCAAAGACTCCACCCTTACCTTCACGAGGTGCGCTTTATTAAGCTGTAGACGAATATCACGCTTCTCACTTGCCTGGATGGTACTTTGCCGCTAAGTCGGTTTTCAAAATTTGAGCTGGCGATTAAGAAATTTGAAAGATATTCATTTTCTGCCAACTGATAGTGCAATGGTAAACATTTTGTTGTCGACTTCGCCGAATGCGGAGTCGTTGGTATTGCTTGGTGGTTTGATACTTGATTTTTTGTCTTCTACGTTGAGGTACTCTTGAACATCAGACATTTTATGCCCTAGGTTGCTGTTTACAGATGCCATAGCCAGGAGAAAAATTGTTGCAGATACCTACAGTAAGAGCTGGCCTACCCTCGGTTAAGAGTGATTGGGTCAGGGAGGCCCGCACCACTTTTCCATGGTTCCTATTCCAACACGCGGCGACAAAGTAGTGCCCACCAATTCTTCACCCGATACTCACCTGCTATCAACCCTACATGGGCAGCCCACAAGGTGTCAAGTCACCACTCACCGGTTGGATGGCGACCAGCAAACCCCTGTCACATCTCCGCATTCACCCGGTATGGTTCATTCGTCGAAAGAAACTCCACTCCTACTCGTCGGCCCTTTTCGCCTTCTCACCTAATTACCCGGACCTCTATGTTGCACCTGAATATCATGCACGACCCTGAAGCGTTGACGTGTTCTTCCATTATCTTTGTATCCACAACACTCTGGTCTGGTCTTGGGTACATCTTCCAGTCCATAGTAGTGGGGTGCTTGAAATATCATCAACAATGGTATGCTAGTGCAAGAATTCTAGTCCTTAAATATCGCGCGAAGGCCATGTTTTATCACAAAGTATTCACGAGAAATAAAGAGAACCAGAAAGCTCTTAAAGGTCATTGTGAGGTTTAGAAGTTAAGTTGTTGATGATTAGCGTACCTGGGGTAAGACCGGGGGGACCCTAGCATAGTCTGTCCCACTACTAATGAACCAGCGCTTACGGGCACAGGGAGTGAGAGGCTCGAGCCACAGCAAACTTCAGTGGTGGGGGGCCTAGAAATTTTGGTATGTGTCTGCAGAGGTGTTTGTTTCCTAGCGGCTCTGTTTTCGAGTGGCCTCGTGAAAACCTGCCGACGAAGATCAGAGACATCAAGAATAGATGTAAATAAAAATTACATATGCTCATCTATCCACGAGTTTGTCAGTGATTGATCTCAGCTTTACTATATACGGTTAGACTATTTAGACTCTTTTGGAAAAGTCTCCGAAAGCTGACCCTCCTCTCGTGTTCGAGTGGGTCACGCTAGATCTACCCGATAGAGAACCATTTCAGTGGCGGAATACAACGTTCATTCGCCTGGATCTAGATGCCACCCTTTGCTGCTTAGCCAGTCCAGCTATGCACAATCACTTATCATTGGGCAGCATCCCTAGATGCACTTAGGGCCCGTCAAATCATACTAAATATAGTTTCGAATTGCCTACTTTCAAGTCGTCAGTGCTGGGATTGCTATTTTGGGGGACGATTTGAATATCTGTTTAAAAATTGCACAATTCCAACCTTTGTGTAGGAATTACAGGCTACTTAAATGGCACTAGGCAACTATAAACTAGGCAAATGTGACTGCAGGGAAAGTCTGCAGGACTTGGGCGCTTCCGACACTTGTCTTGCCGTTCTCCACTTTGAAGGCACCTAACTCCGATGGCCAACCTATGAAGTAGCATGACTTGTGAAGCAACATCCAGATGTGAGGGGTGAGGCGGCCTGCCCAGGAGCTCAGGTGGGGCAGTTCGGCTGTCAATAAGTAGAGGATAGTTCGTTCAATATGTTCTATAATAAACCCCCACAAAAGCAATTTTACCTCGTGCAAACCATTTTGAGTTTTCAAAAATGTTTCCTTGACGGGTTTAAACACTCCGTATCAGATATATATTTTTTGGAAAGAAGAATAAACCCTCCAACATGGAGAACAGAGCAGGCGAGCCAATCGCTATCGTAGGAAGCGGTTGTCGCTTCCCAGGCGGGTCTTCGTCCCCAGCAAGGCTATGGGAACTACTGAGCCAGCCTCGGGATGTGTCGAGCCACATACCCGAGGATCGGTTCAACTGGCAAAGCTTTTACCATCCCGACGGTGCTCATCATGGTACAAGCAACACAGCACGAGGGTATTTCCTCAAAGAGGGCATTCGAGACTTCGATACCAAGTTCTTCAACATTCCGCCATCGGAAGCAGATACGATCGACCCACAGCAGCGGTTACTACTCGAGGTTGTTTACGAGGCTATCGAATCCGCTGGTATGACTCTACAAGGAATGCAAGGCACGCAGACGGGAGTTTTTCTAGGCATGATGAGTGGTGACTATGAAGACCTTCTGCTCGAGGACTTGGAGTCTGTGCCCAAGTACGTGGGTACAGGGGTCCAGCGTAGTATGCATGCAAATCGGGTCTCATATTTTTTTGACTGGCATGGCCCCTCGATGAGTATTGATACCGCGTGCTCTTCAAGTATGGTGGCCATTTATTTGGCAGTGCAGGCTTTGCGGAATGGGGATGCTTCGGTGGCAATCGCGGCTGGAGCCTCATTGATCATTGGACCTGGTATGACATGCATTCTGTGATCGACAATGCTACAATGAAGCTAACAGAACTCATAGGTGACTTCATAGCTCTCAGTAATCTGAACATGGTGGCGCCCGATGGTCGATCCAAGATGTGGGATGCAGAAGCCGATGGCTACGCACGTGGCGAGGGGGTTGGCGTTGTCGTTCTCAAGCCACTCAGCGCAGCATTGAAAGATGGTGATCCCATAGAATGTGTCATTCGTGAAGTTTTTGTCAACCAAGACGGCCGTACCCAAGGAATTACGGTGCCAAATGGTGAGGCTCAAGCAGATCTCATCCGTGAAACATACAGACGTGCTGGTCTAGATCTCAATCGTGCGCTCGACCGTCCACAGTACTTTGAGGCTCACGGTACTGGTACCCCAGCCGGTGATCCCCAGGAAGCACGGGCAATTGCTAGTGCTTTCTTTGGTGCAGATGATTTGGCTTCTAGTGAGAGCCCGCTGTATGTTGGGTCAATTAAAACAGTCATCGGCCACACTGAAGGCGCAGCAGGTATTGCGGGTATTCTGAAAACATCATTGGCTCTTCAGCATGGATATCTCCCTCCTAACCAGCACTTTAACAATCTCAGCTCTTCGGTCGCTCCTTTTGCGAAGAATTTGGAAATTCCCGCGTCTCTCAATCCCTGGCCTTCGATTCCAAATGGTGGTTCAAGAAGAGCCAGTGTAAATAGCTTCGGTAAATTTCCACGGAATCAATCCTTCTCTCTCTTTCTGCTAACATCGTGTATCTCACAGGATTTGGCGGTTCAAATGCTCATGCCATTTTAGAGTCCTTTGATCCTTTGGCACAAGTCATCAATCATGATGTTTCCTTCCAACCTCCCTTATCCCCGTTCACATTCTCAGCTCCATCTGAGCGAAGCCTCAAAGCAGTCCTACATCGCATGGCAGAGCATCTCCAAAATTTTCCTGATACCAACATGCGTGATCTCGCCTACACACTACAAGTCCGTCGGTCTATTTTCCCCTTTCGCACAACACTCTCGGCTCTCACCGTCAGCGAATTATGTCAAAAAATACACGTAAAGTTGGAGAGCTCCAAAGGAAAAGAAAATCCTGCCATTGGAGTCCGCGCACTGTCAGGTCACAATAAGACGATACTTGGTGTTTTTACTGGCCAGGGAGCACAATGGATCGGCATGGGCAAGGAGCTTATTGCGCACCTACCCTATGCTCAGGAAATTCTGGAACAACTTCAACAGAGTCTGGACACCTTGTCAGATGCAGACAAACCATCATGGTCCCTCCATGACCAGCTCTTTGCCGACCAAGAGACTTCGCGTCTTAGCGAAACTGCAATCTCCCAACCGTTAATTACAGCTATTCAGATCATATTGGTTTCTTTGCTCCAACAAGCTGGTGTTGAGCTCACTGCAGTGGTAGGCCACTCATCTGGTGAGATTGCAGCAGCTTATGCGGCAGGCTTCATTACCGCTACGGATGCTATTCGCAATGCTTATTATCGGGGTGTCTTCGCCAAACTTGCAGCCGGCCCAAACCAAGAAAAAGGTGCGATGTTAGCAGCAGGTATTTCTCTAGATGAGGCCAAGGATCTGTGCAGTCATCCCTATTACAGGTACCGAGCTATGGTCGCAGCTAGCAACTCGCCTGTCAGTGTGACCTTATCTGGGGATATCGATGCGATCGAAAGTTTGAAATTTCATTTGGATGAAACAGGGAAATTTTGTCGCCCACTGCGTGTTGAAGCAGGCTATCACTCACATCACATGCTTCCCATTGTGCCAGTATATGTTCAGGCTCTTTCAAATTGCGGAGTTAAGGCGATCGTGCCCGGAAGTGGTCACCCTCGCTGGTGGTCAAGCGTGCATCCAAGCCTGAAGCAAGTGGGATTCACAGAGGATTTAGGTATCGAGTACTGGAGAGACAACATGGTTCAGTCAGTCTTGTTCAATCAAGCTGTGGAGAACGCAGTGGCGTCCGCCGGTCCCTTCGACATCGCCATTGAGATTGGGCCACACCCAGCTCTTCGGGGACCCTTCCTACAAACTCTCAATGCCCTCTCAGAAAATGAGATTCCATACTTTGGATGTTTATCTCGTGGAAAAGACAGCTTGGAGACATTTTCGGAGACACTTGGGTCTCTTTGGTCTCATATTGGTCCATCAGCAGTCAACCTTGATGCCTATGAGCGTGGTATAGCTCCTGGTATTGCTAGTCGAGCTTTCCTCCGGGGTCTCCCCTCTCATCCATGGAACTACGAGCGCCCATACTGGTTTGACTCGAGAGTTGCCCGTGATAAATGGCACTGTAAAGGTGGAGTTCACTCGTTACTTGGTGTAGATGCAGGAGGCAGAACTGAAACAGAAGTCAAATGGCGAAATTTTCTCCGCCTCAATGAGATGCCTTGGCTTGAACATCACCGAATCCATGATCAGTCGGTCTTCCCCACGACGGGCTACATGTGTATGGCCTGGGAGGCAGCTCTGAAAATCTCCGATGGGTGCCCCATCCAGCTATTTGAGTTACGCGACATCGAAATTGGCCAGGGAATTCTTTTGAATGACACTTACCCTGGCGTCGAAGTTCTTTTTACTCTCACCGACATTGTAAAGCCTTCAAAGACCATGAGTACCATGCATGCTCGGTTTTCCTGCCACTCATGCGCCAATAAAGATGATGATCTATTGGTTTTGAATGCCAGAGGGGAGATTATAGTGACATACGGCACACCATTGATTTCCGAGCTCCCAGCAATCCATTCGGACGTATCAAACCTCGTGGAAACAGATACTGAGGAGCTCTACACTGCTTTAAATCGATTGGGGTATGGCTATTCTGGAGATTTCAAGAGCTTGGTTTCACTCAAGAGGAAGCGGAACCACTCATGGGGCCTAATGCGGAGAGTACCCACAGATTTGCTCATCCATCCTGCTACCCTGGATGTTGCTTTCCAGGCCATACTAGCGGCAACAAGTTATCCTGGCGATGGAGCACTTTGGGCCGTCTACACCCCTGTCTCAGTGCGTTATGTTAGTTTCAATCCACATTTTGCAACTATGGACGAGCAATGTGATGAAAACTGGAGTTTTGAGGCAGCACTCGTGGGTGCTGGTGCTATCCACAGCGAAGGAACGGCTCAAGTATATCCACAAGGAACTTCAAATGCTGTTTTCCAGATGGAAGGCATTACTGCAAAACCATTCCGCTTGATGACTGAAGCGGACGACCGAAAGCTTTTCTCGAAAATTGTCCTCAAACAACTTGCTGTTGGTGATCATGTGGCTTTAGGGGAACCTAGAGCTTTGAAGGAAGATTTGGAGTTGGCTTCTATTCTAGAACGAATTTCTCATTACTACCTTCGCCAGCTACATCGGACTGTCAGCGAACATGAAGATCAATGTACCCAGCCTCATCAGCAAAATATTCTGAGCTTTACAGAGCGTATTTTAAATCAGGTTCCTTCCGGTCAGCATGCTTGGACTAAAGAAAAATGGGTGGAGGATACGAAGGAAGATATCTTGGAGGCAGGAAAAGAGTAAGATTGGTTGAACCTGCCAGAGTTTATCCAGCATCTCTAACATACCCCCTTTCATTTTTATTTGTAGATTCGCCCACATCATCGACTTACCCACCATTCATTCTGTGGGGGAGAGTCTCTTGTCTGCCATTCAAGAAGAAACAGCAACACCAGAGCGCCTTTCGGGGAGCGACATGCTACACGACTATTACCGCAACGGCTTGGGCTTTCCATTCTTGAATAATTGGTTAGCAGAAGCGGTGCATCTGCTTGTTCATCGCTTCCCGCAAATGCACATCTTGGAGTTTGGTAAGGCTGGGAATAAGGTCTCATATATTATGTCTCCATGCTGACCATCCATCTAGGCGCTGGCACTGGTGCTATCACGGAAAGTATCCTCAAGTCCATCGGCCTCCAGTTCAAATCCTACACGTACGTCAATCGCTCTTCATGTTCTTTCGCCTCGCTACAGGAAAAATTCAAAGGGTCTTCCAGCAAAATGGAGTATCGTACCTTAGACTTTGAGGCGGACTTTGCCATTCAAGGTTTCCAAGAGCATAGCTTTGACCTCATCATTGCATCCAGTATTGTCTATTCTGCCGAATTGATGGAAACTAGCTTGTCCAAAGTACGAAGTCTCCTACGACCTGGGGGGTATCTCATGCTGTCCGAACTCACGAAAGACTGTTCCATTCAAAATAACTTCCTCATGAGTGCATTAACCCTACTATCTGCCGGATTCAATCATGGACGACAGTTTGCTTCACCTCTTAGTACAGCCGAGTGGGATGACCTTCTATGCAAATCGGGCTTCTCTGGGGTCGATATCGTGGCACCGACAACGGATTCTCTGCCATACCCGGTCTCTATCATGGTTTCGCAAGCAGTTGATTCTCGTATCGACTTTTTACGAGAGCCTCTCTTCTGCCCTGATCCATATATGAGCGCGGTTGGTAATTTAGGTGAGCTGTTGATTATAGGTGGGAGAAGTCTACATACTTCCAAACTTGTCCAACGGCTCTCTCTGGTTCTTTCGACAAAGTTCACAAAAGTCTTCACGGTAAAAAGTCTCGACGATGTTGCTCAATTTCCAAGATCAATTCCATCAAGTATTGTTTACTTAGGCGACTTGAATCATCCGACCTTCAAGTCCATCACCGAAACCGAGTTTCAAGGTGTCAAACGGATGACTAGTGCCACGCGAAACATTCTCTGGGTGACATCTGGCAGTCAAGGTAGTGAGCCATACAACAACATGAGCATCGGGTTTATTCGGTCTTTGGTCTATGAGATGCCTGACATGCGCCTTCAGCTTCTCGATATTGATGACCCAGAAACCCTCGATGCTCTTTATGTTACGCGGTTGATATTGAGGATCTGTGCGCTCAGCAACTGGGCAGAGGCAGGGCAGCTTGATGATTTGGTCTGGACATTTGAGCCGGAGATTTACCTACAAGGTAGCAAAGAGTACATTCCCCGTTTGGTTCACGATCAATCTCGCAACGATCGCTATAATACTCGACAGCGCATAGTCACTCATACAGTCAACTCTTCGAGGTCGCCTGTTTATTTGGAAGTTCGGGACACGTCCTATTTTCTCAATGAGAAGCTTCCAGCTCCTTGGAAATCAGATACAACGATCACAATTGCAGTTTTGAAGTCAACATTATCCGCTTTGAATTTCCCATCGAATGGTTTTGCTTACATCGCATATGGTTTAATTGAGGGAACGTCCGAGGCGGTAATTGTGCCCACCCATTTGAACGCTTCAATTTTACGCGTTCCTCGCGAAGCTTTAGTTCGCTGCGGCACTCATACGGCTACTGGAGACCAAGTTTTGGAAAAGGTTTTCTGGGAATTGATTGCCAGCCGGCTGCTAGAAGAAGTTGCCTGCTCGGGCAATATCGTCATATATCAACCGCCACGGGCTCTGCTTTCTGTTCTCATTCGTGCTTTATCAGAAAAAGATATGGATCTCTTTGAGATCGCTCATGACCCAGCTTCAAATCCTGCAGCAAGGCAAATCATTGTGCCTCCAAGAACGATGACTCGCCACATCAAAAGTCTGCTCCCGATGAACGTGTCACTTTTCGCAGATTTCTCTCCCAATGGTGGCCCAGGTGACTTTGTGAGCCGCCTTCGAGTCTGTTTGCCTCCCAAATGCAACAAGATATGCTCAAAAGACTTATTTGGTACCGATGCCGACTTTTCTACAAAAGATGGTACAGATTTGGAGAGTGTGCTCTCAGATTTGACGAAAGCAGTAACTGCTACTCTAGAGGTCCCGACCATCAAACAACTGGCTTGCAGTATAATTTGGAGATCGCCAGAGGAGTGTGCAAGTCAGATTCCGGGACATAACACTGGGTGGATTGTTGACTGGACAGCAAATTCCGATGTGACAGTACAAACCCAGCCGGCAACTGCTCATGTCGTTTTTCGTCCAGATAAAACCTATTTGCTAGTTGGTCTGACTACCGACCTCGGGCAGGCATTGTGTGAGTGGATGATCAGTCGCGGGGCTCGCATCATTGCGCTAGCAAGCCGAACCCCTCGGATAGAGCAGAGTTGGCTGGATGCGCAACGGAGGAAAGGGGCAGAAATTCATATTTACACAACGTAAGTCACTTGCCTTCATTGAACTTCCAGAAATGAGCTGACAGAGCTGGCTATTTTCTAGCGATGTTACCAAAAAGCAAGAAGTGTGTGAATTATACGACGATATCATTACAGTTCTACCACCTGTGGCTGGCGTGGCAAATGGCGCCATGGTACTCCGTGACTCATTATATGTCAACACAACTATAGATATGCTCAACGAGGTTCTTGGTCCCAAAGTCAACGGAAGCCAATATCTAGACGAACTTTTTTCAGATCCAGGTCTTGACTTCTTCATCCTCTTTTCATCCATGGGTGTTGTTACTGGGAATCGTGGTCAGACAAGTTACAATGCAGCAAATGCATATCTCACTGCACTTACTGCACAAAGGCAAAGCCGCGGCCTTCCCGCATCTGTCATGAATTTGGGACCGGTTCTTGGGCTCGGATATATCACTCGTGCGGGTTTGTTATCAGGAGACGACATTGAAAATATCGGAGCCTATCCGATTTCCGAGTCTGACCTTCTCGAGAACTTTGCAGAGGCTATATTGGCAAGCTCAGTCTTACATAGAGACAACTATGAGATAATCTCAGGACCAAGGGGCGTTGACCCTGTCGTTAATCCGCGAGTCTCCTGGGTTCATAATCCTCGAATGTCGCATCTTCAGTCTCACAGTGGCAGCACTGCTGTTGATAATGATAATGGAAGCCTCACATCATTTAAGAAGCAACTGCTAGAGGCAAACAGTCTTGATAAAGTGCAACGGATCGTTTTGAGTAAGAAGCTTTGTGAATCATTCTAAGCACGACGGGTATCAGATGCTGATCAAGCTACTTAGATGCGTTTACGACAAAGCTCTCAACCATTCTCCAGCTTTCTGTGAATAGCATAGACACTCAAGCCCCACTGATTGACCTCGGGGTCGATTCCCTAGTTGCGCTTGACATCCGCTCTTGGCTCATGAAGAGCCTTAGTGTTGAGGTTCCTCTGTTGGAGATTCTCAGTGGATCTACCGTCTCCGATATCGCTAATTACGCAACTCAAAATTTGCCAACACATGATTTCTCAGATTCAGCCGGCCTTGAGCCTTTGGCGCCGAGTTTGCTTTTGGTCCACAGCGAAAATGACAGTCCTACGTATTCGAATGACTCGACGGGCGATTCTGTATCCATGGATCAGACCACGCTAAAAGATGACAGTCTCACTCCTTCGCTCAGTCCCAGTCTACCTGAAGAAGGTCATTCGCTAGGTAGAATTGTTGGTAAAAGTTCGGTAATACCAAAGGCACCAGTTGGAGGCAGCATTGATGGAATTGTAATTTTGCCTTGATGGGCTTTCTTTTCTCTTCATTCTCTTATGATCTCAGATATCTCCTCGTGGATGCATTGCAATATTTTGCATCATGTTTATGTAATCTCTTAACAAAAGTGAATGAATATTTCCGGGAACTCATGGACTGCGGAACTGAGGCTCGGTAAATTAGATGCCAATAATATTCCGAATACCATAAGCCACACAATTCCGAGAATTGGCTCAACGGACCAAATATTGGATAGCAAGTCCAGCCATCACATACATAATAATCAAATCATTGATTGAGATTAAATTTGATTGTCAGCAATATTCTGCATCACGACACGCCATGGCCGCCATGTCAACCTACTATTCACCAACATGGACTCACATTCCAGACAACATATCAATCTCTCAACTGATTGAATCTGGTGTCGGGAATATTTCCCCGGGTAAAATCATCTACGAAGAAGCGATCACCGGAAAGACAGTCGCATATGCGCCCTTTCGCTGCCAAATTCGTCAAACTGCATATAATCTGCGCCAGGCTCTATGTCTGAAGCCCGGGGATATCGTGTCAATCATCGCATCCAGTTGCATTGATTATATTCTGACCGCACAGGCAGTCTGGTGGGCAGGTGGTATTGTGAGCCCAATCAATAATAGTCTACACCCCGATGAGATTTCTAATGCACTTGGGCTCATCAAACCTCGGTTCCTGGTGGTTGACGAAACCGTCTACGATAAACTTCCAAGAGCCTTAGATAAACACAAGACTCCTCTTGTTGTATTTACGATCGGAAGTAGAGCTAGTGCAGAATGGCCACCACTCCCACTCAGTCGCTCGTCATATTCCAACGGAGACCTCCAGCTACATACGCCCATCACCATTACCGGCTTTAATTACAAGGCCACATGCGCCGCAATTCTTCTTTCGAGCGGAACAACTGGCGTTCCAAAAGCAGTGATGCTCTCACACTACAATCTCGTGGCAACATGCTTCCAGTTACGAACTGACAACCCACAAAATTGGCGTGGATCACAACGAGAAATATTTTTCCCGCCATTGTCTCACGTGTATGCGCTCTACGTATGCTTTACTATGAATCTCTGGCTGGGCGCTTATGTTTGCCTCATGCCTCGCTTTGACGTGGACCTGTATTGCCGCTTGCTGCAAGATCGATCAGCTACACTTGCACGGATCGTACCAGCTGTCGCGAGGATTCTGGCGGAAACCCCCGTTGTTCGGCAACATCGATACCCGGCTTTGGAGTACTTCAGTTGCTCTGCTGCTCAATTACATGTATAATCACCCTTGAAACGGTGTTTTATTCTACATTGGTCTCTGACATCTTTATTGATATAGGAAAAAACTGCTGCAAAGCTTCAAAAGGTGTTTCCTGGCGTCGCATTGTGTCAAAGTTTGTTTGGTTCTTTCATATACAGATGCTCTATATATCATATTAACATTCTCTCGCAGCTTATGGGTGTACCGAGTTATCGGGCCCCTGTGTCCAGAGTGGTGTACGAGACAAAGATCTTCAGCTATCTGCTTCAGGCACCCTGATCTCAAACAGCGAAATGCGCTTCCTCAACCCAGACGGCAAAGACGTTGGATCCCGAGGTCCCGGGGAGATTGTTGTACGAGCGCCAAATGTTATGATGTGAGTGATCATACCAAAGGGCTCATTATGTCTGGTTTAATTCTGATACATTATCAGGGGCTATATGAAGAATGCAAAAGAGACTGCAGAGACAATTTTAGAGGGTGGATGGCTTCGTACCGGTGATTTAGGTTACCTAGATCCCAAAGGGTATCTTTATATCTACGGTCGGCTCAAGGAGCTGATCAAGTACAAAGGGTAAGTCAATTGAGAGGTCCCAAAGCTCTCACTGATATCATGCTTTATAGGTTTCAAGTTGCACCATTGGAGCTGGAAAACATTTTAATTCAGCATCCACTGGTCCACGAGGCAGCTGTGATTGGTGTATGGTCTGCCAGGCAAGACACCGAGCTTCCTCGCGCCTATGTGGTATTGCGTGATGGGATTAGTGGATTCGATAATGCGGCCATTTTGCAAGATATTTCTGATTTTGTGTCTGATAAAGTATCAAGTTACAAAAGACTAAGGGGTGGGGTGGTAGCTATCGATGCGTTGCCAAGGAACACCACAGGGAAAGTCCTGAAGAAGGTGTTGAAAGATAATGCTGCAGACAGCCTAACAAATATGGGAGCCAAACTATAGTTTTATTGCACAAATCCATGTTTCCCAAGGTTCATATATTTATTTCTTCTGTTCCTTACTTTTCTGCCTTGGAATTGACTATCTAGAAAAGATCGAGCGGGTCAGACTCACCTGAAGGTAATGACTGCATCAGAGAATACCAATCAAAGTCCTCAGAACATTCATTAAAATTGGTCCCATATGTCTCCACAGGTTTGCATGTAGAAGGGCTCAGAGGACTTTTAAAGTGCTGACCACCAAAGTTCTTAGGGTCTGTTGTCATCGCACCCAAGTCCAATGACAAAGGATCCTTATGATTCCACATATCACCCAGGTCGAATATATTCCCTGAAGATTCTAAAAGTCCATCAAAGTTTCCTGTGTGGAAATTTTCCAAACTTTCAGCGGAAAGAACATCGCTCAGGGCTTCATATGCTCTTGCAGCTGCTCCACTTTCGAATGACAAATCCCGAAGGAGCTTCGTGGCAAGGATCTTGAAATCTTCAAGAAGAATGTCTGGGAGTACTAGATTGTCTTGCCGACGCTCGAGCTCAATCCAGTATAAGCTCTCAACCAAAGCAGATGTTATAAAATAACCGCTTGGCTTAGGACATCCGAATGTATCAGTGTAAGCTTGCACTCCATCAATAATCCCCTTACAAATGGAGATACATGATTCACGGCGCTGGCAGTCATTAATATCGGATATCAATGTATGATGTCTAATGCTCAGACGAAGGAAAGAAAATCTCTGTATGCAAATTAGAATATCCTCATTCCGAAGATTGTTCCTCGGACTCACCAGGAAAACAAGAAGTCGGCGGCGAACATGCCTCTCCGTCTCCTCCGTCATATAATCAAAAATTTTCTCTGAGCTCCAATGGATTCTTGAAGGCAGTCGGCGATAAGCCAATAGAATTCGGGTATCTGTCAATTCAAGGTCTTCCCAGTCATCCTGTTTCTGAGAAGCCCGTGGAGAGAAGAAGCAGTCCCAGATATATGACCAGAGCTGACTAAACGCAATCATGCTAAGGAGTAACTGATGATGATCCTGCAAGCCACGGTCGCTTTCTGCATCAAAAGAGTCCCTTACACCACACTCGTTTTCTCGAACGGAGTATGTGATTCCAATCTTTTGCGTAATTCTCTTATCAAGGAAATATAGCGTCCACCACAAGGACTGCCGGCAGATCATCTCATCTCGTACATTCTCAGGCCAATGTTTCTGGTTATTGAGCTGAGTACAACGTGCGATATAGAATCCTTGCGAGGCACTTTGCAGCGCCATTTGTAGCTTCTCGGCTGCGAGGAAGAAAGCTGCGGACAATGTATGGTAGATCATGGTTTCCATGTCATTATCATGCAGCTTTGCGAAGGTCTCCATTAAACTCAAACCTTTGCAGTAGGTTTGAGAGCCTGGTGTAGAGTCTTCAGATGTGTATGGCTCGGTCATCAGAGATGCATATGCCAGCATAGTCAGCAAAACTGCAACAATTTTGCAATCCTGACTTGTCACTTGGATCTCTGTATGTTTATTCCCATATTCAAGATTGTCCAATGACGTAGACAGCATTTGACGAACTTTTTCTTCGCGCAAAAATGGCCAGAAACATCCAAATTCTTCGAAAAAAGCATCCACTTGAGACCATAAAAGAGATGGTTCTGGGAGCCTTACCAATATTGTCTTCTCTGTGAAATTTTTTCGCACTTTTGAGGAACACTTGGCGTCCTTGAGTCCACAAAGGGCCCGGATCTGGGAGCTCGATGCGAAATAACTGGGCGATGGTGTGCTGGTCACGAAAGTATCCGTTGGCTGAAAGATACCAAAGTGCTGACTACTGTCAAAGACTCGGCTAGTGGGTTCAATTGACAGCTGTGTGGTGAATGGTGAAGATTTCTCGCTTGATAACAAGAACTGGTGATTGTCGGACTCTAGGTTTGGAGTTGCATTGCGATTCTTATACAGGTCATCAACCTTTTGTTGCAGTTGAGCCAACTGATTCATCACTGTTGTAGATTGCCTTTTCCGTTTTGGCCATTTTCCTTCACTTTTGATTGCAAATTTACTGTCAGTTACAAAATCGGTGTTTTTAAGGCGTTCAACGTACTCCACAGTATCCAAAGTACGTTTCCTTGGTTTTCGGCCTCGTGGCCGATACTCCTCGTATGTGCATTCGATGCCTCTAGCATCACAATTGGAACACATTGATCCACCCGAGCACTATGTTCCCAATCAACTTCTCTTTTCTGCTGAGGCAATCAAATGAGGCAGTTCACGAACTTTCACTTTCCGTCTATGACATTCATAGCTGTGAAATTATTAGCACGGATATTCCTCAAATCTCCGCTCGATTGTAATCAAACTGACCACGCATGAGAAGTATACTTGTCCCTCTTCCCACTTTCTTGTTCGTCAATGCACTGCGACATTCTGTTCGGAATTTGTATTCCAAATATAGTGTATAACTTCCGCAATTGTGACTTGTAAAATAACCGAGAGATTGAAAAAAGCCGACGTTGAAGTAAAGGGTGAATCTGTGCGGGGATAGTTGTCTGGGGAAGTCGCTCTTCGTTGCGGGGAAATGGGATTCTCGGCCTTCCAGCCGATTTCGGGTTTGGTCAGTGACTGCACTGCCGAGATCTAAGAGCGCCAGCATCAATCCTTTTAGAATCAATTTATCCCCTTAATTTGCTTGATTTACACCCTCGATTTTAATGCCGAATTCCATAAGCTCCGACCTAATCTATTTATACCTACTTGCTTCAAATCCCTACAACCAACTATCATCATTTTCCGCCATCTATTCTTCCTGGCGCCGACATGAGCTCCTTTCTCCATGAGCAAATGCACCGTTTGTCGTAGCCCATCCAATGCCATGTTATATAAGTAGTCATATTACTAATATGTAATATCCGCCGGTAACTCAGAGTCATCGCAGCTAAGAATTTGAAGCAAACATTTCTACAAAGATTCTTGATGCAACATCAAGTTCAATATTCTTTCTTGAGTGTTGCTTATCCCCGGGCCTTTGGCAATACATTATTCTTCAAAATTCATGCGCAACATTGCACCAATGCATTTTTTGACTTTGTCTCTTTGAGTTCTCTCTGCTCGTCCATAAAGGACAAGTACTCCAGACAGACGTCATTCGATTGTTTGACTCTTGGCATGTTGAATATTGCCTTCCCCCCTGGCCCTTCTTAAGTAATAATCACGCTATTTGGTAGAAGAATGATACTTCTCACTCGAGGACGCTGATGTAGAGGCCACCTTTGTGTTTCGCGGTGGCCTCAAATTTCTCTTTGCCTGTGCTGCTTTTGTGGGTCATCACACTATAACACGGATTATCAAGTCTGCGAAGCAAATTTTTAACCAAGTGCTATGTAGATTCGCCGCATGAAGAGCCAAATGCAATTGGCGATGAATTACCCGGGCAAGTGGGTATGTATGCGCCTATACCCACTTTGACGTTATTATTTAAGGATGCGGGCCGTTCCGGACTGTTCTAAGATTTGATGAGTTGCATGCGAACAAGTAGTGATTAGAATATTCCCTTTAAGCTGACCGATGGGTATTGATTCTGTTCTTCTTGCTCAAGGAGATGTGGGGGTCATATATGACCTGATGCTAGTAGTACTAGTGTCTATTCGTTGGCTGTCCGGTGCCAATTCGCTCTTCAAGAATAAATCCGATATACCTGTTCCTAAATGATGGACAACTACCTTCAGTACAATGTTTAACCCCCATTCTTTTGACCTTTGGCGATATTTACCTTGTTTGCTGTGTGGCACTGGTGACTTTTGTCAATGTACCCAATCTTTTGACTGAACAGGGTCACTCTGTCGATCGCAGCTAGCTCTGATTGGTGGGAATCCCAACCGCCCAAAAGCGCATTACGTAACTTTCAGGGCAGAAGGCCTCACGTGGTCGACGCAACTTACCCCACTTTCACTTCCCAAATAGGCAGTCCTGAAAACTTGAGTGATGATGTCATAGATAGCAAAAGCACGGGCGCGACCCAGCTCCCAGAATAAACCTACACAGGGACGAGTCAAGTGCTGTACCTCGCGAACCTGATAGAGACCCCTGAAAGCTCATTGAACCTGCATAGCACCTAGTTATATCATGTTCATGCACGAGGCAAGCCACAGAGGGGCGACAGCGGCCACACGGGGTAGGTCGCGAGAGACAAGGATCGTCTTTAAATCAAGGAATGAACCCGGGCCCAGCGTCGAGATGACGGAATAGGCTTAAAGCCAACCGGTAACCTGTCATCAGAAGCAGATCTTTGATCATTCTTCATTCGATCCTTGGAATTTAAAATTAGAAAGGACTTTTTTTCCTTCTGCATATATTTCTCTCCAGCCTAACGAAAGTCCCTTGACGACGTCAGAGCTAATCAGCCCTATCATTCCTCACATCAAGCTTGTTGTGGCGTGCCGATTCCGTCTATCTTTACCCCCTTTGAGATAGACTGTTACGTATCTCTGCGACAATTGACGATATCGTTGGCTGTGCTGCAAACCGGGTTTTTTTTAACCTTAGGCTGCTGCTAGATAAATATCTCCGTGCTCCTGCCTCATTTCTTCTTTCAATATGCGTCCTTTCAGTGATACCTCTGTCCACACCACTGCTTCCAGCTCAACGCCTGTCTCCATTTCAGAGCCCAAACCTCCTCAAACTATCCACCTTTACTCCTCGACACAATAAAAGCATCGATTCTTTCAAAATGGGTTGCATTGTGTCTTGTGTATGTCATCGCTGCCCCTTGCTTGACCTATCTGCCTCAAGATCGTGCCACTAACATCTCCCTTCTCATAGGTCCAAGCTGTCTTCCATTCCATCGGCGCTTGCCTGATGGCCATCGTCAACACTATCGGTGCTGTCCTACGCGCTATCATTGACGGTGTCGTCACTGTCCTCGATGCTATTATCTCCTGCCTGACCTGCGGTGGTTGTGGAAGAAGAAGCCGTCGTCGTAGGGCGGTGGTATGATCTCGATCACAATCACAACCACGATGCCCTCGCGGCTATGAGTTACGATTCTTGACGTGATGCGACTGAGATATCTTGCGTTCTTTTCTGTTTATTTGTGTATCTCATACCCAGGCGTACTTCAGGCTAGCTAAATTCAACTTGCTACTAAATTCTTCAATCCTGAATCTTGTCTGTTCTCATGATGAGGAGCATACAAACTGGCTGAATAAGTAATGTACATTCAGATGCTGTTGTAGTCCTCGCATGGGTGACTTCGCCTTGAACTAGGTACCCAATCATCATACATCTGGACACCACCATATGTTATGCGGCACTCAGATTAACTTAGGTCTTCTGCCTGCTTTTCAAAAAACTTCATCAAGTCTTCATCCACAGTCGTCGTCAAATCATTCCACCTCTCATACAAAATCGCGCTCGCGAAAGGATCTCCTTTCCCCACCGCACACCGTCGAACCAAATAGTAATGCAATCTCTGCAACGGCCACCGCGAAGGAATTCGACAATGTGCCGAGCGAAACGACATCTGAAGCAGCTGACGAAAAGGCTCGCTGTTTCGCCTGCGTATTAAACGGCTTGTAATCTCTGTCGACCGAATATTCGAGTACTCGTCTTCATCAACGTAGAAATCCGAAGACAAAAGATGGAGAAAGTCAAACTGCGAATCAGACCACGGAAGTCGAAGTAGTTTATCAGGAATCCGGCCAGGGCCAATTGCTGTAGAGGAAGGAAGACGGAAAAGGTCGTTTTCGTAGTAAATTTCATTTGGCTCACGGATTTGAACTGCTCCATAGTGGAACCAGATTGCGACTTTGCGGTCGACATGATTCCGTGATGATGAAGCTCGTTGCTTTTTCGTGGTAGCTCTGGTGGTTTTATCTTCTGGGAGTTGGGCGTGGATGACCAAATCACCTTTGCCACGGCTTTCACCCATGCGCGGGCGATCATGGAGTTCTAGATCTTCGAATCGGGGACCTAGGTCTCTCATTGTCTCTTGGTCTTCTGGGGAGAATAGTAGATCTGCACACTTACGTCGTATGACATGATCTACGTATTCACGTTGACATTTTCGCATCAGTGGGAGTGTACACCATCGGCAGCCGAGTAGAATGGTTGATAGATGCTGCCTTTGTTCCCATGATAGACCCCAGAAATCGAGTGGTGGGGGTAAGAAGTCTGGAGTGAAGAATCCACTCTGAGAGCCTGAGTTTGTGGAACTGAAGACTAGGCGGATGAGCCAGGTATAGAGGGTTGGGTTGGACAGGGCACGGCCAAGATGCAGCGAGGCACGCGGCAGGTTGATTTCTAGGCTGTGGAGGAAGATCAATTCGATGATCTCTACGGGGAGGGACTCCAGGCGCGAGCACGGGTGCTCGGCCAGTGTCTTGGGGTGGATCATTCCAATGTAGTCAGCACCTGCACAAGGCGGTGGCTGAAAAATGGTGCCCGTCAGGCAGCTGTAGATTATATGCAAAGCTTGGTTTGAAGGTTTGCGGGGTGTTTCCGTCACCGTTCAGGTACACCCGCAAGGTGGACCCCTCGGAGGAAACTCTGCAGGAAAGTGGCGGGGGAAAGATCTGTGTTATGATATAGAGTGATGGTCATTTCAACAGTAACATGGTCCACGATGCATTAAGAGGGTGAGCAACAAATGTCACAACTGATTATAGCGTCTCCTATATGTGGGGGCACGGTGGAACAAAGTCATAGAGGGGAAGTGGGTGAAGGTAAGGTTGGAGGTTGAATCAACAGCCCTGTCTTGGCATTGTGCCGCTTAGATATGAATTGTGTCATAAATGGGGCTTTGTCACCTGTATTGGAATGACGCGGAATCAGATGGTACTGGTCTACCCAGGATTGTCGTTGGTGTGCTGAGTGCATATCTTCACATCAAAAAGGCCACGGAGAATTTACCCACCAAATCAATAACGGCACAGAAAGGTTAAAGATGCTGGCTTCGGATATTAAGTAATTTCGTATCGGATTTCCTGGGTAAGCCGTGAAAATCACTCGTATTGTAATCATTTTCTAGTTTGTTCCATTTTACAAATTGGAGTGCTTAAAGTTAGATGGTTGAATAATGAAGTGGTCCGGAAGCTGCATATATATATCCCGACCAGATATATACATACCCACGTTCTCCGACCTTAAAGACCCCGGGAACATTGATTAATCGAAGCTTTCTTACGTCAAATAGTGTTAAGACGTTCTACACTGCAATTTTACAATTGAGCTCAAATTAAAGTTGAGAACGACAAAAGAGAAAAGCCTCTGTTCACGAGAACGCAGAAACCATTTAAATTGAATTGTTTCTATACACATCCCAGCCGCCCCATCGCACCGTGGATGGGAATCTAACCGAAACCGGGCGTAAAGGCCATATGCTTGACACCAAACAAATATCTTGCGCAGTGAGATGAGGCGGGGAATAAATGAAGTGGTACACAATGTCCAACATTTAGACAGCGGACAGATCGCCGAAGCGCTCCTAAACAAAGTAAAATAATCAGCATTCCACTCTGGAATTGATGAAAGCCCAAAATTGTACGTACCTTGTAACCCGGGGGCATCCACTTGCCCTTGGAGACGAGGGAAGCGGTCTTCTCGTCGATCTCGGGCTGAGCGGAGGCAACCTCGTCCTAAACACAGAAAGCGATAAGCAATGACACCCAGCAAAGATCCGCACACCGCATATACTTACGACAGTGAGGTCCTCGAAGGGACGGGCAGTCTCGATGTTCTCGAGGGTCTTCTGGAGGTTAACAAGCTCGGCCTCAACCTTGCCCTTGGTCTGCTCGGCGTTCTGGACGGCCTGGGCCTCGAAAGCATCGATGGCCTTCAGTTGGCGGCTGACATCGTAGGAAGCGGGCTTGAAGGTCTTGAAGTGGTTCTCGATCTCGTCGACAATAGCCTGGTTCTTGAGGGTCTTGCGGTAGTGGGCGAAGTCGATGGCCTGGGGCTGCTCGGACAGAACCTGGACCTTGCGGCGGGCATCATCATTGCGCTTCTTGAAAGCCTGCAGGGAGGCGGCGGTCTGGCCGCGCAGACCGAGGGAGCTGGTCACCTTGGTCCAGTCGACCTTGAGAGCGGCGCTGCGCTGTTGTTCAGGTAAGGGGGGTTAGCGGGTGCTGGTTCCGGGCCGGATGGCGAGATAATGTTGCGCAGATCAGCAGGAAGGAGAACGTACAGCTGCCATTGTGACGGGAGGGTATGTGTGGTGTTGAGGTGGAGGGAAGAGGGGGGAGAGTTCGATGTGCAGGGAGGTGCCGGACAGGCGAGTTTGACTCGGAAAGGTTTGGATGCGGGAAACACGTGACCACCCGGTATCCGAGCATCGGCCACTTGTATACATGACACCACCATTAGATCTCTTGATAGTCATCGATCCTTTACGTATTGCTTACTAGAGCATTCTTTGTTTAACAAATATGAGGCAAGCTTGGAAGTTAATTTGGGTTCGTTCAATTCTTTTTTTGAGTTCGAATTGTTTACACTAGGGCAACTCTGGTTGCAAAACCCAAGCCACTCACGAGAATCTCGACTTATTCACGCTAAGGGTAGTTTATCAAATGCTGAGAGCCATAATGGAGTTGACAATATCGTTGTCGTTCTCCCGCAGAGCCTTGACAGCCTTCTTGCGGGAAACGCTAGCCTGAGCCATGACAAGGTCGATGTCCTTGCCCTCAAGGCCAGTCTCGTCAACCTCCTCACCATCATCCTCCTCATCCTCCTTCTTGGGCTCGATGGGAGCACCGAGCTCGTTCTCGTGCTCGTGGTCGTGCTCGTGGTCGTGGTCGTGACCAGCGTGATCACCGGCGGCCTCGGCGGCAGCGAGCTGCTGAGCAGCGGTAGCCTGAGCCTGGGCGTTCAAGTCCTCAATCTTGGCCTCACCGAAGATGCTGAAAAGATGCATTAGTACTTCAATTCCTCTCACATTAGCTATGTAAATGATCACATACATCCAGGTGTTGCTGTTGGGGGAGCGGTAGACATCGGGCTGGCTAACGACAAAGAGAACCTGCAGAGAATCAAATTAGTCTCTTCAAGGTGAAAATTCATGGGTTTGGCTGGAATTCATTGGTGGAGGAGTGCGCGATGCTCGAAAGCTGCTCCCGGGACCAAATTATTCACACTATCTGCACATACGTTCTTGGGGCGGCGGAGGGTGACACGGGTGATGCCGGGGACGTGCTTGAGGCCAAGCTTGGCAATGGCCTTGCGAGCCTTCTTCTCGTTGCGAGAGTGAATCATGACAGAGGCGCCGCCGGGGATGGAGGGCTCAACCTCACCCTCGGACTCGGAGTCGCTCTCAACATTGGTGTTGGGGACCTCCTCATCGGGAAGCTCTTCAACGCGGGGGTCGGCCATTGTGAATGTGTGTGAAGGGGTCTATAAGATGGAAATCAATATGCAAAGTTCGTGGAAGCTCAATTCAAGCGTCGAGTGGGCGAGAGATGGTGAAAAGTGGGAGGATGTGCATATAGTGGGAGAACCGAACAACCCCCGCCCAGGAATCGCACAACGGGCGGAAAATGACGGTTTCGGATTGTGGGAATTCGAATTCGAGGGCTATAGAGCCATTCAACGTACCTGAAAAACAGATATAGAGCTGTGGTGGAAAGGGGTGGATTTTGTCAGGGCGTAAGATCGAAGAAGCCGTGAGCTGTGCGGCAAGACCGACCGAAAATCGTTAGCGAGGCGGTTACACCCACCCCGGACTCCCACACATTGCCCTATATCTATGCCAACGCAAGATAGACATAGTATATGCTCGCAACGTCACATTACTATTACAATCAAATATACATTATTTTGTTCAACATTTTACATTGGAATACACAGAATTTTTGGGTTCTACACAGATTTGCTTTCCTTGATTCTTTTTCAGTCCAGGAAAGAATCCCGATTCTATAGAAAAAAAAAAAAAAGAGTAGCCAACGGGCCTAGAACGCAAAACAATGACACAAGGGCCTTGCTGGGACATCAAGGATTTTGAATCATTTTGGCTGTAGATGATTAATGCATACAGCGATTTTGCTGGCAATAATTCCAGCTATGGAAACCATCCCAGGACACCTCCTTCATCCTATGCACCAAATCCGTCGTAAAACATCTATGCCTTGGTAGCCCGGACCTTGGCGAAGGACTTCTGGACCTCGTAGCGGGCCTGGTAGAACTGTTAGAATGCTGTTGGGTGAAATAGTAGAATGCGACTTGGATCGGTGGTACATGTGCCGAATCCCAGTGCATCCATGGATCATCGTGAACGTACCTGCTTGCGGAGACGCAGGACCTTGAAGCGCTCGAAGTCAGTGAGGTTCTTCCGTCGCTGAGCACGGTCGGTCTTCTGGGCGAAGCTGCTCTTGGTCCACTTGGCGTCGATCTCGTTCTTAGCCCAAAGCTTCTTGACGGGGCCGGTACCGGCAGCACGGGGAAGCTGGGGGATGGTGAAGGGAGTCAGGGTGGCGTGAGCGAGGGCAAGAACGTGACGGGGCACGATCTTCTGCTCCTCACCGGAGGGACCGTCAACCAGGACCTGCACAAACAAGACAGTCAATAACATATTTCATAAACGATTTGTCGCCTCTTCGCATCCCCGAAAGTATCCTCTTCTCGGTGGTCTCCTGTGTCCCGTATGTGTATCTTGCGCGGACTCTTTCGGGGGTGAAATTGACGATTGGAAGATGCGGATTTTTGAACATACACGGCGGTGGTCGACGATCTCAACGATAGCGGCGAGCTTGCCAGCGAAGGGACCGCTGCGGATCAGGACGAGGCGGCCAACCTCGACCAACTTCCACGAAGCGAGCTTGACATCGATATCGGCCATGGCGAAGGCTGTCTGTAGAATTTAACGAATTCAGCGGTTTGTTTCTTTTAAATGATGTGCATGCGATCACACTCACGGTCGACGGGTTAGGATGAGTCGGAGGGTTGTTGTCGAAGAAAGTCGGATAGTCCAAGTTGGCTCTGCGAATTTCGGATGTGCCCACACAATTCTCGCTTAGCGGGCCACTCGCGGCTGGTCTAGGGTTCACTTATGTCAGCGTCTCAGATTTCCTCGGACTTTATGTTTCTCCGGCGCGTTGCTTTTCTTCGGTTTTTTTTTTCCTCCTTATTACTTTGTTGATCTTCATGATCTATCTCATGAGCAAAATGGTGCTCTTCATCACTCAAAATCACGACAAAACATTAACGACGCACGACTAACCTATCTGCTCGATACAGAGTACACTAATGGTATGTTCTGTTATTTCAAACTGTTCTTGCACTTGCTCTTCCTCGAATGATGCGGTAATTTGCGATTGACCCAGTGTCTGTGGAACCCTCGCCGGGGTTTCTTATGCAGCTCTGTCGGATTGATATTCAATTTCTTACATATTCTGACTCCTTGTTTTTCAAACCATTGTGATACATGATTGCCTTGTTGGAGCATCCTGCTGACTGCTCGAAGATCTTTAGATATTGCCACCAAACTGCCGCCTTGCACAAAACATTCGACATTGGTCTCCTAATTGGTATGCTTCACTACTTTTCTTCTCTTCTGCCTCAATGCCCACTCCATCCCTGGTTCAATGATTATAAACTTTATCACGCCTAGATAGTAATTGATGCCTCTGGCAATGATATTACCTTCATCACCAAGATCTCTGAGAACCATACACAAGCTACAGATTTTGTCTCATGCTTTAGTTGGACTTACTTCTGACTATTAATAGGATTCTCTTTTGTCGACTCAACACCCAGTAGCTTAGCTTATCCATTGCAATATAATTCTTTCCTCTATGACCACAATTTTTCTAAGTACTCCGATACTTTCATATTTATTTACGTCTCTATAATACCTTTGAATATGCTCTGAACGTATAGATAGTTTTGATTACAATAAGTCGTGCTATATCGTGACTATTGAGGCCGTGTGGAATGAATTTAAGACGCTAGACTGCTGCTTACCAGCCTGGCATCCTGCCCATACCAGCCACACCTCCCCCGCCTGTTCCCGTCTATACCCAAAATGAAGTTTCCCCACAGTACCGGAGACCGATCAAGAGCTTGCCTTCGATGCCAGCGCTGAAGGACCCTCGCGACTGAGAACCCACATGAAAACAAATTGAATGACATAGGAGTAGACGAACAAGAATTGCGTGCGCCGGTTGCGCTGTCCACGGGCCACAGTGTGCATGCCAGTTTGCATTGTGGAGTCGGTCGAGTCTGGGAGCAAGACGTACTTCAAAGAACGGAGCTGATGTAAAGAAGATAGTTAGCATAAGTCAGGGAAACATGACCTCCCACAGAAGGGGAGATTATAGATCCACTAACCAGGAAGAACGCATTCGCCAAGAAAGTGTACACAAAGACCGTCCAACCGACCCAGCCTCCGGTTCCACGGCCAGGCATCAGGATCTCCGACGCAACCAAAGTAGCAATGATACCCACGAACTTGTATCCCGAGTACGCAACGAGATCCAGCAGCTGCGAGTCATTGTTGATGCTGAGGATATACATGGCCATCTTCAAGCAAAGAATCTCGAAGACGATCACCGCAATGGCCGTGGTAGTGATTGAGCCTAACAGCTCCGGGTGGAAGTTGCCTCGGAACCCGGCCAGCAGAACTGACAATAGAATATATGTGACCAGAGCCATAACGGGGATGTACATGTCGGGTGAGTTCAGATCGTCTCGCGGAGGCAGAAACATGGACGAGTATTGTTGCTGCGTGATCTGTCCATCTGGGCCCGCAGAAGCAGGCATCCGGGCTTGCTGGCGGGACCAGGGCTTGTGTCGCCAGGGAAATAGAACGAGGATGAGCTTATTCAGGACGTAGGAGTTGGAGACGTTGAAGTAATGCTTCAGAGCTGGTATCGAAACATAGCGATTGAACTGTGGATAGAGAATTAGAAACATGCGGTGGCTAGCTCTTTAGTCTCGTATGCTTACATTGCTTTCCATGTACTCCTGTCCTGCCATCATTGCACTTTTGCCAACCTGGAATCCCATCTGGGCTGTTGGGTCGGTCATAAATTGCCCAAAGCCGGGGCCACCGGCATAGTTTGGGTTACCACCCTGTGCAGGCGAGGGCTGGTATGGGTTACCTCCATACCCGGCATTGGGTGTCTGTTGAGAAGTAGGTGGGGGTGGCGAGCGCATCATGGGCACGGTCGACACATGCTGCGGGACAGGGTGGTGAAGAGGCGGCGACTGCGCGGGCGGCGGTGCGAAGGAGCCCCGATACATGATGTTCCTGATGAGACAGGGAAGAAGAAGAATGAAGGCACCAAGTGTGTCAAATAACTGCGTGCTGCGTTGAGGGGACGGAGTTCGGGGGGGGTGAGGAGGGTAGGTGTTGGAAGTAGAGAAGTGTTTATACGTGGCTGAAGATCCCGTTGTGTCTCCGAGCTCTCGACCATCACTTTCGCCCGATCCGCCACCACCAACTTTCTTTCTTCCACTCCTATTTCCCCACAGATACCCCCCTTCCGCCCTTGGTCATTACATTTGAACGAGCTTCAGAATGCTTGAGGCTTTTGAAATTCTAACCACCTCCGGTGTGGTGCTGTGGTCCAAATCCTACGCTCCTGTGGGGTCGCATGTCATTAACAGCTTGATCAACGACGTTTTTATTGAGGAGAAAGTTGCGCCTCAAAGCGCCTCGGCCACAGGAGCTTCTCCGATATTCAAGAAGGAGAAATACACACTTAAATGGAAGCAGGTCAAGGAGTTCAATTTGATTTTCGTCGTAAGTTCGGTCCGCTCGTCGCATGTCGATCATATGTCGCATGACTGACCACTCTCTTTACAGGCTGTTTACCAATCATTGCTCCACCTTGGATGGATTGACAAACTCCTGGAAAACATTTCAACGATTTTCACCGACGTATACAAGGATCAACTTCTGGGAAACCGCAACAGGATCACCACCTACCGTTTCGAGCCTTACTTTGAACAACAAGTGCGGGAGCTCGAGGACAACACCGGTGGTGCCTCAGAGGCCTACACCGTCGAAACTGGAGAGAAGAAGGATTCGCTCGTCTCATCAGACAATGGAGGTCCACCACCGCCGCCGATCCCTGGCCTTATGAAGGGTATGAATGCAATGACTCACGGCATTTGGAAGTTCTACAAGCTGACATCCTCCAGCGCAGCAACAGACTGCGCTAGGCGGGGCTACCTCTGACGAGGGCACGCCACCGGCAACTCCTGATATTTCTAGGTCTTCAACTCCTCTCGCCGGTCACATCCTCACCGGAAAAGCTGGACCGGGCGGCCGAGGCTCCCGTCGTTCGCGCAAAGCTGCGAATGCGAGCGCCAATGCTTCGTCGGGCGACGAGGTCTCTCGCAAGGCAAAGCCTGCAAAGGGCTCTGCCAAGAAGATGCGCAAATGGGACGACAGCGGATTCGCCGATGAGGATGATGGTGAGATTTTGGATTACTCTGCTCCGGCCGGTGATGCGGAGGCTTCTGCTCCTGCAGTTGAGGCTGTTGCACCGGAGGACTGGGGTCGCAAAACTGGCAAGGGCCAGTTCGTCTTGAAGGACTTGGGTGATGAGGTCCACAACATTCTGGACAATGCTGATGCGGAAAAAAGCAAGGGGACTACATCCTCCAGCTTCCTGGGTTCTGGCTTCAATGCTGTTGGAGGCCTGTTCCGCAACATTGTTGGTGGTAAGATCCTTACAGAGAGTGACCTCCAGAAGCCACTCAAGGCGATGGAAGATCATCTTTTGAAGAAGAACGTGGCTCGTGAAGCTGCTGTGCGTCTTTGCGAGGGTGTGGAGCGTGAATTGGTTGGCAAGAAAACCGCAAACTTCCAGAGCGTGGATGCCGCTTTACGCATCGCCATGGAAGCTTCCCTGCGAAAGATCCTAACGCCAACATCTTCCTTGGATCTGTTGCGCGAAATCAATGCTGTGACCGCCCCGACCACCAAACAGCAAGCCCCTCGGCCCTATGTCATGTCTATTGTTGGTGTCAATGGTGTTGGCAAATCTACCAACCTGAGCAAAATCTGCTTTTTCCTCTTGCAGAACAACTATCGCGTTCTCATTGCTGCCTGTGACACCTTCCGTTCAGGTGCAGTAGAGCAGCTCCGCGTCCACGCCCGCAACTTGAACGAACTCAGTTCCCGTGAGAACGTAGGTAAAGTCGAGCTCTACGAGAAGGGCTATGGCAAGGATGCCGCCAATGTCGCCAAGGACGCAGTCGACTATGCTGCTAGCCAAAAGTTCGACGTGGTCTTGATTGATACCGCTGGCCGACGCCACAACGACCAGCGCCTCATGTCTTCACTGGAGAAATTCGCTAAATTTGCAAACCCGGACAAGATCTTCATGGTTGGCGAGGCCCTGGTTGGGACGGACAGTGTTATGCAGGCTCGTAACTTCAACCAGGCCTTTGGAACTGGCAGAAATCTTGACGGTTTTATTATCAGCAAATGTGACACCGTGGGCGATATGGTTGGTACTCTAGTTAGTATGGTTCATGCTACTGGTATCCCCATTGTTTTCTTGGGTGTTGGACAACATTATGGCGATTTGCGTGGACTGAGTGTCCCTTGGGCTGTGGATCTGTTGATGAAATGATTATGAAATATCCCTCAAACATTTTACAGATCCTGTTATTTTTAATAGTTTGTCTATTCTGATACCGTCTATAATCTTTGTTACGTAAAGAATACATATCGAGTCAATATCCTCTTTGCTCCCAACCTTGAGCAAGGATTTTTAATATGAACATCATAGTCAGGTGTCGACTTCGCCTGCCCATGTCTCACCTAAGAAAATTTTGTTCAAGACCGGCTCTCTATTTATGGAATGCAGTAACTTGATCACGAAGCCAGTACCTTGACACAGAAATGATGGAGTATAGGTTTATATACATCATTCCGAGCGGAGAGTATAGATGTAGACAATGTCCACATAGACCAGTTAGCTTCTGATCACGAACTAAATCCAAGAAGAGGTGGAATCTGGTTTCATATAAGTACCTTATAATGCTATATCTTCAATATGCCGACTCATTCTTCCTTCCTCCAGTCATACACATACCGCATTGGGTTGCAGAAGACGAAAGCCATGGTGTGTGTGGGACGATAAAGGGGGTCGCTACTATCAGACATAAGAATTTGATTGAAATATTACAAGGTTATGGGGCTCATTTTGAAGTATATCTTTGTCAATTTATACACGCAGCGCATTGTAGTTACTTCCTGCTTTGCATGACCATGCTGTGTGCCTGGAAATCACTGCGCCATCCTGGCTTTCCAGCTCTCCGGCCTTGATATGGGCATGATTTCTTGAATATAATATAACAAGGCCGGCTGGCCCAATGGCAAGGCGCTTGACTACGAATCAAGAGATTGCAGGTTCGACCCCTGCGTCGGTCAATTTTTGGTCGCTAGAGAATGTTCGGCTGTGGTCATCAATTTAAGCCCGGGTGCCTGTGTCTTGGCTAGTATTGGCCGCGGTCTATCCAATTCTTCTCTAGCCTTCAATGATCCATCTTCTAAACAAAGATATTATTGGCATCTGGATACACTGGACTTTAATCTGATTTTCACTTCGCTATTGTGTGTCGTATGGTAGTTTGGTAGGAGTGGAGATAGTGTGGGTCTGCGGTTTTGAACTCCATAACTACTCCGTACAGTCAGTATAAAGCCACATCAAAAACATGGTTTCCAAGGCTGGCATATTCATCAACCGTTGAATGCATTGAATTCTACTTCTTTATGGGGTAAGAATTTACTTATTGTCCCTTCGTACAACATAATCGGTCTGTAAAGGACCTTAGAGCAAGTAAATGGAAATGTTTCTTCATTCTCCCCGCTCACAGCACAAGTGGGAGTGTACTTAGATAAATTTTAAAGTAGCTGAAGTAGCGACTGGCAGACCCATTGACAAAAGTAGCCCACTATCTATGCAAATCCATCAAGCTAGGAACGCTACCATTAGTACCTGCATACGCAGAGACTATACATCCATTCGGGCTGCTTCTCCACTCGACCCCCCGAAACTGCGCGAATGTAGCTTTCAAGGTTTGGAAGAATTTCTTTTATTCCTTTATTTCTCTGCCTTTGAAGCAGTAGATCGAAGGTTTAAATTTATATTCAAGAAATGTGCTTAGCTTCTCTCCATAAATTGAAAAGCAAATGCTTTGTGTGGTTGGTTTTCAGGCCTGGCAAGTAAGGTTAGGCACAGCCGATCAACTCATGAACACAACCTAACTCTCTCCTCATCTTGAGAAACCCAGAACGAATGCAAAAACATCAAAAAGTTGACCGACGCAGGGGTCGAACCTGCAATCTCTTGATTCGTAGTCAAGCGCCTTGCCATTGGGCCAGCCGGCCTTGTTGAAAGAAGAGAGCCAGTAACGCTCTATGTTGGTAAAAGTTTTCTGGCCCCACACTACCGTTTGCGGCCAACAGCCCTAACTGCCGGCATCCTTGTGGATCCCGGGTGGCTTTGGATTAAGCCGCGGTGTGCGCGGCTACCCTTTCAAAAATGATCCGCATAACTTCTCTGTGCAGTTTCATAGTTCTCGATATCCGACCTTATTGATGTTGAGATAAAGGAGACAAGTAATCAACTACACTGAATATAAGAACAATAAAATCAATTTGTGCGCCAAAGTAAAAGAATTACACTATAATATAGCGCCTGGGTAGAAAGCGATCCGGATCAAAAGTTAGACAGTTTGTGTTATACTCTTGAGCATGGTCTACTTCATGTTGCTTCATACGTCTTGAAGGAACTGCTAAATTAATAGAATGATGTACGAAGCAAAGTGTTAAATAACCGTGTTCAAGAAATATACTGGTGGGAAAATGAAGCTATTATGGTCATTACAACGAAATCTTAACTGCGATTATTCACTGAATAATATATAAGCCCGAAGTCCCTTTGAAAGTCCCTCGCTTGGTCATTATAATGACAAGGGGTTGGGGGTGTCAGCAACACAGAATGAGGTGCTTTCATGAAGCGCTATGTAGCGCATAGCAAGGAAGTAAATAGGATTCAAGATATAGCATGCTTGTATTAACTTAGATACTAGAAGATAGGACTTATAGAGCCCTAGACACAAATCCTCAGTCATCTCTACAGACCGGGTGAGTCGATCGATGGCCGAAGTGGTCAAGTTGATTTAAAGAAAAGATTCGTAGGCACGGCACATACATCCCATTTACTAGCGTAGCCATGTTCACTCGTCAATTTGTGCATACCTTGCATTATGTCAGTGTCAAGTATTTCGTCCATCTCGGTAAATATACCTGACCATTTCAAAACAAAATTTGGTTGCCGCGACCTATTTCGTAATGACATTGTCGAGACCGTCACCTATTTCGCATGGGTATTGCCGAACTTTCTCAGTCCCCTCACATCCTGATGAAATTCAAGGACGGCATTCGACCCTTTGACTGAATGTGTCCCGAAATTGCGCTCAAGGATCGTCAGCACTTCGATATGTATCTCCGGTGAGAATCCCGGCTCTCTCATAGTGCCCATAAGGAACGTTATCAAGACCTCGAAGGCTCTGCCTGTGTCATCTTTTTAATTGATGTTGCCCTTGCCGTAGTATTCTTGGTGTTCCTCGAAAGGCGGGCGAAGTCAGCGACCCTTCCTACCACTTCGTTTGTTATCTTCACGTCCACGGATGATAGCACGCAGCTGTACGTCCTAATTTCATGCAGCATTGAGGGTACTACTTTCATCCAACCTCCTTTTATTGAGCATATGCCTTCACTCCCAACAGATCAAATGACACCACGATCTTGTCGGTCGGAGGCTCCTCTCATTTGAAGGCTAGTTCTCAAGCTCTTGTGCGGTGGTCAAACGCTTTCTTGGAGAGATTCTGGCCTATCTTGCTCCAGTAAGTCGCATTCAAGGTAGCCGGTTTGGGGTACGTTATCTCGTTGAAAAATGAAAGCTCTTCTCCGTGTCTTCTAGCTTCATTTTGGCGTTGAGAAACAGATAGGTGGAACTTTTCAAGCTTGTGGGAAGGATATGTGCTCTTACTTGAAATCCTATATGAGAAGGAGGATATAATGGCGCGGATGATCATGCAAGTGTAGAAAATGACCGGTTGTACGCCGCGCGTAAGCGGAGCCTGCCCAAATAAGAAGATGGCAGGTGGCAATAGAAGACGGAACTATATAGTGCATTAAAACCGACTGAAGCAAAGTAGGCAGAGCGGGTTGGAGAAATTAACATGTAATCAGACTAAAGTACAATAAGGCTGACAGGCTGAGCAGGTGCAGATCATGCCAAGCACAGCAGAGACGAAAATTTGCCTACAAACCATGAAAAAACGGCCATATTCTATAAGAAAAAAAGAATGCCAAAAAAAAAAAAAAAAAGGTAAAATAAAAAAAGAAATCTCTCCCTCGGGGAATCGAACCCCGGTCTCCCGCGCTTATCGGTGTTAATGACAAGCGGAAATCATGACCACTAGACCAAGGAAGATGAGATAGTCGAGTTTCCGCTCGACCACTTGGTACTGGTTGATGTCTATTCTCCCAGCTTTGATAATATCAAGCTGTTTATCATAACTCCTCACCACCATCAGTCCCTTCCACGTCACATATTATAAATCTCTTGATCGAAATCCGCCAGTTTTGGGCTTATAAAATTTCCAATTATGCTGTTCTCTTAAACTGTCATCAATACTATCTACCCGATATGAGGTTTTAACGTTCATTCACCGAGTGTGATGAAAATATGCGGTTTGACATGTAAATATATTTTGGAGGCACTTGAGCAAAAACTTGGGCATTGTCGAGAGCTGGAATCAATTACCTCTTGCGAAGGAAACACTTTCATCACCGAGGAATTTAATGTTTACCCGAACCCTTCGACAAACCTTTTAACTCCCCTGACGTCAAAGTAGACTTGATAACTCCTAATATTGCATCGAATGTTGTAATATTCTGATTTCAATAGTAGCATTGAGCCCCGAGATCGGAACTAGTACAATATCTATGAATCCACTATGAGTCCCGATCATCACATCTTGGAAGCAACCTTTGCCTTACGAGATCAGTGGAATTGGTAGTCTCAGTGAGCTATTCTCAATGGCTTGGAACCAGAGTATCCTGTTTGGTAGGCCTTGCTGGCCTTGCGTCTGTAGTATTGTTCGGGGTATAGTGGTCATCGCCAGAAGAAGCATGCTGGTCAATCTGCTTGGCGACATTGGTCGAGTAGGTACCCGTGGACTCATCTGTCATGATACTTCCCGAAGTTTGTACACCCCTGGAGACAGTATTGGGTTGCGACAAAAAAGTATCATCATCTGCAAGTTTGGCAGTCAGGGCATCGGAGGAAAAAGCCCGATGTATTCAGGGCTCATGTTACTACTCACCATGCTCCGTCCGAATTCGTGAATCAAGCTTGTTTGGTAATTTTGAATCGTGTGATTCACCCTTACCCGTGTTATTTGTGTCGTGCTGGTGCCCGTGGACCACCTTTTCAGCCTCCCGTATAATCTCCGACATGATTAATAATGTAAATCCGATTCAAAGGCACAAGATTGAGGTTTGTCTGCGATGATTTGTCTCCCAGCAAAATTATTTGACTGGTGAAATCAAATCACTGTAATATATGTCTATTTCAAGTATCCAACCTATGACGTAATCAAAGTATTAGTCTGCAGTAGTTTAGCACATTGGACAATTTGTGTACTGTGGATCGTCATCGTACCATCATGCGACGAGCAAACCCTTTTTTTCACTGGCGATACCTCTTGTAATTCATGAAAATTAGTATATTACACTCCTTCCTTGGAAGGGGCGACTTCTCCCCGGCTGGAAGGGACAGCCAATCAGCACGACGATTTACCGAACCAGTTCACTACGTACTGTTTTCAAAGCCCCAGGTTTCCATGGAAAGGCCGAAGGCAATACATAATACATAGTTTAGCTAATGTACATTACAATACAGTCCGCCTTTGAAATTGATTTCTTTACACTTCACATCTGAGGAAAGTCCGTGCCGCGCATTTTAGTGACTTTTATTGCCGATTATAACAACTGTGTAGAAATGAAGAATCCTCATGGTACACGGAGCCAAACTTGCATATCTCCATGCACTCTGGTCCTGCATCTCGCGGCTAGCCAAAACCAGTCATCTTGGGTATAGATGCTAGAAAAGATGCTCAGCCCCTTGAAATCGGCACCCTAAGGTTGCCTCGGGACTCAAGTATTATACATCAAGAGTGTAGTCCGCAATTCACAATGATTGGCGGAATTTTTAACGCATCGTGTGACCTATGCTAAATTTCTCGGTGCAATGACCGTTCGGCGTATTACACGATTCGAACGGATTCGCGATGATTTGCGATTACTCAGCAAGGCCCGCATGCCGCTTACATCATTTCGTTCCTTCCCCAAAGCGGTCCCTGAGCTTCATCCTCACGCATAGCTTACATTCAAGACGCATTTCCTCAGTTTCTGCCTCGGCAGGTTCGTGATACTGTACCTCTCGAGCACTTACGTTCTTTTCTGTGTTTTCATTGGCCCTCAAATACCCATTTCCAATTAATCACCCGAACCCTGCACGAACCCGGTATTGCGGCTACGATCGGTGCTCCGGCCTTCCAATCGTCTGGTTAGGCTGTGAAACTCTCCGATTAGCCTTGATACTGTCGTCAATCTCAAAATGAGTGAACGCCGCATCCAAGGTCGTCGTCGATCGTCGACCTTGCATTACCAAACGTTCGACACCACGCCGCCCAAGTCGCGTGGGCCTCCCAACTCCGGTCCGCCGGAATCCCCCGCCGACGTATCTCAGCATTCAGAGGATGCGCCTAGCCAACACCAGTCTTCTCGGTCTCCATTGCCCGTAAGACAGATGCTTGTATTAGCGATGATCGCTCTGGCGGAGCAAACCGCTTTGAACTCCATTAGTCCATACCTGCCAGACATGGCTTCGACCTTTCCGGAAGTCGAGCCTAGCCAAGTCGGCGTCTATGTGGGAACGATCGCTTCGGCATTTGCGTTGGCTCAATTTGCGACTAACTATTTTTGGGGTTCATTGTCCGACCGCATTGGCCGGAAGCCCGTTATACTTCTCGGCACCATCCTTACCGCATTGTGTTTTGTTGCCTTCGGATTCTGCAAGACTTTAGGTCAGGCAATTGCGGTTCAAGCACTGATGGGGGTGGTGAACGGAAATCAGGGCCTGGTTTCAACATGCCTGGGGGAAATTACAGACCGCAGCAACCAGTCAAAAGCCTTCACTTGGCTTCCCGTTCTATATGGAATCGGAGGCATAACGGGCCCACTCGTAGGAGGGCTGCTAGTATTCAAACAGAATCCATTCACCGGAAAAGAGAATCCATACCCATTCCTTGCCCCGAATCTGGTCTCTGCCGCTATCCTCCTTGTGGATTTCGGGCTGACGGCCTTTTTCATGGAGGAAAGCTTAGAAGACGCAGGACCATTACCTCAGTTCGGCAAAAAGCTTCGCAGGAAGTTCCGCAACCTGTTCACATGGCTATGGCAGTTCACTGGCCTCTCGCAGCATCCTACCTACCTCCGAGTCCCAACCCCTACTCAAGACGACACCGATACAATCGAGAGCGAGGATCACGACAGTGACTTGGATTCAGCTTCGGAGATTTCAACCCGCATTGCGCTACACGAACCATTGACTTGGAGGGAGTTCTTCACGCGCGACACTGTTCTACTTCTATTGACCTACCTGATCTTTGCCCTGTGTAACGTCTCGTTCAATTCGTTGTTCCCAATCTTTACACAGGCTAAACCACCAGCTGGACGCAATCTGACTCCTTCGGAGATTGGTCTATCCCAGGGATTTGCCGGATTTGTGACGATAGCTTTCCAGATATGCGTCTTTAACCGTCTTCGTGGCAAGATGGGTAATCGGTGGTCGTATCGTGCTGGCCTTTTCGGCTTTGGGATTTCTTTCCTATTAATGCCTTTCGTCGGGTATAAGAGCGAATCTGCTCATGGACTCACACGCCAATCTGCACTGATGGCTGTTGAATTATGCTCTGTGCTTCTGATCAAGACTGTCGCCTCTGTAGGTGGTCTGACCAGTGCTCTATTGCTGATTACCAATAGCGCGCCAAATCATGCTGTCCTTGGTGCCTTGAATGGTCTTGCACAGACTCTTTCTGCTGCTGGACGCTCGGTTGGGCCCTTTTTATCAGGAGGTCTCTTCACATTGACCGCGAAGATTCAACCACGTGGCGAAGCCCTGGCCTTTGGTGTCTTCGGGGCCGTCTCTTTCATCGGATTTCTCTTAAGTTTTGGCATCCGTGCCCAAACTCTTGAAGCGGATGGTTTGCCCGACAATGCAAGCGTCAAATCCGACGAAGAGGAACCGATAATGTCTTAGGCTCACGATGATTTCCCGCACTACGAATACGATGTCACGACATAATTCGTTTTTTCTCTCTATCTTTTATCTTCGTTCTTTTCAAGCGTTGCATCGAACATACATTATAAAGCCCAGCGATGGGTTCTCGAAGCATCTCCCGCAAGAATAACCGGGATGGCGTTATCTCTCCCTGGGATCTCATTTCCTTTGTGACTCTTGTTTTTTTATGTTTCAAACTTGATTTGTAGATATACGCGATTTTGGCTCTCAGTGTCTGCCTCTGACACAGGATTGCGTGAACTTTTTGGAGCATCTGATCATCACCGCTCTGCTATACGCTATTGAATAAAAGTCTCGGTCGCATTCAAGATACATAATCTCTTTTCAACATGAACATGACCCAAACAGTGAAAATGATTACTCCATCAATTTCTAGCAAATGCTTAATTAGGTCATTTCCTACTAGAGTAGTTCGCTGTGTCCTCGAAACATGCATGAAGAGGCATAGTCGCGCGATCGAGGATAAATAGCATAACTTAAACGGCACAAGAGAAATGTTGGTCCAGTGATCAAGCCTTCTCCGATTTTGCCATGTCTCTTGGAATAAGGTTAAGCATCAGTGGCGGCTTCTCCCACAGATTATACACCTTCTGATCTATCCAATCGAAACCAGGCTCAGCAAGCTCCATTTCGAAGTTGACAATCATTCTAGCAAGAATCAAGCGCATCTCGACATAGGCAAGGCTAAATTGAGAGGATAAAGTCAGCAAGATATCCACTAATGGCTAAAAGAGCATGTTAATTCGTACTTTCGACCAATACAGTTTCTTGGGCCAAAGCTAAATGGCTGCAATGCATTTTTATTGTCTGACGCAAATCGAGGATCATTGAGATGACGCTCAGGTATGAAATGCTTTGCGTCCTTGAAGTTCTTCTCCGACGAGTAGGTTGCTATATGAGAGACCGAGACAGTTACCTGTGCATGTGTTAGAGCCTTTTAAGGAGATGGGACATAGCAAAGAACCACTCACGCCCCCTGGTACCCAGTTTCCATCGATAGTGTCTCCTTGGGCATCGATAACGCGAGGTAACCCAACAGGAACCGGCGGATACATCCTCAAGGCTTCATTCAAACAAGCCTGCAGATATACCAGCTGGTTACACGCCTCCAGAGTGACATCAGAATCAGACTTGAAAGCACCCCTAACTTCATCCTTAAGCTTGGCAAATGCATGCGGGCTTCTCAGCAGAAGATATGTCACACCCGAGAGTAAGGTAGCAGTGGTCTCCGAGCCAGCGATAATCAAAACATCTGCATTCGCATATAGCTCCCCTTCACTGAATGTTTTAGATGGGTCCTTCTGCTTGAGAATGTTCGCAAAGAAATCAGGCCGATCATTCGGTTTCCCCATCCTAACTTGAACTTTCTCCTTGGTCAAACTTTGGTGGTCTAGTTTAGCGTCCATGAGCTTTTTGGGAGTGAGTTGCTTTTTGAGATGCTCTAGGTAAGGCACACGGCGGATTAAACCGATCAAAGCTCCAGCCTTAACACCGGCAAAGATCATACTCACCCAGGGGTGATAGCTCGAGTTCTGAAGACAGCTGAATGGTTCACCGAATGCTAAATCTCCGATGATGTCGAATGTTGTAAAGTTGTACCAAGAAACGACATCGACGGGTACAGTTCCTCTTTTTGTGGTCTCATGCAAACGCTGGATCAATAGGTCAACGTAGCCCTTGATGATGGGTTCTTGGCCACGAAGAGAGCTATCGGAGAATGCATGGGATAGTGAACGACGAAAACGGGTGTGATCAGCATCATTGGAAGAAATAATGTTTGGAAAATTATCAATGGTCTGTTGGTAAAATAGGTAGTTTTTGGGTTTTTGGCTGTGGCCTGGTCGACTGCCATAGATTGGCTTCCAGGCCTCGCCATTGGTTACGAATGAAAGTTCGTTTGGGGAAACTCGGACAACTGGACCGTATTTTTCGTGTAACTGTACGATTACTCGGTGTGCCTGGCCGGACGCGACCATACGCATGTTGGGAATGCGTGTTGCCGCCATAGACTTTGGGCCTGGGTATTTGGACAGCGGGTGGAAGTAGACATTGTAAAGGATAAGGCCAGTAAAGTAGACAGGTATCTAAGCCAGAATATGATGTTAGCAATTCCTACGTTCTACTTAGTAGAGCGATGAACTCGAGAAATATAACTACCAGTGATAGGCAGGACACTAAAAGTGTCACACCTGGATGGAAAGGTGAGCTATCCGAGTAGTCGGAAATGCCTGGAATGACTGCCATAGCGTAGATGCTGAAGAATAAACAGGTTCTTGAGCAGGAGAATGGGAGAAATTCAGTACCCAAGATGGTATTCTAAAATTTTTGGCCTTTAGCCCAACCTTGAACACACAACACGAATTTATACCCCCTCACTTGGCGTAGAGGTACGGGCTCGGAATGAACAGTTTCCAGTACCCGGGGATGGCATCATTAGACCGGGCCCGGGACAGAGATACACTAAGGCCCCCGCATCATGCAAGGCTTGCGTAGCCTGAAGAAAGAGGGGGGTGGAGAGGAAGTCCGAGCCACTCTTTTATCGGAAGTTCTGAAACATCCAGATTAAACAATAACGACTAGAAGGCGATAGAAAGCTTCCACACTAGAAATTCTAACTTGAATAGATCTTTAACTCAAATTTTACAATCTCAAATATGGGAATTTCCCCGAATGGGAATTGAAGTTAAATATCTTATCGCATTAAAGTGGGAACAAAGAGTTTACTGCTGCGGGTGGCTACGCCACTGTCCAAGCGGCCCGAGAAACGTCAGAAATGTCTCCGCTGCGGTTTATGACCTGCATTAGCATGCATAATAAGAAAGCTATTATTGGTGGGGCCGCGTTGCGGGTATATTCTAGCCCACCATCGCCTTACCCGTTATGCAAAATGACTAGGATGTTTATGATCGACTTGTGAATCTGCACTAAAGATCGGCGGCGTCTCCGCTTTTGATTTGGTCCACAAGCCTGGCCATTTTCATGCGTTACGGCTAATGCATGTCTAGTGGCACGAGCCTTGACGGATTAGTAAATAGAGGGTCATAGTCCTCATAACGGAGTGGACCAAGCAGACGAAACCAGGTCATCGGACTAAAACTGTTTGTTGAACGTCATGTTTTCGAAAAACAAGGAGAGCGATATGTATCAGGCACTCTGCTTCACTAGGTAGTTCAGGCTTCGCGATTTCATAAATGCCAGGTCTAAATTTTATAAATGCTAGGTTTCGAAAAAAGTTTGGGTTATAAAAGACTGTCGGATTGTGGAATATGCTTTAGAGTGCTAGTTTTACACGTGAACCACCGACCCCTACATCAGTCAATCGACTTTGGACGCAAAAAGACCGGAATCATCGATGGTAAAATTTGACTCTAGAGCAGCCTATATCTCTCTAACCCCTTGAGGTGGCGGTGTTTTGATCATTCGAGTAATTGTTATGGAGAAAATAGCTAGGCGCGGCTCTTGACAAGAAATCTCTAGATTAATAATACGTCGTTTAGTCGAATTTGCTATTTGACTACCTCCAAGTTAGAGTGTGCACATCGAAGACTCAGCACTGCTTTCCTTAGACACTGTAAGCATCCTAGACACTGCAAGATAACCTAATCCGCAGATCACAAGAGATGCGGTTACGTTTGGGCCCCTTTTCATCCCGCCCTAGGTGGCCCGTGTGGCTGTGTCCATAGTATGTACGAGAGAAGATTGCATTTGAAATTATGGAGGCTAGTATCTCAGAAGATTTGACTTCCGAAGATTCCCAAAACTTATCATATGCCCTGGTTGCTTAGCTTAAACATAATGGGAAAAGCCGTAATCGGAGACATTTACCTTAAGAGAACTTCAACCATGCACCTTACGTGTAATTATGAAGTATAGGAGCCGCTGCCTCTGGTTGTTGATGGATAATATGGATTGACGTACCAGATGCCTCCTTTGAAAGGAAATGAGGACTTATTAAAAGATATCCACGAGAACCAACGGAAATGTGAAAGGGAAAAACAATAAAGAAATTGGCAAACGTATTACGCGGAGAAGGAAGTCGTATGTAGAGCCCTTGATCACTAAGAACATGAGAGGTCGTAGGGTGGCGGGGCAGGTCGAAAAGCCTCGCCCGTTAAAGTACCTGGGCCTGGCAACTCAAAATTGCGCCAAGATGAATTCAGGCATATATACGAATACGAAGTATAGGAACCAGATTTCCAACACGGGAAAATGCTAGAAAGACCAATGGCAAGATTTACCGGGTGATTATGTCTACTTAAGATGGTCCAATAAACACCTGTGCTAGAATATGAAAATAAAAAAAATAAAAAATAAGATATCTTCAACAAGTGTCGCACTGCATCACCTGATATTATCACGTGAACTATATGGACAGGCGGCAAAAAGAAATGACAAGAGTGGGATTTGAACCCACGCCTACAAACGTAGATCAGGAAATGATGTCAAGGTGGACCTTAACCTGACGCCTTAGACCAACTCGGCCATCTTGCCAATTACATAATATGGGGGTGATTATAGCGCAATATATTAGTATCTGCCAGAGAGGTGGACATTTTCACCTAAAAAAGCAGTGGGGATGTCATCTTATTGGCAACCGTGTATAATGACCGTTTCATTATTGTGTAACTAGGATTCATTGAACTCACTATCCATCCAGGAATTATGAATCTTGAATAATATAGAACCAGAAGACAAATATTTGGCCACGTAAAGGACCGAAATAAACCCTACCGAATCAACCTGATATCTACCAATCTAGTCCGCTTGAAGAGATACTTGATCCACCCTGTGACCCAGGACCCGAGCAATCAAGTTCCTTGCACACTGTTATATATTAGAAACAAGTCAATATGTAAATAAGGAAAGGGAACTCACATTGTTCAGCCTGTTGGAAAAGCGAGCTACCTTTTGGCTGACGCATAGCAGGACGAACCAGACCACCACTAATCCGCTCCAACTTTTGGTGCTCTTGCAACTGCTTCAGGACCTTGTAAGTAGCTGGGGAGTTTAAAGCTGTCTTTTCGGTGACCGATTGGGATTCAAACTCGATACCGGTGATAAAATCCCAAATGACTTCTGCAACGACGCTGTTAAGAGCATCTCCATCTACGCCGGTCTTTGGGGACGAGGTAAAGAGATCATATCGAACGCGAGTGCTTGTCTCCGAAGATGGTAAAAATGTCAAGGATAACCACATATCCTTTTGTTCAAATGAGTAGAGAAATGTGCCGGGAAATAAAGAGCAGTTTGCTTTCTGATTCTTCTGCCAGATGGCTCGTGCTATCCGAGTCGCAATAGATGGTTGCAAAATCTCAGGGAGCCTTTGCTCGAGCTGTGTGGCCAAATCCACAAAATGACGGGCATTTGCTGTAAAAATGTCAGTAGTATTCCATGAGGATGGTACCCAGTCTAACATACTTCCCAGTTTCCAGTTAAAGGCCCCAGTTAGTGTTTGTCCAGTAAGCCACTCAGACTTAATTCCCAAATCGGCATGCCGCGTGAACTCATTCAGAGCATACAGAGTAGAGTCTTCCATGGGGACAGGCTCTCCGGAATCGAGATTCACGAAGACCGACCCTTGGTCAGTAGTGTGTGTATGGATCTCAAAGAGGCTATTCTCTGATTTCTCGAATCCAGGAACGTCCTCAAACTTCGGTGCTTTCACTAGCCGCCCGTAAGTATCATAACTCCAGCCATGATATCTACATCCAAGCACGCCAGATGCCCCCGTTTCTTTTCTGGTGATCGTGTATGCACGATGACGGCAAACATTATGGAATGTGCGAATCTTATCGTCCTTTCCTCTGATTAAGAAAACGGGAAACCCTGCCACGTCAAAGGATTGGTAGGCCCCTGGCTTCTTGAATTGGGTGACGTGGGCAAGATACAGCCAGGACTGGACCTGACATTAGGCATTATAATCACGGGGAGTTCAAAGAGCTGTGACTTACTTTGCTGAACAAGGCGCGGCGTTCCAGCTCAAAAACTTCCTGGCTATGATACCACCCTTCCGGAACCTCAGGCTCTTTCGTGACCGATAAATCACCACTAGAATCATGGTCCGACAAAGCAAGATTTGCGACCTTATCTGTCTTGTTTTTTGGGAGGGGCCATGATCCATTGGCCAAAAAGATAGCGGTCACGACCGCCACCAAGATAGAGCCGGGAGATAAAAGATATGCATGAATGAAGTCCATCATCAAATTTTAATAGGTAATCAAATAATCCTAATTGTCCCAAATGTTCATCACTTTCCCGTCGGCATCATCACCTCATATACCACCGCCGACAGAGGCCCAAGTGCCCCGATCCCCACATTATACACTTTGAAGAACGGAACCACACGCATCGCCCCCTCTTGCAGGGGTATTACCCGATTGAGTTGCAATTTCCAGCTCTCGGGGATTTGTCCAACGCGGATGGTGCTTCATCGCTATCAAAGTTGGAGGCAATCGGGCTTTAATGAGTGGCTAGTGAGCTGATCCATCGACGTGACAGATCCCAATTGAGTAGCTGCAGTCGTACAACTAATGTTCCACGCATCTGTGTTGAACAAGAATCTCAAATTCACTTCGGAGTTCAAATATGATAAATAAAATACTGGCATTGTTTCATGGCTAAATATTTCTGCTACGCTGCCGTTTCGACCGTGGATGGTGCTGTATGTCCTTTCAGGGTAAATTCCTCACTTTGGGCCTTTCGATCGGCTTGGTGTTGCTCGAGAACCATGTCAAAGACGCGTCTCTGATAGTCTTTGGCGGGTTAATACTGACTTGGAAGATAGGTGAAATGCGACGAATGTACTTACAGGACACGCCATTCTCCTGGACAGGATTCAGGATGCCTTCGTGGTATACACCTTTGGCCAGATTATCCTGTGCTTTTTCGCACAGCTCAAAATCTTCCAACGCCACCTGGCGGACAAACTTGAAGTAGCCTTCGAATTTATCACCGGATTCTAGGTGATAGTAATCGAATTCCATCCTGGTTACATGGGGATCTGCGGTGGGACACACGCGGAACGAGGACATACCTCCACCGTACACATTGAGCGTGCAGTTCGGAAAAAAGTAGAGGAATAGTCCATCATCAGGCTTCTTGGGGTCCGCGATGTGTTGGGAGAAATTGTGCTTGTTGTGCACGGCATAGAAAGTAGGCGGGTAGTACACTGAGAATGATGGATGAGTGTACTGGCAGTGCAGGCACTCCTGATATCCATCCACCCTGAAAACCTTTAGAAACAACTAACGAAATAACCCGGTGGGACCTACATAGTCTTCCAATTGAATCGACCTTCGTAGCGAATGCTGCGACGATACGGGAGTCTAGTGAAGTCTACTTTCCCTAGTAGCTCCTCCAGCTCTGGGAAAAACTCATGGAAGCTGGGTGCATCGTCCGAGATTGTCGAGAAAAGAAGACCAGTAGGGGTTACATGGCAGCGCAATTCTTTGTCCTGTGTTGGTCAGTCTTCAGTTTGCTAGATATCCATGCTGTACATACCGTCTTTGCGCAGAGCACCTTCAGATTATCAGGACCTGGATTCAGACCCTCTCCCCCAGTGCGAATCGCATAGATGGGTGTCTGTGCAATCTCATATTCAACATGCTCTCCCAAAGTCTGGAACCTCGTCACAGGCCCGAGGAGATACCAGGACTAAACAAGTTATTAGTATCTTCTTTGGGGCATGCTGGAAAGTCGATACCTTGAGAAAGACGGCACGACGCTCCATCTGATAGAGCGACTCATTGCAATACCAAGAAGCTGGAAGGGTTCGCGCGAGTTCAGACATGATGGATAATCGGACTTAATCTGGAGGCGCGATTGCTTGATTCATTTGCGGTGACGAAGCCACGACTTTATATATCCTGTCTAGATTTCGGACGATTTGTCCTGGACCACTGTTATTGGTGTGTGGGTTGAACCTTGGGTTGACTGGGACTGTATATCGTTTCCTGAAGTAGTTATCGAGTCCCGTCATGTTTGATGTCAACTCACATGATTGTTGATTGGCGGGATTACGGTTGACTCATGTCCATGCCCTGGATATCGGTGCTGGGACTGGAAAAGGCCGATTACAACTAGAACAAAAAGTTTCAAGATCGTGAGATTTGAATTTAGAACGTGATTTTATAATTGAAGCAATTTTCCGGTTATTCCTATCGGTCGCGTACAGAATGTTGGGACACGTATGGTATTGTCGTGCCACAAGATCGAGGCACCTGGTATGGACAGCTGACCTCCAGCAAGACTAATATCTTCTCATGGATTTGAGTCGCAGAAAAGCAGCTTTTTCAAGTCAAATCCGGGTTTTAGTTGAGGCTATTCCCGTTCCACTGCAAGGAGTTTGCTGCTGCCTGGAGCCCAGCGTCAGCAGTGGCGAACAGAGTGGAAACGTGAAAATGATGATCATGACACACTTGAACTCAGATTCAACCAACAAGCAAAGATTAGACCTTCTAAGAGAAGATATACATTAGCAGGAGAAGTTGCAAGTTGCGAAGTTGAAGAGCGGTGATCTACAAAGAGGGGCGCTTATCGATAAGTTTATCGATTGGATCATTACGTCTTCAGTCTTGATCTTACCTCTTCCAACATCCAACATCATGGCGAATCCGGTCAAATACACGCCCCCGGCCACACCCCCGTCACCGTCGGCGTCGTATTATGATCTGAGCGATGATGATGAGAATGAGTACAACACTATCGCACATTCTCGCTCAGGCCGTGGCGTGAAGCTTCTCTATTCCAAGAGCAAGGTAGGCACCTACCAGAATGCTACCATACGCCGAAATAACTCACAGGAAATAGGTTTATGTCCACCCATCGCCCTCCGCTAAAGATAACATTCCCGGCTTCATTGCCCTCATCCAACAAAAGCCTCAGTCCGGTTCCTACCCCTCCTCATCGAACAGCAATGACGCGGCTTCATACCTGCTGGCCTGGGTGCCCGAGTCATCGCTAGGCGATGCATACAGTACATATGTCAAAGTCGATTTATCTGATGATGCCTCCTCGCCACACCAGAGATACCTCGTCCCGGCCCTTCCGACCACCACTTCACATAAGGACCCCATCGGTCTGTACTCTTTCGCAGTGCCCATGTCGGAAATCTATTCGATCCTGGTCCGCCCTCCGAGCCTCGGGTGGTGGTTCGGAAGCCTGGTGATCAATACACGTGCAGGTGACAGCTTCCCAGCCCTCTTCTTCCATGACAGCGAGTGCGAATCAACCATTCTGCAAAAGAAGAAACGGGTCAAGGATAGCTTCGACCCCTTCGACAGTGAGGGAGGTCTATTCTGGGGAGGCGATGAAGTGCTTCGGTGGTTGCGGAGATATGTGGAGGTGGAGCGCTCGGCCGTTGACAAGAATGTGTACTTGATCAATCCGTCCCAAGAAGATCAGCTCTCATTTGGGCGGGCTTTATCCAGTGGGGATGCGTCTCTGCCATCGAAGGCACAGCCGGAAGCTGCTGCGGGTCCCAGTGGTGGCAAGGGTGATGCCAGCATGGATCCCTTTACGCGGACCCTCAAAGAGACCCGCTGGAAGGTCCTCGAGCAATTGAGCAAGATAACGACATTCACCCGTCGAACTGCGAATGATCTCGCCGAAAACACGCGCATTCCACCACAGGTACGGCGTCTAATGAAGAACCCCGAGATTCAAACGCTCCAGGATGAGTTCGATAGCGCCAGGATTTATCTGGCTCGTTGGGCGATGAGCATCGCCGAGCAAAGTGAGAAAGACAGAAACCAGCGGATCTACACGGCTCAAGATATGCTCGAGTCGGAGAATAGCGCTGTTGGTGACTTTGAAATCCTGGAGCTCGAGACCGGCAACTTAGGACTCCAGGAGCGGCGACGCACTCTCACGCTTTCCGAATGGGAGAGTTTCTTTGACCCAACGTCTGGAAGGTTGCAACTTACTGTCGAAGAGGTCAAGGAGCGTATCTTCCATGGTGGGCTAGATCCAAACGATGGTGCACGGAAAGAAGCATGGCTTTATCTTTTGGAAGTGTATCCGTGGGATAGTAACCGCGAAGATCGCCAAGCGATTATGAACTCGAAACGTGATGAGTACATCAGGCTAAAGGCCGGCTGGTGGGACCGAATGGTCGAAGGCAACTCGACCGCGGAAGAGTACGAAAACTGGAAAGAGCAACGGAACCGCATAGGTAAATATAACGAAGTCCCCTTGCGAAGTCCATTACTAACAACCGTCTAGAGAAGGACGTTCATCGAACAGATCGGACCATTCCACTGTTTGCCGGAGAGGATATTCCGCACCCTGACCCGGATTCTCCCTTCGCCGATGTGGGCACCAATGTTCATCTCGAGCAGATGAAGGACATGCTCCTGACGTACAATGAATATAACCCCGACTTGGGTTATGTGCAAGGAATGAGCGATCTCCTTGCCCCGCTGTACGCAGTCATGCAGGATGATGCCGTGGCCTTTTGGGCATTTGTAGGCTTCATGGATCGAATGGTAAGTGAGAAACATGAGGCCAAAGATTGCCATAAGCTAACAAGCGAGCAGGAACAAAATTTCCTTAGGGATCAATCAGGAATGCGCTCCCAACTTCTGGCACTTGATCATCTTGTTCAGCTTATGGATCCCCAGCTTTACCTGCATTTACAATCTGCCGATAGCACCAACTTCTTTTTCTTCTTCCGCATGCTGCTGGTCTGGTACAAGCGCGAGTTTCAATGGGGAGATGTCCTTCGTCTTTGGGAGACACTCTGGACAGATTATTACTCCAGCAGCTTCCATTTGTTCATTGCACTGGCCATTCTCGAGAAACATCGCGATGTCATTATGGACCACCTGAAGCATTTTGATGAAGTCCTGAAATACAGTAAGTCGATCCAGCTGGACCAATACCAAGTCGGTTAACTAACATGATATAGTTAACGAGCTCTCTAACACAATGGAACTTGTTCCCATTCTTACCCGCGCTGAATCGCTCTTCCGTCGCTTCGAGCGCTCGGTTCAAGCCATCGACAAGAAAGACAATTTCCCATCTGCACCTTCTGCCACCCAGCGTCGTACATCAGGTATTAACAGCCCCGCTTCTGGAGAGGGAAAGACCCCACAAACCTCATCCATTGGCTCTACAACCGGTTCCAGCGCAGGTCCATCGGCTCTACAGAGAATTATGGACTCCGACAAGCCCAAGGTTATTTCGCCAGAACTGCGGGAGTTACTGAGAAAGGATATCCCATGGAGGCGTCAGCATCAATCATAGAAAGCCTTGCTTTGGCTATGCTTTTCATCTTCTTTGATGATTGGTGTTTATTAAGATTGTCAATGATGTGGTTGCTGTGATGGACTTAGTTCTTTCCGATTTATGAATTTATGAATTGTAAATGTATACCATCCACTCATCCATTTTATTATGTATTTGGTTCAGACTAGGAGAAACCTAACTTGGGAGTTTATGGAATTATCTCTTCAATCCGGGATATTTGAATGTTGGCTAAGAATGAGGAATATGAAATCCAGAATAGCTGATTCCCTAATTGTCACACGCTTTAACCACTAGTGGTGTGCTAACCAAACCTCCCGTCTTGGTTAGCCACACTAAATTGTCATTCCACACTAACTTGTCACTTCTTACACCTTTTGAGCTTTTCCAGCATCATATCTTCTATATCTATTATATTAAGTACTATAATATATTATTCTATCAGTTCTCTCTCCATATCTTAATTTTCTTTATTATCTACTAGAATTTATATAGGGTCATAGTCGATTTAAATCAGCGATCTAGAGAATCTCATAAGTCTCCCTCTACTTCTTTATATCCTTACGCTTCTTGATAAATTGAAGACAAATATTGAGTACCTATGAATAAAGGGACTAATAGCTAAACTTTCATTCTATATTATTTCTTAGGCGTTAATAAGCTTATGCGATCTTAAAAAGAGCTTTTTTATAGTAACCTAGTAGCCTTTCTATACGCGTTAAGGAAGCGACCTACCCGCATCTTTACTATGTAACGGGGGTCTAAAGTATACTAGAACTGAGTTTCTATAACACTCATTATCTTATACTATATAAAACATACATGAATCGTTATTGAGATTATAATCTCTCAAGTATCTCGTCCTAGACTAAATCCAGTACTTATTGACTAAGTATTTTAACGTTGCGTTTTCTACAGTTGCGGAATTAATGAAGTAAGGCTAAATATAAGAGGTTAATAAACCACACTATCTCCTTTTTATTAGAATATTTCAAGTAAAACGATATAGCTAGAGTGTATTAGTACTAGATTTTGATATTAGATGGCACGACTGAGTGGTTCGATCTATGTAGAAAGTGACAAGTTAGTGTGGAATGACAATCTAGTGTGGAATGACAATTTAGTGTGGATTGACAATCTAGTGTGGAATGACAATTTAGTGTGGATTGACAATTTAGTGTGGCTAACCAAGACAGGAGACTTGGTCAGCACACCACTAGTGGTTAAAGCGTGTGACATATATTGACTAATTTTACTAAGTCCATAAGACGTTGTACACTACCTAGTCACCTAGCAATTTTCCATTACAATAACCAAAATGTTGCCTCGTTTTGAAAGCCTGAGACTTACACTGAACTATTCAATTGGATTTTCAACGCTGGGACTATCGATTTCCTATAGTAATCACAACAACAAACCCATCAGATGTTCTGGTAAAGCCATCAATTGACCACCCGGCGGTCTCCGAGCTCCAATTTTGCCAAGTATCCAACCCAATCTTTAGTCGTGAGGTACGACGTCAAAGTCTTGTTCTATAAATTGGCACTAGAACGAGGGTTTACAAGTGGAGCATGGACGTCCGGGACGCTTTGCCTGGTTTGGGAGTGTCCGTGGCACGACTTCGGGATGGGATAGAAGCCATAGAGATGAGCGAAATAAGAGGTGCTTGTCACTGCCATCAAGTGCTGCGTGAGATCTTGATGAGTTTAAAACAAGGTGTGAGTCGACATCAAGATTGACTGTGACATGTCCTTTGGACAGGGCTAACAGTTCTATAGGCTAAAAAGGGTTTCTCGTTCAATTGGTGCCTGTTCGGGTTTCTTATGTTTTTCATTTTACTCTGTGAGTACATGAGTCGCTGAATGGACAGGACCTAAAGAATGCATCGTCAACCTAGCAAGATATGAATAGGCACTTGATTCTATTATCGTGTATGGATAAGAGCCTCAACAGGGTATCGAACAAGAAACAACAAGATATGGTATATGTACAGGTCGAAGTGACTATCGAAACCCCTGTAAAAAAAGAACAAGAATAACAATGAAACAACCTAATGAGGGGTTTGACCCAAGCTAACCCATTGGTCCAAAGATGATCAAGCTAGATCCACAATTTCGCCGCGCTGATGCAAATGATGTTGTAAAAAGGAAGCAAATCTCAAAATGTGTGCAAAAAGAAAAAGTAAGATGTCAAGAAAAGAAGAAACGAATCACAAGAAGCAAAGGGTATCCACAGTAGACTCCGAATAAGGCAAACTTTTCTCCTTGGCCAGGGGATTATCTGTGATTGCCCAGGCCCTGTAGCACGACTCGTCTGCCCGTGCCATTTATACTGATATCGCCGATGCTTCGTACTTTGGGCAAAGAACGACCAGTGTGGTCATGGTGAGGAAGATCATAGTTGTCGACTTCGTCGTTTTCAGGGGAGTGGTTTGAATCAAAGGGAAGAGGGTTGAAAGAGTTTGATCGGCGGGTTTTTTGGAGGACATTTTCTACCCAGGCTTCGCCCTCAGGACTCATTGAGATTTGACGGGAACGAGGCTTAGGACCAGCAAGACCGAGAGGTGTGGAGTTGTCATGGGATGGCAAGGGGATTTGAGCAGGGGAATGAAAATCTCCGAACGAGTAGCTGGAAGACATTGAAAGACGACGGCCTGGAGCTCCTGCGGAAGGGGGAGAGGTGAAGGAGCTAAGGTTTCCAGTCGTAACGGACCTAAGAGCAACAGCCTCTGATGCAGTAGAGTCGCGTCGCGATTTGCGGACGGTAAGAGAGGATGGTGGACGGGCACTGAGAACGGAGGCGGGTCGAGATGGAGTGGCACGACCAGAGTTGTAGGAGGGGACAGTAGGATGAAGAAGATTGGCAGGGGAGGAGTAGCCAGGAGATGAGCGAGTTGCCAGGCCTTGCACTTCTACTCGCGGAGTTTCGGAGACCTTACGACGGCCATGGTGGACAACGTATTCGCGGAGATATTCGCCAAGATCTGCCCAGCCACCACCAACTCGGACCATCACTCGTTGGCCATCTTCGCCGACGGTACGAACGAACAGCTTGGTAGGTGCGGTTTGGCCGCCATGGTGCAAATGGTAAAGCTTGACATAGCTGTCTTCAGTCTTATGCGCATGTGACAAGCGCCTTCGGGCAGCAGGCATAAGCGCCAGAGAAGGAGCAGGAGTGAAGCTCCGAGAAGTTGGACCGTGTGGTGACTCGGAGAGGTATCTTTCTCGCATCTTTCGATCCAGGGATGAGGAAGATGATGAAGTATCCCCCTCATTGCTGGGGTCAACGAGATGGATACGCCCAGGGAGTGTACTGAGAATGGAATTAATCTTTTCATCAAGCTGGTCTCTGGGCTTCTGAGACAGCTTGTTGGGAGAGGATGGACGAGAACCATTATCCATGAGTTCTGACTCGTCCTCTTCAACGTACGAAAGTTCCTGCTTCTTTACCCCGAGGCTCTCCAAGCTAGGGTGGGCAGTCAACCGCTGGCGCAGACGCGCCGATTTGGGTTGGTCTTGGTGCTGCAAAGCCCTCCGGGCAGTGTTTCCACCGAAGGCAGGCAGATTGCGGTCTGGATGATTTGATGAAGCGTCACTGTCCTTCAAGTCCGATGCTGACTTTCCACGGACGAGAGTAGGACGCCGCCTAAGCACACGTGGAGTCTGAGTAGGCGTAGAAGAAACATCATGAATAGTAGAAACGGCTGAACCTTTTGCCTTGAAGCGTTCGGGAACCTCAGGCACCGATTCAGTACTCAAATCCAAGTCCAGCTTCTCGTTGATAAACCGCTGGAGAGGCAGGCTCACAGAGCGACTTGGTTGGAAGGCAGTATTGGCAGACATCTTCAAATTTTCTAGTCGGCGGAGACGGTCTGCCCGAAGCATATAGTCACCATGAGGTGAAACGGATTTTGTAAACTCTCGGTGAAGCTCTCCATTGGATGACCCGGTGTGCGGCTCGGTTGGACGAGGACTGGCAAGAGAGCTGTCTGACAGGAAAGAACCCACAGATCCCGTCGATGGCCGACGAGAGCGAGGCTTTGGGGAGCCCTTGTCGAGGTTGGGATCCCCTTGACGGGCCTTTGACAGCTTAATGGGGCTCTGTAGTGGCTTCTTCTTGGAAGGCGCCTTTTTCTCTGGGACGCGCTCTGTGATTGGTGCCGGTGGTGATGTCGCTCGAGCAGGCTGTGGCTTGGGAATTTTTGACTTTTTATTTCCAGGGTACTGGTGTGTGGAATTAGTTGATGATCCCTTGAGCGGAAAGCTGCCGGCGGCCTGCGCATCTCTCGGAGGTTCGGTCGCGGCCGCTGGGGTTTCCAAGATTGGCGTTTCTTCCTCAGCCATTGCGGATTGCGTCGTGTTTTTTACAGGCAAGGCCTTTGTCACAATATTCACATCATTAGACACAACCTTGCCGGATGATGTCGGGTGTTCATTGGTTTGTTGCTTGAAATCCGGCGTGGGCTCATTTCGGAAGCCCTCACCTCCTAGAGAAGCTTCTTGTCTTGGGGTTACAGGAGAACACTCAGCAGCGTTGAGCTGCTGCTCGCTCTCGGGCACATGAGATATGGGCTTCTGGGCGAATAAATCTTCTTCTTTATGTTCGCCAAGAACAGCTGGCTTAGCTCCGGATTCTCGGACTGAAGATGAACGCTGAGGCACGAAACCTTGAGGTGGAATATTTTCTTTATTCTCCACATCAGGCGACACCGGCAATGGAATTCGTGAAGGCGACTGAGCCTCTGGGGTTCCAAGTGACAGACCTCGGAGAAATGTTAACTGCGTTGGGGTTTCAAGGTCTTCTGCAACGAGAATATTTGGTCGGCTTTCAGGCTTCTCGTTGGTCTCTTCATGGGTACATGGCTCGAGCACACGGCTGCATGAAGCCTCGGGGCCAGTGGTCATAATCGTTAGACTGTTGTCTATACATGGCATGGAATCTTGGGCAGGCTCCTCTTGAACAAGACAGGTTGTTGGGTGTGCAGTTTGGGATTCGGGTCTAGTTTCTTCCTTCATAGGCTCCATTGAAGCGATGGCTGGCTCGACCTCACGTTCCTTCTCAGAGACCTGTTCAGGCGAAGGCTTAAATTCCTTGCATAATTCGGTCACCTTGGACTGGTCCTTCGCGCGAAGCCATTCGGTGCGGAGCTTGTATCGCTCCGTTTCAACCACCCATGCAGCGAAATCTGACTCAATGCTTTCTAGATCATCAATCCATTGTTCAGGCAATGAATCGTTTCGACCTTCCAAGGCATCGAGAGCTCGATCCACCCGTTTCCCCACAGAAATGACCGCCGACTCGAGTTGGACATGTTGATCGCGTAGATAGGAGCTTGAAAATCGGACCTCAACGTCCTCGGAAGTGTTGGATGACTGAATCGAGCTGCTGGAAGTAACTAAAGCGGATCTAGTTGACCGTAGATCTCTCAGCAGACCTGGAATGTGGCGCAGAACCAAAAGGCGGACTTCCCAGATGGTCAGTAAGTGATTCAATCGCGCCAAATAGGGCAGGGCGCGTAGGATTGTGGCAGTCACGATGGCCGTAAAATCACTGAGCTGTACATAGCTGAGCGGAGGGGGCACAGATACGGTGCTGGTCGAGGAGGAAGGGCGAGAGCGGGATGGAATGTGGGCATTGAGAACGTGTTCCTTTAATTCGTCCACATCCAAGCTCTCCATTCCATCGCGGATCTCTTCGATTCTTTTCTCGTATTCCTCCACCACTTCGGCCGGCAAGCTGCCATAATATGTAACACCACTATCGGTCACTGGAGGGATGAAGCCCTTTCCTGACGCCGCCTCATTGACTTTCGGCCATGGCCACGCCTGCACCTCCTTATGCCAAAGATTAAGGTTCCGGGCCGCTATGGCAGCACGGATACCTAGGGCGCGTTCGGCAGGCGAGACTTGCGAGATACTTTGAGATAGGAGGTGTGAGAAATTTCCGTTGGCCGGTACGGCTTCGGTGGAAGTAAGGGCATGTAGGGTCGATTCGGGAGAGAGGTTGCTGAGTAAAGGGTCAATTTTAGGATATAACGACCCAGGAATCCGTTCCGGGGAGGTCGATCGCGAGTTGTCTCTAGAATGAGCGGGGGAGAAGCGGATGGATGGGCGAAGAGGGGTGGGCTGTTGATTCACTGCCATTCCGAATGACAGGCTGGGCCGCCCAGCTCAACAAATGGAGACACTTGGAACAAAGGAAGCTTCAACTGGCTCTGGATGGCATAAGAAAGATGAATATCGAAAAGGAGCAGCAGGCGGACGAAGAGAGCACTGGCGAGCCCGCATGCTGAGACGCGATGCTATGGGGGTGGTTGGGTCCGGAGCAATAGAAGTTCTTTCACGAGACTTGCAGGAAGCGCGAGACAAACGGCGGTAAGCAGAATGGACCGTTTTGACTTCCCCGAGTGATAACCTAGGTCTGCAGAGGATGTTATAAGAATAAATAGATGGAAGAAAAGCAGTAAACAATCGGAATAATAATTCTGATCTGGAGGTGGAGCTTCCAAAAGGGGCACGAAGTGGACCGCTTCCGATGATCCGCGAAGTTCTTTTGGTTCGCGACTCGGATTTCTAATCGGCACGAATTGCGGCTCTTTAGCGTGTCTGTGTCTCCATTCAGATAATCAATTAGACAACCCTGTTTTCTTCTACTAAATTGGCGATTTCTAAAGGTTACAGTCCGCTACATACAGCTAACATACTGCCTCGAAGTAGGTACGCGTACGTCATGACGACTACTTAGCACCTATGAACTCCAAAAGGTATTCCCAATATTCCGTATAGTTTATTCGACTATATCATTTATGATCCTGTGAAGAAGGACCCTTGCCTCGTTGCTTTCTATGCCCGTGGACTTGAGATTCGTTGCCAGGGTTCCGTGATTGGAAAGAAGATACATCATATCAATTCAATGTTAATATATTGGCTTGAAATACACATAGCGCAGCCAAGCATGCATCATATCACAAACTTTGCCAGTGGCGATAGAATTCCAATTATCAATCGAGGTCTTCATGCAAGGTAAATTCAAATTGCAAATAGAATATCTTCCGTGACGATAGACTAGTCCGCCCCTAGGTGGTCAGAAAAATGCATCTTCAAACGGAGCAGTCATGACATATGACTGGATAGTAAGTGAGGTATATCAAATTAGAGTAATTATTAGTACGAGAAGCTTCAAAACGAGGGCGAGAAGCTGAAACCTTTACCTACACGCATAGCTCCAAGATATCCCAAGGTTTAACCATGACCAGGTGGCGTTTCAAGGTGCTTGACGATGAAATGCTGTGTATCCAAGAAATGAGGCATTACCTCGCATGGTATCTCACTATTTAAATGAATCTGTTGTGTCGACTTCCCCCTCGTCCCATTTCTTATCTACTTCTCCATGTTTTCGTAGTAGAAGATTTAGTATCTGTAAAGCATCGGTCTTTCGCTCCATCCATCCTGTGTGTGAGGTAATGGTAATTCTGTTGTTATTACGGGCAACAGGCCAGCTCACTGTAGACTCTCAATCATTACCCTCAATCCTTGAAAGTCTTTACGAACTTCATGGAAACTGACACACCCATTAATGCAAAACAATTTCGGGTCAAACTGAAGATATCAGTAGCTATTTATCCTTCAAAGAAATTGGCATTTTCCATTGGTTGAGCTCGACTTTGGCCGAACCTTATGTTAAGGTTGAGTGTTAGGTACATAACAGGGGCCGAAGAGGAGCAACATGACGCGTATTACAACCCGCCTTCGTAGATGTGTACCTACAAGATTTAAATGCACGACATAATCGGATTGGCAAAGACCAGTCCCGGATTAGTATTATTTATATTGCCTATCAAAGATGGAAATAGATGAACGCTAGATCTAACACTTGTTCCAAGGTTGGAGAGCAAAACAACACATCATTTAGTGAAAATGAAGATCACGTGCCGACGCGCCGAGTCACGATCAAGATAACGATAGCGATAGCGATAAGAAAAGTATCTCCACAATTCACGACTCGTTCCTCCCATCAACACGGCCATCTCACCACGGGTAACACAATGCGTTTCAAAGCCCAACTAAAGAATACAAGCGTCTTCTACAGTACGTAAATCCCTCCAAAACTATAGTCCAGAACTAACAAAGATAGAATTAACCGCCTCTCTATCATCTCTCGGCAAGATATGTTGGATGCGCCTAGAACACGATGTGGTGCGCTTCACCATCATCCCAGAGCAAGGCACCCAAGTATGGTCTCAGATCCCGGTCGTACGTGTCTAACCCAATTTAATTCAACCCGTCAACATCTGAACCAATTCTTACGCTAACATTTCCAGGAAACCATCTTCGATGAAGAGTCCTACGCATTACAATCCAACTCCGATGGCATCAACATCGAAGTCAACATAAGTATACTAAACCGTGCTCTCCGCTCTGCCATGGGTGCGACCGGCGCTCAATTACGTCTCACAAAAAAAGACAAATATCCCCTCCTAGCTCTAACAGTTCTATCAACCGAGTGGACGGAGGGCAACATTGCTCTCGCGGCAGACAAATCAGTCCAACCAGACTCAGCAGCAACAGGGGAGATGATGGGGGGTCGAAGAGCCCGCGAACGCGAAACACGGATCACGCAGGAGATTCCTATTAAAATTTTGCACGAGGGAACAGTGGAAGATCTTCATGAGCCGCATTGTCCTGACCCGGACGTGCATATTATTCTTCCTGGGCTTGCGCAGCTGAAAAGTATTTCGGATCGGTTTACTAAGATCGCTGCTTTGGATGCGAAGAGTACACAGATGGGGATTGTGGCGGCAGATGCGGCTTCGACTGCTACGGCATCTGCGGCTGCGGCGCTTTCTGCGAATAATGCGCCGAAGTTGGAGCTGAGTGCCAATATGCATGGGAAGTTGCGCTTGTCTATCTCTACGGATGATTTGAAAATTGCGAGTTCTTGGTCTGGGCTTGTTAATCCGCCTTTGGATCCGGCTCATATCAACAGCGAGGAGTATTCGCAATTACCGAGTGAACGGATGAGGGAGGTGGGTGATGATGATGAGTCGGGGTGGGCGAGGGTGCGGATTGATGCGAAGGATTGGGGTCGAGTGTTGAGTGTTGGGAGATTGAGTCCTAAGGTGGTTGCTTGTGAGTTTGCTTTCTCGATACCCATGGGAGTATGGCCGGTTGCTCATCGTGATAAATCAGGCTTCATTAACGACATGGCGCTGGTTCTTTATGTCTACCTGCCCGGTAGCTGGAACGGCGAAGAATCCTGCCTGACTGTGAGTACATGTTGGCCAATCAAGATGAATGCATTGATAATCTGACTGGAGCTAGTACTATATCAATTCTTTTACGACATGATGTCACACGAAACTGCTACGCGTGATGATAAACAATGAATGTCCAGCTAAAAGCCGCGGTAATAATACCAAAATTCGTTATTAAGACAGGGGCATGAACATAAGTCGTCATGCGAAAAGTAACCTTCAGCTTGAAGGTATGAAGAGAAACAGGGGTCATCCGATGTATACCGAAGCATACCTGCAGGAAAAGTGATATACATGATGCAAGGGAAATCGTCCCCCTCGCTTCGCAGACGAAGAAATAGGCAGCAAAGAACAAAAAGCAAGCTATGTGCAGGGCTTTGTGATAATAATTCGGTCTGCAGGAAACTCCGGGGAATGAATGATCTGCTCAGTCTTCTTCAAGACGAGCAAAACAAAACACATGCAAGATGCTGAGGCGAGGAATGAATCTGAGTCACGGGGAATCTATTATAAGGGTAGGGGCATGGAGTTGGGAAAAACGAAAATTAAGAAAAGGCATGAGGCATAATAAAACAAATGAAAGGAACAAAAAAAAAATCCAACCAGACATTGCCGGATTGGATACCGATACGGTTCAATGACCATTAGGTTATTGAGCCATGACATCAACGTAGCGACCCTTCTTTCTGCCTCGGACGGTGGTGGCCCCCTTGCGAGCTGTGGGAGCACTCAAAAGATCATCGATAGATTGGGCATGGCTGAGGGAAGAAGTAGGTCTAGGCGGAGTGGACGCCATGGCCCCGCCAGTAGAAACAGATCGTGGCATTGGCGGAGGGACAGCGAGTCCGGGGAAAGCAGGACTAGACGACAGATTCGCTGCATCACTCGACGACGATTGGGGTCGACTGCCAGACGCGGCGGACAATGGAGCGGGGGGAGGCGGCATACTACCAGAGCTGGCCCGGCTAGGGGGCGCAGAGCTTCGTGGAGGCGGTGGTGTAGCACGGACGGCAGCACTTGAACTGGGATCCTTCTTGTTGACCCATTTTTTGAGGTCATTATCGTAGTAGAAGGAACTCTCCTCGCCTAGCTTGGCTCTGATAGGACCACCGCCTGAATTGTCGGCGTCCTTTTTGGCAGCTCCCCCGAACCATCCACCAAACCAGCCCTTCTTTTGAGCTTGCTGTTCACCGCGTTTGGCTGTAGACAATGTTAGAAGTAGAAACTAGTGAAATGAGGGAACACCACTTACCATCTTCTTCGGCCGCCTTTCGGAATGCTTCGTCTGCCTTGCGATCATTCTCTTCCTTTTGCGATAGTTTCAGGTTTGCTACTCGAGCAGCGAGATCATCATCATCGTCGCCGTCCATGAATGACTTTTTAGGCTTTGACTCCTCTTCCTCCTGGGGTTCAATTTCCTCAGGAGCGAGGTTCATGACTGGAGCGTAAGAAGGAGGCTCATATGAATTAGGAGCGGCTGGGGGCATATAGCCAGAGTTTTCAGCTTGCGGCATGCCAGGTGGGCCTTGGTAATACGGCGACTGACTGTCAGAGCCGTTTTCCTGTCCAGGTGGTTGGTAAAATAGACCATTCACTGGAGGCTGGGTGGCATCAGCCGGTGATTGCGTGGCATCCTCCTTTACCGGAGCCAGAGGCACATAAGACTGCTGAGGCGGCGTGGGCTGGTATGCAACATTGCCTGGAGATCCATACATTGGTGCTCCCGGGAACGTCGAGTCCACTGGGGTTTCGGGTTCCTGCGAGAGTCTACGCTGTCCAAAGGAAAAGCCACCAGACACGGACCGCTGGGAATCCATCGAGGACCGACCACGTAACTGTTCCGGCGAACCATTGGCTGCGTACTGGTTGGATGGAAGATATCTTGAGGAACCAGCGGCCGGCATTGCGGCGGGCGGGATTTGCTGCGTCCCTGGTCCAGGGTAGGAGCCGTATAGATCCGATACAGATGGTGATCGGCTCACAGTAGGTGTCCCGGCCACGTTGGCAAACGGTCCAAAGTCTGAAACCTCGCCTGCCTTGCCAGAGCCTGTTGAAGCTGCATCATTGTCATCACCAACAACGAAGCTATTGAAGCGAGCCCACATTGACCCAGACACCTTTTCCATACTGGGCTTTGAGATCCAAGATGAAGCTCCATCACTGGCAGCTTGACGAAGGCGCGCCGATAGCTCATCAATTTCCGTAAACAACTGCTGATGATGATAAGGAGAGGGGCGAGTGGTTGCTTTGAGAGATGTAGCAAATGCGTCACAATAGTTCTGCGCCTCTGTCTTGCGTCCACGATCAGCGAGATACTTGGCATGCATAAGCTTGAAGGCTAGCAGGTGCGGCAAATTGGCTACTGGGGAGTTGCCCAGGACAGATGTAGCAAACTCATAGACCTCAGTTAAGAGGATAGAATCATCATCCAACAAGGAACAAGGGAGGCGCTGGTGATCAGCACCAAGAAGTACAATGTTGGCCTGTGGATCATCGGCGCCACCGAAGACAGCACCGCGAGAGAAAATGAAGCAAATGTGGGCAGCCTCCGTACGGCCGTAAGAGGCCAACAGGTTGCCAAGAGCCAGCAAAGCTTGGTGATCTTCGGGGCTGCGGTTACTCAATACCAAGCCAAGAGTATCCCTCCAGCTCTCGAGCCCATCAAGTGCGTTCCTAGAGGCACCCTGACCACCTGCTTTGCTGATCAAATGATGACCAGCCCGGGCAGATGGTGGAACAAGCTCGTCAATGCTCTCCTCAACATTCCCGGCAAATATTTCATAAAGAGCTGCGATCGACTCTGTTTTGCCTCCGCTAGATCGAACTTCACGTCGGACAAATTCTTGAACTACCTGCTTCCAAATATTTTTCTCCATAGTAGAAGCAATCACCATTGCGTGGCCCCAAAGGCGCCGATCGACGGCAGCCCAAACAGCCTTCTCTCGCTCACCAAGCAGTAAGTGGTTGCGGAGTTCCTCGCTCCACCGGGCATCGACAGCATCTGGCTGAGATGGAAGGTCAAATGCTTCAGAACCACCCTGCGCCGGAAAGTAAGAATCTGCGGTTTGAGAATCCGCAAGATTCGGGAAAACGGCCTGGCGTAGGGATTTCTGAAATTCAGGTGATCCTTCAAAAGTACCATCATTTTCAACCAAGATCTTTGCGACCTTCCAGAGCAAAATCTTCTCCTCGTGGCGCTTCTGGATATCAGGCTGCTGTGGGCTGAACCCGGGTGTTTCCTCGTTTTCAAAAGCCGCAATTTTGCTAGAGAGCCATGCCAAGACATCTTTCTTCTTGGACTTGGCCTTGAGAGGACCAGGATGCGGCACAATGGTTTCGCCAGTCGGTAGCCATGCATCAATCTGAGAATGCTTAGGTTCACCAAGCGTAGGCTTTATCATAGGTGTTGTTACACCAGCAGAATAACGAGGGATATGCTTGGGAAAACATGACACCACAGCTCCGCCAAATCCAAACTTGAATATGGGAGCACCCTTCCAACGTTGCAAAGGATCTTGCTCTTGACCATCAGTAGGAACAATGAAAGCAAGCTGCTGAGAAGCTCGAGAAACAGCCCGAGCACGACTTGCGGCCGCTTGCTGAGGTGCATACGGGTTCGCAATCTTGGTCGGCGAGCTCGACCCGTGTACCGAAGCTGGACGGGGTAAAGTGTCAATGGGCGGTACATATGCTCGCGGGCTGGTCAACTGCTGGCCAGGTGACTGAGTTTGAGACCTGCGAGGAGAAACAACTCCGGGCTCGTTTGCTTGGGCATAAGGCTGAGCATCGGCGACGGCAGGATTAGGAGCGTAGGTGTTGTTGGGTGCCATACGTTGAGTAAATTGATTCATGTACTCCTGAGGTGCATAACGGCCCTTCTGTTGCGAACCACCAGGCGGACTTCCAGCTACCTGGCTTGCAGCATCGGCAGAGCCATTGGGCAACTGCGGAGCATAAGGCGACCCTTGATCGACACTTTGGCGCTGACGAGGCGGAGACAGATCAACAGAAGGCTGAAGGGATGGGGGTTGAAGCGGCGGCGGCGGAGGCTGCTGCTGAGCACCATCGGGTTGATACGAAACTTTTTCGTGGTATGCCAGAGGGCTTGATGTACGGGGTTGGAAAGGCAGGTTGGTACCTTGACCAGGAACATCAAGCGGCTGAGAGGCATAACGGTTGCGACCAGCGGACAAAGGCGGAGGCGCAGGCGAGTATCTTGGTCCCGAAGAAGATTTCCCTGAAGGTTGCAGAGTAGGAGGCATAGGAGAATACCTTGAGGTGGCAGGAGGACCAGCAGGCGCACTCGAGGCTAATGCTCCAACGGGGCCATACGGATCCAAGAGCTCTGGCGGCTGGAGCGAAGACTGGAGAGGAAGGGCGCCAGTGGAAGCCCCTGGAGGAGCAGGCGCTGGACCTGGTAGGGGTGCATATGGGCTTTGCGACGTCGCACCGACTGATGTACCAGCCAACGCGGGACCGGAAGGTCCTGGAGTATACCGCCCTGAGCTGGCAGGCCTAGAACGTGGGGGAGGCAATGGAAGCTCCTCAAAGAAGTTCTTCGGTGCGGGCGGAGGAGCGGCTGCCGCAGGGCCCACAGGAGGCGTGGACGCAGGAGGAGCAGCATATGGGGTAGAGCTTTGCATCATGTTACTCCCTGGAGGTGGTGGCGGCGGCATGCTGTTGTCCACCTTCGGAGGGGTAGGCTTATGAGTGAGAACAGACCGTCGAGGCCGAGACAAGTCATCGGGAAGATCGTAAGGAGACTTGTAGCCTTCTTTTGACCGCTCAGCGAAACTTTCTCCTCTGCTAGTGACTGGATTTGGCGGCTGCTGGGTATAGTACGGTGGAATGCTGGTATTCGTGGGCGGTGCTCCTGGGAAATCCATACCTCCCACCAAATCCGCCGTAGATGGTTGATGAGGCGCATATATACCAGGAATGGGCCTAGGCGGAGTTTGCCGCTGTTGGGGTGTCTCGAAAGGACTATTCAAGCCAATAACCGCTGGGCTCTGGGGTTCATGATGGGCTGGCTCCGGGAGATCATCTTCCATGTCATCTTCCAGATCCAATGCGGCTTCCCAGCGAGCTGCAAGGTCATCTTCCTCTGCATCGCTTAACTCTGCCTCCCATCGTGCAGCAAGATCTTCCTCAGATGGTACAGGCACGCTGGGCTGTGTTTGAGGTTTCTGCGGCTCAGAGGTCGCGGCCTTGATAACATCTTCGAATTGGGCCGCTGCCGAGATATCACTTGTCGGGGAATTAATATCGAATCCAACCGATTCCATCACCTGGTCTGTGCTCTTGCGAGTAAGGTGGAACGGCTCTTCAATGGCCTCCGACGGTTTGGCGGAGCTAAAGAAACCCTCTGCATCATCATTGTCATTGACAAAAGGATCGTTTGCCACAGTATCGTTGCGCACTGCATGTTCTGGGGTAGCTGCTGGACTGTCTTCCTCTAATAAGGGAACGCCCTCTTCAAATCTCGACTCCGCTTCTGGTGCGAAAATCGGTTTGGTCTGGGTTTTGAGTTGGTTGAAAAAATCATCACCATCGGAATCCAATTCTCCGTCGGCTTGATTTCCCCAAACACCACTGCCATCTGCACTTGCATCCTCAACAGGTACATCGAAGTTCATTTGCATAGAAGCAGTCGACTGTACTGGCTCATCGAAGATGGTTTGATCTGCGAGTTGATTGTCCTCATGCGGGGGCGCTTCCTGCTCCGTAGAGGACGCTCCGGTCCATGAATCTACGGGGAGGGTTTGTGTAGCCTGTTGAGAGACTTCGCTAGGCGAAGTCCTCTCCCTAGCAAAATCAGCCTCCGGTGAGATAGGCGTTAAATCAGCATTTGCAGACAGCAGAGCGGAAAAATCGTCTGGCCCTTCGCTGGACTCGAACACTGCGGTGACGGACGAAGATTCCGTTGGAGTTGTCTTGGATTCCAGGGGTTCAGCCGACGTTTCTTCGGCTGTTTGAGATCCTACTGGATGAGCTTCCGCTAGTATATCTTCAATAGGTGCAACTTCGCTGGCGGCTTCCGCTTCAGGGACTTGTGATTGACCTAGAGGTTCCTCCACAATCGGATCTTTTGCCAGTAACTCCGAGAAGTCCACTGAATCATCGTTCTGCGCAAAGATCGCATCAGACCCACCGCTCTCGATTTGCGGGACTTCAGTGGCTATGGGGGGGTTCGGGCTCGTTAGGCTCGGATTGCGCGGTGGCTATATGGTCGATGGGGGATTCAAGAGGGCCTTCCCGGATGGAAGTTGCGCCAGATTCATCTGCGTGATCAGGAATTGCCGGACTGACATCGCTCTGACCATGGTCTGCGGTGTCATCAAGGCTCGGGGGCACATCCGACAGAACGGAATCCAAGGATGTAAGCTCTGGTTGAGCAGCTGGCGTGTCCTCAGGCATATCCCACGCAGAATAGTCGTCATCACTGAGCGGCGATTTCACGTTAGATTGAAGAGGTTCTTGCGCGTTATCTGCGACCACGGTGTTGGATGAAGCAGCTTCGGTTGCAGTCGCGGTAGGCCCGTGTAGGCCACCTTCCGGTAGCGATGCTGGATTCCATGCATCGGCGCCTTCGCCAGGTGATGATATTTGCGCCATGATTTGCGTATCAGGCCCTTGGATTTTGGCTCGAGTCGGGGAGGTCGGAGGTTACCTGACACGTCTCTCCAATGACGTTCAGGGTCAACAATCCCAAGTAAAAAAGATATCAAACTCAAGAATCCATTAAACGGCGTAACGAAAGCGTGAAAGAGAAAAACAGGATATTAAATTAGAAAAGAAATAAACCATGAATGCATCGAGTCGCCGGACAGCCAAGAAATGAACAAGGGTGAATGTCCCGAAATCGCGACGCCCCAGACTGACTTGCTCTCTGTTATTGGCCCCATTTGGGGGCCTGACTCAGCATCGCTATAAATGGTGAAGGACAAACATTCTTCCGAATTGAACACCGTTGCAGTGCACCACGTGACAGAGATTTATGCATGATGAGATAAGCATATGACATAACCTCCCTCTTGTGCAGTCAGGTGATGCTGCAGCATCGCTGGCGTCAGGCAGTCGCGGTGCTTAAATTATTTCCCACGATTCATAGGCATATTATTTACCATTGAGGCCCTCGCGCATAATTCACTCACTCTCAATTTTCCTATCGGGACTTATTGTCCAGGGCTTCCCTCGAACCCCTTGAACTTTCATTCCGTCCCCACTATGCTGCCGCGTCACTTCAATGCCGTTTGAACCGCCGATCTCAAATCCTCTATTTGCCGCCACGCCGTGCCTCAAATCTCAGCTCATGAGCAGCTTACTGTGAGGCTCGAAGGGCATCACGATAAAGATGCCTTCTTCTCCAGACTACCTTCATCCCTTGCGAACAGACGACCCCGATGACTTCTCCGGATCCGATGACGACTTGGACCTCGAGGAGCTTGACCCCAACACTGCGCCACCACAAGCAAGTCGAGTTTCTCGAGACTACGCGAGTCGCTCACGAAACTATGGACCAGGAATAGCGCTAAGGAATTTGCGAGTGGGCGTGGGTAGTCCTTGGCGGCGAAGTGCGTCTGGCCGTGGGGACCTGGAGGAAGACACAGATGCGCTGCTGGAAGAACATGGTGAGGATGGGATTCGCCAGTCAAATGGGAGCTCTCGAAACTTGACGGATGCCGACGCGCCGCTGCTGGATCGGCGGGGCTCCATCCGTATGTTCAATGACGAGGAACAATCTAAAAGGAGTCGGCTACGGTTGCCTCATCTCAAAGGCCTGGGATTCCTACAGAATATTTCAGATCGACTACGGGGAAACAATACGGAGAACGAAAATGCGCCCCCCGTGGAGTCCTTGTCGGCCAGCACCAGTCTACCAAATACCCACCTAACATCGTCTCCAACGCCAAGTACACACCCTGGAGCTTTCTGCCGCGGACCCTGTACAACGAATTCTCCTTTTTCTTTAACATATACTTCCTTCTTGTGGCACTTTCCCAAGTTCTTCCCATGCTCCGAATCGGCTATATGTCTTCATATATCGCACCTCTCGCCTTTGTGGTTTCTATCTCGCTAGGCAAGGAAGCACTGGATGACATTGGGCGACGACGGCGGGATGCTGAAGCAAATGCAGAAGAGTTCACAGTGGTGTCTCTCGAAAGAAATGCCATCGACGTTATTAAGAAATCGCGAGACTTGAAAGTAGGAGACGTTCTCAAGGTTCGAAAAAACCAACGCCTGCCTGCGGACGTGGTGATCCTCAAGAGCGTTTCAAATGACTCTGGCCCGTCTCGCCAACATTCATTAGAGGTACCTGCTCCTGGAGCATCTGCAGATCTACTTGACGCGGACAACGAGGCCTCGGGGCCGGCTGCGGATGCTACATCCAATCCGATTGAGGTTTCGCCTGCCAGTGATACATTCATCCGTACCGACCAGCTAGACGGTGAAACTGATTGGAAATTGCGCGTCCCTTCCGCATTGTCACAATCGCTCTCCTTCAACAACTTCAATCGCCTGAAGATTATTGCAAGTCCTCCAGACCAGAGAGTCAACGAATTTGTGGGCACGATTGAAATTGGACCCCCAACTGGCTTTTACGACGCACATGTGGACAAAACATCCAGCCAATTGCAGAATGGTCCATCCCAAGTTGACGATAGCCAGAGTTCTAACTCAGCACCCTTGAGTATCGACAACACTGCGTGGGCTAACACTGTCCTTGCATCTAACACCATCACATATGCTGCTATCATCTACACCGGTTCTCAAACGCGAGCCGCTCTTTCCACTTCCCCTTCGCGGTCCAAGGTGGGCCTATTGGAGTATGAGATTAACAATCTCACCAAGATTCTGTGTATTCTCACTCTTGCCCTCTCTATCATTTTGGTAGCGTTTGAAGGTTTTGAGCCAACCAATGACAAGGTGTGGTATGTTGCCATTATGATTTACCTGATTCTATTCTCAACTATCATCCCGATGAGTCTCCGAGTCAATCTGGACATGGCCAAATCTGTCTATGGGCGGTTCATAGAGCGTGACAAGGATATTCCAGGGACCGTTGTTCGGACTAGTACAATTCCGGAGGATCTGGGGAGAATTGAATATTTGCTCTCTGACAAAACCGGGACTTTGACCCAGAATGGTGAGTACCACAATTTTCTCACATAATCAACAACTACTGACTATCAACGCAGAGATGGAATTGAAGAAAATTCACGTTGGCACTGTTTCATATGCTAACGAGGCAATGGATGAGGTTGCATCTTTTATTCGCCAAGGCTTTGCTGGCAACGCTTTGACGACTCCTTCAACTGTGTTCGGAACCCAGGCTGGCCAAGGAGCTGCACCTCGGACACGACGAGAAATTGGTTCTCGAGTCCGAGATCTCATTCTGGCTCTTGCTCTCTGTCACAACGTCACGCCTACTACCGAGGAAGAGGATGGTCAAAAGGTTACCAACTATCAGGCGTCATCGCCGGATGAAATTGCAATTGTCCGATACACCGAAGAGGTTGGCCTGAAGCTGTCTTATCGGGATCGACAAAACATTGTTCTCGAATCCACTGACTCTAAGCAAGTGGTGGTTCGTGTTCGCATACTGGACATCTTCCCTTTCACATCTGATAGCAAACGAATGGGCATCATTGTGCAGTTTGAGCAGGAGGAAAATGTTACTGAAGCGGAGAGCAACTTTGAACCCGAAATCTGGTTTTACCAGAAAGGTGCAGACACTGTCATGTCATCAATTGTTGCGACCAATGACTGGCTTGATGAGGAGACTGCCAACATGGCGCGCGAGGGTCTACGAACTCTGGTTGTCGGACGCAAGCGGCTTTCGCTACAACAGTACCATGGATTTTCCGCCAAGTATAAACAGGCATCTCTGTCCTTCCAAGATCGTGACGCTGGCTTGGCCAAGGTTGTCGGTGAATACCTGGAACGTGACCTAGAACTCCTTGGTGTGACTGGTGTCGAAGATCGCCTGCAACGTGATGTCAAGTCTTCCTTGGAACTGATGCGCAATGCAGGCATAAAGATTTGGATGTTGACAGGCGACAAGGTTGAGACAGCGCGATGTGTTGCCATTTCTGCCAAGTTGGTATCCCGTGGTCAGTACATTCACACTGTTTCGAAGGTGACAGATAAATCTGCCGCCCAAGAAGCACTTGATTTCTTACGCAACAAAACGGACTGTTGTTTGCTGATCGACGGTGAATCCTTGACGTTGATGCTTGGTCCTTTCCGCACTGCATTCATATCTGTAGCAGTTCTTCTTCCTGCAGTAATTGCATGCCGATGCTCACCGACACAGAAAGCCGAGGTCGCCAACTTGATCCGTCAGCATACCAAGAAGCGCGTATGCTGTATTGGCGACGGAGGCAACGATGTATCCATGATCCAAGCTGCCGATGTTGGAATTGGTATTGTGGGTAAAGAAGGTCGTCAAGCCTCTTTGGCTGCCGACTTCAGTATTACACAGTTCCATCATCTGACCAAGCTACTAGTCTGGCATGGCCGGAATTCGTACAAGCGGTCTGCCAAATTAGCACAATTCATCATGCATCGTGGTTTGATCATCAGTGTATGTCAAACAATGTATAGCATTGCTGGACATTTCGATCCCAAGGGTCTTTTCATCAATTGGCTTATGATCGGCTATGCCACTGTCTACACTAACGCACCGGTTTTCTCGCTTGTTTTCGACCGAGACGTGGATGAGCGGCTTGCCAATCTTTACCCAGAGCTATACAAGGAGCTGAAGACTGGCAAGAGCTTAAGCTATCGTTCGTTTTTTACCTGGGTTCTTATCTCGGTTTATCAGGGAGCGGTCATTCAAGGCCTGTCCCAGATCTTACTGGACACCATCACAGGCCCCCGTCTGATTAGTGTCTCCTTTACGGCCTTGGTCCTTAATGAACTGGGTATGGTCGCCATTGCCATCACCACTTGGCACCCAATCATGATCATCTCCTTACTGGGAACGCTGCTCCTGTACGCAGGTAGCGTTCCTTTCCTTGGGGACTATTTCAATCTCAGCTATGTCATTACTCTCGACTGGCTCTGGCGTGTCGTTGCCGTGCTAGCCGTTTCATTGGTACCTGTATGGGCTGGCAAACTCATCAAGCAGTCCGTGAAACCCCCTAGCTACCGCAAGGTACGTGGCTGATCTAGTTTGGAAGGATCAATGGTTTCATTTTGGCATTTTCTTCTTTTCTCCCCATTTTCCTCATACCTACCTCTCATATGATCATGGTAGAAATACCTGACGATCCTGTATATCTACTCTAAGCGTATTTTGCAAAGCGCATCAGGCGTTAGAACTTGAAACTTTTATTCTCATCTTGGAAAGATACCTGGTCTCCCCGAAGTCATTCATATATAGAAATTTCCATTCTGAAAAGGTCACTGTAATTCGCTACCGCACTCTGGACTTTCTTAATACAGCGTGGTTGGTCTTCAGCGCACACCTCTCTAAATCCTCAACCCTAACTCTTGTGGGAGAGGGAAATGCTTGCAAGGAGGCTTCTTTCCCTATCAGCCGCTTCACCTGGATAACTTGAATTGGTACAACTCGCTGTTTCCAGAAATTGATAGGAGTGTCCTGCCTGGGAGGAAATGCTCTACGCCGTCCCTTTTCGAGATGTCCAAGGGCAGTTTCATTTCGAATCATTCCAGGTGGCCTTCTTAGCCGAAAATATTCTCTATATCTCAGCACCTGTCCAGATAACAGTTTATCATTACATACCCTGTTCTCGTTTGGTGCTTTGAAAACGACTCTGGCTTCACGGGTAGATCAATCAGGTCCTGAAGAAAGTTCAGAATATCTTCAATTTCGTCAAGACTGCCGTTATCTGTATTCGAGTCATCTTCGGATTCTTGTTTGTCTCTTTGTCCAGCTAAGGATTTATAAGCATCCCATCGAAGAATTTCACAGAGCTGCTGTTCAAAGGAGCCACCCACTCATCCTGACAAATGCCCCGACCAATTTTGCTTCATAATCTCAGCCCAGCCCCCTAGAAGTGTAAAAGCACCCGCAGCACAGCCATAACTCACTCCTGAAATGGGTCTTATCTCTGAACCTGGGACATGAGGACGAGCCAGATCATTGCTCTCTCACTACGCCATGCTAAGTTAAAGGGCTTGAACGGATGGCTGCGTTCATTTTACAAATATTATTTTAACAGACCCGTTCTCAAGAATTTGCTTTTTTCACCCTTGATGTGATCTGAAATAGCTCACGGGGCACGGAGAAGATTCCTCGGATTTTGTCTTTTCCACTGTCAAGTTCCCTATGAACCTTGACCAGAATAATCTGTATAGGCGACATTTTCCGTCCAAATTTGGCATGCATCTTCACGATAGTCATCTGTCTCCATACCCAAGTTCAGATCTTCGTCAGTAGCATCAAAAACAAAATTCGATGTTGATATGTTATACTCCTGCCACTCAAGTGACGGACTCCGATCTGTCTGTAACATTAGCCCCACCAGCTTTTCACTCATTATAACGGTCAAACCTTAAAATTGGACCTAAACAAACCTCCTGACTTGTTTGGGTCTCTTCTCGCTGCAAAAGCAATCCACCGTCCATTCATTTCCATCGACAGAGCCACATGCCCAGAAACATTCTTTACTGGTGGATAAAACCGAATGGGCGTAGTGAAGCCCCCGGGCAATCCCATCTCATACGCTAGCTCAGCTCCATGGTTTGCAAACCCAGGATCCAGGCCATAGAAATATTGGATCGGGATCCCGGTTGTGGCTGCTTTGAAGTGGAAGCTGTACGTCGGCAGACCGAGCCTAGACCATAGCTGGGCCATATACCTGCGAGGCGCGTGCGAAATGTAATCACCTAGCAGGGCCGCGGCACGGCGGTACTGAGAGCCGCAGGGAAGATTGGCGGCGCTCATAACTTCGCACCAGGCGAAGTCCGCTGGAAGGGAGTATGGTGGTGCTTCTCCTAGCCCGTCTTCCGGATAGAGATCTATGAGCTTCTCGATGGCCGAATCTTGCAGGAGAGGGAAAATCTTCTCCAGTAAGATCTTAGTCTCATTTGTTGAGTTGGGAAAGTATCCTGATGCCGTCACTCCAATCAGACCCTCGTCCGAATTACTACCCAAAAGGAGAGGCACACGAGCACACTTCCCATCACGAATTTCCCAAGCAGGAGGTCCCTGTAGAAAGTCACCGTCTATGACTGGACCCCATCCCACTTCCAAATTTCCTTCAAGAGGATACAGATTATACAACGAGGTCCCGCGAAGACAGTCAAGCTTGTCCTTCGCCATAGTACAATTAGCCCCTGCCACCAGCCTATCAAACCCAGCCTGCATCTTCTCCATTTCCGGCAAAGCAGCCCCTGTAGCGAAATCACTGACTGCAATGGCGCCACTGAAAAGCTCAGTGCCACCATGGCCCCCATAGGCAATAAGTTGCTGTACAACACTAACTCCGCCTGCAGACTCGCCCCAGATTGTCACTCGGGACGGATCACCATCAAATGCAAATATATTCTCCTGGATCCAAGCCAGGGCCATTCGCTGGTCTTTAAGTCCCAGGTTAGTCACCCCGGCATCTAAAGCCTCCTGTCCCCCTGGAAATCCGAGAAAGGAAAGACGGTAATTGATCCCCACAGCTATAACGGGCTGTTCTTCCTTAACAGATCGTTGCACAATATACGATAGATTCCACATTGGATCTGCAGAAGATCCCTGGTGCAGGCCTCCCCCGTACATCCAAAACAGAACAGGAAGGGGTTGGGCGTCATTTTTCACTGTTTCTTTGGAGGGTCGGATGATGTTCAGATTTAAACAGTCTTCACTTTGGGTCAGTCCTAAATTTCGTTGGAGCCGAACCCGTAGCATGTGTTTCCGTAGTGAGAAGCGTCAAACGGAGTGTCATCATTGTAGGTAACATTGATTGGCTTGGGATTGTCTAGTCGCGGGGCTTGGGCGTAAGGAACCCCAAGGAAGACATCCTGCTGGAAAGAGGGGAGTTGAGTGCCTTGGATGGTTCCATTGCGTGTATTAGCTGTGGGTAACTAGTGGTAGATCAGTGCTATAAGTAAAGACAATCGATGCCAAGATAAACAACCAAGTTAAAGTTCCGCATGACTTGTGATTATCAATTTATGATGTTTATCCTGTCACCGAGTGCAGAAAGACTCTCATCCTTCTTGAATATTGTATTCCTTGAAACAGAAAAGTTCAATTTATTGAAGTATGCAAGGGGTGGCTTCGCAATGCCATATATTTGCCATGTATGTCTCACGCGCAACAATCGTGCATACCATCGGCTTAGATCTGGCTGTGAACCTTCCTTCATTCGCCCCCACCCCTCTTCCCCCACAAGGGTTATTATGGGCCAATTTTAAATATTGCGGTAACCCTGTACAAGTAATTGCACTGCATTATGCTAGAGGCCGTTCGACCCGGAATGTTCCTTATGCTTTATTACGAAACTTGAAATGCATTTGGGTTAAATAGTTATGACTGTAGGGTTTCCCATAAGCCTGGACCAAAATCTCAAAGCAGACCATCCCCTAATGTTAAGACGTTCCCTTCCTCAAGATAGATTTCCTACCAATCTGAGAGGAGGCAAAGAATAGCAGTCACCCGCTCAAAATTACTGTCCTATATTAGCATTTATTACCTAACAAACTTAGATCAGATACTTACAACGGCCCGTGTAGCCCTCCATACCACTAGGATAACGCACAATTGCGCGAATACGCGGACTATTGTAAGCTGAGGTGGAATCCCGACTTTCTCAAGGCTTTCCGGATGCAATACTTGGTTTATAGTCGCTGGTAATGTCGGCACCAGCAGCGCAAGATTCGACCATTGTGCAACATTCCGTAGCCTTGGAATGAACAGAGCAACTGCGCCTGATATTTGAATAATGCCGGTGACAACGTTTATTGTTCTAGCATATTCTGCAAGTGATTTCGGAACGAGCTGGTTAAAGAATTCCCGATGGGCAAAGTGCACAATGCCTGCACCGGCGAATCCTAGACCAAGCACAGTGCGAGTGTTGCGGATGGGGTCAAATTCAGTTGTCATGACTTCCTGCAGTTGATCGTAGACTCTTTGTTTGCAAATAAACGGCAAGAGTGTGGTGTAGACTAGATCTTGATTTCAAATGAGAGTCCAGAGTAAACATAATGAAAACAAGGGGAATGTACAGGATTAAGGTTAGAGTTGATAATTCGAGTCGCATGACGTTGACTAGTCTGCGGAACTCCGCAACGGATACGGGATCACACTCCCGATTTCGAGATCACGCTCTCGATTCAACCGCAAATCATTTAGCATGATCAATACGATCAGTAGCCTGGCCTCTTTGAACCGATGTTGTAGTTCAAATTTCAGGGCTACAATATACCGTCCAAGAAATGGTAGGCAATACTCATGTGAGATATATTTTCAGAATGATGTTGCAGTGGCAGCAGATGCAGCTTTGTTGAATTTACTTATAGCTGCCTAGGTAGGTATTAGGTAAGGTATACATAAAAGAGCTGGCATCACTTCTGCTGACATAGTTCATCTGTTGAAAGTGAATCCTCTCATGATCTTCAAAATGTTAGATCATCCTCTGCTCCGGGCCTTTCAACAGTGCCCTCCCAAAATCCATATTCAACTTCAGGATTTCCGCGACCCCTGAGCTTTCATGCAATGCTATCCGTCTCATCATATGGGTCGTTTGGATCGTAAGGGAACTTTCTCACCACAACATCTCCGACGTAGTCCCACAAGCTAAATTCTGCTGGCTTAAAATCCAATTCGCATTTATCATCGTGCTGTCCAAAAGTGTGTACTGCTGATACGTTGCCATCATCATAATCAATCCTGACCATGTTGACTGTTTCCCGACTTGGATCACCAAGTAAGTAATTCAGCGGCATAAAGTGCACGCCCGAATGAGCGGTTGTAAATACGGTGTTGGGCAGGTCGCCCGTGTGCGGGACATGGTGCATGCCAAGATTCAACCAGACAACCAGATCTTTCTGCACGAGATCCTCACCATTAAAAAACTCGTCGAAATTTATCGGTGGATTCTCCACATCTTGACTATTCTTGGGATGGGCGGATCGCGGCTCTGTGTCGTGATGCTGAGTAACTTGAATGTCGTGGCCAGCCCACTGCCCGGCGTTGCGAAGATTGGTCGAGTTTTCAACCGTGAGGTGAATAGTTCCTGTTGATGGTAGGATACGATATCCCCTATACTCGCCATAGGGGGTCGTCTCATCCATGTTAATCACCTTCACTTGGGTGGCAGAGTTGACAGCCCAGTTGAATCGGCTCTCGTCCTCGCTCTTGACATGGGAACGCGTGAGTTTCATGGTGTTGCGAGGGGTGTTGGACCACGCAAAGCTTTGAGTAGTGGGTACTTGATGAACCAGTTCCATGGTATTGTTAACTCCCAAAATATCGAAATCAGCCTTGAAGTTTAGAACGTGGTCATGCATAGACCCAGAGAGAGCCTCGTGCACTTTGTAACCAAAATCTTCGTTATGGGCATAATAGGCTGACTGAATGTATCCAGAGGCCCTTACTTCGACACCGATGGATCCATCCATGTAGAAAGAGTAGCTTAGAAAAAAGAATGTTGGTCAGATTCCATTAAGTCGTATGCTATTCAAGAGCGAAGTCACAGCTCACCTGAACATATAGTCATAGTTTCCGACAGTGGACACTGAGCGGACGGTAAAGTAGATATTCTTGGTGACGGAAACATAATTGGAGCTACTGTGCCGCTGCATGGGATAATCTGCGTCATATTCAAACAAACAGATGCTGTTGATATGTGTGTGTGTAGATTCATCTTCGTAGAAAGAGCTGTTGAGATAGGTCGCGTACGCTGGACAGTCGTATCCCGCTGCTAGCTCAAACGCATATGGCCCAAAACCGTAGTATGTATCAAGATACGAAGTCATTGATTGGACAGGGTCATTTCCTAATACGTGTTAGTGAAAAAAGAATGAAATGATATAAGCTAGTGCAAGAAAACTTACCCGCATAGTGGGCCATGGCTTCCTGCAAACCCAGTTCATAAAGTATTCGCTTACCCTTGTATCGTATGTCACGAAGGGCCATCCCAGTGTCGTGAGCAAAGCTAATGTAGAACGAAAAGTCCATCCATTCGACATATTTTTGATCGAAATCCACTCCGAATCGTGACCCTGAGGGTGAAACAGAAACTGGAGGATAAGATCGATCGTGCGGCAATTCTTTCCCCCGCTGGTCACTCTGTGCCCATTTGCCATCGTTGTTCTGTCCGAGTCTTTCAAAACCTGGACTGTAGAAAGCCATCCGGAATTCGTCAGTTGTTGCGTAGAAAATATTGTTGTATAGCCAGCCCAAAATCTTCCATTTCGAAGGATCTCGGCCAGTAACATCTGAGTGTACATATAGCCCTAAGGGAAGGAGTGTCGAGTCGTCAAAGTCACTGGTTGGGTCATTCCAGAATTGATCCCATCGTCTAATATGACCGTCTGACTGGTCTAAGGGGTCTATTCCCCATAGGCTGATGGTGTCATTGTCCAAGCCCATATATGTTGCATTCCAAAGCCCGAGAGTAATATCAGATATCGAGGCAGAGATCTTTTGCAGCCAATAACTGTAAAGAGTGCTAGAGTCCGCGTCGATGTTTCGGACTCTTCCTTGAGTTTTGCGGGTGTATGGATACTCAAGAGGCACCCACTTGGTGGTCCCATTCACAATTGGAAATGGACCGACTATAATATCGGCATAGTATGGCTCAACTGTGGCTCGATGATCAATTACCACATGAGCATACCGAGGAGGGGCTATGGCGCCATGATCGATAAAATCGAGCGAACTAGTTTTGTTCGGCTGCATGAGCTCAACAAGTTCACTGTGAATAGTTAGTTAGTCAATAACTGACATACTGAGGATTCAGGGTCTATAGATACATTGAATTGTCCCAGTCCCCTGCGGACGAAGTGGTGGTCAAATTCAAATCCGATTGACTAAACAACCATTTCAAAAGACTTGCAGCTTCAGAATCCGTGAGACCAGCCCAAATGTTCTCTCGTGGCGCATGAATTTTGGTAAAGTTTGATTCGATGCAAGATGTAACCTCAGAAGTTCTGCGAATCTGATTCAGATCACGGTTATCCAAAGTCCTATCCAAGCCGCGGAAAAGGTCGCGTCTGCTATCATGCTTCTGTTTAGGTGATGGCCTTCTGAGATCACCATGGAATCTCCCAGCAATTGGATTGACAAACAAGGCCAGTCCTAGTGCTATGGAAAAGTACCGAAAGTCAAAAAGCATAGTTAGTATCAGAGAATTGAATGTAGTATCTTTGCCTCTGACAAAAAACCCATTTTGTCCGTTCTTGTCTAGGGCTTTTATAGCCACTGAATTCATTGGCTTTCTCACAGTCGCATATCTACTTCCACCATTCTAGGTATGATGCTCAATCAACAAGGCTTCAAATGCCGATGCTTTCTCGCGATAATTGGTGGAGAGAACGGCCTGGCAAATGGCTATCAGAGTTGCAAGGACCCTTGACAGATACTTCCGCGTGGACCTTCTGTCGTCCAAGCTACCATTGTCGCGCAACAATAAACTGTCAGTTTGCGAATCGAGTATCTACCAATAGCGAGTCCGGTAGTTCTTTCCCATTGGATATCTTTTTAAGCGATGCCTTCCCCTCTCCCGGGATCTCCTCATCTCCACCCACTCAGATCCCGGGGTGTACCGGGTTCCGGGATCTTATCAGTTGCATGTTTATCTCTGATATTTTCACCAGTAAAATTCGCTTCTGCTCCGGCATATCAACCTTTAGTCTCCGCATCGACCTGCTATTTTTGGCAACGATCTTTTTACACATTGGACAGAGATAGCCTTGGATGCTATTGGCTCAAATATGAAGGATTATGCGACGGTTACCTATAGGACCTCTCTAGTAAAGTCCAAACGCAGTAGGTGTAGCCGCAAAGCCCTGAGAACCCATTCGAGTCCAATCGTAGCGATCTGGATAAGTTGCAAGAAATCTTAGTGATTCATCTATTCTGTCCAATCAAGACATCAAAATCAATAACTTATCATAGATCTTTAATTGCCGAGGAGGGGGATATAGCTTGGAGAAATTAAAAAAAAAAGAAACGCCATGGTTTGCACAAGGATTTTCAATCATATTCTTGGCATGCTTTCTTAGACGGGAGTTCCAAACTACCGCGAGTTTGGATTAATACTTGGCGACCAAGGATGGATATTGGGTGACTGAACACAGTGGTTTTTGTAAAGCACGAGGATGAAAAGTACCATTTCTACTGAGAAAAGTTAGGTCATTGGTGTCCAAGGGCAAGAGAGGTTTATGTCATGATAATAGTTTACTACGTGTAGTCAGTCATGATCAGCTAGCAACAAACGCTATTAAAGCAGCGAGACCTCAGCCACCATTTACTGGATTTAGATATTCTTCTATCAGCACTCAATTTGGGCACAGGTATGACTTTCTATAGGGTCTTCATTTTTTTCATACGCAGGTCTAGATGCAACAGTCTAATCACTGTTCCCTATATTCGCTAGAATACTGGAGCCAGCTATATGCCTATGCAAACGTTGCCTGAAAGAATAACAGTCAATGAGCCTTTAGTATCTACCACATGGCGCCAATATTCCACGTAGTCTAAACGCGAAAGCGCGTGGAGGGGGCTTGACCAAGTCATAGTCTTTCCGTAACACGAGAATAAAGATACAAATAATTAATACTTGTCACTTTTCATTTTTCCATGTTGTCTTTTCGCCATGGCCAAAAAAAAACATAGCCCTTCACTGGGCTGCTCCGCTAATTCTGCACCGGGTCTTGTCCTGATTTCCAGTCACTGCCTCCACGGGCAGAAAGATCTGAAGGTTGCGGGGTAGAACTCGGTAGCTTCAGTCTTAGCCCCCACGCGCTAGCGGAGTGACCGGTGCTGATAGGGACGAATAGTATTGGAAATTTGACCCCCATAACAGAAGAGCCCCTTTAAGATACTCATACAGGAGCCAAAAGAAGATCGGCTGTTGTCAGGGAATCTAAACTGGAATCACCTTTGCTACACATGTGATTCGCAGAGTAGCGGTAGTTGAAGTGACTGAGGCTTAAGCGGCTGAACCACATCGCATAATCATCTTAGCCAGCGCCCGAGCCTCTCCGAGCCCAATTTTGTAAATCTGACGTGTGTACTCCATCTGGACCTACAAACAGTCAGCATGATAGATGCAATACCTACTGCTCGGGTTTATATATAGCTGGCTTTCCCTGCCTCCCCTCTTCAGTCCCCTTTTCTCTTTGAGCGTTTGTTCATCGAATTGAGCCACCAATAGAAAGTATCTTTTGTCTCCCTCCATCATATAAATACATATCTTTATCTATGGCTTTTAGCGAAAGCAACTCCCATGAGTCCAGCCGTTGGGCTGACGGTCCATGGCCCCTGATTGAAACCCCCTCAAAAACACAAGACATTGTAGGGCCTCTTGGCTCCATAGCCTGTCTCTCTGTTATTGCTCATCTGCTAAACCCAACTGCAACAGTCTAAGCATGAGGCAATCTATATCGCTAATGAGATGGCCTTTGCGCATAATTCGATGCTTCGAGGTTTAAACTCACTCTACCTCCAGGCCGATCTATCCAACTCGAAAGACATCGAAGACTTCTTGTTCTTCCTCCGGAGCTGGGCTGGGTGGGTATCCCACCACCATGCCTTAGAGGAAGAGCGAATGTTTCCACAATTTGAGGAGGCGATGAAACAGCCCGGGTCCCTACAAGGGAATATTGAAGAGCATCACACTTTTCAACCGGCTCTAGAAAAGCTACTCGCGTACGGAGAGACTAGGCCTGAGGAATACCAAGCCTCGATTGTACGCAGCTTGATTGAGGAAATGGCTCCTAGCTTTCGTGAGCATCTAGCCCACGAAATAACCAGTCTATTATCTATGGCCTCCTTTGACGGCGCCCCTCTACTTAAAGTTTACAAAGAGTGCGAGGCCGAGGCAGGCAAACAAGACAAGGTAAAAGATTTCTGCTTCCTCTTCTTGCTTTTATTTCCCCTTTGGCTAGGTCCTAGTCCTCCATTTTCTCGTTCTTTTGAAACCGGATTTGAGTTTGTTAATGAATCAAAAATTTATGATCAGTTTGTGATCCCGCCAATGGTTCTTGGGCTCCGCGACATTACCTTCGAAGGGGGCAACCAATGGCCAACACTGTCACCGCAATCTAATGACATCGTTCATAATTTGTTCGCACGCAAACATGCCGATGCTTGGAGATTCCTGCCATCTGATACATGGGGCAACCCGCGCCCGTTGAAATTTGCGACCCCTTTAACTTAAAAAGAAATTCTGTGGCGCAAGAGTGAGAGAGACCAGAGACCTAGTTATTTGTCAATCACATCAGGGTTCAAAATGGATGTCTATAGTGCTGTAGTCGAGTAAAGCGATATAGATTATCTCAAAACCCGTACATACATGAATTATGATGATAAGTTTTGACCTGGCAGACCCACTCCGGGGTACGCCGAACATTCCAAGAGGCTTAGCTGTAATCTGGTAGCATGGGTGATGAAGGAAGTTGTATGGAACCCGGATCTGATTTGAGCACAATTGAGCTTCTAGGTTGGATTTTTGTCGAAGGCGACCCATTTGCTCCTGGAAAGCCACATGATTCGGGATTATGAAGCTTAACTCCGAATCTCCGTACAACATGATTTCTCACGGACCGGAACAGCATGACCAGATAACCATGGAGAAGACATTCTTTTTCGTCAGTGGAATCGCAAATGATGAGAAATCTAAGAAGCTCATGCGTCGTCATGTGATGAAGGGCAAAAATGCAGGAAAGAAAATCCTCCGTCGCTCAAGGCTGGATTTACAGGTCACTCAGGGTCAACCACACGTCTTTGAAGGGGTTTCACGTATATCCAGTGACCGAAAGCAGATTGAACCCATGAACTACGCAGAATGGAGATACCTGTCTCCTGATAAGATGTCGCTCGAGCTTGGAAATGTCTTCCACACTTTCTCCATTCCGGTGGAAGTCACGCCATACTCGCTCGGCATTATCAACAAATGTAAGACATTCAAACCAAACAGTTCTTTGAGTAATTTTTTAACAGTCTCCTAGTTCTGATGCATACCTCAGATAGGATTTACCCCGTTAAAATCGGGGTGTCATTACATGATGCTAAAGTAATATGGCTACGATATTTGTTTCAAAGTGAGGCCAGTGAGTTCACAGTTGCCCCGACAAGCGTTTTGGTTTTGTGGATTCCCTCTCAAAGTCTCTACAGCCTACCAATGCCAGCTTGCTCTGATGCAAGCAAGCAACGAGATATTTCACTGCCATGGTGAAAGCTCTCCAAAGGCGATGTATCATCTATCTCAGACATTTGCTCAAGTCAACAAGCGACTTCAAGGTGACGATGCCTTATCGGACTCTACAATAGCAATTGTCATGTCGCTCATAACCCAAGAGCAAATAAGACAGCAGCTTTCCGCGGCCACGGTTCATCTTAAGGGGCTTGAGAAGATGGTTGAGCTTCGTGGAGGACTGACTCAATTGGGACAAAATGTTCCACTAGTGTTGAAAATCTGCAAGTAAGTCAATTAATATTTCTCACCCGCCCACACAGCCTGCTGATATTATAGCGCTTGCCATGTAGGACCGACATACTTTTTGCTTTGCAAGAAGGAGGGTCAGCATCCTTTTTTCGCGACCAAATGGATGACGTTCGGAAGAGGCTGTTAGCGCAAAAGTTACGCCTGGATCGCCACTCCAGCATTTCATCTACTCGGCACGAGCATCTCAATCCATATCTTTGGGATATAAATCTGGACGCTATGGGCATCTCCTTACTATTCAATCAGCTTGGCAGCAAAACGGTTGATTACATGATTTTTCTGGAAGCTTTGGTATCTCTTTGCTACCGTCTATTGAAATTCCGCTCATTACGTGACGCCAGCACTTGGTTTGACAAGCAGTCCGCACATCATATTGGGCTGATTACATTTATGATGACACTGTTTCTGCAAAATGATCGTTACCGGTTGATAAACTACAGTTTGGTACCTGTTTGTCTGAAAAACGCCCTCCAGCATGAACGTCAGGAGCAAAATCTTGAATTTTCCTTCTGGCTTACGCTCATTGGTGGTATTTGGATCTCTGATGAGCCCGAAAATGAATGGATCGCTTCTGAACTACGGATGAGAGCTCAAAGGCTCAGCCTAGGCTCTTGGGAGGATGCCCGGAGATTTGCCCTCAAATATCCATGGATAAACGGTCTGCATGATGAGCCAGGTCGTATATTTTGGCAGCGAGCACACAAAATGTAGTGTAATATTTAGCTTATACTTGAGGCTTCAACATCGCAAATGTATACGACCGATAAATTGCAAAGTAATAATAATAAAGATCTTAAGGTCTTATTACTAGGTTTTCTAGGACTAAACCTTCTAGGACTAGACTAGACCTTCTAAAACTAGACCTTCTAGGGCTAGACCTTCTAGAACTAGATCGCCTAGAACTAGATCTTCTATTATAGAAAGAAGATTATATTATATAGACCTGGATATTAATAAGATATTAAGATAAAAAGCGTCTAAGATAAGAGGATTCTATCTTTATTATAGACTACTAAAACTTTTTTTGGCTAAAATAAAGTAAGCCTTATAATAGTTTATAGTAGTTTTTATTAAAGAGTTCTAAACTTCTTCTCTCTTTATTAAATTTCTCATTTAGAAGTAAATCTATAAGAACTAGATAAAGACTATATATTAATAAGAACTAGATAAAGAATATATACCAGATAAAGCCCTTAAAAGGAGATTTTCTATTAAATTCTATACAGTATAAATTAAATACCGTAAAAAAATAAGGGACTCTATATAAATAATACACTTCTAAAAAGGATAAGTATTTATACTATTTATAGTCCTGTGGGAATTCCCGTAGTCCCATCGTGGGCGGGATATACCCCCCTAGTCCCGCCTATAGGACAGGACTAAGTGCTTTTAACCACCACACCCCACTCCTATAGGAGTTCTATGGTCACTCCTATAGTAGGTAACCCACGGGCTTTGTCTAGGTCTAATTATATCCTTTATAAAAAAGTTTAGTATATATGATTAGCTCTACTATAACTTCTTACTCTACCTAAAAGCAATTATCACCTAAGTATGAAGCATTGTAGTGAATATCAGCACCGAGTTCGATTAAGTTTAGCACGGACGACACATTTATGAACGATTTTGCTTTTTTTATGGAGCCCGTGCTAAACCTCCATTTATACTAGAGATATTATATAGTAACTTACTTCCGGAAATCGGTGTCACTACCTACACTCTTTCATTATTTCCCGAATCCTAAGGCCAAGAAGTACTGGTAAACTACTTTTGGTAATATCCAAATAATATTACCTATATAGGCTTTATACCGTAAGTTACCGAATTATAGTATTAGCCAGGCCTACGTGTATTACTTGTCATAGCTAGACAGCTGCTACCACAGTGTCTCTCGGAACCATCGATAACTGCATGCAGCCGTAACGCAGATAGCCAATAAAGAAAGGAAGAGAAGTCTGATTATTGAGATTTCAAGTCCAGTCTGGTTACTGTATAGTTATACATGAGAACAAATTCCATACTGAAAAGCACTCTTGTGTGGCCGTAAACGAGTATTCCTGGAGATTTTTCTTGGACAGGCGTCAAATCGAATGCAGTTGCTGTCAGTAGTAATTTAGCCTTAAATAGTATATAATTGTGATTGGTTACGCAACCTCGCAGTAAATCAAGGACTTGGATTATGTAACCTGAAGATTTCTGAGTAAAAGCGAGAATGGCCATGCTCGTCAGTGTAGAAGGGTGATTAACCCGATAAGATCACTGAGTATAGTATATGATTGATAAGATGCGGAAGCATGGCAAATATGCAGGCAGAACAAAATAGTACTCAGGCATTCAGAATTATACGCAAGCCAGTATTATTGACACGGTCCTCCTGCCTCAATTGATGCTTAGTATTCACTAATAGCGTATTCCTTTACAGTGATGCACGACCCTTCAGCGTTAACAAGCCCGAAAGCGATCAATTTGAGGGGCTATCAAAACTACATTCAGAATTCATGGAAAGACAAAAAGTCCAGGGACTCGTTTTAACGGCGGGACCATAAGGAGACAACGATATAACCCAGGGAAGACAGAAGTAAAGAAAATCCTTATCCGTTACTTGCTCGTCTCTTGTAAGTCAAGCATATAATCGTATGAACGAGACCCTTGCCAATTCTTGAAATGGCCTTTCCAGTCTTTGTCTGTATGTTCATGCTGAGAGCCTGGTTTCACTTCCAAACTATATCTCCCGTTACCAGGAAAGTCCCACACCTGGCCATGGTCTCTGATGTTGCTTGAATGCGGAGGTATGTTAACGTATGCAACTTCCGGGTTGGTACACAAACCCTGGAAGATTTCAGATTTGGCGAAGCCGAGAGCCTGTTCGTCCACTGCGGCCCAATTGTTTTTGACCTTGCCAGAATATCCAGCTCTAACAGTTCCAGTTTTCTCTGGCATCTTGGTTGACCGGTTCGTGATTTAGTGCTTTTTGCTATTGTTTGAGCCAAAAGCTTTGCTGGGTTGGAAAATATTTGAAGGTATGTTTGATTGATTTCCAAATTATTTACGAAATATAACTGTTTGGATTCCGTCTAGATGAATTGGTTCTTAAGTAGGTAAGAAGAGGAGTAACGCCATGAATTTGGACTATGGTACATTCTAAAATCATTTTGATCATATGATGACTATTGAGATTCTAAAATCACTGCTCGCGTCATTGATGAATATATTTGGGCCTCGAACGCAGGTTGATTCGGATTTAAGCTCTGGAGGAACCGTGGCCGGAGCGGTAACTTAGGTAGCTGTTTGTCAAGCTTATTACTTTCCCTATGGGACGGGTTCGAATGATTCACGAGGGGCGTGAAGAGAAGGCAAAAAGACCCTTCCGTTGGGGTTACGCATCCTTAAGTCTCTACAGAGCTCGTTACCTGAAATACGTTGGTTATTACAGACCAGTTTCCCCATCGTACAATTCGTCCCATTAAGCTCTATCTTCTCCTTACTTTGCGCAGGTCCACCTGTGTCAGCGAACTCACACGAAGTAGACCTTGCTATATGGGAGTTTTTAGTCCCGTGGGGGCTAAAACCATGGGACTAGACTATTCGAACTCCCATGGGAAATGTCAAGGTCTAACACGAGAAGCATCTCGTGGTTGGTCACAAATTAGAAAGTTAAAGCATCTAAGTATGATAGAAGACTAGATAATCAAGACATTGTTCGGCGTTGATATATCTTTGTGTCTGTCAAGGACAAAAGCAATAGTGAAATAACTAGACTTGTCTAAATTAAAGTGGGCTATAGACTTGCTAACAGCAAACATTTAGTGATACCATATGACGTTAGAAATAATACATAAGACCATGCCTATCGAATAGGAATTTCAATGATGCTATCGCGGTACTATAATCCCCTCAAAGAACTCCGTATTACCTTGGCGTTCTTTGGTAAAGGTCGTAATAATAAGCCAAGAAATCAGTTCTAGCATTTCATATTAAGTTTGTCCACATCCGACCATATCTAGAGCTTATGGATTGTCTCTAGAACTTTGCAGGTGCTGGGGGAGGCTGAGGGATCACCTGGTCATGATGGAAAGGTTACTGCCGCAAACGGCCAATTTTATGCTTTAACCAAACACCACCAAATCAAAAATTGCATATTGTAAAAAAAGGTTTCTATCAATGACGGCGAATCACCTGGAATCTGAGTAGACCAAGATATAGTGTCAGCCTAGATTCTAGATGTGGGTAAGGCTCATTCTTGTTTCGGGCGAACGCCCCAGAATCTGTATTTTGCCAAGCTAGCACACAGGAAACCTACTCGTGCCAAGCGCCCCACAATTGGTCGGTATCCGCCCATAGGGGAAACACGAACGATAATCATACTGGCCGATAGGGCTTTGTTCTCTGGGTAGCAGTACGGCCTTCGTCATGTAGAGGTAGATGTCAACGATGGCTGCGGAGGCAAAAAAGGAAAGGACGACGATGTGCGTGGATCAAGCCTAGACTGCGACATCGCCCGTCCATAGGCCTTAAGGTAAGGCCCAACGCCCGTCCACGGTGGGCCTTGGGCGTTTTGGGTTTAGGTACGCCCGCTTATTTTTGTCTATGGATATTGCCCACGATGGGCTGGGTAATGCCGTGATCAACAGAAGTTGTATTGCAACCTCAATGTGGACTATAGGATTGATGCTCTACCAGAATAAGCATATGCATAGAGCGCCGCTCAAATTGAGGCAGAGAATATAGATTCTACCCAGCTACCAGATAAGGTTTCTGTTTTCTATCAATACGGAAAGGGAAATACTAGGTAAATAACTTCAAATTTGATGAAATTGGATGATAGTGATGTGTGCGGGAGGAGCACGGTTACCCGACGTCTATTCAACATTAAGTGTACCCGCATAAGGACCCTATGATTCTAAGCAGACTTCATCCGTTCGCCAGGCAAAGCTCTGCCCAACCAACTTCTCAGAGACATTCCATAGTTTCTCCGCCTCTGCACTCGAGACCGCAAGAGGTGTGGCACCACCGCTGATCTGACAGTCGTCAAGAAAAGCCCCCCAATTCTCACTGCCGTACTTAGTCTCCCCAACGTTATCCCCCAGCTTCGGGTCCAGCGCCGCAACGAGACTAGTCGAAGCCCCTGCACCTAGGGTCTTATAAGACCAGACTCCACTTTCAAACATGCTTTTGATAGCTTGGATTGTCTCAGGGGGGAAATTCCTTCCAAGCTCCGTCGCGATAATACCCGGGTGAACAGCGAGGGATACGATCCCGTACTTCTCATAAAGGCGCTTGTTCACACCGATACCGAAGAGGACGTTTGCGACCTTACTGCGATTATAGCCATCCAACGGTATATAAGAGGACTCTCCAATTTCCTTGTATCCCCAAGCCTTGAGAATGTCTTCGCGGGGTTTCTCTTCTTCGGGAAGATCGTTGTTCTTCTTGTCGAAATTGATGTCGTTCCAGCGAATGTTTGACACTCGAGCCGAGCCTGAACTCACGTTCACAATTCGCGTGGCACCCTTCGGGCTATGGTTGGAAGCCTCAATGACCTTAGACATGATCAAGCAAGTAAAGAGCCAGTGTCCGATATGGTTTGTGGCGAAGTGCATCTCAATTCCATCTTCGGTCAAGGTTCGCTCTTGCACGCCCATGACGCCAGCGCTGTTGATAAGGATATCAATCGCAGATATATCCTCCCATGCGAGAACCTCAGCAGCGGCTTTGCGGACGGACCTTTGGCTGGAAAGGTCTATCTGCAAACCACGGTAATTCACGTCAGGGAACTCGGCTTTGAGGGTCGTGATGCAATCTTGGATCTTGGAGGGGGTACGACCAGCAAGAATCAAAATTTTCGGAGACTGAGAGGCCTATGTATGGTCAATAAATCTCAAACAAAGAGATTGCGGGCTGCTCACAAGAGCTTGAGCGGTTGCGAAGCCAATCCCTTCAAGATTCACACCGGTGATGATGATTGTCTTGCCATAGATCTGGGAAGAAAATGATACTGCGACTTCATGTCCCTCCGTATTGTGGTTGAATGTAGAATGTGTTGTAATGGCCATGGTGTCTCACAGCTTGTTGGATGAATAGTATTGAAACGAGGTTCAAAGTGTATTGAGCGACTGGTATTGTGAAGAAGGATGTTGGATCCAAGTCTTATGGCAGGAAATCCAGCCTATTTATAATCCTTTGAGGTCACTTTCTACTTTGACTGATTTCAATGTTTCCAAATGACATCCTCGTTCGTATAGCTCTGGAGCCAATGAGAGATTTACAACCAAATGGGGGAAGGCGTGGTCAGCGGCGGAGTCGATCACCGTCTCTGACCAATACGAGATTCACTTCCCGAACGAGTTGCGGGTCATGGTCACGGATTATCTTATTAGATCATCGCATACACATTAGACTCATGTTTCTGTCCACTGCTGAGAGCATATGTTTTATTTGCGTGGAAATATTGTAAGGAGATAAGTGTATGGTGCTCGGACATTAGCACAATAATCTCCGGGCTAGGCTGGCCCAAATATTGTGCCCCAGGTAATATTTTATGCGAACATGAATCGATTTGCTCATTTCTTCTGTTCCGCCATCTCCGCCATCTCTACCATCTCGTCTGTCGCCTTATTATCATTGCCAGCTTCCAAGTCCAAGCTTTTAGCTGAAGGAATATCATCTACACCAGCAACGGCAGTCTCAAAGCGACGACCGCGCTTCTCAGGTCCGACAGCAGTAGTAAAACCAATACCCAAAGCAATAATAGCAGTAGCAATACCCATTACAGGCCCATAAGCAGATGCGCGAGCGCCCGACTTCGTGGTAACCCAAGTAGACTCCGCAATGGCATTGACAATCTGCGCAGATGGGGAGCTAATCATATTACCAAGTTGATAAGTGAGACCCGGGAAAGACGACCGGAATGCAGGGGGGGATAATTCGTTCAAATGAATGGGGATGACACCCCACGCTCCCTGGATGAAGAACTGGATAAAGAATCCAGTTGCACTTAGTGCGCGCTCGCCTTCTGGGAGAATCCAAGCCGGGATCATGAGCGCAGACAAAAGGGCTGCCACGACGATGGCGCGTCTGCGACCGACGAACTGGGATAGATATCCGATAATTGTACCACCAACGCAGGCTCCCGTTTTCATGAGGATCGACGCTCTTGAGGCACCGGAATTGTCGAGTTCTTTTTGGGTGAGCATGAAGGTGGTATAAGAGTCCTGCGAGGTATGAGAGTAGAAATTGAACTAGCCGTATCTTGGTTAGCTTCAACTGAGCGAAGTAATAGATAGCTATCTAGGTCCCGAGTTCAACCTACCCAGGTCATGAGAATAACACAATAAACACACATGCGCCACTCCTTGCCTAGCATTGAGCGTGTCTCTTTCCAGAATTCACTGGTGGTCGTGTTTCGCTTGCCGGCTTTCTTGGCCTCGAGGAACTGCTTTGACTCAGGAAATGCAATGCGCAGAAGACCGATTCCGATGGAGATACCAGCTAAGAATGGTATTTCAGCATTGTTTACCTAGCCCCATTGACAAGTTAAACTTACCTGCAATCCAGAACACCGTTTTCCAGCTATCCGTTGAGCCGCCGACGCCCAGATTGGCACACGCCGCAAACACATATCCCATGGAATATCCTTGCTGCAATATCCCAGACATCAGGCCCCGAGCATTGACCCTGAAGTTAACATCAGTATTGCATTTTTCATCAAGAGGCTTGATACATACGGGCAGTGCTCCAATGCCATAGCAATGGCATTCCCATACACACCTCCCATGAACAGCCCAAAAAGACTGCGTACCGCCAAGAATTGCTGAAAGGTACGACTGTAGATGGTCGCAATCTGCAAAACCCCAAGTACAAGCATATTTACCACCATCGGCCATTTGCGACCATACTTGTCTCCAGCCAGCCCAAAGAAAGCGGCGCCAACGCTTCTAAGAAGCAGGGTCAGAGTGATGGCAGTAGAGACATCAGTCTTGGATCGGTCATAGTAGTCAGAGAGTTTCTTTGTCTGAATGGAAAGCGCATGGAAGTCAAAGGCGTCGGCAGTCCAGGCTGCTAACCCCACCAGGAAGAAGAGCCAGTCTCTAGCTGAGAGCTGGGACATCAGACTGATTGGGTTCTTTAGGGGCTCGGGAGACTGCCATTCTGTGTGAGATTCGCCGAACTCATTGACGACTTCGACGCGCTGCTTCCAGATGAAAAGGTCTTTGAAAGATTGTCTGGCGGTTGGCAGTAGGCCCTTGACGATGGGTTCGGCTGCTTCATTAGAAGACATCATGGGAGAAACGCAGTGTCAATGAAAACAAGGTAATTGTGTTTCCTTGGCTTCGGAACATGGCCTTCACCCGTCACCATATATTTATACGCACTGTCACATCAATTAACCCCGCATTACCACTCCGCGCAATCTTCCAAGTGAGATACAAATACCGAAACCCCCATATCTACCCCGGAAGACCACGCGGGGACATGCCGCTCCGCTGGCTAGCCAAGACGATGCCAAGAGCTTGGCTATCCGTGCCACACCAATACCAGGGCAGCATACGAGGAATATCCCGCATCAACCTCTTGGATTGCAGTGTAGCGTGGGGAAGGCTTACCCCAGGATCCCCTTGGCTTTGGATGCTTTGGGGAAGTGATGAACAGTTGGATGAGGCTATTATCTCGGTAATCATGGGCCAATAATTCCAGTATCACGAGGCAGGACAAAGAATTTGAAATGGTGTCTGTGCAAGCCACAAGCCTGGGTAGGCGGAAGTTGTCCGGGAATGTGAGTCTAGTGGCGCTTGGAGGCGTATCGCAATGCGACCTTAGAATGTATGAATGCATGGGAACAGGTAGTCGTCTTTTGTGGGTCTGTAAATGGCCTCAGGTAGATTCTTGTAGTGACTTTCTCCAAGAACGACAGAGATTGGTGTATCCGTGGAGGTTATATTCTGATGTCAATGTCGTGTGACTTCCAAGGCTTTAGGTTGTGAGGCAACGCAAAGAATGAAACCATACCAATAGCGTGCCCAGTAATGCCCACTCACCATTGGCGCGTGGAGGTAGACCTCAAGAGTATCCAGAATCTCTGGGGTTTAACACGCCCGCGTAACATTAATCCTCAACTGCTCTCACTCTCTGGCCAACGAATATTTTTGCACTACGAGTCTTGCGATGAAATAGGTATCATTGCTCAGTAACAAGAAATATCTAGCGTATTTAAGTACAAGCAAAACTCAAGGTGTGGTAAGTTCTCTGAAAGTCAAAGAAGAAAGGTTCAACCGGGCGATAGCACTACCTAGCAGGATGTATCTTGTGCAACCAATTCTTTCGACATCCTTCCCAGCTTCCCCCAGGGCAATCAGAAAAGCAAACCCCCTAGTCCGCAGCTCCGTCATAATTGATTTATGTAGTTAATAGACTTCTTCTTCAATCTAAACTTAGTCTTCGGCTTAATAAGACTTCCTTTGGCAGGTGGGTCTGAAGAATCAATTTGAACCGAGATGTGACGTACTTCGGACGATGAATTGTTTGTCGGGCAATAGAAGGCATCGGTGGTGGTTTCGCTCTTCAGTGCCGATGATGAGCTTGTCGAAACGATAGAATATTGTGTCGAGAGAAGAACAGATTGAGTGGTGTCTGGAGTGGTGACAGAATCCGCTTTACTGGGTCGGACAACCCCAATACCAGAGCCTTCCGCCGTACATTGCGAATAAGGTGCAGTGGTACGCGGACTCCCGGGCTCGGAGATTGGTGAAAGAGGCAGCGGTATCTCTTCGGGCTTAAGCTCTTCCTTAATCAGGATTGTATTCAGAATTGGCGCCAATTTTCGTATCAAATTGGGTCCGGATGGTGGCTTGGACGTGACCACTCGTTGCCCGGTGGGTTCCTTCTTTGATATCTCTTTCTTGACCAAGGCCGTATGGTCCGATAACTCTGGGAGCTTCATTGAAGAAAGATTGCTGGACATATCTTCTTTTTTGGATGCCTTCAATTGTATAGGCTTTGGACGGAGTATGGTAATACCCTCCTTGATCTTTGGAGTGTATAACGAGTGAACAGGTTTATCAAGAGCAGGCCCCGCATTAATCAGAGATGCTTGGTAGGAACCTAACAACTTTTGTGCGGTAACCAACCCCGATTCTTTGTGTATCATCTCTATAGCTTCCTTCCATTGAGGTTTCAGTTGGCCATATTTGTTGTATGGCCTGGCAAGTGCCATGAAATGTGCCCAGTGACTTACAACCTGCTTGGCTTGCTCTCTACTAATTTCGAACCACTCTTTATGACTTATCCTACACGATGGAGCTTTGCACATCCGTTCCCGGCGCCATTGCTTGATCAATTCGTAATGTGTGAGGGTCTCGGCCCGCTCGGCGCTAGGAAAGGCACTCGTGCTAAACAGTAAATTTGGTGTATAGCCACACTTTGACCAGCTTGCCAGTCGATCGGAAACAGATTTTGCTGTCCAACCAATCTTCACATAACCAGGGGAAGAATTTCGATCAAATATATAAAGCCTACCGTCTTCAAATTCCCGGTTCTTGAGAGGATCGAGCATTTTCTGGTAGACGCAGTCACGTGGAGAAGGTTCGGCAATATGAGGACGAAATTCCGATCGCGATCCTGGAGGGGAATATGATGGTCGAGTCTGGGGAGTATTCCCGAGATCGTTCGTCCGGCGATTGCGGAGATCATACCGTGAATTGTTTTCATGCTGTTGAACCAACACCCCCGTAGCGTTTAGAGGGGTCGGAGTGGATTCTGCAAAGGTGGGCAAGGTCTCAGATATCGAAGGGTTTTCAAAAGCTCCAGGTGATGTTGGAGAGACTAGTCGGTCGCGAGATGAATTGTAAGTAATCGCACAGCGTTCGTCCTTCACGTTGGGAGGAAAGGCGCTTGGAATACTGTGATTGCAGTTGTATGATTTGTTTTGCTGCACAGACAAGATATCCGCTTCATTGAAAACGTGTCTAAGCGCTTGTAAACGGATCTCTTCGAACCATCGCTGGGCCAGAGGTCTCAAAAGTCCCACGTCTTCTATACGGTCCTGATGTAGAGCATTTCCTTTTAGACAGCAATTGCAATGCGCGTATTCTTCAAGTGCCTCAATGCTTATAGCTTGCACTGGGACTTTTAAGAAAGAGTCTCGAAGCACAGTCGCTCGTTGGTTATCTTTTTCACAGCAATCCCATTTGCATCTTGTACCTCGCTTGGTGAAGTAAATGCATCGATTTTCTTTCGAAGGATCGAGGTCATAAAATGATACAAAGAAAGAAATGCCGGGATCACGAGGCATGATGCGAGAGGCTAACAGCAACAGTGATATCCAACGATTCTGAAGGTGAAAGTAGGTAAAATGAACGTTGCGACGATCGAGCCTGTTAGAGAAAAGGCGGATGGAAGGGAAGCTCCTTTTTCTTTATTGTCTAAACTATCCGACTGAACTACCAGTAAGTATTCTAGCCATTCAGGTATTGTTGGGGAATCTATTCTTGGAAAGCGCTTACTTGCAGCTTCCGCAGATCTCGATTGGCTGTGCTTTGGTCACGGGTTAACAAAAAACGGCTCAAGTATCCACGATCAAGTACGCTTTCACCTCTGACAGAAGTGCTCGAGCTAAAATTGGGATATCTGGCAAAAGTGCCGGTTTTGGGAAGCGCCGATAAGATTCATCGCAACGTTGGGCGAGGTAGGTAATATGAACGATTAGCCCTGGAGTGTCGTCATGCAACTCAAAATTCAAACCCCGCTGTCTGCCTTATGGGAAGATGGCCCATATTGCTGGCTCTCCTTTTAGGCCACTCGGGGGCCTGATCTCGCGTTTGCCACATAAGAAATCTAAGTAACAATTCAAGTAAGCTCGACGAGCCTGATATCTGCTGTCGCCTCACTTGGCTGTAGCATAACCAGTCCATAGCTATTATGCAGGACTATCAGCGAGCTTGCAAGATCAAAGGTCAGGGGCCACGGTCAGACCCCGCCGGTAGTTTTGGCTGGTATGACAGCCTACATGCGATAGTCACACAAGGAGCAAGGAAAGACTTACTCCCAATCTCACGGACCTGTCTCCAATGATGCTGAATAAACCACAAGCTCATGACTGACTTCGCATACAATCCTCACGATCGTCTTCAACAAATTGCCGTACCTGACCCTCCATTTTAGCGCGCTTCTGGCATGCCTTGCTCATGTCCTTTCAATATAAGACTCAGTTGACCGATTATTGCTAAAAATGTCAGTGCGCTTCTGCACCGGACGCTCTTCTTCCCCCAGTCGAGAAAAACATCAGAGACATTTATGCCCAATTTATCCCAAGTGGGGTAATAGAAAACAATCCACCTCGGACTATGAGACTAAAAGCCCCATGCTCCCATCAAGAAAAAAGGTCGTATTACAACGCATCTGCACTGGGTTCTCGAGTCCAGCCACATGCGATCTCTCTGAAGAGTCAATTCCTGTATGCTTTCCTTTATACTCGTCTAACGTTCAAATGTCTCTGGGACATTACATTCTTTTGACTGTTCTTGTGTGATCTTAGCTCGTTGAGGCTCAGGTGATAGAGCTCCGAAGAGCCTCAACAGACAGCAAGGCCATATAAGCCGATAAAACGGCAGTATAAGGGCCAAAATTATATTACCGCGGTATCGAAAGCAAAGCATTGCATTCGAGCTAAAGATTGGAAAATCGATGATACTAAGTGAGATGATGGTCCGCGATCTTGCTAGTGGGCAAGGATAGCATGCAACTCTCAATCCCGCGAACAGGAAATATCACTCGCTATGGAAAGGTCAACTAAGTTTCTCTCCGTAGCTATGGGCTTGTGCTCCGCACCTAAGCCGTCATCTTCCTTGTAAGCAAACATTATTTCTTTAATCTTTCGAGTTTTCATAATACATTAAATCAGTTGATTGCCGCTTTTGCTGCTATTCTCCTATTCGGTACGGCATCCGCTTACTTTCAAAACATGTATCTGCCAAATCCTTTGTATCGGTCTCAATTTTTTATCTGCGGAAGCGATCGGTTTTAGCTTTTTCCTGGCTTAGGCAAAATCTTTAAGCCCTCAAATATAATTGCCAGGAAGTCGTCTACTCCCAATTGTCCACCTTAGGCTACGAATTTTCTGACTGAGCTAGGCTACAGTGAGCTTTACTTGGTCGATGATCTTGTCCCATTATGCTACTATCCGTCCAAATTTGATATAGATGCTGTGTATTTCGAAATCAATTTAGGTACTAGGTATACCTTATTATTGGTTGAATATGACGTTTCATAAATTACAAGGCTTCCAAGGCCACTAGGCCCATCCGCTGATCTGCTAAACGACAGACCGGTTTTCCATAAGGAAAATCCTCAGCCTTTGTTTCTTAACAGTACATATGTCAAATATCAAGTGAGGTGAACTACTTGGAAAGCTCTCTTCTAACTGGGCTGAATTCACATATCGCATTATATCAAGTTCAGGTACAAATAACCACGTTGTTGCTTCTTTCTCATGCAGGCCCTGACATGATTCTCATTTGATGATGAAAATCCGACTATTTCTCCTCGGGAATTGCCCAGGTATAAGCAACCTTGTCGTCACTATCCTCGCGCTTGCGGGACTCGGGTAGAGCCCAGGTATAGGCAACCTTGTCGTCACTATCTTCGCGTTTACGCGATTCAGGCAAAGCCCAAGTGTAGGCAACCTTGTCATCACTGTCCTCGCGTTTGCGCGATTCAGGCAAAGCCCAGGTGTAAGCGACCTTGTCGTCGCTATCCTCACGCTTGCGAGACTCGGGAAGAGCCCAAGTATAAGCAACCTTATCATCGCTGTCGGCAACTTCACGTGCGGCTGAATCACACAATTATTAATATGGTAAAAAGGTGTAATTCACTTGTCCTTTACTCACCCTTGTCAACCGGCATAGCACCAGTGAGCATGGCACCCGCCAAGCAGGCGAATAAGGTGGTGGTAAATCTCATTTTGATGGAACAATCACTGACAGATGCGTGTTTCAATGCTTATTTCTGTTGGAGCCGAGGGACTTGAATCTTAATTATGAGAGGGTAGGTACGGACACGGATCTCTCGACTTCCTGGAAATGACTCGAAGTTAAGTGCAGCGGATTTCCAGTCCCTACAAGATCCCACCACAATGGTACACTTGACATGAGTGGGGCGGTATACCTGATTCACTAAGGATACCAATGAAGTAGAATTACTTGTAAAACCATTAGCCCGTATCGGAGTATACATGATTGGCAATTGAGCCCCGAGCAAAACCTAGATAGGAACGACGAGCGCTAAAACACTAGTCAGTCTCGTACAATACTAACTGCACAGGAGGGGGCGGTATACTTGATCCAATAGCATATCTCGGAGATTTGTTGGTTCTGTGATTCATCTCGCTTGTAGGTATACCTGATTATGCAATCTGCAAGCCACGGATAGCTCGGTATCGCTAATTTGACTCCGTTTTGGAAATTTGCCAATTGTTGTTCTTGGCTTCTATGTCCCAGGTCGCCTATTTTTGGGGGGCGAAATCAACCTGTACTATACATTTGCGCGCTGAGCAATTGCCCTTTGCCGAGACCAAAGCCAACCTGCTTACCTTCATTACTGATATCAAAGGATCATAATACCAGTTGTGCTAAATGCTTACATGTCGTCACTGTGGACTATACAACTATCGTCAGCCCATGGCCTGGTTTCTTGTTGGCAGATCAATTAGCGTCTGGTGTGGACCCTTCCTATGTGCCCCCTCACGATAGCAGTCAACCAACACGCACCGTGAAAAGATGATTCGTTTTTCGTGAACCTACTAATGTAGAGTGATTGCAACATCGCTTAAGCTTAGCGCCTCAAAATCAATACAACGCTCTAATTCACCTGAACATAGGTTTTGCTAGCACGCCACTCATTCTAGGGCTGACAATATATATGAGCTCCTCGGAAGATATTCAATCAGGTAAGGCGTCATACTCTTCCCCTCACCAAGTGGGGTAATTCCTGTCGAAGATTTCTTTACAAATTTACTTTTGACAGGAAAACTGCCCCACATCGTATCCGCGGACCTGGAGCGGATCTGCAGTATGGATAAATGACGAAAATCAAATTGGGACGACGGCGGTATCCATAGAGCCTCGGCCGGTAATTATGATGATAACACACACAAGAGATAAAAGTTGTGAACAGCCTTGAAAATACGCAGGGCTACGTAGAATTTATGCAATTCGTTCGGAGATACCGATCCGCTTCGGAATAATATCCCATACTAGTATCCTATCCGATTATCTCCAAGGTGGACGGTAATTCCACTTCAAACTCATACCTACTCGTGTATCAACTCATCAACAGCTAAGATGTCTTTTGAGAGCACTTCAAAGCCCGATGAGCCGCTCATGAGCGGCGAAGATGGGTATCTTGAAAATCAAACAAGCTACAAATCCTCGAAGCCCCAGTCAAAGCGATTTAACGTCTGGAAAGTGGCCTTCGGTGTCATTGCAGCTGTTGCAATTTTTGGATTGGGTGTTGTGACGGGCAATCATTTACCAGCGACGCACCAGGGCTTACTAGGTATAAACCACTACGTGACAAAATAAAACCCACAGTCCACTGACATTATTCATGTAGCCCCGGAGGGCAACGTCAAGGTATTCATGGAATACAACAGCACTTTCACCCTCCATCCCTCCCCTGAGAGTGATGCCGCTTGGGACTCGTTGTTCCCAAAAGGCAAGGGATTCGTTCGACATGACAAAATTGCACCCGAAACCTCGGGATTGGTCGTCTACCATGGTCTTCACTGTCTGAATGCACTCCGCGGTGTTTACTATGCTTCCGTTGATGGAGTGCACACACGTGATATGGAGGAGCACGCCCAGATGAACCATATGACTGACCCGCATCATGTCCGTCACTGCTTTGACTACCTGCGACAAAGTCTTATGTGTTCGGCCGATACCAATTTGGAGCCGATAACGAAGGAGTTGAAGGGTGTGACTGGGTGGGGATTTACAAGGACTTGTCGCGATCTGGATAGTGTTAAGGCATGGGCGGAGGAAAATTGGTCTAATGATATATGAAAAGAACAGTAGTCCAGGTGGTGTAAAATCGAGACATGAAATTAGCTGCAATACCATGTATCGGGAACAACATGAAAGTCATTTAAATGGCCTTATATTTCCTATTTGTACGTTATATACCTATCAATTGCTCACCAATTCACCTCACTCATCAGGACCGACAAGTGCACCTGGCTCGAACGGATCGACAGCCTGCGCATTATTCCACGTCCGCAGTTTTTCCCAATTGACACAAGTGTGATACCCGGGCGCATCAACCGTCAGATGCGCCTCATCATGATGACTCGGGTCAATCCATCGAAACGCACTAAGGGTCGGATCACCACGACACAATATCGTCTCCCGCATAAGCTCAATACAATGATCAATATGCGCCTCCTCTTCCACCAGATGCTCTTCCGTAAAATTGGCCAGGTAATGCCTCCGATAGATATAATGTCGGATACGTTTCAGGCAGTGCAGTTCGTGGAAAAGACCCATCTGACCAACGTAGTACCCCCCATTCCCGTTCAGGTCTGTCATCTGTAGTGATGTCACATTATAGTAGTCCAGATCCTCCTTCGTGACCCGGATGTTTGTGTGCTCGAACATGTAGTGCCAGGCTGCTTCCAGTTCCGGGCGAGGTTTACCTGCGTATGGATTATTGTGGATGCTCACGGGTAATGTGCGGGATTCATATTCGAGGGCGCCGGCGGAGTGGAGGGATGGGAATGGCGTGGCGAGAGACCAGTGCATGAGTTTTGTTGGTTGCTTGGATGTGAAGAAGTGGTCAGGTTTCACTATGAGGAAGACATAGAGCAAGACGAGGAGTGCGTATCCCGACGCGAGGAAGATATAATGGAGCTTCAGCCATCTTTGTTGTGGCGAGGGCACGGTAGGTAATCTTTCGCCGTTGATTGATTCCTCATCGTCGTTTGAGGGCGCGAGATGGTACCTCTCGTCGTCTTTGGTCATGTTTTCGTGTGGTGATGGACGATTCAACGACCCTGGGAAAGTCCAAGCATGCCATGCGTCTCACGTTTTTTCGAAGTCCCCATGGCATCTAAACGTATGGGTATATGGTACTGATAATGTTGACGGTATTGTTCGCGTAAAACAGGCGTTCCAAACCCATTACCAAAATGACATTACAGGCGGAAAGTTTTCCAAAGATAACTTTAGGCTAGTGGTCAGAGCAAATCCCGCGATGGCTTCATCTCTCGGTCCGTGTCGCCCAGGTGGGAAATTCGTCGAAACTTGGACAGCACCTCCGGCTCATTCGATGATGACGGCGTCGCTAAGGCCGTTGGCTTCTCCCGGTGGATTTGGCCAAGTAGAATACTGCAACGCTGCAGGGTGTAGACTAGCGGGCCTGAAGGATGCGCTAATGCGCCTAGGCGTCTTGATTGATTGATTGGTGCATTGGCCCATTTTACCGTCACGGGAGTGGCCGGCGATTCCGCAACAAAGTTACCAAAGGGTCTCTCCCGCACCATGATCTACGAACCGCCAATAATCGTCATGACTTTGGGGCAAATTCAAACTTCCTTTCCCACAGTCTAGTTCACCACGAAATCTACATTCTCACTTTTTTCTTCACCTTCCTTCTTTCGTGTAGGCCGTTGCCTTGGTTTTTGGATTGCATAGTGATGCAGCCACACTTGTTGCCCAACGAGTACATAAATAGTCAGCTCTAGTTAGCGCTCATCAGTGCTGACTGCCGTGCCCGGAGCCAGAGGAGAAAAAGCCTGTCCTGGTTAGCGCACCGACGACAGTCGAATCCTTTCAAAGCGGAGGTCGCTTTCTTCTGCAGGATTGACTTCTGTAAGCTCACTACATGATCCACCAATCGCCATAAGGTCCACCAAGCTTTACCCCGAAATTACTTGGATGATGGAAAGGACATCAGAAGGAACACTAGTGACAAGTTACTATAAGCGCAATATGAAATCACTCTATTCGCATCCTACAGACTGAGACGAGCCGTAGCTACCATAAATCCAAATCCTTCCATTCCCTGCACGATTCCCCCCCCCCTCGCATACCACTAAATTTGGCCCCCATCATGACGAATATGACCCATGGACTCTCCTAGCCAGATAGCCTGCACATGCAAGTGGCGCTGATCGACTAAGACTATACTAAGCCGCCCGAACATTTCGAATTAGCCTACGGGGCCTGGGCTTGACTTGGTATGACTTGGCCGTAGGCCCTCCATCCCTCATCTGCAAAATCTTAACCATCACATCCACTTTCACCCCGTATTCGCGATCGCGATCGGTCGGTTGGAGATATGGGGTATACACAGGGTGAGATGATAGCCTTAGGCGTCGTCTTCGTTATTCTCCCTACAGTATTCGTCGGTCTGCGCCTTTGGGCACGTTTTATGCGTCGTGCTGGACTCGGGGCCGATGACTATACCATCTTAGTTGGATGGGTAAGTTTGAGTATCGCGCGATCGCATCTTACAGAACTGATTCATCTCAGGCGTTTACTCTCGCCGTCTGCACGGTGCATCTGATCGCAGCTATCCATGGCGAACTGGGACAGCATCAAGCAATTTATCCCAATGGGGAACCAATCTTGGATGATCCGCGATTCATCATCTATGAAAAGGTTCGTTCGCGATCGACAGCAAGGGATGAATCTGGAACGCGAAACTAACGGTTCGCATCTAGTGTAAATTCTCCTTACATATGTTATCAGTACTTGGCTTGGGATTTACGAAGGTTTCCGTGATTCTGCTTTACCGGCGCATCTTTCGAATGCCGACTTTCCAGCGCGTGTGTCTCGGCTACATTATCGTGGTCATCGCGTGGACTATTGCATTCTTCTTCGCCTGCCTTTTCCAGTGCAACCCGGTCACTCCGTTTGTCGAGGGGTTTTACGGAAACAAATGCACTAATGTCTTGGTTCTCTACAATGCGGTTGGGGGAACAGACGTCGCTCTCGACGTCTTGATTATCATTCTCCCCATCCAGCCTGTCTTGTCTATCAAGATGAGCCTCCGGCAACGGCTGGCTGTGCTGGGAATGTTCCTCTTGGGTTTAGTAGCGGTCGCATCTAGTATCGCTCGGCTGGTTTCCTTCGTGCAGTGCGACACGGTTTTGATCGAGCACTATAATGACGAGACATACTACACTTCAGGCGTGTTTGTCTGGTCGGTGGTCGAGCTGGTCATGGCTGTTATTAGCGCTTGTCTACCGACATTGCGCCCATTGTTCATGCGCGGCAAGAAGGACAGTCCTGCAGACTACCCAGAATACGCCGGTCAATACGGGTCCAGTTATGGGTCCAGTAAATCCGGTCGCCGGTCGGGGTACATGCGTAGTGTGGATACGCGCCATGACGATTTCGAGATGCCCGCCATGGCTTCGCAGGATGCGCCGGGCGTGCAGATTCAAATCCAGCGGTCTTCATCGTTTGATGACAGAGAGGAGCCGACTGAAGGCGTGATCTATGTGCAACATAGTACAACATGGTCGGATCAAGATTTCCTGACGCATCCCAAGCAGCCTGCTTAGATTCTTGTATACATTTTACCGATAATTTGGCTATATAATTAATGAATTTTTGGCAATCCTTGTCGCAATGACTTCCTATACGACATAAAGTTTGGTTCTCTTTGAAGGATTTATCCATGGTTACGTTTCTACGTCTGTGGGGCGTATGCTTCCATGAAAGCCCCGCTCGCTTCTACAGTCCAACTCAACACAGTGTTAATCTATGACGATCCTTCGCCGTGCATTGACACTCGCTAATATTCCCTCTCGAAGCAGAACCGGAGAACGAAATCAACAGGATTGGACCCTCGGGGGAAATATTGAGTTCATCTATCCTTGCGTGCCACGCGAGATTACATGGGGCGCACCACACGGTGTAATCCGATTGCCTGAATCCTTCTGGATACGAAGTAAAAGTACGCCATCTCGCGTGGGTTTTCATGCAGATTTCCCTCGTGGCCTCGTGGCTTTGTTTCGGCTCCCCTGATCTTGGGTTTTCAATCCGAACGCGCTTAGTTGTTTCAACTCGAGCCAAGAAGTATATATTGTGCCTGACTCGCGAAAGTCTTCTTTTTTTGTCCGGGGTTGCCTACTGTCTTTTGTTTGTTGAGATCTTCGTTTGCTACCTGCTTTTTCCTTTTACCTTTTTCCTTTGTCTTTTCTGCTTTTTTCATTTCCCGCCATGCCTTCCCTGTTTTTCGTCGTTGGGTTGGCCTTGGCCATAGTCCCGGCGATTGCTTCCCCCGCCGGGACCAGGTTCGCACGCTGCTTACGACCGAAGCTTTCGCACTCCGCAAAGCTAATAAACGCTGAATCGGACGTGATTATTCCCCGATGGACAGAGTATAAAGAGTTCAGTACTGGCCACATTGTGAATGTATCCACCGAGGCAGACGTTCAAGCTGCGGTAAGTACCATCATCTTCACGAGTTGATTCGATGCACTTACTAATTCTTGCCTGCAGGTGCGATGCGCCAATCAAGCTGGTGTCAAGTTCTTCGCGCAGTCCGGCGGCAATGCCTGGACAACAACCTGGAGCCTTGGAGAAAATGACGTCGTGATCAATCTTCGGAATATGAATAGCGTGAAGTTCAATGCGGAACGTACGCTTGTGGAAGTGGGAGGTGGTGCGACCGTTGCTGAATTGACAGATGCTGCTTACGCCCATAATACGCAAGTCGTGGCTGCTAATTGCAATTGTGTAGGCGCAATGGGTGCCACGCTCGGTGCAGGTTACAGTCGCATGATGGGTGAGCGTGGGTTTATGATGGACAACGTCCTGTCTTTTCGCGTTGTTCTGGCATCTGGGAGAACTGTTGATGTCTCAGAATTCTCTCACCCCGATCTATGGTGGGCTATGCGTGGCGCTGGTGCAAATTTCGGGATTGTTGTTTCGTCTGTCATGAAGGCCTATCCCACACCTGCGGCTCAGAATGGTGCTTGGGTTGGTAACCTTATTTTCAGCGAGGACAAGATCGAGAGCGTCGTGTCTGCTGTCAATGATTTGACTTTGACATCTAAGATGGCCATCTTCTTTTATTTCGCTAATGGAGGCGCACCTCACTACACCCCCATGTTCATGGTTACACCGTTTTATCTGAGCAGTGGGAATACGACTGCTGCCACTGCTGAAGCCCGCGAAGCTTTTGCCTCGATATTTGACCTGGAGCCTGAAGCGGACACCACCACGTGGACCCCTTATAACGAGGTCAACGCTGGCAGCGAAAGCTTCTGTGTCAGAGGCGGCCGCAAGGCTAGCTACGGCTCCGCACAGGGACAACTGGATCCGACGACCTGGCGAACAATCTACACCGATTACGTTAACTTCCTCACGACACATGGCGGGGACAACGTCGGCAGCTCGCTTATTCTCATGGAAGCCTACAGCCTGCAATTCGCCGAGAGGAAGGGTGACTACAGCTCGGCATACGCGTGGCGGTCTACAAACCGCTTCAATACGGTGGCCATTGCATGGTACACGGACGAAAGTTTAGACGAGACCGCCAATGCATGGGCGAGTCAGGTTCGTGATGACTGGCGGGCGACCAGTGGACTCAAGTCAAACTCGACGTAAGTTCTCCACTTTCTTTGTTTTCTCTTGGCGCAAGCCATCTTGCTTACATGCTTAAAACTTGCAGGTACATCAACTTTGCCTTTGGTGACGAGTCACTCGAGGATATTTACGGCGATAATGTGTCCGTGCTCAGGGCGCTGAAATTATTCTATGACCCCCAAAACAAGTTTAATCAATTCTTCCCCCTGAATTGACCAGGTAGGAAGTGGCACTGGACATATTGAGGCGGGTGGGGTGAGACCGAGCCATTCTAAGGCTGTCTTTCAGGAGAACATCCTTGTATATTATTGACCAGTTATATCAACAGCCGGATCTCCGTGCTCGGGCTTACCGGAGATCGACCATGGCATGTACGTACATTAATCTTGCTATCGCATTTTCCTTTTTTGTTTTAGCCCCCAATTTATAGCTTCCCGCGGCTAGATGATTGCAAGTCCCTTCCACGCTAGGTCTTACATAGACAAAGAATGTTGGCCCCCAAATGAGGGGTCGACGGCATATCATACATGTGAAAGTGGCGCCGGAGTTTGCCCTGATCCGTGCACCCCTCAACTGTTTGCAGATTTTAACATTGTGCCAATCCACTTTTCACCATATATTTCGTTGTTCAAGTAAGGGAAATGACTTACATGTTGCCATGTGGTCCGGAGACGGATCACGTGTTGTCTCGTGAATTTAACACAGTGCCCGGTATCAGATGATCAGCATAAATACTAGTAAAGGCTCCATTGTGCAGTAGATCACTGTGAGTGGATACATGTGGATATGTGGGTACAACTCTGTGGATATGCTGCCATCGTCCCACCTGCCATCATGTAGGGCTTTCTGCAAACCCTGGCCATTTGAAACCCTTGCCCCTCATTGCAGAGTAAGGCCTTTCATCGTAGGCTCCGTTAACTCCATGCTCCTCTTGCATTCCCATCTCATGCCAGCTCCTATTTAAAATTTGGTCCATCCTCAACAGTGGCACCCTAGACTCTGAAAGCGAATTATATCAAATTTTGTTGTTTTGAATACCGTATTGAATAAAGAAGTACTCCCCCTCAGTTGCATCATGTCAAGCACCGCTGCCCACCTGACAGCTGTCCAAGACTTCCTCCCAGACCACCCCACCATTAAATACATTTCACCCTCCTCCGCCGAATTCAGCGCCGCGCGAGAAGTATGGAACGGCTCGCGCCGCGATATCCCGCTTGCCATTGTCCAACCGCAATCGCCAGCTGACGTCACAGCTGTGATCAAATTCGCAAAGTCCAGCGGTATCCCCTTCACACTACGTTCCGGCGGCCATAACCTGGAAGGTCTTGCTCTGGTGCAAGATGCATTGCTCATAGACCTACGAGCTTTGAACTCCGTCACTGTGGCCGAGGACCGCAAATCGGCGACTGTCGGCGGTGGTATCTTGCAAGGCGAGTTGGTCAATGCGCTCTGGGATCAGGGACTGGCGACATCGACTGGAACCATTCCAACAGTGGGCTACATCGGTTGGGCCTCGTATGGCGGCTATGGGCCTTTTTCATCGCATTGGGGTCTGGGTGTGGACCAGATTATTGGCGCAACACTTGTTAACCCCTATGGAGAGATTATCAAAGCTGACAGTGCTCTTCTGGAGGGTATTCGCGGCGCAGGCGGTCTTTTCGGTGTGATCCTTGACCTCACCATCAAGGTTTACCCTCTTACCGGCGTAAGCATCTTAGAGCATTCGAAAACGTGAGTATCGATACTGACCAGTTCTAGATCCTCGCGGGCCCCATCATCTTTGACTCAAGCGATATCGTCAAATCCTATACCGATTTCAATTCAGCTTACAACAATCTCTTGGACACAGAAGGCCTACCCCCACAACTCACCATCCAACGCGTCACCTTCCAATCTCCTCGCGGCCTCGCCTTCGCCGCCCTCTTCTGCTGGAGCGGCACAGACCTCGAGGAAGGAAAACAATGGAGCGAAAAGATCGCCGCCCTAGGCCCAGCAAAGATGAACATGGTCAAACCCACCACAATCCCAGAATGGATTGGTGGCGCAGGTGCACACGTTCCTAGTAAAGTTTACGGATGCAGCTGGACAAAGAATCTTTCCAACATCACACCAGCAGTCGCTGAGACCATCGCGCGTCACCTTAGTATTCTACCCAATGATCCGGGTGCCATGTTTTCCCTCCACCAGCTGCGTGGCCCGTCTGCAGCACAACAGGAACATGGTTCTGTCTTCGGGCCGAGGGAACCGCATTACATGCTTGAGATTCTTGCGTATGCAGGCACACCTGAGAAGCAGGCTGAGTCTGAGGCTTGGGGGAAGAAGATGGCAGATGAGGTGGAGAAAGCTGCTGCTGGGAGTATTTTGCCTACGTCTTATGTGTCGATTTACAGTTCGGCCCATGCTGGGTCAGCGGCCAAGTGGGTTGATACAGTTTATGGAGAGAGAGCTGGGGCTCTGCGTGATCTGAAGGCGAAGTTTGATCCGGAGAATGTGTTTAGATTGACTGTGCCCTCGCTGGAGTAGAAAGAAGACTTAAAGAAATATACATATTCGTGTACTTTGTGCGTTGGAAGACGTCGGACATAATGGTGATAATTATTTAGTAAATGATCATGATGCATTTTATAACACGTTTTGTACATGCTCTGCAGTCTCTATTTTTAGTGCGAAGATAACACTCAAAGCCAAGTTATATTATTGTTCGGCCTCCGTTCCAAGGTTGGAAGAGAGCGCGGAAACGTTTTCCAACTCGGGATCTCCACTAACATGATAATGCAGTCAGACACGACTAAATTCCTTGTAATATTCGTATTGACATTAATGCAGATCACAACGAACTAAATATTCCTTCAAGCGAGACAATGTTTCGTGGCGCATGCAGGACCGGAGTGGGGAAATTTACCGAATCCTGTATTTCACCACCAATACCGTCAGGCGGGACATCCCGCGCTACTCATGCAATGCAAGACCTGAATCCGTCATCCCACCGGATGTCAAAGCGTGGCCCTAATCTGCGATTTACCTCAGGCTTATTCTACACACTCTCGATGTTGTGGTCTCCCCCACGCCGGGATGTTCTCATCAAAAAAAGAGGATGCTCGCTATTCATTACTAGCAGATCCCCAAAACCATGATGAATCCAGCGATGGAATTGAAAAAGGTGATAAACTGTCGTGGACGAGCAAGCAATCATATTGGTCATATATACATCGACCTATATTGATCCCGCTGCTTGTTCTTATCATCTCTGCGCTGTCGGTGACATTGGTCATTCTATCTACTGCAACACCAAAGGGTTGCCGGCACCCCCGTATTCGACGAGAGTGGAGGACATACAGCAAGGCTGAGAGACAAGCATATGTGGATGCGGCAGTCTGTTTGACGCGGACGCAATCGCCGACTGATTCACGAGTCTCTATCCATGATGACTTTTCGTACTTGCATAGCCGTATCGGCAACTACTGTAAGCCAGAATTTATATTCTCATGCATTAAACACTGAAGCTTACAATGAGTCTTCCTGGTTCTCCAATTAGCACACGACGCTGCCCCCTTCCTCCCATGGCACCGCTATTTCATCCATGCGTACGAAAAGGCATTGAAAGACCATTGCGGCTATAAAGGAACTCTACCGTGAGCAAACGCCAAGCATTTAAAGCAGTCTTCGTCGCATTAACACATCGACAGATATTGGGATTGGTCAAAAGACCACGAGAACGTCCTCGAATCACCGATTTGGGATACTGATGCCGGATTCGGGCCTAATGGTGACCCAACAGGCCCGGAAGGCGTTTCGAAAGGACATTGTGTAAGAAACGGTTCATTCGCTGGCTGGACACCCGCATGGTATCAGGGCGAGTATCGGCCGCATTGCCTATCTCGTGGCTTTCTAGACGTGGCTACCGCGGAAGAAGTGAGCGCGCGCACAGTCAAGCCGGAGATACTAGAGGCAGTGGTTGTGGACGAAACGAACTTCTTCAACTTCACCGTGCACGTCGAGGATGTTTCTCATCTCACTGTTCCATTTCTTGTTCACGGTGATTTCCGAAGAATTACAGCGCCTAATGGTGAGTCATTGCAGTACCCTTTCATTGTAAGATGGTATATCTAATTGTCGGTAGATCCCGTTTTCTTTCTACATCATTCCCAGATTGATCGTCTTTGGTGGAGCTGGCAGAAGTACTCCGGAGATAGATTTTCGCAGTATAATGGCCCTGCGCAGTTTGATGGAGATGTGGAGGGCGTGCTTACGGACTTGCTCGAGTACGGCGGTTTCCTACCCTTTGATCCCAGTGTCGGTGATCTGATGGATACGGAAGGAGATGTGTTATGTTACCGGTATGATGTGGGCGTAGTAGGTTCACGCTGAATACTAAGAATACACCTCTACATGGCGCTACCTGGGGACTTAAGGAGTTGCGGAAATGATTGTCCAAACAAAGAGCGGCATCCTCATGGCATCATTGTGCTACCATGGACGACATTACAGCTTCTTTCATACATTGCATTATATCCACTGAATTGCGTTTTTGTACCTGCTCATGATTGCTATGGATAAAGATTCGAAATACTCGCGACTCAACTCGCTTGTCGATAAATAATCCAAATTTCGATCCATCAGTATGCCCAAGGTCATTCCATCATCGACCGCAGTGCGGAACTTCTCCTAATTCTGCAGATCATCTACAATATGGCTGAAGACAATTGCCGCGAGTGGTTCACCACGTTCATGATGTCATTTACATGGAAACAATCCTTCATCAAGGCCGGCTGGCCCAATGGCAAGGCGCTTGACTACGAATCAAGAGATTGCAGGTTCGACCCCTGCGTCGGTCAATTTTTTTGGTCTGAAGAGACTCGGTCAATTGCAGTGGACAAGAATTTTTTTCTTCGCTTCGCTGTGGTTGGTGGGCGGGAGTCTGAGGGACCCGCTCTGGGTCCATCCAAAATCTGATTGAAAGCCTAATACATGTTTTTCATTAATCTTCATCTAGGGGAACTTTGAACTTTGCCAATTGTTTACATGTATCACATTGCAGAGCCATCAAGTGCCGGACTCAGAAAAGCATCTTCAAAAAGATAGCTGAACGGAAATGCGGAGTTCATAACATCCGAATTGTCATCGTGCGGAAGCTCCTCCCATACACAAGCGTCTTCTTCCGGGGTAGATGCAACATCTGAAGTGAAGGTTCCAATTTCATCTGTTTGGTGGATCAGTTGCAGGTTTCCTGCTGAAGCTTTCTCGGATTCCGGGAAAGATACACCTGAGTGTCGCCTGAACATTGATGTAAAAAAGGGGTAAACCGAAGCAATAATCGGCTGCGATGCGCGTAGGTCTTTGAGAATGCGCAAGCAAAAGCGCGCTCGATGCTCGGAAATGGATCTGATTTGGGGTTCTCCCCTGCCTATATTCGCGATATGGAAACAGAGTGTAGACATTACAGTGGGCAGTCTAAAAGAAATATGTCAGTTGTTTCCTTGGCTCCCAATCTGCTCTCACGTACGCATGAATGGCAACAGAGGACAATATGCGCCTTGTGGCCAAGTCCTCGAGCATGCGGTAAATCCTTGTGCATATTTGGAATATTTCGGAGCCGGGGCCCATTTTCTGCGCGGCATCAGGACTCTTTCGACGGAAAAGAAGTTGATACTGGCTGTTGAAATGTTTGATGATGAGTCTGTATGCATGACAATGATCCGGAAGCCAAGAATCGAGTATACTTACTTGTAGGTTATTTGTGTCAATATGGCCCACACACTGTTCGAGGATTCGATTCGCAATTCGAACGGAACTTGGGTAGACCAATGCGAGATTTGCTGAAGAAAACCGTTCGGCGAGGATGAAGGTCCCTTGGACAATTGCAAAGGGTGGCAAACTTCGACTGTGAAATTTTCAGCAACGAGATGGGAGCCATCAAAATAACAGACTAGGTTGCAGCGCGGTGGTACGATACCTATTCTGGTAAGCTCGATATAATTTATCAAGAAAAGTCTTCGTTCGCATTCTGTTCCTCCGAGGAAACCCTTCGAACTAGGGCCCGAGGATTCTTCGAAATCATTTTCTGTGAGTGAGGATATTTCACAGAAGTTGTGATGTACGTGGGGTGCCCTATCAAGCCCCATGGAAAGATTAATGTCCGTGGCCTGGAATTTCAGTTAGATTCAGCGAGTATGTGTTGTAGGTATACACATACATAGATTATCCACCACAACCTTCGCCAAAGCCTGCGCTGTCGCGGCTGAAGGTGAGAGTACGTTTTTCTGAAAGATATTAGCTTATCGGCGCTACTAAAAAAGAGCTGAGATGTTCTCGCTACGCACAGTCGATGCATACCAAGCGACTGTGCCATTCCCGCGGTGATACCCAGCCAATACCAAGGATCTTTCTGTGCAAGCGGGTCGCTCCACCAATGGGCAAAGAGAAAAGTTGCCTGGATGACTGAAACCGCATCCTTTTCGTAACCAAAATCGTAAATATCCTTGGCTCGATTATAAAAAGTCAGAGTAGCGATAAAGCGAGACGCAAAGCCAGTTTCACGAATGACAGGCTCAGGACAGTAGATTGTGGCAACCATATATATGGCATTTAATAAGAGATGAGACACACTGCCGGTTTCAATACTTTTCATGAAATCTTCTTGGTCAATAATTGGGATCAAGGGAAAAGCATGTTGAAAAAAGACACTTAGCAGAGTGGTGCTTAAGTCTTCTGGCGGCAGATCGAAAGACCCGTCGCTGTTCAGACGCCCGATTGTAGATTCGCGGAGATTTTGGATGTGTTCTTTTGTTGGTGGATCAATCCACTTTATCATGGCTCTGTGCAGGTATTCTTCGATAGGAGGGACATTCGTGGAATTCTGATCCGGGTGTCCGAACTCTCGAATAAGGTAATTGATATTAGAGGAGTCGGCGACGTACGAAGTTCGGCCAGTGAGGCGAGGAGCCGGCAGAGAGACCCTCGAGCTTGATTCGAGATCAGGGAGCCTGATATCACAGTCTTCCCGTCGTCTAGCGTGCTCATTGATTGCGTGAGTTGGATTAGGATCCCCAGCGACTGGCAGAACTTTCACGGTTGGCAATGTGAGCTTATGCGAATTGGTGTACAAATCATTGAATGGCAGTTTGCGGTGCCTATATTCAAGGTCAAACCTGGTCATCTGCCACTTCTCAAAAGCGCATACCGTCCACGACGAGATAGAATGGGTTCACAGTTGGTGCGGGTGATCCGACACTGAGAGCAAGACACGCCTTCACCTCGGTCGCACTTGACGCGTCGCTTGTGGCATCTCTGGCAAGCCACTTTAGCTGGGGGATGTTTTGGCATGTTGGTAGGTACAAAGATATCCAGATGTAGGTGATAGCCTGCCTTGAGAACACCCATTGTCGACTGGGATGACATGATCATAATGCCCCACGTAATCGCCGAACTAACAGCAGTTTGATTGGTTCTTCAGCCGGCCCCACCAAGTCGCCGAGCTGGGGCTTCTCCGATTGGTGAAGAATCGAAGTCCTCGTATGTACATAGTCCATGTCGATTCGTTTCGTGTCATGAAATAAATATGAACTAATAACATGCACGATCCTGGAGTTTTCCACTACCGCTTTGCTCACTGGAAATATCAGAAAAATGCTCCTTCGGCTGAAATTGGTGCCTCCAATCAGGCTGTCGACTCAGGTATCATGTCGGCCAGCAGTCTCCTTTTTGACATCTACGCCCCTTTCAACCACCAGCCAGACGATCTACCACAGACCTAGATTGGGGCCTGGGCATATGTTCTCATCTACCAATTCAGCTAGTAGCTTGGGTGGTGGACAAAAGTTTCACGCCAATTCCACGGCATTGGCGCACGACAAGTCAGGAGCGGCTGGCTACATGCTGTATGCTGTCTCCCCAACACCTGAATTATTATTCATGCTAACGAGTTTTTACGAAGGGCCAAATCTGATCAACTTGTCAACTGGGCCAGACAGGGGTCCCTTTGGCCCTTGACCTTCGCATTAGCCTGCTGCGGCGTCGAAATGATGGGGGCATCGATGCCCAGATACGACCAGGACCGGTTAGGGCTCATTTTCCGTGCCTCTCCGCGTCAAGCCGACGTTATGCTTGTTGCTGGTACGGTATGCAACAAGATGGCACCCGCCTTGAGGCAACTCTATGACCAGATGCCTGACCCGAAATGGGTCATCAGTATGGGAAGCTGTGCAAATGGAGGCGGATACTATCATTACAGCTATAGTGTCGTACGCGGAGTCGATCGAATTGTTCCAGTTGATATTTATGTGCCGGGATGCCCGCCAACTCCGGAAGCCCTGTTGCAGGGAATCTTTCTACTACAAAAGAAGATTCGACGGACTCCCGTGACCAGGATGTGGTACAGAAGATGACACCTGGATGTAGCTATGCCACCTTCTCAGGTAAAAGCTGATCGTTCAGTGGTCAAGGGTTTTCAGGGAAATTTATGACAGACATTTGCTCTTATTGATTTCTCTTGTTGTTCTCACCAAATGTACATAAATGACAGGATGCAAATGACGCGAATCCTTTAGAGTCTTGGAAGGCTCTGGATATCCATCTTTTTGTACGAGACATCGTGTCTAAGCCCTGGAACTATTCTTGTCTCTAGCCTCTCTTACCTATCTCGTATTTCCTCTTCTTCCTGTCAATGCCTTTCCATTCCTTTCTCAATAGGCACTACGCTATCTCCCGAGATCAATATACGCTCTGCTTACCCTCTTCTCTTTTTCCCCTGCTAGTAGTTTACTATTTCTCTTTCACATCTTTATCTAATGATACGTCTTATTATAGATAATGTGAAATGTGATGATAAACTGAATGGAGTAGTTCTCTATATAAGCAGTATATATCAAATCTAGACCTATAAGCCAACGCCATCCAAGATCGGATACGGGTGGTCGAATAAATCCTTCAAGTCGATCCCAAGCAGCTCCAACCCATCGATGTGGTAACTCGGATCATCAATAAGAGGAAGAAATAGCTCATCGGCTTTATGAAGTGTGTTTGGGGTCCATAGTGGTGTCGTACTGGGACCGGGCGCCAATGGTTCCTGAGACAATGCTGGGAGCGAGTCGGCCATCTGGTTATAGTTCTCCGCCTCGGCGCCGGGGAATATGACAACAGATTGCGTGGTCCCCGTTGTCTCCGTAACAGCAGGTTGAATGCTGGGGCCTGGTTCATTGGTGCTTGGGTCGGGAGTTTTGCATTTATTCTTTTCTTGTCGTTTCTCGGTCACATACTGCCGTGCGAGGTGTGCGAACTCCGCTATCAATGAGCCAGGCAAAGTCCCCTTACTTGCAAATTCTAAACGGCTGAAGTGTCCACCCGCAATGTCAAGGAGAGCAAGGCTAATGCCTGTTTCGGGATGTTCGGGGTTATGGACTACCAAGTCAAAAAGAATCAGGAGGCACGAGAGCGGCATCACACCTAGGATCCTAAATTTAAAACATCAGCAACTCACTAGAATTCATGCGTGCGCCCCATTGTATTGGTGAGCGGTCCATGTCCAAGAGCTTCTTTCTCTCGACTTACCAGATTGGCGTCGAAGGAGCCACGTCGATGTATTTAGTTAACTCCAAAACAGATCGGGCTGTACGCATCAGCTCACGCTTCAACTCCAACTGTTGATTAGTTCGCAATCGAGCGGCACTGGAATGTAGAAGTTTCCACGAGAGGGTAAGCAATGCATTTAGGTACAGATAATGTGTCATGAGCGCAACTGTCTGTGCAAGTGGTTCGCGTAGCAAGCGTGGCTTGAGTTGTTCTCCAGCACGAAACCTCATGGGACTAGACAAACGCCACGCTTCCAACTGCTGGAGCAGAACCTGTACTTTTGCACTGTAGTCTACAACCGGCTGATTGGTCGAGCTTATAGTGAAAAGGTCGCTATGAATCTTTGACACCAGACGACCATATTGCAAGAAACTGAAAAACCAATCATAGTCATAAAAAGTCGACACTTTCACGTCTGGGATAGCGCAGCTGATATTTGAGTCGTGCAAGACCTGAATCCATTGTCAACGAGATTCCAGGAAGGCCGTGGATGCAATAATCACTGAAACTTTGCCTGTCATGAAGCAGGAGACCTTCTCCATGAAATACAGTACCCAAAACGTTCGCCGGTGTGACTCTTCACTGAGGCTATTAGATCTATTATAGCCCAGTCCCTGTGCCATGATTGCAGCCTCCGACAGCATAAGAGGCTCGAATTGGAAAGCTGATGGGGTCGAGGAAAAGATCGCCTAGAGATCTTAGCACCCACCCTACACTCGCACCAAGGACCAACTTTTCATACCATTGCCATAAGCGCCTGAGAGCTCGTGAATGCGATTAGCTTTTTCTCGGGATCATGGAATGGAATTAGAACAGACCTGCACCGCCGTGAGCGATCCACGACAGAAGATAATGTCCTGAAAGTGTGATAATGAGCGTTCAAAGTATGTCCACGCCTCACCGACGCCGGCTTCAAAACTGCCACCTTCATTGTATTGGCAGCCAATGGCTACGACGGCGTAGTAAAGTGCGGCCCAGGCTCTGTCTGTGGCCAGAAGATTCAATAGATTTGGAGCTGACGCTTGGCGTTGGAAGGTCTTAGCACAAAGGAAAGGGTACAAAGGGTGGACCATTTCAAAATACACTGAAACAATGGCCAATTAGTGACTCAATATCTTAGAGGCCAGTGTCGATATACCAACCAAGGATATGCGCCTTAAACGACTCATGAGGTAGAACTTGCTGAGCCGGCTCTGACTGGCGTCCTTGAAACGCCTTAGATCCTGGAATAGAAGCAGCAAGCCTTACTCTGGATGCTACAAGCTCTCGGATCTCTTCGAGCAGATGCTCGAGTCGATGGTTGCCAAGTCTTTGACTGATCAAACGAACTCTCTTTTCCGGGAAAAAGGATATGTTGGGGTTTGGGCCACATAACGCCATCAACTAGACCAAACGCTACGGTCAGCCAGATAAAACAGTGCCCAGAAAAGTAATCCATACTTGATCAGGATGATTGACACCTCTACGAATGCGCGAGGCCTGCCTATCGGCAAGCAAAGTGTCGATATACAATATAGACAACGTGCCGCTGCGGTTAACTTGTTGGGAGTCAAAAGCCTCATGCCTCTCTGGGATAGTCCCAGACCTTACTGGCAGCTCCCCTGGTATTCGTGAGCGGTATTCCAAGATATTTCCAGGTGACACGTTACCTGGCTGGCTCAGCTTGCGCTTTCTGGGTTGTTTGACGTAGCTAAAGCTACACGGACTGTTGCGCGACTGTACGTCATATTCGTCATTCTTCAAAATACCAGGAAATTGAATAGCTGATCTACTCACGAGACAGAATTCGCAAGCATCGGCGCCACTCGTCTCTGGTCTCCGGCGTTAGCGGATCTTCAGATAGACCGTACAGCCGGAGCAGCACTTACTACATCGGGCCTTCCGGGCCCGGCATGTATCGCAAGCCTTGTGCAGTAACATCTCCATCGTGAATGATCGAAAAGCACAAAATCGGAGACGGAGGCCACGCGGGCGTGGGACCTCTTAAGACGTTCCCACCTTCGGCGCCGATGGAAGATTGAGGCATCCAATCATGTCGGTTCATTCGGCCGTTGGATGCCCCACACCCTTCGGCTCCGAAATTGGTAAACAATAAACAGGGTGGAGATCTTATACACATGCTTAATTGTTTAGATAGAATCGCCACTATGATCCCCTTTAATATATTCGAATGCATAATGACGCTAGTGGGCTCAACGCCGGTAATGACCGGATGCGCGAGATCAACTATATATGACCTTGAAAACCCGCTGCTTTTCATATCTACACTCGACCGAACATCTCTTATGATACTCATAAGCACATTTGTTTTTCCTTTGCGCGCCATTTCCGCAGATTCAACATGTCTTCCGCCGGGGGCGGGTCTACTTCAAGCTCCGACGAGAAGCCAGAAAAGCCCGCTGATATCTCGCCAGAAAATCGGCAAAGAGTTGCGAGGCTCGCTAGGCAATTGACAGACACGTCTATCCATGCGGCCCCTGCATCTAGCCCTTTCCATGGCTCCAACGACCCCAAGCTTGATCCTAGCTCCCCGAGTTTCAGTGCCAAGCACTGGGCCGAAACCGTGATTGCGTTGATGTCCACTGATGCCGAACGGTACTTGCCGCGAAAGGCCGGTGTCTCGTTCCAGAATCTGAGTGTGCATGGCTTTGGCAGTCCAATTAGCTACCAAAAGGACTTTCTGAACGTTGTACTACAAGTGACCGACATCCTGACGGGTTTGATAAATCGCAAGGATCAGAAGATTCAGATTTTGAGAGATCACAACGGCTTGCTTCGAAGTGGTGAGATGCTACTTGTGTTGGGAAGACCGGGCAGGTAGGTAGTCGAGCTCCTCCATATGACCTCTGATCTAATTATTTGATAGTGGAGTTTCAACATTTTTGAAGTCAGTTGCGGGAGAGACAAAGGGGCTTTACTTGGATGCATCCACGGAGTTCAATTATCAGGGTAAACAAACACTCAATCATAACCCCTTCTAATCTAAAAATCATAACCCCTTCTAATCTAAAGTCTGACAAAGTCTCGTCTTTCAGGAATTCCTCGCAAAGCAATGCGCAGACAGTTCCGTGGTGATGTCATCTACCAAGCCGAGACAGACGTGCATTTCCCCCACTTAACTGTTGGACAGACGCTTTTGTATGCGGCTCTAGCAAAAGCTCCCAGCAATCGACTACCTGGTGTTTCTCGCGAGAAATATGCGCAGCATGTGCGCGATGTGATCATGGCCATTTTTGGTCTTTCCCATACCCTTCATACCAAAGTGGGCAATGAATTTGTTCGTGGTGTCAGCGGTGGTGAGCGCAAGCGAGTCAGTATTGCTGAGGTTGCGCTTGCACAAAGTCCTATCCAATGTTGGGACAATAGTACCAGAGGACTGGACAGTGCTACAGCCTTGAAATTTGTTCAAACTCTTCGTCTGGCTGCGGATATCAACAGTACAGCCACAATTGTGGCCCTGTACCAGGCTTCTCAGGAATCATATGAGGTACAAGACACGCCTGCTTCTCCTTTGTCTACTTCCTGAGTCATATCAACATACAACCTTAGGATGCTGATTTTCTATGGGCAGATCTTTGACAAAGTTGCTGTCTTGTACGAGGGCCGTCAAATTTACTTCGGTCCGGTACATCAAGCCAAGGAATACTTTATCGAACTAGGATATCATTGCCCAGATCGTCAGACCACTGCGGACTTCCTTACATCTCTCACAATGCCCGTTGAGCGAGTGGTTCGAGCCGGATTTGAAGATCGTGTTCCTCGAACACCTGACGAATTCGCAAAGGCATGGAAGGAGAGTGCTCTCAATAGAGAATTGATGCAGGAAATCACCGAGTTCGACAAAGAACATCCGGTCGGAGGGCCTGCAGTTACTCGCTTCCAAGAGTCCAGAAAAGCCGAGAAAAGTTCATTTATGTGAGAATCTATCGTGTCCTGGAGGAGTTCCCCATAGACTGATGATTATTTGCAGGACGCCCCATTCACCATATACAATCTCAGTCCCTTTGCAAGTTCTCTTATGCATTCGTCGAGGCTTTCGTCGGATTCAGGGTGACATAAGTTTCTTTGCCGTTACCGTTGGCGGTAACTTTGTCATGTCTCTGATTCTTGGAAGTGTCTTCTTTGACCTAGCAGACACCAGTGCAAGTCTTAACAACCGATGCATCCTACTTTTCTTTGCATTGCTATTCAACGCTCTCAACAGTTCTCTCGAGGTATGTGATCTGGAAGCCAAATCAACTTTGAACATCACTCAAAAGCTAACTTTCCATAAAAGATCCTTTCTCTATACGCCCAGCGACAGATTGTTGAAAAGCATGCGACTTATGCATTTTACCATCCACTATCAGAAGCTCTAGCTTCCATGATCTGTGATCTTCCTTCCAAGATGCTGTCAACCGTGGCCTTCAACATTCCCCTCTACTATATGGCTAATCTGAGAAACGAGTCTGCTCATGTGGTCATCTACTTGCTATTCGCTTTCTCCTCAACGCTGACAATGTCAATGATATTTCGTACAATTGGCCAATTGACCCGGACCATTGCCGAAGCTCTGACACCAGCTGCTCTTTTGGTTATTGGTCTGGTGATGTACACTGGGTTCATCATTCCCATTCGCAACATGCAGGGCTGGCTTCGTTGGATTAACTACATCAATCCGCTTGCTTATTCCTACGAGGCGCTGGTTGCAAATGAGTTTCACAATCGGAATTTCGATTGCGAAAGCTTTGTGCCCGAAGGTCCTAGCTATGGGAACATCACAAGTGCCGAACGGACTTGTTCAGTGGCTGGAGCCTCAACTGGGTCATCTGTGGTCAACGGGAACCTTTATGCTGACGAGAATTATGGGTACTATTATTCACATGTCTGGCGGTTTGTCTTCCCATTGTATCGGCTGAAAGGATGAATCTAGCTGACTCGTTACACAGAAACTTTCGGATTCTGATCGGATATATTGTCTTCTTCATGGTTGTGTATGTCTTGACAGCTGAGTACATCACTGCCGACCGAGGCAAAGGCGATATTCTCCTCTTCAGGCGGAAGCATATCTCGACTTTGAAGGAAAGAAACCAGGGAGATGAAGAGTCTGCATTTGAAAAGGGTCCTGCAGTCATAGAACCCGGCATAGATACCGAGCAAGGCAGTGTGGGAGAGGACAAGACAGTTGCTATTCAAGAACAAACAAACGTTCTGCATTGGCGAAACCTTACTTATGATGTCCCCATAAAAGGCGGGATACGGAGAATTTCGGATCACGTCGACGTCTGGGTCAAGCCAGGATCGTTGACGGCTCTGATGGTAAGCATAGCGTTCCCCTTGAACCTCTCTATATTTGATTCACAGACTTATTCATGGTCCAGGGAGCCTCGGGTGCAGGAAAAACCACGCTTCTCGACGTGCTAGCTAACCGAGTACGAACAGGTATTGTAGGTGGCGATATCTTCATAAACGGCCTTCCGCGAGATGCCTCGTTTCAGCGTCGAATAGGCTACGTCCAACAACAAGATCTTCATCTTGAAACTGCCACGGTGAGGGAAGCATTGCAGTTCAGCGCTCTCCTCCGACAGCCTGAGACGGCCAGTAGGGAGGAAAAACTACAAACAGTTGAAGAGGTCATTGACCTTCTTGAAATGAAACCTTACGCAGAAGCTGTCGTCGGTGTCCCGGGAGAGGGTTTGAATGTCGAGCAGCGGAAACGGCTGACAATTGGTGTGGAGCTGGCAGCAAAGCCAGATCTCCTATTCTTTCTGGATGAACCGACATCAGGACTCGATAGTCAAACTGCCTGGTCAATCTTGCTGCTGCTGCGAAAGTTGACCAACCATGGACAGGCTATTCTCTGCACCATTCACCAACCTTCCGCAATGCTCTTTCAACAATTCGATCGCCTTCTTTTATTGGCAGCTGGAGGTCGCACAGTGTACTTTGGGGATATTGGAGAAAACTCTCAGACTCTGACCAATTATTTCGAGCAATACGGAGTCGAGCACTGTGCAGTAGATGAGAATCCGGCAGAGTGGATGCTTCGAGTGATCGGAGCTGCTCCAGGAACCACTACAATCCGTGACTGGCCAGAGACTTGGCGCAAAAGTCCAGAGTACTCGAAAGTCCAGAAGTATTTGACGTTTTTGGAAAAGGAAGCGAAGCTCGAGGGAAAATTCAGTACTGGCCTGACTCAGGAGTTTGCCAGCCCGTTCTACATGCAGCTTCTACTCTGCACCAAACGTGTATTTGAGCAGTACTGGCGAACGCCTTCCTATCTTTATTCCAAGTTGGCCATGTGTTTTATCACTGTGAGTGTGGTGGCAGTCCTGTGCGAAAATTCTATTCAATACTAACCCATCCACCTTTTTCCCAGGCTTTGTTCATTGGACTTTCCTTTTTGCAGACTAAAATCACTGTGCTCGGGTTGGAGCATCAGATGTTTGCCATTTTCATGCTTCTCATTATATTTCCATTTCTTGCTTACCAGACAATGCCAAACTTCATTCTTCAGCGTGACCTCTACGAGGTGCGCGAGTGTCCGTCCAAGGCATATTCTTGGGCTGCATTCATTTTGGCCCAGGTCACCGTTGAACTGCCTTGGAACTCATTGGCTGCTGTTATCACTTTCTTCCCCTTCTACTACCTCATTGGCATGAATCAAAACGCGGTTCCAACACATGCCGTCACCGAAAGGGGAGGTTTGATGTTCTTGCTTTTGTGGGCTTTCTTGATGCACTGTAGCACATTCACCACGATGATCGTGGCTGCAGCCGCCACAGCTGAGATTGGTGCAATCCTAGCCTTGCTACTGTTTACGTTCTGCTTGATTTTCTGCGGGTAAGCTAATCTATTGATCCACGCATTGCTTTTCACTAACACTTTTGTCAGTGTCATGGCTTCTCCCACCCTGCTTCCAGGGTTTTGGATATTCATGTACCGTGTTTCACCATTGACCTATCTCATCAGTGGCATGCTCTCTGCTGGACTAGGAAATATCGATGTTCAGTGCTCTGATTTGGAGCTAACCTTTGTCCAGCCTCCTTCTGGCGTGACCTGTGGGAAATATCTAGCAGACTACATGGCGACAGCTGGTGGTGCAGTTTACAACCCCAATGCCACGGCTGATTGTGAATTCTGTTCTATGACAGAGTCAAATGTCTTTTTGGCGTCTGTTTCGTCATACTACAGCGAACGCTGGAGGAACTTTGGCTTGATGTGGGTTTATATTGCCTTCAACGTATTCGCTACATTGGGGTTGTACTGGTATATTCGGGTACGTGGCTGCCCTGGGTTTTCGCGTTTAGGGGCCAGGATTAGTCGAGCATGGAAGGCTTTGTCAGGCAAGGGGGGGAACTCGAATTAGTGATTTTTGGTCGGCGGAAAGAGTATTGATTATAGCATAGGTCGATAGATTATTCGCGTCGATATAATATACTATTAGTAAACTACCAAGGTATCTATAGTTATGGAACTGGAATGCGATAGACAGATTCAAATGATTGCGTCAATGTCTTCCTATGCGTTTACACCTCTATCTCTACATCCGAGGACAGCAAGTCAGGACAATCAAGGGACTAGAAAACATTCACCTTGTAGTTGTTGAAAATTTTTACATCCCGCCGCATACATAGCAGAGCTAAAAAGCTGTACATATCATGGTTTCATTCGCGTTACTGAGAAGCTCACTATTTGCGTACAAGTAAAACATCGTAGTCCACGAAGTACGCCTTTGAATTAGAGCAAGCCAGCATTGGTGAGATTCTGGGTCACCTGTTCATGATGCGGACCTTGCTCCATGGCTTGCAAAGGCTCTTGCTTCCTGCAGTAGATATAAATGACCTCAAGTATCATCGCTCCCAGCGTTGAGAAACTGTTTGGTATCAATTTAGCATTCCCTTCCTCAATGTAGGCACAAGATTACAAAACAAGTTAAGAAATACACTTACAAGGCAATGAAGCTAAATGCTTCTGCAGCATATTTGCGACTGCAAACTGTCTCTCCGTTCCAACGCAGAATACGGCAATTGATCTGATTGAAGTCGAGTGCCAGGAAAATGAAGGAGGTAATCCATCTAGAGAATTTAGTTACTGTAAGCCCGAAAGTGAGTTCCTTGATCGACAGATTTCTCACAAATAGGATAGAACCGTATCCGTCGCAAATAGTAGGAAAATATGCCAGGTACGACGTCTTAAGACGAAGCTAGCAGTTATTGACACCGGCAGAATAACAATTGCCAAGGCAGCCTACGTTTTTGTCAGTCGCTATAAACGATTGTAAAGTAGTTCACAACATACAATCACCAGAGAGTATATGACTGTGACTGTTTTCGTATCTCGTGCTGCCCATGCTGTTATTCCAAGGACGACGATCGCACTGATGAACTGGATCAAGCGAGCGATGTAGGCCACAATACCCAAGGGGTGATGATAAAAGCTCTCCATTGCGAAATATATTCCCAAGGCTACTTGACGTGAAAAGGCCAGTAATTTACCCCAAGACTGGGAGCAGGCTATGTGGTTTATATATGGATGACTAATTTTTAAATTTTGGATTTCCCGGATCATCCACGATATCGATGATCTCACCACTTATGTTGATTCCTGAAGACCCCATTGTATGACAAGGCCACCCAATCAAACCTTGCAGAGCGATTCCGAAATATGAGATTCTTTTGGTCAGGGAGGTACGACGGAACTCAATCTGAATGCGAATAATATGCGAAGAGTCACAATTCACTCGACCATTTTGACATGGTGCGGCTTGGATGTGTTTCCTTTAGGACGTAATCAATGAAACTGCCAAATGGTATTTCGATATGCAATACGTCTGCTCTGTCGTTTCTTGGGGAGTGACTTGCTCTCGGGACCATTCCAACGTGGTTATCTCCAGGGTGGCCACGAATGAGTCACTAGACCTACCATAATCTCTGCCAAGCAGGCTTTGAGGCCCGAAGTGTGATGACATCTAATGCAGACTCAGACCACGAATCCAGCTACAAACCCAGTCCGGTGACTTTTGAAATCCGAATGCACGTGGCGTACCGATAGACTTTTGTGGGGGGAATTGATTTGAATTCAGGAAACAGGAAAGATCCAGATACCCCAGTATAACGATCCCCATAACTAACCTCGGATCGAGAATTTATCTACTGTGAACCGGAGTAAAGGGACGTGAGGTTTGATTCCAAGGCATACAAGGGAAATGTGAGCTATAAGCGAGGATTCGATAAACGACTTTGATCTTTGAATGGGTGGTAAAATGGGGGCAAATCGCTCTCAGTCGCCCCTGATCGTAATCTTTGTTGGCCTCACTTGCCATTAACTACCTCAATACTCGTATTGATGGCCAGGAGTAGTGATAAATAAAGGGTAAAGATTGATTCCCACCGGAATCTCGCGAAACAACAGGTCGTGCATTAGCGAATGTAGGATGGATGGCAGTTCAGTGTGCTGGGAACAAGCTAGTAATGCCTTATGGTCATGTTAAAAACAAAAAGAAGCGCAAACATGGCTTGACTCGAAGCCGCAGATAAATAAGGTTTCGAGAAGATCTCCTGCAGTCAAGGTTGCGAGCCAGGCCGTCGCACAGATGTGGCCACGGTAGGTCTAGATTAAAAGTATTGATAAGCAACATGGGGATTGAATTTGAGAATAACGCACAGGAGAACCTGCCTAGGCTACAGAGGACTACTTTACCATTGGGCATCAATCATAACGGGTAAAAAGACCGTAGCTTGGAATGTGTACTGAAGCCAAGCCGTCAAACTAAAATTTAGCTCTCATGGCAAATTAGCAATGATACTACATTTCGAAAATGCTATATCTATATGTGGTTTGATTTACTAAATACTTGATCCACGAAGTGACGGCGTAATAGTTGCTCTGAGAGCGGAAATGGTACCAAGTGTAAAATGGCAGAATGGCAAAATCAACGTCTGTGCTTTTTTGTATGACGTCGTCCGTCTGGCTATTGATTCCATTGCGTATCTCAATTAACAAGACAGGTATGATAAATTTCCCAAAAACAAATATCCTAAGCCTTGAAGATCAAGAGGAACTATGCGTCTCCAATATGTGATAGTTTGTCGCTGCTAAACCTCATCCTTCCGGGTTGCGAATCTTTCCTCATATCGGGATTGAAGAAAAAGTCGAAGGAACACTGGATATTTCGCTATGTCAGGACCGGAAAACGTATGCTTTTATTATTCTCTCCTTCCTCACTGTTATTCATGCGACCGACAAAAATTGCTGACAGTTCGCAGGGGCCCCCAGATCGAGGGTTAGCCCTCATACTGGTGACTTCTATACTGATTTTTTTAACCGTGGTGGTGGTCGCGTTGAGATTAGTGGCGCGTATCTTCATGTTGCGTCTTTCTGGCCTGGATGATTGGTGTGCTTTAGCCGCAACCATAGTTGCCATCGGCCTCGTTATTTCTACGTGCTTAGGTTAGTATGATACGTTCTTGCAGGAAGATATCGTTAACAAGACGATTCCCAGGAGTCAAATACGGAACAGGCAAGGCAGAGCCAAATACAGAGATAAACTTTCGCATATTGGGAAAGGTTTGTGTCAATTGATAGCTTGATTCAGACGGGCATTGACTCAATATAGATTCAACTAGCGACTCAGGTACTATACATACTGTCGAGTGGGCTGATCAAGCTTTCGATATTATTTCTATACCGTCGGATTTTCCAGCATCTTCGCATTATGATCTTTGTCAGTATTGCGTTTGTTGCGCTGATTAGTATCGCTTTCATCTTTGCAGCAATCTTCCAGTGTAGGCCAACTGGAATTCTCTGGACCAACCGTGATGGGAGCAACAATTCTTGCATCTCGATTCTGGTGTTCTGGTGTGATGTAGCCGTCATTTTCCTGATCAGCAACGTATGGATTGTGGTCTTGCCTATCAAACCTATAATTGGTATGCCAGCCCTGCACTTGTGCGAATATGACGGAACGCTTACTTTGATATCTCTTCTGGATAGGCCTTCATCTTGCCCTGAGGAAGAGAATGGCTATTTTGGGACTTCTATGTTCCAGTGGACTACTGTAAGTCTCCGAAGTTAAACGTTTGAGAACTCGGATCCAGGCTCATAGAATAGGGCCTGTGCTGCCGCTGCGGTGCGACTAGCATTTGTGATTCATCTCTATCGAGGACATGATCCATCCTTGGATATTATTCCCATCTACATTTGCTCCATTGTGGAAATATCGAGTGCATTAGTGGCCTCTAGTGTCCCTGCGCTAAGACACGCACTCCCCAAGTGCAGAGGGTATCTTCCAAGTGCCAGAGATAAATCTAGCGACATCCAATCATCCGCATCTCCAGTCTGACTGTTGACGCCTATCTACCAGTCGGTTTCCTGCACCTGACAACTCATTGCACTTTTCTCTGACGACAACTGGGTCGAGCAAGAAGACTGTGCAAAAAATCACTTCGGCTCTTGTTCAACTTAGAAGTCTTCCATTCTGTAGACACTATACGATGGTTCTTCATACGGATGAGCACTAAGAAGCTCATTAGCAAAAGAGCCAAATACATCATTACAGATATCATCGGTCGCGATGTCCAACGTCAAAACTTGCCTTTTCAGAGCCTCGACTGCTTTCCTAGCAATATCTTCCCCTACACAGATTGTCTCAACTCTTATCTCTGGAACCTCCTCTAACTGCCCAATTTTTCCAATGTGGGGATCTGCTGAATTTCCAGGCCGAAATTGCCCAGTTCCCATGGTAGTCCAGCAGCATTCAGAGTAGTTCCCTGGCCCAGGATACCTTCCTGCACCAGCAGCGAAGATAGCATCTTTGCAAACGGCAAGAGCAGATGGAGGCACGGAGAAGACAAGCTTAAATTTCAAAGGGAGGCGAGATACGTTCGTCATATTGAAATACGTTTCAAAGGATGTAAATTGTCGGAGGGGAAGCATAAACAGGAAGTTGGGTGGTTAGGTGGGGAAAGAGGGGAACCCGGGCAAGGCTCAAATTAATGTATGCAGTACGTATATTATCCAACCTATTGCAAAACCAGCTTCGCCGTTTCCGTCTTTCCAAATTGTCAGCCTCACTGCCGATATACTAGGCCAAGAATGGAGGTTTTTCCAATGAAATCACTTACATTTCACAATCAAATGATATTATACTTATGGATATTCCAAGGTCATTGTCGGCCTGGGCAGCTAATAATGACTTACAGCTGATTGGTTCTGTAGTATTCTCATAAAGACCATTGGCGCGCTGTTCAATGAGGCAAGCATACATGGCTTAGTTGAATCCATTCCCGCAGCCACGACGGTCTTCGAAGTAGTCACAGTATTTTGATCCTGCGAGAAAGCAGAATGCGCGAGCCAAGGCCCGAAATGATGTGGACGGAAAACAAAAGAAAAGCTTGATCGGTTACATTGATTTATCGGAAATTTCGAATGAACGAGTTCGTTGCTACGTAATAGCGTACCTGAATTAAGGGATGCTACATGTTTACTGGGTCACAATAGTGGAATTATACGTTTACATTAATGATTCTACTTGGCAAATCTTGCATCAAAAGCCTGTCAGGCCATTCGGACTCTTTTCACCTAGTCAAAAAAAGTGACTCAGGTGGACGCGTCACTCTGGATCAATACCGAGCCATCAGCGCCTGTCTTTAATTAAGCTATTGAACTGTCGAAGCGATTCATGTCTTATAATAGAATAAAATCAATGATCGGTCAACATTGGCTGTACGGTCATGTACATCACTGGACTACGCATCATACGGGGCTGGTTGCTCGTGAAGATCTCTATTGATTCAAGGATAGCACTATTCTCTAGGCAGTCTTATCATCACTTCCGGAAGCGGTGGACTTCATAGAGGCCAGGAAGTGTTCAATAATTACCTTCTGGTCAACTTTCTCCGACCTTGTCTCTATGATGTCAATTCGGTACATCTCGTTGACAATTTCACTGGCCCGCACTTGCATAACATCCATCAGCTCACGAAACCAGGACATTCGCCTTTCGTACCAGCCCTCTTGTGTAATACCGCTCAATCTTGTCCTGCTCCGGGTGTGTTCGTGCTGTAACCAAAAAGCATATTCGGCCATCGATCTTTGCAAAAGAATTGGTGAAGAAATTTCCCAATCCCCAATTGTTAACTCGTATACGAAGCGATCATTATTGTAATCTACTTCACGGGTCTGCTATAAAGTTAGATCGTGGTCTACTTGTTGCTTGGTGAATTGTTTCCGCTCGTTTGACTCACCTCACTTCCTGGATTTTTGTCACAATTGTTCTTCTTTGTTTTCATCGCCTCCTTGTGCTTCCGCTTCAGGAGAGTCATCCACTGGGACATGATCTCTTTGAAGCTTAAATTCATCCACGACTGCATGTCTTGCTCCAGTATCTCGATAGATTCCTTCTCTTCGTCTAGTATCACCATGGCATCTTTTTTTGGAGGTCTTTGTGCTCTGAATATGGCCCAGTCTTGGGTAATAACACCTGCCCCTCCATGGCAGCAAACGTGTGTGACATCGACTATGTCGGCTTGTGTCCTGCGAACAAAGGATAAAAGCATCCTTCTTGACGCTTCATGGCCCTGAAACTCTTCAACGATTGAAAGCCACTCAAAAGCCCACGTGAACCCAGGTCCCCTTTCAAAAATACTTGAAATGGGCTGAAGATTGAATGCAGAAGACGTATGGCAACCATTTCCGTCAGAAACACATGGACAGTCGCAATTATCAGGAAGAAAAATATCAGCCCCATGAGCCATACATAGCTTGATTGAATCGATAGTATCCCAAACAAGCCAGCTAATATGACGCAGCTGCGAAATGAGATGGGAAAGAATAGTGCGTCTATCCTTGTCAACGTGATTTGGGTTGCTTCCATTCTCAAGGCAAAATTGGATCAACTTGGCATTTGGCAATTGTGCGATAGAATGCATTGCAAGCTTTGAATGGCTGTTTGCTTGGTTGAAATTTTTAAAGACATGACAAAGAAGAGCATCCGCCTCTTTCCGACTCTTGACGTGGGGTAGTAGGTTGTTTTGGCTTGTGCCTGTGTGGGAATTATCGATTGTGAAGTTCACATCGCCACAAAGGCCAATCAAGTTCTCGAAATATGCCGCTCTTACCAAGTCATCGATCCATTGGTCTTTAGATATCAGTGTCATTATAGCACAGTCAACGAAATAATGGAAGCCCTCCGGGTAAAATGACCGTATTGTATCAAGGGATTCGAAGATGAGCTGCCAGTGACCATAGATGGATGCATATGATATGAAATTCCGCTTCCACCACTTTTCTACTTTAGTGGTGTCCGCGCCTCGTAGAATAAGCATTTGGACAATCTGGCTGTTTCCCATCCCAGCTGCGTACATTAGGGGAGTGATCCCATATTTATCGGCTGTGTCTATATTGTGCCCAGCATCTAAAAGAATGCGAGAGATCTCAACATTAACACTGGCAAAATGTAATGGTGTTTGGCCTAGGAAGTTCCGATCTTCTTCTATCTTCTTTGAACAAGAAGTGAGCCGAATGACAGTCTCAGCTGACTGTAGTAGAACCGCATCATGAAGCGGCGTGGCACCCGCAAAGCCTTGCCATTTGTTAATAGTTGCTAACAATCTGAAGTATATTCAAACTCACCAGGACTAGCATTCGCAATTGTCGCAAGGTACTCAATGAAGAATGGGTCTGGCGTAAATTCCTCCGATCCCCAATTCGGTGATGATGGCTCCGGCCATTTTTGAAACAATGGCGAAGCTATGTTGCTTGGATCAAATCCGCTTTCGAGAATCAGTTCGAGTAAATCAAGATGGCGTCCCTCTCCTATCCAAGCGGCACATTTAAGAAGAAAACTAATCAAAATCCAGATCAGTCACGATTATAATCAATAAATATGGTGGTAGGAACCTTTGGTCCTGATTCTCGAGTGTCAGGTCAAATTCGTGGACTAAAAGCTGCAAGAGAGAGAATTGTTTGTCCTGATCCATCCAAGGCCCATACATAAGAAGCTCCTAATTTTTACTTAAATTAGAACAAACTCAGCAGCTTTGACCTTAAAATGCATGACTTGCCTGTATATAACCCTTCCCATCTGGGTTCACATCGTTCTTGAGGATACTGCCCGATTCACACAGTTCGCGAAAGTTATCTTTGGCTTCCGATAGCGTAATCATATGATTCTGGCACTTCCAGATTATCACGAACCCGGGAGATGTATAATTGACTACTCTTTCTAGGCTTAGTGCCGGCTGAATGGTGTACTTACCATTGCCCGATGCTAAATTCAACCCTATAACGAATGCATATTGAATTCGAAATCGATTCAGGGCAATACGTAGTTTCCAAGAGGGGCGCCTCGTAGTGCAATCCTTATTGTCGCATTTTGCAAATAAAGTTGATAACGGCGTGTACTCGAGTCCCCAGTAACGCCCCATGACATTTTCATTTAGATGGCATGAGCAATGGCACTGTTGGAGACCGCATTGTGATCGATGAACCTGCGAAGCTTTCCTGGTCATTAAGGCCCCTTGCATTTGACCTTGCGATTGACGACTATTTGCGAAGGAAAAGTCTGATTGGCTCAAAGCAGGTGTAGATGTGCTTTCTTCAGGTGAACCTCCTATAGCCGCTGTCGGAGGCTGGGCACATTGAAGTGAAAGTGCCCTATATGACCAATATGAATCAAGACATTGCTTTAAGTAGGCTTGACGATTTCGAACTCACAAATTCAGAAATGCAATCATAAAGCCAAGCTTGGATTCGATTTCTTCGACCTCCAGTTGAACATTCCGTGAAAACATTTGTATTTCTAACTTCAATCCAGTGCTTTTGGCAGATGTTTTCAAAAGGTCCTCCAAAGAATGGTCGATGCTCTCATAGGTAATTTGACATTTCAAGATCACTTGGTCGACCGCTGGATGACCCTCCAAAGACTGGGTGGATTGCAAAATTGAATGAAAGATTTCCAGATTGCTGATCAATGATCTGATCACAACTGGAGCCTGAGTTCGGTTGTACTTGTAAGCATCCTTTAAAGCGTCGATCTTTTTAACTACTTGAGCCACAAAAGTGGTAAGGCCAACAATGGCAGAAGCTGTCCCGATGATCTCTGCCATATCGCATGTCCTTTAATATTCGTATGATGAGAATATGAAGAATCCAATAGTATAGTTCCGAAAAAAATGGTGAAGAGAGCAGTTTACAATACCCGGGAGTTTAAAAGTAGTTGTTGTTTCGTGTTTCAGCTAAACTGCTAAATATTTCAGCCAGGGAGCCGCAAATATATTTAGAAACAGCCAAAGCGGACAATTGCAAAGGCCAATGACAGGGGACCAATACATCATGCACGCAAAATGACCACAAGCCATATCGGCTGCTTATCTGTGATGCGGGGGGCAATTGATGCTCACCATTTGAAGTATCAATAAGCCATCGCTGCGCCCACTGATATTGAAACCAATAACATATTCGTAGAAGATACTCTCTTGGCCTTCCAAAAAGTCGATGACACCTTTGACTCACCTACAGATATTTGATGGAATTTCAAGCAATTTGCTGTCAGCGGAATTAATTTTTCATAGCTTGGAGGGCTTCATCTTGGGTGCATAGCCTGTTTCCTTTCTCTTACCTGGATAATGTTTTTCCTCATGTACAGTAAGAAATATGACCCTTTTAATTCCTGCCTTGCCTCCTGCCTTGCCCATGCTGATCTACTTCTGTTTCATCCCCCACGGTTTGCATTTTCGCGGGTATCAATTGGGCTGTGTTGCTTGACCTACAATAAATGTTAATCAACCCCTCGTGCTTATCCAATAGAGAGGCAAAGGCAGCCGACACTACTTCAGTGACACACCCTTGTATTTATCAGAATACGCACACCCAGTCAAACGGTAGCTTCATGGTAAGTGGATTGCGTTACGGAAATGCAGAACTGCTGGGTTGGTCCAGCGAAACAGTTTCAGACGGGCGCGTAGAGGCGGAGACCTGATGCAACCGCGCTGCACGAGTCACTCGGAGGTGGCGTAGCTCAGGAGTTCAGTAAAATGAATCAATAGGAAAAATACCTCATATGCAGAATTTAGGGCGGGAAAAAGAAATTACGAGATGTTTGGGGGCGAAACAGGGGACTATATGCATACTATAACCACGCACGGAACTACATGACGCTAAACCAAAAATGCTTATACCAACCTGCTTTTGGCTCATAGTACGTCTAAAGGGGTATCTTTATTTTTCAATCTGATCCGTACCAATGCAATCAGTTCCATATACAATTCTACTGTATGGACTAAATTTTAACGACGGCCTAACTCCTCACAGCCATGGAAGTTCTCCCACAAATTTATCATATTGTAAATAGACAGATTTCAGATAATAAGGGAAATGGCAGTCGACCAGCAATATTTGCGGACCTCTTGTATTTCACTCCAGCGTGTACATGAGAGTACCATATCCAAGCTGGTCAAACCCGCCACTAGTCGTCCCATAATAACCACCTCCACCTTCGGCCCCTGATCCATTAGTCACCACCAAGTCACGATATTCTTTAGTATAAGTGACATTGAGCCCTTTTAAGACACCGTAATGATTGTAAAGAAGCTCCCAGATCGGGCGAATATCGCCTCGGCTACTATTACTGATAACAGTCTGGGTGACATCGCTGTTCGTATAAGTAGTGTAGGGAACATCGTAGCCGAGGTTGTATTTGGCAACGTATTCAGCCCTGCAATGCGATCAGCAAATAGCAAAGCTCAAGCCGAGGACAAGGATAAAACCCACCCAGCCAGAATGAGGTTATCGAGATAAGCGAACAAATCATCCCCCTGATTATAAGCCATCTGAGCAATAGGACCCAAAAGCGCAAAATCAAGCATGGAATGACCCTGATCCCTTCCAGCCTCCTGTCCCTGCCCAAGAATTTGACTGTCAACGTTGTATAGCTTCCAAATGGCCTTCTCAATCTGCCCATTCCCAGCTCCGTTCTTGAAGTAATCAATGCCCTCCTCATACATAGTCTGATTATCCGACAAAACGCCAACGGCAAGCACAGAAGCAATATTGCACAAATCCCAATTAGCCCAGTAATGATCAATAGCGGCAGCATGATGATCTCTCAAAAACTCATGATTGAGAGAATAGAAAACATCAACCATCATACCAACAAAGCGTTCAAACGAGCTATCTGGCCAACCATTATATTCACGCATAATCTCAGCGACATTGGCAAATTGATATCCATAAATACCAGCAGCGAGGTACATATCAGTACTGCCAGAGATGAGTGTCAAGGTCGACGACCAATCATCGAGAATGGAAATAGATTTATCGGCATATGTTGTGTTTCCCGTGACTTTCCAGTATATCGCCATGGCATACGCAGCGGCTATGTCTTTGTAGAGAGATGGGTAATTTTCAGAGTGGGTGCCGTCGCTTCCTCTGTAGACGATTTCTTTGGGATTGTCAGTGTAGGTGAGAGAAGTGAATGAGCTATTTGTTAACTTGGTCCAGCCAGTTATCCAGGGTTCGATGTTGGCTTCGACTTTCTCGCTTATTCTTTTGAAGTCGGTGGCTGTATGGAGGAGGCCTGGGTGGATGAAGGTAGCACGGGTGGAATGTGTGAGTTTGTGGGCACTTGATAGAGTCAGAAGCCCTGCCCAAGCAATGAACTTGAAGAACTGCATATTGAGGGATTCTTTTGTGTTGGGATTACCCTCGTTGCTTTTCTGTCTTCTGCAAATAACACTATACTTATAGCTAGCTATTTATCCCAAGACCGTGGGTCATGTGCTTTATTGTTACAAGTCTGGACTGGCTGTAGATTCACTTGTTCATCCCCCTGGTTACTTTCGTCCGTTCGACTGACGTAGATCCGACAATTAGCGGTGAAATTCCACATTGCCTAACAGAAGTGAACGTTTGAAACTTCGCTTGTGGGCAAGCTCTGGCTATAGGGCACTCGCCCGACAATCGCCCCGGAGCCGCTAACCCCTGCTCAAAAAAAAAAAGTCGATTGCCAGTTTCCGCAATGCATACAGCGATGTCTGGACTTGAGTAAGATCGGCTGCCAGAGTTGCAGAATTAAGAATTGCGGGGTATTGAAGGCAAATAAATTCAAGGATCAGAAGTGCAAATAAAAGACAGAAAGCTTTTACAAAGGGTGGCGGAGGAACGGATCAATGCGCGGAAGGACCTCCGATTGCCTAGTCCTTCCGATCACTGGCATATCCCAAACCCTTGTTTAGTTCAGTTCTTGGGCCTTGGGCACACTCAGAAGGGCCTTACGAGCCAAACGCTATTTTGACCTCTGGGTGCGATGCCTCCCAACTATAGAGAGGATTTCCATAGATAGCTAGATGTGTCAGTACTGAAATTACAGCAAAGTTATCAACGGTCAACTATAATCCTACTTTGCTTCTATTGGGTAACCTTAATATGGCATCTGAGATGACGTACAGGTTCGTATTGCTTGTAGCAATAGTGCTATATAAGTTCGATAGATGTAAAATCAATGAAATCGAAAAGTCTGCATATTTTACTATCTAGTAAGCCCAAATTAATCCACCCCAGCTTGGATGATCATTTGAGGACACAGCTCCCTCTAGACCTTCCTCGCTCTGAGCCTGGCTAGTCCAAGGTGCCTTCAATTTACGCTTAACAACATATTGGTAATACAAGATGTCCCAAGCCGGTAGCGCATTGGATACCCCCCTGTTATATTCGGCGATCGTGGGCCACGGACCCCCAACCAGAACCGCTTCGCACCTGTGCCATGCTGGGTCATAAGAGACTGTCTGGTTGAGATTGTACGCTGCAGAATATTCTGATGCTTTGAGCAAAAGATTATCTCCGAGCTTGTAGAGATCCGCCCCTTGAGTTTGTGCGACTCGAGCTGCATATGCAGTCCATGCCATGCCAGATATTGTGTGTCCTAATTGATGCATCTGTTAGCTTGCATGTCCTCAAATAAATTAATTCAATAGTCCATTGAGCGGGCGACGGGTACCTACCTTGATCCCGACCTGATTCCACAGATTGACCAGTCGAGGGGTTGTACATGGCGAAGAGGCCAGCACATGGATCATTGATGAAGGCGTTCATGGCATAATTGTATAAAGTGACATCGTCCAGATAGACCGCAAAGCTCAACAAGGACTTTATACTTACCATGCCATAGTTTGCCTGGCCTATGACAGCCGCCTGCCGAGAAAACAGCCAATACAACTGGTTACTGAAACCGGAGCCTCCTCGCCATGAAGCACCTGCCTCAGTCCAATTACCCTCCCAGCGCATTATTTCAGCAGCATTGACAAAGAGATCACCATCTAGTCCAATCAACAGTGAGCGGTCGATGCCGATGATATCTGTCAGGTTGGACCCCCAAGCGTCTAGGATTGAGGTACTGCGATCCCAATGAGCCTGATCTTTCGTGATGTACCACATTATGGCATTCTGCCACGCAGCACGCGAGTCACTGGCAAATGAGGTATAGTTGCTGGTTTTGCCGCGCGAAAGAACAGAGTGTGGTCCTTTCATGGTATAGTTCGAGAGGGAATAACTGTCGGCACTGAAACGGGTGAATGTAGATGCCCAGGGGTCCTTGCTAGATAAAACATTGTTTCTAATGCGCTCCAAGTCATCATGCGAGTGCCAGAGGCCAGGATGAGCGAAGTCCCCTGGGTGCTTTTTGAGATATGGGTTGATGTTGTCCACATTGGAGGTGGGTATCACCGGAAGAGGCCCATATATACCCGGGACATCAGTTACACTTGCAACTGAGCCAGTGAAGCAAAGGACGACCTCGGCAAGCAACACTTTAGTTATCTATAGCCAATGCTCTGAGTGTTAGGAAAAAAGTCCAATTCTCAATATCAACGCCCATTTGTAAATCCACTTACCTGCATAATCAACGTGGCGGTCCTGCTTAATGTAAAATCATAAACAGGATGAACTACATCAAATGCAGTTATTTTGGACTAATTTTATGTATTACATGGACATACTTGCCTTTCTTCCCCGCACCCTTGAGTTCGGCGCATCTCCGGAGACTGCCCCGGACACCGAAACAAGGGGAACTGGACGACTTCTTGGAGCTAGCGGGATGAAGACAGTACACAAGTTTTGCAATTGCGTGTCCATTCTCGCTTCCTCCGGGGTGTTCTCCGCTCATTCAGAAAGCATTGAGGGAGAAAAAATATGGCTACTTCAATGCCCGCCTAACCAGTGTATATTTACAATGGCCTAACAGAGACATTTTTAAGACTTTATTTTTCTGGTGGATTCTTAGCTAGTATTTCCTCAGGTATCTGAACACTCTTCCATCTCAAAATAGCTGATAAAATGAAGAAGATGCGTATTTAGCCAATAAAAGGTCCGTTGAGGTGACCGCTTAAACAAAGTTGACATTGTACGCTATGCCCATTTCTTTGCTCAGATTCGCGATCTTACCCCCGGTCACCTGACTGCACTCCATCCATCAACAGTAAGGCAGATCGGGATTTGAGCAACTTCCTGCGATGAATGTTTGCGAAACTTTAGGCAAGTCCGCCTCGAAAAGCTGGCTTGTCGGGTCAAGAAGTCGATCAACGATATGGACAACGCCCTTGAATTCAATAAAAGATGTTGTCAACTTTACTTGCAAGGCTCAGAGGCAGGTAGATAAGCGTTACTCACACTTGTGATTGAATTATCTGGTCCGGTGACGGTTGCGACATTGTTAATCTTCACTTGGCCACTGTTGTCTTTGGCTGTACTAATATATAGATAACTTGCAGTCTACTTGAAGATAATGTCAAATGGGATGTCCTCTGCAGGCAGCAAGCGGAGGATTACACGGACCTGTACACGCGACAAAGTTGAGTTGAAGTGGCTGGTCGTTAGCTGTGAATTAGGGATATAGTGGTGATTGATCAAATTGCCGATCCACCATTTGCCCTTTCTGTTTGAAAAAAATTCATTCCAGTCAGTAATGAATGAATCTGATGGCAGCTACCACCTTGAGGTAGGGCAGGACTCACGGTGTTGCAGCAAAGGAGGAAAAGTAGGCGCCGGTGTGCTCGAAGGCCTCGTTACTCGGAGCGAAGAAAGTAAAGGGCCAAGTGGGAGCAGTGTCAAATGCCTTCGCAAAACCTGCTGGCTCTCGTAATATCTGAGACAGATTTGAAAGATCCTCTCTTGAGTCGATGAAATCTAACAATGTCGTGATGTTTGTAGGCTTTGGGGCGACGTAGACTTGTGGTGGCTCTGTGACATAGCTGAGCTTTTCATGGGCGGCCCACGCAAGTGCATCAAAGAACACAAGACAGAAGACAAACAACATGGTGTCCTTTGTTAGTATACTTGGCTGCCTTGACTGAGAACCAAACCGAGTAATATATTGTAAGTTCGTAATCTGCAGCAAAGAAAGTAGCCGGGCTGTACTCCGGCAGATGCCCCGTGAGCCCCTCATATTCTAAAAAGCGTGGCATAAGTAAGAAACTCAATAGAATTACGAGTTGAAGGCTCAGTATCATTTACTTAACGCAAAGTTTGTGGTCTCAGATTCCAAGAAAAAATAATGATGATGGCGACAGTGATGGGATCAATGTTAATATTTGGGCTATGTATGCTGCCAGGAGTCCTGGCAGGCTTGGCTACCACTCCGCAAATGGGCTGGAACAGGTGTGTAGGACTTTCACTGGCCTATATCCCCCACAAAACTAATCTCATATGAAACGTTGATAGCTGGAACTCATTCAAAGCGAATATCAACCAATCGATAATAGAGACTACTGCGAGCCTTCTTGTTGACACTGGTCTTCGTGATGTTGGCTACAAATACCTCATTATGGACGAGGGCTGGCAGGCAATGACCAGGGATGAAAATGGACGTCAACAGCCAAATACTACGAGCTTCCCCAAGGGAATACGCGCGATTGCAGATTTTGTCCACAGCAAGGGGCTGAAAGTGGGAATCTATAGTGATGCTGGGTACGCTCACATGAGTCAATTCCGATTTCTTCATTAGGTTCCGCGCTAATTAAGTTTCAAGTATATACGACTGCAAATTTTATCCGGGATCCTGGGGTTATGAAGAACTCGATGCTGCTACTTATGCCGCGTGGGGTATAGACTACCTCAAGTATGATAACTGCGGAGGATTCCAAGCCAACACTGAGAGTCCACAGGTTCGTTTCTCGGTCATGAGAGATGCAATCCGGAACAGCGGTCGATCTATCTTTTATTCTATCTGCCAGTGGGGACATCAGTTTCCCTGGTACTGGGCGGATGGTGAGTTTGCACGACATTAATTCTCTGTTGTTAACCATATTATTACGAGACATTGACAGTATAACAGAAATTAGCCAGTCGTACAGGATCTCTGGAGATATCACTGATATTTTTGGTGATACCGTGGAGGACTGTGCTGTGAGTTTATCCCCTTGCTCACAGCCCGGATTTTTGAGCAATAGCTGACAAAGTAAAAGTGCAAGACAGCATACTGCTTGGATGTTGGATACGCTGGCTGCAGCGTGCTTACCATCATCCGGAAAATGAGAGAGCTCAGCGCCTTCCAGAAACCCGGAAGTTGGGCCGATATGGACATGCTTGAAATTGGCAATGGCGACATGACGCTCTATGAACAGCAGACTCACCTGACATTCTGGGCAGCTTTGAAGTCGCCCTTGATAATTGGAGGTGATCTCCGAACACTCTCAAAGGAGAGTCTGAACGTGTTGAAAAATAAAGAAATAATCGCTATCTCCCAGGACGCTCTTGGTGAAGCAGTGGCATATATTCCAAAGTTGAGCGACGAGAAGAGGATTCAAGTTTGGGCTGGCCCATTGTCCGAAGGCAAGACTTTGATCTTGGCACTCAGTGAATTGGCGAATACGACCATGATAAATATTCCGCTTGGTGATATCCCAGGTCTGACGTCTCAGAACTCCTATTCAGTCCGGGATATATGGAAAGCTCAGAATCTTGGTCAGGCAAAAGGGAACATCAGATTACAGGTAGCCACGCACCAGACCGTTGCTCTTGTCATCAACTAGCATACAGGAGAAATACCTACCGCTTTACCCAAATGAAATTTTCTCGTAATGAACTTCTTTGGTCGCACGTAGCAATAAATGTATGTCTGCCAAGGGGCTAAAATTACCTCAATCTTGATCGTTAGCTTGGACTGTGGACAGTTGCTGTTGGAGGATCTGAGTACTGCTTTCGGCGAGTATTGGAGAAGGTTGAACAGGTCCAAGTTATACAAGACATGATCATGATTCTGGAGACTTCTCTCCTGAAAACAGAACAATATTGTGGAAATCGATTCTTCACTCCTACAGTACGACGAAGTTAAATGGAACTTTCATGACTGTTGGCTCAACAATATTCCTTATGAACTCGGTGTGGAACTCTGATCAATTTGTCGCGTTTCTTTCTGTCACAGAAGATATTTGATGCTAACAACAGTGTCCTTTCTTAATATACATAACGAAAGTTAGGATTCTCGCGATCTGTGAGATCCTCGAAAGCCAAATCGTGAACTACCTCACTTGTTGCTTGCTCCTTCGAGCGATTTCTAGCCATGATGATAACCCGAGTCAAGATAACTAGCGCAACGTACACAGCATAGATGATGATGTGCGCCAAAAAGCCATGCAGATAACGAGGAGAATCTTTGGTTTGGAAGATCTGGGGCGCTATGAGGTTGCCTACAGCCCAACCGACGAATAGCATCGTCATAGTGAAGCTTTTTTTGGATTGCCCTGCAATGTTCCGGGTAATAAGCGAAATGATCATGTTGCCTTGCGCGAGGAAGAATTGGGTGCAATAAAACGCAATCAGCATTCCACCTGCATTTGATGGGGTCGGAGTAACCACCATGATGACGACGGTGCCGATAATCGCTGGGATCGCGCATATCTAAACCTAGTCAGCCATCGAATTTCAAAAGTTCCTTATGCGATTTGCATAGCACTACTCCGGTCTGGTTATACTCACAATCATCACTAGACATGTCTGCTGCAACCTTTGAGATGCCCATGCAGACCCGACCATGACAATAATGGTCCAAGCTCCTTGAGCAATGTTGAGAAGCTCCGTCTGAAGCAGCGAGAAGCCAAACTCTTGAATAATGAGATTGGAGAACACTCCCAAACCACCAATCACCAAGTTAGCAACAAGAATGAGCATGACACAACACCAAACTAAAGGATCCTTGATGGCCTCGATAATTTGGTACTTCTTATACTCTTTGTTCTCGATGCCAGTCTCGTTATGCCGCACTCGCTCGATCATCAATCGTTTCTCATCCTCCGTAAAGCATTTTGCCGATATAGGGCTATCCGGAAGGAAGAGACCAATGAAAACGGACCAACAGCATGTGAAAAGGCCGAGAACCAAGAACAAAAGCTGCCAGCTCTTGATCGGCCCGTCATTGAAGTGGGAGACACCAAAGGCTAGAAGGCCACCGATCTGAAATCATTAGCACTATCGCCAAAGAGATAAGCGACGGCATGGTAGTTACAATCAATTGCACACCGGTCATGCAGTACCAAATCGAGTTCAGCACAGCTTGTTCCTCTCTTTTATACCACATTGCTGTTCTTCATAAAAAATCAGCCTATTTTCACTCAGTGGGACTGTTGTGCTGACTAACATTAGCATCATAGCAGGCTGAACACAGCTTTCAAAGAAACCGAGCAGAAATCGGACCACCATGAGGGACGCAAACTTGGTAGAAGCCGCTGAGCACGCCACTACGGCTCCCCAGATGAACACATTCACAGCTAGTGTTTTTGCCACAGGAAGCTTCTGTAAGAGTAAATTTTGCGGATACTCGCCAACGAGAATGCCCATGTAAAGAATTGTTCCCAGCCACGAGTACTAGGGCAATTAAAAAATATCAGCGCTCTGTGACAAAAGCGCAATCGTATAGAGCCTTGGAAGACTCACTTGCTGACCCACTAGGTGGGTATCATCTTTGATTCCCATAATGGAGGCATAGTTTAAGATCCCTTTATCCAACGATTGACAAAAGTAAGTAATCACTTGGGTAACAAGGACGCGGCGAGTGATCTTCCAGAAAAGCCTTCTGTCGGTGGCCGGGTCAATCTCAAGATGGGGATCAGCCGCATAGAAATCACTCTTCTCTTTCACATCATGACTTTCGGTCATATCATGCATTTCTTCTTGATGAACGGCAGCTGCCATCTCGCTATCTTTCGAGGCCATGGTGCGCAGCAAGGCAGTCAGCTGGGGATAATCTTTTGTATGTATATATATAACACAGAACAAGTATAAGAGATATAGATATATATTTCTTATGTATATAATTTTGTTAGATTCAGCCAGTATTTGTAGCAATGCTGCTTTCCACATAAAAAACCAGCTGATCTTGAGATCATTTCAGATTGCGTCTCCGCAGGGAGAATTGCAGGGAGGGGTGGTTGATCCACTACGCCACCGCGGGCTAAGTGCCGGAAACTCCCCCAGAGGTCAGGCAAAAACGCTTTCCCCGGTGTTTGCGTCGCAAAGCGCTTAGAAAACCTAAGCCATAATGTCATGATTAATTGGATGTGAAAGGAAGTTCACTGATTTTTCAAGCTTCGATGTATGCCATGGCCTCGCCGCGGATGAAGTGCCGGTACTTCATCCGGCCCCCAGGCCTGACACCGAAACCCGACAATGTTCATAAACATCGATCAATGCAACGGAATTAACTCAGAATAAATGCGAAACTGCAATGTCTCTAGACGGAGAACCAGCCGCAGTATGTTGAACTCTCAAACTTCTATAATACACCTTGCTAATGTGGCAACCAGGAACCCAGCCGTAAGCGGGCGAAGACTGTGAAGCAGGCTATGAACGGGGCAAATGGAATCAAAATCTCACCGCAGACCCCATCTGAGAGGGTCATAGAGGCTCTGTTCTCTGCATCTGCTGCGGCAAAGATCTGGAGCGTGGCTGCCCGCGCCTTAGGAAGCGTAAGAAGCTCAAACAAAGACTAAAAACATTTACTGACTGAGCCCAGGTCAGTCCACCAATACTCTATCCCGAGTACACCGACAAGAGCGGCAATTATATTTACCGAACTCTGGACTTCTGGACATCAGGCTTCTTCCCAGGATCGCTCTACCTCCTCCTCGAACGCTCGATGAGATATCCACAAGGCAAGAGCCAGTCACCCGGTCGAGAAATTCAATGCAAGCCTCACAACCTGCAACTCGAGTACCTTTGCCGTTGGTGGACCGCCAACTTACATAAAAATGCTCTGAAGCAAGACACACATGATCTTGGCTTTATGATTGCACCATGGGCCATGAAGGCCTGGCAGCTACATCGAGATCCATCGGCATACAACACGCTCATAATGGCCGCACACTCCCTCGCAAGCCGGTTTAACGCAACAACGAAATGCCTTCGAAGCTGGGACGTTTGCATTACGCAGAGATACAAATTCACAGATCCATCGCGCGACTTCCTGGTCATTATCGATAACATGTTAAACCTGGATCTGCTCTTCTGGGCCGCAAAAGAAACCTCAAACCCAGCGTTGTATGACGTCGCAAAAGCACACGCGCACACGAGTCGCAAAAACCACATTCGCGACGATAACAGTACATTCCACGTCGTCAACTTCGATGCCGAGACCGGAGATGTCAAATCCCGCTTCACGAACCAGGGGTATAGTGACGATAGTTGCTGGGCTCGAGGACAGGCATGGGGTATTTTGGGGTTTATGCAGACATATGAGTGGACGCAAGAACCTGCATTCCTGAACACGGCTAGGGATCTGGCGGGGTACTTTATATCCCATTTACCTGCTGACGGCGTTCCATATTGGGATTTGACAGCGCCAGTGACAGATACAAGCCCTCGGGATACCTCTGCAGCTATGATTGCCGCTTGTGGATTTTTGCTTCTTTATAAAGCGCTAAAGGGCGGCATAGGGGCTGACCACTATCTCCAGGAGGCATTCAAGCTTGTTGCTGCTGTGGTCCACACGCATATGAGCCCGCAAACACTTCAGTTCGAGGCTACTGCCCCCACAAGGCAAGTTCCAGTATATCCAGAGGGAAGTACGGATGGTTGCTCCACTGATGGTTTCGACTTATTACGTGTCTCGCAGAAGTCTGAATCCACAGTGGGGAACTGTGAGACGATTCTTGAGGGAGCCACCATCAACAACTACGAGTTCGCGCCGAGGAAATGGTCTAATCATGGACTGGTGTATGCAGACTATTACTTCTTACTTTTTGGCAACATGCTCCTTCGCATGGGCTTGAGTTCCCCGTCGAAACTGTTTTAGACCATGAAGTGGATCAGCGGACATTCAATCGGGATTTGATGGATCTGCCAAGTCAGATAGTAAACTTAGAAGCATAAAGCTGAACAAAGATCTTTCACATTTAGCCAATAGAGCCTAGCCTGTTGAAATTGTCTTGCATTGGAATATTCCTTTGTGCTCCGTTTGAGGCTTGGCTCTCGATTTGCGCCCTACTATAGCGACTGATTATCTGGCTGGGAGTGGGCAACTGGCTGAGCTCTTGAGAGAGATCATTTTGCGAGCTGACAGCGGTATTTCCTAATGGCGTACTGCCAGCCTGCCACATGTTGAGTTGATCATTGTATGAATGCCCCCCCAATGAAGAATGCGCGTGATACTCGGCCGGTAAACATACTGGGAGTGTATCTGATCGGGAGAAAGCAGGATAGTCATATTGAAAAGCTGGTGGGAGCGGTGGAAAGGCCAGACTAAAGGGGCTCATACTATATGACTCTTGCGAGGACTTTTTATTGGTATAGCCAGCATGAGGAACTGTGTTTGGAGTCATCGATGGGAAAGGACCAGGATCACTTGGTGAGGCTCCGCTAGCAGCTAGTGGTGGATGCTGCTCTCTCGATTCGTCGGAGTATGCGGTCTGTCTGATGTCCAGACTGGGACGAGGATCGGTGCCAGAGTTATTTTGGGCCTCTATCAGACGTTTCGCGAAACTTGACGCTAGATTATCCCCCGTCAGGCCTGGAGTCTCGTTGCGACCTCTCCATCGTTCGGAAATCTCGAGAAGACTGGTGATGAGAGTGTCGAGCGAAGACGGAACAGGGACTTGGTTATACCTGCCATGGGCGAGTAGCATCCTCCCAGCAATGAATAGACAAAACAAGAACTGAGGACTGGTGAATATGGGCGAAAATAGGAGAAATTGTCGTCCGATGGTAGCGATCTCAGAGGCTGCTTCCAAACATGTCTCAGCGGAAGCCATCGATGGCAGCTTCACTAGGCTGTTCTGCCAGTGGGGAGGTGGGTATGCTATTCCTTGGTGCAATAGAATCACGGCAGTGTTATGTGTGATATGCGCCAATGTGAGATTCGGGTCCATAACACCGTCGGCATTGAGTACTGAGGCCTCTCTCCATTTCGGTGGTAGATATAACTTCCACCTTTTTGATCGAATGTCAGCAGACAGCCACACGAAATATTAAATGCGTAGGATACTCACTGTATAAGCCGTAGATCCAGTTCTTTGAACTTCATCAACCAAATCCTAGTCTTGCCAATGTCCTCAACGATAAACGCATGATGTAGGAAGAAGTTTGTGACCAAAGCTAGTGATTCAGTGGCCTCAATGTTGTACGCAAAGCCACCGATAGAGTCCTCGCTATCGATGTTCATCGACGCGCGGCTACCAGCCTGAAGCGAGCTTATCGAATTTGTATCCTCTGAGTCGGTGATGCCAAAATACGGGGTCCAAGCCTCTTCCTCTTTCTCCCATATTGCCCCTTCACATGGAAGGCGGCGCTTGATATCGGTGCTAGTCAGACTTGCCTTCCAGCCCGTGGAAACGCTAGAGAACCGATCCATCAAGAAAACCGTCCAGAACACCCGCCGACGTTCTTCGGCCTCACTCCAGCACTTGGACGGAGACAAGAATACCATGCGCCGAATCAAATTCTCACCTGCTTTTTGTGCCTGACTGAGAATGTCCTCTTCGACGCCAAGTTGCAGTTGTTTAACCGTGCCAACCATGCTTCCAACGATAGACCATGACGAAGGTCCGCGGCCACGGCCAATCTGAAGGAAAAAATGAGCCAAGAAATTGAAAAGTGAAGATAATCGAGCTTACAGTCTCAAACGCAATGATCACCAGTGCCTGTAGGTTCTCGACGGAGAAAGTCTCAGTGCTGTCCAAGATAACCTTTTGTCGGCTCTTCTCGGCAATCTTTACTTTCGTTTCTTCATCCGGCAGAGATGGATTCTGAGAGAAGCGCACACATACAGCAATAATAGCGTGAAGGATGCAAGAAATTTGCGAACGTTCATCTGGGGAATTCACGCGCTCCCGAAATCTGCCTGCATGAAGCAATGGGATCCAAGGGTGGACATTGATGAAGTAAAAGTCGACCAGTTCCGTCACGACATTTGTTGTCAAAATACTGTCGATGTCGATCTCATTATTGATGAAGGCAGGTAGGGAAGTAGACTCGCCGCGCTGTCGTTTTGCTGGACGCGAGATCGACTCCGTATCGTCACTCCGTTGCTCTTTCCTCCCACCTGGGCTTGATGAAGCGTGCAGCAAAGCAGTCTGGAGTTCCTCCCTTCGCCGAGCCAAGTTTTTGATGTTGGATGGTCGCTCACCGAGCTCTGGTACGGAGCAATTTGGGAATAATGATTTCCACATCGTCTGCCAAAGCATTTCCTGGCCAAGGAACATATTCTCCAGTGTTTCGATCCGACGATAAAGTTGGTCGACCGCGCCAGTGCGGAGACCAGGTTTCATGCGCCGCTCATCATAGACACAGTCGACGTTAAAGCGAATGCATTCCGAGCAAGGCTGCTCCCGAGTGCAGCGGGCCTTCTTCTTTCGACAAGACTGGCAGGCGGGAACATCCTCGTGCGGCTTGGATGCATCATGTGGTACTTGGCCATTTTCAACACTGTCCGTGTTGCTAGTTCTTGGCGGCATTGGCGACAGTCACGCCCAATTGCGCTTGAGATTACAGGAATGATGCAGAGCGAGAGTCTGTCTATTGCTGGGGTTCCTATTGTGAGGACTTGTCACACTCCGAGGTGGAATGATCAGCCCCCGCTCCCCCAGAAAACATGGCGTGTCGGCTTAATTGCGAATCTGTGGGGAAGCTAAGCTTGTCGTCACCGGATGCCACCAATCACTGTTGATAAAGGGCTGCGGAGGGGCGGAGGAATGACCGGGGTTGCTCCGGGATATTACTGCATTTGCGGGGGGCTGACTAACTCAACAGTTGCCCCCGAGCGGCAATCATCTGGGGCCGATCACGACCCGACCAGCAATCTTTCTTTGAACATCACGACCTAGCTCCTGTTATTGGGCCCTACTAACAGCACCGCATAAACTACGCTCTGTGGATCAATTTTGAAATCATCGATCATTTGCTACTATTGCAATTGACTCCTCAAATTATCACTTATAATTTACTTTCATTGAAAGAACACTTCAGAAACACCTCTCTTCATAAAAAAATGCATTCTTAGTGAAAGCGTCGGTCGTCACTATGACATATCTGCTACATGCTTTGATCTTATATCTGCGATGCATTTCCCAAGGACTACAAGGTTGAAGCGTGGGACCTATAAACGCTGCAAAATTGTCCTTCGTCCTTGGTTTCCTATGTATAAGTAACTAAACACGCTGAATTTTCCCAATACATCGTCCCGAGCCGAACAAGGTGCTGTGCTAGAAAGCTTGTTCAGAAAGCAAGTTTGGTCAAAGTTGCGCGTGACATTCAGAGCCAGATCGCATCTACTGTTGATAAGAAGATTCTAGATAGGATCCAAAGATGCCTGAGCCGCCCCTATGATGCCAACACATCGGAGGCGGAAGCCAAAGCCGCTCTGTTTGTGTCTCAAAAGCTCATGAGTCAACACAATGTAGGCCAAGCGGATCTCATAGCCAGTGATGATAATAGCAATTAGACACGTTGCGGCGTATGGAGCCCCGCGAGGCACGAGTATGTAGACATCGCCAAAACCCACAAAGCCCAAAGCCCAACCCGACCCAACCCACAAATGGGTCGGGTTTTGGGCCCGTTGCTCGGCCCATTCATGGGCCTTGGGTTTTGCCTTGGGCCCAAGGCCCATTAATGGGGGCCCATTGGGGGCCCACTAGTGTACAAACAAGACAAACACGTACTAATTTTAGTAAAAAAGCAAAATATACAGTCTTTTTGTGCATTTTCCTGTATTGGTCAGCAAATTTATGAGCGCCAAGACCAGTTTTATGCAAAGTTGGGCTTTTTATGGGCCCCCATGGGCCCCCATAAGAAGCCCAAAGCCCATAGTGGGTTGGGCTTATGATATATATAAAGCCCAAAGCCCACAGTGGGTTGGGCTTTGGGCCTGATGTTACGGACCTACAGGGGGCCGCACCACCCGCGGGGCACTTATACCCAATCGTCCTGGATGGACGGAACGACGTGCAGGTCACGTGCAAAGCATGGTTCGGAGAACCATAGCCCCTTCACAACAGGATGCACGATACGTGATAACCGAAGGACACTACGATTCGGTGCCATCCTGGGAAAAGGGCGATCGCACGATAAGCACAATCGCAGGATGAGGGGTATCCTGCGACACGCCATGGTTATCGCCAGCGGGAAGGATCCTACGACGGGTTCCGCCCTACGATCAAGGATGCCCTACGATAAGCCACGGTTTGAAACCAAAAGGGAGATTCTCAGGACATGAGGTGTCCTAGGATCAACAACACCCTACGACGGACCACGGTTACTAACAACCATGAATATCCTACGATACGAAGGATCCTGCGGAACTCAGAACCCCAGGAAATTAGGGATCCTAGGAAAGGATCACGTGCCGACTCATCGGGCGATGAGTGCAGCTCATCGAGTGATGAGACCGGAATAGATCGAGTGATAAGTCCCGGACTCATCGAGCGATGCGACGGATTAGATATATAAGGAACGGTCATTACCACGGATGTATTTAGTTCTTCGCGTTCAATTACACATTGTTACTTGGAACCCACAGTTCTAGCTTCACACTTGTTTCGTACTTAAGACAACCCACCCTACTAGGAGAGGTATACTTAGTCTCTTGTCACTTGACACGGATCCTAAGCATAGCTTGACTAGGCGCACTACCTGGCGCAGACCAACAAGAGTCTACTCTATAGACCCGAGCCCGTGTAAGGTCTTCAGGCAACGGTACGGTTGCGATTGAGACTTGAGGACGAGCCTCGATGTACGTATAACGGACCATACGAGCGATACTCACTGTGACCAGTTAGCACCGCGTAACACCTGACTCTGGGCCCATTTTCAGGTTTTGGCGATATCTAATTATAAACCACCGCGCACGGAGAGGTGTAAGGACACATGACGCTAAACCGAAAGTGATCATAGTAGATAGACCTAAATAAGGAATTCACTGTACCCGTCCGATATAGTGATGGTGTAATCTAGGGGGACAGCGGAAAGACCACGGTTATACGTGGTGCTGTGAGAGATAATCGTGGTGTTTCGTATAGTTAGTTTTATTGATCTCATTAGGACTAGTGCCGTATATCTAGCTAGGTTTAGCGCGTGATTATCCTGATCCTTCCTGCAAAGCTTTCAAGAGCCCGCGGGCTTCATTATGGGCGATGATTGATCGATTGACTAAATTTTAACATTCACTAGTAATTATTGTTATTATTATGCCTCGCAGTGCTTAAGTACTATATGCTACCCCTTCCCTTATATGCCCCTTTAAGCCCATCATATTTAAAATGCCGCCTAAAAAGCCACCGAGCGAGACTAGCACGTTTGTCCACTAGCTAGGCCTAAAAGTCACGACCAACAAAGTCGGAGCAATAAAGGAGCAGATCAAGGGAATCCATTATAACTTTTAGAAGTATAATAACATGGACTATTATATCTACAAGCTTTGACTGACCAAAGAATATATAGATGGGTATCCACGGTGATTTCGCCCAAACCGTTGAAAGGCACATTTATCTGCCTAGGGTGAAAATCGGGTGAAGCAATCGGGTGAAGAGTATCAGGTGGGTAAAGGTCCGCTCGGATTGCCCTAAAGAGGGCCAAATAGAGCGGCGAACCGCCCACGCCTGATCCGTGGGCGCTAGGTGACCACGGTCAGACAAATACTATCGTTTATTTTTCCTTTTCATACTTTTACATATGTTATCTTATTAATTCGAATTTTAAGGCCGTTCACCAGTTCTTCAGGCCAAATTCTACTCTTAAGAATCAAGTATTAGGAGACCATTAACTAAACGTCGACTTAGGTAGAGTAAACGGGGCACGCAAAGCAAGGGAGGCAAAGGAATAAAAGTTTTATAAGAAAGGATATAAGACAAATAGAATAAAAAAAGTCAAATAGAGCAAAGGACATAAAGAAGACAAGTCATATATTGAGTCATGCGGACGGGACTGTCCTAGTTCTCACCTTCATATAGATACTCTATTCGTAGTCCGATCTGAAAATTTTTAAAGCAGCGCCGTGGGAAACTAGTAGAGAAAAAAAAGATAATGGCAATAAAAGACGAACACAAAAAGGTAAAAGCCAGAAGAATCAAGCCGGGAACGGGCTATAAGGGTGAGGATCCTGATCGAGCTGCCTCTCTCTGGAACATGATGCTTTATCAGTTAGCCTCAGATGTCATTCTATAGATCAAACATTATTCATACCAAACTTAAATCCAAATTTTCAGCTTGAAAGGGAGATCGCGGAATGGCTATCCTCTTCTTCCAGAACTTCAATGAGCTTTGGCTCTTGCGTCACTTGTTGAGGAACAATACGGCGTACTTGGCCTCTCGCCAGTATTGTCCAAACCATTGCTGTATTTTGGTGCCGGATAGTGTTCCTTCGCGAATCGGCATAATTGCAGATGCCACAGATCACAAGGCAAGGAATGTTATCGTCAAGTCCAACCGCTTGCATTTCAAAGCAAAGTACGTCGTTCTGTGTTGCCAAATTGCTCTGCTTGCAACCTCTCCATAAATACTGGATGGGTTTCAAAATTGATCCAGCCAATAACTTTCCTCTGGATGATTTAGAGAAGGGTCCTTGTATCGGTCGATTGCATATCAGCTCTTGGCGTTCACCAAGACAATCCAATATCAAAATCCAGTTTTCAGATGAGTGATCAGAACTCGGGCTGTTGCACAAATTTGGTAAGAGTTCGAAGTGAAGCCTTGATCTCTCTCTGAACTTCTGGTCAACTCTGACAATATGGTGCCGGACACGTTCTCTTTCGTGAATTCGACACCCAAATGCCCCAGGTACCCCGTAATTCATCTTTTTTTCGCAATGCATATCGCAGGATTCGGCAATTTCAATATCGATGGATATATCGCCAATCCTGCCAAGTGTGAATGCGCTCAGGACCGTGTGATGAGATAACCGTGAGCCGCACCCAATGATACACTTACCAGCACCAGGGTTTCCACGGAGCCACAAGAGGTTGCTGTCAGGTTTAGATTTCCATGCTTGTAATTCTGATTGATCCAGAACCCATTTTCTATCCTTGGTGCGTGAATAGCTAGTACTTTTGTGCGTTTGATATGAAGATGGGTAATCTTCTCCTTCGTCAAGCATGGCTCCGGCGGCGGCATACTCGGTGTCCAATGAGCAAATCCAACCGACAGTGTATCCCCCCACCGGCTCCCAAGTTTGGTATTCTCGTGGCTTTGGAAGAGAGAAGTCAGGCGCCTTGCGAATATGCAGTGAATTATTGTCGAGCGCTGCGATGTCGGGATCAGATGCTTGGTAACAATGCAAGTACTCAATGGCGCTTGTTCCAGTTTGAGGCATAAATGACTTTCCTAGCTCAGTCGATTCCTGAAGGCGAGAGGTAATCAGAATAGAACCATGGTCAGCTATAGGGAAGAAATCTCCAGTATCATATGTCTCGTCAGCAGCGCTGTTGTTGTCAGAAGAGTATTGGTCGATGTTATCGAAAATGACTAGCCAGCGTGAATTGCCCTCTAATGCTAGCCACTGTAAGACCTCTCTCGCTCGCTTCTTCACTTCCTCTTCGTTGATCGCCTCCTTGTTCTGGGATTTTCCTGGTAACCGGGATAAATTAGAGCTCAAAGATTGTAGGAGTGTAACCCGATCCTTGCCATTAAGCCAGAAAATGGCAGTGAAATCGTGTTTGTGATCTCTGGCGAAGCGGATAGCTAGCTGTGTCTTTCCTATCCCTCCGAGGCCATGAAGGACGGCTACTTTCCGTGATTGTGGATCCACTGGCTGTAAGTACTGCCATAGGTGCTTCAGCTCGTCTTGTCGCCTTACAAAGCTTTCAACTGTAGGCACTGCAGTAAGGTCTAGTGGGACATTGAAGCGGTGAACTGTGTCTTATTTAGTAAGAAATTCAGACCGAGTACCATCGATTGAAATCAGGGTTCTCTTACCAGAGTCTTCTAGAGGGTCTCGTGCCATTGTAGTATCATTGACCTGATCGATAGGGACCACCGAATGAGATTCTTTAGCGTAGGCTGCCGCTACTGCTGTCGCATACCCTTCTCGCGGCCTTGGAAGAGAGAAGCAAGGCACTCTGCGAAGGTGGATTGTGGAACCATCGGGAATAGAATTCTCGCGGTAAGATGGGAATTTCCAAAATTTTTGGATGGACAGTTCTGGATTTTCCCAGCGGCTTTTAGTTGATTCCGCCTGATCTGTCCATTTTCTAGCATGACATTTCACAGAAGCTTCATCAATGTGTGTGAATTTTTCCATAGCATCATTGAACACATCGACAGCAGGGACGATAAATGCAACTTTAGATCCTGGGTCACCTGCGATTATGTGACCATATATCATCCCAGTTCTGGCGTCTCGAACCATTGAGCCGGAATCTCCCTGCTGGAGACATCCTTCAAACCGCACTGATAAGATATTTGTGTATCGTGTGGCATTTGGGAGGCGAATCAATGACAGATATGGGGACAGGACACCCGTAAGAATATTTCCGGAGCACGTAGCTGCTGTAACATCGACTGATTCGGAGCCGAGTTGGCCAATGTTTTCACGGCAGAGGATAGGCAGATCTTGCAAATATGGTTCGTCTTCATCAACCTCAACTAGACAGTAGTCCAGGCTGTCTGATTTCAGAAACCAGAACTCGGTTTCTTGACAACAAGAGTGGGATGATGAAGAAATTCCCGTATGGTCTGGGACGAAGTGTTCATCATTGGCGGGAGTGATGATGTTACTGTCCGGTATTTCGGCTGGTACTGTAGAAGCGATATAGTCGGACTCATTATCCGATGGCGAGTCACTTTCTTCAACGTCCGAATCGTTTTCCAGATCACTTGATTCGGCAGACCTACTGTATTGACTCATGAACTCGACCTCCATTTCATCCTCATCTTCGTCACTGAAGCCTTCAAATTCGCATTCACCATCCTCGGGTCTTCGGTCTAACTCGGGCACCATGAATAAAGGCAGCTTATCTTGATGATAGCCCACATGTGCTGGTGCTACATAAAAGTGCCTGCCGGAGAGCGTAATGATACTCCCAATTGTCGCGGTCCGAAGAGATTTAGGCTCGGTGTATGTATCGGATACCGCCAGCTGTAAGACGTGGACCATGCCTGATTTTTCGGAATCAGGATTTAAGATGAATTGTTCATCACAAAAAGAAGTAATTAATTCGTTTTCCTCATCGGCGTTGACGTTGAACTTTTTTGGTATCCAGAAGACGCCAAAAACATATAGTTCTTAATATGGGGAGGGCAGTCCCATTGACCAAGAGAAATCCCTGGTGGACATTGATTGAAAAATTCGGATTTTTTCATTGCAGCGACAGCGATTTTTCGACTCTCCGAACGTGTACATGAGAACATAATACAGGGTCGTGAAGTCTCTGGTGCTTTGCCAATCAAGAATATGTCGACGTGAACGCTGCTCGAACTTGCTACTTGGCCACACTCATTATCGAGTAGTTCCTTGATACTGGGCCTCATTTCATCAAATATCTTATAGAGGGGCCCTTTTGCTGACCAGTATTTGTATTTACCTATCATGCCACAGAATTTATCGATTGATTTCTCTGGATCAGACCATCGGGGTTTCGGTTTTTGAAATAGCGAAAGAGGGTTCGGAAACCGTGGCGGGCTCATGATTGGCATGAGAACTTGCGAAATTAATCTTTATAATTTCTCGGGTTGTTCAAAAAGCGTTGCGGGGAAGTTGCTAGATATGTGGATTAAAGACGAATGCCTGAGGTGCGGTTTCCCGAATCGGAGCCTCGTTCCAAGTTTGTAGGTAGGCAAACGTGAGAAGGGAAAAGCGAGCAGAAAAGAGAGAAAAAAAAAAAAGTAAAAAAAAAAAGAGTAAAACACTGCTGGGCTTCTACCTCTGACATGGCTGAAATTGCCAAGGCAGACTCGTTTGGCTGCCTTGGGCATGTAAAGCAAGCGTGAAGTGTAGGTGGTGGCTGTGCTTCCTGAGACGTATATGCAAGCCTCTTTTTTTGGCACACCGACCGGGGGCGATTCTATGATTAAATATCGCCAAATAACCATTTAACTGGTAGTCGAGCTCATCAAGTGATTCGAAATACTTCAAGGATTGAAAGCTACATACGTACTCCAAATGCAGACCGTACAACCACCATCCAATGCTGGGTCACTCGATGCATCATTCCTCGAATCGCCCATCCCATTGGAACGCCAAGAGAAAATCGCTTTTTACTTGTGGGGTAACGGCAATACATACAAAAAGCAACATTTGCGGCCGTATTTTCAATATTATACCGAACAATGCAGACTTGCATTCCTTTCCTATGGGAATCTTCTTGTTGTGCGGACTCATGAGCATATAATAAAAATTGCTGAGCGAATCCAAGGCGGATATTCCCGGGCTGAGATGAAACAATTTCTTGATGAATCTACATGGACCAAAGATCCGACCTCAGAAAAAGCGATCGATGCTTCAATAGACCTGACTGTTCGTCTACTCTGCATGCTCGATGTTGGTGAGCTTGAGAATGCTTATTCCGGGAGGGAAAAACTACTCTGGACTACAGGCTTCCTGCAGGAATTTCTGCGAGATACATTATTGGAATCTGCTTATTCCGAGAGTGACGGAACCAAATTGGATAGGTCATTCAAGATGTGCAATATGGTTCGTATTGCAGGCTTCCGTGTGGAACCCACATCCAATATATACGACCATCTCCAATTTAGAGATAGTAATACTGTCCAAATTTTCCATCATGCGTCGTTTCTGATGTCCCATAAACAGTATGTATGATATGTTTCCAGGCTTGGGTATCTTGGCTGACCTGGAATATGTTATAGACAATCAATCTTCCCTCCTGGTCTTGTTGATGAGACACTGGCAACTTTGGCCCTTCTTTTCCCTCAAGGTGATAAAGAGACAGAGAAGTGGTACAGAAGGCAAGATGGGCCAGAAGAACTAGACGAAAATGTATTACAATGTGGAAAAATGGACAAGCCAATAGGAGACTATAAATATTGGCATCACCGGCTCGTCATCTTGAAAAGTGAGTTTGATAACTCTCGGCCTTCGAATCTCAAGCAATGGTGGAATGACAGACGCGATGTGAGCCAGTGGTATCCACTATGGGTCGCAATATCGTTGACCGTCTTGTTTGGTCTCGTGCAGAGTATTGAGGGCGCCTTGCAGGTGTACAAGGCATATAATCCTTAGGCCTAGCGGGCAACCCATGTTTGTGTACTTCAGTCAGATCTAAATCGTTTGGTTATCGGCCAGCAAAGCCAAAACATGGCCCTTCTATTAACGGAGTGTTTCGTTTTTTTTCTTTTGTATGTTGTCCCTATCAGGACTAGTACTTTCCCGTCCTGCACTACTTGTGCTTCACCTCTCGTAGATCCTCCTCTTCTTTCTTTGCCGCACTCTCCACAATACTACATACGTGTCCTTTTGCGTCGTGTTAGTCCTTGCATTTCATGCTCTCACGTTAATGGTAATACGCCCAAGATATACCATAAGCTCTACAGATACTTATGCCAAGATACCGAGTGTGATAGAGAAAGCGACGCAATCCAATTATATTGCACTGTAGCCCAGTAAGAGGTCAATGCGTTAACAGCATAGCCTACCACGGGATCGAGCTGATAAGCCACATGCGGGGAAAAGGGGGTGGCGGGGTTCAATAGCAAAAGCACCTCACATGTGAAAGCTCGAGAGGGAAGACGAAAAAGGAATTCCGGGCTGTTAGGTAGTAGGGGGAGTAAGGGACTAAAACAATAACGTATAGGCAAAGAGACGACGCTAAACTAAACAAGCTAAAGTAGATAATATTACTATAGCGTTAACTTATCTGGTGTATACTCTATATTGAATAATCGGAATCACTGTGGAAAAACCACGGTCAGGGGTACATTAAGATACGATCTTTCACAAGACAAGGACTTTCGCGGGATAGGTATTATCCTGCGATGCACCACGATTTATACCGCGAAAGGGTTTCCTGCGACGAACCTCATCGCACGACGTCGATTATCCTACGATAAGCCACGATTCGGGCACTAAGGGAAGATCCACAGGATGCTAGTCATCCTGGGAAACGCAACGCCCTACGATACACCATGATTCGCAATAACCATGGATATCATACGATATAGGAGATCCTCAGAACCAAGGGTTAGTGTTACGACACGTCTATAAGAAGAGCCATACAAGAGGCAGGGAGCAGGAGTATAAGCGCATAAGAGCACTTCTATATGCCACTACCAGCTGGAGATGCTGGAGAAAGGTTATTCCGATATCTTCGGGTAACTGATTAGATAAGCCGCACAACAGAAGTAGGCCGACGGGAGAGATCCATGGGAGCTCTCCAGTGATTATATTATCAATATGACAACAGCACTGTGTGTGCTGCAGTTCGTGCCATCACTCGTATCCAATCCAACCGTATAAGGCCCACGCCTTAACAGTTAGTAAGGATCGCAGGACCTCCGTAATCCTACGATAAGAATCACGCGGCGGCTTATTAGGGATGAGACCAGATGTCAGCTAGACGCGGACTTATCAGTGATGCGACGGACTAAGATATATATAAGGATATCGATTACCATAGACATATTTAGTTCTGATGGGAGGTGGGGGGGGTACTATATACCACCACGCACGGCGAGGTGTAAGCATACATGACGCTAACCCGGAAAGGAACATATTAAACTTAACGGAGTAATTTGCTGTCCCCCTCCGATATGGTGTAATCCAAGGGGATAGCGGAAAGACCATGGTTGTGCGTGGTGCTGTGGGGGATAAATCGTGGTCTTTCCGTATAGTCAGTTTTATAGATCTTATCAGGGCTAGTGCGATATGTCTAACTGGGTTTAGCGCGAGATTATCCCGATCGTTTGTGCGTAACTAATTAAAGCTCGGCGGCTCTATCATGGGCCATGGGCTTTTGATTGCTAAAATAGGTAAAATTCACTGAAGATTGATTGTTATTATTAGCTTTGTGGCACTTAAATATGCTGAACTCCTCTCCCCTAGAGAAAAAGAGAGAGAGAGAGAGAGAGAGAGAGAGAGAGATTGTTATTAAACTCGGATTAGGGCGAAGCCCTCATCGTAGGTGACCAGTTGGCTGCGTGCCCCGGCCATACTAGCTGAGTCTTTTTGGACTTCTTCCCGAGTCGCCAGTAGCTGTTACGGCCTAATCGGGAAATTAGGGCAGAGTGATGAAGTAGGACGATGAGGTGTCTGAACCATCCCGATCCCTAACCGAAACTCAACTGTAGGACTTGATCAGAGAGAGGTCTGTCCCACTCTCTTGTGTATTTAATCTGTGCACTTGAGGAATCAGTCTGTTCCTCAAGGATTAGTCTTTGTCTTATTCTACATACTACCTTGCAACTCCAGTGCACACTACACACATCTGTCCTCGCCTAGTCAACTCCGTGGCCTTAACAGCGGGAGCTGCCGTTGATCCTCGCTGCTGATTGGCTGATCCTGGGGCCTTCTGGTGATCTGGGGGATATATCGAGTTTCAGGGGAGCTGTCGGGGTCTAGCCCATGCCCCGGGAAAGGTTGTGGGAAGTACCTGTAGTCGTGAGGCATAAAAGGGGTTCTTGGTGCCGGATTTCGCGTCGTGGAGACTCATCGAAGTAGAAGAAGCTGGAGATGTGCTCTCGGCAGCGCCCTAGGTCGAGATATTGTGACAATGAGATCTCGATTTCAGATCAAACGATTCAGGATTGCTTCAAAAAAAGCACTTTGATACGTTCTAAAGATGAGATTAAAACTATCCAAGATGAGATGGAAGCTGATTTTCAACCAATTTCTGAGCTAGGGTTAACCAATGCTGTGGGACAGAAGGCTGTAAACAACCGCAGCAAAGGTGACGATAGCACCGGTGGTCACACTGCGAACAACAAATCTATTGGTATAGACTCCCCAACACACATGTATAGACACCATTGTAGAACCACACCCAAGTACTCGAAATGTCCGACACCAGCCGGTGTAATCACTGCCAACCATCACATTATTAAATAGAGCTGAATGCTACAGGCAAAGAAGACAGCCAAGTATCTTCAATACATGCAAACAATTTTCAAGTTAAAGACCGCACTTCAAGGCTATCCAACTCTCTGTATCTTGGTCGACCGCGCTGTAGTTATGGCAGCCTTCATTGCCGTGTACGCATTCTCCTTCCCATCGTCGTCGCAGCTACTGTTTTCATATGCTGTGCAGACAACAATTTACCTCGCTGTAGATGCTCAGAGCCCAAGTGTGGTTGCGGTGGCCGTTGCCGCTGTGGTTGTGGGCGTCAGCCCGGCCCACGATGACCAACTGGACAGATAGTCCGAAGGGTAGTCTGTCTCAACAGGCCAGGTGGTCATAGTCGTCATCACGGCACTGGCGGCCTCATCGCCATCCTCATCGTCGGCAGCGGCGCAGACCCCCTGACTTAGACTCCACTCCAACTCGTTGTCGAGGGTGGTGTTCGAGGCCGGCTCACCGGTGCCGTTGTTATAGAGTGTGAAAAGGTCGTCGATCTCGAAAGGAATTTCCGCGTTCTTTGGGGGCGGTGGCGCCAAGGGGAGGTGCGGGTAGATGTTGCCAAGAGCGTTCTGGACGTACTTGGCGAAGGCATACAAGGTCAGACTGTCGGCGTTTATAATGGTCCATGCGCCTGTGGCCCATCCCAAGCGCGCCAGTGCTTTGCACGCCCACGGCCCGTAGGCTTTGTAGTACGTCATTCCTTTTTTCTCCCCTCGCTCGTATCCCACCTTGACGTCAGTGACATGGTGAATATCTCCACTGCTCGAGGCCGTCGACACCCAGTCGATGTGTAGCAGTTCATGAATCCACACCAGGGCCTGATTGTTGTAGTAGTTAGTCAGGTCGGCGTATAGACTAGGATCAATATTCGTGGTGTCTGCCCAGTACATCGCGTCATTTAGCGTTTGCAACGAGAAGTACTGCGGGCAAAAGCTTATGGATGCGACCCCGTATTTGATGTCATTCTGCGCCGTGTAGGCAATGGTGTTGACGTCTCTCCCGCATGAGCATCGTAAGTGCGGGTCATCGCACCGGACCGCAATCTTCCAGGCGAACAGGTCGATCCAGCCGGGCTGAATGGTGGCAAGGTTCAGATATATAGCCTTGTACTTGCTCCACTGGTCCTGATTCATCGATGGTGGCCCCAGGTACTCGACAGCAGCGGCCTCGTTGAAGTCGATGCCAGCTTTGGCCACCTTATAGATGTAATTCATGATCTTCCAGGACTGCACCCAGCCCGATCTGATCTGCTGTTTCTGGAGGGCGGTGCACCCGTCATTGCCAATCAGCGCCGTCCCCAGGATGGTAAGATTAAAGTCAGCGAAGTCGGAAATATTATAACCTGTCGTGGCAATCGCCTCCGTCATCTCCTGCTCCGCCTCCGTAATATCCTGCTCCGCCTCCGATATGCAGGTTCCAGGTGGACAGTAGCCTCGGCTGCAGGCAAAGTCACAGAGGTTGTCAAAGGTGTCGGGATAGCCGGGGCCTGCCATACCAGGACCCTCTGTCCGGTCGGGCGGCTGCACGAGAGCCCCTGTTTGTGTACAGGAACATAGATTGATGGGACAATACCCATAGCTACAAGCGTACGAACATAATCCGGAGACTGGACCGGGTCCAGTACCAGCAACACAGGCCGGCGGCAGGAAGTCCGAGACTGTTGGCACCGGCATGGGATGTTCTGTCGTGTCACACGTCTTGGACGGACAATAGCCATAGTTACAGGCAAAGCTGCATAGACCCGCGTAGTTGGCATCTCTCTCTTCTGCTGGGTAGCCCAGTATTCCCGTCGCGTTGGGCTTGGTGTGGGCAACGCCCATCTGCTCGCAGGTACATGCGCCGACAGGGCAATACCCGTAGGAGCAAGTAAAGTTGCAAAGGTCATTGAAATCGTAGGCACCCTTCCCTTTCACACATACCTGGTCTGCTATGTTGATTGTCGTAGAGGAGAGGCCAGGCGGCCCTCCAAGGCTTCCTACCCACGCATTGTAGTTGTTGAAGCCTTCATCGCACGTAGAGGTTATTTCTAAATTATGAACACTGCTAGTCGATTCCTCGCCGACAAACAAAGTGACCATAACATTGTCAGGGAATGCAGCGACGCTGCCAAACCAGATACCAGCTCCAATATCACCATCCCCTATAACGTCTGTCTGCGGCTTAAAGTCCCACTCCACGGCTTGATCATTGACATACACCGCAGCGTTGCCGTCACCGAATAATGCCATGACAAAGATCCGGTCTTCCAATGCATCAGCTGGTTCGAATTCAATTTGCAATTGAGAGGCGGTGTTGACTGTTGTATTCGCAGAACTACAAGAAGATACTGGATTAGGGCGATACCAGAAGGTAACTTTGTCACTTCCCATTGATGCACTTCCAGTTTTGTACAGATCGATCAAAAAAGGAAGCTGGTCGCGCCAGGCGTCATGTGGATAACCTAGCACATAGTTGTATGGAGCTTCACCGATATCGAAGGCAGCCATAGCATTGTCATGAATCGGGCCAATATAATGGGATTCACCATAATCATTCCACGAAATGATTTCAACGAATTCTGGCATTGGGTCGAGACCGAAAAGCTCTTGCCAGCGATCAAACCAGAGACTATCACCCTTCCAAAGCCAGTTCTTGTTATATCCTGGTAGATTGGTATAGAACCAGGGAGAAATGGCCATCATATATGGTTTCCCATCCAAATATTGTATATATGAGGCATCAGTGTAGGTATCCATAGTCTGATTTCCCCATGGCCACGCTGACCAGCTGAACAATCCATCAGCAACGCCATTTGCCAATCCCACGGCTGGCATAGCACCGACAGAAGACCAGTCCGGCATGAAGAAGCAATTTGTCTCTGCCTTAATTGTTACCCAGTCATCTGCATTGCCAGGTCCTTCAAATGTGGACACAAAAGGCCTCCCATTATACTGGAAGTATGCAGAGTTAGAGCTATATTGCTGGATCATGCTGGTTACAACATCTTGGTCCCAAGGTCCATTACCAGCATAGTCAAATGAGAAGAATAGTTTGAATCCCATCACATTGGCAGCAGTGAAAGCCATCTCCACGGAAGGGTTATTGGTGTCGTCTTCCCATGCCATGTTGAGGGCAAATGCATCGATGTGGGCATCCATGGCCAGTCCGATGTCGGACTGCCAGTCGGAAGCAGTGTAATTCCCAGAGTTTGTGACCTTGAATAGAATTAGTGTCCTTCTCGCTCATTTCAACAGGAAAGTTCAGACTGGACGGAGGTACCATGAAATGTGCAAACACAGCTTTCGCATTTGCCTGGTGGATGACCTGAAAGGCTACCACCATGGCAAGCACTGCAAATCGATTCATTGTCGCAGATGTGAGCGAGGGGAAAGGTATGAAAACAGACAACTACGAGACAACGGCTCTTTTATATCTCTTTCCTAAAGGCCCAGTCGCCTCCATGGTCTCAGCTACACCATCGTGCTCTTCCGTAAAGGGTCACATCTTCGCCAACATTCCGACGCTAGGTAGATAGGAAAGAAATTGCAGCCTTTGAGGTAGTATTTGTGGCGGTCCCGAAAGGGGACTAAATGACCAGTCTAGCGTTGAGCAGTTTCGGAGAGCCCTAAGACAGTGTACGGCAAATCCAAGTACTTCATCTTGTTCTTCATTGCAGGTGCCAATACAGTGGCTTTGTCTGGCTTCGTATTAGTCTGCAACAAATGGCATAACAGCACAGAGATACATAGTTAGATTTCTCGTTTAGATGCTTTTGCAAACGCCTGATATCTCAACAGCTCTATGCGCATTGCAGGGGTAAACTCTAAGCGACATTATGAAACTTCTCAAGACTAAATGATAGCGTCGAGCACCGCAATGTTCAATCCACCAGGGCCCAATAGTTGCTGTCTTAGACCCCATTTGCTCGCTCATCCGTTTCGGAGGGGGCGGAATGCGTGATTTCTCTACGGTATCTCTTTAGCTTTGCGGCGAGATACACCGAAGCAATCCACTTTTATGGGTATCCATGCAAAATTTTCTGGGCGGTCCGACATCTGACCGTAAAGCCTTTTAGCGAGATTACGCCAATGAATTGAAAATGACTAGTGAGAGGGGTCGAAAAAGAGAGAAAAAAGGGAGCTTGTGTACTAGACCCTGAAAAGTTGATATTTGGACCCTTGTTAAGCCACATGAGGATAGCGCAGTAACTGTAGTATTTACTACTAGTTGCCCCCGCCCGCTATCGCCCCGCCGACATAGCCACCCCTCAACAATCCGCTAGAATAAAAATCAATACCAGTACAAGACAAAGTGCAGAAGCTATCACGCCATCAACAAGGCTACAGAAATTAGCTGCTCGCCGAACAGTGCTTAGTTTTTATCATGCATTTTTCCATTCCCTCGAATCCATGTCTAGCGGCGGACAATTACCGAAGAGAGAACCGTCGATTTAGCTAGCTGTTGGCTGAACCCCATGGTTCTTAAAGAAAAAAAAGTTAAGGAAGATCAAGATGGGGGCAGTCCTTGGGGTCAGCGTAGAAGACACCCCCCAGCTTTTTGATCCACCTGCACCGTTCCTCCATATTATGCGCGTTGTGGATCCGCGCTGCCCCTATATCTCCTGCGTTATCTAATGTCGTGTGTAATACCCATACACCACCTGCAGCCGGCCAGCCCACTCGGAGATAGCCATCCGTAGACTTTGGGTGCTTTAGTTCACGCTCCAAAAATTCATCGGATTCTCTTCGCCACCAGGTAGCGCCGAGGCGACGCACTTTTAGACATTAGGCATGCAATAAAAAAAATTAAAAAAAAGAAAGTAAGGGGAAAGGAGAATGGTAACTGACTCCTGTCGCAGTGTGCATCCTCTTTCGCTTGCCAATCGGGATCTAACTTGGATGGGCGTTCGGTGTCATTGAACCGGTCGAGCCCAAGAAAGTCCAGCTCTACGCCGAAACAGTTACGCAGGATATAGACACCACCCTCGGAGGGGTACCCGAAGACCATCACCCCAGGGCCGGAGCCATAGGTTAGCCAGAAGCGACTTTCAGGTTCATGTTGCACACAATCGAACCTCTCCATTTGTGGTTGTTGCTCTTGTGCTAGTGTTTGGGTGCGTGCTTGTATTGTTGTTTGGAGTCGATGGGGGAGAAGCTGCCAACACGCGAGGAATGTAACTGAAATGGCCAGACAGGGGAATAGGATCTTTGCAATGGTCCGCATTATTGTGATTATTGTCAACATATTGTATTAGAAAAATGGAAGACGGGATGTCGGGTTCTTGACTTAAAGCTTGCCGGAGATAAACACCAGGAGCCAGTAATTTGGTAGGTCGGTGCGCATTCGCCAAGTTTCAGAGTAATACTTAGATAGATATTATCACTAAGGTAGGCTAAACAGGTGTCCAGCAGCTCCAGCCGACGTACCCGCCAGCTTTTAACTTACTCCTATTATATTTGTAGATTTCATTATCCTAGGGTTACATTTCCAGGATCATCACAGCGCGTCCCGAAACTGGTGCAACTACGTACACTTTTCGCGTTCGCTCCCAGCCACAACACGGAAACAAGCTAGTCGCAGGCTGGGATAGATCCGGAATATTAATAATCCGTCACCAGTGATATACGTCCAAATTGAAAGAGGGTACCCGCAGAACTCCCAAAACATACTAGCAAGTCTTGGCGCTATGGCTGGAGAAATAATCAAAGAGTGTAAGCGGTTGCGCCAGTTTCGGAACGTACTGTACTGTACGATTAGAATATTTCAGCATCAACTTCAATAAGCAATCCTTTTCCTTTAATCTTCCTCATCTTCTTATCTCAGACAAAGGTGTCGAGCACGTGCTCCGGTGTTAATCAAAGTGAGGTCGAATTTTGGTTTATCAGGCAGAATTCGAGATCCTCTTTACTCTCGGTAGTGATCATTACATACCTAGTAGCCCCTTGTCTAATTGCTGAAGTGGAATATATTTTTGAAGCAGCACAGACTACATTGTATCGGATAATGGCGTTACGTATTACCGATGTGGTCAGACGTGGTCATGTGACAGACCGCTTTGTCTCCATCACATGTCATGCGCACGCGCGGAAGAAGGATGACCGGTTGTTGTTTCTCGAAATGAACAAATATTCGGCTGTCCGCATGGCGCTAATCGAGGAGGATTAGAGGAGATACAGCTTGCTGGACAGATAGAGCAATATGGTATTTTGGTGGTATGTAGGAGAGAAGAAGGAACAAAGAAAAGGAAGTGCCGGTTATCTACAGGACTGTTGTCTTTGAAGTTGAAGGGATTCACACCAGTCTCGTTGTGGTCTTTTTTCAGTTTCCCACAAACTGCCCCACAAAACTGTTTTTAACAGACAAGCTGGAAATAATGACGGTCTGATCTCTGGTGACAAATAAAATACATGGTAAATTCATAGTCAACACGTCATAAATGTTAGGCTAAAACAAGTCGCAGCGAGCTCAATGCCCCATCTAAGCGATACCTGTCTCGCCTATGAATCAGTCATTTTGAGTCCCTCAGCTGAACGAAGATGTTCGTCTGCCCATTAGTTCTGGATGCGCTGCACTGGTTGTCAATTGTGTGTAAGCCCATTCTTGTTTCATAACACCATTTATTGATCACTTCGCTTTTATCCTTCTCTGAACCGAAAATTTTGGTAAATTACTACTACTCGCTAAAAAAAACAAAGGTCTAAATTGATAGGAGAACAGGACGATAATACAATAAATACTAATGATCATAATGGCATTACTAATGAACTAACTATTAATAAGACACTTAAAGCCATTATCATTCCTCCGCCTGGAGGTGTAGCGTTAACTCTATTTGAAGGACTTCGGCAAGTGGTCGAGCTTTCCTTCGACATAGTACCGCTAGGCTGCACGAGTAGAGGCCATCGATCTTAGTGACTGTCTTGGTTTTTGTGAGGTGCACGTTAGTATATCCCACTCTTAAGGGACGCGACGCTATACCGACGGAGTAGGAATATAGGACGAAAGTAGCCATCACTATCAAGTTCTAGATCTTTTCGTCAACCGCGCTGATCGTCTAAGCTTAGAAGGGACGCCTCCGCTGTGCGATAGTCTATGTTTCGTTAATCGCATATTATAGAAAACGTATGATAGGTCCTTCCTAAGCGGAGATTCGGTTTAGTCTGTTATGCCCCATGGACAGGCGTCACGGGCCTTAGAAGAAGTCTTAGAAGAAGTCTTAAGTACACTACGAGCCTCCTAGAATTCCTCGGCCTGGAAAGCATTGCCGGTGCTTTGCTTATATTCTAAAAGAAGTTAATATCATAGGGGAATTAAAGCTTCGCAAATCAGATTAGTGAAATCACTTACGCTTGTAAAGGTCTCTTACTTAAGGTTTCGTGTTTATTCTCTACGAAAGAGGTTATGTTGACTTAGACTAGTATAAGGGACGAAATTGGATAAGTTGGATAATGTAGAGACAACTGAGCACTTGAATGAGAAAGAAAGACGAGGTTGGAGTCTTGACTAATTTTCACCAAGACGGCATGCGAGATCCATGACTTTATACCTCTCGTCGGATAAATTATACCTTGCTTAGCCTGGTTGAGGTGGATTCGCTCGGAGACGTTTCAAGCTTAGAGGGTAAAGGCTCCGCTAGGGTTATATGAAGGCGAGACCTACCTGCTAATTGAATTCGTGGCTGATGCATCGCGTAGGGTATTACCGCACGAACGCCTCGCCCCCTTATTCGTTTAGACGAATAGCCACATCACGAAGCGCTGTTGCTATTTTCGAAGAACCGCCGTGTATCTACGTATTACCTACGTCTGATTATCATATCTGGTCGAGAGGGCACTGTTTACTAGTTATTGCGTGGTCTAGGACCGAAGATAAAACGTGTAGGACGCACTAACACGGAGTCTCTAGTCTGCGTGACGCTTGTGCTCCTTGAGTAAACCCTTGTTTTCCCACCCGTTCTCGTCCTCTCCGCTAATCGATGATGAAGCTAATGGGTAAGGCGCACTTGGTGACAGGGGGCTGGGAGAGGCTCTAGGACGCGAAAGTGACAAGGAAAGATATATAGGTCAACGGGGATGAATTTTGGCACGTAGCCTGACGAGATCGCCCGGCGGGATCTTTTAGGGTCGGAGGTTATTCTCGAATCTCAAAATGGTCACCGTGAAGTCATAATAATTATGCACTAAGCGATTCAATCTAAGTATTCCGTGGTCTTAAATTAATATGGACGCCACTAGCCATGGGTGCCAATATTTCTTCATCCTTGACGTGCGCCTTAAGGTAGATTTAAAGCCCCGCTCCAGACGGCCGATTATGTAGAAGGAGCGATGCATAAAAGCGCCCGGCGTATGTAAGTTCGACGATCAGCCGACTGATTGATATGTGGGCAGCGGGCTAGAGGCTAAAAACCTCCCATTTCGAGCGATGGCGAGAAAGCTGAGCGGAACTAGGGCACGAGGTAAGGGAAAGCGCCGTAGATCTACGCTCGAGAGTTCGAAAGACCGCAAAGAGGTTAGTGACTAGACGACCGACCGAAAATCCTATCAACTAATCTATTGAAGCATTAAGTGTTACGACACGTCCATAGAAGAGCCATACAAGAGGCAGAGAACAGGCGTATAAACGCATGAGAACACTTCTGATTGCTACTACCAGCTGGAGATGCTGGAGAAAGGTTATTCCGATATGTTCGGGTAACTGATTAGATAAGCCGCACAACAGAAGTAGGCCCACGGGAGAGATCCAGGAGAACTCTCCAGTGATTATATTATCAATATAACAACAGCGCTGTGTGCGCTGCAGTTCGTGTCATCACTCGTATCCAATCCAACCGTATAAGGCCTGCGCCTTAACATTAAGACTGACTTACGGCTAGGACAAGTCGATCCATTTAGATGCGCCGCGTTAGGGTCCGGTCAATCTTAGTGTGAAAAAAGGCAAGCGTTATTACTTAAGTGCAATAAGTCTCTTTTCGACCCATTCTTTGCATTCTGCAGTTCTTTAGACACGCTTCGCGAGGCGACTATCTAGAGAGAGTGAATAAATAATATATAGTCACGTGAAATATGAAGATTCGGGGGCTAGCGTCAGAACCTCAGAAAAAGCACCTAATCAGGAACAAGGTGAGCCCAAAAAGCAAATGGGGCGAAGAAGAGGTGATGACGAGTCACACAGGGCAAAGGGGTGGCGGAGCTCAGGAGCTCGGTGCTCCGGGTCAATAGCAAAAATGCCTCAAACACAACGTGCAGGGGAAATATGGGGGCAAGAAAATAAATGGGAAGTTAGGTGGGAGGGGGAATTGGGAGGTCATATACAACCACGCACAGGCATGCACGGAGACCGGAGGCGGTAGACCAAATGTGGTCAAACTTAACCTAACGAAGTAATTAGCTGTCCCCATCCGATATGGTGTAGTGGCTAACATCGTCGTCTCTCACACGACAGCCGGGGGTTCGATTCCCCCTATCGGAGTTTCTTTTTTGATCCTTGTGCCATCATCATCACTTACTACACGAAATATTTGGCAACATGTTTTTTTCTTCCAACTATTAATTCGTTTACTTATTCTTTAATACCATTTCAAGCGTTCCACCATTTTCTCAAACTCTGTTTATACTAAGTCAGCAGTTTTCCCGCGCATCATGCAGAAACCGCATACAAACCATTTGATTCGGCTTCCTCAACTCAGAAAACACAAGCTCGTACTTTCTAAACTCATAGGGTGTCTTCAGAAGAAGTACCTCCTTATGCTTGTTCGTCCAGCCCTTAACACTACGCAGGTGATGCAAACTATGGGCAACTTCAACCCTCGGATCCAGGATCAGGCTGACATCCACATTTGCAGGACTGACAAGTAGCGGGTTATGTCTTGTATCTCCTTCCAATCTGTATTCTTCTTCCAGAGCCAGGTGCTCTTTTTCAGGGCTTGTTGGGAAAGGGGCATAAGGGGAGTTGTGGCGGGCGACTTCGTCATCTGTGCCTGATTGGCAGCTCTCTGTTCGTTCTGGATTGAGGATGCATCTTTCGAGTATGACTTCTTCTGCTTTTGCAGCTGGAACTTTCTCTGCTTGTAGGTAGGAAGCTGTGTGGAGAGGCTGGGTGTGTATTCGGTGAGTTAGAGTTGTGGCTTTCCAAGCCCGATGGAGAGGTTTGAGACCTTTGGCCATATTCGATCGTATAGTTGATAAGCCCTCGGATTTGGTCAAATGGCGATGAGAGTTATGAGCGTTTGTAATGAGGGGTTTGATGTTTATATAGGGTTTACCCCGGAAAGGATACACGAGATAGTTGGGAATGACATCATGAAATCGTCGAAGGCGTCGAAGGCGACCTATCCATTGTTCATTCAGCTTTTTCTCGGGTAGAGAGAATGTACCATCAGATGAATTTACACATGACCTCATGACTTGAAGCCAAGCTGTTTGGGTCTACCAACACCTTTCTATTCAATCATAACCAATGGAAGTCAGTTGACTGAAGCTGAAACAGCCATGCAGCCCTAGTTTCTTTAACTCGAGAAGTAGTTGTAGAACCAATTGGAATACCTCTAGGTAGGATGTTTAAAACTACCTAGGGGCATACTGTACTTCTGTCTAATTTGGGCAGTACCTTGTGGTTGACTACTGTACTAAGTAGCCGTGACACCGTAAAAAAAAAAAAAAAATAGAAAGCAGGTGAATACTGTACATATATGTAAACTGTCAGGGAAAGTTGAGACCTCGGGACATAATGGAATGCTTGTGATGTGGAACGACCCTCCTGGGTGTCTAAGATATTATTTTACATATAGATGAAAATCGCCATAAGCTTTTTCAACGAGTTCCAATGCTGGAATAAAAAGGTTGTTGGAGACTGCCCAGTGTCAGGTAGAGAACCTTCTCGGCTATCTTCCAATCCCAAAGACTAAAAAAAAAATATGATGTACCTACAGGATAAACAGATTATCAAATGCTTCCTGTAGATAAACCTTTAGTTGAGACCATCAAACCATTTCATTCGCCAATCAACGCCGAAACAATAAAAAGGGAATCATCTAATGGAAAGGGAGACCCCAACCAACATGCAAACAATAAAAGAGCAAAAAAGTAAACCCAAGATGCCTCGAGACAGAATAAGATAGTCTGGGCAACCCATCCTTCCCCCACACCTGGGCTAACATCACACCCAGCATTTCCCGAGATCAGTCACTCATCCAAAACACGGAAGAGACAACTAAGAGGACCGCTGCAAAGCCGCAGCAACATCAACCAACAACGAACCCAGCTCCTTCGCCCCCTCAGAAGCACCGCCCTCCATCTCAAGCCCCTTGACCAAAAAGTTCTTCGCCTCCTCATACCTCGCCATCTCGGCACAACACTTTCCAACCCGCCACCAGGCCTTAACGTTCCCAACAGGCTTCGAATCAATACTGCACTTCGCATCAACCAAGCCGGCAGGCCAATCCTGATTTCCCATATGAGCCTGCGCCCGGTTTCCAAATAGTCCCGAAAGTTCCTCTCTAGCAAGACCGACAGGTTCCCAGCCGGGTCGCGCAAGCGCCATATCAATCGCGTAGGTGTACAGCTTGACGGCTTCGTCGAAGTTGTTTTTGCGGTAGGCGGCGTTGCCGCTGTCGCGGAGTTTGGTGATCTGGGCGCTACGCTTGGGGTTGATTGGCATAGGGGGTGGGGGGATGTTTGGGGGATCGAGGGAGAGGAGTGAGCGGTGGAGGGCGTTTAGTTCGTTTAATTCGGTTGTCATGGTTGTTGTTTGAGATTGTGTCGGGAGGGATGCTGGGTGGCTAATTGCTTTGGAGGCTGGGTCCATGTGCAAGGCATATTCGGTGAAGATATCGATTTCGCTGGCCATTTTGGGGATTTTGGACTTGGAGTCCGTGTGATTTGGGTTGGCTGGTTGGTTTTGTTAGTTCGGAGGTCATATATAGTTGTCGAGATGGCGACTGGTATTGGGTTGTGAAGTGATGATTGGGAGGTGGGCGCTTGATATCATTGAAATACATACTGGCCTTTATAAGATAGCAGAAATGGTATGATGCCAAGTAATCGAGGACTGGTGAATGTGCGGCGAATTGACAGATCTCCGCTGCGGAGAGCAAGCTGTCCAAAAGCGCGCTGGCCAATAAGGCGGTGGCAGAATACTGTAGCCAGGCACAAGATTAAGGTGACAATGTGCACGTGATTCTGTTTATGCGGTTTGCACCAGGTACAGATGCTCAGTTTCAAGTTCAGGGTATTCATGATTTGCACATGCAATCTATTTGCTTACATCCAACAGAACATACAGTCATATGGAAAAGGCAGGAAGCAACCACAGCAGTAGCCTGTCCATGTAGAAAAACAGAAATAGGAGGGAAAAAAAATAAACACAAAACTATGCGCCCGCCAACACCGGTCCGTGATCATGTCCGGGACACAATAAAAAGCAGTCGCCCAGTGATTTTGGGTATTCGTTGCCAGCATTCCTGGCCTCCACAGTCCTCATCCAATGTTTCACGTTAAGCCTCCTTTACCGCTGGTGTTGGAACCCGCCAACTGTAGAGCCGTAGTCAGACGGAGTATATGCGTCTGTTGGTGGCGGGTAATGTTGTCCGTGGGCCCCGCCATAGGGTGTGCTGTTATATTCGGACATATGACTGCCTCCAACCGAGGACTCGGTGGGGTCATAGGCTCCGTGCATCGCGGAGCGACCGTTAGGGTTGCCTAGGTCGTCAATTTCACTCTGGTTCAACAGAGCGTAATCCTCGTCGCGGTCGCTCCGTGATGAGCCCATGCCACCAACACGGCTGGACCGGAAGTCATCCTCGTCCTCCTCGAAATCGTGAGCGGGGTTGGAAGAAAAGGCGGCTTTGGACTGGGCGGCGAAGGTGGGGTCTGAGACGGCGTCTGGGAGAGTACCAGTGCGGCGAAAGTGCATAACGTTGCGGAAGGACATCCAGGCAGTAGCAGCGAATAGAAGGCTATTTAGAAATGTTAGCCCTGAATTACCTTTCACCAAGAAAAAGCAAAAAAGCCCACGTACAAGATAACGACGCCGATGATGGTCGTTGCTTCACTCAAGCTGCACTTAGTAGCGCTACCGTATGCCCAGTTGTGACAGCCGGATGCGCTGCTAGTTGTAGTGCTCTTGGTGGAAGAGCTGGTGCTATCGGCTCGGCGGTTTTTGCTAGACGAGCTCGAGGAACTGCTGGAACTGCTATCACTGTCGCTGCTGGAGGTCTTTCCAATACTCTTTCCCTGGGCGACGTATGAGGCCAGACACACCCATGCGCTGAACCAGAAGATTGCGTAAAGAACATCGACCGTTGCGAAGGCGTAGACGTTGCCGAAGCGGCGGGCTCGGGGCCACATGGGTACTGCGGCGAGGTAGATCAAAGCGGGGAGACTGATCCAACACTGATCCAAGCTATTAGCTGACAAGTTCGAGGTTCTAGAAGTAGCTAAGTCGGACGGGACTGGGTGTATTGTTTAGGAGTCGAGCACGTACCAGGATCCAGTACCAGACTGTCCGTCCATCGATGCCATCGCCTTTAGTCCAGATAGCGATCGTCAGCGCCCAGGCGAGGAAGATAATGAATCCTTGTGCGAAATGGAGGATGTTCTTCGTCCTCCCCAGATTGCCGGACGGCCGAGGGAGCTGCATATTGAGTGTAGAGTAAAGGAGACTGCAAGGGCGAGATCGACCCTTTCAAAGAATCACCCGACAAGGGGGCCTCGGTAAAAAAAGTCAAGATCGCAGAGAATGTGCGATTGACAGGAACGTCCAACGGGAAGCAAGTCGGGAGAAAAGTGGCTGTCAGACGAGGAATGGGGGGACAGGCGGATTGGGAGTTTCGGGGACACGCAGTGTTTTTCTTGGCTTTTGCGTATCAACCTCTATGTGGAGAGGCTCTTGCGATCCAAGCAATTGTATGGGAGGGGTTAAGGATGATTGAAGGTGCTACAGCAAAGATACAGGATGAGCCGGAGGGGAGGCTAGGCAATAATAATGATGTTCTTGTGATTCCCGGCGATCGCCCAGGCGACAGCCCGTGTGGTTCTATTTTCGGGCGCTTCAGCCACGGTGGAACCAGAACCAAAGGAAGACTTGACTTGATACCAAATGATTAAAACCAGACGCCTAGAATTCAAACAGCTCCACTTCATTTGCCGCGATCGACACCGACATCATAGGGCATTTTACGGGGTTTTCAATGTCTATGTGGCTGTGTTTCGTACGGAGTAAATGAGGGACTCTGAGTAGTCCGAGTCCTGATGAGATTGAAGTGACCTTCAATTTGATTCGCCCCAGTGGCGCACGTCAGATCTCTACGGCATATGCTAGTCATACAAACTGGAGGCTGAAGATATGCGAAGTGCAGACATTCTTCTACGATAACTTAATTTTGAATTTAGATATGTTAATGTGTTGCTGGGGACGTAAATAGAGCTGTAATGACCGCTATGATAGGTGTAAACCAAAGTAAAAGTAAATGCAACCGAAATAAAGCAGATTCTCAACAGAACCGAAAAGTCATCCAGTGTCGTGATTCATAGTATTCATACATCATGATGATTCTGCAAAATCTTTCCCCGTCAACTCTGCTTCTCTCGTTTGCTTCATAAGCTGCCAAACTTCACGCAGGGGCTGGTACACGTGCACATGCCACCACCATGGAAAGGGGTCGTCGGTTGAAAAACGCGCGTCCTTCCAGAAAAGAAATGGCACAATTTCTGCTTCAACAACGGCGACCACGCGCTTCGCAAAATCTAGGGATAGAAATAGCGAAATGAAGCGAGACACAGTTTCATGATCCACTATTGTTGGTCGGGAGCGTGGGCTTGGTGAGAGGGTCGCAGGGACGTTCCAGGAAACAGGCTCGATTGGCTGCTGAGACAAGACAGAGAGGTATCCACGAACAGGGCATTGTGCATCACGGAGAAGGTTCTCCAATGCCACAGCTCCAGGGACGCAATCGGCGATGTGGATAGTGTGGCGTACGGAAGATGTGTCGAACTCTTCGTCAACCAAAAGCCGCACCGATAGGTGGCCGGTCATCCGCGCTCCGCCTTTCTCAGCAAAGCTTTGCATGAGTTGATGCACAGCTTTGGCAAGAGCTTCGTCCAGGGGGGAGGCACCCCAGTGCGGGGAACGAGATTTGGCCAAGCGGACCTTAATTGCATGGACAAAACCACGCACAACCAGCACGTCGGCGAAAAATTCTCCAAGCCGGGTTTGTTGCTGCAAGATCCAGGGAAAATCCATGGAGATTTGCATTTCACTAACTTCCGAGTACGTTTTACTAAGAGTGCGTTTGGGAAGAATGACAGCGATTTCGCTGGAAATGGGATTAACGCGTCTTATATTAAAAGACTTGGTTGGCGATCGGTTCAAAATCTTGTGAATAGAGTCACGCGACTGAACCTGGTGGTACTCCAGCATGGGAAGCTTTTTCTCGGCCAAAAATTGACGAAATGAGTCTTTATTGCGGAAGCAAGCTGTCATTTCTGTGTCGAATGCGACGCATTTGCAGCTTGTGCGACTCTCCACAACTTGTCGGGCAGTGGCGTCTTCGACGGCAGACGCCTTGGGCGAACATGGAATCCACACATCAACCTTCTCACGCTGGATGATATCCAGTATCCTTGAGAGGTAGTGGTCTTTCGGAACTCGGTAAAAAGCGACCAAAGTCTTTGACATGCCCCCGCCCGACCGGACTGGAAGGTCCAGGTCAGCAACATCCACGCCCACTACACGGTGACCTTCTGCATCCCAAGTACGCGCCAGAGCAAGACCGGGCGATGTGCCGATTCCGGTAATCAAGACCGTCTTAGGATAGAAATGTACATCTTGCAGGGCTTCCTGGCGTCGACGTCGATCTGGTTTCGAGCGTAGACAGGCAAGTAGGATGGTAGCTAGGAGAATAGAATTGTCGAGGAACAAAAAAGCAAAAGAGAACCAGACACGAAAGAGACCTTTTGCCAAGGCCAGCCCGAGCATCTTCAATGAGAAGAGCAATCGGTGATTCACCCCCGGGACCACCATTGGGACCAGCGGAAGAGAAGGTTTGAATCCTCAAAATGGGTACGGGAAGCAAGGAGAGCTAGGGTGAGGTTCAGCCCAATTGAGGGGCTGATCGGCGGGGAAGTCACGCATCTGCAGATCGAGTTGCAACACCCTGTTCTACCCTGTTCAAGAAACCTCGGGGGTTCCAAGGGTTTGACTGCGAACATGTACATCGCACGGACAACATAAGTACTTGGCTAAACCCCAGACCAAATCTCACTGCGGTTTCCAAACCCACCGGGGATCAGGTTACCGAGACGTTTTATCTGATCACTCGGCATTATCGGATTATCGGGGTTGATTGCCTGAAGTCCTTAGCTCCGAGGCATCTGCGTCGTCATTCTCCATTGAATGCGCTCCTTGCACCAATCACTGACCGAGATCGGGAGGAATTATTTTATCTTGAGCTCTGCACTAAAACGCTTTCGGGTCCACGTTCGGCACTGACGCATCCTCCGCCACTTCTAGCTCATATATCATGCGGGGCATCCTCCGTTCAACGTTGCCATTGAATCGCTGTTTACTTCATACCCTCAGAACTTACAGGTGCACTTTGGCCCCGATTTCCCAATATCCGAAGTATACTTCTCGCTCCATTGCATACTCTCCCGTAAGAATGTCTGCACGACCGGCCTCGCCCCCTGCTCACGCCCGCCCTGGGGAGACTTCTGTAAGCTTATCTCTGGTTCGCAATATTCCCAAATACAATGGAATCTTATTAAATGCCCGTGTGGCTGGTATAGAATGAAGATCACCGGACAAGAAGACTTCTCCGCTGGGTCTTCGCTCAAGAGAATCTTGATGAAGTCCGTGGACACCCCGACAAGGTCCTAGCTCTCATCGACGAGTTCAGCAAGGAAGAGCGCATGATGACTGTCGGCCAAGAAAAAGGCAAGCAAGTTCTAGATGTGATCGACAAAGTCAAGCCAGAAACCATGATCGAGCTTGGTTGCTTCGTTGGCTACTCTGCGATCCTATTTGGTGACGCATGTCGGCGCAACGGCGGCAAGCGGTACCTCAGTCTGGAGTACAACCCAGAATGGGCCGCGGTTGCGAACATGCTCATTGAGCTCGCAGGTCTCCGCAGCTTCGTTACTGTCCTCGTCGGTCGCAGCGACGTGACCCTCGACAAGCTCTACAGAACCGGCGATGTAAAGCAGATCGAACTCATGTTCATTGATCACTACAAGCCTGCCTACTTGACAGATGTCAAGCTCTGTGAGCACCACGGCATGATCGTGCCAGGCTCCGTGCTGGCTGCTGACAATGTCCTTTACCCGGGTAACCCACCGTACTTGGAATACGTCCGGAGTACAGTCGAACAGAAGCGGGAAGCTGCGAAGCAGGGCCCCACTAAGGGATATAACACGGAAGGCATGCGCGAGCGTACCGTGAACTCCTTCATGCCTGAGGGTGATGTGCCATTCCTTGAGACGGTCGGTAACCCCAATCTCGTATACCAGAGTGAACTTCGGCAACCGGAAGGGCATCGGGTGAGTCACATCCACTCAGATTAAGTCTAGACCATTGCTAACCAGGAAACAGGATGCAATTGAAGTGACACGATGTGTGGGTGTGCAGGAAGCATAGAGATGGAAAACAGCCTAAATGACGTGGGGTCATTTTAATTGTACAGCGGGCCCAGCCGCCACCAAGATAATTCAGTGAAGAAGAATTGAAAAGGATTATCAATCATGAACAACCGCACGACAGTACTCCGTGTAGAAATATAGACATATAGGAAAAAAGATGCCGACCTTTGCCACATCGGGAGGCCGATGAGACGGTATTACGGCATTTGTCGAGTGCTCCGCCCGAGCCAAAGGTTGCCGTCGCCAGGACCTTCCCCCGCATCGGTGCTGCAATTCCGTGGGGGGCTTATATAAATCCCCTTCCCATCCCACTTTTTCATAACTTCCAAACCATTCCATTCCCAATCAATTCATCATGGCCTCCAAGACCTACAACGTTGGTATCATCGGCTACGGCTTCAGTGCCAAGATTTTCCATATTCCTTTCGTGGCGCAGATCCCCGAGCTCAAGCTCTATGCGGTCGTGCAGCGCACCCCCAAGGCAAACGATGATGCGGAGAAGGATCACCCCGGAGTGAAGTCTTACCGTACCACTGAGGAGCTGGTCCAAGACTCCGCCGTCGACATTGTCATCGTCACCACTGCTCCGGACTCCCACTTTGCCTTGTGCAAGTTGGCGCTGGAGGCGGGCAAGCACGGTTCGTCCTCGAATGGCCCAATTGAGTGAAGAACTTGCTAATTTGGTATCTAGTTATTTGCGAGAAGCCCTTCACTCCCACCTACAAGGAGGCTGCCGACCTTGTCACCATCGCGGACAAGCAGAAGAAGTTGTTGGCCGTTTACCAGAGTACGTCACCGCGTGACCCCACCAACCCTCTCGCCCTGGCTTTACAAACCCAACTAACCTACAATAGACCGTCGCTGGGACGCCGACTTCGTCACCCTATCCAAGCTCGTCAAGAACGGCTCCCTCGGCCGCATCTCTGAATTCGAAACCCACTTCGACCGCCACCGTCCCGAGGAGCCCGCCGCCGATGCCTCAAAGTGGAAGAACAAGGTCATGCCCGGCGGTTCCGCTGTCTACGACCTCGGCACCCACCTCCTAGACCAAGCCGTGCACCTCCTCGGCCTCCCCAAGCGCGTGACCGGTTTTATCGGCTCCGCACGCGCAGTGAACAGCAACGGCTTCGAGGACTCGTTCACCGTCCTGCTGCATTACGCCAATGGCACCTTAGTCACCGCCAAGGCAACAGTGGTCAGCCCCGAAGAAGAGCAATTGCGATTCTGGGTCCGCGGTGAGAAGGGAAGCTTCAAGAAGTTCCACCTTGATATTCAGGAAGATCAGCTTAAGGCTGGTATCAAGCCTGAGGATAATGGATATGGCCGTGAGCCTAAAGAGCGTTATGGTACTTTGACTACCATACAGGATGGAAAGCCTGTTAAGGAGATCGTTCCTACCGTTGAGCCTCCTACTTACACCGAGTACTACCGGAAGTTTGCCCGCGCTCTTGCTGGTGAGGGTGAGCTTCCTGCTAGTGGTGAGGAAGCTGCTCAAGTCATTCGATTGATTGAGTTGGCTCGTGAGAGCTCACAGAGTGGACGGACCTTGGATGTTTAACTGGCAATCATGTATGAAAAGCAACGAGATTATGATTAGCGGTAAATAGAAAAGAAGGCTGGTTTTGTATTTAGCCAATTACATCTGTGATTATCTCTTCACGTGGACTATTTGAGGGGGTTTCTTAGACATGTTGACAATAATTCCGTCTTTTGGTTATAGTCGATCAGGGCCTTTTGCTCCAACATCGCCTGATCATGAGAGTCTATATTCCTGGGCATTAAAGATGGTAAGTTGAATTACTAGTGTCTCAAATTTTGTATCAGTTGCATTCTCAAACACGAATAATATCAGTGATGTATCATTTTCGCCCAAGTGACTGACTGTAATTTCATTATAGGAAGAATTTATCATGATGACTTAGGCTATCAGCTGCATTCCCAGTTGATGAAATGATGCCCTAACTTTCTTTGTTTATAATCACGGCCTTTTCCATGAATAATTTCAAGTTCCAATGGTTTTAAAATCGAATTTTAAATAAACCAAGGTGACGGAAACATAATCACTCTCTATTGACTGGTACTTGCATCTTTGACACCAGGCGACATGGGATTTGCATTTCTTTCGCCTGATTCCTAAAAGACCACAATCTGGCAAGCTGCGAAGAATATTTTAAATGACCGTTAGCATGCAAGTAAATTTAGCCTGTACTACTAGGGTAACCGCATAAGCCTTTGCCAAGTGTGTAACAAAGAGTGGATAGGTACTTGAAGCTTTGAGAAAATAAGACGGCTTTGCATGAGGGGTTCATCTATACCAATTTCTCGCTCGCAGGATCGGACCCTTGAAGTATATCCTTTCTAAGTTTATTACATTGCCAAGTCTTCGGCAGTGTGGCATTGGGACTTTGGCTGAAGTGGGCTGTCGTGATTACGACGCATTCCACTTAGGTACAGGATGCAGAGACCCGTTATTATGTGTCTCGGTAAACAAGGAGCCGGTCAATCACCATGCACCAGTATTCAACACCCAATAAGAACTATTTAAAATGGGAATGGCCAAGGCTACACCGGGAGCAAACTCGATATGAGTGAATGACCCCTCTTACATTATTAGTGTGACAGCCTTGTCGTACTGCTCAAATTTGGGATGCAGTCTGAGCTGCATGGTTAGCTCCGTTACTTGTCTTGTTTCGTAGTCCGGAGCTCAAACATCAGATGTCATGTTTCCACTGTGTAGGAGATTGAGATGCCTCCAGAGACTTTCAAAATTCGAAAATCCTCCAAGGTTCGTAAACGAGGAAACCCCGCTGTAGATGATAAGACCCTTCGATCGTGATTCTGGGGGCCAAATGCAGCAACTATCACCCAACAGGGTTTGTTTTGCGAGAAAACACGACCAGCGATCCGGTGCGGATTTTTGCCGTAAGGTTTCAACTCCACTAGAGTGTTTCAGAATCACCAACTCACACGGACGAGAACCGCCACATCTGGCCCCAAACGCCCCTCTGGTTTTCATTGGCTCCTAGGTCAGCGCCAGCGGCTCTCTGACATCTCATTGCCAGACTCCTATGGTGATACCAGTGTAAAATGGCGGGGCCACGTTTTCCGTGCAGCTCAACCATGCTGACCACATGGTTGTCATGCAGGAGGGGGTAAGGTCCGAGCAACTAGATTGACTACTTCGAGGTTCTCGCCAATTTGCAGACCGCTCAATGGCCGCAGGACTATTTTATATGTATCTGCACTGGCGTCCTGTTTTATTTTTAAATACACTGAGCGACAAAAAGTGAAGGCAAAAACATTCGGTGCTATGGATGTTAGTCAATTGCCCGATTTCAAGATCCTGCCCGATCCTGAATACAATAATTTCTGCAATGAGAAATCCATGATTACCAAAGATTCCATCAGCCTTAAAACCACATCCTCATGGACCTACTGTGGACCCCTTCTAAGTCTTGATCCCGACCTTTTACCATCATCCTTCAAAACCTGGGCCGATGCCACAATCAACGGCTCACTACTAGACCCTTTACTCTCTTTCCTGGGATTCGTCCATGACTTCCTAACAACAAACAACCTATCCAACTACTGGATCACCGTCCGCGCCGATACAGGAACCCACGATTTCGACATCCCAAGATGGCACACAGACGACCTATTCTTCTCATCCCCGGCCACACCAACCCACCGCCGCCGCGCCTCACTAAACCTATTTCCCAGCATCACCCGCACCAGGAAGCAATCTACCTCACATCCACGACGCCAAAGTGAAGACCTCAACCATCTACTAGAAGAGTTCCCTGCCCCACCCGCCCAGATAACATCGACAACCCCCAACCCCACAAACTGGAAACTCACCACAACCCTCCTAGGTCCCGGAACCCTATTCATAAACCCGGAGTCCACCCCCATGGCCCGTGAGGTCCAACGAGAAGTTAAGCGCTCCGTGCGGGCCGAAAACCCACATCACATCTGCGCGTCTGTGCGTTGTGTTGGCTGCGCCACGGCAGCGGAGTCTGTGAGGACCCGGCTTGTTGCTGAACTGGATAGCTATGGGGTTGTGCAGGCCCAGCCGGGGGAATACGTGTTTTTTCGGGTCGGGGATGAAGTTGGGGCGGTGCATTCGGAGCCTATGTCCAATGGGGATCGGATCTTTGTTAATGTTGTTCCTGGGAATGAGGCAGATTTGAAGAGTCTTATGGCCAAGTGGGGGATGGAGTATCCGCGGGCTTGGTGTGTGGGATTACCATTTCAGATGGCTGGGGAGGTGCATTGGAGGAATATCGGTGGGTTTTGAAGGTATTGGCTTTGTTTTGTTATGCGTGCTGCGGTTGATACCCAGATCGCTGAGGATAATGCTGTGAAGGTATAGTGGTCATGAATGATGATATTTATCAGTGCCATTGTACTCTATGAATTGAATTACGGCTTTCTTTTCTCCATTTCGGTAGATCGTGATGAATGGACTGTTGTCTCAAATTGAGAATTCATCGGTAACTCACTATACATGGGACATGCGGATGTAACATTTGGTTGGTTTCAGCTAATGCAAGGCTGTTCTTTTTGGTGTGCCCTGAAATTGACACATCAAGATGTAATTATTATTAGGTTCTTATAGAGCTCCGAGTCTTTTAAACACAATATATCGGCATTCTATTAATTCCAGGGTCATGAACTATCTTTTTGTAGATCAAAGGTGGTCCCAGATGTTGATGACATCATCAATGCCAAGCCACTATGACCCAAAACGGGGTTTCTGTTACTAAATACAAATCCCATGAGTGGTAGTTCGTCAACACGATGGAGCACATGGAAGGGGAGACTGTACATAAAGGGAAGTCTTGCGTTTATGCCTAAGCTAGCTTCCGCGGAGATATCCCATTTACTGACGCGTTAGACGGTGAGGGTTCCCCGTACCCCCACAGCGAAGCAAGTCATGTCTTTGTATCTGAGGACTTTCCCCTGTAAGACCGTTCTCTCAGCACTGGACCGTTGGCACGGGGAGTACAAAGTATAGTTGTGCCTGGCTGAATGGAACCTGATAATTTTACCCTGTCTCTTCATGGCGGAGTCGAGTAGTGCATCAGGGGGAGTGTCCCGGGTCATTTCATGGCAGTTTGACATCGATCGATACTTGAACCCTTTTATTCCAGCGCCGAGATGGCACTGTATACCCAGGCCTGTGGCCCATTTTCTGGGACATCGAGCTGAGCCACCCAAGCCGCTTGGAAACCTTGCCATTGCCTTTTGGTCTCTCATCGGTGCATTCTGTGGTGTGGCCTTGGTGGCCTCTGTTTCTGAGCATGTGCCATCATTTGAGGCTCGTGATTCTCCGGCTATTATAGGCAGCTTTGTGAGTTGATGCTTCTTCTATCACGAATATGACTACGCGATGTCACCGGGCTTATGCTGACAACAGTATCTGACCAGGGTGCTGCTGCCGTCCTTGAATTCAGTGCCATCGACTCGCCTTTTGCACAGCCACGAAACGCATTCTTCAGCCAAATGATTGCCTGTTTGGTAGGCGTGAGCATTTCAAAGCTCTTTGCTTTGAACCCCAACTCCGAGAACTATACTTCCCTTGGAGGTGCCTTGTCCTGTGGACTGACCACTTTTCTCATGGTTCTCACCAATACTGTACACCCGCCGGCCGGTGCCACATCGCTACTTGCCGTCACAAACCCCCAAGTTGTAGGGTTGGGCTGGTTCCTGTTCCCTGTGATGATGTTGGGCGCTACTTTGATGCAGGTTGCGGCCTTGCTAATCAACAATATCCACCGTCGGTTCCCATTATACTGGTGGACACCTCGTCCTCTCTCACGACCACAAAACCGAGATGTTGAGCAACCTGAGAAAGAAGCTCCTTCTCTTCCTAGTCAGTATGAGGACAGCTTGAAGGAACCTCGACAGCTGATAGTGGGCCGAAGCGAAATCTTGGTTCCGGATGGAGTATATCTGACCGCAAGTGAGCGGAAAATCTTGAAAGAGATCCAAGAACGTGTGTAGTGGTGAGAAGATGCATACCGCAGATGAAGTATATAGCCCAGGGATGGCAGTGATGACGGTTATCAGTGGCAAATCAGGATTCATACCTGAGGCACCAAAATACTATTGTGCGGTGACGTCGGAACTTCCAATCAGCGTATTCACTGTGGCCCACTGTAGAGAATTTTTTTTTTCGATTCTCACTGCACTTTGTCGAGGTAATGAGGGGTTTGTGCACAACAAAAGTCCACAAGGATCAAAGATTTCAATTTGATTTTTCTTTTTTCCTTCAACCAATCTAAATTTCTAGGTCGGGTTGATTTTGGACGCTGACGTCGAGGATTAGAGATCCCAGAGTTTTCTATCGATAAGGGCTTTCAGGCACTCCCCACCCAACTTTCTCGCCCCTCTACTCTCCGCCCCGCCAGTGACGCTCCACTCAGTCTTTTTGCATTTCTTTTGCCCTCAATCTCTTCGTAACGGGTCTTCCACTTCCCATCCGCCCTCCCACCCCCTCCCCACCCTCACTTTTTCTCCCATACACACACACACAACCGTCACAATGGTTTCTGCCTCCAAGGCCGCCCGTATGGCCAAGCGCGCTGAGGCCGGCGACAAGAAGTCCAAGAAGGAGGTTGAGGCCACCGGCGAGCAGCCTGCCACAACCGACGAGAAGATGAAGGAGGTCGAGAAGCTCACCCAGCAGATGGACAAGCACGGTCTGTCCGATCGTGTCACCACCGGTGTCCTGTCCTCACTGCCGGCTTCTCGCGATGTTAAGATTACCTCTGCTTCCCTTGTGTTCCACGGCAAGGTCCTCATCACCGACTCCACTCTCGAGCTCAACTTCGGTCGTCGTTACGGTCTGCTCGGTGAGAACGGATGTGGAAAGTCTACCATCCTCAAGTCTATCGCCCAGCGCGAGTACCCTATTCCCGAACACATTGATATCTACCTTCTGAATGAGGGTGCTCCCCCCAGTGACCTCGGTGCCCTTGAGTGGGTTGTCCGTGAGGCCCAGAACCAGTTGGCCAACATGGAGAAGAAGGCCGAGGATATTCTTGAGGAGAACGGTCCCGAGGACCCTATTCTGGAGGATCTCTACGACGTGAGTTATTCCCCAGAAAAACCCCTCTCCTTATCACCTTTGGTTTACCAGTCTGGGATGATACTAACATCGTTTACAGCGTATGGACAAGATGGACCCCTCCACCTTCGAGATGCGTGCCTCTTTGATTCTGACTGGTCTCGGTTTCAACAAGACCACCATCCACAAGAAGACCAAGGATATGTCCGGTGGTTGGCGTATGCGTGTGGCCCTTGCCAAGGCCCTCTTTGTCAAGCCCTCGCTCTTGCTGCTTGATGACCCCACTGCTCACTTGGACTTGGAGGCCTGTGTGTGGCTCGAGGAGTACCTGAAGAAGTGGGACCGCACCTTGGTGCTGGTCTCTCACTCCATGGATTTCCTGAACGGTGTCTGCACCACCATGATTGATATGCGCATGCAGCAGCTCATGTACTACGGTGGTAACTACGACTCTTACCACAAGACCCGCTCCGAGCAGGAGACCAACCAGGCCAAGGCCTACACTAAGCAGCAGGAGGAAATCCAGCACATCAAGAAGTTCATTGCCTCCGCTGGTACCTACGCCAACTTGGTGCGTCAGGCCAAGTCCCGCCAGAAGATTCTCGACAAGATGGAGGCCGATGGTTTCATCCAGCCCGTCATTCCCGACCGTGTCTTCACTTTCCGCTTTGCCGATGTTGAGAAGCTTCCCCCTCCCGTCCTGTCCTTCGACGATGTCAGCTTCTCCTACTCCGGCGAGTGGGCCGACACCCTGTACGAGCACCTCGACTTCGGTGTTGACATGGACTCCCGTACCGCCCTTGTCGGCCCCAACGGTGTTGGCAAGTCCACTCTCCTCCGTCTGATGACCGGCAAGCTCAGCCCCATCGGTGGTCGTGTCAGCCGTCACACCCACTTGAAGCTCGGTCTGTACAGCCAGCACTCTGCTGAGCAGCTCGACCTGACCAAGTCTTCTCTTGAGTTCGTCCGTGACCGTTTCCCCGAGAAGTCCCAGGACTACCAGTACTGGCGTCAGCAGCTGGGCCGCTACGGTCTCAGCGGTGAGTCCCAGACTGCCATTATGGGTACCCTGTCCGAGGGTCAGAAGTCTCGTATCGTCTTCGCTCTGCTCGCTATCGAGTCTCCTAACATGATTCTGCTCGACGAGCCTACCAACGGTCTCGATATTCCCACTATCGACTCCCTGGCCGATGCCATCAACGCCTACCAGGGTGGTGTTGTCGTCGTGTCTCACGATTTCCGTCTGCTTGATAAGATCGCCAAGGACATCATGGTCTGCGAGCACAAGACTGTTCGTCGCTGGGACGGCAGCATTGGCCAGTACAAGAAGTACCTCCGTGACAAGATGGTTTCCGCTGGTGCTGTCTAAGCACCTGGTATCAACATGTTACCTTTTCATTTTATATTTGATGACGACGAAATGCTAGACGAGAATCGAAGGAATTACAATGCTTCGCGCTCTAAAAAGTTCGGAACCCACAACCCGGAAAACCCATCGGTCGAGCCTTACTCAAGACAGTCAAGACTCGCTGGTTTCCACCATGGTTATTGGTTCTTGATTCCCTTTGTGTTTTTCGTTTGTTTCTTATCTCACTTAGATCGGTGGTCATTTTTCTCCCTCGCATTTCCACTAGAATTGGGCATCAGAGGGTGGTTTGTGATCGTTCGGTCTTGGGTTCTATTTTCTATTTTGCCTGCTTTCAAGACGTTTGTTGATGACTCCCCCAACCTTTCTTTTCTCAACATATGATGGGGAAGCCTCCACCATTGAGAGTTTCTTTATTTGCATATTGTTTGATAGAGTAACTGGTTCATTCTGCCCGGACGGCGATCCGGGTGGGGCTGGTTCTTATGCTGTTCTGGATCGATGTATCTACGGCTTCTTCGGATTTTGAATTGGAATGGTTTGCTTCCCACAATGCTCCGTAGGCAATACTCGGTAGTGATAAATTGAATTCTTAAGGGCTTAAGATAGATAAAAGATTTTATTTTTGGACAATGATTCACGAGCCCTGCTGTATTCCATGCTAGGGTAATCTACACCCCAATTATTGAAGAGAACAAATTGTGTCACTGCTTAGTCCGCTCCGTGACCAACTCAGGACCAAAAATATCCGAAGCGCCACCCCGTGCCTTCTCCTCCAACTTCCGCTTCTTCGCCAGACGTTCCGATTCACTCTCAGAGGTAACCTGGCTCGACAGAGCCTGCGGCTGCGCAGAATCACGCTTATTACGCAGACTTACCTTTTCAGGATTCTGGCAGTGATAAAGCTTCTTGGCAATGCGCTTCAAGTCCTTCATTTGATTCGGGTCCGAAGAAAGAGTAGTATACGCCCCAAGGAGAGCAGAACAGTCAGTCAAGACTTTGTGAAGCTTACTCCGGAGTTCGTAGAGGGGATTCTGAAGATCCGATGGGCCCGCACTACCATTCGTAGTTTCCGTGAGGGGTCCACCGAGTTTAGTATCGAGATAGAACTCAGCCAAGGGTCTATCGGCGAGAAGGAAGGCCGATAGCCAAATCTGAGAAGGCGTGTAGAGGAAATAGGCGTCTGTCATTTGGGCAGCAGATTTAAGGATCTCACGGGTTGTGCCGTGTGCGCGGGCGATGCGGTCTGATAATGATGAGGATGAGACAGGGGCAGGCGCAATAGATTGAATTGCTTGCAGGAGTTGGTGTGGTGTTTGGTGCAGAAGATGAGGTCCCGGTGCGCCTTGTCCTTGTGCGATGGCTTGGAGCTCCATTACGCCACCTTCTAGTCCGCGGAAAGGATGGCGGACGTCGAATGTGAAGCGTAGACCTTGCATGAGCAGGAATTCGGGCGATATAACGTCTTCTGTTGATGTGTCGCCTGGGATTCCGTCTGCGAACTGCCTGAGGGACATATAGTAGTTGTCGGTTTTGGTCGCGAGGAAGAGCGCGCAGGCCATGATTGATTTCGGGTGATAGGTCATTGGAGAGTTGGTTAGGTAGAAGCGGCGGAGATATTGAATTGCAGTTGCCTTTGTATAGTTGAAGTGGTTAGAAGCAATTTGGGCTATAAACCTTGGAATAAGATAACTTACGCGGACCATCGTTGGGAGCGGTGGCTTATAGGTCTCGCCTAACTCCAATGTCTTTTCACAGTAGTATCGGACCAGAATGAGCTCCTCCTCTGGTGTCAGACACTCTATCTCTTTCTCTGATTTCTTTGTCTCGCCATCGCTCCCTGGCTGTGGTGTTCCAGCCGCAGAAGGCGTGGCAGATTGTTGGGTGGAACGCGCTCTCTGTAATGCAGCTCGTACTCGGCCACTTGCTATTTTATTTGTTTTGTCGCGTAAAGCACTGAGGGATGACTCAGTGTAGGACCATAGTCGAAACTGTGAGGAGGCGCGGTAGATGTCGTCTTCGATCATGTTGGACAGAGTCCGAGCTGCGCGCTGCGGGGCGACCGAGATTTCAACTGGCGCCCAACTAGCTTTGCTTGCGTTGTACCTGATGAAGCTCAGGGTATTAAGTAGGGCGGGCAATTGAAGAGAGATCAAAGCTGTGCGGGCTTTCACTAGGAAACAAAGATCGTTGAAGTCATGCTTATCGATAAGGAACCCACCCAAGCAAGCTAGTGTTATGGCACCGCCCGGTACTCTGTTATCAACCTTAGAATTAACCCAGACATTTTCTTTATTTCAATATTCATGGAGATTGGGCCTATTTACTACGAGTTATGTGACTTGTAGCACAGTCTCCTCAGATAATCGGCTAACGTGGGGGCCGAATCCATGCATATATTTCGGTGAATCTCTCAACTAGATACAAATAGAAGCACCCTTGGAAGCTTCAATCATGGTCGGTATGTACTTGCAGATTTGACAACCCAAATATTGCTGATATCCGTCACTGCTTGCTTCCATTCCAATCAACCAAGAGTCACAGAGTACTGAAAGGGAAACCTCCCAACTCCCAAGCCTATCTACAAGTATCTCTTTCATCGCTCATTCAATCATCAACCATCATTGTTCACCTTTAGAGCTACTCCCCAAGCAGGCTGTTAGTGACGTCGCCCATTTGGCCCGCCGACAGCTCACTATCCATGCCTCCATTCCGGTCGATTCCAACATCCCGGAACGCTGATACAACTCGGGCCACGTCAAAGCCCATACTGGAAAATCGATCAATCAGATCTTTGTTGTATCCATCATACCTAAGAATGAAAGGTAAGCATATGCAGGCCCGGAGTCAACAGAATGCCGGTACTTACTGAGCTAAATTATCGTCACCAGCCCCTTCTGTCTCATCTTGACCGACCCCGTTCTCGCTACCAGAGGAGGGGGCACCTGCATAGAGTGTAGCCCACTGTCGTGCAACACGATCAAATTCTTTCGGTGTCCTCAAAAGCATGTTGGCAACCTCGGCATCTTGTGGGTCCTTCGGCTCCGGTGTGCTGAGCAAGGATTGCAAGGAAAGAAGGGCGGATTTGATGGTCAGGACGGGCGACCAAGCACTGGAGAGAGTATCTAGGCAAATAGCACCCTACATATAGCCATTATGATCAACTTATGCTGAGTAATAATGTTTGTTAGGTTGCGATTGCTTACCGTCTGACTGCTGACATTTGGATGCCAAACTTTGGTCTCAAATTTCATGACCGGAGGACGGAATGGGTAGTCGGTTGGGATCTTGATATCGATGTTGTAAGTGCCGCCCTCATAGGGCGTACCAGGAGGCCCCGGAAAAGATCCACGCAGGTGTGTGATGTCCTCTTGTTCGTTGACGGGCGCAGCCGTAATCTGAGACTTGGTGTCGGCATGGATATCGGCCATTTCCTTGCCAATCCGTCGCATTCGATTGCTAGCCATGGTGTGTGGTGTATTTGTACAACAGCAATGGTCTTATGAAAACAAAATTATAATCGTTGTGCCGTTCTTAGGGGGGTGGAGGTGATCGTGTGAGTTACTGTCACGGAATACGATCGGAGGGGAAAAGGCAAAGTTCGGAGCTTATTAAATCTGGCGAATTTGGCATCAACAGTAGCTCTGGAAAGTATCCACGCCTGTTTACAGAAAGAAACAGCACAATCTATTTGTTTCTGGGGTGAAACAACTAGAAATGACGAGCAGTCCTGGCAGCCTTACCAATGGAGGGGAACTATGAGAGACGATCAGTTCCAGTCACAGCTTTCAGAGAGCTCCACTTGGACTCGGTAGATCTTGAGTTCGATGCTTGTACTTATACAACGGCCTGCAAGGACTATTGAGCGTAATCGAGTCCAGTCCGAAGCTGAATCTTATCCTGTTTGGGCCCGCATTGAACGTTTTGGCGCCGGGGACCGCGGGCAACTGTGATCCAGGCAACAAGGCATCAATGACGCAGATAACTTAATTCCTGAGGCACTCAATTATCACGTGCTCATGGCAACAGCTGCCAGCTCTCTCGGACCCCCGAAGCTGCAACACGCAACTGTATTCACAGCCATCACTCCCAACTCTCACTTCCCATCTTCATCTTGCGTGAAGCTTGATATTCTCATCCATCTATATCATCTGCAGGTCTTCCCTTGAGGATTTGACAGCGTTCCTCTCGCTGGCTTACAAGCATGGTTCGTCGCCCTGCCTACGACATCCAGCTCTCATCCACTAACAGATCATCGAATAGGGTAACCAGCAGTCGAACATGGGCGGTGCCCCAGGTGGTGACGGTCGCGATGATAAGGATAAGAAGGTATAATTCCCTCCTGCTACTCAGTTACTCGAACAGCTTTGACGCCCGAAATTCGCAGAAGGACAAGCCCAGATACGAGCCACCTCCACCCCCTACCACTCGCATCGGAAAGAAGAAGCGTAAGGCCGCCGGCCCCAGCACAGCTTCCAAGCTGCCAGACATCTACCCAACTTCGCGATGCAAGCTCCGGTATCTTCGAATGCAGCGAGTCCACGACCATCTCCTACTGGAGGAGGAATATGTTGAGAACATGGAGCGAATGCGCAAAACGAAGGCCCAAGGGAACGCTGATCCTGCAAGGTCGGGCGATCTGGATGTGATGGACCGTAATGCGGATGAGCGAAGTCGAGTCGATGACATGCGAGGAAGCCCCATGGGCGTTGGTAACTTGGAGGAATTAATTGACGATGACCACGCCATCGTTTCCAGTGCTACTGGTCCTGAGTACTACGTATCAATCATGTCTTTTGTCGACAAGGATCTTCTCGAGCCCGGCGCTAGCATTCTTTTGCATCACAAGTCGGTATCAGTTGTGGGTGTTTTGACTGAGGAATCGGACCCGCTCGTGTCGGTGATGAAGCTGGATAAGGCCCCCACCGAGTCATACGCCGACATTGGTGGTCTGGAGAACCAAATCCAGGAAGTCCGTGAGTCGGTTGAATTGCCTTTACTACACCCCGAGCTTTATGAGGAGATGGGTATCAAGCCGCCAAAGGGTGTTATTCTCTACGGTGCTCCTGGTACCGGAAAGACTCTGTTGGCCAAGGCTGTTGCGAACCAAACCAGCGCTACCTTCCTTCGTATTGTCGGTAGTGAGCTGATCCAGAAATACCTGGGTGACGGTCCACGCTTGGTCCGTCAGATCTTCCAGGTTGCCGCTGAACATTCCCCGTCTATCGTTTTCATTGATGAAATCGATGCTATTGGTACCAAGCGTTATGACTCAACATCTGGTGGTGAGCGAGAAATCCAGCGTACCATGCTGGAGCTGCTTAACCAGCTGGATGGTTTCGATGACCGTGGCGATGTGAAGGTTATTATGGCGACCAACAAGATTGAGACTTTGGATCCTGCCCTGATTCGACCCGGCCGTATTGACCGAAAGATTCTCTTTGAGAACCCCGACCGTAAGTACTCCTCCATAAGCTCCATGGGAAGCCCTCACTAATCCGCCTTTACAGAAAACACCAAGAAGAAGATCTTCACGCTGCACACATCTAAGATGTCTCTGGGTGACGATGTGGATCTGGATGAGTTCATCAACCAGAAGGATGATCTTTCCGGTGCCGACATCCGGGCCATTTGTACTGAGGCTGGTCTGATGGCTTTGAGAGAGCGTCGTATGAGAGTCCAGATGGATGACTTCCGTGCGGCTCGCGAGCGCATCATGAAGACTAAGCAGGACGGTGGTCCTGTCGAAGGACTTTACCTGTAAGCGCTGACCCGTGCTCTTTCGGGAGCTGCGCTGCCGATAATTGCGGTGGAGTAGTCTTCGAGCATTGATCTGTATTTTAATGGACCGCATGCGAATTTATGGACGAATGGCATACCCTCATAAGAACAATCCCACAGTGTTGTGATTCCAGTAGGGCTGTATATTGGAATGATCGAGTCTAGATGAAAAGCCTAGGCCCGGGGCTCTCTAAGACCTGCAATCTCGGATTCATAATGTACGGACACGTGAAATCCCTCTCGTGGTTAGGTTTGCCGTTCCCACTTTAATCCCCAATAAACCCTAGTAGGACGTAACCTCCATGGCCTTGATTACGAGACGCGACCCTCACCTTTTCAGACGGGCTTAACAACATCGTTGGCAGCAAAGATCATACCAACGCTGACATTCGCAGGGAGCTCAGTAGCAGGGGAAGGAGGATGCATGCAAGTGAGGTGCCCTCCGTCCAACTGTTCAAGGATAGTGATGTCATTGGCGTAAGTCTCGGCGGTGGCTATAGCATTCAAGATGCCAATGAAGATGCGTGTGCTAGGATGCAGAAGAGCCGCGACAGATTCGCCGAATGTTCAAGTTTACAGGAGGAATTTGCCCAGGTGAGCACCACTTTTGCCTAGGATAGACAAATTTCCAAGAACTGGCAGTATTTGCGTATGTATTGAGATGTCCGCATAGGTAACACATCCACCAGGTGGAGGTAGCTACTTTACTTTAATAAAGGTTAGAGCAATATGCTAGAGCAATATGTTTGAGCAATATTTCTTTCTTCAGAATAACAAAGAATGAAGAAGTGACCATATGAACTAAATTTCCTTACTCATCAAGCTTGAAATATATCTAAGTCACTTTGTTAAATGGTATAAACCAACTTCTCTCCGCTGACGTTGCCCAGTTCCATTTCTTCCAGACCCTTCAGCACGCCCTCCAATCCACTGCCGTTCTTGTTCACGGTCGCTGGAAGGGGTTTGATGCTCCCATTTTCCAACAGGGGCTGAGTTAACGCCAGAAATGACTGGTAAAACTGTATATCCTCTGGGTTGGGCGTGACTGGTGTCTGGCCGAGCCAGCAATAAAACTCGCCCATGGTATCGTATCCGCGAATACAATCCTGGCCATGGACCTGGGGGTTGGTAGCCTTAAGCAGATCGTAGTCTGCGGGCATAATGGTGCCGTAGTTGCCCGGCTCACAGTCTGACATGGCCTGCGCGCAGATTATCGTACCCTCACCCGTGCAGTCCCATGCATACGTCAGACGGTTCTTGGTCAGCTCTTTGATATCCGCGGCGCAGGTTGGGGAATTATAGTCGAAGACGGCATCGGCCCCCAGGCCTTTCACCAAGTCAAAGTTGCGAGGGGAGCAGGTCGTGATGACGGTTAGGCCGGAGAGTTTGGCAAACTGGATGCCGGCCATGCCTGTCGCAGTGCTCCCGCCGTAGATGAGAAGAGGAAATGCTTCTTTGCATGGCTCCGTAGGCAATGGTAGTTGGAGGTTCTTATACATGCCTAGTCCCTAGCTAAGACTTTAGCATATCTGAAATGAAGTTGGTTTGAAATGTGGCTTGGCGCTGTCTTACAACTGTCATGATGGCAACCCCCAAGGTTGCCGCTTCTTCAAAGCTCAAATTATCGGGGATCTTTCTTTGGACAGAAGCCTTTGCAACGGCGTACTCGGCAAATGATCCCGATTCACGGTTGACCCGATTTCTGCTCCAAGTTTCAGGATCAGGTCATCCAACATGGCAAATGGTTGACTATAAGTTCGCATATACTTACGCGCCATGAATCCAGCCGGTGATACGATCACCTTTTGCAAAGTTGGAGACTTTACTCCCAACCTCCTCCACAACACCGGCGTAATCGCATCCCACTCTACACCCGATATCCGCAACTCCATAACGGACGTGCTTCCAGTCGGTGGGGTTGATGGCAACTGCTTTGATTTTGACGAGCACCCAGTCATCATGCAACATGGGCATCATCACATCGCGGACAGCAGCAACAGTCAGCTGCACTACAACGACAGCTTTGGTGGTAGCCTTATTGGTAAGAGGAAGTAACTTAGGCATAGTGATATTGAGAAGAGGGCAATGAGTTGCAAGTGTATCGTAAATAACCTCCCAGAATTGAGAGAATCTATGAGCTGTTTAAATAAGGTGAGTTGAAGAATCAGCGAGAATTGCTTCATGCAAACCCAAGCCTTTGCCCAACTGAGGCTGAGAATACGAGGGGCAGTCAAAGAAACGCACCTTGCATGTCCGTGCGTCACAGCAGCCGTTCTTTGTCTATCAAATATCCATCTAAATGCCTCTATCGCTTCCTGGTCCCACCCTGACCCACGTAACAAAGACTACTGTACGGGATATTCGGCCCCATTGGTTGGTGGGTCGCTCTCCCACATTTCCGATGTGATACCCCGCACCAGACGCTGGCAGTATTTGGCCCGTTCTACTCCATACAGGTCGACCAAGGAACATGGGCCCAACCGCTTCGAGGGGCTTTTGGGACGCCTAGCCAGCACATAAATTGGGGGCCATGGCCAATGGTTTTCGGAAGCCCGTATTTTCTAGTCTCCGAGAATTGGCGTCTATTCCACGTCGAAGAGATTCGACCACATGTTCACTGAAGTCGCACAGTGGTGTGTCATAGGAGTCAAGTCGCGATGTAACGGCCATTATGCATCAATGGCTTCTAGGACCCCTTTCCCTTTCCCCAAACGTTTGGAAACATTCAATTTAATGATCGCCGCCGATTGCCTCAGCAAGCTTGACTCCCCTGAGGCAGCATTGAAGCAAATACGACCTTCTACTTGCTAATGTGACGACAAAAGCCTTGGTGACGAAAATCTTCAATGCCATCCGGGTGAAACTTTTCTGCAGGCATAGAATCCGACTTTGTTAGTGTCGATAGAACGGATGTTTGTGGAAGTAGTAAGCTTAGGTCTTCAAGATTGAAGTAATCAAGAAAGAAATCATTTTTATCGATTGAGATGGGCCTGATCTTTCGCCAAAAGCCGGACCTTCTCTCCAAGCACGTGCTACTTCTCCCTTCTATGACCAGCATATAATTTAACTCACAGGCCATAGATTAATGAAGGAGTTGACGGTGCTGGTACATGAAGGCGTAATTGGTCCCATTTGGCAACTAACTACTGTTTGTATTCTCGCCTGCAGACTACAATGAATTCGTTTCTCAAGGGCTTGCCCAATGAGTAACTTATCATTACTTTTTATGATACACGTCTCGCAGAGCTACTCACTGTAGCAGCTGATGACATTTACCCTGATCAGTCAGTCTCGCGAGAAGGCATGAATAGCCTGGTGGGAGGAGATTTGTGGAACAGCCTAGTCAAGACTGTCGAGCTTGAAGCCTCAATGTTTTAGCTTTCAATGAGGAAATTTAAGGTGGGCAAAGGTGCTGCCAGCCTTAAAAGGTCGCAAGTTCCAGTGTTGTCAAATGGAAGCTGCGTGATCTAGGGAGGTACAAGGTGCTAGAAGATACATGTAGAACTGTTCCATCAATGAATACCTTTAACCAGAAGACCATCACCATCTATAGTGAACAAAAAAGTGTTGGTATACTATCTAGGATCATTAATGAGCTAGCATAAACAAAGAGAGCGCTCTAAGGTGTGTTTTACTTATCGTGCGCATGCTATGATCGCTTGAGTGCAAACACTGCAAACAAGCTCGGCCTTATCAGCGCGATCAGAACTTGCGCCAATTCACCATCTCACATCACCAACAATGGACGACTTTGACGAGGAAGCTTTCAAGAAATTCTTTCCCTCTGGCTTCGGCAAGCAAGAGAAGGAGATCGATGTTGAATCGCAGATCAATCGGTCGAAGCGGACTGAGGTTGCGGCCAAACCACCCAGCAATGAAACGCAAGAAATAAATGCGCCTAGCCATACTGAGGAAGAGAGACGGCCCCAGGAACCAAAAGAGAGCGATGAGGGCTCTGACTCTGACGACGATTCTGATGACTCCGACGACGAGGACGAGTTTCCCGTTTCCCATGAAATGGTTCTGAAAACACACGAGCGCGCAGTGACTACTATGACGCTTGACCCCTCGGGAGCTCGACTAATAACAGGTTCGACCGATTGTACACTCAAGCTTCACGACTTCGCCTCTATGACCCCCTCCACTATTCGCGCATTCAAATCGGTCGACCCGTCAGCCAAAAAAACATCCGCCTCGCAGGACACCCATCCCGTCCACTACGCTGCTTTTAACCCACTCTCCCCAAGCCATGTTCTAGTGGTCTCCGCAACCGCGCAACCCCGAATCCTCAGCCGAGATGGCGAAACATTGACGGAGTTTGCCAAGGGTGATATGTACCTACGCGATCTCAACAACACCAAGGGACATATTGCGGAGGCAACCACTGGAGTCTGGTGTCCCTTTGATTATAATCTCTGTGCTACCGCTGGATCGGATAGCACGGTAAGAATATGGGATGCCAATGTGGGTAGATCTCAAAAGGAGGTGATTATGCATAAATCAAAGGTCGCTGGATCTGCTGGCCGGACTAAGATGACCGCTCTCGCTTGGGGGTCCCCTAAACAAGGCGGGTCAAACGTTCTGGTTGCTGCCGCTCTTGATGGAAGTCTGACCATGTGGAGTGGGAATGGGCCTTATAGACGTCCTAGCGCCGAAGTGCGGGATGCTCATACCAAAGATACATGGACTAGCGGACTGGATATCAGCTCCGATGGGCGGCTTGTCGTCAGTAGAGGCGGCGATGATACGATTAAGCTCTGGGATACCAGAAAGTTCAAGACCCCGGTCACAATTGTCACTCATACCTCGACATCTTCTCGCTTTTCCACCTCAAACATTCAATTCTCTCCGACGTCTGCGAATATCATCGTGGGCTCAGAGACTGGCCATCTGCACATCCTCAACCCAGCAACTTTGAGACCGGAGCTCGTTACTCCTGTCACCCCGGGATCGCCACTGATTACTGTCTTATGGCATGAGAAGCTTAACCAAATCCTTACGGGCTCTGCCAATGCCGAAACCCATGTGCTATACAATCCGACAATGTCGACGAAGGGTGCAGCCTTGGTCATGTCCAAGGCACCCAAGCGTCGTCATTTAGATGACAACGCTGCCCTTACCACAGATCTGACTAGCGGCCTTGCAGGCGACTCGGTGGTTGTTGGCTCCAACGGCGTTCCGCAATACTCCTCGGCAACCTATTCAGCTCGTCACCCCAATGTTGGTCTGACAGCCTCAGGCCGTTCACGCGATCCCCGCAGACCCCATATGCCAGCTATCACACCCTTTGCAAAGTCTCAGCCCGATGAGAAACATATTCGTGAAAGTATCCCACTCAGTTCTATGCGCGATGAGGATCCGCGGGAGGCTCTCTTAAAGTACGCGGAGAAGGCCGAGAAAGACCCGATCTTCACCAGGGCCTACCGGGAAACGCAACCTAATGCAATTTACGCCGAGGTCAGTGATGACGAAGAAGAAAACGGGCCGGAGAAGAAGAAAACCCGACGATGATATATCAAAACGAGGCTTGGCCATTTGTATATAATATTTCTCATTGCGATGATTCATCGGGTGCTTAACGATAGGAACAATAACGACGACGGTCTACCGCGTCGTAAACCACCATTATCTCCAGGCACTCAAATTTTCCTAGCGTTGACTTTTAATGGGAGACCCAGACCGACTCTATGAAACAAGAGGGGTGAGTCTGCTCCTTGCATTGTCTCTCAGAATTGTCCCCTCTTTCACCTGCTCCATGACGTCTCCCAAGAGGCTGTCGATCACCGGTAGAAGGTCTCGCCCGGCCCAACAACCAATGGTAGGAGCACCGCTGTCGGCTTTGACCTCGCACAAACTCGTGATATCTAGCATGAGCCCTGTTTCAGGCGTCTCCGTAGATTAAGATTAATTTTGCCGTAGTCTGGAGTAAGGAGAGAAGGCCGTTGCTGTTAGTGCTGACATGAGCAACTTCTCCTCTCCGCCTTAGCTTCCCCGTCTGCTGCCGACCACCTCTCTTGCATACGCGACTGAGAGACTTCGTCATAGCGGGAAATTGTCCAGATTATCTCTGGAGGAGTCGAAATGCAGTCTTTTGCGACTTGATATGCTTGCCGTTTATTCCTGGGCTTATTTGAATCGACAATAATCAAAGTCATTTTCGCGGCTCCAGGAGGACTTCGGTCGGTAACCCGATTCTGCCTATCGAGGTGATCGATACGACTGCACTGTCGCAGATCACTGTATTCCACAAGGCCAGATGGCCTCCCACCAGCAGCCCTTGGGAGCGGGCTTACTTCCATCGTTCGCTTCGATGTCCGCGTCATCCACTTCTACCCCGTTTACCCTCGCCTCCTATCCGTCACAGTCCCATTTCGCAACACCCACTTCTACCTCTATACCCAATAGGGGAAATTCCAACCAAGGGGATATGCACCAGTGGTCGTCGCTAATCGGCATTGTCACGGCTTTGATCGGAAATGTTCTGATTTCTTTGGCGCTGAACATCCAGCGCTATGCGCACATCCGAATCTCCCGTGAATATGAACTCGATAAGCTCCACAAAGAAGATGACTGGCGGCGAACGCGATCAGGGGAAGGGTCATCGGATTCATACGGGACCGTTAGAGGGGATGGGAGTCAGACTCGTGGTCGGCCGAGATTGCCGCCGCAGAACCGTCGCCGTAGCAGCGAACGTCGTGAGTTCGAGGCGTATCGTGATGACGAGAATGATACCGTCCCTGGCCGTCGCAATGGTAATTCGACGTCGGAAGACCGCATGCGTGACTCCTTTACGTCCGATCGCACCGCTCGCCCCGACGACTCGGATGGCCGCAAGTCTTATCTCAAGTCGCCATATTGGTGGGTTGGTATCATCTTGATGTGTCTTGGAGAGACAGGCAATTTCATGGCATATGGCTTTGCACCGGCATCGATTGTGTCACCACTTGGTGTGGTAGCTTTGATCTCGAACTGCATCATTGCACCATGTTTGCTCAAGGAACAATTCCGAGGCCGAGACTTTTGGGGCGTACTGGTCTCTATTGCCGGTGCCGTGGTTGTTGTTCTCAGTGCCAAATCGTCCGAGGAGAAACTTGGTCCTGAAGAAATCTGGGCAAGAATTACCACCTGGGAGTTTGAGCTTTATCTGGGACTGACTATTGGGTTGATCGCTGTTTTTATGTGGGGTAGCTATCGATATGGTCCTCGCTCAATTTTGATCGATGTTGGACTAGTCGCGCTTTTTGGTCAGTGCTTGATTCTCAATTCCTGTATAATGATCACATTACTGACAAGATATTAAAGGTGGATACACAGCTTTGTCTACTAAGGGTGTCTCCTCCCTCTTGTCATTTACCCTGTGGCACGTCATCACGTATCCCATCACATACCTACTTGTGTTCGTTTTGATATCCAGTGCATTGATGCAGATTCGATACATTAACCGTGCTCTGCAACGTTTTGATTCCACACAAGTGATTCCAACCCAATTTGTGCTTTTTACCCTCTCTGTGATTATTGGAAGTGCAGTGCTCTATCGTGATTTCGAATCCATGTCCATTGCCCGTGCAGGAAAGTTCGTGGGAGGATGTCTGATGACTTTCCTCGGAGTTTATTTCATCACGAGCGGTAGAGTTGGCTCTGATGGCGAGTCTACATTCTCAACCGAAGACGAGGAAGAGGCAATTGGGTTGCTGAATGGTGAAAGATACCGTGACAGGGTCGATATGTCTCCTCCAGCTCAGCCATTGAGAGCAGCAAAGGCATTGCAGACACCTCAGATTGGTTTCGATGGCGCCGAGTCCCCTGCAGGATCTCTAACTAGCCAAGGCATGGAAGGAGTTGATGACAATGGCACCACGCCGAGAGGTGTTCTTTCAGCGGCGCCATCTTCACCAACGGGCTCCTTGACTGCTGATGCTGATTCGGCCCTCTCGGGCCCGTCATTTGAGAACCCTTCACCACTGCGCCCTCCATCTCATATGTCTAATCCTTGGGCAGAGTTTCAGGATCGAGCTCCCGCGTCCCCAAAATCTGATCCTGAGCCCCACCGCCCGATGACCCCTCCCGCACATGGTGAAGCCACAGGCCAGGAATCAACGGTGCTTCTTCAATTTCCTCCCGCCCCAGGAATAGACGACCTATCACCTGGTGCTAATACTACGGCTCTTCGAAGAGCGTCGACACCTGCTGGAGGCGATTCGCCTCAACTTGGTGAGAGAGTCCGGGCGACTCTTGAAACTCCTTCAAAACGTGCCTTGCGCAATTCGATTTCAAATCGATTCTCCCCTGGTCCACTTCTTCCCACACTTTCCGGTGGCTTCAGTGCCGTGGTTGCTGAATCTCTCCGACGCGGTGAAGGTAGCCCTTACAAGGATCGTTCTGGTAGACGGAAAGCTGGACGCCGAAGACAAGTAGACGGTGTATTTGGAGACGCTTTGTACCGAGACCATGATGGAGATGTAGGCCCTCTTGGCGAGACCGAAGGGCTTGACACTCCTCTTACACTAGCTACAGCACGACTTCAGTCCGCTACGAACCAAGTTGATCCATCCGCGGAGGCTGGCCGCTCCACTCCCGCCCTTGCTACAGAGATTTACAACACGCCAAGTCCGAAACTAGACGACGAGGTTACTCGTCTTCGCAGCTTCAGCGATTCGTGGAGTGGTGGGCTCGCTTGGCTAGGTGGTGCATTGCGAAAGACTTCACATAACGAGAACGTTGATAGCAGTGCAGTGACGCAAGGATCTGCGACGCCCCAGGACGGCGAAACACCGGCTGGTCAAAGCGGTGCCCACCATAGCACCAATGTCGATCCTGAATCTCGATCTAACAGCAAAGGGGGAGCTTCTCACACCCTACAGAGTTAATCTGTGGTACATGCAGAGTGGCTGGGTCACTCACGTTATAAATACAACATGCAGCCTCATTCTTGGCTTGTTTTCTTTTCATTCACCTTTCCCAATTCCTTGGCAGGGTGGTTTTTTTCTTTTTCCATTCCTTCAGATGGCATAATACCTGGGTCTGTAATAAGCGATGCATTTTGCGGGGTATTTTTCTTGTTTATCAAGCATTTAATATGTTTCATTCATCTTATTCTTCTTCTCCTTTTCACATCCGGGATCAATCTGGCGGGGGGTTTTGCGCCGCGAGGCTTCTACCAACTCTCTCATCATTTGTACAATCCATCGATCTCTACTTTAGCCGAACGACGCCTCATTTTTCTCAGACAGCCATTTTTTGCATCTCCATAGTCCTTAATTCCGAAGCGATAAAACGCTTCCACATCTTGCATGATTAAATGCACCGGCAGAAGTGCAAGGAATGTGATAGGTGGAAAAAGACGGCCATGAAGTACATTTACAATGTACCATTTCAACCTACACCATCTCAATTTCTTGATTGCAAGGCCCCGGAAAAACCTCGGTCATGTCCTTTTACGCCCTCTGTATATTCAATCTAGCCGAAATTCAGGTAGAATGTCCCGATCTGCAGCGAGCATAGTAAGCACCTCGGGCCTCTCGGTCTCTAACCCCTGCAATAACACTAACTCACTCCACATCCAAGCTCAAAATCGTAACCGATGCCCCGCGCGGGGATATTACTCCGTCTCCTTATAGTCTTAGCGGCTCCAGTTTACTCCCGTTAAGCCACTCATGCAGAGCCAGCATATACACCCGTGATCATTTCATCTCCGATAGCTCCTAGACTGGAGCTAAAGTTCGATCTAATGTGCACTGATATGTTTTCCCCCGCAGCTCGGAGCAAGTTCCTTGAGCTGTGTTTTTGCATGGGTCTGCTTAAATGAGATCATACCCCGGCGTGGGCTGATCTGCACGAGAAAAGAAATCCAAGTTTCAATTCCTATTCTCGTGGCTGGAGCTGGGTCATTGTGCCTCGGATAGAATCGGACAATTGAGAAGTGTTTCCATTTCACAATGTTTGCGCAGGGGCTTTCAAGGAGCTTTTTGCTCTTGCAACTGCTGGGTGCATTGGTGTCTGGTAAAGCAATTTCAGGTACGCCGCTTTACAAGGATGCCAGTGCACCTGTCGAGAAAAGGATCAAGGATTTGTTGGGCAGGATGACTACTGAGGAGAAGATGGCTCAATTGATTCAGGGTATGTTCTGGGCCATATTCACTGGGGAATCTGGCTTTTAATTCAAGTCTAATTGTTTGTTTGTAGGAGATATCACCAATTGGATGGACCAGACGACCGGCGCTTTCAACTACAGTGGATTGGTGGCCAATATGGAGGAGAAGGCCGGCATGTTCTATGGTATGCATGACTCCCTCCATCATTTTGGCACTTCGCAACCTCGAATTCTAATACGCTTCAGTCGGATACCCGATTTCCTGGGACTGGTTGACGGAGAATATCAAGCGAGGCCAGGATTATCTGATGCAGAATACTACACTTGGTATCCCTGCTCTTGTTCAATCGGAAGGTAAGAGTGCCAATTCTATAACACGGTAAGATATGGGTTGATCACTATCTTTACAGGTCTTCATGGCTTCTTGATCGGCAATGCCACTATTTTCAACTCCCCAATTGGCATTGGAAGTTCTTGGAACCCGAGTGTAAGGCCTTGATACCTCCCAATTCAAACTTAACCAGCTAATGCTTTTTAGCTTGTCCGCAAGATGGGAGAAGTCATTGGCACCGAAGCTCGCGCCTTGGGTGCTAATCAGCTATTCGCACCCGAGGCTGATCTGGCTCGTGAGCTTCGATATGGACGTGTAAGAACTGCCGCCCTTCTTTCATTTTACATGGCTAATTAAGTTTACTGTAGGTCGAAGAAACATTCTCCGAGGATTCATACCTGGCCGGCGAGATCGCTTATAGTTATATCATGGGTATACAAAGCAAGAATGTGTCGGGCATGGTGAAGCATTATGCAGCCTACAGTAACCCAGAGCAAGGGTTAAACACGGGACCTGTTCACGGAGGAGAGAGAGAGTTGCGCACAACGTGGGTTCGGTTTCTCGTGGTGATAAACAGAGAGTACTAATTTTACTTCAGATGGCTGCCCTCATACAAGCGCGCGATTATTGATAGTGGCGCATGGTCTGTAATGACTGCCTACTCCAGGTCATTATTTCCCACGTCGAGTGTCCATGTCTGACAATGCTAATTGTCTCCATAGCTACGATGGAATACCCATGGTTGCCGACTATCACTCTATCACAGAGATCCTGAAAGAGGAATGGGGATACGACTACTTTGTCATGACCGATGCTGGCGGCAGTGACAGACTTTGCTCTTACTTCAAGATGTGCCAAAGTAGTCCTATTGACATGAACTCTGTGACCCTGCAACTGCTGGAGGCGGGTGTTGACGTGGAAATGGGCGGTGGCTCCTTGTAAGAACTTGCCTTGACCTGACTGCTTGTCTACTGAGGTTAGACATGTCTCGAGCTAACACATGAATAGCAACTTCCAAAAGATCCCTTCGCTGGTGAAATCAGGGAAGCTTGACATCTCCCTTGTCGATGCCGCCGTCACAAGAGTGCTTCGCGTGAAGTTTGAGATGGGTCTATTCGAGAATCCATACTCGGCAGCCGAGAAGAGCAAGTGGTCTTCCCTCGTTAATACTGCTGAGCATAAGCAAGTTGCCAAGGATCTAGATAAAGAGTCGATCGTTCTCTTGGAGAACCACGATCAGACTCTGCCTCTGAAGAAGTCTGGTAGCATTGCCGTGATTGGTCCTATGGCCCATGGATTTATGAATGTGAGTTCAAAAACACCAGAGAATGGAATTCACGGTAGATTTTGGGTGCTAATTATGATCCCAGTATGGTGATTATGTCGTCTACCAAAGCCAGTACCGCGGTGTCACCCCATTAGATGGTATCAAAGCCGCAGTTGGCGATAAAGCAACAATCAACTATGCTCAAGGATGCGAACGTTGGAGCAATGATGAATCCGGGTTCGATGAAGCAATTGAGGCGGCAAAGAAGTCCGACGTCGCCGTTGTCGTTGTAGGAACCTGGTCTCGCGATCAAGTCGAGCTCTGGGCAAGCGTGAACGCAACGTGAGTGATACTCACCACAAAAGTATTTACTCAATCGAATTTTTGCTAACACAATCCCAGTACCGGCGAAGATGTCGACGAAGACAATCTCGCTCTCGTAGGTGCCCAAGGACCTCTCATCCAAGCTATCGCCAATACAGGGGTACCAACTGTCGTTGTCCTTTCGAGCGGCAAACCCATCACAGATGTCTGGCTCTCCAATAGTACCTCAGCACTGCTACAACAATTCTACCCATCAGAAGAAGGAGGTAACGCGCTTGCAGAAGTGCTATTCGGCGATTACAACCCCTCAGGAAAACTTTCCGTCAGCTTCCCACATTTCGTCGGAGATCTTCCCGTCTACTACGATTACTTGAACTCCGGTCGCTCAGTCTGGACCTCTGGCACCGAGTATGCGAATGGAACTATGGTCTTCGGTCATAATTATGCGCTCGGTTCACCCATGCCGTGGTACTCCTTCGGTTATGGCAAGAGTTATTCCACTTTCAAGTATGGCACTGTCAGCGTTGACCGCAGTAAAGTTTCTTCGAAGGATACCGTGACTGTGAGTGTTGATGTGACGAATACGGATACGACGCGCGATGCGACCGAGGTTGTGCAGGTTTACATCTCTGACGAGATTGCCTCGGTTGTTGTGCCGAACAGACAGCTTAAGGGTTTTGACAAGGTGTTGATTCCTGCCGGCAAGACCACTACTGTCAAGATCCCGATCAAGGTTGCGGATGTTGGACTGTGGAATAAGAAGATGAAGTATGTTGTTGAGCCGGGTGAGTTTACCGTGTTGGTTGGAAGTAGTTCCGATGATATCAGGGGTAATGCCACATTTACTGTGCGGTGATAGGTGGATGGTTTTAAGAGACGAAAATAGTCTGATTCTTCATAATGGAACCTTGGAAGCAGTCAATGAGGTTGCAGTGTTTCAAATTTGTTCCAAGGTTTAAGAGATGTCGACCCTTGGAACTGGCCGATGGGACGGGAACCATCCATGGATGTGAAAACTTGATTCTATGGTCATTAAATATTATTATACTGTCATATGGCAACCTCTAGATCACAGATTTATACGACTGATTTGTAGTATGTGTCTGTGTCATGGTGATATCCAGCCCAAGCGGAGCCTCAACCCTAGTCAGAGTGAGACGCTTATAGGCGCGCTGGGAATCCGCTCTTTGCGGTGGACGTGCGGTCGGAGTTGGCTCTTCCTCCGGAATTGTAGGGCTCTCGACATCGCGCTCGAGACTCAAGACGACTCCAATGGCTTCTTGGTCCTCGATGATCTTCGGGTGACGTTTTGCGAAGTAGCGCGCATACTTGAACAGCGACCAGTAGCAGCTGAACACGTTGATCAACGTCAAGACAATTTTATAACCCGTGTAGTAGAAAATGAGCACTTTCCAATCAATGCGCTCTTTCTTCTTTCGGAGGTGGATCTCGTTGAAAATCAGTACGTTGACGATGTACATAACGATGGTGGCACCCAAGAGAATACCAGAGAAACTGGGGCGCACGACGAAAGAAATGGGGAAATAGAAGGGAGCGAAAAGGTAGATGAGAGTTTCGTACACCTGGAGACGAAGTTAGTCGATGCTTAGTATTAGATATCTGGGTGAAAAGCATACCTCTTGGAAAACGCAGAGCTTCGCTCCGAATTCACACCAGCCAAGCTTCCAGCTTGTAAGGATGTATTTCATATCGTAGTACATTCCAATAACGAAGAAGAAATTCCATCGTTTGAATCGTTGTTGGAAAATCGTCATCTCACCAAATCCACCTCTGCTACCGCCGCCAGCGAAAAAGACCGATGAGGGGGTCTCTGTTTCGACGAAAACTGATGTGCACATTGTGACACGACCTCCAAGACGGCGGCAGGCATCACCAAAGAACCAGTCTTCGGAGACCGAGTATCCAGGATGCTCGTGGAAAGTTTGCTTGAGGAACTCAGTGTTCCAAAGGGAGATAGCACCGTGGGGGAACGTAGCACTTCCGAGCATACCAAAGAAAGCTCGTTGAATGCCCGACATTTTATATTCCAAATCTTGCGCTTGTTGACAGTACGTCCCCTTGGAAGAACCTGGTCCCACACTCTTGATCGTGTATCCAACACATTTGACCTGGCCCTTCAATCGATCACTAACCACAGGGAAATTCGGCGGGAGTGCGCAGTCGTCATCGATGAGAAGGACGTTCTCAAAGTCCTTGGCCGCGTAGCAACCGGCGAATTGGGCCACGATCTTGGACCCAACTGGTACCCAGAGGTGGTTCACTCCGAAAGGACGGCAGACGTCTTCAGTGTCATCAAGGGGCGTTTGAGAGTTTCCGTTGGCGATGACGAAGATGTTTTCGGCAGGGAAGACCTTCAGGGCTGCTTCCAAGGTTGGGCCGATGATCTGGGCAGACTTATAGCAGGGAATGAGAAGAGCGGTGTTTTTGGCGGTATCCACGTTGCTTTCCAGGTCTGCATTAACGTATTCAGTTGTTGGTGGAGGATCCTTTTCGAACAAGATCAGGAGAGGGCAGAAGGCGTATCTATGTGATTCAATTGGGTTAGCCAATGGTGATGTATAGAAGGTTTGATTTGGGATCTCACAGGAAAGCAAGACCGAGGAGAATGGCCCATCCTCCGGTGACGGTGAATTTATGAGCCACGACCCAATATAGCCACCAGACAGCACCTTTCCATAGGGGCATGCCGACGAGGACAAAATATATAAATAAAATGAGAAGGGTATAGACGCTTGCTTCGAACAACACGCGCACCCAATGTTTTCGTTGAAGAGCAACACCCCTCAGTTTTGCCTTCTCGTAGACATCGTGCATGCTACTTTGACGACTTTGGAAATTGACGGAGCTATTTGAACTGAGTGGTGGGCTGGGATGAACGGCAACCTCTTTGATGGGCGTGATAGGCTCTTTTTCCGTTTCTATGGGAGGCGTCAAGCGTCCTCGTTTGCTATATTCATTCCATGCTATCATGCAAGTCAGAATATTGACCGTGATCGTATAGTATCAATATACATACCGTATAATTCGGGAGGGTTGCTGCGCGGACGAATGGCAGCAGGGCGCCTTGGACCCCGTAAAGCCGATAAACTAACAGAGCGGCTGATACCGCCCTGTTTCTGACCTTCCTGAGGTTCAAACTGAACACGATCATTTTCTGGTAGAGACTTCTCCCATTTCCTCAATTCCCATGGTGAACTGAACTTTGCTGTTGTTAGCAAGTGCTTCGGAACCGCGACGTCCTCCACCATGGTGTGACTTCGGGCATGGTGCCGGTTAGACATTGGGGGCAACTCCGAGTATATAAAAGAATGACTGTAATAACGAGTGGACTGTAATAACGATTGACTAGTAACAATGCAATGAATGGAAGGCAACAGATGTCACCGCATGAAGGAATGAATGGCCAACAGTACGGGAAGAAAAAACTGCAATCCGGACTTATAAAAAACTTGCATTTGGCCCTCGGGGGAAGACTTCTCCTGTTAGTGTGGGGACTATGTCGTAGCTTCTCCATCTAGATCTAGACAGCATCTAGATGGGGCTGACCCTGCCTTGCTGTCTTGGTCCTATCCTTGGAAGTCTTGAGACTCAAATTTGCCGACCCAAGGAACCAATAGACAAAAAAATTATTAAATCTATATAGATTGTATACATCATATTCTATCTTTTACTGAGAACAATGTCTTGTCGGTCAGAAAAACTCGAATCCTTTTGTTGAAAGAAATGAAAACTAAATTCTTCTTAGAATGGACCACGTCTCTAAGGCCGTCTTCGATGGGGGCTTCTCATACTAGCGCAATGCTCGAATGGAGCCTTGGGCAAGAAAGATCAGCCAAGTTACGAATAATGCTTAGAAGCCACGAATCCATTGAATTAACGTACGATCTACCGATCCTTACACGTTCTTTCCAGGGGCCCTATACCTCCAAACTTCCAAACAAGCTAATTTTTCAAGGTTATTGACACCACAACGCTTTTTTAATCTTTCTGGGTCCATCCCTCCTGTTGTCATTCCACTGCACTCCGGCTAGGAAGGCACAGAGTTTTACGCCCCACCATATTTGTACTATTTTGCTAGAACTAAGATCTCGGTTACCGGCCGGTAGAAATTTTAGTGTGTCAAAATGAGCCAAGCCAGCCTTACGAACCATTCTTTGCATGGTCCACTGAGGGAAAAAGAAATTTGCGATCCGGCCAATCGATCGTCAAATGTTATGCCTTGTTTTGATCAGACTAATTCTTGCTAGTCTTGCCATATGTTGGTTTTGGTGGAGTCCGCGTCATTTCCCGTCCACAATTCAGCCACACGCGGCCGTAGCTTAGCTGCGCCTGTAGTACCCGAGCCCCACACTAACCACCGGCTTACCACGGATTAATCAGGTCAACAAAATACCGAAATTGGGCCTTTTCTCCAGACAAGTTTTTCAACCTTTTCGTTCCATTGTTCCGATATGATGTTTTGAATACTCATAGCGCTTTGTCTTTCCAGGTCAAATCTTGGAAGAAGCATTCTGCAAGGAAGACTAAAATGGGGCTCCAGGCACGGAAAGGCTTGGTGGAGGTTCCACGTACCTTCCGGACCTTCTACATTGGGGGCTTGGGGTCTTGGATAAAATTAGACGTGCCAAGACTGCTTAAGCTCCCACCTACGGCCGATCATAATAACCTACAGTGTAATTATAGGTGACCTGGGGGTATTCATGGTTGAGTAATTGGGTAAAATTTGATTGTCTTAGGGGCCCCCGGCACTACTACCTGGCTAGGTAGGTTGGGTTCTAGCCCCAAGAAGACAGTAACACGCGTTGAAAAATAAACAACACCCGGGTCCACCGAGGCTTAACACCACCCTCAATTTGACGTTTTACGTTCACCGGAGTAAAAGCTCCAGGACTCGTACACAAATTCCTACATTTGGCATCAAGCTCTAATATGCGGTACTCTGTAGATCACTTGAAGTTAACCATGTAAAAGATGATATATTAACCCGGGACTTCCGGCAAGTGGTCCTTACAATTCTATCTTGGCATGAAAACCCGATTTTCTATGTGGGGAACATGGCCAGGATCGGAATTCGGAAAGGCTTGCCAGCTTGGCAGAGTTGTGTACACGAATGACTGATTGTTCGAGGCTAGAGTCTCACTAATCATACTTTCGATGCCTCAAGTCCGAACCTAAGCTCATCCGGTGAACCCAGGCGAACTCGAATTCTAAATTTCTAGAAAGCAAGAGGTGCTAAGTGGCTTGAATGGCGTTTACACAGAAACAGTTCTTCCACGTGCAACGGACGCCAATGGCTTCGGCTGTCGTGGCTTAAAACGCCCAATAGCCGTGGAATACGTCTACTCTGTATCTGCCAAGCATTATCCCTACCGGCAGCTGGATAGAGGGCGCACAAGGAGAAATTCTAGTAGCTTAACAGTAGAGAAACCTTGAAAATATCTATGTAGAATGGTATTTTACTTTAGTTATAGGGGATTTAAACAGGGAATGGAGGAAAAGAGGGTAGTCAATGGGTCACAGAAAGCATCAGAAGAGGACGTGCACATATAATCTTCTGACCATCTCCTACAAATTTCAGCAGAGAGGATGTCTTTTTGTCTATTGCTCCTCCAGGAGGATGACTGTGAAGAGAAGTCACCCAGGGTGACATGAGGGCTAGACCCATCAATGAAGACTTTACATCTAGCTTTGGGAGTAATGGGTGCGGGTGGCTTATATGGAGTGCCAGGCTTAAGGCTATACCATCCCCGGCCGAGTCTCCCGCTAGCACAATCTGGTGTATACATATTAATTTTGGTCTGAATATAACTAGGCGCTTTACTTCAGGGTGAACAGAACTTACTCTTCTTGGATCGATCGCTAAGTCTGTGGTAACAAATTGCAGTAGTGCAATCCCCTGCTGTAGTGGGCGGGGGTATTTCGCTTGTGGCGTCAGGTCTTGTGGAGTGATTATATAGTCAGAAAGTTTGGTAGAACTATGCTTATCTGAATACTAACCATATTGAAGCACTAAAGCCGCAACTCTTTTCTGTGACTTTTGATGCATATTGTCAAGCAACATTTTCAGTAATGTGAAATGCCCGCGAAACGCCGGAAAAACATAACCACCACCTAACCACTCATAGTGGTGTAACCAGCAACAGTTTTTGTAATTCTCAGTGGAGAAAAACAAACCATGACAAAATAGAATTACGATATCGCTCTTACTAGATCCAATCCAATGAGCCTTACTTCCATCATTCAACGTAACAGTCTCTGGTGTAAGTTGTTTTGACTTCATGAAACTGCGGAATACGTCCAAGGTAGATGGTAGAAACTTTCTAATCAAGTCAGTTATTGCTTTTGCAAGGAACGAATAGTCTCGGGTTTCATACTGCGCATCATGAGGGCTGAGTCGTAATAACAGAGTGCGTACTGCAAAGAATTTGATATGCGCTAGGTAGGTTGACTTTGTTTCGGCCCCCCGAAAGGGACCAGATATTGCTGCCCATATCGCAGCGATTGCTAAATTGTTCGGATGGTGAGTCGTTTGTAGCCGGCAAGTTGGGAGGAGTGCCGGGTCGAGTTACCCATTAATGTTATAGCATATGTCACTCGGATAGCCAGCATGGTAAAGATGGGTTGTTAGAATTAGCTGTTTGGGTAGATGAGGCCGAAACTTTGACGCTTATAAGGTTATCGGCAGATAAACTTCAGGGATACAGATCTGTACGACTCGAGATACCGGCAATGCGGTTTTAAGCCTGTGGTGCTTGGCTGGTCATCAATTTATATTCCTGGTAAACCGCGACCCGAAGAGTTCAATGCTGAATATTAATGATTGATTTCATTATATGAAGTTTAAGGATAAGATGAATAGCGGTGAGACTGGCGCTGAAGAGAGCGGTCAATAAGAGCAGATCCCAGGCGAGGAGAAAAGTCCCTAATTTGATCGGGGGCGAATCACACGACCAATCAGTCCAAGAAATGTCATTCATGAATCTGCCAGATAAGAAAGCAAGCATTGAATACCATCTAAGGCCTCGAGTGTCAATGCTTGGGATCGCTTTTAAGAAGATATTTGGAAAGCAAACCAGAAATTAAGGCCGTGTTTAATTACGAGTTCGGATTCGATGTCGGTTCCGGGTTCTAATTCTACTGCAGGTGCTACAACGGGACCTACTCCTTTATTGTTCCTATGCTTCGCGGAGATATAATTGATCTGCATTGATTTCGAGGCCCCAAAAAATTGTTTTCTTTACACGAACGCTTCGCGAGTCACCATTCAGAGGCTCGCCGAGTCCTGTTTCCTTTCGTCTTCTCTCCCGGTAGTTTGCTGAGTATTGAATTTGCTAGGGGATTCCACCGTGTCAGGGTGTGGCGAGAGAGGAATTTCCAGTGTTCTCGAGCTTCCGGTAGGTGTCGATGGATTAGTAGGGCTGTCATTGGATCGAACTTCAGCTCGTCGTGTTTTAGCTCCCTCCTTGAGTTTTTCCCAACGATCACGGTAACGGTTAAGGACATTTTTCAACTTGTCATTTTCTTTTCCAACACGTTCTAGCTCTTGTTCGCCGCGACGAACAAGGTCCTCTAATTCCTTAACTCTGTCATCTGTGTCTGAAAAGGGGTGTGGAACGGACATTTGGGCCACTGGAGAGGTGTTGGCAGATGAACCATGCGGCACAGCTTCCGGGGACTGGTGGTGGATTGCCCTCAATGACTGCTGTAGCGCCATGGATGATGATTGTGCGTTGACTTCCCACATGTGAAGCCGTTTAGAGAGGGTGTCAGACAGGTGCTTTAAAGCTTGGTTCTCCATCTGCAACTCCTCCAATGTTTTGGGATTTTGGAGGCTGGTAAGTTTATTATCAGCAGCACCGCGACGCATTGTACGGGTTTTGGAACTTCCTGTACTAAGCCGCATCTCCGGCGAAGATGGGGTTTCTCGTGCATCCACAAAGTCATCGTCGCCGTCATCTAAGCTGTTTCGACGCGCCTCTTTCTCGGCTCGGGTCATAATGCCTGCGTATGACATAGTTCCACCTGTTGTAGGGACCACGTAGAAGGACTCCGCGGTATTTCCAGGACTGGATCCTGGGGTATCGCGAATTGAGCGTAAAGCAGCCTTGGAGAAGAGTCGGTTCACATCCGACTCAGCCAGGGTATTTCCCTTATCGGAGGTCGCATGATGACGGTCTACCTTCGTCTCTGCCGAGGACTTGCGTGTTGGAGTGTTGGTTTTGGTAGAGCCCTCTGTCCCGAGAGGCAGTCCTGCAAATGCCAGAGGCGCAGAGATCTTGGAGATGAGGCCTTCAAATGTAGAATAAAATCGCTGGAATGGTTCATCTGCATTGGAAGCATTCGCGTTGGTATACCCAGTCTTGGCGGATTCTGGAACAAGTTCCTGAGACGTGATATCGGTGGGGCTGGGTTGTGGATGTGGAGGTGACCAGGGCTGCCTAGGGACCGATGATCGGTTAGATCGATTTTTGTTGGGAACGTCCCGCAATCTCGATTCGCCCGTTTTGATTTTTGACGGTCCATCTGTCATCTTCGCCCCAGCTTGATGGGCGGAAAGGGTGGGCGACACCGGTGATCCACGACGAGGTTGAGCCGGGATGCCTCGAGCCGAAGCTAAGTTGCTGGCAATCGACGAAGACTCTCGGCTGGGTATCCGAGGATTCCCTGGGAGCCTTGGAGGTTGACCTTGGGCATCTTGGTTGATAGGCGCCCCAGCCCCGGCTTTTGTCTGGCCGCTCTCTGGGGGGTATTGAGCCGTTGGACTTAGCGATACCGTAGCGGTAGATTCCTCAGTATTGGCAGGGTGCTCATGCTGGAATCTCAGAATTTCGGCCAGCTTCTTGTGGTGATTCTCGAGTAGTTGCAGAGTGCGGAGAGCCTAAGTTGCACACAATGTGATCAGCTTTAAAGTTCAGACTTTGGGCCGAGAGGTAACTCACTTCCTGGTCGGGATTATTAAGAGCTGCAGCTGCAAACTCGCCGGCAGCCAAATCATGCTCCTCGCTGGCAGCGACCGGGTTCGACTTGCGGGTTTCGAGGACCGCATTGCGGGCGTGGGTGTGGGCCTTGCGATAATCAGTTTGAATGACGTGCGGGGGAGTGGACTGGAGCAGCTTACCAGGGTGAGCGGAGCGGACTCCATGTTCAAAGAAACAACGGTGCATGAACCATACCCGTGATCCGCTGGAATGGTTGGAATGTTCAGGAGCTTGGAGTGACACAATAAGGGACTGAGAAGCTGAGAATACAAAGTTGTGTTAAGGTTGCTTACTGTACACTGTACTTATAGAGGAGGATTTGCATACTCGGGGTTTCCCCATTTCCGTTCTAGCTACTCAGTTTGATCTTTATCAAATAGTTACATGGGATTTCTAGGAGTTCTCTGTAACTTTGAGCTCAAAAGACCCGATCGTATTGTGTAGAGAGCTGACTGAAAGCAGCGTGCATTGACCATGAACTGTCACATCCGCATTCTACGAGTGGAGAAGCCAAAAGCTACAGAACAATAAGGAGACGGATAGGGGTAAAGACATAGATAATGAGATAAACGGGATTGACGGGATATATTCTTTGAATGAGACCTACTCAACGCAATAGTACACTTCCACTTTATTCCCATGTCCTGAGGCTGTTCCAAAATTGGGGAGCTTCCTCGGCATCTGACTAAGTCAACTGCTTTCCCCTCGAATTGCATCAGGGGAGTTCCACCTACGCCTCAACCAACTGAGCCAGGGAGACACAGCGTACAATCCTCATGCTGTGTTCCCAGCCTCAATATTCTATTCATTTCACTTCGCTCCGGCCTTGATCCCTCGCCATGGCCGACTCCTCGTCCTCAAGTCTTAAAGGCGGCGGAGGTGGGAGCAGGTCGCGCCGCTCTTGGACCGTGTCTGCTGCCGATTCAGATATATTGGAGAGCTCGAGTCGGAGTAATGGACGCTCCTCAATTGAATCCATTGAAAGGCCCAAAACACAAGCCGGAGAGACTCCGGATTCCGCAAAGGCTGGCTCCAGCGGTTTCTCCAAGCTCCTCAAGTCCCGGCGCCGGCGGAAGGAGAAGAACCAGAAACAAGCCGACGAACCCCCAGTGCCCGAGCTCATCCCCGAACAAGAACTACGAAACATCCCTTCCAATGTATCCAATGGTGGCGACTCAGTAGCTGTGTCGACGGCCACTTCGTCCAATAACAGCTCCGGCCTACCGGAGCGCGAGGTTATCCAATTGTTGACCGATGATTCCGAACCCGACAAGTACATCAAGCATCTTCCCTGTCTCTAGCTGCTTTACTGAAACTAATCCATATGGTTTGACAGGACTCCGCCGCTGACCTCACATAACTCACACACCGGTTTCTATACCTCCTCGTCCCCGCTCATCAATACCACGTCAGTCGATTCCGCTGCGGATACTGAGGGTACACCAGAGGATGTCGCATCAGGGATTAGCGACCCAAGTGCAACCGGGTCAGATTCAGCACAGAGCGAAAACCCACGGAGGCCGCGCGCCCAAACGAGTATGACATTGGACGTTCCGGATTCCAGCGGCAAGCGACGCAGTGTTTCACCCGGACGACGATTAAAAGAAGCTTTCACCGCTACAGATAAAGACAAAAAGAACACGACCGAAGACACAGACGCGTCATCATCCAAGTCGGGGGGCAGCAAGACTGGAAAGGGTCTTTTTGGGAGCCGAAGGAGCAGTCTGTCTTCCAGACGGGCGCAAGCTCAGGCCTCCCAAGAGACTCCTCCACCTGTTCCTAGCCCCATTCGTACAGATGTATGGAATACAGACCCGAAGGAAGATAAGCAGGATAAGCCACGCTCTTTGCAAGCGAGCCCGTTGCCGAACACCCCTCCGCATACAGCTATTCCCATCCCGACGCCAGCTACCACTGTCACTCCCCCTACTCCAACCGAACACCGCCCGCTGAATTCCCAAATAATGACTGAAGCTATTACGGACTCACCTGAATCAATACCTGGTCGGAATTCTATGTCATCGGCCGATGTCACCGTGAGCCCTTCAGGAAACATGATATCGCATCGGCGAGTGCGCTCTGCATCTGCAGCTCACGGCCCTAGCAAGTTGTCCACTTCCATGACAGCCTTAACTCCTCTAGAAGAAGCGAAAACCCCAAAGAGTGGAGCGAGTCAGCAGAGCGGATTTTTCTCGTCGATGTTTTCCGCCGCCCAAAATGCGGCGTCCTCCATCACTAATACTCTCAATGCTCCGCCGAAGAGTCGTACACTCTCCCAGCCATCCTCAGCCGGAACTGATGGAGCTACTAGAGGAAATGGTATTGAAGAACAAGAGAATGCCCTGGAGAACCCAAATGGCAGTGAAGATGGGAAACCAACTGCTGTGGACACTCTAGGGACTGGAAACCTCAACTTCAGCCATTTGGACATTGATGCGCAACCAGGTGAGGTGGTTTCAACTGCGGATGGTGTTGTTGTCACAAAGCCAGGAAGTCCGCTTGATAGGCGCAAGAATATGGCCGTGTATCGGCGCGATGAGGAGGCATCGAAGCTGGAAGACCAGCGTGCTGCGCGTGCTGTCAACATGGCATACGAAAAGCCTCTTGACGCATCGGTATTAGGATCGCCTGGTGACGATGTTATTGAGTCTCAATCTACCATTTCTCTCCCTAGAGATGGCTTCATGAGCGGGGATCGCACCCCTCCAAGTGGAAGTGTCATTGATGGCGACATCGGCAGCGGCGGTATCAGACGCACAGGCAGCGTACGTAGTCGACTTGCGCGCCGTCACCGAGGTTCATCCGGAGCTACCACTTCAACAATTGGCGCCATTGGAGCTAGTGCCATCAATCTCGGCATTCCCGGTGTCAATTCAAGTGTGCCTCGGCTTACTGGTTTCGCTGTTGCGAGCAAAAAGCGCAACAGAGACTTCCATCAACTTTTCCGCAGCGTTCCCGAGGATGATTACTTGATTGAGGATTACAGTTGTGCGTTGCAGCGCGAGATCATTCTGGCCGGTCGCATCTATATCTCTGAAGGACATATTTGTTTTTCTAGTAACATCCTTGGCTGGGTAACCACGCTTGTCATCAGCTTTGATGAAGTGGTGGCTATCGAAAAAGAAAACACAGCAATGGTCTTTCCAAATGCCATTGCTATCCAGACACTTCATGCCCGCCATACGTTTAGGAGTCTGCTTAGCCGTGAATCTACCTATGATTTGATGGTCAACATTTGGAAGATCAACCACCCCTCTCTCAAAAGCTCTGTGAATGGTACCCGAGTGACAAATGGAACTGGTGACAAGACTGAGAAGGTTGGTGAAGGTGAAGCTGAAAGTGACACTGAGAGCGATGTCTCGGACGAAGACGAAGTCTACGACGAAGATGAAGAAGAAGATCACGCCGAGAGCTTCTTTGAGGCCGGTGCTAGCGCCAATGGCAGTGAAAGGTCATTGCCACTGAAAACAGGCTTGAGTCGCCAGCCTTCGGGTCTTTCTGGAAATGGAGCATCTCCAGCTGGGGCAAACTCCGGCGGCGACACTAAGAATGGAGACAAAGCGGCTTCCAAAGAGGCCGACTTTCCTGGCCCAGCTACACATGCCCCTACTGAATACACGAATCCTGATGGACAATACGAAAAAGTCATCAAGGACGAACTTATTCCGGCGCCCCTTGGAAAGGTTTACTCGCTTGTTTTTGGGCCCTCGTCGGGTGATTTCATGACCAAGTTCCTTGTCGACAACCAGAAATCTGGTGAACTACAGTTTGAAGGGACCGCGAAAGGCCTTACCAATGAAAGCCGAGTTCGAAAGTACTCATACATCAAACCTCTCAATGCACCCATCGGTCCAAAGCAAACCAAATGTATCAGTACCGAAAATCTGGACTTTTTAGATTTGGAAAAAGCAGTTCTCGTCACGTTGAGCACCCAGACTCCCGATGTTCCCAGCGGAAACGTCTTTGCTTGCAAGACAAAATACCTTTTCACGTGGGCACCAGGTAATCAAACACGGTTCCTAATGACGTGCACTATCGAGTGGACGGGCAAGAGTTGGCTTAAAGGTATGCATTTTCTAACTTAGCTTTCAGAATAAAATATGCTAATACAGCCCAGGTCCCATCGAAAAAGGTGCTATTGATGGTCAAACCGCCTTTGGTAATGAGCTGGTCAAAGCTTTGAAGATCGGCGTTGTCCCCCGCGGACGGACAGCTGGCAATGGGGGAAAGAAGGGCCGTCGCAAGAAGGGTGATGCCGGAGCTCGCGAGTCATCCGCAGCGGCATCAAACAAGTTGGGAGGTGATTCAAGTGGAGGCCAGTCCGAGTCCTGGGGTCTGCTTGAGCCAATTCGCCCCATTTTGGAACCACTTACAAGCATGTTAAAGCCGCTCTGGAGCGGCAACATTGCAATATTGCTTGTTGGCCTCCTTCTTTACCTCGCATTCTTCCGAACACCATCCAGCCCATCCATGATTGGACACCATCCGGGCCACCCTGGGCTTAGTCTTCCTCAAAGGCTAGCCGCATATGACGAAATGTGGCGCCGCGAGGAAAGTGAGCTCTGGAACTGGCTGGAGGATCGAGTGGGCATGGATGGCATGGTCTTTCCTGCTCTCCACCACAGAATGCCTGCACCCACCCACAAGGCCCCTCGTGTAAATGCTGCGGACGAAAGAGATCTCATTGACCGACTTCGTGAGGAGAAGGTCTCAGATCGTGAGATGGACCATGCTATCCGGACCACACGACAAAGGCTTGACATTCTTGAGGAAATGATGAACAATCGCAGAGCGGACCGGGATCCACAAGAACCTCTTCGCTCTGAATTGTAAGTTTCCAGGTGTGACTAGTTACCTGTACTGCTTATCCTACCTCCTACTTCTTTCACTCTTATACGCCTCCTACCGAAACATCTCCCCAGCCAATTATTGCAACCCCATATCCTTCACGGCTTTTTTCTCTTTTCAAAAGTCCATTCCTTTACAACCTCTTTCATATCCCTGGTGCTTTCCTTGGTTCGCATTATGGGTCAACGGTCACTTGGCCGTTGACAACCCTGTCTCCTCAAAACCCCACCCACCGTCATTCGCTCCCTTCCTTTCCTCCTCTTTGCTCCTCTTGTGGACACTGAGACCAGTGAAGTTTTCATTAACTGTATATGAGCGCCAACCGCTTTGTCTATGCAGCTGTATCTATTACAGTCTCAACCCATCCTCTTTCCTTTATCTTTGAATGTAAACCGAGCGAGTTTATTTTCACCCTACTAAGTAGGTTTATTGTATATTTCTTTGTCCCATAGCGTTTCATAACCAGATTTCGTTTCCTTGGCCTCAAGTCGATTGCTGGATCTCCAAGTTCTTGTATTTTAGTGTTGGTTTTTGAGATCTTCGATGATAACCGAGTTGTGATAGATTTTGACCGTACTACGCTGGTATGCCAATTCCTGTGATTTCATAATGCGCCCTTCTACAGAGACTGGGGTGTTTCAAGTAGTGAAATGGTCGAGCAGTGGAGTTTATTAGGCCAATTGGCTATACCCAGTCATTGTTAGCTTCCCATCTCGTCTTCGTCTTCCCGCCTCATGTTCCGCCTCATGTATCTCAAGAGTCGCTATCTTCTCCTCCAATTAAAGTTCATTATCATTCAAATAGATTCTCTATTTGACGCTACGGCCATTTCTGTTGCGCACATCAAACATGCAAACTATCATTCAAATAAATTACGTATATTCATATGTATAGCATAACGCCGGCTACTAATTAACATCCCATCCAAATCCCGTACCTGAACTATTCTCCAGATTGCAAATCCTGTTCTCTGATCCTGGCAATTCTCTTGTTGCTTGCCACAGAAGTCTTCCAAGCTGGAATTTTCGAGTCGAAGACATTATCAATCTGTTCCAGAGTGAGACTGGCAGTCTCCGGAACAAGCAGGAATATCAAAAGGGCAATGACAACAGTCACACCTGCATAGAAATATCCCACATTCACTCCCATGTTACCATATTGCGCATCAAGCATATACGGTGTCCAAAAGGTTGCACCAAAAGAGAAGATGCCATATATGATAGTCGTGTTCGCCTGTCCGTATGTGCGTAAGGACACACTATGCATCTCCACAGCCGCTAAATTAGCAGTGGGCGCAATAGTTCCACCGAAGATGAATGACCAGAAGCAGAGCAGCACCACAACAACAATCTTGGAGACATCATCTTGATCCAGTGCGGTACTAACTGTTGATAGAATCAACATGCAGACTGCCATCACCACGTAACCGAGCAACATCGTGACTCGGCGTCCTCCATATTCAACCGCAAAGGGGCCAAGCCCTGAGCCTCCCAGAATGCAAACACCGATAATGACATTGATCAAATACGGGTTGCTGACACCAACACCCCTGAGGAAAGTAGTAGCGTAGGGCTGCACAAACTGAATGCCGGTAATAGAAAGTCCGACCTGAATCAGCGCTGAAGCCACCGTTCTCCGGATATGCTTCCTCTGGTAAATCTCATACCAAGAAGTTGATTTCGCAATCGCCCTCTCAGCCTTAATATGAGCCTTAACATCCTCAATTTGCGCCGTAATCTCAGGTGCAAAAGGATCCATCTGATAAAGCATGGCAAATGCTTTCCTCGCCTCATCCTCATTTCCATCATGATTCAGAATCCACCTCGGCGACTCGGGAAACATCAAGATGCCCGCCCCAAGAATGATCCCTAACGGGATCTGGCAAAGGATAGGTGTCTTCCACTGCCAGTTATTCCCCGGCTCCAGTCGTGCGGATCCCGCACACACGGCGCTCGACGCAACATTGCCCAACGCCAATCCGACGTTGTATAACCCTAATGCGAACCCGCGCTTTTGTGCAACGATACATTCCGATCCGTATGTCGTGCTCGCGGCGATTAGATGGCCCAATCCAATTGCGCTAATGCACCGGCAGATCATGTAGTGGAGGAAACTTGAATCGCCACGTCCGCCTGTTCCCAGCATGCCAGCTGCGCCTACTATGGCTAGCGCACAGCCGATTTGGAATGTGCCCCGACGACCGAAGAAACGGCCTGTGAAGCCTGATAATCCACCTCCGATTCCGATGAACATGTAGTTCAGACTGATGAGGGATTGTTGAAGAGGTGTTATGGAGCATTGCTCGACTATTTCGTTGGTTTTTGGGTTCATGAGTTGGGTGCATGTTCCGAAGGCTTTTTTGTATGATGGCATGATTAATACTGTGCCTGTGTAGCCGTTGTCGAAGTTGACTATCCATGCTGCGAAGGATACCCATAGTGCGACGCGGAGCATGGCGGTTGTTGAACCGGGTGCTTTGTTTGAGGAACTGTGCATTGTGGAAAGAGTCCCTCCGTCTTTCTCAGATTCGTCGTCGTAGCACCGCATCTTTGCGATTTGATGCTGTTGTTAAATAGATTGAGAGATAATTCATTCATTCATGTACTTTTATTGTGTACCTTTGGGCGGGCATTTCACGGCTGTTTTATCCTTTCCTCGGTTGAACCCCGTGTGTTCCTGCATACCATGGCCACGCCATCAACGCTCTGGTATTTGAATTGATCATCAGGAATGCTGGCCCTCTCTGGCAGCCAATGACGTTTGCCTAAAAATGCTGATGACTGATAAGGTCCTTACATGAATAATGTCCGAGCGGTTTAGAGTGTGCATGTTCATTGGATGCCCTTGGGTTCATGAAATCACTGGGCAGAATTAAGGTAAGCCAAGCTCTCAAAAGCTATTCCAAACTTTGAAACGAATGTGCCATGGACAATTGGGGAGGAATGCTATTCAATACTGGTTTGGGCGCATCATTATTGACGTACGGGGGAGTTGTGGGGTTGACACTTCAGGTTTTGGTACTTGTGACTCTGGACGAGATGACTTGGGCTCACAGCTGGAAGTGACGTAGCATACCATGGGGAGCAGCTGATGCAGCTTGCTATGTCATTCAGCATCATTTGTAGAAATAAAATGAGAATAGGATTACTGGAACCTCATTTCTGTGGACTATGTTTATGTTGATGGGAGGCTGTTTATAGTAGAGTTCCTTCCAAGGTGGTGCTGTGGGTCCTTTATCGTAACTCTGACAGGACCCGCAGCCAGCAACGTCGACATCTTATATTAATCGAATGTCTACTGATCCAAGCTATCAAGAGACATGACTCTTGCAAGACAGAAAACACCCATAGACAAAGTTACCCAGTTTGAATGGTCGAGGTTACGGGGTACCTAGAATGTGGCGCCACAAACCACCAAGTCCTTGCTCACGCGACAGTTCTACTGCAGAGCCACAGCATTGAGTAAGTCAATCCATTAGACTATCATGATACTGCCAGAACTTGAAGTAACAGTATAAGCTATGAACTCTTTTTCTCTTAGGAACAGGGCTAGTTTGGACAAGAAATTGGACCCCAAACTCATATAGTTCAAGTGATCACGTGGGGCCAACCATAATTAGACTCCACAGACACCCGCATTCACCCACAAGCAACCCACAATGGAGCTCCGAACTGTCATCTTCTTCCTAATTCTCTACGTCGGTAAGCAGGATCTACACGGCTACAGCGGTCACTGTCGCCAAACCCCGGCGATGACTTAAATCAACAAATGAACCCAATGGCTTACAAATCCCAGGTATCCGCCTCTACCAAACCCGCCGCAGCTCCTCCGAGCCCATCATGTCTCACGGAAAGGTCGTCAACATTGACAAGTAAGGACCAGCCCTGTGAAACATATACAACTTTCAGTGTCTCACGGAGCTAACCGTTGTCCTACAGCGATGTCATCTTCAAAGCCCTGACCTCTTCCGGCCCCACTGTTATCGACTTCTACGCTACCTGGTGCGGTCCCTGCAAGGCTGTTGCGCCTAAGATCGGCGAGCTGAGCGAGAAGTACACCGATGTGCGCTTTATTCAGGTTGATGTTGATAAGATGCGTGGCGTTGCGCAGCAGTATGGTGTTACTGCTATGCCTACCTTTGTGTTCTTGAAGGACGGCAAGGAGCTTGCTGAGAAGCGGGTTCGGGGTGCTGATATCCGGGCTTTGGAGGCTGGTATTCAGGCCATTTCTGCTTAGGTGTTGCGACATATCCGGTGAATGGTTTTGATGTGGAGATGTGTTCTTGTACATCGTTGAAGTTGAATGAGACTTAATTCTTTCATGTTTCGCTTACTGATAGGGCTTTGGACTGGTTTCGGGGCGCAGCTACTTTGCACTATGTTGAGTAGGTGAATGTTGAGGTATTTTTTTTCCACATCAATTTAGTAGTCTACTTTGATCGGAGGGAATGAGGGAGGTTTAGGCGCATCGACATCGCTCAAGCTTACAGGAGCGTTAAGACTTCGGCAACTTTGCGAAGGAAGATTGCCAGAGAGGAAAGAAACTACGATTTGAACTCAGAGTGCGTAGATAGGAAATTATGTATTAAGAGGGGAAAATATCTCCTCTATGATGCATAGAAGAATAATTAGGTCTCAAGCAGACAAAAAGAAATAACAGGTGAAGGTATATCCCATAGATCCTCCAACTATCAACCCCGTAAGAACCAGATCCAGGAAGCGATACGCTTAGAGGATGGAGCCGAGGGCAACGCAAGGAAGACCGGCACCAATGAGGTCGGAATCCTGTCAGGTATAATATTAGCAAAGAACAATGCACCATAATCGAAGAACCACTTACGGCGTTGGAAGGAGAGTTGGCGCAGCAGGCAATGTTCTGCTTGCAACGCTGGTTGATCAAGTCCTGGATGGGGACAGCGATGAGGATGGGGATCTGGACATCCAGCTTGGAGCACTGGTCGAAGATACCGAGACCATCGGAGCCGGAGCCACCAGCGATCAAGTTTCCGAGGAGGCCACCACCGAGACCGGAGTTGATGTCGGTGGTGTCACCGGCGTAGACGGCCTTGTTGCAGCAAGAGAGCTGAGCCTGGTCACCACACTTGGCCTGGGCCTCCTTGACGGTCATGCCCTTGGGGACGGGGAAGCGAACACCACCGTGCTCCTGGGACTGGAGGGACTCGGTGGGCATGGCAGCGGCCATGGTGGCGAAGGCAAGAGCAACGGCGGTCAGAGAGAACTGCATTTTGAATATGGAGAATTAAGAGTGTAGTCTTTAAAAAAAAAAGTAGATAGGGTTTTTTGGAGTCTTGGAAAAGTAGACAGGAGAATGGAAGAGTAGTGTGTGATGAAGAAAACAGAAGACCATCGAAATGCTGCCTTTTATCTTCAAAGAGCACATTGTTTGCATTGGTCCTTGTTGGTCATTTTTCACGTTCGTATCAAAAACAATTGTCCCGTTATGGTCGTGGGAATGTCCCACGCAAGGGTGTGCCGCCCGAGGACCCTGAATTGGCAGGGCCAGAAGCCCCTCAATTGGCTCGTTCTCCCCGTCGGAATTTTGACATCCACTAGAATGGACTCCCTTTGGTACTAAATTACACGAGCCCTGCATTCCAAGGTGTGGTGGTATCCATGAACGATACCCTGTAGGTCTAGGTAGTTTCCTATACCCTGCTTACTCCATGCGAAGCATCTTGCCCTACAGCACACGGGTTGAGATCCGGATTTCCTTGTTTGTAGTGGAGTTCACTCTGATAAGATTTTGTTAGAATCAAGAGGCATCGTTGATCAATATCGATCTCCTTGGCACTAAGAATGACGCATTACATCAACGTTTTGATCTCTATTGTGATCTACGTACTCTATGTAACCTTTTCACTTTGGCGTATGTGCCATGTAAACTTTGACTTGGCCTACTGTTAGTCACCTTCACTTATCTTTAGCCATTAGTAAGTACTCGACTATCTTACTTAGAAAGTCAGCCGGTAGTCTATGACTACCTATTAGAGATCGAAATCCAACCTGACGCCAAATATCGCCCTACCTACTGAAATCAGATAGACGTGTAGTAGCCTAGTGGTGAATGGATCCTGGGTTACATTCATCCCAGTGCACAGGTGGATCAATTGATCAAATATCATATAACTTGAACTTAAGGATAGATTCCTCATAGTAGGGACGGCACCTGTAGACCAGGGTTGAGGTCAACCCTGTCGACCTCCACTCGTCTCAATGTTGGACCGGTCGAACCGTGTCCATTATTCGTTACGATGGGCGACAGATGAGGATCTACATGGATGTGCTAAATGACAATTCCCTGATTACTAGGGAGGAATGGATTGTCACTATCCTTGATACCCGTTGGTGCAGATCTATCCCTACTTTGACAAACGAGCCGCTACTTGTATTTGTGATGCGAGATTATTGTTGTATGTAATCGAGACTCACTTCAATGCGTAACTTAGTGTCGCTGAGTAATTTACGAAATACCCCAGCCGATAAGGTTGTTTGTTTGGGGCATTTCGGCATCAGAGCTGTCTGTAGTTAAGATAACTGGATATGCCCCTTGTTCAGTGAGCACCTTCCCGAAGTCTTGTTGGGGCCGTGCCGACCAGACGCCGAGGTCCCGGTTCCATTGCAGCAAATTTTTGAGCTAAAGTTCGTGATTCACAATGCGTGTAAACAATGTGATGCAGATTTCCAGCGACTTAATCTCGTATAGAATGTTTTCATATGCTAAGCTTGATGTTCGAGTGTTGCCTCAGGCCTTAGGTGAATAATGAGCCATCGCCCGCGCGGGCGTGTTCAAGCAAAGCTCGCGAACTACCTAGATGTAAATATAATCACTCATCAAAATTCACACGGCTAGACATTTCTTCTGGCTTTGAATATATGTAGGCTTAAGTACGAAGATAGTCAGAATCTAGGGAGCCCTAGTCTTGATGCCGCCTTGAATGACAAGACCTCAGGATATATATATTTGTTGTGCCAGCAACTATGTAGAATCGCGATCAATATCCAAGGATTTATAAGGTTGGACGATTACCCATGCAAGCACAAGTCCAAATGATTGATCAATAAAAAATCTTAAAGAAAATATATGCTGTAGACTAGCCCTATACAACCTGGATAAAAGCTATTCTTACCATAGTTACGTTCAGACGCATCGTGTAGTTCAGCCGATCGGGTCCCTATTGTCCCGACTCTAAGCCCGATCAGGACTAGCGTGACCACAGCGGACCGACTCCATCATCGATCTATAACATGCGCCACCGTTAAGGATGAACATTCAAAGTCAATTACCCGACTGCCTAACGCGATGGACGCCTCATTCATGAGAAGAGGATATATAAATATTAACTTAAGGCCGGGCTATCAATAGAGATATCACAGCCTCAGTAGAAACTATTTCAATAACTCAATCGATCATATCGTGACCTATATCCCAAATTATATACTTCATGATGTCAGCAATCGCTTTCTTTGGCCCAACAGGTGGATGTGCCAACGCCTGTCTCACACACACCCTCCTCAATGGCCACAAAGTTATCGCTCTAGCCCGCACACCAAGCAAACTCACAAAACAACTCCTCTCGCAACCAGGCCTAACAACCGAAATACTCAATACCCAACTCAAAATCATCCAAGGAGACGCAATGGACATCGAAACCGTTATGAAGACAGTCATCGTCTCAGAACCCGAATTCGAAAAATCTCAACCTAAACTAGTCAACATGATCATCTCCGGGATCGGTGGAACAGGTTCAATGGCATATACCAAGCCGTTCCAATGTGACAAAATGAACATACGTGTGCCCGCTCTACCACACATCGAGATTCCGAATCCGCATGTCACGGAGGAATTTACGACGACATTACTTGCTGCGTTGGGACGCATTGCGGGGATGTTCGATAGTTTTGCTGAATATGCGACTGTCGCGCCACGGGTGATGTTTATTTCCGGGACGGGAATTAAGGAGGGAGTGAATGATGTTCCGTATTGGTTTAAGAAGATGTATGATTTGCTTCTTCCTATCCCGCATGAAGATAAGAAGAAGATGGAGGCACTTTTGGAAGACGAGAGGATGAAGAGGGAGAGTTTGCTTGTTGGGGGTTTGATTATTGTGCGACCGAGTTTTTTGAGTGGGGATCATAGAATCGCTTCGGTCTCAGATGATGGGTTTGAAAGACTGAGGGTTGGGACGGAGAAGGAGCCGGCTGTTGGGTATATGGTTCCGAGGGCTTGGGTTGGTCGGTGGATGTTCGAGGAGGTTGTCAAAAATGGTGGGGATCAGTGGGTTGGGGAGGGTGTGATTCTTACTACTTGAAGTGAGAGGGATTTTTGTTTTACTTGACAAGGGAGTTTGGGAATTCTAATGTGATGAAATTGCAAATATCTAATCCAAGCAGAGTGTGGAGCAGATGGTAGTGTAGACGAAGCAATCCGATCATAGCAGATGTGTTCATTTGATATGAACTCACAACCGGATGGGGAATCATAGAACATGGAACAAGACAGCTATTATCGCAATGTAAACAAACAAAAAATAAAGAGAAAATGAGATAAGAAAGAGAAAAAAACTTTGCTCAAATCCAAAAACGCCGGGCTTCTGTATATAACTTTGCCGACCAAGTGTTGAGTCGGACGGTATGTAGACTGTACAGCGGGGAAAACATTGAGCTCACGTAAATCAAGAGCCACGTCTCCAAATATTGCTTCGTGTCGGTCGTGAAGTCTATGGTGCGAGTGTATCAACTGGCAACGTAGGGTTCGGGGATACCACGAAGTTCTTGATCGGCCTGCATACTAGGACGCTCTTGATCAACTTGCATGCTGCGGCGTTCTTGATCAATTTGCATGCTGCGGCGCTCATCCTTGATCTTTCGCTTCTCCATCTTCTTCATGGCTTCTTCAGTCAATTGCTGTCGGAAGAGGCGCTCCACAATATCCTTCTTTCGCGTCATCCGGTCGCCAATCATGATCATTATACCACCCGTGATGTTGCAGGTGATAGAGCAACACAGAATGACAGTAGTCAATGCAAATGGTCGGTATTTCGGAGGTTCCATACTCCAGGTGCAAGCACCAAGAGCCATCTGGAGCAGGGAGTGACAATCGAGGATGACAACGATAGCGACGAGCATGCGCATCGGGAAGGCATGGTGAGTCATGGTCTCGTGAGGTTTATAAAAGGTATGTGACTTGGCGAACTTGTTCTGGTGGTGCATCAACTTGAGCTGCTGTGCTGTCTCAAGGACAGTGAACTCATGTTCTTCGTCTTTGGGTGTGTCGCCGAATTCGACATCCACATCCTTCTCGCGTCGAGCTGGGAGATCATTCTTGTCCTTGAGATCTGGCAACTTCCGCTTGTCACGAATTTTCCAGGTTTTGTGGGTGTAATGGGCAATGAAAATCATGTGGTACGTGTCCACAGCTCGGAACGGAGCAAGTCCATCACCCATAATGGCGAAGAGACCCACTAGAACGTTGTCGATAATGTTGATAAGATATGATTGCTTGCCAGCAACATTGATCCAGCCTAGTAAATCAATTAGTTTATTATAGGGTGTTGGTGTTTCATGGGGATGAAATCATACCAATCAGGAAAAGCACCCAGGCCAGACCAAATAGAGTGATCAAGGTTGCATAGAGGGTGACGAGGAATCCAAGTGCTAGTCGGCTTGTTAGTCTATGATTTCACAATCTTTGCCAACTGATGACTCACGTTTTCGAATGTATTGTCCAAATCCCTTCATTGCTCGCTTAAACTTGGACCGGCGGGAGTGAAGCATATGCCGCACATGGTCATTCAACTCTGCAAAGTCTTCGTTGGTCCATCCCGCCAGCTCGTGACCTTCCGGCAGAACCGCATATCGTGGTCCCACTAATACAGATGACATGCTGGAAAACGGGCGAAGCTGTTCTAAGGTGGGGCGTTGCTTGGTATCATCTGATACTTCTCCATCGTCGGTGCTGATGCCCTGCTCCTCATCTGAAGGCGGTGGTCGAGTGAGAGTGTAGGTAGGCATACGGTTGATCCAACCACCCAGGTTAGGCACGAAGAGAGAATTTTGGACATTTGTCAAGGTCGAGAGCGCGGAGACCTCCGGATCTATAATGGACAGTGTCAGTCAATTATCACAACATAGTGTAGCATGTTTGTATCGGAGAACTTACCAATCACATCTAGCACATCAACCACATGAGAACCATACTCGTTGATGCCCATCTCCGGATTCTCAGCGACCGTTGGCTGCTGCGGGGCCCCAGTCACGGTGGAAGCCCGGTTTCGAGTGAATGGCCTCAGCGCCGCCTGACTCGTCCGTCGCAACATACTCCGGGGGACCGGACGCGGAGGTTCTTCGGCCTCCTCCGAAGGAGGTGCATCAGACTCGGGCTGCTGAGTACCGGGCGCCTGCGGGGTTGGTAACGGGCTCCGCGATGATTCTTCAGTCAGCGGAACCATGCGCATAGGGGTCGCCACTCGCGACAGGACATCCGAGGAAGGACCAGAGTAGCGCCCTGGCCGTGGCTCAGAGCTACTACGCCGTCGACCTGATTGTGCGGATTCATCTTCTTCTGCGACGGGAGATCGGATGGACACTTGTCGCTGCAGGGAGGGACCCGCTAGGGGTTCCGGTTGCGACTGATTGTTATCGGTATCTAACGACGAGAGGGATGGTAGACGCGATAGGCGGATACTCGGTCGGCGTGATCGCGCAGAAGGAGCCCGGGGGCGTCCAGGGGATTGTACTGTTGCCAATGCTGGCCTTGGTGGTGTTGTCTCACCAGACTGATCGGTTGGAGGACTCCTCCGGGAATTCCCATCCTCTGCGGGCTCGATGCGATCCATAGGGGTGGTTGTTTGGGTGGAATGGTCCGCAAGAGGGGTTGGGGATGACGGAGTAATGTGGATAGATATGCAACCATGCAACAAAAATCACAATCAGCGCAAACCACCCCCTATGTTAGATAACTAAGCACAGGACCACGAAAGATGAATCCGAAGGTTTTCTCCGACTGATCTGGAAGGCAATGGCTGGGGGATGAGTCAGCAACCCAAATCTTGTTTTCACATAGTGACGAGAGAGTGGAGCAAGGAGACGTCTGTGCACGTTTACAGGGAAGCTAAAGTGTCGATCTCCGTTGTTACATGGGCACAAATCCTGTTGACCGGAGATGATCCAATGGCGATCTATAAAGTCGTCGTCAGAGCCTGAAAATACTTACTGTAAAGGAATTAAAGGCTTGGCAATGATTGGGTGGCGATATAGTTTATGCGTACCCAAATATTCGATAATGACAACAATCGATAAGAGATCTAGATTTGGCCCCAGTGGAGCTCAATCCCTTGCCCAACCTTTATTAGCGTCCTTGTAACGTGCACTTTACAATTGCAGTGCCAGACCATATAATGTATAGATAGCATATTATATTTGCACGCCCATAGAATTGGCCTACTGTATGCTGTCAGGACGGCGCTTTGGTACCCTCTAGGATGATATTGTTACAAGTCTAGTTCAAAGAGTTGACTAGTAAATGTAGGTCAATGCACTGCAGCAGAGGACCACTTTTGTACAGTCACTATGTAGCATGCATAATCGGTAATGAATACATATCTTTATTTTAGCAAGCTGTACTTATGCAAATACTTTCAATTTGAAGTAGATGAAATGGGTATTGGGAACCTGGTCAACGGTGTTTTTTTATTCCCTTCGAGGTATTCGTATCTATAGTCAGCCTTCGTACTGAGGTGCCATAAGAGTGGGATCGTTTTCATCGTGACCTTTTCGATTTTGAGGTTTTAGAACGGCGAGCTCCACTCAGGGAAATTGTTTTGGCATGTAGCACATTAATTTGATATACCAAAGCACCGCTTATTCTCACCAGTAGATCACCTTGAAAAACTAAATGTGCGGTTAGTTAGGTCTCATAGTAAACTACGGTAGTAAGGACCTCGGAAGTACCTAAGCGGTGCGTTGTAATGTAGTACATACTTGGGTTATATGTAGTAGTAAGGAGTACATGTCCTTAACGGACTGACGTAGCATGTCTTCCGTCTAACCCCCACGTACTCTTATTACCACGTATATCTGTCTGCTCTTCTCTCGTATTATGACGCACCTCTTCCTCTGTTTCTTGGACCATGCACTATTTATTGCGTATTTGATTTTGATCCTAGGATCTTTTAGATAAAAGTTCTTGATTTCCTCTTTCAGGCAAAATCTCACGCTCGAAATGACCATGTGTATGGGTTGATACTGATAATAATAAGTTGTTACATTGAGAGAGATACACCTCCCTCACAATGGGAAGAGTCTTCATCCGAGGGCAGTCTGCCGCAAACACCTAACTTAGCAAGCAAAGGCAAGGGCCGGATGACTTCTCGATTCCATCCAGCAGCAAAGAAGAACATGTACACATACAATTTCTTTAAGGGGCTTGCAGAATTGATCGAAAATGTCTTCCCGATCGAATGTTCTGCTGCAGAGTAGAACTGCGACTTCGCTTATGTCTTCTCTGCCTTGAGTGCCGTCGTTGTAGCGCCGCTCTACGGAACACAGCGTTGGCACAGAGCCGAGTCGGTTTCCGAATTTGGAAAGATCCTGACTAGCATGATGACAACTGGACAACTACCGATAAGCTACGAACGTCCAATCAGCTACTGGCTGGGCAAGAAGAACATGCCCACCTGTTGACCATGAACAGAACACCGAGGCTTATGGGCAGGCGCTCACCACCAAGCCTTATGGCAGTCTGTCGACGAGTCTTTCAGCACCGAGCCTTATACGTCCCCCGATGTGACATTCTCGAACTCTGACGGCAGTACAGATTCCAACGTGGACAGGACCTGGAGAGGAAAAGAAACTGTCCGCCGGGGGACTCAATCGCAGCCTGGGGCGCAGTCCCCCTCAGAACAGGACCAGGAAGTCCAAGCTCGCTACGACCGTTTTGGGCCCAATCTCTCAATTGGATAGTGGACCAAATAACTTCACCAGCGTCAGACACCGCGTTCAGACGCAATTAATGACGATGACTTTAGACGGATGTTGGCTGAGGCACGGTTCATTGACAAGTGACGGGGGTATTAAATGAGCCTGTCGTTGGCTACCTGGGCAAGGACCAATGATTCAGGTAGCAAAGCTTAATGTCGAATTTGCGTCTTTGCGCCATAACGATTCCTTTGGATAAGTTTCCTACTTTTCGCCCTAGACTCCGTACTCCGTGGCATGGCGGTGTGGTGCTTGGGAGGGGTAGGTAGCGGGGAATTGTTTAAATTTTTTTGACTCATGTCAATGTGCAACCTGCAAGTCATTCGTGTACGCAGTGCGGAAGTAAAATGTTTGCTTTTTGTGAGGTTGTACAGAGTCTTGGTACGGAGCGTATTATGAAGACCACTTCCATAGTAGACTATCCCACGGTCTGCCTCCATGGTTGTACACCGTATTTCGATGATGTTTTTTAGCCCGAAACGTGGAGACCATGGAGGCAAAGTGGAGCCGGCTGAGGTGGAAGATCCGATCCCTTCAGGGTGATCGTTCAGGAAGAGACTGGCACGTTGGGCGCATTGGGCTAATTGTGAAGGAAATTTGGTGAATTGAAGAAAGTAGAGAGTATAGTTTATGAGATCATCTTATATCGAAGGGTGTGTTGGAAGATGTACTAGGTTGAGGTTCAGCAAGAAGTGGATCGAAGATGGTAGCAACTCACCGAATTGAGTGGCGCGATGGTTCTCCCATGACATCAAAGCATTGCTGGTTGCCTTGAGGATAGAGTGGGCAGAATTTAGGGGGAACAGAGTCTAGGCGCGGAAGCCCCGTCTTTCCCCTAACGCACCGGCCATGCACGCCTAAACCTTAGGCTTGACACCGCCCAACAAAGTCCAGAACTCTGTCGGGTCCCAAGACGGCTAGCGCACACCGCCTCCTCCTTTCCTCCAAAGCAACAACTTGACCCTCCCTTCTCTTCCTTCCTTTCCTTCAAGAGTCAATCTACTGCATTTGAATTCCCATCCATCTCTTCTCCCCCCCCAATCGGTATCTAGGGCACCAAGCTACCCTGCTCCTTCCCTCCACTCTCGTCAAGTCTCCCATCCCCGGCAAATCAACAAACAATCCACCCCTCTTGTTTGTTTGACACAGCTTCAAGCTTTTTCTTCCCCGAACCCTTTGTGTCAACAATAGTCAAGATGTCTTCCGTCGACGCCCTTACTGAGAACATGGCTGCCACCGCCATCAGCGAGACCCCCGTCGCTAACGGCGCCGCGCCCGCTGCCCAGACCACCGACGCTGCAGTTGCTAGCGCCGACGAGGGCCGTCGTCTCTACATTGGAAACCTGGCCTATGCCACCACCGAGGAGGAGCTGAAGGATTTCTTTAAGGAATACACCATGTAAGTAGAACCAACACTTGAGTCGGATTTTCATCTCCCTCAGCCTCCCGAGGTCAGGTGGTAGCCCTCGAAACATCTTTTCATCTCAGCAGAGCACTAACTCGAGTCTCAGCGAGAGCACCTCGATCCCGGTGAACCCCCGCACCAACCGCCCTGTTGGCTACGCATTTGTCGACCTTGTGTCCGCCACCGAGGCCACCGCCGCTATCGAGAGCCTTTCCGGCAAGGAAATCCTGGCGCGTAAGGTGTCTGTTCAACTCGCCCGCAAGCCTGAGCCTGCTGAGGCCAAGGAGGGTGCAGCAAGTGGTAATGAGGGTGCCAGCGGCACTGAGGGTCGCAAGCGCACTGGCGGTCGGGGTCGGGGCCGTGGTCGCGCTCGTGGCCGTGGTGGTCGCGCTGCTCGCGGTCGTGGTGTATGTCTCTCCTTAAAATTTCCATATGCGATTTTCAAGCTAACTCAAATTTCAATAGGCTCAAGAGGGTCAGGAAAACGCCGATGCCACTGCCACCGAGCAGGCTCCTCTGGCTGAGACCACTAACGAGGCCGAGGCTGCTGGTGCTGAGGGAGCTAAACAGCAGAGCAAGCCCCGCGCCCGCACCCAGAAGCAGCGTGGTCCCCCGGAGGATGGTATTCCTTCCAAGACTAAAGTCATGGTCGCTAACCTGCCCTACGACCTGACTGAGGACAAGGTGCGTCAACTTTGAACAGGTGTCCTATAATTAACACCAGGAGTAGCTAACTCTTTCCACAGCTCAAGGAGATCTTCTCCGCCTACGAGCCCATTGGCGCCAAGGTTGCCTTGCGCCCCATCCCTCGTTTCATGATCAAGAAGCTTCAGGCTCGCAATGAGCGCCGCAAGACTCGCGGTTTCGGTTTCGTCAGCCTTGCCAACGAAGAGCTCCAAGCTAAGGCCGTTAGCGAGATGAACGGCAAGGAGATTGACGGTCGTACCATTGCCGTCAAGGTCGCCATCGACAGCCCCGGAAAGGAGGATGACGATGTCAACGCCGCTGCCGATAAGTACGAGGAGAGCACCGCTCCTGCTGAGGAGAATGCCGCCCCCGCCGAGACTCCCGCTGAGGCTTAAATGCAAACAAACAACGATTTCCGAGTGCAAATGGTTTGCTGACTAGCTTGGAGGATATGTGGAGGAGGAACTTGGAGACCATATGGACATGATAATAGTGTCTTGGATGTTTCCCCTGGTTCTTGTTATTTCTCATTTCCCCAAGTTTTGGTCTATTATTGAGTATCTTAGCTGTTGGCCGTCCAGGGGAGGCCAACACTGGAGATGAGGGTGTGATGATGACCTTTTTTGTATGGATGTCATGGAACATTCGTCCATGCTGGAGCGCAATCCTTGCTGATGCCTCCTTAACGACTTTTTGCCTTCTGTATTGTATCTTAGCACCCATTTAACTAACTGATGACGATCTGCCCGCGTTCTATTGTAAATTGCC